CTAGGCCCGGGTCCCCATCGTAATCAATCCTAGCCCCTTTCGTCACCCAGGCTAGGTCGATAGTTGAGTCTCGTTGTTTGTGCCTTTGCCGTGTGATTTCCCCGAACGGTGTAACGAGTTCTAATCGCCAGCGTCGCGCAAACTCCACTACGTTGTCGCTGCCCCGTGACGACCGTCCGTGGACGTCCCACAGCGGGTGATGTGTATTGAAGTCCCCCACGAGGACTTGTGTCCCCTCCGGCGCCCCATTAGGGAGGTCTTGGAGCGGGCTGACCCAGCGGCTCCCGGTCTGGTTTGGTGAATAGATAGACCAGATCGTAAGGGCGTCCGGGCCTGCCCCGAACGTAATACTGCTCCAGTCCATCCCGGTACGGGGTCGCAACGTAGCCACATCGTATCGTTTATGGACATATAGCGCAGCTCTGCCGCTGCTGTACACTACTTCGTACCTGGACGACTTCGGGCAATAAATCGCCTTCGTCCGCCGGTTGATCCATGACTCTTGAGCCGCTATTATATCATAGTCACCCCCCTTATCCAGCGCTAGCGTTGCGTTCGCCTTTGAATCTGCGATATTCCAGTAGAGAATAGAGACTACCATTAAGCTGTCGATGGTATATCTTCGTTCGTACGTCCCTTAGTGAGGAAGCTGCGCATTGCTGACGCAGACCGTTCGGTTCGCTCCTGCTCCACTCGCGATCCGCCTAGGGGGCGGCCCCGGGGTCGTACAACTGTAAACCCGTCGCTGGTCAATGAGCTAGGTGGTGTGAGCCTGCCCTCACTAGATAACCCGTCCGAGTAGCTGCGGACCTCAAATTGTCGGGGGCGGTGAGCGTACGCCTCGCGTACACGTAGCCGCTGCTGTTCTGCCGTAGGGCAGTCCCTGTCCCACGCCGTGTGCTTCCCTTTGCAGTTCACACAACGTTTTTTGCCGCTAGGTGCCTTCTTGGGGCAGCCTTTTTCACCCCCTGGGTGTGCCGTTGCAGCGCAGACGCCGCAACGCGCCGTCTTCTTGCAGTGTTTCGCGATATGGCCGTATTCGTAGCACTGGTAGCACTGCCGAACCCGAAGATTACCGTCGTACGGCTCGCAATCGAATATCTGGGCCTCCCAAATAAGCCCTTCGGAGCATAGTTCCATCGCCGCCTCCACGCTATCCACGTGTAGTATCAGGGCCGCATACGGTGCTTGCGGCGCCCGGGGGAGGTTCCTTTTGGCCTTAGAGAGGTGCTTTGTATTGTCCCGCTTCAGGTCTTTAAGTAGCTGGCTCTCGTCGTGGACCTCTCGCAGCCGTTTCGCAGGCAGCCCCTTCGCGATCACTGCAACTTCTCTGCGGTTGAGAAGTGCCTTATCGCCGAAGGCACTACGCACCCACCGGCTGTCCGTGGTCGCCGCTGAGGCCGACTGCTTAAACGTCACTACGGTATCGCCACTGCGCAGCCTGCGGGCCGCCACTGCATCGGTGCTGCCGCGTGCATTGTTCACCGCTTTTACGACCTCAGCCGCCGATCTGTTCTTCATATTAGGGTCCTCTGTCCCCCGGATCACTACCTCTCTCTCCCTTCGCTGGGGCACTACAACCCGCTGCTGCCACACTGGGGCTTCACCGGTCCCCGTCCCTGGGCCGATCCTGAGGCGATTGAGGCCCAGGATCGAATTGTAGGCAAGGCCACGTTCTTCACCGTATCCTGCATGGTCTTCTCAACCATCGTCTGGATCGCCACAGGAATTTCGGCAAGGGCCAGAGTCACTGCCAGTACGTCGGCATGTGTGGCGGGTCTGTCGTCCCCCTCCTCCAGTGTCCTGCCGGCCAGTTTCAACCCCAGCCAACGCTCCATCAAACCCCCATGACCTCAATCTTCTCATGTGGGACCAAGTCGGCAATCTCTTGTTCTACTTTTTCTCGTTCTCTTTCGATGTCTTCCCTCTTTGCGTTTTTGCTGCTGATGCGCTCCACGTTCGGTGCGTGGGCACTTTCGTTGGCCTGGGGGTGGTGAAAACTCTGTTCGAGTCCCGCCCGTCCCCCGTCCCCCGTCAATCACCATCGGCGCCGCCATCGCTTGCGTCCTCGCTTCGCATGCGATGCGAGGTCACTGTCCGACGTAAACGGTCGTTAGGAATCGAATGCCGCAATCAGTTTGATGATTTGACGCTGTTCGAAGAAGTTATCGATGAAAGTCAGAAACCTTCAAAAATCCTCAGAAATTATATCAATAGCATAGATCGCATGTTTCAATGAGATATCAATACCCCGAGTATCGTAAACAAACTTCAAGTAACGTGATCCACAAGTCATTTTCGCACACAAGTCACTTTCGCACTTTTCTTGGCACCTTCAAGTAATTCAGTAATATCCTATGCATAACCCGCATTTTATCCTTTAAATTACTCAAAATCTTCTTCATTATCAGTTTCTACTTCTATTGAACAAGTCCTTGCATTATGTCCAGTCCCTCCGCAAATACCACAGCGCCTTATACCGGTCTGCCGGCGCTTTACAGGACGACTGCTTTCCCCTTCTTCCTCCTCCATAACCTTGATATCACCCCTCAAGGCCCGTAAAACTTGTGCATCACCTATACTAAGTGCTCCTCCATATTGGATTTGCTTATTTTTCGTCCTACGACGCTTACTTAGTATATGGTTCGTCTCACGAAGCTCTTCGTTCTCCCGACGTAATAATGCATTCTCATGCATCATTGCATGCGTAGCCTTTGTAATCGAGTTAATTGAGTTCAAAATATGCGTCGGCGAGCTGTCTTGATGCCTCTGGACGCTACTTTTAATCAAAGTTGACTGCGATTCGGCTTCGAGGGTGTTGGTAGGCGTCTTAGAAACCCAGACGGAGGGAGGCAATTGGGGGTCGGGTGTCGGTGTTCGTACTACTTTTGCGATATCCAACGTAGATATGACCCTATCCGGGTTAAAAGGAACAAGTCCAGCTGCTTCAAATCCTGATCTGATGTTTTTTTCGTGAAAAGCACTAATGAAAGCTTCTAAAAACCCAGCTAAGAAATCCTGCTTCTCAATATGGGTTTGATGCCTTCGCCTTAAACCCTCCACGAACGCACCGTACAGCCGTTTCAACACACTAAAAGATACCAAATCCAAAGGCTGGAGCTTGTGAGATGAATGGGAAGGCATACACAATGTAGGAAATGCTCGCGTATCTAGCTCAATTATACGTCGGGCAATCATATCCTCTTCGGTTTGAGTTAGATTTCGTTTTAACATATTAGCTTCGTGTCGCGTTTGGTCGCCGTCGAATCGATTCTTTAGTGTACGGTCGCAAACGTTGTAGATACGGCCAAGCTTACGCCATGAAATTTCAGGGTTGCGCTTTTTAGCTTGGATAGCTAGCTGAAGATCGGCTTCTTTAGATTTACGAGGCATGTTGTGGGAGGGAAGAAAAGTACAAGCTAAGTTAAAAGGTTGAAATATTTGAAAAAGTGCGAAAGTGACTTGTGTGCGAAAATGACTTGTGGATCACGTTATATTGAAGTATAATAATGATGGTATAATGATTATACGAACATGTGTACTAAATTATCCTCCATAACAGTCCCAAGAATACGAGAGTGCAGTGGTGTTGATTAAAATGAAATTAAAGCTTCCGGGTTGACGACTGGTCTTCTCGCATAATGACCCTGTCGTAGGAGATGTTTGGAGGGACAGAGTTCCGCGGGGTGTAAGAGCCCTTGTCCCAATCAGCTTCTTCCTGGCCGGAACATTACTCCATAGTGATGTCAAGCCTGACGTGGCGAGTAAAACAATAATGAATGATTACCTTTGAACCACAAATACGGATCTCTCGGTTCTTGGGTTGTGTGGTGAGGCAGCGGGAATTGGCCCATAGCTGGGGGCCGAATCCCGTAGTTCTCCAGTTGAGCCAGTCACATTCCCAGCCCGGAAGGGTTAGGTAGCGATGCCTCTTCCGAGTAGCACTAAATCGCGATGGTATAGCTGAGAACCGCAAGGCTTGGGCTTATGGCACTCAGAAATCCTCCCAGGTCCGCCGTAAATGGCTTACTCAGGTATAGTTGTACAGGGAGCGCTAACCCGGTCCAGTTGAGCAACATCAGCCAATTAGATGAACGATGTCGACAATCCGACCCCTTTAGGTTAGGCTCAAAGGTGGCCACACTGTAGCCCAGTATAGCCAAATGCGTCACAATGCATTCTCTAGTGCCAAACAAGCAAGCTCTCCATCCCGGGTATTACTTCCTTTTGCTAACTCCATGCTTAGGGTTGCGCCAATCACTTGCATAGCTGACCCTGTGCCGGCAGCCACTGACCACTATGTTCTCCAGGCTGCGAATATTTGCACAGCACAACGGCAAATGAACCCGACAACATGGCCTTTGGATCACAGGACGTGTGAGTGACCGTTGGAGGAGGATGGTTAGGATTGTTGTTGCGTCATGATGCACGTCCTGGAGCTCACGTATGTAAAGCGAACGCCCTCGAGCAGTATTTTCACAGACTCAGGTATGTCATCGCAGACGTCTGCAGTTGATCACTTGACACATACTATTCCGCTACTATGGGAAACCTTACCGCAATCAGTGTCATCCATCGCTTGAGCATCGCAGTTGTTGTTTTATGGCTTATCGTACCTCTGGCAGCAAGCTCCCCCCTGGTCATAGAATCTCGTCAGGCGCTGAGCGACGATGAGCCCCCCGAGACCACAACGCCCGTAACATGCCAGTCCGACAGATCGGACGACTATTACGGCCTGGGCGTCAGACTTGGCATCTACCTGACTTGGTTCCAGGCCTGGATTGCCTACAACTTCGTGCCAACCGAGGCCGCCAGCGCCCTTGATGCCAATGCCGTCTTTCTGTTCGCAGTCATCTTGGCCATGGTCCGGTGTACCATCACCAACCAGATCCTCCAAGTGGACGCTCTGGTCCTGCAGCATCTTGGAGCAGGTACCATCTTCAGCGTCCTCTCTATCTGGGGGTACAGAACCAGCTGGTATGCTCGTCAAGGTCCGTCGAAGGGGATCTCGCACTTTGGAGGTTTCGGCACGCATACAAGATTACTTCTTTGTGTCGCCTTTGCCTCGTTCAGCCTGTATTTCTGGATGTTTGGCATAGCCGAGTCAGAACCCGGCATCACCCCTGGGACAGGCCACCCCGAGGACGCTCATTGCTTGTCTCTATATACCTTCATGTTTTCACCAGTCCGGGCGAATGGAGGTATCCGCATCTTCTACATTGTCATGTGTATAATCCACTTGATCTATTGGGGCATCATGCTCATTATCTCGTCCATCGCTGCTGTCGCCAGGTCGGGGAAGATGTATACCCTCTTCAAAGCGAACCAGTACAGGACGACGTCCAGACTTCACTATGCTACTGGCCTCAGTCAACAACAGTAAGTGACCCCGTCCCCCAGCCCCCGTATATATGACGGTTACTGACGTGGCTTACTTCACAGGCTCCGCTACATCTACAACTTCCACCGCTTCTCAACTATGTTCTGGATGATACTATCCGTCATTATTGTCGAGTTCACGCTCAACTACAATAAAATGTACGACGTACTAGGTTGGCGCGGCCACCTCTTCTTTCCATCCCAACTAATTCCTCTTACCATCGGTATTTGTGGCTTCTTCCGCGTCATTTACGTTAGCTTCGAACAGTGGAGGTCGCCCGAGGATGCCGATCCCTCCCTCTCTGTCGACGAACCTCTGACGCCCCTGAAGGTGTCGTCCATGCCTCATGGCAAGAACAAGTTGAAGCTGTTTGCACGTGGCTCGACCTTTGCAGGCCGACGGACCGAGAAGCATCATAGTAACGAGATGGATCCACTCTTGGACGGCCAACCCTTATATATCAGGCTCTTGCTTTCTTACCTGCCTTGGTTGGTCCTCGTCCGATGGTGGCATCTAAGGGACAGAGATTACGAGCAGACCACGTACTCTCAGCCAACTGTGCCTACTCTGCAGGTCTCTGTAACAAGGCCGGACCCTGTCAATATCGGCAAGCACGAGAGTCGGGGCAGTGGCAAGACGGATGTTGAGTCGCCGCAGCAAAACCCTGGGAGGAGGAATGATGGAATTACTGAGCAAGAATCATCTAGGTGAATCAATCCATTTGAGTGGGTGCCGACCAGCGGAGCATACATGGCACCGGTCGTCATGGGCAGAAGTATGGCGACTGGATTAGCGAACTTTTGATCATCGTCCTTCTTTCGGTTGTTTAATGTGTGGTTGCTTCTTCTGAATCACCAAGTCATCAATAATAAATTCTACAGGACGCTGGTCCGCCACACGCGGCCGTTACCCAACTCTGTATGAACAAGTATAAAAATGCAGCGGCGAACAACTTCTTGTTCCGTACGTCGACAACCACCCAGCACAGCCACACGCACTCGTTGCTTATCACGACTGGCCTTACGCTCATACGTCCATCGCGACGGTACGTGGGACCATCCTGGTACAGATAGCTAAGGGATCGATGTACATATTTATAATATAATAACGGTAATCGAGACTCTGCAATTAATTGCTTCAAGACAAACCCGTCGGACAATCTTCTCCCACTATAATTTCTTGTAGTCGGCTGGTGTAGTTGGTCACTTCGCTGGTAGATAAGTCCCGATTTGAGCCTCGCCCACTTGGGTTGGTGACGAGTCGCGGGTTCGAATCCCGCAGCTGACACACAAGGGGGTTTAGTCAACCCTTACGGCGCGCTGCCCACCTTGTTGACTTCGCCTACCTAGCGATAATAGGGAGATTGGTGCAGTTTAGGATTACGAGCATCCTAGCCAGTCGACCGTCAAGCACTACGTCGGCGGAATATAACTCGATAGCCGGTCCAGAATTCGAATCGTTAATCCGACCCCTTATCGGACCTCGCCTATCCGATAACGCTCGTCGGCGAACCCGTCCCCTCACGATAGAAGGCGCGCAGCACGCCCTCTCGCCGCGATTCTTGCGAGCGTCTGACCACGTTACGGTCTATCCACTTGAGCGTATGGTTGAGATGTATACGCTCGACGAGAACCCCAATTAGCAGATACTACGACTTGTCGCGACAAAAAAATAGTCGAGCATCTTCTGCACATCAGCAGCATCCCACCCCTGAGGACGAATTTAAGTGCCGCATTACCACACTTATCGGTAGTTCAGGCAGGGGTTGTAGCACAGACTTAGGGAGGGACAGGAGGTTTAGTAGTCGTTTGGCTACAAGTTTACCTGTATAACCGCCCGACGCGGCTTAAGGGCCCGCTATATCATCTATAGCCCCTTAAGGGAGTACTTGTAGAGGTACCGAGGGTTAACACCTACGGCGTATTTAATATTATTTAATAGTTTGCTAGCAATCGGTTTCAAGCATTAATATAAGACGCGCGAAGCTGCGTTGACGCACCTGAAAAAACGGCACCAATTCTCGACCTCGCCACTCCATATACCTCCAGGTACTTCTGGCAAGACACATTCCACAGAGCCACGTTTTGCTTTGCTGATGAACATATAACTTTCGATTATTTAGTCAGCATTGCGAGTGTCTCGTAGAAATGAATTCCACTCGCTTTGCACGCGTAAGATCATATGATACCAGTATTGATTCGGACCATGTATCCTGTAAGCTTGAGTACCCGCGCCGTGCGTTGCCTTGTATTACGAGGATCTTTAGTTGTGATGAGTATGTTAATTGGCCATTTCCGACGGCGTGGGGATTTGGGAGAGCAAGGAGAGCGTAATATTCCCCATCTGTGCCCATCTATGCCTGAGCCCCAACTCTCCATGCTAGCAGCCCTTCATGCAGCATCCCTTGGGAGTCTGCGCATAAACACGTCAGGACCGGTTCCATAGTCCTTGGCCTTCGTTTGAGGACACAAAGCATACCTCGCGTGACTGAAGACGACGTTCTGAATGAAGAAACCCCTATGATTTGAGAGGGAAGTAATTGTATTTTGTTGAGTACAGATGCGTAAACCCATTGCCTGCCATATAACACCCATCCGAGACCAAGAACGCCGGCGCTTTATGCATGCCATATTGTACATTTTGACACAGTATTCCAGATTACGAGTTCTTCTCGAGGAACTCCTTGGCCTCGTTGACCTTTGTCGCAAGATAGGGACTGCCGCCTCGATCGGGGTGGTTCAGCAGCATGAGGTTTCGGTGGGCTTTGCGAATCTTGTCCTTTGTCACGGCCCGTTCACTGTCGCAGGGTCAGCCGCCGTCCTCAGTTTAGGGTATACATATAATGCAAGCCGGCCATATACTTAAGACTAAGAATGAGCGTAGCCTCCCGCTTGTTCATCCGAGGCTCAAAGCCGCCCTTATAGAATGCCTTTCCCAGGGCTCCAACGCCTCCCCGTGATCGTCGCCATGCCACCACTCCTGCTCGGCCCTGGACATTTGGTCAGCTTCAAGTAGTCAAATGGTGAAGTCCGGTCAAAGGCTTCATACCAGAAAGGCTGCCACTGCGACACCAGTTCCGATAGCAAGTGCTGAAGCCATGATGATTGATTCAGATTCTTCGCGATTTAACGATCAAGTATCGTGGGAACAGACAAGAAGTCGTAGCGTTAGCACGTGTTAGTCCAGTCGCAGAGCTCGCCAGTTCAGTGTTTGACATGCACGGACCCTTGAGCCTCCCCGGAGGAATTAGCCGGTTGGAAATATTTTCCACTGCACCCCATTAAGCAAATCGACAAGACCCTCCAGGGGACCCACTGTAATTGAGGTTTACCCAAAAAAAAAGTTTTGGAGACTCGGTCAAGCTAACCATCACCAACTAACATCCAAGTAAACAGCCCTCGACCGTCAACATGAGGTAAGTCTCAAAGTCCCAGTCCATCGTAAACTGTTCTCTGGAGAAGCGTTCGACAACACCTGCATTGCGCCTTTGGGGTGCAATCTGGTGCCAGCTGGGGAGGGGCTTGCAGTTGGACATGACAGTAAATGCATTCTTGCTAACTGGCCTTCTTTTCCAGGATCGAGACATGTTATTTCTGTTCGCGACCGGCGTATCCGTCAAAGGGCATCACATTGTGAGCTTTATTTCCTCCAATCTCGAAATAAGGGCGAGGAATCATTTGGAAACGGCCTCGGGTCTTGCAGACTACATGCTAATGCTATACCAGCGTCCGCAATGATGGAAAGCAATTTCGATTCTGGTGAGTGCTCGGAGTCACCCTTCGCTTCGTATGGGTTCCTGGGGACATGATGAGCTAACTGTATCTCAAGCCGCTCTAAGTGCCACAAGAACTTCAAAAGTATGATGCTCCAGATTCGAACGACAGAAAGGTCCTATCTAACCAACTCTACTACAGTGAAGAGAAATCCGCGCAAGTTGCAGTGGACAAAGGCGTTCAGAAAGGCAGCTGGCAAAGAGTAAGTCGAGAAGAACGGTTCCTCTTGTCCTGCACCAGGAGCAGATGCTTTTGCAGTTTCCATATCTGGGAAATGGCTTGGAAGATGACAACCACTAATGTCGGATGCTACAGGATGACTGTCGACTCTACGCTCCAGTTTGCTGTTAGTCAAGCTTCAATCCTCCGTCCCCTGTGCTGTAGTACTGATTTCCCATTCCAGGCGCGCCGCAATATTCCTACCCGCTACAACCGCGACCTCACCCAAAAGGTGCTCAAGGCTATGGAGCGTATTTCCGAGATTCGCCAGAAGCGGGAACGCGTTTTCTACAAGAAGCGCATGGCTGGCCGCCGGGCCCGCGAGTTGGCCGACGCCCGCAAGCTCGTCCAAACTCACAGCCACCTCCTACCACGTATGCGGGGAAGCGAGAAGCGCAAGCTGGCTCTGGAGGGCATGGCCCAGGAGGAGATCCAGAGACTGGAGCAAGAGCATGTGTTGCCCGTCGAGACGAAGAAGGTGTTTGGCAAGGAGAAGCTGCGCCAGCGTGTCAGAACCGATGGAGCTGTCGATGTGGTACCGGGCGATATGGACATAGACTCGGAGTGAAAGATGCCAGTGCCTTGAAAAGAAAAGGGAAGAACGTGATAAATGCGCCGGCTAGGCAAAACAAGCTGACACTGATGATGGCGTTGCAGGGTTTGTGTTTCGGCTTCTGCATTTCCTGGCGTTGGGAGTCTGCAGACGTCTGGTTGAAAGGTCATATATGGCCAATATAAGTCATGGCAGAATATGGGACAACCCGGTGGGAAGGGGGGACACTAGCACAGAGAAGATATCCGAGACTGTCAGCATATGTATGGTAATTTGTTGATCAAGGCCCCTGGAATAAGCAGCCCACATATGTGCATAATTTTTCGTCTACGGCGGCTTCTCGCAGCTCACAGCTCGGGTTCCTCCGACTTCCCCTTGCCGTGTCCAGCATCGTGCATGTGATAGACCCGCCTGGGTGGCTGAAGCCCAGCCTTGACATCATTAAATACTTGGGCATCTAGTGCGGCCTTTCTCTTCTTCTCCTGCTCTTCATTATACACCTTCTGACCCTCGTCGGTCGTCCAATTGCCCGCGCCACCTCGCCCCGAAAGCCCTGCCCGCGCCGTCTGCGCCGGTTTGGACGTTGGTACACCGGTCGTGTGCACTGTCGCGGACCTCTGCTGTGGATCCAGCGCGCGCTGGGCTGAGATAGTACTTGCGGCAGTGGCTGGGTCGACAAAATTGCCTGCGCCGCCGCGGCCAGACCGCGCATAGCCTTGCGAGGGAGTTGTCGAGGGAATGGCGGCTGGATCTTGCGGCACGTTGGCCGGATCCGAGGGCGGCGCGTCTATGTTGGCGTGTGTCTGTTTCTGGGCTTCAACGTCCGGAGGCGTGGCCGTGTTTTGGATGACGGCTTCAATGTCCTTTTGTGAATAGTAATTACCGGCGCCGCCCCGACCGGTACGGCGATATGCGTCCATGTTTCGATTTGATCGGTAGATATCGGCTGTGGATTGAGTGAGACAGGGTCTAGACGTAAGTTACTTGTCGTCTACCAAGAGGGGAACTGTAAGGCTAAGTACTGGCTGATATTAGATAGTATCAAATGAGTAAATATGTCTCGTGTGCTAAAAGTTGCTTATTGTGAAGGTCTGACTTCGTCAATTTGTGGTTTTTTTAGACTCTGGCTTCAAGTAGTTGATGCTGCCAAGACCACCGGGAGAGGGGCAGGTATCTGCAGCCGCAGATCAGTCAGTGCTGTCAGTGCTGGCGCCGTGCAGTCTAAGAGCACTAGAGCAGTTCCCATGGGCAAGCATCAAAGTTTGACTGCCTGCGTTATTCAATATAATGATTGCAAGAATGGAGACTACGTCATCGATGAGTTCGGGGCGATCGGCTTGTCTTACAAGGTACTCACGAACTCCAGCAATAGCAAGGGCTGGATAGTCGTTGGGATCAAGTCGTAGGTAGCCAGCTTGTCTATACCTACCAAGATCATCTGGTGTCATATTCTCACCGTAATGTAAACAGGAGAAGTGATTTTGGGCATTTGGCTGGGCTAGGTCTAGTTTGGGCGTAGAGGTAGCGTACCAACAGCAGCGTGTACTAGATACGATCTGCCCTACATTTCTCTAATCTGTTAGAACCATCTTAGAACCCTGTATAAATTTAAACCCCTGTGGTATTTGCGTTAAGTCGTAGTTGTAACGAGGACAATAAAGGTATATGCAAAAAGTATTTGACTAGGTATGCTGCACAGAGAGCGTCTCGGGATACCGACGCGAAAAGCTGAGCGAGATTTCCCCGATCACTCCGATATACTGATAGAGCAGGTATATGCTCTATCCCCACTATTGATTCACCTCTGGTCTATTAGGGGTACCGGATCTGATACTGCTGTAGTTACCCGGTTCATAGCAGGGGTGGGCGACATACCAACTTGTCTCCACAGATGGCTGACACTCGACATCACAGCCAAACCGGAAGAATCAGATTCAGAGACTGAATAGGCTAGCTTTAAGTTTGGTGTATGAGTTTTTCTGCGTAATTGAATATCACTTGTACAGAGTCTAAAGGTGGTTTTGGCAAAGCCACACCACACCGTACCATTCCAATCTTGCTCTGACATACTGATAGGAGAGTAGCATATTTTTCTTCTCAATCTGGTTATATGACAGCCGTGCAAGATCTGCTGGACTTGACTCGTCTGCAAGTGTGCATTATATTATTTTCTCTTTGATTCAAACCCCTTGATGGCACTGGCTGACCTCGAGTGTGACAACGACGTGATCCTCGCTATTTGGCGAATAAAATTCATACAGCGTCCTTGAACTGACAGGAAAAGTTATCGAACTGATATTGGTAGACCAACTAAACTAGGGAGTCATTTGAAATAGTGGTTTATTCAGTATTCGAAGGGCTACCTGGTGTACTTTTAGCACACGCGATAGGAGGAAAACATGCCACGACATAATTATGAATGAGAAATGAACCACTGGTTCCCTAGTGGCGACACTTAATATTACATACAATAACACCCTGTTTTACGCTGGATTGAATCTTCGGCATGTCCTGGTTAAACTTAAGCGGGCTGTCGACTGCGTAAAACTTGACCAAACCGACATTTTTGGATTGGCTAATGTCACCAACGTAGAATTTATGTCCCTAATCCTTAGCTTGATGAAATGCTAGTTGTGATTCAATAGTGCTAGTAGTGACTATGTCCCCTTTACAGGCTTGACCTAAAAACCTATATATGCCTCCAATACTGACCATAGTAGTTGGCGTGAGCGACTGGATTGGAGGGTATAGATTATGGATTAGGTCTTTTTTAGCTGTATTTATAAGTGATATTAGTAAATGCCTAGGTGTGGAATCATTACCGGTTAGATAGGCCTGCCTGTGCCTTGCTGGTAGTCGTACCTCGTCTACACTCTACAGACAGCATACAACGGTTGACCACTTGATCACTTCGAATAACTATCTAAAGTCCAGTTCTATTTGCACATTCGAGTGAGGGAAACGCGACCGGAATTAATTGAATGAGAGAAACACTAGCATCTATGATAACATCGTGATAGCCTGTATAATAGCGACTGGTGTCCATCATGAATTGATGTACTGTAGCTACGTAACAATATGCCCCGGTAAATGACTAGGCGTTAGAAGAACTGTGATGTTGCCATGCTATTTTATGCCAGTGACATACTACCGTGTCAAAGAATTGGGGGATGTTTTTACCAGATTTTGATTGTTACACAGAAGGTAAAGGACTGCAAGGCCATGAGGTGAGGTATCTAACCAGGCGGTTTTGAGTAGCTGCACTGTAATCTAATCCCTGGCTGCTCAACACAAGTGCCAAGAATTCATGATAGCGAGTCCTGGATGAGTTTCACAGGTTGCCTGGTGCTGTCGCAAATATGTAAGGCTACAAGAACGTATCGCAGAAATGTGGTCGGTCAATCACCTTCCGAAAATGTAAAATCCTGGTGAGATTTGCGCAGCTGATTAACTCGTCATGTTATGTAGTGGACAGTTCTGGTTTCTAAAACTATGCGTCATTAATAAATCCCATACAATGTGCTGTGTATAAGTTAACAAAGGATCGGATTGATTGGAGATCGAACCCAGGCGTCTGCAATCTCCCCGTTAAGATCTCGAGGATCGTGGAAGTTCGAAGATTTTTGAGAGGAAGGGGATTTAGAAGATTCCTCGCCGCACAGCATCTAAAGGAGATAGATACAAGGACGGGTGGAACCGCATGGTACAGATGTCTCGGGCGCAAAAAGACCTTTCGCTTCCGAGGGCATCGTGATATGGCTTTTTTAGCTCTTTGGGAAAAAGGCGGTTTTAAGCGTCAGCGGTATCGCTGGGTATTTATCCCCATGCAGGGCACCCCGGTGCACATCAAGGGTAACTCCACCTATATCTGTACAGGATCGTCGATCTATTTTGAGTCATACACACAAGAGTTCACAAGCTGGGCTAGGTGAAATGGAAAAGAAGGTAAGTTGGCTAGATTGGCAGTCGTTGAGAAATCCAGCGTTCGGTCACAATGGCTGGTGTTTGTCATTAATAATATCCTCTCGAATACTTTGATATCTCTGCTGCTAGGAGTCCAGTACTCAGGCAGATGATACCAAAGTTCGCGATTTATCGAACTGTACCTGCAGCTGCTTGGCTTCTACTGACTTGCTCCGATTTGCTCGAAAGTCAACCTAAACTCCCAAAGCCAGGGTTTCGGAACACGTTCTCACTTGTGTCTGGCTACGAGAACCAACAAGTGGGAACATTAAAGCTCTGCGAGGTCAGCAGTCACCGTCGTACGGATGGCTGGCTTACTTGGTACAAGTGTACAGATCGGTTTAATTGGTACTGTTATTTGAGCACGAGTACCTGGGTAAGATCCTAAAAAGCATGGAGCAGACATTGAGATACTAAAGGTACCTTGCAGTGATAAGAAACTGAAAGTCATAATTGCCTCATTGCCTCGAGCCTGCGCAGCCCCCCAATGGCAATTTGACACAGGGCTGCCTTACGACAATCAATCTGTAATGCAGGCGGGTAAGGGTAGTGCAATGGACCACCGCCAGGAACGTGGTCAGGGGGGAAAACATCCAACAGTTGAACAACTGGCCCGACTTTGGTGCTATTTTCTGCGAAACTTGGACTTTCCCAGGATACCGTAGTCATGGTGGAGTGGTAACACTGCCTTGGTGAGAGGTTCGCCCCTGTCCCGGCTGTCAACCAGCGACAATCCGGCTTATTCGGAACAACAGGCTGGCCGTTGCCGCCTCCGACTATCCGACTGCCACAACCTGGAAACTTGTCCGTTGGGCGAATATTCTTGCAAGTACATCGTGAATCATGGCCGAAAACTGGGCATCTTAAAACATCTGAGGTTGTATACTGGCTTTTATGAGTACAGCTAACGCTGATCTCCATCTCATCCCCCCGCCGCCGGTATATCAGAAGGCCTGGCCTGACTCTGTAAGCTTACAGTGTACGTAAGCTTGCCAAAGTTGGTCGGGCCAATAGGATACGAGATGGCACGTCAGATGGAGGCGCAGAATTCATATCCAGCCTTCTCGTGACCTAGCCGGAACTGAGTGCTGGGATAATGCTGATGATAACTTTCGGCAGGGCCCAAGTTGCTACAAGTGAACAGTATCAACAACATGGTCTGGTTGCTAAGATTAGAGTGGGCAAAACCACTAAGAGACATAAAGTTCATAGCATTGTATAATGGCTTGTATTTATTGATGGGTTTCCCGCTTCGAAAGACAAGACACGAGTAGCTGGCCTGAGGAATCCCGTGGACACTATTGTCGCAGTACGTTGTGAACTATGAACCCTCAACCACCTAAGGTGTCTTCTTATGGACAAGCTGGTTCCGATAAGGAGAATCGTCATGAGCCACTGATTGTACATAACCTTACGCATGATAGTGACTATTGACAGCTAGAGAGACATGGAGGCGTTTACGCGCGAACTTCGCATAGCAATGCTTTTGATGGACAGCATAGGCAACTATGCATTCTCGGCATCATTATGTGCAGCCCGTGGCTGAACACTCCGTACGTTAGGTAGCTAACAAATATTGTAACTTGGCAATGCATGCAACGCACAACGGAGTTGGGGCGCACACCGCAAGATTCCCAACGATCTGTTTTTAATCACAGCGCATTCAAAGTTTTTTCACGATAGAGTTCATAACGGACAGGTGGCAGCTTGGTTTGGTCTTCAGATGATGGTATCCTGGGGTTTGGCATCACTCGATCCGGCGCAGTAGCCCGAGGTCGTGGCGTTATTTCTTGCCGTTCCAGCTGACACCCTTTGTGGGCGACCCCCATGACGGTCTTAACAATTGTCATGTACCAGACCTGACTAGCAACAAATACCCTGGCAGTTGGTTTCAGTAGTGGTGTGGAACCGTTTTGGGTATTGTGCTACGCTTTGCCTGTGGTTTCTACTATGTAGAGGTCTAGATCACTCGGGAATAACTGACGAGCATCTATAGTACTTGGGGTACGAAGTAGTGCCGCCAAGGACAGAATGGTGGTCTGGACTTCTTTTTTTCTTCTTCTTTTGTCATAAACCAAGTCTACTCTGCCGCAAGCGCTCTCAAGGAATCCTCCTCGTCTTATTGTACATGCGGCATTGCGAAGTTCACATGGAAGTCGGCTGCCGAGATAACTTGAGAGGAACGATATGCATCGCACCAACGGAGAGGTTCCAGAGGTTCCAACTTGGATATTGTGCCGCCTGGGGCAATGGGTGACCCAAAGGCCAACACCCAGTTGCAACATTGAGCTGCTGCCCCTCTTCGACCTTGTCCAATAAAGCAGGGAATAGATACGCAAGCGTTATAAAGTCGCAGTGGGCGTGAACGTAGACCGTTGCATAAGTATTCCCTATGCGGCCTAGAAACGACAATGCAAGAGTACCTGCATCCATGAAAGTCAAATGACCTTCTGGCCTCGTGGTTTCAAGGTAATTTAGATTCTGTAAGTTTCTCGGACTGCGGACTGCGTGTCGTGAGAGACTGAGAGAGAGAGGCTTGATTTTCAAGTCGACGCCGGATGAAATAAAATCAGAAAACGAACACCAAAAAAAAGTAAGTTTTCGCGTCGTAGTGATCGTCCGGACCATCACTACAAAGTGCTCGGCACTTGGAAGTGATGAGCACTCTTGACAGTGAAGATCCCATCAAACCATGGGCGCTCTGGCAGGGAACTTCCCAGAGGCATTGAAACGGAGCAGAGCGTCTCCCCACTTCGTTATCATGGCCATTATTATGTATCGTGTGGGGAGCCTTTTTCTTGGTGGTACAAAATGCTGTGGGGCTGTGGTGGTCGTCAAGCTAGCAAGCATTCTGTACACGCTACCCCTCTTCACTTTCACGAATCCTTGACCCTGCTTGGATCTCGCTGGGCATGCGCGAGCTTGCGAGGTGCAGCTATGTAGCCAGTTTGTCTATCCGTGAGCTGTTTAAAACAGCTGCATTGATGCGACGTTGACGAGCTCTCATCCCCGTGAGGTGTGGCCGCTCGAGGATCCGGGGGTCTGCTGGTCAAACGGTATTACAAAAACATACCACATCCCAAAAACTTTTATGGAAAAAGGTTCGCGCTGGACAGATTCCGAGACCAGCTGACCGCGCTTAGCACATACCTCTGCCATTGCCATGGTGGCTTATTATCCGCGCTCGGCATGGGAAATATCTTGCATAGAATTTCTCTGTCGCCATCCTCCGTCATCATTCGCCATGGTCACAAGGCTGGTAACGTTCCCCAGCCCGAAAGGAGGAAGGTCGGTAGAGAAACCCATGTAAGAAGAGAAATTCATTCGAGTGAAGGCCAATTTCTGATAACGACTTGTCGGAAAGGAGAGGCAGCCGTACCGTGATGAGTTAAAGATAAAGGAGGAAACCTACCACAATATGAGGAGGCATGGGTGTGTCCTCTACATTCCTCGGGCCCGGCACAGTCTTGAAGTCGTCCTCCACACGCACCGTCTGCTTCTCTAATTCCGTTAGCCAACCAATCACAATCTGCCGACGATACGGCGTGCGGCTGGACGTCCATGACCTTCGATCTAACTCGATTCCAAAATCCCAATGAATGCTACGTAATAGTGCAATTCTACGTGTCCGCGCTTCTTCAATAAGAGTCCGCAACAAATGAGAAGTGCTCTTCCAGCAGTCTTTTGTTATTCGACTCTGTCGACTAGTACGCTTGTCATTTCCGGTCCGGACAATATGTACCTAGGTACGTCTGAGGGCTTGCATTATTGCGCTGTCCTCTCATTTTCAAGGTTGACTGCGAAGTACGCTTGTTAGTTGTCCTCTGTTAAGTTGCATTTGCACATTTGGTTTGTCTGATATGCGAAGTCAAGGATTCGGTTGTGCAATAAGGGGTTGGCACATCTCTCCTCCCGAAGTCCCAATTGACAATTAAGCACTGTGCTATGTGCCTTTTAATAGCTGTCACCATGTAATGTTGGGTTCGATGACTTGGCTATGCCCAGCTCAAACATTCGCCGTCTCGAACAACATAGTCAGCCTTAGCAATTGTAATTCATACAACGCTGCTTGCAACGCTCCTTCTCACCAGAGTCTTTGCTTACGAGAGTAAAAAAACAGACACAGCGTCTCCAGGGCACCTTAATTGTCAGGTCTGCTCAAATTATGATTTCCCCCAAGGCTCCTTGCTGGCACGTTCGCGGCGTGTAAGTACAATTCTTGTTGCAGTGGGTTCCTGTTCCTGGCCGGACCGAAAGCTTGTACCCGTACGAAGTAGGTACTTGCCTAGATGAGTGCGGCGGGAGCTGGGCTGAGTTGGATCCGTCAGTGGATCACTTTCATAAATCCATAACTTGATAGTGCGCATTCGGGGCTCCTCAGCAGCTTGCACCGACCGAGGAGGGGTCTGCCCTCCACGATTCGATTGCAATTCCCACCCCCTCCTTCTCTCCAACAGGTTCAAAGCCGAGCGCAGCTGGCACCCGTGTGGAAGGCGCAGACAGCCATTTGACCTGAACTTGTCTTGCTAGATTGGAGACCTTTGTTTCCCCCAAAAAAAAGTGATTATTATTATTTACCACTCGGCGGCCTTTTCGCTTTCCAACTTGGAATCCCATTCTCAAACCACACACAACCTACACAACACCACCGCTACGACTCTCATGCGTCGGCCACCCAACCCACAGCTGTAAATCTCACCTCCAACGGTCGTTCTTGCTTTCTCAAACTGCTTGTGTTTTTTTCTTTTTTCTTGCTTTGCCTCCTGGCTTCAACAATTTGCCTTAGCGAGACAGCGCAGACGTCTGTCTACATTGCAATCCTTTGTTGAGCCGCTCTTGAGCCGCTCTCGTCTCTATCAAACCCCCTTGGTGATGGCCTCTTCAAAGGTACAACACCACACGCCTGGTGTGGCTTGCTTCCGGGAACAATTGAGAGCGGCATTGCTGATCATCTCGTCTATCTCGATTACAGGAAATTCAAACATCGACGAGGCCATTGACACTGCACCGTCAATCGATATCCGTAGGCTCGGGAAACCATCTTGCCGCAACTCGACTTCCTTCTCACTCGCGAACCAATTCCCACACGCACGCCCACTCGGCCCTCTCCGGTGCCCTCAATGCTACCCACCGCGTTACACGTCGGAAGAGCATGACGAACACGGCCACCAATGTTGCCGCCGTGGCCGCTGCTCTTACCGAGGCCGGCGAAAAAATGACACCTCTCTCCATTGCACCAGGCTCCCGCCGCGGTACCATGTCCAAGCCGTCCGCCGCTCGATCAACTACCTCCGGCAGCCTCCCGTCTCCTCCCCAAAGCCTGCCGAGTCATAAATTCGTAATGTCCGGGAAAATGGAGGTGCAGGATAGTGCCATCGACGACGACTCTAATGATATGTCGGCTGATGAGGGAGAGAACGAACCCCAGAAAGCTCGCATTCGACGTGCTAGTGACGGCCAGCCTCTGACCAAGGAAGGCAAGAAGAGCAATCGCATCGAGCTTCGCTGTGATAAGTGTGGGAAAGGATACAAGCATAGCAGCTGCTTGACCAAGCATTTGTTTGTGCCCATTTTCTTGACCACCCTCCTCTTGTCTGAAATCCCCATTCCGGCTGCTGGATAGTGTTGGAGCGTGGATATGTATAGGCGCGTGTCCGCCATGCGCTACAAGATTATTGACCCGGCGGCCAATCCTACCCCAGACTCACCTTCCCGAGTGATTGATGGAGAAACTGTGTTGACGATTCCGTGACTAGGTGGGAGCATACTCCCGAGTGGTCATACACATCCAAGCTGCTCATTTCTAAACACCAACAAGTCCAGCTCCTGGAGGCGGCGTCGGTGCTGGTTCAGATGAACACCAACGACGCCCCGACGCCTCCAGATTCTGCCAGGGACTTTGCTAGCGAACCCGAGTCCGCATCCCCCGCCGCTTCTGGATACTCTGAACCGCACGACGGACGCAGCTCAGCAGATACAACTCCACCGCCGCAGGTCGAAGCGTACCATACGAGTAGCACACTGGCCTATCACAACGCGCCTAAGAGGTACAGCAGCGGCAGCGGCTATTCGCGATCTTATCAGTCGGCCGCTTCTAGTGGATACCTCGCCGGAAGTGTACCGAATGGGTCTGCGTTTGGACATAACCGGCACGGTAGCTCGGACCGGCGCCCCCCTTCTTCCGGCATGAACATCACTGGGCAAGAAGACCGGGATCTCGCCGCAGCCGTGGAATTACTAAGTTGTAGCTTCGGCAGCAGCGGAGGCTCTCGAGATGCCCGACTTCCTGACGATGCGCCTCCTGTCCCCCCACTGCCTGCTCAATACCTCGACCAGGCAGCCTTCACCAGCACTAGCTTCCTGCACAGTTATTCCTCCCGACAGATGCCGGAAAGTTTTACTCGAGGTGAATTTCGTCACACTGAAGACGTGAAGATGGAGGATAGTGAAGGGAGCGTCATGGATGATGATGAAGACGATGGTGTCTTTGGCCGCATGGAGGAATGAAGCTGATCCAGACTTCCCGACAGCACAGCGCAGCACGCTGAGCCGAGTCCCAAGACGATATGAAATGAACTATCGCATTTGTTGTTTCCTTTGTATCACACAAACGTATATCAACCCTGTAAAAGGAGTGGTTCAGCTCCGCTACCGATCCCCAATACCGATGAGGGAGCAGCACCCACAGCAGTCTCCACGAGGTTGAAGTTGTGGTTCGGGAGAGCGTCGAGCGAACGCCCGCATAAGCATATCCAAACAAGATGCTTGTAGGAATCCATGAGGCAAAGAGTTACCAGGAATAGGACACTCATTTGTTCTCTGTATGAATGGAAGCAAATTCAAATGAAAAAGAAATTGCACTACCACAATCTGGACCCTACCTGAGCTGATGGAACAATGCAGAGGGAATCGGCAAAGAGCAGGTAATAATGAGGGGCTGCAAGATACACAAGTACATGAGCAATACCAAGATACTGGGAGCAGACAAAGGATGCGAGCCGACAGAAGAAGGACAATATTGTGAACCTGATGTCGTGATAAGGCTCCCTCTACTATAGCTTTCGGAGTGCTGGACCCAGGGGCAAACGGCGCGCCCTGTCGCAGTGAACATGAAAAAGAGAAATCGAGAAAGAGGGAAAGAAAGAAGAAAGAGAGACGACATTTCGAAACCCGAATTGAGAGTGATGGCCCAGGGATATAAGTGAAACCAAAGAGTAATGTGCCTGATGACAAGCTGAGGACCTTCTTCGAAAAGAAAATCTTGCGGCGATCTGTGTCTCTACCCTGCCAACCCAAGCCAACCCCTTCAACGTACTCTCCACCCCCACCCACTGGTAAAAACGACGTCACCGTAAACACCTGCGCTGCACCAGTACTTCCATCGACAAAATTTTGTCGCTACTTCGTACCTGCTGCTCAAATCATCTGCAGCCAACATCAAGATGCGCACCCGACGACAGGATACTCTTGCTGGCGGGCGAGAGACGCCTTCTTCGCCAGAGTCTTCCGCCTCGCCTAACGCCGTGACTTTGACCAAGATTGAAGGGCCGACCGAGGCATTGGCGACAACGAGGTCGAAGCGCAGAGGCTCTAAGATTCCGAAGCCCGTCCAGTTCCCGCTGGTCGCCATCCTCAGCTTGTCTCTGTCAGCGCTGGGTTATTCGCTCACCTACCAGTGGACTAAGGGAGTGCTGGCGGCGCATGCAAAAGTGCTGGATTCATGGGACGAGGTCTTCATCTTGACAGGCTGGCGCGTGTAAGTCTCCTGAGTTACCACATCAAGTCTTCCATGTCCCTATCTTATGGTATACTAACATGATGGTGCCGACGCAGCTTCGAACTTGGGCTGGGATGGTTTGGCAACTATGATAGCTATGATCTGGCAGCTCTCAACCTGTTGTCGCATGGTCCTCCGGTACGTCCAGTCCTCACCCACAACCAATCATGTAATGGTTTCTTGTCGCATTTATTTTCTCTCCTGGCTTGATGGGATTAGTAACCAAATTTCTATCGCAGCTCTACCTTCTCTCAGCCTTCTACGCGACCCCTCAGTCTGCCCTTCTGCTCACCCTCGCCATCGAGACCGCGGCGACATATCTTCCCTTCCGTCTTCTCAGACCGCTTTCCACGGCACACAACGACCCCTCGCATGCTCCCAATGCAGAGCTGCTGACCGACAGACCTATCGCGCTTCTTACCACTCTCCTCGCCGGCGCAATCTACACCGTGACCCTGTTCGCCGCTTACAAAACGTACCTGCCTAAGTTCTTGGTTGTGTACTTCGACAAGCTGCCCTCCGTCACGGCGGCGTACGAATCAACTTACATCAGCATTCTACCCGTGACACTGACGCTCGGCTTCGCGGCGACCGTCTTCATCTTCACACCTGTTGCGGCAACCGAAGAGAAGAAGCCGGCTGCTTTCGATCCCGCGACCGCATCACTGAAAGAGACGGTGTGGTGGAACGTGTGGGGATGGGATGACAACCTCAAGGTTGCCATTAAGCGAACTGCAACCTTGATGCTCGTCACGGGAGTCAATACGGCATTGCAGACTGCCTTTACAGTACAGGGTGCCGAGACCACTGGTGCTCTCGCTTGGGCCAGCGTCTGGGTTATGGCTGCCGCGGTCACCGGCTTAGGACTGGGTCTTGTTGGAAATGTGTAGGGGGCAAATAGTTGTGCTGTCTCAGAGGATCTACATGCAGTGCGAGATATATCCATTCGCGAGATCACGACACGTTTGTGATATCGATGTGCGAAATTGGAGGACTCGAAGTACATCTTCGATATAGAAACGCACACAATCTACGATTGGACAAGACATCAGTTTCCCGAAGTTGATATTCAAATCCAGGTGAAACGCAGAGTGCTTGGATGCGGAGTTCCAGGGCACAGGGCGACGGAAAGACTGGATTGCCCGCATGCGTATACCATTCGTGTATTCAATTTTAATAGGATAATACAAGCTCGTGAGGCTATCAACTAGACTAGTTTCAGCACTCTCGGGTTCACACCTAGGCAGACAGTAAACAATCCAAGTTATCGTGTATGCCATTTGAGTCCATTGATACGCATTTTTCAAGGCCTAAATGAATAGGAGCTGTGGGATTGCTCGTTTTCCCCAACAGCTTTGAGTGCCATTGGGTATTCTTCGAATCGAACTATGACAAGAGCTAAAAGTAACATGCACCAATGCAATTGCGGTTTTCTGATGATCCAGTAGGGAGGGTGAGAAGTGGATTCTTCAAGGTTTCTTCCACTATTCACCAAGACAAGCTCTTTGGGAGGCAAGCGAGGACTGTCTACCAAGTACTTAGGCAAGGTTGTAATAGCCTGTCACGCACCCTTCAACCTGTCGAACTTAGCACGTGGGATCAGAAAATCTTTTCGACCTAAGGAACAGGGGTAACTAACTACCTACTTAGGTATTCAAGATCATAGTACCAAATCACATAGGATTGTATACCTAAGTCCTTTGAAACCACTACAAATAGGGCGAATCGCCGATTATTAGCCGGCCCCGACCGCGACGCCCGAGATTTACAAGGGTAGCTTGTGGCGCGCGTCGTCTACAGTTCGTCTACACCAACCAACCTTCACGACGCCTTTCTTCATCGTGTCCCAACTCTGCACATTCATCGCCCAAATCGGAGCTTTTGTGATCGCAAAAAACTACTTGTGGCAACGATGCCATCACAACGAACGCGCCGATGACAAAAGCACTTCTGCAAGCAGGGGAAATGGCGGCTGTGGAAGCAAACACGAGTGGTGGTGCTGGTGGTGGGGAGCCGCTCAACCTCTCCCCAAGGACCAGGGCCGACATGGGACAGTCGATGCAGTCGAACAATCCACTCGAGTCGCTAAATATGCGAGCCGACCCAGATGCGCAAGCAACCGTAACGGACTACCTAGACTTCACCGAATACCTCCCTTCTGACATGATGCGATCCCTTACTCTCATAGGGAAGCTCGACCAGACCTACATCGATGCATCTTCCAACATGAACAAGCTCACGTCGCAATGGGGAAAGCTCCCTACACTGCGTGCAGACCAGCGACCCGCTCCAGTGCAGCTACGGGCTGACATATCTGAGAATCTCGACCAGCTTATGAGCTCTCGGATATCTGCCTACGCCGAAGCCTGTCGCATGGACGAACACGTGAACAGGCACGTGAATAGAGTCAAAACCATACTATCGAAGCTCCAGACTATGCGAGATAATTTCTCTACAGAAGAACAGAAAAGTCCAGTGCAAACCAAGTCACCACAGTTGAGTCGAGCACCCAAGATCACCCTGCGCGTGGAGAAAGACGGCCAGACTGTTCGCCGGCCACCTAGGATCACCGTCCCTGGCGAGGTCCTAGCTCCATACGATGTAGACTTCACTGCGTATACCTCATCAAATGAGCAGAGCTCCGACGAGGAGAGTTCGGCGTCCCCTCCTCCGCGTCAAACGGCGACTCCAGCACCTCGTATCAAAGTCGTCAAACCACCCAAGCTTCCGAAACAGAAACTCCCCAAAACACCCAGGGCCCCTCGCCCCTCACTCGTCACTCCGGGCGGCGTTGCCTTGTCGACGAGTACTGCTCTCGCACAGCTCAAGCCGCCCCCGGAAAATGCTGTCCCCGGCAGCGTCGATGCCCCTTGGCTGCAGCTGACACCTTACGAGCTGGCGAAACTGCGGAAGCGGATGAAGAAGAACGCAGTTTGGACCCCGAGCGACACTATGATTGCTCGGGAACTCAAGGAACTAGGGCGCGGGGTCGAGGCATATAGGGCGGCAAAGGAAAAGGCCGAAGAAGAGGGCAGGCCATTCGAGCCTTTACTTCCTGCGCCTGTCGTCGATGCAGAATCAGGTACCCAGCACCCTCCCGCAGGTGCCATCAGCGCAGAAGCTCTGGGTGCTGAAGAGGTACAGCTTAGCAACCGCGGAATGAAATTAAACGAGGCCAAGAAACTAAAGCGAGAAGCGTTGGCAAAACAAGCCGTCGAGGAAGCCGAAGAGTCTGCTAGGAAAATGGCTGATTTAGCTGCTCGTATGTTTTCCAATCCTGAAGCGAGCCCTTCAGTCGCGGGGAGCATGCCTGAGAAGACGCAAGAGGCAGGTCCATCAAACTCCCAATCATCCCAATCTCAGTCTCAATCTCAACCACAATCTCAACTTCAATCTCTACATCAAGCTCAACCTCAAACTCCAGCTCCGGCTCAAAACCCAGCTCCAGCTTCGGCTCCGCCCCCAGCATCCGCCCCTGCGGTGCCAGTTCCAACCTCAGCTTCGAACCCCCCAGCCCAGGCGTCGGCGAAGCCTACGGCTCCGACTTTGACTAAGGCTCCGCTTCAAGTTTTAACTGCTCAGACTACAGCTCACCCAGCCACGGCTCCGGTTCCGGTTCCTGCCCTAGGTCAGATTAAAGGTCCGAGTAAGTCCAGGGTGAAGAAGCGCAAGCTCGACTCCATGTCTGAAGCCGGTCTTCCTGAGATCAAGTCCGAGGTTACGGAAAATCTCACTTCGATGCCAACTGAAATGCCAAAGCCCCAAGTGAAGCGGGCCAAGACAGAGACGCCGGTGCCACCACCGCAACTAACACCGCGACCAAGCTCCGTCCCTCCTCCGATAGAGACACCTGTTCCTCCGCCCCAAGTAGGCCAGGCCAGTACTGTGCCCGTTGTAACGTCCAACACGCCAGTGCCCGTCCCAGTGCCACCCGCGTCGGAATCTTCTCATGTTGCTACGAAGCCCACGAATTCCCCTGCCTCGAGGACGAGTCCAGCACCACCGGCAACGGTCACAATTACCACAGTCCCCATCAAACCGCCAGCAGGAACTCCAGTTCCGCCGCCGCCAGCCAAAACATCCACTACGCCGATCCCACCTCCAACGCAAACTTTGCCCAAGCGGGAAATGAGGAAGGAACAACCAAAAAACCTGCAGCCTATCGCAACTAATACAAGACAGTCCACATCCCGAGCTAATACTCCTGCTCCTGTGACGACGCCCTCGGAGCCTCAGTCGGCAAATAGCCGTCGCCCTACATCTCGTGGTGGCAAGGCGGGGAGTCAAGAGCCGCCTGTCACTTTTGCCGTGGAGAGGCCCCGTCGCGCCAGCACAGCTCGAAACACTCCAGCCCCTGAACCGCGCCAACCAAGTAAGCGAAATAAACGACCAGCACCTGGCGTTGTGACTACCAACTCTGGCGGGACCAGTGCGGTCGGCACACGCATGGCAGCGCCACGCAAACGACCAAGGGGACCGAAGAGAGGCACGGCAAATGCGCAACAGCTAGAGCAAGAAGTCGAGGTGGAAGTCGACGATGACGGCAACGTCATTGATCCGAATGAACCGAGATACTGCCTCTGCAACAGGGTCAGCTTCGGCACTATGATTCAGTGCGACAACATCGATGTGAGCCGCACCGAAGACGACTCGTCTCATACTATTACTACTACCACTACTGCAACCCCAGCACGTAACAAGAAGCGTATCAAGACAAGCAAGAAACTAACTCCTCACGCCACACAGAACTGCAAGCAAGAGTGGTTCCACCTTGAATGCGTGGGCCTCACCGAGATACCGGCGCGCACGACTAAGTGGTATTGTCCCGAATGCCGGGTACTACTCAACATCGGAGGACGTGGTGAAGTCACTTCGCGAGGCGTGAAGATGTGAGACAGGTGCGATGGGTACTCATACGACTATGCACACCAAGGCAACATGGATGGAAATGGGGGAATGGGAGGACAGAGGAATTGCGTGATATTTTCTGGAACTGGTTTTGCAGCCGACGACTTGAGGTGATTATCAGTGGATAGGCCTTACAAGTGGACGGGGCAGTACCAATGGAAGCGGTTGGCGGTTCCACTATATTGTACTTCTCGTAGGCGCGTGAATGCTGGAGGCGAGCGAATCAATGCGACTTTTGAAATTCTGGTCTCTAAGCAGACATGTGATTCTGTGTGGATTTGCCGCGTGAGATGTCTTCGTCGATGAGAATCCAAAGTGACTTTTCCATCGAATGTGTAGAGTCGATGCAGCAGGGCGTCAATAGCTGATTTCCTTGGGTAGATGAAGCAAGCCATACGTCACCGGATGCCCGGATTTGAGCCCGCCTTTTATGTTGTCGGCTGCAAGAAAAGGGCGAACCGGCAGTGCCGGGGCCCGCTCCGGGCACAACGGGGTTTTAACTGGTGTCCGCGTGCTTCAAAATGGACCACGTTCTTTGCGAAAAATCCGTCATCATCTTGTCCAATTGCGCGAGGCTACGAACCCTCGCGAATCAAACCGCAAAATACCTTACCCGAACCCGTGCTGTTGTTGTTTGTCCCTGTTGTAACTTATTACTCTGCCCCCTGGTTGTCTATACTCGCAAGACTTGTACAAACATACCACACGAACAACCGAAAAGAACTGTCCTAATAAACAAATGATGCCTGAGTTCTCATCAAGCATAGCTCCTGACGCCAAGGTTAGGGACTTCGTATCGTCATTCTACGCCATCTCGGATGACCCGACCAAGAATGAGGAATGGGTTGACCATTTCATGGCGGATTCGACGCTCGTCATGGGAAACGACGCCGTGAGGGGCGTTGAGGGTATGTGTGCTTCTCCTCTACTCAACGACCTTCCCCACCTCAGTTCGACCACGCAAGCAAGCAAAAGCAAGTAGTAGCTAATGTGAAGCGCAAAAGAAATCCGTAAGCTCCGCGAGAAGATGTGGGAGAAAGTGGTGGCACGAAAGCATTCACCCGGCAAAGTCTTTGAGGGCTCGTTCCCGTCAAGCGGGCACACCAATGCGTTCATGCTATCTGGTGACTTGGAGTATAAGCTGAAGACAGGCGAGACGCAGAATGTGTCGTGGGCGGCGTATGCGGACGTATGCGAGGTGGATGGGCGGTTGAAGCTGAAGCACTACAGGGTCTGGATCCAGAGGTGAACTGCGCCATGGCGACTGGTTTGGAATTTGGGCCGTAGACTCCAAATAGATAACGATATGATATACGCGTGTTTACGATGCCCAAAAACCATCCAACCGATACGTGGGGTGTTAACAATGTGAGATGTTAACAAGTCACGGGTTTCGGACCTACCTCTTCGTATACACCCATAATGAGCCATGAAAGCTGGTTGAAGTTCTCTCGTATAAACGGCCTATGGCTGTACGTCTAAGCTCTCCAAGTCTCCTCTGTTTCAAGATCAGGAAGGGTTATAGCACGGGTTGAAATCATCACCAGAACTCTCGTGTTGACCAACTCTTCTACGCCCTCGGGTCTTGTCGTGAAGAGAGTCACCAGGATTGACATCTAAGATATATCTACTTCCCAGGATCGAACTCTCTTCCGAGTTTAGCTTTGTTCGATGTGATGGCACTTTCAATGTGGATGCAAGACCATGAGCCCGTCCATGTGACTGTGTGCACTCTCGCCAATATTACATCTAAGCGCCAGTACTGCCAATAGACAATGAAGGAAACTCGTGGAGTGTATTATGACGACACGCAACGGCTTCTCTTCCCCGGGCGCCAAGTATGGTGAACACTGTCATGGATCTCGATAGCACCTGTACTTGGTTCGAGTATGTAGATTTCATGTTCACCATAACTATTGTGTGTGTAATAGACACAAAGTGTATCGACGAAATCGGCTCGGGGCAAATCAGAGATCTGTACAATGAGTAGCAAACTGTGCCGGTAGTCGGCTTCACGTGTCCTCATCTCAACTTGCTCAAGCTCTAGAAGCACCGATTAAACCATTCATCATCTGGGAATAAGACCATGATTGTATTTTGAATACACACTACCTAGGGAGCATGTCGGAATAACCTTGAGGACAAAAAGAGGCAATGCTACTCACTCAGGGCACTGTTTCGTAGTGCCTTGAGAATGCCAAGATGAGTGAATGCCTTTGACAACGAGCTACGTTAGATGCTTGTAGTAAGCCTCCTTCCCTAATCTTGTCCACTATTACCCCACGATTCCCGGGATGCCCCACCTGGAGTAGTAGCAGCCGAGGCACGCGCATCGGCATTATAACCACTACTTACAAGAGACTTCAAAACGTCAGAACGCTGTGCTCCCTCCAGCAAGTTGTTGTCTCTGAGACAATCAATAAGAATCTCAACGTGAGAGAGCCAAACGCCAGAAACCAAACACCATGGCGACTCGATCCGGAATGTTCATCGTCGAGTACACTGGCCGCATAGTCATTGTGACCATCGACAATGTCAAGAAGCTCAATGCCCTCAATCAGATGCAGTACTTTGAACTGTCGCAGATCTTACGCGAGATCGCGACGCACGACGAGGTCTTCATTACTATGCTGACGGCCAAGGGACGGTATTTCTCAGCGTACGTATCCGCATTACCGTCTAAGAGTTGAGTGTACAACATGAATTATTCCTGACGCATGGTTATTAGTGGCGCCGATGTCTCTATCTCGCGCGGTACGCCCGAAGGTTCAGACGTCTACTTGGAGTGGATGCGCAACTTCGTGGCTAACAACTTGAACGTCACCAATGCTTTCTATACCCACCCGAAGATTCTCGTTGTTGCATTGAACGGGCCTGTCATCGGTCTGTCGGCGGCTCTCATCACCTTTGCGGATTTCATCTATTGCACTCCCCACGCATTCTTAATGACTCCCTTCTCGTCGCTTGGGCTGGTGACCGAGGGTGGCGCATCGCGAGCCCTGGTTCAGAGGCTGGGAATCAGCAAGGCCAACGAGGCGCTGATCATGAGCAAGAAGATTACGAGTGAGGAGCTGCTTCAGACGGGGTTTGTGAACAAGATCTTTGACTGCAGCAAGGAGGAAGACGTCAAGTTTCGGAGTCTGGTTCTGAAGGAGATTGACGACAGGCTGGGCGAGCATTTGATCGGGGACAGTTTAACTGGCATCAAGGCCCTGATTCGGAAGCCAGAGCGGGATATCCTCGACAACCAGAACACGGCCGAAGTTTTCGCCGGCCTCAATAGATTTGTCAAGGGCATTCCCCAGGCCGAGTTTAGGAAGATTGCGAGCGGCCAGAAGCGACATAAGTTATAAGTGGTACTAGGATTTGGTATAATGACAAATATTTATAACCAGGTCGTCGTATCAGATCGATCGGAGGATGTCATGCAAGAAGGCCGAATAGCAGGCTCGTCCTCTTCCAATATCCTTGTGCCGATTTCCCCATCCTTTCCCTGTCACCACTTTCTAGGCTCGTCATTTCAAAGACCTCGTCAGCCAATTTTTCGAGGTTCTCATTCCGACTATCGTCAATGCCCAGACAGATTTGAAGCAAGCCGATATCATACAACCACTGTACTAGCAGTTCTCTTCTCGCATCCGAATCTTTGCTCGATTCCACGCTGCTAGGCTCCGCGTCATCTTTGACGGTTTCGTCTGCCTCTTGCTCGTCTCCACTGACCTCCATCTTGTCCACCGGCTTGGCTTCTGTTCCTTCAGGTATGCTTGTATCGTTTTTAATAGCCGTGCGCCAGACGCCCGCAAGCTGGTCGCTGAATACTGTTTTCAGAACTTTGACGGCTGTGGGGGTCCACAAGTCCAAGCCTGCGTCCCCCATGGACATAATGAGATTGCGCAAGAGTTTGAACGTGTCGGGAGATGGCTGACTTGGCAATTCTGGCTCGCCTTCCCAGAGACTCCGGCCCGTGACACGGCTCCTGATCAATGCAGTGGTTTCAAACAGCTCGATCGGACTGCTTGAAACTTGAGCTGCGAGTCTGCCGTGCAGCGAAGGGACGCAGTCTAAGCCAAAAGATTTGACCTCGTTGATCTGGGGCAAACGACTCCTTATGTCTCTCAAAATTCGAAGGAAGTATTGAGCGATCTGGCCATTATTGGGGCCATCTTTATGTGTGTCCCAGAGACTGCTCAATTGCTCGTGCAGGTGTTTAAACGCCTGTTCTAGGGTAGTGTTCAGCTGCTCATGGATCTTCTGTGGGTCTTCTTTACTCAACAACGTCTGGCGAACCTCAATGGTTTCCTCGTCCTCGATTTCGTCGATATCGTTATCCCATCGTTGACGCTGGAGTCGCTTGACCATTTCACCTACATCATCCATGAGATGGTACCACGATTCGTAGCATGTTACAGCTTTCGAGACAGCATCGTTCCTTCCATGGAGGCGCGAGACGACCTCATGTGTGATTTGGGCAGAGCCGTTTAACACATCCATGTCGAGCATCTCCTCGTCCCAGAGGCTGTGATGGCGATCGGAAATTCCGGGTCGCCAAGCCTCCAGGGCTGCCGAAACCTCAGACCCGACTAGCCTAAGTTTGGCTACTTTGGTATCCAAAACGCTCAGAAGTCGGTGGTTGATGGCCTTTCGAAGACCATCGAGCATGGTAGCTGGATCGAGTCCCTTCGCTTTCCCACCATCTTTGATCCAGTGTTGCAGCACTTTAGTGCGTAAGTCCACAATGGCCTTGAACTCGGTCATAGACTCGAGAGTCTTGGTCAGTCCTTGCAAGAGGGCCTCGCACCCTTTCCTAGCCCAGGTCACGAGCATATCTTTGGCTTGCTTGCCATCAAGGTCATCGTGCCGTATGAATGGTGTAAAATACTGTATATCTTCACCACACCACCTCTCGTATATGTCTAATCGGAGGCCCTCAACGGCTTGCAACGACTCGTCGGCGAGAAGTGGCCTTTTCTTCAGTGCAGCCAATGCTTCAGCAAGCTTTGTTGGTACTAGTGCTTGAACGTGCAATAATGTCCTGGTGTAAAGGTCCAACGCGTTCAAAACGTTGCCTGTGCCTCTATCTCTACCGTGCTCTTCGAAATCAAATTCGAGTGCCATGGCCTCTCCTCTCACATTGAGGAAATGTCGTAAGACATCCCTGGCCCCCGAGCTAGAAGCGAGGCTATAGGCACATAGCGACTTGATAATATCGCCCTGCTTGTCTCCCTCGCCAACCTTGTCCAGTGCTTTCTCGATGCTCCTTAGCAACCTTCTCCGCATACTTCCCAAGCTCTTCTTAGCAGACTCAACTGCAACACGCACTGAGTGGTCCTCGGTGATCAAATCCCCAAAGCTGCTGATCAGAAGCCGGCTCAAGACCAAGATCTTGGCTGCCAGGGTCAATCTCTCTCCTCTGCGCTCAGGGCCGCCCTTCAACAGCCTCCCAACAGTAAGTCCGCAGGCTTGGAGCAGCTTGACCTTGGCAGCGCGACCCATATCGGCGTCAGCCTCTTCATGGTCGCGGAACTTGCTCAGCCCGGCGACTTTGTCGCCCACGACGGTCCGTCCACACATGCCTCCCATCTGGCCCAGGGTATTCTGCACATCACTCATGTCGTGTCGCATTCGTACGATGATGTCTGCGGTGCCTAGCAACTCGCGGTAGCTGTTTCCGACCTGAGTGCGCAGACGCGCGGCCTTCTCGTCGATCTGAACATGAAGGCTTTTGTGGATGGCGCGGATCTGGGGAAGGGTGTAGGAGGTGAAGACCTGGGAGGACGTCGTGAGGTCGGACGTGTCGGGAACGGCGGCCATTGTGGAGGAAGTCTGTCGCTGCACCGATCGGATGCGGATCAGAAATTGGTTTTGTTTTATTTCGTCCAACTAGAATCCATTCATTGAACCAATTGCGGTTGCATCGTCTGTTTGTCACTAGCCATTAATTGTATAGAGGGATTGGACTGGACTTCGAAAGAGCCAACTCGCCCCCTGGTCAAATTTAGTGGAGCTACCACCCAGCTGAGTATGGCGACGCTACCCATGAACACGATCGGTGCTTTCAACCCCTGCCCCAAAGGCGACCATGGTATATATGAAGCATGTAACACTTTCCCCCCCCCCCACTGCTCCTCCCTCTTACTGACTGGATGTCCCTTCACCTCATGAATATGACGACAATATCATCAATAACGGAAGCCAACATGGCTTCGCAGGAAGTCGTGTCTCTATAGGCACTGGCGCATACTCGGGATGCGAATTGGAACTCGCAAATTCCCCTTATCACCTGATTGGCAAAGGAATCTCAGCTCGATATCATCTGGCACAATACAGGTGACATGATCCCACCTGACGGCAGTATTACGACGCAGGGGCATTGTTTGCAAGCTGGCGTCAATGCCTCTGATGTTGAAGACGGCAGCCCTTCCCAGCGTGCCTCTGTATGTAACACGCATAATATGTTTCGCATCCTTGGCACACTCTAGCACACCAGAGCCAGATAGTGTAAACTGACATGATTTGAACAACGATGGCTTGACGACTGGCATCGTGGCTCGACTGCTTCGACACAGTCAGAGCACGGCAATGGCTTTTTATGTGAGCTCTGGCCTCAGGGAAAGGTGTATTGGCCGGAGGCTATGGAAGGTCACAGAAGATATTGTCAAGGAGTTCATGTAGGTGCCCTGCCTGGAGAAGGGTATTTCTTGATGTTTACAGCGAGAAATACTGTGCAAATAACTCGGCTCAACCTTTCAAGTCGCCCACTCCACTTCGAACTGCATAAACTGGACCTTCAATGGGTCGCTGGCCTTCTTCTCTGGGCGTGCAACTAGCGGACTGACTTCGAGCACCCAGTCGCTTTCGTTCTCGTCGGCGAAAATCCAACAGATCTCCCTCAGAGGGATCTTCTCCTTCAGCTTCCCATCGGCATCCAGGACGAGCTGATAGACCCATACGCTCTTGCCATGCTCGTCTCCCTCGCGCACAATCTCGAGAGTGATCCCCTTGGTCGGGTCCACAATAGTGCTGAGACTTGAAACAGACCAGTCCGCGTAACGATCGCAACTAACTGTGCTCAGTTGCGGTTTTCCCATGTAGAATTCGATGCCCGTCTTGATCCATTTATCGGGCGGCGAGGCCGTCGACAATTCCGGCTTAGGGACTAAAAGAAGTCCTGCTTGATCGTACCGCTCCGTCCAATCAGCCCAGAAGGATACGCGGGCTGATTTGAACTTCTTCAGCGGGCCCGAAGAAGTATGGGAAACGGGAGCTTCATCGTGTTAGTCTCGTTATCCTATCAACTTTTTGAAGCTGGGTTGAACGACGTACCGTTCCACACATTGGTAGTGGGAGGCTTCTTCCAGATGTCAGTGCCTGGACCGGCTTCGAGCGTGAATGTATCTTGGGTAGAAGACATAACGATACACAGTTGATACCAACAGTGTCCACACAAGGGTTGAGAGAGCGAATCTGCAGCTTAGCAACCCGATTTTACACCCCGCTTGCCCCAGTGCTTATTATATATAGGGTGATCGCGGAAGTAAAGCACCCCACATGGCCGAAGTCGCCAAACAGCGGCTGGTCGCGGAGTATGGCAGCTACATGCCGCTAGAGCAAATTGAGGTGACGAGGTGCATGTATCTTTACAAGGCCAAGTGCCTTTAGGCGTGCCAATCATCATACCTTGTGGCTATGTTGTGGATGTTACTCTCATGGACTGTTAACATATATGGTCATTCCTCACAGCATAGTTCGAAGTGCATGCTGACTGCGCCATTGAAGGTGTTTGTTAGCAAGTTTGCATTGTATCCGTAATACAACACCAAATACGACCAGGGCCCATGGATGTTTAGCCGAAACGACTCGGCGTAAGACATTATTGCACCCTCAAGTACAAGGCATATATATTCTGTCCCTTGGGAGTAATACCCGGAAATGACGACCATCGAAGTTGGTGTCCCAAAGGGTTGTGCCTTCTACGCTTGCTACTTGTTTCGCAAATGGATTCATTTTACTCTGCTGCACCAGAAAAACTATTGTACACTATCTCTGGTCATTCCGTGTTGGGCCGATGCCAGATTGTTGACACAACGATAAATTGCTACTCTGGAGGCTTATAGATTCAAGCCAAAAGCTCCCAGCCCGGAGTAACAAGTTTGAAAGAGCAAGGACGTGGCCTGCCGCCCTGTGCCGTACGAGATAGTCTCTTCAAGATCCATATGTCCCTCGGAGGCTTCTGCAGCAGGACAACGAGAGAACACGTATTCATCTCATTCCACTTTGACATCAAGCGCATCACAACAAGCGGCCTCATTTTTACCCAACTCTGACAAGATGCGATTCATCTTACTACCCGTCATCGTCCTCACTCTGGGAGCCATGTCAGTTGTGGCAAGCCCGAAGCGCGCCATTCCCAGCCAACTCAATTCTCCTACCATCAAGTGCGACACATGTAGACCTGACGACCAGAAGCTTTGCACAAGATGTTACCACGACGCCGAGCATTGCACTCTTCATGTCGCGGTGCAGTGCTATAAGATTGTCCGTTCTCCTTGTAATACCACCTCCATCATGGACTGCTTCTCGGACCCTTCAACGAGCTCCTCGCTCAATTGATCATAAGGTTGGGAGGCCACGGGGCTTTGCGAGCAGAACTTTGGTTCCCTGGGCAGAACGTTAGCAAGTCCAAAGTTTGCCGGGAACGGCTGGTTTTAGCTGCAACGTTATAATGTTGGAGGGAGTTGATGGAAATACGAAGCTGTTACATTCTGTTTCAGTGGACTATTACGCAAAAGTTTCCACGCAGACTTTGGTCGACAGTGTGTGCTTTCGTTGACGTTATAGGGAATGAAAATATGGTTCGATGGACATTGACAGGCAGATGACAGATATGTTTCTGCTAGACAAGAATATCTGGGAGAGGTATGGGGCACCGATGGAGGTTGTCGTGATCCCCGGCATACGGCAATGCTAAGCCGAAGGAGCTACAACTCAGCGCTCTTGTCACAAGAATCATCCATTCAATCATGGACACTATGTAGTACTGTCTAAATGAGAAAGCCGTTCGATTGTTCCAATATTGACCTTGCTATCGTGTAAGTAGACACGCCTAAACGTGCTCTCGTCTCCACTCCTTTCCCACATCATGGGAGACGGCTCACTACGCATCAATCCTATTTAACAGCATATAATTGCTATTGCGGAAAATATAAAAACTGTTGCTCCCATAGACCTCATACTCCTCTGGTGGTGGAGAAATAAATATCCTCCGTGAGCCGAGCCTCAATTTCAAATATGGCTGAGGCTGTTGGACTTCAATCCAATCATCAGCTTTATTAGGACGTAGCTGTACGTAGCAGTCCTTAACATGGGTATATATGTCTGCTTCGGAAGGGGTGAGAATGCTATCGAGATCTGGCAATCTTAAGCTTGATTGTACCTATTCAGACAACTTGACACTCTTCTCATGTGATCTTGCAGTCCCCGATCTTGACCAAGCCCAAGCATGTGTAGTGGCTCTATACTACAAACTGTGAGAAACTGGAGCTAAATTTCATAAAAATATTTTTAATGCTTCCGAAACTTGATTTATTTTCAAATGAGCAAAAGCCTAGTAGTATATGACTTTGCTTTAGCAACTTGGTACTCCTGAATATAGCTGTACACCGTATAATATTACTAACCTTACGTGATCAGATAGAACTTTGGCACAAGAAGAAATATCTTCCTCTATACTTGAAGTGATTCTTCTTGGAACCCCTACGAGCTGCAATTCCTTTTGTAGTAAAGCCCCAAAAGTATTAAAAGAGTTTATATGACTATGTTTCGTCGTTTAACACTGCGCAGAGCTGGATCCAATTTACATGTTGATCACATAGCCTCTATTACAAGCTAGAATTATAACTATTGCTATGAGGTGACTATCAGATACACAAGCGCAGCTAAGAAGGAATAATTCACGTTATATATGAAGGCCACATCCACACAAGTATTAGGCATTGAAGCAGACAGACAGCGTTGAGGAAATGGTGGAGTAGCACATATCTCGCACGGCTATTACAAAGTCAAAGAACATGATGGATACCGCGATAACCCAAAGCCATGAGGAAGTCAAGGTAAAGCATGATAATGTAGTACAATGTAGACCAAGGGGCAAGGATCAAAAAGTGGAAACCAGCTCAATTCACAGACTTTCATCAAGTGCATTCCAGGACAGCAAGTAAATACATGTATGGCCACTTTGACAACCAGACCAAGGCAGCAATGTTCCATACAACTTCTGCCAAAAGCAATATATGCCCACAAATTGGCCTCCAAATCTCGTACCGCATTCATGTCGCACCAGAAACCAAATCATTATTACGAGGACCCACCACGCCTGCAACACCATCCACTTAGCGCTAACCGATCTCGTCATGTCCAAGTAACTCAATTGGTCAAGGAGATGGCAGTGCCGGGTAAGCGGGCTGACGAGGAGATGAGTGGGGGGATGAGTGAGGAGAATCAATATCCATGTCATCGCTGCTGCCATCGTAATCCTTACGTTTGAGGCGTTCGATAACGTATTCACGAAGATGTTCAATGATGCGAACGTTCTCGAGCCATGCCTCATATGCCTGATCTTCACGATTCTCGGTGCCCGCGTCCGACTCGGCAGAGGGTGAACTGACAGAAGACACGGCAGAGTCCGAGGCTTTAGGAGTAGTCTCGCGATCCTCAAATGCTGGGCGTGGACCAGCGCTGGCACGTTGCAGCATGCCTCCCGAGTAACGACGACGCGGATCTGAATCGAAGCTTGGCCCAAGCGTGGAGGTTGTAGACTGGCCAGGGTAGCCAGAGGTGACTGCTGGTAGAGTGGGATACAGCGCGGAGCCAGTCGAGCTGTGGCGAGAAATTGGCGACATCCCAGATGACGAGGCACTTGGCGAGTGACCAGATGTGTAAGACATGCTACTAGATGGCGGCGTGACAGCCGGCGTACCGTTGGAGTGCGTGGAAGACACGGCAGTCAAAGGCGACGCCAAGGATGCTTGGGAATAGGCAGGAAGTTGAGACTGGTGATGCTGATGCGGAGCAGCCGAATGCGGTGGTGATTGGCTGTGGCGGAAGTTCACTGGGATGTAGTGGGAGCCTGGCTGATGGACACCGGCAGCGGCCGCCGTGTTAGAACTCTCATAGACGGTGCTCTGCATCTGCTCTAGTATCTGATCAATTTGGATGAGGTCGTTCTTGGTGCGAATGTTGGGCATCGGCGGCAGGGAGTAGTGCTGGGAATATGGGCCCTGAGATCCATGGCCGTCCACGGACACCACCGCCGGAGCTGGCATGTACTCAGTCGCGAGAGATCCGGTATGAATGTTCAAGGCACCGTGCAACGGCATCAGCCTTTGCCCGACTTGGGCATAGGAGCTCGGATCAAGCTGGCGACGCTTGGCATCACCGAAGAACTCGTTAAGGGCGTCGTAGGTCCGCTTACGGTTGTCAAACTCGGCGGCCTGGTAGCCAATGTGGTCACGGTTGCCCAATGGCTGGTAGTACATAGGACCACCAAAAGAGGGCGGATGCTGTTGGTAGTAGCTGCTACTATGGCCATTGTGGTGGGGCTGACCAAAGGCGGCTGAGTTCGTGCGGATCTGGCCATTGTGATCATAGTAACTTGAGGGAGCTGGAGGCGAGATTAGCCTCGAGATGGGGGGAAATCAGGGGGACGCGAAGCGAGCTGGGACATACCTTTGCCCTGCGTTCTATAGGCAGAGTTCATGCCGCCATGCTGGTCAGGCGACCGCACCAGGACAGAATCATCGGCATGAGTCTTGACGTGCTTCTTGAGATCCTGTGGGCGCTTGAACGACTTTCCACAGAAGTCACACTTGTGTGGCTTGAGCGGCACGTGCACACGGATGTGCGAAGTAATGTGGTCACGTTTAACCTGTAGTTTGATTCAGCAAATGTTGTTTCACACTCGTTGGCAGTTTCAAGTTCTCAAACAGTCGCAAGTCCATCGTAATTAGGTTGACAAAAAGAGAAAAGTCTACTTACAGTGGTGGTCCTGCATGAGTTCCATTGACAAGTCAAGTTGAGGTTGTTAGTGCTTTTGCGGCCGACATGGCGTTCGCAAATGTGTTCGTAGAGGATTTCCGGGGCGTTGAATCTCTCACCACAGGCATTCCAGCGGCAGATGAGTGAGTCGTCCGCGGATGCTGCGGGAGCGCTGGACTGCGAAGTGGCAGTAGTTGATGTGGAAGGAGCTGGCGTGGTGCTCGAGGTGGACCCATCCGACGTAGGCGGATTGTTCTGTGTGTTCTCTGGCGCAGACATGGTGCGTGCAGAGTCAATGTGTCAGGAGAATTGTTGCGCCGAACCCGGTGTGTTGTGTTGGTGGTTTGGCGTATTGTGAATAATACCCAGGTTGTTGAGCTTTGGGTGTCAAAAGTACCTATGAAAATTTTGAATAGACAACGTACAACTGCTTTTGCGTTCAAACAAATACAGATTTAGCTACCAAGGAGAGATCGAAGGGAATTGTTGGTTTATGTGCAAACGAGCGCGTCGTTCCCTCCTGATTAACGACGTCTAGGCATGAGGCGGAAGTCTTGGCAAACCCACGGGGTGTTGCAGTTGCCTAAATTTGATTGGTTTGGAAAGAGGGGCAAACGAGCATCCGAAATGCTACTTGCGCCCGGCATACTTGTGGGTGTTGGATAATATGGGGTGTCTACAACACTCCTGCCTGAGTTTCTGACAGCTAGAAATTCATCATTTCATCGTGTCTTTTTGACTCCCTATCACTCAAAATTTGATCAGCGTTACCATGTCAAGTATCTGAACTGAACCAATATTGTTCTATTGACTGGCTAAGAGTACGAGCAGGGAGCAGAAGGCCGTGGTGTGCACCTAAGGGGTCAGCACGTCCACAAGTAAGTGAGCTTTACGCGGCTCCGAGAGTACCCATCGATCAAAGTACCTTTTGCGAGCTCAATCCCGCTGCCAAGAACCGCCAAGTCTTGGCGGCTTTGTTAGCGGCCTTGGCATTGCTGCGTAGCGAAAAGTGTGTGAGCTTGTGCGATTGTTTGTCGACTGGGCAGGTGCCCCAAGAATTGAAGAAGCCTTGTCCGCTCTTACTGCCTCGCACCTTTGCTCTGCCTACCGCCCTTGGCCCGCTCCTCTCCCACCCCATGCCCAGACTCGACGTTCTTGCTTCGTGACTATCACTGAGTTCATCATTTGCTTCCGCAACCCGGTTTACTGGCTCACTGGCTCATCGATCAAAAGACCGTGGCGTGATACCGAGGTCAGTTAGTTGTGGGTGAAATCGTACTTGGATGGCTTCCAATAATGTCCATCGGAACTACACCGAGTGAAGATGCTAGTCCTACATCCCCATTCAATGTTCCCTTCATATAACAGAAGATTATGGTGTTGACTGAAGGCCAGAGCTCGATGCCCAACAGCCAAATAAGTCGTAACTATGGATGAATGGCCACCCACCTCATTTCGATGGCGCAACGGTGCTGGTTCTCCCTGAACCTAGATAGAGAGAGTCCTCGCCAATTCTATTCACACCCTCTCGGCGCAGATTGCTGTTTATGGCAGCCAAGATCTCCGCCATCTTCCGCTGATGCCAAGCAACTTCCAAGAACTTGGCAACAATGATGAAGCCATGTTGACACTCCATCAATGTCCTAGCAGAACACTGTAGAGAGCTGTGGCATTCGCGTAGCCGTTGCCAATCTCTTTGGGAACCCTTCGAATTTCGTTACGGTGTTCCTGGCATATCGTATACCACCTGCTCGTCTGCTTCTTCGGGGTGCACCTGGGGTATTCGTGGAGTAGTAGTGCCATGCAATTTAAATTTTTCGTCTGTCGTCTAGAAAGCTGAAAAGGAGCTCATCAGTGATATCAAGTGCCGGACGTCGCGGTAAATATTTGAGGGATTATTACTGGGGTTTGCTCTTGATTCGCACCAAAGCGATTCACTCACTACCAACACTAGTAGTGGGCATAGTAAACGTTTGCCCCCTTCGGAAATTGGCATCTCGACATTCCACCTTCGTCGTTTGATTCTGAGCCACTTTGCCAAACTCTATTATAGTGATGCGGATGAGACTCTGGGTGGTTCGGGTAACTTGTACGGGTGTGGCATTGCTACCATAGTTTCATCCCATCGTGCAAAGTAAACCTTAAATGCCTGAAATAACTGTGAGTCCCCCATGAGATCCGGCATGACGGGATATTCCACAAGATTTGCTGAGCATTGAAACGAGTTTGCAGGGTGTTAGATAGGCCAAATGGTTTACGTGGATGATAACTATAATTGCCCACAGCATGAATTCATTACAGTCTTATCGCAAACGTCCCACGATCATCCCTTGCTAATGCCATGATTACCCTCCAGTCAAATTGACACATTCTCGTAGTAGGCCTCGTTCAAGGTACCCAGAAAGTTGCCATATTCGCAAGGCACATACCTCATGGCCGAGCCGCCCCAGGTTGCTTGATTCACCACTTTAACTATTCAACCCCATTGCCAAGATGACCATGTGAGAAGAAGACTACTGCAAGGGCCATCCTGGGCATTCTTGCGAACAACGCGACATCCAGGCATTGGATGACAGCTACCGTTGTCGCAATGGAATTTCGACTTGCAGGTTTCCTCCAGATACTCCATGGCTAATCGGTCGATCGCACCAGTTACATAATCGTAATTCATTTCGCTACAAAAGAAAAGCCATCATTTGTTTACATGGTAGCGCCAGCCGGCTTTCCGTCTACAGTCAATGTTGTGTTCTCGTCCTTATATGCTGCCTTTACCAGAGCAACAGAGACTTCTGGGTCGCGTGAATAGACGCGAAGACCTATAACCGCGACTGCATTCCAGGGGGAGGATGCGGAAGGATCATCAGTCTCATCGTCCGTCTTTTCGTCTTCGCTCTTTGACTCGTCTTTTTCCTCGTCCTCTTCATCGTCCGCTTTGGCGTCGGGGTCCTCCGAGTCTACGACATCTTGAGTCGCTGCGTCTTTAGACTGGTCATTCTCACCAACGGGAGCATCGTTCAGACCCTCGGTCTTTGGCGCGCTAGTGGCTTCTGTCTTGGGCACGTCTGCCGGCTTTGCAGAGCCAACGGCAGTTGAGCCCCCCTCCGTTGATGGCGGGACAGGCTTCTGCTCCTCTGTCGACTTTCCGCCGTCTTTCGTTTCATTTGGACCCGTTACCTCAGCGTCGGCCCGGGGCTCTTCCTTTGCCGCCCCGTCCTTCTCTTCTTTCTGGGTGTTTGTCTTCTCGTCTGTGCAACTCTCCAAGTCAGCGTTTGCTACTTCGCCAATTTCGAAACACGAGAGGAAAAAGACGGGAAAGCTCACCGTTCTTGACAACTTCCCTCATGGCATCAGCGGCCTTCCCCGTGGCCTTGGCTGCTTTGGCGATGGCCTTCTTCTGTTTTGCCTTATGCTTGCTCTTCTTCTCTTCCTTCTTCCTCTTTTTCATCGGCTCGTTTCTTCTCGAGCAATTCGTCCTCGTCCGGCACTCCGCCTATTTCACTCTTTGCGTTAGCAGGTTTAACTTGCTGCCTGTCTCAGCTGCAGGGAAGTGGTTACTTTTCGCAGAGCTCACTAGCCCTAATGCACAACAAGAGGGATAGATGTAAAGAGCCCAGCTGCTACTCACCCTTAGCATGCGCAAGGTCATATGCCATCCCGACCTGCCGCAGCTTCTGCGGATTATTCTCGGCGTATTCTTTAACAACCTCTTCAACCTTCTTGGCGCCGGCGTTGCGAGTGGCAGCGATCTTGGGAAGCACTTCGTATATCCCTGGCTCTAGTTCCACTTCGCACGACACGGACCTATTCTCCCACTTGTGAACGGGCCGTATGCGGCAGATGTGCTCCCCATTCGCGGCATTCGCTAGCTGCAGGACAAAATACAGCTCAAAGTAGTGTTCCCCCCCGGAAGCCTTGGAAGTAACGGTCGTCGAGTTGTATAAGAACGAGGACGACTAGGCCTGACTTCTTGACCTCGAGTTGGAACTTGGTCTGGAGATAGCCTGTAATCCATGAACGCTGGCGCTGGTCCATTGCTGGATGACGGACCACTTATCATCGAACAGACGTGTGCGGTGTATAAATACGAAAGTGTCTAGCATATCTTTGTAGCTCATCCGAAATATGCCATCGTCGCCGAAGGTGTGACCTAGCTTCCTAAGCCAGTACGGAGTCCACTCTTTGGAGCCATCTGACCAAGGGCCATTCCACTCGCCAACGCCAGAGTACGAGCGCTCACCCCATGGGTTTCTGAGAAGACAGTAAGCAAGGTGCGAATAATATTGATTCTGACGTAGTAGCTTACCTGATCTGTACAAGTCGGACTTTGTTTCCGTCTTCGTCGACTTCCTCCCTCGACTGGAGGATAGAGTAAGCATGGCCAAGGGCTAGACCATTCTTCTGCCAGTCCCAGCCTGTTCCCATGGCCGGGGCGAATACAAATTCTCCGTCGCTGTTGAAAAGTTCTTTCCAGAGCTTATCTTTGCTCAAAACACGGTTTGTGGCGAGTGTGGAGGTAACACCGCCCGTCATGTCTTCGACTGCTTCCCCTGGCCACCCTCCTGAGATGGCCTGATAGTCGCCATGCTACAGAATTCCGAGTTGGTCGCCATGATACACGGTTTTTAAGGTGTGATGAAATTCTGACGACTCACAGCTTTGGCGTAGGCCTTTTCGAGAATTGGAAGCCAAGTCTCGTTGGGATCCTCGCAACGGGCAAAATACAAAGCTTCGGAGCCCGTCTGCTTCTGCTTGCGGTACAATCTAGCCTTCCTCCCCGTAGCATCGTAGACGTCGTGATAGTAGTCGAAGTCGGTTTCGTTCAAGTAGAGGTTGTCATCAACAACCGTGGAGATCCACTCGCCATCCCGCTGGAACACAAAACCGTAGACGCCGCACTCTTCGTCACGAGCGACACAGACTCTGTCCATGAGGTCTTTTCTATGGGCGATTGTAGCTACGGCCGCTAACCACCAACAATCACCGTTCGCCCCCTGCTTGATATCGGAGCTCGAGTAGCCACCGACAGTGAACTGGGGCGACTCAAAGATCCAATCGATACGGTGGATGGAGCCGGGGTTGTACGTCTCGCCCAACGAGACGCCGTCAAACGCCCAGGGAGTTTCGCCATTGGAGCCGAGGAACTTGCCCAAGGCGGCGACATCAACGGGAACGGTGCCACCGCTGCCAAGCATCTGACTGTCGGCGAGGGTCTGAAGACTGGTTCTCAAGTCCCAGGAGCTCACGGGCGGACCCGACTTGGCGGCATCGCTGGCTCGCTCGTCGTACCTGACCAGGCCGTTGAGACAGTTATTGTTCGCGTCATGCTCAATATCAAAGTCCGGGTCAGTGAACTTCTCGTTGGTGCGGTTGCACTCGCGCACAATACGTTTGACCTTGTCGCGACACGACCTCGCACCCCTAGGGTCGATGGGCGGCAGAATATCCCGGTACAAGCTACGAGGGAAGATGGAAGTAACCTTTCCCGGGTATTTGGTGTGGAACTTGTCCCAGAACTCCGAAAGCACCTCCTGCGGGGTCTTCCGCAAGTTCTTGGCGCCCGAGCTGCCATGATTCAGATGTAATTCAATGTTGGAACTTGTGCGAACAACAACTTTCAGCAAAATAAACACCAGCGTCTAAGTCAGTCAGACTGTTTAAATACCTTCGCAGGAAAACAGATGCTGAAAAGCCAGGAGAAGACTAACTCAACATGTGAGAGCTCAGCCTTATGTACTCAACCGGCGGCGCGCCTAGCCAGCCTCCTGTGTTTTTGTAGTGAGAACCGTCGTAATGGCGTCCAATGAAGTTGAATCCCCAAGGTCCTTGTTGAATCGCGAGCGAGCCGCCACAAAACTCTCATTGGCTAACGCCTATATGCGTAAGCAGCAAGTTTCAGTTTCCAGGGCTGCCATTTTGACCTCCTCCAGTAGTGTTAGGCCCGGAGTGGCATTGGGCTGGCTACATATGTATGCCATTAACTCAAGTCACAAATGACTGGCAGACGAGGAATCAACAGGGCGGTAGTTCCCTTGAGTGATTGGCTATTGTTAAGCCTAATGAATATGTTTCGGTGAAATAAATGAGCTCCTTCATGATTAATTTCGGGCATCTGTGCCACTCTTGATTCATTGGGCTGTAGGTGCTGTATCACTCCCCAATATCCCATTAATACACTCATGAAGGGGGCCTGCCTTCTTAGTGGGTTTTGAAAGGTACTTAATTGCCCTTGTGCGGCTTGTACCCCCCGCACCTGCACTTCCCTTCTTCATTTTCGTATGTAGCCGGAATGCCAGTACCCTGTTCACGATCTGTCTGAAATCACTGTAGATTAGCATTTCAGTAAGTCCTATAGGTATAATACAGTAGAATAGTGTCAAGGTAGGGCTTTCTTGGATGATACCTCAATTTTAGTTGAGTCATTAGATATGGCATATGATAAATTAAGGTCTGTTTATTATTTACAACAAGCAAATTGAACCACAGACTGTGTTAACCATGGATCTCAACTCTCAGACTATCACATAGGGATGAGCCATGTCTATGGTATACATGTATATTAGAGCTCAATCGATCTGTCACATGAACTGAAAATCCCGATGGTGTTATGACATGAATGAGCATAATGGTATCAAGTGATACAGTCATGATGAAATCACAGTTTCTTGCAAACTCCATTGTATTATATTGCACATTACCTCTGCACCAGGACAAAGGATGGATGTGGATATTGGGAATCTGGAAGCACATACAAGTGCTGTATTAGTACATAAGTGACGTGAACTTTGGGGCTGAGACTGAGATTTCTAGCCGGCGAGGGTTGATTACTTAAATAGGCAACATAGCATTGCTAGTGTTAACACGTGTTCAAGAACCATGACGACCTAGGTCAGTGGATAACGTCTTCAGCCACAAGGCCACACTATCATAGTGGTAGCTTGCATACGTTACTAGGCCATGATAGAATGGAAAGGCCGATATTCTGCCCAGGTAGAAATTTGGATGGCATACCTAGCTCCAATAAGTGAAGATACAACATATTAAAGGCATGGCCATTTGCAGAGAATCGGAGTTTTATTGTTCTTTATTGTTGAACCTCTCTACTAAAAATAACGTATGCTTCTTTTTATTGGCTGGTATTGTGTGGCTTATGTCTTTCTTTGCTGTTACCCCAGACAGAAGATGGGACTGATTATCGTTTCGTATGCGGAAGGAAAGCCGAAAGGGGAGAAAAGGTTGCTGCGGAATAAGGTGTCTCGATATCGGGGTATATATGGCTACTTCCGCCGTTCATATATAACTTGAGCAGCTTCTCGAGGTTGACTCAAGGCCAGCCAGTCAGTGTGACAAGTTGCCGCTGTACGTCAATCATATAAAGTTCGGGCTGTAAAGCCAATAAAGTCGAATAAAAGAAGTGAGCAATGGGGCGTGAGGGTGCAACTGAGGTGTTCAAGGGGGCGAGCGGGCTTCAGTGACCCTTGTATTGTCACGGGAGAACCAGACTCGTTGGCCTGTTCGAGACAGGTTTTGTTTTAGTCGAGTATCTCTGCGCTTGATGAGGGCAGTCACCGAACCATATCATCGTTCGCCTCGTTACGACACCGGGTACACATGCACCAACCGCCAAGGGGGCCAGATGCCCATTCTCTTCTGTCTCGTACGGCGAGATTGATATCACAGTAATGGTTGAGGATCTCCTCCCCGCGAGAGATGCCGCCAGGTCGGTCGTCAACTATCCGCTTTTCCACGGCTTTTAAAACCATCCTACCCCCCCATTCCCACTGCAACAACTTGTATGAGTAGCTATTAAAAATAGAGTAAAGGATGAACCGAAGGTCACAAGTCAGATTCCAAGAGCAAAAATCTTCGAGAGCGGAACACGTAAGACACTTTCACTCTAGAGGCAGACCATCAAGGGGAAGATATAACGGGTGAAAAATACGTACGGTGACATTGGGATTGCAGTCGTGATTTGCGAGGCACCAGTAAGGATGCACTGCGGCAACCTCAGGTCTTCCATCACGTAGGCCTTTCCGGGCAGATGCAGTACCACGGAATTTGCTGTACAAAGTGTTGAACACCCATATGTCATGCGATTCAATTGTGGCATATATATCGATGTCCAGCTTCTCAAGTATGTGCAAGGGCGTTTCGATATTGTGAGTGAAGGAAAAAGGTAATGTCCAGGCAGGTGGGGGGCCGGCGTTCAATGACAGATTTATGCGGTTCATAAAGGATGAAACAAAATCGCCCCAGATGTACTTGATCTGCTTGACTTCGAGAGGGTGGATTTCTTGATGTGTTGCCATGGCGAGGACGCGAGTGAGAAGCAGCAGATAGAGCGCCTCATCCGCACTCTTATCTGTATCCTTGGCGATGGAATCGATGTCCTTTTCGCAGACGGCTGGGTGATACTGTTTCTGCGCTTCGTCGAAGCAGAACTGGTTGCAGAAAACAGCATCATAACACTCTGGACAACTTACGGCCTCAGACTCGTTGCCCAAGGGAGGCAGCTCGCTGCTGCAGGCATCGCAGACCGAGTCTTTGAGGCGATTGTTGGCGGTGACGAGTGAATACTCGTTGAGCACAGTCTCACCTGCTGCGATATCTTCTTTGGCAAAAACACCGAGCTGTTTGCAGGTGGGGATTATATCATAGTCGTCCGTGTTGCTGGCATCTTCCAGCAAAACGGGTAGAGCAGCCACCTGAACCTCGCACTTCGGGGCCATGGTGGATAACTCCCGGTTGAGAAACTCGAGCGACTCTTCCGAGAAGCGGTCGGGCTCATGGCGGTTCCAAGGGTATACTTCTCGCCTAACCATTCCCCAGTCTGGAAGATCGTCATGGTTCAGAACCTCCTGTCGCGTCCTCCGTTGAGCCACGGTTTGGATATAACCCCGGGCGTTTAGGAGCTCTTGATTGTTGGGCGCTGCAGACAGCCCGCGCTCACAGAATCCATAAGCACTCTTCAGGCTTCCACAGAGAAGCAAGCTCAACGATAGGATTTGAAAACACCGAATGGAACCGACTGGTGCCAGATTGGCAGCATCGCACGCATCTGGGTTGCTGAGCATCTGGGATAAGGAGCCGTAGTCGATAACCTGGGGCAAAGGCCGATTGCTGTATCGCTGCAAAGCCTTAACTGATTGCTCATGGTACTCGAAGCTCTCGTTGCTGACCTCGTCGGTGAGCAGCAATGCGCGGTAGGCATCGCCCGCCGCAAGGTCCGGATAGCCCAGATCGGCATAGGTCACGGCACGCTGGAGGTGCAAGATGAAGTCGTATGGACTTTGTATGAGTTCGTCGGTGAACCTTTGACGTGCATCGAGAAGAGACTCAATGCGGGAGTCTATCTCTTCGTGTGACTCTTCCATGACGCCTTGTCTGGACGTGGCAGAGAGATCCGAGTGCAACCGGAGATATATCCTCTAAGGGATGTACGGCCTTCTCATATGCGCGCAGCCTGATGGGGTCTCGTCCAAGCGGGTAAGGCGGGCACAATCTGACGGCCGGGATCACGCAGGGAGTACGACCATAGATGGTGTTATGGATGGCTTGACCTGTTGTCTTGTCCTCCCTAAGCTGGGGTACGATGTCGCTTGAGCTCGGCCAACTTGTAGTACCCACCCGGAGAGAATGTGCGGCAAATCTCGTTAGGACGCCTCCTCGAACGGCGATGCCGGGCAGCAGCTTCCGAGAAGGTCCCTTGCGCAAATGATGGATTTAGTCCTTCGGAGAAGGATCTTGAATTTTGTAGAAGCGCAAGATTGCCTTTCCGCGCTTCTACGTTATGGGCTTGGAGAAAAAAGCATGGCCATTAGCTGGAGCTTGGTGGGGCACACACAAAAGACTCTTCGATGTACTATGGTATCATGGGTAAGTTTTCTATTGCATGTTTGTACCGTGCCCCACCTAGGCACGCGCCAACTCTTCGCTACCTGGCTTGAGGGGACCTTCATAGCTGTCTGAATATGATTAAGAGAAAACGTTGTAGTAGTGTGAATTTCGGCTTTCGATTTACCACCGTCGAAATATAGGGTTCGAATTCGTTGGCGATCCGCTTCTGTAAGGTGTTTAGTCCCCATTGTAGTTGCTGAATACGCGATAATTAGGACGCGTTAACAGCAAGTTGGAATCAGAGGTGGAAGTACCTTTTCGTTACCATGAGTAGGCTAGGCAAGAATCAGTATAGCGTTACCTTGACAGTGGTCCACTGGTACTTGTCAAGGAGGTGAAAACTTTGGCCTGATACCGTAGTAGTTTCTAAATCGCATCTCCCGATTCAGGGTCCAAGGGTCCCGCGCTAGCTGCGGGGTTTATCTTCAGGTAGGTGTTAGACAGCTGGCACCCTAGAAAACAGCTGGTACCCCGCCAAACCTCACCGCTGCGACAGTTCAGCTCCAGCTGCAAGTGAGTTCCTGGGTCGCTGATCTGGAGGTGAGCTGGGGGTTAAGTAAGACAATCCACTCAAGCACTCGACCCTTGGGTAATGAGAGTCTAGGTCGGTGGGCAAATTTTCTTGGTGATAAACTCCTTGATACTTTCGAGATCAGGAAGTTTTGATACATGCAACGGCAGAGGTACACACGTCACGCATGCGTACATCAGGCGCGAAAATTGGATGCACCAGATCATCATAAGAGTGTTCCGCGTCTTCGTACAAACATACGATTGAGAACTCGTGGTCGTCAACAAGTTACGTTACATGAACCCATGCACGTATTACGCAACACTCCCGATGGTTCGGCAACATTAACGTTGAACGCAGCAACTGAAAATCAAATCATGTGCCTATGGACCGACTTGGACTTTGCCTCGGACGGATTGAGAGTGCCATACCAGACATACCTGCAAACGCAACACCCGTTCACGACTCCAGCCAGGCCAGCATATAGAAGAATAGAACACGAAGTCTCTCCAAACCAGCCCACTTGACTCTATGACCTACGCGGCTTTTTTGCTATCTTGTCCTTCTTTTAGCATGCCCTCGCATCCTGTCAACTTTCCTGCGACTTCCTCCACCTTGCCATAGCCCTGTGTTTCTGGGTCACGAGCCGCGCTGGCAACCTTCATGGCATCGACTGCATGTGCCTTGGACTGCTCACCGGAGCTCTGCCATGCGTGCGAACCAGTTATACTCCCGATGGTCGCCTGACTTATACGATCAGAACTGTCCGTTGTATACTTGTATACGGCGATGAAGATGACAGATGGGGGCTCTGATGCAATTTACCTCGGCGGTGCCCTTCACGTATTCGGCGTGGCTGCTGACGAGACCTGGTTGTTGGTTTGTGTTGTTTCCGGACGACATGAGGAGTGTGATTATTTGGGTTCTTATTTGATGGATTAGGTGATCCAGTTGAAAGATGGTGATCAGTATGTTGACAAGAACATCTGTACTTCTTGCATCAAAGGATATTTGAACCCATGTTAGTCATTCTGAGCATCGTAACTCATGACGTACAGTAGCATGACGTCATTATCGTTGTCGGGTGTGACACTATGCATTAGTTCTATCTCTACAGCCATCGAACTTTCGAAACTGCTGTCCCTAACTTCAGCATACTGCTATGCGGTTTGTTGTATGTGGGAGTGAGTAATAAATTGCGGTTGCTTCCCTTGAGAGATCTGGGGATTATTGGAAACGCCTCACGACTGTAATAAGCCGGGACCTCTGATAGGACAGCGATCTGCCGGGGAAGCAATCCACGAACAAGCTCCTCGAAATGCAGATGACATAATGTAGGCAATACAGGCAAGAGCGCACTGTATTGGTGTTGATGGGACTAAGTTCCAGGAATCTACCGCTACGGAAGCCAGGCAGTAGGGCCAACTATCACAGCAATGGCCTGGGCATGACCAGCTCAGGACACCAATTTAAACAGCGGAATAAGTTCCTGGCTTGACGAATGCGAGTATTTGACATGAGCTTGAGTATCTCGAGTTTCTGCTAGATAGAATCATTCTTTGAGTAGCTATTCCCAAATCACCTACAATACGCCATAATATGGAATCTTGATAATCCACAATATATCATCAGTAATTGAATTCATTTATCCAGCCCTGGCGCCGCTTCTACATAAGTATTAGGCGCCAACTCAATGACGCTATCAGTAATCTTCAATCACTCAATAGCGGTCACGGGAAGCTTCGCTATCCCTTTCACAGCGTACTTCTCCTTCCGAACTATGCGAGTCGTCCAACGACGTCTCGGAGATAAGCATTACCTAGACGAGAACTGGTCCAAGGCGGTCGACCCGTCGTCCTTCAAGACGAATGGCGTCGCGCAGTCACCAGAACTTTGTGTAAAACGTGCCGCTAGCTTTCTTCCTCGCTGCGGTGGTAGAGCTCAACGGCGGAAGCCGCAAAGTCTACACAGGCGCATTGAGCAAGCTCCTCACAATCAGGGTCTTGCACACTGAATTCGAGATCCATCGCCCTGAAGGCACGGAGTTTGGGGCATCCAATTGGATATTTCGGTACGATTAGGACCATGGTTGGCTTGGCTGGATACGCCGCGTATCTCGTAGAACAATTCTGGGGTTTACAGGCGGAATAATCACCTACGCAAACAACGTATCTTTGTTACGGAAATGAACAATGATCTTTGGAAATGGAATGTGGATAGTCGAGTTCCAGCAGGTGCAGTTCTGCTTATGTACCTGTGGCCCAAGCTCCCAATAAACCTTCCCACGCTAGAGATATAATCCCTGTCGTTTAAGATGGACGTCCTCACCAACCTGCATTGATTTCGGTTGTGACGTGCAACATTTAATGCGGCTTATCGCTGACAACTCAGGATATCCGGTCAGCCAATGCAACCAACAAGAGACATGTCTTTGAAGCCTATACTAGACGAAGAGTATGCCTCGGAAGAGGACTCCGACTTCGCGCCCGATGCAGCCCCAGCTGAAACCACATCCGAGGCATCAGAATCCGAAGACGGCAGCGAGCAGCCTGCCCCAACCGCCAAGAGGAAACGCGCTGCCGACGATGATGCCGCCGATGTGGGCTACGAGAACTCAGGCGACGAAGCCATAATATCCAAAGGCAAAAAGCGGCAAAAGAAGGCAAAGCGGAAACATGACGTACCTGGGGACGACGACGAAGGCGGAGACGGCGGTCTCATCAAGACAAGAAGTATGCGCGCCGTAGGGAAGCAAGAGCGCAAGACCGCCGCTGTGACAGGACCCATCACGGTTGACGTTAATGATATATGGGCCAAGATGACGGCTGGCCCGGTCGTGCCACCCAAGGCGAGCGCCGACAAGGAGAAGACGAGGCCAGATGACAGCCGAGAACCGGCGGTGGCCAAGGATAGGGAGATGGATAAGTCGCAGTTAGGCAAGCCCGGTGAAGCCGAGCCATCAGTCATGATCAAAATCAAGCGCACGTATAACTTCGCGGGCAAGATACACATCGAGGAGAAGATGGTCCCGCGCGGGTCGGCCGAAGCAGAAGTCTACCTGGCGTCACTGAGCGGCAACCCTAAGGAAGCTGCTGATGCCGATGGTGATGCCGAACCGCGGAAGAAACCACGCAAGGCTTTCCGCTCCATATTTGAACCCATCTCCGAAGGCTTGATGCGGCGAGCCGACCTGAATCTGGGCGTGGCGGCCAGATTACAGATGCGCGAACAGGGCAAGGCCAAGAAGCTGAACGTCGTGGAGAAGAGTCGCATGGACTGGGCCGGCTTTGTGGACAAGGAGGGCATCAAAGACGACCTCGAACTGGCTGGGAAGTCGAAAGAGTCTTTCGCTTCGAGACAGGACTTCTTGGCTAGAGTTGAGGCTAAGAGGGAGGACGACGCGCGGAGGGCTCGAATGGCTGGGCGTGCTTGAGGGTGCGACTCGCAAGTGTTTTGGCAAATTACTGTTATTGATTGCAGGGAAAGGAACAAGCATCGTGTTCGCAAAGCTGGAGTTACGGGATATTGATACCATCCGGGAAATTGAGGGTCATCGATACATCTCATGGTGGTAAGGTCTTGAGAACAGAAGTTGACATAAGCCTAGGGTTTAAATTCTCCATGCTCTGATCTCAAGCGAACATGTCACTTGTAAATCTGCGGAAGTGTTCCAACAACCAGTTTACCAATCCCAGCAATTTGAACTTGACGTTTACAGAGCCGGGGTGCAGAATCCCCGGCCCAAGTGGACCTGGGCAGGGTGCCATGCTGACTGGCCAATTAGTTCCGATTTCTTATGCGTGACCGCTGACAAGGAGTATCATTTATGGAGAAGCCGTTATAATTGCCCGAGGACGTCATAGTAACAGACAAGCCTTCGAGAGCGTAAACCCGGCTCGTACGAGGGTTGTTAGAACAGATCCAGGAAACTACCCAGCTACGGTTGGGATTCAGAATACGGCGGTCCAGGCGAAAAAGTAATAGGCGATGGGATGCGTCGACTTCACCTAGCACGTGTTGGGATACCCAAGCCAACTTACTCATAATCGTCTTCGACTCACGACATTCCCCCAGGAGTTTGGATTCCCCGTCTGCTCGGTTTCTTTATTTATTCCCCCCCCCACCACAAAAAAAACCCCAAAAAAAACCGAAATGTCAATGCAAACACCTTTGAAGTTCATATCAAAGGCATTGTGGTGGTTTGGCATCGTTGTTTTAAGGAACTGTGTGCGGGTTCATGTACGGTTAGCCTCCCTTGCAAAGCAATAAGACGGCCACTCTGAGTTTTCCAGCCTGGAGGACATTAAGAATACTTTAAATGTGTAATTAAACACCAGACGGGAAACCCCCAGCTCATGGTTCACTGTTCAAAGTAACTTTGGGTTAACTTTGAATATTATTCGCCTATCTCCGGAAAGTCAAACATCTTGATAACCCTGCTAACTACGCTAACTACAGCATAGGGGAACTTAGTATCCGGTAACTACTCACCAAAAATCGATATCACGCCAACTTGAGTGTGAAAAGTGCGTACTAGTACGGACATTCCACTACTAATAACTAAAGTTGCGCTGTCCATAAGGTCAAACTTGGAGCAACATCAACCATGGTTTAATAAGTCGCCATATCACACCAGTCACGAAGCAAGTATTCCTCTATTATATTCCAGGTTATTCCACGATAACCACTGTCAATTCCAGTTCATATCATGTCATAAACCTGGAGCAAACTGGCTCTTTGAGTGTTTAACCGAATGTCTTCACGTCACCTAGTGAAGGCACTGACGGTGACTTCCCAGCTTATCTCCGTTGCACTTGCACTTGACCATGATGGCAATACATGGTTGATTTTCTCTATTTGGGACATTTGGTTCCAAACCGACATCAACAGTATCTCATCTACCTTTTCCCGTTATCTATGCTTCGAGACTTTGCATAAGTTTCTGGCAGTTTAGACCTTTCTTGGACTTTTTGTTATTCGTATACATCATTACGACCTTCCATATTTCGAGTCCTTCTTGGTTTTAGCCACTTCACATAGAAAATTCTCGAGCAAGCACCCTTTGTTATCTGAATCTTATCCCACGATGTTTGAAGGCAACAGGTGCCCCTTTGGGCGACGTTTCATACTCGAAGACGGATCTTCGGCAGTACTCTTTGGAGATTCATCAAGGCCATCTAACAGCATGGCAAATTTTGAACCCGCAAAGCCTTTCTCTGAGTCCCCTCGTAGTCCGCACCCAATTGAACAGCCACTACCACAAGTTTCGTCGAGTATCGAAACAGAGTCCGGCGAGACTGGATCTGGCGAGGCAAAGTCGGTCACGATCACAACGCTAGAGCCTTCATCAAGTCAGCGATCCAAGTCAGACAAGGGAAAATACGACACACTCACCCATACACCATCGCTACCAAATGCTCCATCAAAGGGTGTCTCGATAGCGTATACGCACTCGGAACATCAGCCCCCAACGGCGCCCAAAGCATATACTATTTTGCAAGGCCGTCCGTGTACGCACGTTTTCAAGAACAGGCTACCGAAAGCTCTCAGAAATGCCCTCGAGGCAGAACTGACACCCCCTCTCGATATGATGGAACTCCAGCATCTGCTGCCTCCAAAAGTCAAACTACAATCCATCGTAGATATAGAGGGTATCAAGTTTGCCAAGGCCAAGTGTGCCGTTGCCAACGCCCTCCCATGCTTGCCAGAGCTTTCCCAGCTCAGATTCATCGAATACGACGCGACAGAGCACAATGGTGATAGACGGACATCTATGCGGTTTCTGGTACTTGACGAGCTTCCTAGGCTCTCAGAGTCATTGGCCACAGGGCTCCTTACACCGGCTACTGACGCGGTGCAATTCAGCTGGAATAACCTGAGGGCTGTGGCGACGGCTGCACGGGGAGAAATCACGCAGTCAGACGCCACCTTGAGAGAGTATCGCTTGGCGCGGTTTGAATGGGAGATCATGTGGCGATGCATCTACATGGTCAAGTTCTTGGCCCGTTTGCTCTCAATGAACCGCTCAGATGGGACCTTGGGGTACTACTGTTCCATGCTTGGCTCGGAGATAGATTTGGATCTTTTCATTGTCGAGAAGGGCATCTTTAATTTGAAGCCGCCCTTTGACTGGAATCACAGCCTCCTCGCACAGATGTACGGACTCGGTGCCTACGAACTCGCCTGGGTCAAGAGAAGTCGAGACAAGTGCGAGATGTCGGAGCAGTTGAATACTTTGAGTAGGTACCACTCGTTGCAAACATGGCTGGGAAAAAACGCCTGCAAAGACTTGGTCGAGCAGTTCCGTTTCGTGTTTCACGCCATTAGAGATTCCAAGAAAAAGTTCCCCTTCCAGTCGCGCGGAAGCAGAGCTGCGGACTGTCGCCGTGAGTTCAAGATTGCCAAGGTCATGACCGACAGGGTTGAGCAGGAGCTTGAGAATAGGGCGAAACGATGTGGACCTGTGCTCAAAAGAGCCTTTCAAAGATGTACGGGAGATTGGACCGAGCTATCCTGCGAGAGACAACTGGATCTTCTTGGATACAGTCAGCGTGGGAACCACCCAGAATTCCAAAATCTCGTCCAGCAATATATGCCACTGCATATCAGCAAGTGGCATGTCTTCCCATACAGCGTCCCGCCCGCTGCTTCGAGAGCTCGAGGGGTCCAGCGACCCCTACAGAACAATGCACTTACACCTGCTCAACATGTTAATAACAGTATGCACGCCGGTGTGATCCAGAACAACTACCAGGGCGCTTTTGTTTCATCACAACCAATATGTCCAGCGGGATTTTATTGTTTCCAAGTCGGCCACATGCAAAACCCTGAGGGAATGGCTCTCGTTGCACCACAACCGACATGCCCCCCAGAAGGCTACACTCAAGCCAGCCTGACCCAGAACGCTTACAAGGGGAACTATATTGCGCCACAACCGACACTTCCTGCAGGAGATTACAACGGCCACCTCAGCCTGGTGCACACTGTTTACAATGGGGCTCTCACTGCATCGCAACAGAGTTATTGTGCTGGACATTACCCTTCTCAAGCCGTTCGGATTCAGGACAACTACAACTACAACAGATGCCTGGTTGATTATGCTGGAGGCTACGTCATTCAATACGACCCGGCTTAGGACGCTTATGACGGGAATGTTGTAGCATCACAACAGATACGCCCGGCGGAAGGCTACAATTTCCAAGCCAACCTGGTTCAGAACGCTGACGCCGAGGTTTTCATCGCGTCACACCCAAGAAGTTATGCCGGAATCCTAGAATGGCTGAACAACGTGCAAACACCAGATCCCCACGAGCCCGAGACCGAATATCGTCTCTACTGAAACCTGTTGGAATCCCCGCTGGGTCGGACAATGTGCAACGGCCATCCGAGAGCCACGAACTATCTGTCAAATGAGTGTCCTGGGGTAGCTGAGTCATCTAGCGGTATAGACACCCGAGATAAGCATATTCATGGGTCATAGCGAAACAAATGACAATATACTCAGCGAGTTACCCATCCCTTGAATCATGCCCTGCATTGCAAGTGATGGTCAACATGCACAGCGGGTGAATAGTACCGGTCATATCAGTTTGATCCGCAAAGGACATGTAACGCGTGGAAAAACCTGCCCAGATGAACCCGTCTGGAGCACGAGACGGGCTAGGGTCTTCAATCTTGGGATGATTTGAGAAGTATCTCATGGGTACGACATGCCCAATCCGCTTTCCGGTTGATCCAGTAGCAACCACCTGCGTTCTCAAAAGCCAGTCGAACACGGCCGTCGAATCTTGGTGTGTGCGTCGTCTATCAAAATTACAGATATCAGTTTCCTCAATACGGTACCGATACATCGTTTCCCCTAACGTGAATATCTCGAAACCGTAGAAAGCCGAAGATTTTGGATTGGATATGCCGGAGATCTAGGGGATTTCTTTGCAAATTCGTCAAGGGCCAAATGCAACTCGTTATCTTTCTGTAGGCATACGAGGTTATAGCCGCCATGCACTTGGCTTGAAGCCGTACTTAGCTCCTAAAAGTAGTTTTTGAAGTTGAATCCTGCTTGCTTTGAATTGTTGAGTTTACCACATATAAAAGGAAAGGTGGATGCATCTATACCGGGCTGTCCCCCACGGCCCCACCAGCCGTTAAAGCTAACCTCGAGCTTGCCAAGCTTGCCTGCCCCTCCAAGACGCTCCAACTCTCCTACATTACCATCGCATCTTCAGACTCGTATATGAGCTTCTCCCAATAGAGTACGGCCTCATTGGAAACACACATACACGCGCCCAGCATGACCACTCCACCATCGATGCGAATGGGGCCTCCCACGGGCCACATCACCTCCCCCAACGAGCCGTACCCCTCCAAGACGCAGCTGTCCGCCGCCACGACGACCCACACCCAAGGCAACTTCACCATCTCGTCGCGCAAGCTGCCCATATCCAAAGCCGGGCCTATCGAGGCCATGGAGAAGTCCCTGGGCATCCCTATCCCCGAGATGATCTTTGGCGATAACGTGGTGACGGTGACGCATAACCCGACTGGCTGGAGCATCAGCTTCAACGCCTACGACGCGCTCGATGCCGTCGACAAGACCGACAAGAACATGTTGCAGGTCGCCCACGCCCGGTCCTGGAGCTCGTCACGCGAGGAACAAACCGCGGGAATCAAGGAGGTGGTCAAGCGCTTCGACTGGTCGTACTCGACTGAATACCGGGGCACCGTAGTTACAGCACCTGCATTGAACCAAAATGACGGCAGGGAGGAGAAGAAGACGACATCGACAACAGCAAAAATGTTCGGCAAGACGGACCGCCCCATCCCCGTCGAGCTGCTCAAGCGCAAGGACCCCATGTTATTTTTCGACGACGTCATGCTGTACGAGAGCGAGCTGGACGACAACGGCATCAGCCTGTGCAGTGTGAAGCTGCGCGTACACGAGAAGCGCATGCTGCTGCTGTGCCGCCTGTTCATGCGCCTCGACAACGTCTTGCTGCGCATCCGGGACACGCGCATCTATGTTGACTTTGAGACGGATGAAGTCACCAGAGAGTTTACCGCCAAAGAGGGCAAGTTTGAAGAGGTCAAGAAGGTAAGTGCAAGTGGTGGATTTGGGTTTACTGTGGATTGTCTATGATAATCATTGGCGCTGACGGTGCCTGCGTGCAGATATTACAGTTGTCGGGGCTGATTCCGGATATGATTACGATCACCATGCGTGATCCAAACAAAGTTGCGGACCTATTGCCCGTGGTCGACCAAAATTTGGAAGGCGTATCATTGGCGTCGTAGTGGAATCAGCATAGCTGGAGTGGGCAACTTTCCCAACGTTCAAGTGGCATAGTTAGCGAAGACGGCTGGATGTTTACGAGATGAGCATTAGGTATCGGCGTTCCGGAAGGGGGTCGTGCATGAAAACCCTGCCAAACATCCATAGATAAGCCATCATTCAGGGGTTGGTGGCGTGTACCAAGTTATGTACACATATGAAGGTAATGGGGGATCTGGTTTAGAACAACATTGCGGAATCCATGGTGTTGAAAGCAACGGCAAGCCGACGAACTCCAGTTAAGGAGTATGCTTCTAAACCATCCCATCTCTTCGGCCAGACTCCTTGACATGCGTGGCCAGGAACAAGATACACAAGCTAACGTGACAAACCAGAATCATAAATTCAGAAATCTGGAACCAACCCAGCATCATTCCAGAAGTGATCGTTGCCATTCCTTAAAACATGCTTGTTAACTACCGAGCATCGCGCGGCGAACTGCTTTGTGTCATTTCCTCGTATTCCAGCTCCCATTTATCGACCTCCTGGAATTTCCGCGCCGCCAGTTTGAGTTCCTCACCCACCCGGGCCTGCAGCTCCTCGCTAGTTTCCGTACCATCAGGACGCACCAGGATCAGACCTTCTCCTGCTTCTTCCTCCTCATCATCCTCGTCCTTGTTTTCTTTATCTGATGACGGTCGTCCATAAGTCCGTTTAGGTTGCTTTGTGGAGGCTGGTGTCTGCTTGCCCTTGCCTCGCGCTGAGCTCTGGTTGGCGGTTCCTACTCGTGAGAGCGGCATCGCGGGCCGCCTGCGGGTGCGTACATCAAGGTATGAAAGCTCGTCGTCATCGTTGCCCAATCCTGAAACGTCAACCTCATCTTCCGAGTCATTCGCGCTCAAGGCATCCGCCCTAGCGTTCCTGTGCCGGCGCCGGGGAAGAAGTCCAGTCAAATCCGCAGTGGTCACTTTTGTTACTTGTCTTGCTGCCTGTTTGCGTGTGATATTTGCGGCACGCAGTGGTGGTGGAGATGGTTCAGGGTAATTCGGCGAATGGGTGAGAGATGGAGGAGATGATATATCAGAGCTTTCTTCATCCCGAACCGGCGTCCTTCGCAGTGCCGAGGCTGGAGCTGGCCGCTTGCCACGTCCTTTTGCGAGTGATTGGATTGGTGGCCAGATTTCTGCTTCGCCTTCAGATGAGCTAGTACTTGCAGGTGGAGCGACATCTGCATCGTTGTCCATTAATGGCGTGCTCGGTCTGCTTCGTTGACGCGGTAAGGAAAGCGGTGGTAACGCATCTTCCGACACCGCATCAGATTCCTCTGCTTCAATAGATACGGTATCGACGTAGGGAGAGGATCGTGGGCGCTGCACGTGACTCTCGGTAGACTTTCGCTTTCGCGGATTTATGCTAGACTCAATATCGGTGGATGCTTCTTCAGCTTGGACAGCCCCAGAATGTCTCTTGGAGCGTCTTAAAGGAGTCGACTCTGCCTCTGGCCCGAAACCATCATGTTCGGCGGATTCCTCGTCTGCTTGGTCGTCCGATTCGTCTACGCCGTCACTATCTGGCTCTGGCCGTTGGGGTCGATCCTTCTGGGCGGTGCCCAGAATACTAGGCTCGCGCGCTCTTCTCTTGAACACGCCAATGTTGAATGCCGTGCTGATACCAGGTGTGTTGGGGCCGGCACGACTGCTGGGTCTTATGGGAGCATGGTCCGTACTCAGAAAACTGCCCGCGCGGGGGCGTCGCTTGAAGCGACTGGCAGACATGGTGGATGTTTCATTAGAGCGCTGCGCGCTTGCGGGGCCGGCAGTGTCGAAGGACGTGTTCAGGTCGGCGAACATATCGTCGTCCAGATCGAGTCCCGAGACCTCGACCATTCTACCTTGTGCGGGCGTGGCGGCGGCGCGTCGGCCAACCTCGATCTCAATTGAGCTGTCCGACTCATCATCTGCTGTGTTCAGAATCGCGGTGGAAGTGGACGTGATATCATCAAGTCTCTCCATGGCGGAATCGCGTCTTTTTTGCGCTACTGCGAGCGCCGCTGCTTGGCGGCGGTTGGATACTACACGGGTCGCAAGAACTTCTCCTTGGGATTCTCGTCTTAGGCGCTGCTTCTCCTTCTCGCGATCGCTGACATCGTATATATCGCTACTGGTGGACTCCGCGGGTGGTGTTGGTGTTGGTGTTGGGCTCGCAACGCTGGGGACTGGCGCAGCGGTGCGCCTAGACGCGACTCTACGTTTGGGTCGAGGCATATTCAAGGACACGCTGGTTGTTTGTGCTTCTGGTCTCGAAAGTTTTGATTGAATACAAGGCAATGTCCTCACAGCATCGCATACATTGTGCGAGAGTGGGCTGCTAAATTGAAGGATCAAATATTGTAGCGACTGGATTGACCACGGGTGAAAATATCGAGGGGAAATAACCTTGACGCGTCGTGCTTGCTGTTTGGAGAAGTTGAGCTACCCTAGTCGGCCCCACTAAAAGATCGCCAGTGAACATTTGAGAGCTTAACGTTTCAATGACTGCACAGGCCCGCAAGCTTAGGTGTTGTGGGTTGACTTCAAATACAAGTGAATAAAGGAGTCAAATCCTCTGCTACAGTGTTGAGGAGAGACGAGAAGCCTCATAATTACGCTTACAGTCTATATCGCACACAGGAAATTATTCATACATGGTTGTACAATGCTTTGGCTCCGTGATACACATCCCGAGTCGCTTCTAAATCAATGCCTGCCCCATGAACATGCTCTCTCTGACCTCGGCAACAATGTCCATCCTGTCGTCCCTGCCCACCAGGACAACACCTCTACCACGTCTGCCCATGCGTCCAGCGCGGCCCAGTCGATGGATAAAATCAATGGTGGTATGCGGTACATCGTACAAAACCACGTGTCGCACCGCAAGGGTGTCGATGCCACGGGAAGCCAGATCCGTCGCGACAATGACCTTGGTGTTTGGTAGCGTCCGTCTTGCACCCGGGATAGCCGTCGGCTTTGAAGTCGTCTTCATCGGTTCCGTCGTGGTGAATGACCCCAGCATCTCCGACTGGCGCTCCTCCGAGGTATCTCGGTGCAGAGCTACGGCGTCGATGCCCTTGGACACGAGGTATTCAGCAACTTCCTGCGTTTTCTCGCGTTCATTCACAAAAACCATGATGCGCTTGATATCGATCTCTCCGGGCACTGCTCCTTCGTGTGATGCGGCATCTTTGCCAATAGACCAAATTGCATCCGCGCAGGCCAGATTCTTGTTGTTGCGGTAGGGATCCTTGGAAACGTCGATGACACCTAGTTGCACTCGACGGGGGATCGCATGCAGGTTCGGCGTGGTGATACGGACCATATCTGGGAATTGGATTGCCAAAAAATTGTCCAGCCTCTTGGGGATTGTCGCCGAGCAGAGAATCAGTTGCTTCACCGAAGGTAGACAACGATCCAAAATGGACGTGGTTACCGGAGTGAAACTCCGGTCAAAAAGGGAGTCGGCCTCATCGATCACCAGATGGCTGACCCGCGATAGAATATTAGGGTCCGATTCGGCGATTGATGAAAGCAAATGCGGTGTCGTCACAATAAGATCGATGCCTGAAGGAGAGTACATGTTTCTGTTGATCACCTTGGCCGAGACACTTGCCGAAAACAGATCCGTCTTGAACTTGACCGAGTGTGAGAGCGACTTTGCTACCGCGCCGACCTGGTCGACTAGTTCCGCAGTAGGAACAAGCACCACAACTCTCGGGCGGGCGGTGGTCGGATGCGGGTCAATTTCGCGGGGTCCAGTGTAGCCAGGTTCCCTGATGGCTGCCATTTGCTTGGCAAAGTATTCGCGGTACTTTGCGATGTGAGGATCGGCAGCTTCTGCCTCCTTCAGCGCATTGATGACTGGAAGGAGATAGGCCAGAGTCTTTCCCGATCCCGTCTCTGCTGCGAGCAGAAATTCCTGTCGCCCAGGCATGTTCTTCGTCCGTGATCTCCGTCCGAATTCTTGACCTAGCAAAGCCGGAATTGCAAGTCGCTGGACAGGTGTGGGCTTGATGTCTGTCATGCCTTTGAGTACCTCCTCAGCGACTGCAGTTTTGACCGCGGGTAGTAGATCGAGCTTGTCGAAGGTATCAATTTCGCTGATGTTGGCCTTCATCCGTGACCTGTGGCCGTAGGACACTGACGCCAATGAACTCTGCATCTTCATAGCCTTGGTCCTCCGGTCACCTTGCCCATCTCTTCCTCTGGATCTTGTCGGCCTTGGTGCCGCCGATGCTCGTCCCTGAAAAGATGTCACATTCATGCCGCCGAAAGGCCCAGGAGAGCTCCTCCGCGGCTTTTCGCCATCCCTTCCTCGTCCATCTCGGAAAGAAGGCGATCGTGAAACGTTATCGGAAAGCACCATGCGAGACGGGCTCGACCTCCTTGGACCTCCACCAATCCTCCCTCCTCCTCTTGAGGGCGTGTAGAATCGTGGGGAAGCCCATGGCCTGAAAACACTCGGAGGGGTACGGGGCAATGCTGTGAAGAGGCACAAGGGACATATCCGCGCCGAAACGAGTGAAGACCGCATTCTGCAAAAGTCGCAGATTCGGACAGAAACTATATGCCCATCGGCAACGCGCTTCAAGAAAAATTCATGACTTCAGGCCAATGACGTTGCAGTACAGCTCGCGAGATGGTCTGTGCAGCACAGTCGATAGGCATAGGCGTATGTGCCGACTTGTGGGCCTGCTAGCTTTACTCCTCTGTACGGGCCAACAGAGCAACATTGAGAACTGAACAACATCATTGTAAGATTTATTGAGGTCGCTGGGTCTCATATGAACTGCATCTAATTCGATTCTTTTGGATTGAATCAATATAACATGGTGTAGAACTCACAAAAGTGGAATACCTCTAGGTTGGCTCTGGACACTGAAGGAACTCGTTTCTCGACTGACTTCATGATGCGCCTCGACTTCTTGAACTTCCTGGCAGACTCCAAGTCACCTCAGCTTGCGACGAAGAAATCAGGGAAGTCAGTCGGCCCTGCGGCACCGTTTCATTCTCACGGCCTGCTTTGTAGATGGATATCCATTCTCTAGCCTCATACCCTATGAATACTCCTTAAAAGTACAGTCTGCATGCAATCCACCCGCAGCCTATTGCGTCAAGGCTGTCACAATTCCGCCCACACTAGCTCCCTCCTCAATTTAGATTGAGAGCCTAGTTTATGCCACAGGCTGGGGCGACCATGCACAATAGCACTACATCTGGTCCAACTAGGGACTGAAGATTTGCTGGACGCGGTCCTTTGAGGCCCGCCAGAAGATGCCCGCAACCAACACCGTTGTGCCAAGCGTCAGCAGGCTAGGAACCGAGTTAACCACTCACTCAAATTCCCAAATGTTCGCGTGAAAGAGAAGCGGTGCAAATGGCACACACGTCAAGCTTGGGGATATGGCTTACGCCTGTCGTCTGTTCCCGAGAAACCTCGAGAGGAACCCCCCTATCCACTCCACAAACACTCGATGCAGCATCGCCGGCAGCCAGTGGCCTTTCTTGCTGGCCTTCTGGATGGAGTGGACCGAAGCTGACGAGACAGGGCGGTCAGGCTGGCTGGGTCTCGTACCGGCTATTATATTGCGCTTCCGAACAATATTAATTTTGTCGTCCGTGTTGTTGGCAGTGCTCACTAATGCATGTAGGATCAGTAAATGCTGCTCCTGTTCAGATGGTCGGAGATGCAAAGCCATCGGTCAGCGGCAAAAGCTACCGAATGGAGTCAATTAGGCAGATTTTACTTCTGAAACAGGCCACGAATGGATCATACAAAAACGGGCTCTGGGGGTTCCGTACTAGAAATACCTTCATCTTCGTCGCTTGACGGGACTTCGAGCGTCATTTTCGGGTTCACGGGTCCGGTTTTCTGGATTACAGAAGGCGAGAACGGTCCGGCATCGTCACTGCGATTGACGTCGAGCTTGTTGTCGACGATGTTCCCGACCGATCGGTCCTCGTGCTTTTCTTCTTCGTCTTCTCTGATGGACGAAAGCGACGAAGGTGAAACCGCGCGTTCCGAGTGCACAGAGCCGCTGGAGGCTCTCGATGCCTCTTGTTGTGGAGGTTGGTGATCCTGGACGGCTGTTGATGAACCCGGAGACAGCGGTGACACTACTGGCGAAAGTGGTACCCCACCGACGATTGTTCGGTCCTCTTCCGTGCTCGTCTCAATGCGCCTCATAGCCGCAAGTATGGACAGTCGACTCTCGGACGGGAAACGTTCCAGTCTCGGATCATCGTAATCAACCTCATGCTCTCCATCACTTTTGTGGTCTGCTTCGTCTTCTTTGCCTACCGCGCGTTTATGCTTATGGGCATCTCCATTCATCCCACTGCAGTGAGGCGTGCCGGCGCATTCGTGGGCGAACATAGGACACTCGGGCGATTCGTCTTCAGCGATGTCTTCAAGCGAGTCGAGGACGGTGTCCGTGAACACATGAGCGACCTTGGTCAGGTTGTTCAGATTTCCCCGACCATCCGAAACTGTAGTCACTTGTTAGTCAATGAAAAAAAAAGTTATCGTCAGAGAGCCAAATATCCCAATGCCGATAATACGTGAGGACGTTACCTGTTTCTGCCTCTTCGTTCAAGGCCCACCAATCTCCGGGACCTATGCGAAACTTATATTGGATATCCGTGCCCTCTTCAGCCGTGACAACTTTTTCGAAAACATGCTCTCCATCCTGGTCCATTCGATAAGACATCTCTTGGGGCTGCCAAGCTGGATCTGAGAAAGTGCCAGCGACGAAGATAGGAGGCAGAGTTCCGGCTTTTCGATAGGTCAGGGTGACCGGGACATATCGCGAAGCCATGGTGGCGGTTTGATGAGGAAATGCCGATTACTACGTAACCATGACAGGATTTGACGAGGAATTGGTGCCCAATCGACGACGGAAAGCGACCGGGCTGTAGGTAAGCTGCGAATGATGAGGTGGTGTCGACTATGGATATAGTAAAGCTATAGCCAGTGTATCGAATCTTGGGAGAGTCGAGCTTGCGTCAGAAAAGAGACGCACCAAGGAGGGGCAGTGAAGTTCCGTGTTTGTGCTTTCCGAACGACGAAAGCATTCGATGAGTAGCTGCAGAATAGAGGAATGTTCAAAAAGACGAAACCAACGCGCTGGAGTTTTGACTTCAGCACACTGCAAGAAATCAAACTTGTCACTCTCCCACCAGTCCTAGCGCGCGAGTAGAATAATGGGCGGGATAAGCCGGTGTGACCGAGTCGAGTGCAAATGGTCTGGCTTCGGTACCTCCCACTTGGCGATGATTATTTCGACATGGGTACGGTGACAGCTTCGGTGATCGAGCTAATTACCCGACCCGATGCTCCTAGCAGTCTCTCGACACTTCTTTCCGTTGGGAAGAGACGATTTGACAGTGGGTAGCACAGATACTGGAATTGTCCAATGCGATGCTGGAGGGATCCCAGGCAGTAGCGGACGTGTGTCCGTGTCGTACGATATAAGCAACTTGCTGCTGCTGTGACACACTTATGATGACAGAAAGAGATACTCAACACTACATCAACGCTGCTGAAGAGTTAGGCATGACGGGCTGCCCATACACTTCCCCCTACTGTCACGAGTCTCCCGGCTGGCAGGTCGGAAACTGACTCGCCTTGCTGTCCGTCTCCCACGCTTGTAGGGGTTCTCAGATCAGCTCAGAATTGCCTAGACTCCAAATATTTCTTTCACATGGAATGAAAGTTCCGAGTGTATTGGTGTATCGCATGCAGTCATCTATCATCCCAGGCCTCAAACCCTGTACAATATTCAACAAAATCTTGGTTTACTGCGCAACCAGCGCCCTGTTACGTGCATCATGCAGCGCTAGGCGGCCACTCGGCTGGAGGAGATAAAGTTGCTCGCAATCGGTCAATCATCAATCTTTGGAACCATATCCCGTTGAAAGTTGGGAGGCAGCTTGCCAGAGGAAGACGGGGAGGACTGGACTCGAGGAAGAAACGATGTCGTTCTTACACTGGCTAACTCCTATTGGCCATCAACGATGATCATTGAAGCTCCCCGCAGTGTCCGTCTTGGTACCTTCCCCACACAAGCTCGCACCACAGTGATCTGGAGCACCATCACAGCTTCAGCCACAGTACTTTACAGGCTGGATCTCGTTGTTCACATGCACAACGAATCCCACCGAGTCGGCCTGGCGTACTTGGTATCTTTCGTGTTATTGTAAATATTCAGGCTGTTGATAGTTACTTTCTCCCGGGCACCCCAATGGTGAGGTATAGAAACTAAACTGAGTATGGAGTAGTGCTAGGCCACAGGATGTCTCGGCCTTAATTGGATATAGATGCACTGATCTTGGGAAACTGCAACGCGCACTAGGACTGACATTGGAGTGCTTTGTGCGCTGTGAAGTCAACTGCTTCTCGGCTACCAGCTCTAGATGGATTTGCATAGGATTTGCATTGTTCTAGCTTGCGATTGCTTTACTGTCAACCACAAAGCAAGCGGAGTAGAGTATTTATGGTCCCACTAGCCCACTTTTTCAGGTGCTGACCGGTTATTCCCTGATTGAGCATAACACAGCTCCACCATCCAAGGTGATCCTGCCAGGCGGTGGAGCGTGACAGATCGAATTCGCCGTCCGAAACATACCTCAACGTTAAGCTATCACCATCGTTTGAGCATTGATTGCATTCTTCATGTTCAGTGATCCAAGAGCTGTGAGCACACAGCGGGCGAACAAATCATGTCCATCCCGCCACAGCTTATCCGCGTGAAGCGGAAGGCGACAGAGGATGCGCCCGTCTCCTACCTCCGTAAGTCGCACTGAACTCGGGAGTCTTACGAGTATCCCTGCTGACAGTCATTTTCCAGGTGTTCAGGATAATAAGAGACATCGAGGCGAGGGCTTTGTCTACGAACGCCAAGACAGCAAGACCCCAGTTGCCGGCATCCATCAGCCTGTACAGGCACCTATCATCCATACCTCGAAACCAGGTTCCGCAGGCACGAGCTTCACATCCCAGAGCCCCAGACAGCAAAACAACACGGGAAGCCAGGGAAAAAATGGCTGGGGTGAAAACTTGCCGCCAGCACCAGCCAGCACTGTTGGCAAACCGGAACCTAGACGCTTTCATATGACAAGACAGGATATCGTGTTGGCTGCTTCAAACTTCCCTTCTACTCGCACCCATGGCGGCATTTCAAAGAAGCGACCAGCCCCCACGCTGTTTGTTGAGCGGAGAATTAAGAGGCTGCCTTCCAAAAAGCTTCAAACTATATCCCACGGCCTCAATGACCAGGCTATCCCCAATACGACTGAGCCTGCGCCTACAACACCGAACCTACCGGTCACCGTGCCCGAACCAATCGACGTGGATGCGGGTAAAGAATCTAGGAAGTTCAAGAAACCCGGACTAGCCAAGCTCGCCAAGAAGGATGGAACCCCAAAGGCTAAAGCAGAGATTCCTTCCGCCATGAAGGACAGGTGGAATGTCGACTTGGATAAACTGACTGCCGACATGAACGCCTTCACCATGGAGCAAATTGGCCTAAACCTGCAGCATTCAGAGCAGGAGAAGCAAAAACGTCAAAAGCCAGCAACACGAACCCGACCAAAGTCACAATCCCAGCCGAGATTCAAGCCTAAAGCCCCGGCGAAAAGATATGTCGAGCGTCATCCGGAGGCAGTTGAGAAAGAGATGACTGATTTCGACGCCGACGCCGACGCCGACATTAGCGACACTGACGACGATGACTACATAGTAGAGACATATGTCCGTGTTCCTGCCAGCACCATGGAGACTAAACAGGTAGCGCCGCAGAATGTTGGCTTGCTGGTGTTTGATGCGGAACCAGATCTGGATCTCTTCTATAACGAGGGTACCGATAGTGACGATGAATACGCCGAAGATGATGAGGATGAGAATGGTGAGCCTTCAGTTTTATAGCCCTTTAGCGCAAACACTAAACGTAGTACAGCTGAAAATTACTACACTGCCGATTACCCTGATGATGAGGTGGCATCAGATGACGAGTTCGGCCAAAATCCATACTCGTACAGGACCGGAAACGCGTCTGACCTCGAGGAGTATGACCTGGCTGCTGACAACAGCAGCAGCCCCAATGAAGACTCGGACGCTACGAACGGCTTCAAGTCGTACATTGGGGGGAACGGGCTAGTTATGCGGCATATATGAGCTGGGGGCATTATCTGAGTCGTCAGGATTGGCAACGCAGGAATTTCTTTGGGAATTTAATTCGTCTGACTTCGGCGGCAAGTCGAAAGAACCGAAGAAAAGGTTCGGAGGATTTGTTGCGAGTTAAGGGCTACGAATAGGAGAAAAACGAATGCTGGCACGGCATTGCCACTGGATGAGTAGTCCAGGCGTTCCCAAACGTAACGAACGTTCCGAGGTACTTAGTACTCCAGTCGCAGAAGTCTTAGTAATAGTAGGTAGGCCCAAAGCAGCTAACTAACAGTATTCATGGAGGCAAAATGGATGGCTGCAAAGCATTTGTTGCAGTTTGGGTAATGTTGGATCATGCAGCTAGTAGGTAGGAGAGCATTAATGCATGACCCTATGAAGAAGATATCAATTCTAGAAGATGAAGAAAGGCTGCTGAATAGATTAATGCAGCTACAAATACCCAATCTCGGCGTGCTGTTGTTGCGGAAAGCCACCCGAGGTACAGTGAGACAATTGATTAAGGCATTGTTGCCACTATTTGCAACGATTCCGATTACCCCTTATGAGCCGGTCCAATCAGTCTGCAGCTTGGGGGACCCCAAAAACTGTCAAAAACTGACACTTACAGATCTTAGGGTCATGACCACCGAGATCTCTCTTTATATGTTGTATCAAGCCATTAGTCCGTGAACAGAGCGAAATGGGCCGTGAAAGCGAAAGGATATGGTCACGGACCCGGCAACCGGGCATTTTTTTCAGGCCTGTATGGTAGATGGGAAGGAGATAGCGAGGTGGCCTATCCTGGTGACCTATCTACATGATGGAGTGTTGGGCAGACAGCTTGACAGCCAGTCTGCTCCATCCACTAACGGCGAGCAATCTTTACCAAAGCAACTGAGGTCGTTCGACCTCTCCTGCCCAATACCATCACGTTCCAGTATGCAGGGGGCCGGGTTAGGTTGGGTAGATTGTAGTCGTGGGGCCTGCTTATCTGTCTTGCTTCCGGGTTCTGGGGTGAGGCAGGTTTGTCGGTTGGCAAGTAAGGTAATTAGCGGTGGGTGTTGCTCGTGCGGCGGCTCTCCAGCCTGGTGATAATGATCTCCGATGTTTGACTTTGGACTTTTGCAGGTTTGCCTTAACGTGGTTGCTTGCAGGATGGATTCGTTTCGGCAGTTCCTGGTGTGTTCGCAGTTGCCCCGTGTTCTGCATCTGTCTCTGTAGCTCTATGTGGTGATTTCTGGGTTTGCGGCACGGGAAAAGGGAAGGATCAAGGGCGATGGGGTGTTTAGGACTGCGGCGGCTATCGTTTGGTCGTTTTCGGTTTATAAGTTAGACAATCTTTGTTGCGGGTAAATCGGGCCGCTGCAAATTGTAAGTCCTCTGCGGCCAGTCTGGATGGTTATTTGCTCATGGCCGAACTACGGGACCTTGGATAGCTCAACTGACAAACTGTCCTAGAGGGTCATCGGGTATGTAAACTTATCCACGTGGTGATGGTTGGGTTGGGTTGGGTTGGGTTGCAGTGAACTATGGGGCAACGACGGATGGGTGTTGATTTTGCAAATAGTTGTTCTGTCCATCAGCATTTGCTAAGCAGCTCAGGAAACTATTGTTGGTTTGACTATCCATATCCTCGGGTTCGTTCGGTCAGCTGTCCAGGTAAAAATAACAGGCGTTCTTGAAGAGTAGTGCCAAAATTTGCCACACTTTTCTTGCGGCTGTGGCCCCGGTTCATGTTCAGCTGTCATCCCCTATGGCAACATGATGCTGTACAATGTGACAGGTATCCTACACCACTTGACACCCGCTTCTGTCCATGTGCCATACACCTTGATTAAGCGCGCGCTACTTGCAATGAGTGTAGTGCAATGTACAGATACAGGGTCAGAGACACAAGCACAGCCGGGAACAGACGGGAAAGACAAAACTCCCAGGCGTCGTCAGTTATGTTGTATTTTTTGGTTCCCTCCTCACTACGGAGTAGTCATGTATCTAATAATGCCTCAAGCAGCAGGGCTTAGAGGGGGTATAAATGTATACAAACGACCAACATAGTCGCCTCCGAGGACAATGGTCCCAATGCGTCTTGTTCAGCCCGCCTCCTCGCTGCTTCCCAACGAACACTACCAACAACGCCTTACGGTAAGTCCGATGAAGCCTTGGCTCATACTTTCAAAAAGTCAGAAACGCGTCTGTCAAACATGCGCACAGTTGGTTTCCTCGCCCTCAGATATTCACCCTCTCGACTTGCTGGTTCCGCTGCACTCAATACCATTTGCAGACCTCCTCATCAGAAAAAGAAACAAGCAGAACCCCGGTAATAGTTTATGAGAAATGAATCATTGCCCGTGTCCCGTTTTCGTGCCCATGTGCTGTGTTCCGCGTCCTTTACCCGCCGGTCCTGTATATACAAAGGAAAATCGTGGATCGGAGGTGAAGCGTGTGCAGGATGGAAGTAGTTAAAGAGATGGCGATAAGTAAGGCAGGTAAGTAGGCAAGTATGTCGTTGTATATCGTCAGAATGTGAGTTCAACCAAGCGTAATATAGGTAGACAGAGGGATAGTTGTAAGTGTATGGTAGTAGTACAAGTGTCGTCGTGATGCCGAGCTATTGCTTGAGGCGCTTTTGCGTGTTGCAGCATCCGCAGCCGCCGTCCAGTGTCTCAACCCACGTTCCATTCTGTATTGCTGTTCGTTTGGCTTCTGCCCGTTCGAGCTTCCTTTTCTCCGCTGGTAAAATGTGTTAGGCGACGACGTTTCTGCGGGACAGGGGCAACCTACACAACTCGGCAGCCAGCTGCCGGTGTTCGGGCGTCACCCACGGATATTTGACGGCGCATTCGGGCCACAGGTTGACCAATGTCCAATAGTGCTTGTTTTCAAAATTGGTTTGTGTACGCACGGGCATATTCTCCACGGCAATGTGACCGTCCTCGCGGAAGCAGAGTTGGTTGGTGTGTAGGTCCAACTTTCGGATAATCTTGTTAGCCCGGTAGTATGAGCCTTGGAGCCCTTGCCTTTCACGCTTGTGGTCTGGGTCTGGAAACTCTATTTCGAAGATGTCGGTAACATGATCCCATGACATTTTCAAATCCATGATGTGATATCGAACGAAGTGCAGTTCCGTCATTGTGTACTTCTTGTTGCAGTGGGGTTGTTTGCGTGGCGTCTTAGTAATTGCGCCATGTTGGACTTGGCTCAAGGCACCGTAATGGTGCCCGGGAACGACGTGGTGCAAGCCCCTACCCTTGGACTGGACGTAAACTGGCTTCCCGATGTTTCTACGTTCTGCTTCGGCCTTGCGCCGCTCTTGCTGACGTCTCGCGAGCCACATACGGATATCTAGTGCATTGACGAGCAAGTCTTGTGTGTCGAATTTACTAGGGAGTCCTGAAGGAGTCGCCAGCTCAACTTGCCAAGCTGGTCGCCCGCCATTGAGGAAGCTGGTGATGTAATCGGACGGCGGCCATGATACACAGTTATAGGTCTGTGAGAAATCAATCCTATTGGTCTTGGCGGGTACATCACGTACAGTCGGAATGTGTACGTACGATGTTGTTGGAGACTCCAGCTTCGGTTTGAGGGGAAGACTGTGGTTGCTGCTGCTGATTTCTGGGGGGCACCCTGGTCTTGGTTTTGGTTCCAGTTCGGGGAAGATGTTCCTGACTCCAGGTAGTTTGGGGACTCGACACCCTTGCTGGACGGGTGCGAGCTCGTCCACTTTGGGTATGAATTCTGAAGGTTCCATTTCTGGTCGTGCGGCATTCTGTGGATGAAGGGCTATAGGATGATCCCAAAGTTCGCGTTTGGGATACGGAGTTCTCGGCGACGACGGCGCTGTAGAGCCAGTTGATTCCGGCTCGGTGAAAATGTCTTGCCCGTGTCCTGACGAGGCAGAGCAAGTTGAAGTGGCCGGTGATGGTACCGACAACTCGACGGTGACAGAAGACGGAGCTTCATGACTCCTCCATTCGCTTGCTGGGCAAGTGTGGTTGTAGTTGGTTTTCTGTGTCAGGGGTTGTACCAGAGGACGAAAAGGTAAAACCGATTTTGTTGTTTTTGGTATCCGCGTGAGGGAATTTAGACTCTCTGAGTCGCTATCGTATGGAATCACCATGTCGGGGGGTTACCGAGAACAAAACCAATCATTAAGAATAAAAGGACAAGAACCAAAAGGCTCAGACAATGACTGCAAGACGATGAATGTAAGGTGTCGGACGCCTTATGAGCTGGAGAACCGTGGTTGCGTGTTGTAGTGTGTGAGAGCTTGAGGGTGGATCACCAGGGTGTCGAACCCCAATGGTCTAATATAGACCAACGGTGTACTGACAGCGAGGGACACAATCTACATAGTCCTCTCTTCAGTAGTGTGATTCGAAGATCATCTTCGTGCAGACAAGCATCCTATCAGCAAACCCCCAGGGTAGTGATAGCGAGCCGACAACGACAATCCCTACCCGCTCTTGGCCGCGGGTACGTAGCGTAGAGCGACCCGAAGTATATCTTGCTGGTTATGATCAGATAGATCCTTCACAGGGAAGCAAACGGCCGTGAGGTCTGACAACAACTTCTGCACTAGACCCAGACTATGGCGCTCGGGCTAGCAGGGTGGGAATGGAGCGAGAAGGGGAAGGAACGCATGCCCGACCGCCACGGATTCGACGCGCGCACAAGGCAGAAAGAGACCCCAGTTTCCCAGTTTCCAATGATGGAAGGCAAGTAGTAGGTATACGGGAGTAGCAGTCCAGCCAGCCGGGGTTCCACTTGGTACGATGGCGCAAGGGGGGTCTCTAGTTCCAGGAAGACCCCAGAGCTACGGAGTAGGCTTGACACACTGTCTCAACGGGGCCTATGCAACCACTTCGATCATGGTTCTTCAAGATGAGCTGAAAAGCGGAGCCGTGAGGATCGCATAATGCAAGTATCGACATTAGTCGGATGATAATCGACTGGCATGGCTTTATGCTGCCTCGAGCCGGTAGTGAAGCCAATGACAAGTGCAGAACTTTTGGCAAGCTTGACAACAGGGGATGTCCAGATCCTCATCATGTCCATTTCCGCTCCCTGAAAAGCCGCCAAATCCGTGTTTTGGCACTGTGACCAGCATGATACATTATGGTGGGACATCAGAAAGTGATATGAGTGGCGTCCCGACCGTTTGGGACGGTGCAGCCAATAGGATCATTTGCAGATACATAGTAGAGGCATAGTCTGGGGAGAGGGGTACCCTGGCGTGAGGTGTTTGTGCAAGCTCATCAAAAAGCGAGAAGCAAGGCAAAACTGGATTGTGCCAAGCATGGAGAGGTGCTGTTGGTCCATAAGGAGGAATCTGGTCGAACACTGGCTCGAGGGACGTTACCCACCACCAGTTGGCCATGGCCGACCAGCCCCGACCACGACCGCGACCACGACCGGAACGGCGTCAAGGAGGCTCTGCACCAATGCTCCGTCGTGGGTTGAATGATGGCACCGCATCCTCGGCCCTGAGCGTTTATCTCACGCATGACAGCCAACGACTCGACCCCATCGTGTCGCACAATGCGCGCGGCAAAGGGTGGATTGTTGGTTGTTGCGCAAATGGGGCGGAGGTGGTCGAATAAGCGCGGTCGACCAGGTTGTCAGATGTTGAGATTTCGCCAGAGATGAAGTCGGTTGGGCGGGTTCTGGTGTGGGGGGTTTGACTGGTCTGGATTCCACTCAATCTCGGGCCGGTGGTACGTGGGGTTGGATCGGACCACCTGACAGCGGCACAGCATAATACACATAGGCGTGCTAACGTGATGGAAATATATGGGTCACTGTGGATTGCTCCGTTGTGCCGCTGGGGGGTGCTCAAGTGCTCTTTTCCATCACCAGCAAAATCTCTACTCTACACCCGAAGCGTTCAACTGTGGAATGCTTACTACGTGTAGCGTGCCCCAGACACACCGGAAGTGTACTAGGTGCAGTGCTCGGGCCAGCTGCCCGTAAATAGCCCTTCCGTAGCAGTTACAGACTCCTAGGAATTGGTCCCATCATCATCGTCATCATCATCAGATTTTCATCCTTACATTACAGCTCTATTGTCTGTATTACCCATACACTACTTCAGATGTTGCCATATCCAAACACAGATGCAGACTCTTGAGACACAAGGGCCTGGTGCCGAAAAGAAGAACATACGGTTGCTGGCATCTCAACACTCAACTCAACCCCCCACCTTCTCCCAAGCTTGTTCTTTCCCCACAAGCGCGATCGGCCGAAACGCTATTCTGTCGAGTTATCCGTCATTGGTTAGACTTGCCGTTTGAGCCTCGATGATGAACATGGAAGCCATGAAGATGTGACTTTGACCTCTCGATGTATCATTGTGGCAGTTGATCAGACTCGAATCCGAAGACGCGACTTTGATGGCTCTTGTTGCTGTGCCTAACCACGATCTCTACCCAGAAGGTTCCCTGACAAGCCAACCCGATCGAAACATCAGCCATGGAAAATACGACCTCTCATCACACTGTACAATGTGGAAATTTTATTACTCCGCCACTTCGAAACAGTGCAGGGCGTCGATAAGAAGCACGACTCTTTTCGGTGCCGCGTAGAAGGCATCGTGTCTCGAGATCGTCTCCTTTCATGTAAGCCCCCCGCCAAGGTTTCCCGGTATACGTCAAGCTGAACTTTTGGACTCGACTCTGACGTTGTTGCCACCTTCTCATGCGCTTACAAAAGATTCCACAGGGCTCTTCTAGCCTTGAAGTCTATCCTGCTTGCCCAACTTCTTTTGCGCCCGTTGGAAGTTCTAGTGCCCCGTGGTAGAGACGATGACTGATAGCAGGAACGGACTCAACCCAGTAGCCACAAAGTCGCAATCATGAAGACTTTCTCAGATCTTGGGTAAGGCGGCGAGCTTTTCCCCGTAATAAAACCATTGCGGGAGAGCGATGGCCTGCATGACGCCATTCGATCCGCCAGTTCGCTCGGACTAATGAGACGTCCCGGTTGGCGAAGGCCATCTGGACTGTATACGCCCCTCAGGGCTTGGTTGCGTTATCTAGTGGATTCGCGTTACCCTCGTCTAGTACTGCTTTCTGTTACACGAGATGAGCATTCCAAACTAGCCGTTCCCACTGGACTTTACAACTAAACCCGTCCCTGTGGAATACTCAGAAGTCTAAAGCGATGTTGATTATCTTCATGTAAGCATCATCTTGGTAATAAGATGCCGCCAGTGTGTAGAAGACCTACGCAAGTCTGAAGCATCCTGTCTGTTTTTGGACACTAGTTTTGAGACACGACTGCTTGATGTCTCTGGAAACTTTGGGCAGGTAGGTCACATCATCTATGCCAAGTCTCCGATTTCTCGGGTGATAAATCGGGACCGTAGTCGCGTCTTCGTTACCAATACAGCTCTCTTGCCTGTATTGCCCACAGTAAATATCCTAATACCATTTGGCGAGGCTGAGACACGCAGTATCAGCACACACGTATTGCACACCATCTACGCAGCGGCATTCAGTGGACGGTAGCCCGTTGGTTTCGTGTGACTGTTACACTAGGCAGATCCCTGTACCATATCTTAATGGCAGCACCGACGATCAACCCAAATGCCCTGAGCACTCGAGGCTACGTTTTGCATCTGCTTTATATGGCCAATTCTCTGGAATCCTCGGCCATGAACCGCATTAGGCAAGTTTCAAAAACCTGCTCTGGTTGTGTGTTCCCTGTACGACGAAGCAATGTAAGACCGCACGTATTTACGTCTCAACAACTACACCTAGATGTATAATCTTAGCCTGAAGTGCCGGCGGACATTATTTTTTAGGTTAGAGAAATGTAGAATGCTATCTGAAGAAGCAAGCCTTCAACAGGGGACGATTCATCAACTCATCCGTCTATTGGTCAGTACATTCACTCCGCAGGCCCAGCGCCACCGACTACTGACCCATCCCTACATCTAAGGTAAGGAAATACTGCGGCGCACGATCGATGATGAATTTAGAAATGGTTCCTGGTGATCTCGTTCCGATATATGCCTGGTCCATGAAGCTACCGAATCGTCAGCCTGCTACTATTGGCCCCAGTCTCCTCTCCCACTGTAGCAGTAGATCGTTTTCCAGTCACACCCCTAGGCCATCGGTATATGTTCAGGCTGCAAGCGAATGGGCCGACATTTCAAACTCCTGGGTTATCAGGCCCTCCCAGCGCCATATTATTACTGTATTGCAGCTGTCCTGGCAGCTCTGATTGCTTGGAGGCGTCCTCTGAGAAGCATAGGTCGCATCGAGTTTAGGAAACTTATCTGCAGTCCGCTCAGGGGTACCGGTGTTGATGTTTGCAGGCACGTACCATTCGAAGAGATCGTCTTTATCTGCTCTGAATGGCGAGTGGGTGTTGTTCTGAGGCTGATACCTGGGGCGCTTTCCCGTGAACCTGAGAAGACCCCAATACTTCTCGCTACCAAGGGTATGTAGTCTGCAGAATACAGCACTGTAGACCGAGATAGGCTCGAGCTATTGGCGGCTCGGGTATCAGCAATCGTTCTACGGTATGATTGGTTTGGTCAAAAGCCGTGAGATGTTCGCTCAAGACTTGTGCCGAGAGATAGAGGTATGATGGTTGCTTTCGGGATGAACGGCAATGGTGTTGAAGACTTGAGGCTGTTGAGGCTGTAGTCGCATTGCTATCAAAACTAATAACTAGTCGCGCTTGAGCATCTAACAACTCTAAAGCCGGCTCTACGACAAGTTTCGTGGATGGGTTAGAGAGACAGGAACACTAGAATCTGTCATGGCGGCGGAAAGTGTTTGGCTTTAGTGTCGTTGAACTTTACAAGCGAAACCAAGTCGACTACGGCCGACATGGAAACTGTTGCGAAGGATAGAAGGAAAGATGGAGATTTCAATTGTCCGACCAAGCCTCGACAGTGGACAATGGGTGGGATGACGGGAGGCGCGGCTTCGACACATTCCATTGACCACTCCATTTTGACGCTTGAAATGGTTGTCCGGGATTTGTAAGATGCTCTGAAGCAAATGCTACATCATTTGAGATGTCACATGTGGTGATGATTAGAGTTGGATCAAGTCATGTCGACGTGTTTGGCATCGTGGCCAGGTGACCTCGGGAATCAATGCAATAGTCCAATTTGACCTGGGTAGTTTTCACATGCTTCTTACCCAGGCAGTTGGAGACAATGGAGGTTAACGTGGTGCAATATCACGTGCACCCTTTCAGGACTGCAGCTGCCAGTGACCCTAGACTTGGGAACATGCACGGGTCTTCATCGTAGGTGACCAACTATTCTCCGGCCCAGATGCAAGTAGCCATTGAAGAACCAATTTTGGTGTGACAAACACAACACATCTCGATAACACTCGATTGAGGCTATATTGCAGGTTGAATCTCGCCATGAATTCTTGGCTGTTTATCGTTATTAGCACGTATAGCTGATATTGGAATAACTATTCTCTTTCCGTCATCATTCCACCACCTTGTTGCATCTCATGGACTTCACTTGCCACACAGCCTAGCCGCCAGATAGATGGCAGCCACATAGTATACCTGAGCCACAGAAGGATTACTGTCAAGATCCCAGACCTAGTCATATGGCATAGCCGAGCAATACAAGATTGCAAACATTTGCCCAGGCATATGAATCAAGCCTGGTTCATGTGGAGGCAATCAGAATCAGACATGGCTTTCCCCCTGCCTTTGCAGCAACATAATTTGATGATACACCAAGTCTCCTGGACAGACTGCTGCATGACGATGGCCATTTTGGAACTCTTGCGCGCTGCCCCATTGGGTTCCTCCTGCATCATCTCATCACCCTTTGGGTTTCATGCATTGCATTCGGTCAGCCTTGCACTAGCATGCCGATAGGGGGGACGGTACCTGAGGATTATGGATTGTCGCACGGCTTCAAGTTGCGCCACTGAAACAAGCAATGTCGAAACCGGTTTCCCCAAGCCATTCCATTACAGTGGTCATCGCAGTAGATGCCATTACTCATATATCTAACAGGCCGAGATCCCCTTTAAGGAATCTCGGCAGCAGTCTTGGGCATCCAACTTGCCAGGCATCACCTCTGAACGTGAGTACTGGCGACGCCACCGAGATGGCAAATGGTGCATTCGGATGGTTTCTGTTGGGCCAAAGGATTTTTGTTACCAACTTTCAGGGATTCATAGGGCCTTGTGAAATCAAACATCAGAGGGTGGCCAGTCGTGTGCCTTCCCAGAATGGCATTAATCGGATACTGCACCAGCCCCTACTATGCAGGTTCACGGTGAGGAATGATTACCATTACGATCAGGAAGCTGGGCCGACTAAAGGCTGCTCACCCCGTCCCGCCTTTTGAATGTGCATGCGTATTTAATGACTTGTCATGTTCATCTCATCGTCCCCTCAGCACGGCTGCTATCGTGATCGAGTCCAATCGTGAAGTTGAACATGGCCGCTGACGACTCAAGGCAAAGTATCCCGGTCCCTGCTGGCTGATTTGTGAAAGTTGCGAATAATTTGGGAATCCCATCACTTCAGCTTGCTTGTTGTGGCGGTCATCTCGACCAGGGAACAAGGCATGGCTTCGATCAGTCAGGAGTATGGCCCACAGTTCCAGATTGCCTACCGCTACAATCACCATAGTTGAGCCCCTCCGCATACATGACCACAATCATCACAGTTTAAAGATTATGAGATGGTAGGAGGAAACTGAATAAGGTTGCCGTGGGGCAGTCCAAGAGTAAACCCCCTTCGTGAAGCGAGGGTTAGGGGTTTTTCTTATTCGGCTTCTCTGTATCGTTGGTGCCAAGTCTCTAAGTCCGTTACCTGCGAGCTTTGAGGCTCCCTGTTCAAGCAATTAGGTCAGCAGACAGGCCTCGATGTGTATTTAACATTTGTTGCACAGCATCGTGATGGTTATCCTCAAATGTGAGGTATTGGTACTGAAGTTAATGTCTCGGATTACTTATTGAACTATAAGCAACCTTTTGTGATTGCCTACGGCACTGAGAGCAGATAAATGCACTTCAGAGTGACATCTTGTATCCAGCCTCCTCATATTTTACGTCTAGGCTATCTTGCCTACGTGACACAGACGTTGTAGCACCACAATGCCAGCAGGGACTTTGAATATATTATCTCTGGAGATTAAACTCGAATATACCATTCTAATGCGTGTACAGTCGCTCTCTCAATCAGAGGCCTCCTGTATACTGGGAGCAGTTAGAGGACAAGTGAAGGTGCGGGAAGAGCAAGCTGTGACAGTACGAAACAAAGACCAGGGGAGGCAACTGCTATGTTGCAGCCCTTCTTTTACCACCGTAAGCAAAGTCCAATAACTGGGTTGGCCTCCAAAAAGAATGGCATTAAATCTTACGCTTCTTTTGGGAGGAATACGATGTGATCAGGGCCTTTTATGTCCTTGTCCTTTACATATGACCATTTTAAAATGTTCAAGAAAAGTACGTACATCGTTTGGTGGTCTTCATATCCTCGTCTTCTAGGGCCATTTTTCCTATTCCTCTCCAGGTAATAACACTGGATACCCCCTAATGGTTTAAAAGTCCTTTTGCACTTTGGGTATTATCAATCCGGTATCCCAACCGTTGTGTAACAGATTTTCTCAGCTATGGCTCATCTATGAAAATGCTGCCTGTCTTTCTTAATTCCTTACTACGACTGCGAGAAGCAAGTCTCACAAATATTTCAAACCCCATCTCTCCTCCTTTTCGCCCGGAAAATGTCGCCGCAATGTCGAAGTTACTCAGTGTACGTGAAGAGGGCTTCTAATATCGCGGCATTGATCCGAAATCCGCCCTGGGATCCAAGATTCCACAGCTTGTCGTATTAACTTTAAATCTCCTTACTTGAGATCTGGGATACATTCAACCCACCGTTAGCCTTGCCCGTATTCTTAATCCCAGGGACTCGCGTTCTACAAGTATTTACTCAAAAATGCGACTCAATCTCTGCTCTTACCTTCGAATGAACTCATCACTCTTACTCCATTCGTCTTCTTCGGATTTTAAACGGTTGAGGAATGACAATGATTCTGAGCACGAGGCACATCGGCGTGGAGACAATCGCAGTGGTATGGACAATCAGGTTTCTTGATTTGGACAAATTGGACATCCTATATGACATGAAAGTTAAAAACAGAATGCTTTCAACAAGCCCATATGTTTCCGGGCAACGAACGAAACTCGACAGACACCCTACGGAAGGAGAAGTTGTTACCGACCTCACCTGTAAGTCCCGCATGAAAGGAAAGGTCGATATGTGCATATAAGGTATGGTCCCCCGAACAGCCTTCTACCGAAACGCCCCCGGCCCTAACCACACCCCCGTTTGCGAGAAAACTCCGCACAATGACAGCAAATGCTAAGATCCAGCCCCAAGACAGGACAATCCAATATCAATGACTGAAAGAAGCCTCCCGTGTGTATGCGATGCTGCTATGCGCCAGTAATCAACTACCCGACAAGCTCACATGATGGCACAAGACGATGCGACAGTTCTAGCACGGCGGCGTCCACCACCTTCTTCCTCATCTGCATGCAGCAGCTGGGCCTCCCTCGCCCTGCGCCGTCGCCGGCGTATCCCAGCGCCCGTTGCTCCAGCTTCCTCAACGGCTTGCATATAATCCGCCCACTTGCGTTCCAGTCTGCCTGCCGCAGAGTAATCTCCCCTCAACACTCTTTGGGTATGCTGATCGACCGTCTGCTGCCAACCGTAAAAACACTTCAGTCCAATGATTTCTGTGGGATACGTTGGGGCTGTACCAGATGGGTTCCTGATCTCAGCGTTCCACGAAAGTATCTCGCGGATTCCTGTCCAGGTCACCATTTGGCAGTCGTAAACGACCAAATGAAGTCCTATGCACGGTCGGGAGCCACGGACTGATGAACGGGCGGCACGAGTCCGCACCATCGCAGCAGCCTCGGCGAGTACCAGATCACCGATACGAGTGTTGTCCATATCAACACTCCTGAGACTGACACATTTTTTGAAAACAGGCAACATGCCAGCGTCGCTAAGGCTCTCACAATAGCTCACGGAGAGATGCTCGAGTTTGGCTGCGCAAGGAGCCTTCGCTAGATGTTCCGATAGGATAGAGTTGGTCAATTCCGATAAGTCTTCCAGCTCAAGATGAGTGAGGTAAGGGGTGGTCGCCAGAATGGGTTCCAACGCAGAATCGGTGAGCGCAGTGCAGCCACTGAGTTGCAAACCTTCCAGCTCCGGGACCAGGTACCCCAGAGCCGCGACGCCGCGGTCTGTCAGGTGGCGACAGCGACTCAAATCCAAATGCCGGAGTTTTCTGGCGGGAACAACCGGCCGATCCGTGAGAATATCTATCTCTGGTTTCGTACCGTGAACCATGGTCCTCAATGCATCATCGGTGAGCTCCACACAGCCATTCAGAACCAGGCGTTCGAGTCTATTGGTGTCAAAAATGGCCTGGGCGACTTCAATGTTATCAAAGCCCTTGATCTCTCCTGCTCTCACGTCCCTCAGCTTAGGACAATTGAGGACGACTATCTTAATGCCTCTGGCATCCATGTGCTTGCACCAAGACACGTTGAAAGTCGCCAGTTGCGGGCAGTGCTGGGAAATAATTCTGCAAGTACTATTCGTCACGGCGGGTAGTCCTGTCAGGTTGAGGTTTGCCAGCTTCTCGTTGGCTTTGATGAGATTATGCAGTGTTGATTTCTGGAAATTCCGGCAACCCTCCAGGGTAGCGTTGATGAGGTTCTTGCAAGCCGTAACGACCACTTCGGCACGCTTACAATGCTCCACTTGAACACAACCTCTCAAGTTGAGATCCTTCACGAAGGGGCCTGCCGCCACTATAATTTTTGCCAGAGATTCTGCAGGTATATTTTGGTAGAAGTCGGTTGCGTCGAACCTCGTCCATAGCTGGCCATCAAAGCAATAACCATGGAATTCCTTGTTGACGCGGGATACACGGACGAGCTCTTTCGGACGAAGGTAAGAGAATATGTGTACGCGTATTTCATCTGGCATGTTCGCCCAGAAGTCGTACGGCAGTTTTCGTACAGCAGTGCCGGATTGGGATCGAGTCGCAGCAAATTCTGTCGGCAAGGCTGAAGTCAGACACGGCGTAGAGCCATTGTTGACCTTCCGAATCGCAAGGCGAGTCTCGATGCCATCAAAGGCGGGAAACTCAACCGTAGGACTGCCGGGAATAGATTGACCATTGCTGAAATACCCCGACGAAGACGAGCTCGGGGTGTGTTGGCCAAAGGGCGACGTCCCTGCCAGACTTACACAAGACAGAGTTCCCCGCGTACCGTAGGGAGCACTGGAAGCGCGTGGCCGGCCCAGTTGTGCTAATGAAGGCGAGGAAGAAATACGCTGAATGCGATTGAGCAACCGCTGTCGTCGCTTTCCTTTAGGTTGGCCTTCCATGGGTGTCACGATAGATGATTCCTCCGCGATGGGGCTGGGTGGGGTACTCGAATCGACCGACATGTCTGTCACGGCTGACATTTGAATCGACGACACCTCAAACAGACCGTCGCTTGCGGCGTAAAATTGACAATAGAATAGCAGTAGTAATTTGCCCGGCAACAGAGGGTTCCTGTGTTGTACAGAGACTCTGTTCCGTTCCTGTCGTGCGGGTCTCTAATCTCTCGCAACTTTGTTCGTCGAGTGCGGGGTGGTGGTGCTGTATGGTGTGATGATGGCGCAGGGCCGAGTTGAACACAAACGATCAATCAAGGCAAATACTTCATCGCGAGTGTGCCAGAGCCTTTCATGTCGAGGCTGGGAACTAGAACATCGGATGAATACCCAAGCACAGTTGGTTAATGCATGAACGAGCTCGATAAACGAGAGTGGCGGGCCGGAAGCACGGAGGAATTAAGAACGGTTGGAGGAGCTGGGACGTGGGTTATAGTAAAGCGAGGTGGAGAGACCGGCTGAGAAGCTCAAGTTTGACTTGGTTGACTTGAACCGGCTTCAACCTAATAAACGATTTTATTTTTGACGATTGTGTCAGCATTGACTCGCGTTACCAAAGTCTAGAGTGAGTAAGTGTGGGTTGTCTGGAGTAAGTTTATGTTGTCGTACCTGTAGTGTTCGTCGCACCCTTCATTCGTTGGATGGTTCCAACAAACATTCAACGAACCCGTAAGCCAGAGCCTTGCGTGTTGAAGTCAGCAAGCGAAGTTGGAGTTACGGAAGACGGGAACAAGATATAACCAGAGGCAGCTGAACAATAATTTTAAATCACAAGATCATAAACGCAATACACGCTGCAACACACGCCGTAGACAGAATTTCACTTGCTTGAACCATCTGACCTGCGTTATCTTGTGCATGGCAAATGCGGGCGACCTTATCAGCTCGAATCCTGTGTCCGCGTGGTGGGGGAGCGCGTCCCACTTAAACCGACCCTTGCCAAGCCTGCACTTGCCTCTCACTACGACCCTCCACCATCTTCAATATCGGCACCAATCGTGTCAGCCAGCAAAAGAGCTCGAGGATACATTGCGTTCGTTGGACTGACGATCACAATCATTTCCAGCTCATCAGAATTCATGACATAGTTTGACCTGCTGGAAAAGGTATCTTGCAGCATCTTCACTTTCACCCCCATACGCCCTCAATACCCTATACAATAGCTAAGCAAGCTGGTTGATGGACAATGGAATCAAACCACGCAACACCTTGGTACTGGTGCTTTTCGCCAACACACCGTAACCGCGGCGCGCAGGCCCGGCGAGTTGGTGATATAAGTATAACCTTCCCAATTTGTTCAATTGCCCCAGAATGCAAACTTGAAGATGTTGCGCTGGTTATATGTATCCCTTGCGTGGTCGACTACTCATCATCGGCTTCCTATTTCGCCCATAGCTGGAATACTAAGTCGAACTCGTCGAGTTTCTTGCAGAACAAAGGCTCCCCTAGATCCCCTAGTACATTTGCGCTACGAGGTTGACTGGTAGCCGAGGGGCCGGGCACACCATCTCCACGCCCAATATCAGACCGCTGAAAACGCCATGCGAGTTTGTATTTGATGGAGGCGGAATCCTTCGCTGATATCCGTTCCTTTCCAGCAGAGCGCTTGTCAACCTCGGTTGTGGCGCAAAAGCACCGTATCCTTCTGGGGCCAGCCTGGGGAAATTTTGGAGATGCCCCGCCAGCCGCTGCATTCTACATGGACCCTTATTATTTGGCCGGATGTTACTTGCGACCAGGGTCTCTCCAGAGCCCACCCCTAACTTCTCCACGCTAACGGTAAGGACTGTAATGAATTCCCTGATGGGCCAGGAGAATCTGACCTTGCTGACCTCCAACAAACAAGGACGAAAAGTTCACACGCAGCAACGTCGATCATACGGATTGTTTCAGGCTGTTGTTGCTGTAGCAATCTTGGCATTTCCACGGCCAGATAGTAAGTGTCGTGAGCGCATCGTACAGGGGGTCGGGTGATACCTGCCTGGTGCACCTCAGTTGCCGCCTGATCCCAACGCCAGATCAAAAGTGGTTAACTATTTCAAATTGCTGATAAATGTGTGGTCAGACAGCAAGCCGCACAAGATTTTTGGGCGGAAGATTAAGAAACTGTATAATTCTGGCCGAAGACAGCCCGAATTGACTTGGCCGTTGAGAGGCTCCGAATCGCTAGCTGGCCATCCGGTCCGTAGACGAAGGAATTGAAGGCTATCGAAGCGGTATGACTCGTAGAACCCCGGTACGAGGATATTCCCAGCCACCGAACGGGCTCATCCGCACCGTTGGTCGTTTCACCGTCTCTGATGCCTAAGCTCTAGATCTTGCTTGTTTGACATCGGGCAAGCCGCCGTCGGAACACGTCGAAAACGCTGTCCTGTCGTCGTCGAAGAACCTAGCCCTGTGGTGTGCTAGTGCTACAGGGAAGTAAGTCGAGTTCAATTTGATGTTGGCGTAATGCTGCTCTGATTTAATACCTCAGTTGATGACCGATTCTTCCGCAATGTTCTCGAAGTAGTTCGCAACGTACTTAGATGTTATAACCTACAATAGAGCACCAGAGTGGTTCTTACATGCCCGCAGAGTATTTTTCTTGTGAACTGCTTAGTAGCAAATATTAACAATAGATAACTGCAATAGATGTTCGGTGACATTAATCAATGATCGCTGGTCATTTCACGACAATACTCAGCTGGAATGATCACAAACTTCTCCAAGCACATGATTTGAAAGTCACTAGAGTGAAACGTACATATTATCGTATATATCACATCTGGATGTTTGTGTAATAAATATCTTCTGTATCATAGGACACGAGCATGCCACCTAAAGACATTTGGTAGAACGAAGCACAACTTATGAAGTGTCGTGGAATGCAACGATGCCAACACTGATACTTGCAAAGGAGGATAGTGCATTACGCCAGGAGTCTTGCCCCGTGACTCTGCAAGCAACGACGCATCGAGCCGCCCACAACGTCCATCAAGATCATCAATCGGCTTGTTGGGCTACCATTGGCACTTTTAGTATAGCTGACTAGGGTAACAGTACTGGTCGAGGTTAACAAATTTATGCTAAGCTACCTCGATGTACTATTATGAATGCTCTCCTGAATCTTTAAGAAGGTTAATATCATTTCAGACTCATATCCTCATTGATTATCCATATTATTATATCGTTCCTCGCCGGTAGTCTCAGCGAGGTTCCTAGGAGTCTGGTTCGACCGCAAACTGACGTGGCACGCCCATGTTGAGCGTGTTAAAACAAAAATGACAACTCAAAAGCTAGCCCTGACAAAGCTAGTCAATATGTCGTGGGGCTGCGATCTTATACGGGCGAGGCTGTTATATACGGTGGTTATCCGTAGCGCGATCGCCTTCGGGGCGACTGCGTGGCATACTATAAGTGAGGAACCGGCAGGGCCAGCTAAGAGCCTGATGGGGATACAGAACGAGTGCCTCCGGGTAGTCTGTGGCGCCCACAAAGCGACGCCGGTTCGCCACCTGGAAGCAGAAGCAGCAATCCCGCCACTAGACCTCTATCTTAGTGCCCGGGCTGCTAAGTTTGAAGAACGGCTACGGCTTAGCGGGAAGAGAAATCTGCTTCGCAGCGCGAGCGCTAAAGCGTCACATATACTCGGCAGGATAGGCCGGCGAAGAGGAAGCAGGCGTCGCAGCTACTCCGACCGGCAGGGTACACTATGGAGAAGGAGGCCCGGGGCTCCGAGTGGATGAGTGAGGAAAAGGAGGTCCCGGCTGCCCTCTTCGGACACTGGAGGAAGAGATGGCTCACCGGAGCAGAGCATCACGATCGCCAGCGACGCGCCATCGCTGAGGAACCGGAGGGCCCTTCGATGCAGATACCGAAAGGGGGCAAGTATTTCGGCCTGAACCGACTGGAGGCGTCTACGCTGTGCCAGATCAGGACGGAAAAAATAGGACTAGCAGCCTTCTTCTTCAAGACAGGGGCTTTTGGCGTGTACTCGCCGCTATGCCGCTGTGGCGACGCCCCTGAGACGGCAGAGCACGTAATCCTCTTTTGCGGGCTGTTGGAAGGACCGAGGGAACGATTACGGGCCGCTATCGCACCACGGCCACTATACTCTCGCAGAGACCTCGCAACGGCAACAGGAGAACCAGTAGTTAGTGGGACTATTGTAAGGTGGCTGCTAGGGACGGGTCGGACAGCTTCAAGGCCCAGATAGCATCGATCTTCTCAGGGGGGACTTTGTTGGTAGGTTGAGAACCAACGTAGTATGGTAGTGAACGCAACGCAGTCGCCAATAGGGCGAACCGACGATGCAGCGTATGTATTTAGTCCAGCCATTAGGGCACGGTTTGACATACGGGAGTACTAGTAGAGGTACCGGAGGCTTCGAGCCTACGGCGTATTTAATAATAATATATCGTTCCTATTGGAGCAAAAGGAACAACGAGATCCTGGTTTTTGCGCAATTACTTAAGTATTTTGAAATGTAATTCGTGTATTGGAGTTTTCAGTTCGCTTTGGAAGAAAATCTGTATTTACTGTATCCTCACCCAAACAGAGAATCATTGAAACTGAAGCAGCATACTGAACTGTAAGGACTCCAAGAGATTACCAATGTTATGAACTTCACACCTCCAGAGACTTAAACAGATACATATCTTTTGGGACAGACGGATTGGCACATGAATCAGCTATTATATTCGTAGCATATTATGATAGTTGGTCAACGACTTTTCAGTTAACGTAGTTAAGGCTGTGATTTGAATAGGCACAAGATCTAGATGTAATTGACAGACTTGACTTCTCCAAGGTTACTTGACCTTAGTTCGATGGCAATATCATGCTGTTGCAGAACCGATTTTCAAATCCTCTGAGGAAAAGAGAAAATGCTTAAGCTTAGAAGACCAAACGTCTGTATCTCCATTACTGCACTGATACAACCAATCTTTCCTGGCTTGGCAACGTAAGGCCCGGCATTTATCATAGTTGCGAGCTTGGGAAAAAACTCTGGGGCAAGCTACGTGTCTTACATATGTCAAAACTTAGTAACAAGGTACCGTTTTTCGCCTCCGAAAACTTCGTAGGCTGATATGTAAGTGTACTAAGTACATTAATCTACGTACATTAATCAAAAAGACTGCAGCTCTGTCTCGGTATATTCTCGGCAAAGTGATGGTCAAGTAACTCGTGTACTTACACCTGGCCCTGCGTGCAATGTATGAGCCACGAGACTCATGCATCAATCTGTTTCTTCACAAAAACCGAGGTAATCCTTCAATCCTCAATGGGTGGCGATCACGAGCCCACCTTATTATCAAGTTCTGCAGCGTCATCTGCCCCATACTCGGGATGACTTAATGCATATTGATCGTGATATGTTTGGAGATCTCTTCTGAAAACAGGCAAAAAAATGCAGGCAAATCCATGACAACCCAATTCATCGCCATTGACCCCCACCGTTCAAGAGCCGCGGATAATCGTGTGTGACACGGCATTGTAAGTCCCCCGCATCGCAGTCTTCGGGGTGAGACTTGAGCCTATCAAGAGGCTGGCTTCAAATACTCGCAGCCGGCAGGACATTTTGATGCTCATTTTGAGGGCGGTAGTGGTGGTATCCTCAGCTGTGAGAGTTGCGTACGTGCCGCCCAAAGCGCAGAGCAATCTGGCATTTAATGTATGCAAATGTGGAGAAAAGACGAGCTAGTCCATTCGTGCCGTTCTGATGTCATATCATTCGATCCTTGGCTTCAAGCATAATTCCCAAGGCACAAGTCGAAGAAGCAAACCGAGGCCGTTAGAGAAACCTTCTCTGCGCAGAGGCAGTTTATTTGAACAATCATAGTCAGAAAACAAAGATCGTTCGAGGCCTCAGTTTCATTGTGTCCTCTTCGAAAACGAGCACAGACTGACCCCGTTGTCAAATCGAAACTTCAGCCTTGAAAGGAAACAGACCCTGAATTTATCAATCTACCACTTCAGAAATCAATGACTTTCGTACCCCACCAACGTCAATGTTCGGGTAGCACATAGGAGCAGCCAGCCAGCTACATTCAGTTGTACAATTGTACTTTGCAATTGTACTAACGCGGCCGCTCAGCCACGGACGGCACTGTCGGGTGCGCCGACTACATAAAGGTAGTAGCCCAAGCACTTGAGATCAGCTGCGAAGCCCAAGAGGGAGGTGAGCAACAATCCACCGTCGTTTTGACATTCGAGGCAGACACCATAGGTTGTTTCCCGATAACTTTACACACACAAGTTAGCCTGGAAGCTGACAGCAACGTTGAATACAGTTACAGATTGTCCTTGCTGCGGGTACCTAGGTAGCGCAAAGTCTCATTGTTCGCAAAGAAATTCCCCATAGTTGGCTACCCGCACAGGTCTTAAGGTTGACTTCCGCTGAACCCCATTGTCGAATTGATTCTCAATGCAGCAGGCAGGAGGAGGCTTATAACCGCACTCAAGGATTCCCCAGCTTTCTTTTTCTTCGTCTTCGGCTCTGGCGGGTGCTGCTACTGCTGCTGCTGCTGCTATCTGAACTTGAAAGTAATTGCAATTGCAGCTACTGTTTCGGTCTGATATTTGCAAAAGGGCAAGCCATTGTTTTGCAGAGTGAAGTTGGCAAGCCACCAAGCACGCTGTGATCGGACTTTGTCGGTTGTTGGCTCCCTTTTCGCAACTCATCCCTCCGCCGCCGAACCCCGCGCAACCCAAGGTCCTTCCTCCGAATCTCGAATCGAGTTTGGTCGGGCATCCGAATATTACGTATTGATCATATACTTTCAGCTTCCGTCTGCCCTGCTGAGTCGCCAACACTGCTGCCACAATTATGAAACATATTCATGGTGGAACCCAGGAACACGGTGAGTGCGAGTCGCTGCGCATGCTCCGCCCACTTCTGGGCTTGCCTTCGCTGCAGACAAGCCAGCCAGCAACATGACTGACAATCTCTGCCATCACCCACCACACCACCTATGCAAAACTTGAAATGGGCACTGACACGAAGCTCTCATCCAAAGGCGCCGACACCGACAAAAATACGCACGATGGGGAGCCCGAACGTGGTCGCGGCAGGAGCAAACATCTGTCCCCTACGCTCCACATACCCAAGAATCGAAGCACCGGAAACCTCACCGTTGTCGACGAGGTGCCAATACCCGATAAGTCGACATCGCGAATTCGCTTCTCCTTCGATGCAGGATCAGCTGCCACGGCCGACTATGATTCGATCACAAGGTACGAATGTCGTCCGCCCCCCTCCCCCCTCCCCGTGTCCCCCCGCCCCCCAAGTTGCGTGGTCTCGGTGTAGTGCACTACTACCGCTCATCCCTCCACACCATTCCCAAACGTCACATGCTTTGCTCTTCCACCTTACTGCTTACACACACAATGGACACAATGCCACCCAACACAATCAGCTGCGAGCTGTAAGCAGAGCGCTGATGATTGAACGCCTTCTCTCCTCTCTATTCTAATCATTGATATTGATATTGTGCCTGTCCTCCAGATCTCCCCTCATAACCGATCACGATCATGGACTTGGTCTGTCTGGGCTGCGACGTATCCGCCAGCACCAGCCCATGCGCACCCCCACATTACCTTCATCCGCCGCTACATCCCGAAGTCCTTCTGTTGGCATTACGAGGTCGTCGTCCATGACAATGATGCTGCCTCCTGGACACCAAATACCGTTGTCGCCTGGACCGGCGTCGCCCAACTTCACCGAAGATCTCACTCGCTTCCCGTCCGAGTCCTTGCACTCTTTCTCTTTTGCTCATCAGTCCGAAGACTTCATGCATAACCGCCAGAACGTCCTGAAACGGTCTATAGAGTTTATGAAAGATCGCCTGGGCTGGGCTGCATCATCTAGTGCTGCGATTGCCAGTGCCCAAGCAAGAGTGACCGGCGATGTTGAAACTCAGAATATGCTGGAAATGCTAGCAAGGGCACAACTACTTGGTGCTGGAAACCTGCCCCACTCTGATTCCTCATTCGTGGCCGGTCCGTTGACTGGGCCTGCCGATATATCAGGAGATAATGTCTTTGAGAAGGAGTTCATACCGAGGACGAGCAGTCCCGACTCATATTCGACCCCCCGAGTGTCCCCAAATACGTTGCGGTCGCCGCAAGTCGAACCGGAGAGCACATCTCGCACTGAGGATGACGTGCCGCGATCGAAGCATACAGGGGCCGTTCAAAACGACCCCGATTCGGAGAATTCTTCACGTACACCTACCAATGAGAGCGGAACAACTGCTAAGACATCCCCGCCAGTCTCGAGGAAGCCGAGTTTGCGAAGGACCTATACTGATGTGGCTCCCATGTCATTGCAGCAGAAGCTTATGGATGCTATGGCTCAGCCCTTCGTCGCCGGTCAGCAAAGGGGATACCCAGACGCCTTAGCATCTCCGGCATTGCCGCCACAATCCGGACCAGCTTCGTTTAGTGTCCCAGGACCCCTAGGACCAGCAGTCCATGGCCATTCGACGCGCTGGGTCCCGGCGGCCCAGGCTATATTTACAACAGAATCCAAACCGCCGTGGACAATCCTGGCGGCCAATGACCTGGCTTGTCTCGTGTTTGGTGTCACCAAAGCTGAGGTGCGCAAAATGGGTATCCTGGAAGTCGTCCAGGAGGAAAGAAGATCATGGTTGGAGACCAAGTTACTTGGCGAGGATCCTGACAAAGCTGTTCAAGCTCCCAAGAAGCAAGTTACCAAACCTGCACCAGCGTCAAGTGGTTCCGCACTACTAGGAGGACGCGGTGGTATAACTGCACAGCTACTAAGCAAGCCTAATTCTAGGTCACAGCCTCCACAGGCACCGGGGCGGCGGGCGGCCACTGTTCACAGCGGTGATGCGACGCCTTTGAAAGCTCGTGGTGGTACACACCATCACAATTCGAAATCTAGGGGGGTCTTGCTTTGCGGCGACGTGGTACCGATCCGAAAAAGGAATGGTGCTACTGGCTCAGCGAGTCTCTGGGTAAAAGAGAAGAGGATTGGGCTGATTTGGGTTCTTGAGGAAATCCACGAGGATGTCGTGTTACTCAGTCTCGACGAAGATGGGGTCGTCACCAAGATCGCGGGGGACACAAGTCCTATATGGAGAGAAGATGACGTTCGCCCGGGCATGGACGTTGGAAAACTCATAAGCCGCATTCCCAGGCAAGGGATTGACCCAAGAACTGGTGCCATCGACTACGCTCAAATCGCCAAGCGGAGATACTTCACTTGCCGCAACAGTGATAAAATCAACATCCCGGCAACCGTGAGTCAAACCCGAGGTCAGATGGAGCTTCGTGTCTCCAGCTTTCCTCATATTGCGGGCATCGTAGTCATTGCCCCTAGCACCCTGAAAATCAAGAGTTCTAACTCCGTGTTCTGCGGCGCCTTGTTTGGCTATGATAAGTCAGAGGGACTGCACATCAATACACTCGTACCTGACTTCGACAAAATCCTAAGGATTTTGACAGACCAGGACGGGGTGGACCTACATGACGGTATCGTCGTGCCAGAGCACAGCTTCCGCAAGGCATCGGCTGTCTTAGCTGTCCGCGAAGGCAGACCTGATGCGGCGTTGGGATTTCTGAATCCGGAAGGTCTTGCTGCGAAACACCGTGACGGCACCGAACTCAAGATCGACGCCCAGATGAGAGTGGTCAAGAGTGAGAAACGACCTAACCACGATTCTGGATCAAGTGATGAAGAGCTATCTCCAATTGAGGAGGCAGGATCCACCAACGAACCGGAAATGGTTTTTGCCTTATGGATTACATACTCAAGACACTTACACGCCCCCCGAGGCACCTCAATCGTGCCCACTAGCTCACCACTCCTTTCTGGAGCAGCGACACCATTGCACCAGCCCTCGCCCGGCCAGACACCGGCACACACGCCTCAAGACATAAGCTCGGATTCTGACGAACCAAAGAAGGCATCCGCGGCACTAATGCTGACACAGCAATTGAAAGATGTCGCGAGATCGGCTGCAGCCAAACTTACTGGCAGCACAAGACCCTCAGATGAGCCAGCAGCCCCAGTACCTGATATCAGCGAGCCAGTAGCCGACAAGAAGAGTATTGAAGATTTCGTCATATTAGAGGACATGGGCCAAGGTGCTTATGGCCAAGTCAAGCTTGCTCGCTATAAGCACCATGGCGGAAGAAAAGTCGTTTTGAAATATGTGACGAAGCGGCGGATTCTTGTGGATACCTGGACTAGAGATCGTCGCCTCGGCACGGTACCCCTAGAAATACACGTCCTCGACTACCTCCGCAGGGATGGTCACAAGCACCCTAACATTGTCGAGATGGAGGATTTCTTCGAAGATGACACCAATTACTACATCGAGATGGCCCCGCATGGTCTGCCAGGAATGGACCTGTTTGATTACATTGAACTTCGCACAAACATGGAGGAGGACGAGTGTCGCAGCATTTTTGTCCAGGTAGCCAGGGCCATACAGCACCTCCACATTAAGGCTAAGGTTGTCCATCGGGATATTAAAGACGAGAATGTCATTCTAGATGGCGAGGGAAATATCAAGTTGATTGACTTCGGCAGCGCAGCATACATCAAGAGTGGCCCTTTCGACGTCTTCGTTGGTACCATTGGTGAGTTCAGACGAAGAAAGTTGACCCCAGTTTGAAGAATGCGTGTGCTAATTTCAAGAAGATTATGCCGCCCCCGAGGTATTGGCGGGTAAGCCATACGGCGGTAAAGAGCAAGACGTCTGGGCTCTTGGAATTCTTCTCTACACTATAGTATACAAGGAGAACCCGTTCTACAGCATCGACGAGATAATGGATCGCGACTTGCGGGTGCCTTACACTATCAGCGATGAGAGTATTGACCTTATCCGGTGCATGCTCAACCGCGATGTCACGCAACGATACGACATCAACCAAGTGTTGAATCATCCATGGTGCCAGATGGATATTTGAAAGCTTGGCAGGGAGACTGAACTGGGCAGGGGCTGGGATTGATGAATGCATAACGAGACATTACCCTGATGAACACTGGAAGAGAGGTGGTTGACTAGATGACGAAACGTTTGGTGCATGATACCCTCGAAGAGCTTTTGTTTCTTTTTCTTTTTGGTTCTGTTCGAAGACGAAGACGAAGATGAAGATCATCAACCTCATAGAACGCTCAACGACAATAGGGACCCGGGACAAAGCATACTGGGGGTGGGGGGTGGAGTTGCGAGATGGACACACAGGAGGGCGGCACAGTTTGCAATCCACAAAGGTCTGGTAGAAAGGAACTTTTACATAGGCGATACAAAGGCGGCAGCGTGCATCGATACAGATCAGATCAGATCAAACAGAGCAGCTCAAGGAAGCAATTATTAGCCAGCCAATAAAGCAGCTGATCGTAGATATGAGCTTCGTGGTGAACGAATGCGCGTAAGACAGGAATTGAGGACGGTCGGGAAGAGTTTAGTAATCCCATAGTATTACAATGGGAGAAAAGGGGAGAAGCGCACTCCACGTCCTCGCTGCTATATCACACATCAGCAGTGGCTGCGCTTATGTTTACGGGTCTGTCAAACAATATACTCATCCCCGGTTACTCTCTTAAGGGATCTTCGTACGTCATGCTGCTGAATGCCTGGGTCTAAGCACGAGATGATTCCGAATTTACCATACTTGAGCATAAGCTATCGTTACTGGTATACCGTGTTGATCCTCGATGACATCCAAATGGCGTTGTTGACATCACTTGTAGACTTGTTAAAAAGACAGGGTGCTACTACATTGTATTGATCCATGTCTAGCCGCGTGTGGGTGAATATCCTACATTCGTTACTTGCCGTTTCACGTTTGCATGATGTTCTTGCATAACAAAATTTCGGGTGGCTGATTCCCTCGCATCGGCTTTCAACACACGTAAGTCTATAATTCTATGCAAAGAAATGGCGACTTGCTCCATCTCAAACTGTTTCTCCGGTATTCGGGAGTAGCCAGCTCGCTCAGCCGATTCCTGAACTGCACAGTTCATTGAGAATGCTCCGTAGAAGCAACAGTACCGGACTTTCAGGCATACACTATCATTCCAAGAACACATCGTCTGACCATTCCAGCTCAAGACCGTTATTCTTCTCGAAATCTTCGACAGACATGGTCATACGATTGGCATTTTATTCAGCCTACATTCTGTCCAATAGAACTGTTGGCGCCCAAGTTCGCTAAAACCCGCCGTATCGTCTCCTGCCGCTCGTCGTACACCCTCTGCAGATGCCTCAGCACTTCGTCCGCCATGAGCTCCTTGGCGTGTTTCTTGCCCAGGATATCCTTCACATGCCCCATATCGGGCGGGAACTTCAGACGCTGCGTGTCGACAACTTCGAACTCAGGACTTCCGCACCAGAATCCGCGGATCTCCTGCTCGGCCAGGTTATAACGGGGCGCCTGGATGCCGAGCTTCTTGCAGTACTGCTCCACAAGCGACAAGGCCGAGAGCTCGCCCCCGTTGCTAAAGGGTTTGTTGCCGTTAGCTCCATCTCCCAGACCCATGGGGTTCTGAGTCATGACCCTGGCTTCCGGCGGCGTGGGTGGTATCCGGCGCTGCTTCTTAGCGGCCGGCTGCTGCTGGGATGTCGCAGGTGTTGTTGTCGTCATGGTGGGAATATTACTATTCGTCGATGACGCCTTGGGCTTCTTGAAGGTCATGTCCTCGGTGTTATCGGGGATGAACTTCTTCATCTTGAGCCACTCGATGGCACACTTGGCCGCGTACTGCTTCGCGTCCTTCTTGCGGGCGAAGGAGGGCACGGCGTCGTTGATGAGGCCCGTGCCGGGACCCGGGAAGGGAGCGCTGTTCTCCTTGATTTGGACGGAGCAGGTGAAGCGCGGGGGTGCTGAGGGGACAACGGGCTCTTCCTTGAAAATGACACCTGAGTTGGGGTCTGGGTAGGCATTGCGATATCCTATGGGGTTTGTTAGTGTTTGGTTTGAGAAAGCAGGCGAGTGAATGTGAAAATAACATCATAACTTCTGAGCAGTTCTCGAAAATGCCGGGGGCCTACATGTTATAGAAAAGACAGAGGGAACTCACGATGAAGCAAGCTGACCCAATCAATGCCCCCGATATCAGGTTCAATTTGCGATGGCCTTATAGCATTATGCAAGTCCTGAAGCGCCTTGCGCTGAGCTGGGGAAAGCGGTGCAGGTTGACCATGCGCAGCTTCATGGTCCCGTTGCTGCAGGGCCCATTCAGATATCTCAGTGTAGATTGACGAAGCAACAGCCATCGTGGTATCGAAGTGACGTTGAACGTTGCAGCCTCACTTCAAGTCGTGGTCATGTGGGGGTGTGATCGGGGAGTGCTGCGTTTGAGTGGCCGGCTAAGGTGGATATTTTGGCACCACAAGTACGACAACGTGGAATTGCAAAGAATGTCACTTAAGATACATGAACGTGACACTGTCTAAAATTGCCGGGTTCATGAAAGGAAATCAGACAAAAAGTTTCTTTCAGAGCTGGTTATATCCATGAGTCCAGACCGTGATTGTCCTCATGGTAGTTAAATTTGCAACTTGGCGGGGTTATCGTAATGATCAAATAGCGGGGCTATGCAGAAAGTGCAAAGTACATTACCAAGACAATTTTCCTAATGTGTCTCTCCCGAGTTCATGTATGTGTAATAGCACTGGTCTCTCTGTTACCAGTGACTTTCATGTAGCGTGTGGTAGCTTTAATGAATGAAACCTTTTACTCCGTATAACACATAAACTCATATAGATCTACAATTGCTGTGGATTGTGATGGTGGGTTGAGACCCAGTAACAAACTTCCTTTCTCGCGCGAGCTCTCCATCTCTCTCTCTCTCTCTCTCTCTCTCGCTGGGTATCAATGCGTTGTGATTTTCTGTAGGTACTTCTTCTACTTCTCAAAGAACCCGCCATCGCTGTCCGAGTCTGAGTCCGAAGAATCTGATGAAGCAGCTGCACCTGACTTCGCTTTGTTTGGGTTCTTCAAGAACATCCTACCCTCTCCTGGCCGAGTAGCAGCGGCATCCGGAGTGAGTTTGCTCTTTGCCTTGAGAGCCTCGGCCTTGGTCGCGAAAGAGTGTTTCGATGGGCGCTCCTTTGGTGCCTTGGATCGAGAATCTGATGCCAGCTTTCGATCTCTGAATTCAAGCAATGCAGGAATGCCCTTCTTCGCAAGCTTCTCTATCGTAGGCCACATGGAAGGTCTCTCGGCTTTGAGAGCTTTTGCTGCCGAACTTGCCGTCTCGGGCTTCTCTCCACCATTAACTTCCAGACCTAGCGTGGCTACGGGATATAAGCTGACATAGCGTTGGCGCAGTGGGAAGAATTTGGCGTAGAGGCTGTCTATCTGGGCGATGTGCAGGTCTTCCTCGAGTTTCTTGATTTCCTCAGGATCTTGGGATTCGGCAATTTGTTTCTCGATCTGTTTGGCGAGCCGGTCTGCCTTCTTTCGTTCTGTGGCATGTCTGAGAACACAACTCGCGAACATTCCTAGGTATAAGGGACGTGACGTACCGTAAAATCGCACCATGTGGTACTTCTTGATCATTTTCTTCGTCTTTTTCGAATCCTCAGCCTCCTCGATCTTCTGCTTGTGATGCTCCAACTCCCTCTCCATATCGTTCTTGATGTTAGCTGGAAGATTTTGCCCCGTCCTGAACTTTCTCTCGATCGTCCGCGCTCGTTTCTTTACCCAATTGATGTTGTTGGGCTTTGCCTTGGTCTTCTTGCCGTTCTTGTTCTTGGCTCGCTTCGATGGGTGAAGACCCGGGACGTATTCTCGAGGCTTAGCATCCTTCCTGCCAGAGCCTGCTTCCTCGTAATCTGAGAACTTTCTCTTTGAATCACCCATGATGGAAGGTGTGTGTTCTGGTCTCGCTCTTTGGACTAGTGGAAGTAGAAGTCGCAGAAAAATGCACCTGGGGAATTAAGAACGGGCTGCGACGGACTTTGAAGCCAGAGAAAAATAAAGCGGAACCCGGGGTATAATTTAACCGGCGTTGTACCGGTGGTACTTGGTATATCTTCAATGGACTTTGGGCCAACCAATGAACCGCAACTCATGCAAATGCATCAATCTTGACCTTGACCTTCCCCGGCTCTGGGAAGCTGCATTCTTCCATTGCAATAAATGATATCGAAATATAGGTGAGGCTGCCTATCAAGACTGATCATGCCTGATCGGGGTGAATAGTTGTCATACTAATAATACTCTCAAGGGGAGCTGTCTAAAGTTACAATCACATTCAGTGCTGCAACTCATGACATCCCCCCAAAGCTCAAGTGGCCCTATAAGGCTCTGAAGCGGCGAGCTCCTGTCAAATATCAGTTCAACGAAGACTCTAGCATCCAGCACCATAACGCAGTCATGGATCGCCCAGAGCCTGGTCTCATCAAGTGGTCGCCCAATGCGACATACGACAGCTTTCTGCACATCAATTTACAGCATCGTGTTGTGCAGATTTATGAGCCAACTGGTCATGCGCAGCGCGGCAAGTTTGATTTTCAAAAGCTGTCCAAGCATGACGACTTTCCTCCGCTGACCACTTATGACTGGTCCCCGACCATTCCCGGCCTCGTCGCCGTGGGCACATCGAATGGTGTTGTCAATCTTCTCCGCGTTGATGACAATCTAAATCATTACTTGGAACTGAAGCTGAGGAATCCACGTGTCTGCCAAGCTGTGGCCTTCAACACAGGCAATCTTCTAGCTGTTGGTCTGGAACGAGTCCGGAATGATCAATGTCTGCATATATGGGATGTGAATCGAATCTGTCACATGGACTCGACCACACCCGGCTTTCCCGTTGACGATTCAACGCTCATTGAACCTATTCATCGCTTAGAGCCCAGTGTTGCCGTTTCAAGTGTCAAGTTCTTCGAGGATAACAACCAGCTCCTTGCGGTAGCGATCAAGAATTCGGGAATCCGAATTTACGATCTCCGAGGTAGTCTTCGCCCATGCCTATAGTCTGTATCGGATGAGGCTAATGCTGCAAAGATCCCCATGTTCCCGCCATAACGAATCAGACCAAGTGTAACAACAACTTGGCCATCGATTATGCGGACCAGAACTACTTCGCTTCCTCGGCGCTCGATCAGCCAGGCGTCATGGTCTGGGATCGAAGAGCGATTTCACGCACATCTTCTTCTCCAGTATATCTCGACGCTGTTGATACAGACGATTTGCCTTGGGGGGCTGCATTGAGGCTGGATCGAGCTATTGACGTCCAGGCCGATCGAGATGAAGATAAGCACTCATTAATTCGCTCGGTGCGGTACTGTCGAGATCACAGAGGCTTGCTGGCCGTCTTATCCCGGACCGGCCAGCTCAAGATCATGGACACACACAAGGAGTTCACCACACCTGACATGGAGTATCAAGGCAGCCCTGAGCTATTGCAAGTGCGGAGATCTTATGAGCTTGATCACAGTTACGACCCCAAGAAATCCGATAGAATTGTCTCGTTCGACTGGATTACCCTTGATTCCCCAGTCTTGACTCCAAGGGTTGTAGTTTTGCGAGCCAACGGCGCTTTTGACATTCTCGAGAAGCCCTCATACACGTCAGAGCATGTCTACAAGATGGTCCCATGGCAGCCACCCTACCGTGGCGATGAAGGTATGATTTAACATGTGCCTACGGATGATCATGACTGATCTGTTTGTAGATGGCAGCAACTATCATGACTTTATGCAGCTCGAAGGACCTCAGTACTCAGAGATGATGGGGTCTATACTTATTGAGAATGCACTTTCTGACATACCCCTGTTCGGAGAAGAGAAAGCGGACATCGAGACTATTATAGAGAAGGCGCTACAGCCCCGCTCACCAGAACATGCTTGTGTTGAAGATGCCGAGGCGATTACTGCGCCTCTCCCTCGTTTATTCACACATGGAGCGACCATGGCAGACAAGTTGCGAGGGTTGAGAAACTACTCTAAGCAGCACCTGAAAGTGAGCAAGTCCAAGGCTGGATATGGGCAACATCATCCGAGTCGTAAGGAAATCGCCCCAAAGACAGAAGGGGTTGCTGCAGGCAAGGCCGTAACGCGCTCAAATCGACATTCGCATGAGAAACTGCTCAGCTTGAGCCTCGACACGAAAGGATTCCCCAAAGAAGCTCAGCTGGTTCTCGACCACGTTGCTCTTCTCCGTGCTAAGGATAAATATCTGTTCGATTTTGCAGCAAACCGAGACATCGTGTCGGACGATCCGTGGCTCCGGGACATGTGGGATTGGATCGCTGGTCAGTGGCATCCACGTACTTGATGAAAACAGACTAATTATCGATAGGGGCAGCACAGGATGCGGCTGATGAAGGTATGGTGGCCTTAGGTCTGGATCTTAGCTACATGGGGGTGCACGCTATTTGGGCAAACGATCTAGGTATTTTCACAGGTAGTTCTGACATGAACTCAACTAATGGCGTCGCAGGCCGTCAAGCAGCATCCAGACTGGGTGAGGGAATCGTCCCGCCGGATGCTGCAACCTTCGAGAGCTGTATTGAAACCATCAACCAAAGGTCTGGGCTACCGAGATGGGACGGAGCGATGACAGCCTGGCCGGCTCATAGACGAGCCTGTTCGAGGATAGCTCTCTGGGGCCGGTCTTCCCAGACGGACTTCAATGACTATGTAAAGACACCGGCGTCAGAGCGTAACTCCTCGTGGTATACGATGACGACAGCACACGCACTGTTCATGGGCGACACCAAACAAGCAGTGCAAACTCTGAAAGCTGCCAGCACGGAGTACCCCGAGCTGCTGTTTGTGTCGCTCGCCTTGCAGCTGATTGGACGAGGTGATGTAGACGCCCATCAGGCGAAGGAACAGCTCGACTTCGACAGCGCAGTGGCATCCAAGACAGATCCATATCTACGAGCCATCTCATCTTTGATCGCTACGAACGACTGGGAGTCGATCGCTAACCAAGAATCTCTGCCGCTTAGAGAGCGCACATTCATAGCTTTCCGGTACTTCAACGATGAGAGGCTGACAGCATGGCTCGACAGGCAGGTGGCCAAGGCCATCCACACGGGCGACATTGAGGGCATTGTACTCACGGGGATCACGGACAATCTCATCGACATCTTCGCCAAGTACGTTGAGAAATTTCACGATGTCCAGACGGCCACTCTAGTACTATCTATCTGTGCACCACGTTACATTGACGATTACCGTTGCCTCGCCTGGCGCAACGCATACCGAGCTTATTTGCAACGCTACAAGGCCTTCTATCAGCGGACTAAATTCGAAGTGGAGAGCACTAAAAAGAGCAAACGAGGTGACCTCCCGACCGTCAAGCCGCCGTCCCGCCAGATCGCTCTACGCTGCATCTACTGCGATGCCGAGTACGAGCTGTCCAAGACAGGATCTGGCCCGCCATCGGCCGGGGAGCGGAGAAATCCCTTGATGACGACGAGCATCAACGCCGGTGTGAGCTGTCCGACGTGTGGTCGCCACCTGCCCCGCTGCGTCATCTGCCTGGAAGTGGTGGGTATCCCGCGCAGCGACAGGCCCGAGTCGGCGACAGATCTAGAGAAGAAGGTCGCAGCTAGGTTCCCGACTTTCTGTCTCAAGTGCGAGCACGTCCTGCATCTGGACCATGCGAGGCAGTGGTTCACCCGTCACGTAGAGTGTCCTGTGCCCGAGTGTCGGTGTCGATGTAACTTCAGGGCGAATCCGGAGCTGAACTACCATTGATGGAGATGAACAGGAAAGTTTCGGGGTGCTTTGTTAGTCCCCCATGAGAGAGTATAACTGATTTCCACGAGGCTATATTGTGCACATAATGAAGCTTCTTGCATGTAGCACTAGATACCATCGATCTTTAGGCATGTGAATTACTCAGATCAGCAATGATCACCCCATTTGGAATATATGTATCATCACTTGTATAGATTGGTTCCATGAAGTGCATAACTGCCATTTGCTGAATTGCAACAAATCCCCGAATGCTGGGCTCATTTCATGGCAGCAACATGTCTACGCTTCGCACCCAGTTGAGAGAGTATCTTATTGGAAAATCTAATTATATGTCCTAGGTATGACTTCAATGTGAGACTGCACAAGTGGCGTGGATGTGAGGTCAATTGTGAACGAGCCAGTAGTTGTATTACACTTGACACTGCGTTGGTCGCCTTCTAGGGTCAGATCCGTCATGGGCAACATACGACCAAATGGACCATGCTTGTCTATAACGAGGCATTTCTGCATACTCATTCCGGCTTTTTGGCGATCTGTGATAAGGAAAAGTTTCGTACTTCATGGCTTGATGGCTTCTCTCAAGAGAATAACGATCGATCTGATATGTAGCCATCAAACCCCAGCTATCACAAGCCGCCCCTGTGAACTTCATGACTCTCTCCCCCCTCTCCTCCCCCCTCTCCTCCCCCCTCTCTTCCCCCCTAGGCCACCCCCGCGACGACCACCACCGACGCCTCGTGTGTTCTTCCCTTGCGGCACCCTCGCAATCACCCCCTCGGGCAGATCAGCCACCTTCTCCCCATCCCTCCACAGCTCTCCCACCCCCTGTTTCCGTCCCCTGACCTCCTTAAAATACTTAGTCGGCACCACGCCATCCGCGTTTCCCGCGGTGAGAACGACCTTGTTGGAGCTGAGCCACCAGCTCATGTCGCCCTCTTTTAGACTCTTCTCCACGTCGACAAACACTAGCACTTCGGCATCGCTCCGCATCCCGCTCACGACCTTGGGCCTGCCTTGACCCTGCTCGGATGCTGCAGCCGTTCCGTCACCAGCTTCATGGGCCTGTTGCTGCTTCCCCTTTCCCTCACCGACTTTAGCTCCGTCCTCGGGAAACCCAGTGCCAAAATGGACGTGCGTCCGACCCATCTTCTTTAGCCCGCCGCCTTCTATAATCTGTGGCCAAAAAGCAAAGTATGTGCCGTGGACGACGACATCGGGGATATTGCCTGCGTCAAGGGTAATGGGCGTGTGAATGCCCTCGCTGGACAGCTCGATGCTGTGACCCTGGTTGGCGCGGATGAGCCAGTCGGCCGGCTCGGTTGAATCTGTGGTGGTGGTGGCGGGGTTGAGCTTCATGCTGAAGCGCTGCTTAGCGTTGGTTTGCACCTCACGCTGGATGTCTGCGAATGTTGGCTGGAGGGAGCGGATGCGTGGCCATAAGAGCTGGTTGGTGGTGTTAGTACGAACTGGAACATAGGTACATAATCGACGGGCGGGATGGAGGGGAGTGCGGTCAGCTGGCTAGCTTTCTTGTGACCGCGTCTCTTGTATCCGACTCCTCTCATCTGGTGGAACGATAAGAGGTCTGATAGAGTCGGTATCCTGCCAGCAGCTGGTATAGAACCTCGGTTGATAATAACCATCATGTCTCGTCTGTTCATCTAATCCAGTCTGCCGTGGACGTCGTTTCAAATATCCTCCGCTCCCCAACCTGATCTGATCCTAGAACAAGAAACCAAGAACATTAACTTACCACTTTATCCAACCTCGCAAACCCCTCGCTATTCAGCTCCACCCCCGCGGACTGCGCCTGGTGTCTCAACAGCGTCGACAGCGCCTTGGAGATCTGGACATCCCTCCCAGGACCAGCACCTCCACCGCCTCCTCCTCTTCCTTCGCGCGGACCCTTACCGCTCTTGGGTACTTTGGGAGTGCGGATCTTGAACTTCTCCTCCAAATCGTTGTCGTACTCGTCCGCCATCTTCTCCGTCGATCCACCCGGAGCGATACTTGAATTATGGCTTTGGGCGATGATTATGCGACTGGCGAGATTGACACGTCCGAAGCTGGAAACTACTCTGCGCAAGAGGATGCGGGGATCCAGTTTTGGAGATTTTGTAAGGTGTGTAGAAGATTCTAGTAATCGGTTGCTGTTTGGTGTTTATGGCATTTTATATAGATCAGTGATGCTGAAAGTATAAACCGGAGATTGAAGGAAAATTGTCGGGGCCCCAATCGATATTCCGCCCCAAAACCGACCGGCCTGAGTCACCATTAAAAGATGAAATTCCTGTATCAAATTCACCGCACCACTCCGTGCAAGAAACAACTACAAAAGAACGGGGGCGGCTTCTTGCCCATCTGTTTGGGCCCTATGGTGGTGCTATTCGAGGTCCGCAGAACTAAACGTCAATACCCTAAATATAGACCTTGAACACCCGAGCCCACGTCCTGCCGCATAATTTCACATATAACCACCCAATCATTCCCGTCAGAACAAGCTGGCCTACTACTCCGTAGGGAGCAAAAGCTCCCTTCCAAAAAAAACATAAAGTATGCACACATTACCATTGGTTCCACAGACACTATTTACAGTACATCGCTTCTGTTCTCACTCTACCCTCATGAAGGACAAAAGACTGCCAGATAACTAGCATCGGCAAGGGGCCGATAAGGGGATCCTTCTCGCAAGCATCGCTTTTCCACCATTTGCCAAAGCCCTGGCCATAATATAACTCCATGCCGCAGTTCCTCTCCGGCGACTGTAGCGCCACAAACAAATGTCAGACCTACTCCGCTGATCGCATTGACGCCCGTCGCCAGCAGTGGGATTGCGGCTCGCCGAGCCATAGTTCATATCTGAAACAGGGTGATCTCTCTCGTCCATCATCGGTGAGAGTTTCCCCTGGGTCGATGCCATTTTCGATTGTGGGCTCCAACAATGGTCTTGATTTTCCCAATGAAATACAGGCTGCAGAACAATGTTGATGCTCGCCCTGTCCGCCATGCGCGAAAAAAAACGTCGTAAAATGCTGGGCCAATACAGCCGGGGAAGGGGAGGGGGTATTAGGAAGGAAAGGTTGGTCTAATCATACCGTTTTTTAATGCATAGGATGATCATGTTTGCCGAATCGAATAAAAATATAAGAAGTACAAATCGTCACCATTTGATGTTTAGTCATGGCATTCGTCATCGGTAGCCACCAGCTTGGGCCGCCGTCGAGCTGTTCGTCATCATACTCGCTCTCTTGTTTGTACTCATTGTTCGCCCGAGACCAATATTCGAACTGAGTGAATATTGTCTCTGGCCTCTATCTTCGGCCGGTCTCTCACCGACGTTGGAGGTATCCCGATCCCCTGTTGACCGATCGAAGTATCGGCGCCCCGGTAATCCCGACGTAGTGGATGGTTGGACTAATCGAGTGCTTAGTATCGATGACGCCACTCGCCGTCTAGGCAAAGCTGACGAGGTTAAAGAATTGGTCTCGATGGATGGCAATGGCATGTGTGAGTTGTATTCACGGCTTCCAGCTGGCTTAGTAGCGGCGGCCTCTGTGGCGGCGCGCGCAGGACCTCGAAACCGAATCGTTTCTTCGTCATCAAAATCAGCAGCGGCTCGACGAGTTCGAAGCAGAGATGACTTGCGACCCGAAGGTGGCTCCTCAGGCTCTTCCGTTCCCGCACGGCGAGTTCTCAACATGGTCGTCTGGCGTCCGACTTGGTCTTCGGGCTCTTCCGTTACCGCACGACGGGTGCGGGAAACCATCAAAGACGTTTTTCGAGCAGACCGTTCCGGCGTTGGAGGGATATTCGCTCCGTACCGGGAGCTCGGGCTGGGCAGTGTATTAAACATCATACTATTACGTTTCTCCTCGAGTCGAGTAAGTGTTCTGGGGCTTGTTGTCAGGGCTGCCGGGCTGCGTTCTATGAGGGCTGCACTTGATCGTCTTTGCGCAGCCAGTCCGGAGAATCTAGTAATTGTGGGACTGGCTTCCAGGTCGGGTTCGGATTTGGGGTCCGGCGTTGAGGCTCGAGCTGGTTCCTGTTGCTGCTTGATCTGAGCTGCGGTTTCACTGAGGGCCAGGCACAGTTCCGTCAAACTACGGCAGATACTATCCGCTTTTCGCCGTAGTTGACGATCTGTGATATTACCACCGCTACCAATGTTGCTCGCGCCGCTTGAGATGGGGCCGGGTTGACCAGCGGGGCCAATCATGGCGGCAAGAGCCAGAGCATCTGTAGCGGCTGTCTCCAGTGCACTGTAGATATCGGACCCCAAGAATGGTTTAGATTTGTTCAGGGCGGATTGGAGGATGGGATGACCCTCCCTTTGTGAAGATGCTGTACTGACAACATCAGTTTGTTGTACGGCGCTGCCGGAACCGCGCTTCGGTGACGCGGACATGGTAGTGGCATTTGTGGTAGCGGTAGGTGGCCGCTCCTCTGTTGCTCGAGAAATAGCTGCACCAGACGTGGCAGGAAGCTTGCCCGTCAATTCGAGGCGGTGTATGCGAGATTTCATGTCATCCAATTCGTCCCATACTGTCGATGGTGCGGCTGTAGACGCAGAAGAATCGGTGCCCTCATGACCGTTGTGGTCAGTCTGTTGGGTGCTTTCATTTCTTTGAGATTCCATAGCTTTGGGCACGAGAGGAGAGGAGTTAAAGGTGCGTCCGTGGGTATAAGGGGAGAGTGCAGATTGTTTGAGGGAGGACATGCGCGAGTCGGTAATGGACTGCCGCCTACGGTTGTACGCAGAAGCGCCTTCTGACGAACCATCCTGGAAAGCCAATGACCGCGGCGTCAGCGGCGAAGGTCTCGAGGGGATACCACTTCCTTTAGGCTTGGAGTCGTCTGTAGTCTTCTCTCTCGCCAATCCCCTGTAGGTTAATGTACGAGTGATGCGCTCGGCTGATTGGTCTTTGCCATAAGTTCTGGCTCTTGAAGTCTCTGGCTGATCCGACAAGCGCCTCAAGACCTGAGGCGGCGATGTGGGCTGGTATGACGGAATAGCCGCCGACAATGGGCGACGGTGCGCCGACCGTACGACTCGGGACTATTAGCAGATTGGCGGTCAGTGGCTTTGGTCTAATGACATCTCCATGACGGGGCGCGCGTTTTAATGGCAGTTCATTCCACCGTGGCAGGGATAATATGTTGAACGGTTAAAGGGTGTGACTCGTGACAGGAGCACCACATCCTGAATGGGGAGAAATATACTTTGGTCCGTCGGTCATCGGTGCGCAAGACCGTCCCTTAAATGACAACTGGTGCGGCAGCGAGGGCGGTCGGATGCTAGTACCATCCAAGCGCGAGCAAGGGGAATACCTCTAGATAACCACGAAATACTGAAAAAGGGAAAGCTTGTCCGACTTACAACTGCGCTGGAGCTTTCCGTGTAGCCGCCATTCTCACCAGCGGCCCGTCGGCGATCCTCCTGTGCGATTCTTAGAAACACGTCGCCGCTGTCGTCGATATCTGGCTGGTCGGTAGCCGAATCGGGTGGTGTCAACTGCTGAACATCATCGTCCTGTCGGCCTTCAAGCGCCCTCAGGGTTCTGTCTCGGTGGGTTTTATCGGTGTAGTCGTCGCCCCCGTCGTAGGAGCGCATATTTCGGATGTTCATATCGAGAACAAGGCTTCTCCGGGAGCCTGAGGACCGAAATGATCGAATCGGCGGTACGGCGGTTGTAGTTCCTGCGTTGGCCGTGGTTGGTGGTTTGTAGGAGACTGGTGGACGTCGTACCAAGCCTTTCTTATCATCGGCTCGCTGCACCGTCTTTGGGAGCAGTAGCTCTCTTTGGCCCTGCGCCCAATCTTTAGTGACGTCGTCGGAAGGCGGTCTGCTTGACGTTTGACTACCGTCAACAGAGTTTTGCCGTTTGGTGCTCAATGCCGAAGGGGAACCGGTCGCAGTCTCTATACCATTTGAACTGTAAGAAGCTGGGGCGCGTTGTATTTGCGACCGTGCAGCCACTATGGTTGTAGTGGAGTCGGTCGGTGACTTGATGCCGCTCGGATCTGCCTGTGCTGCCGACGCAGACTTCTGGCGCTGATGCTGGTGCTGCACTTGAGCTGCTGCGGTCGATGAATCTAGAGATACGGACCGCTTCACGTTACTTGAGGGCAAGGCCGTTGCCGTCTGCAACGTGGATGCCCGAGACCTGGTTGGACTCGTTTTCGGGGACGCGTTCGCGGTTGATTGTTCGGGTGAGACAGGATTGTGATTGTGCCGTTGGTGCGTGCTTGTTGCTTGTGTGATTGTTTCGTCGTGGTCGGGGGAGACAGGCGAGGGTGGAATTCCCTTTTGGTGCAGCAATGACGGCAGTGCAAGCGACTTTTTTTGCAGGTCGGCAAAGCGGAAAGCTGGCAGTTTGGACGGGTTGTGGCTTTGGCGGTGGGCGTGATAGTTGCTGTTGTTGCAGAAAGATGGAGGCGCGCATGATAAGTCGGACCAGGACTCGTCAAATTGTTCAGTTGGAGTTGTGGCCGTTGCTTGAGCTGAAGCCGCCACAGCGTCAGATGGATGCGCTGCGAAACTCGATGCCATGGTCAAGGCCGATGAACTTGTTTCCAGTTCTCAGAACCTAGTCATTCGGCAAAACGCCCCAGTGTTTTTTTATTGACCTTGTACTGCCCTATTCCAGTGATGCTGTGGCTCCGTCTCCAAGTGGACAATCTGTTGCATTAATGCCCAGGAGATCCATGGATAAGCGAACGTCCACCTGTGCACCGCTGGGCGGAATCTGCGGATCAAAGAGGAGGCTGTAACGGGTTGGCGGGCCCGACGATGGAGGATTCAAGAAAAAAGAGAACACGAGTTTTCCGATGAGGTGAAGTTTGGGGTTGCAGAGGTAGGTGTCAGGATAGGAAAATAGGGTCTGGAAAATGAGCAGGAGCAAGTGACGGGGTCGATCATTTGGACAGCTAGCTCCCGACAAGCTGGGATGGATGCACGGGATGCAAAGTAGTCGACAGAAAGCTCCGCGATAGCCCACTCGAGTGCAGAGAGGTCACAGATTCGAGCAGAAGAATTGGGTCTTAGAAACAACTTCCCGTGCCTGCAGCAGAAGCCAACATTTTCTCTCCGTATTTTTTCTAGCTTTGGCCCGTGTCTATTGGGCTCAAACCAGCTACACTGACGACAAGTTCCCGGCGAAAAAGCGAGGTTGGGACCGCGGTCACAGTGTATATATTAAAGCTGTCGTAATTGACGCTGCGAGGGACCCAATGAAGGGACAGACAGGCTCCTCCCGTCGCAACCTATGATGAGACTTGAGACTGGGCAAGATGCGCTTGTCGGTGTGCTAAGCTGCACTGAGAACATGGCCATTACGAATTACATGCCACATGGGATGCATGGAGTGACGCGAGGGGGCCCTGTGGGTCAAGACTAACGATTTAAGTCTTGGGCGGGGGATGGTCTTAGAGCACTTCGTGCAGGACCACGCACATACTCGCTTGATTCGATGACAGCATTCAACTCTATCCAACATGTTCCGTCATATCAGGACAACTTGCAAAGTTGCGGTGGGCGGGAAAATCACTCACGGTTGCTTCGCTGAGCAACATTGCACGGGGAACGTCGTATCCGTACGATGACAGCGCCACAACACAGTACACAACTTGATAACGAGGTGCCGTGCTCTGCCAGCAAGAAACGAAACAAGTGTGCAGATTTTGATGTGAACTCTGAAGTCGTTGAAGAGGCCCCAGCACATAACCGACCAACCAGAAGCCCCAATTGATATCTCAGGAGGAGGAAGGGGCTGAGTGGACCCGCAGATTTACATGGCCAGGGGTTTGGGGGCAAAAAGGCGTTCCTAGGAACGTCGTCGAGTAATTTGGTTATATTCGTAATACTGGGATAATCGCTGTAGTTGAGAGTGTTGGAGTTCGTAGCAAGCATCGCACATTTGGATTTTCGTCGACCAAGACCTGGATTAATCAGGCTGATGATAGTAATATAAGGCCCTGCCACCCTGTCAAACTTTAGTATCCAGCATCAAGATTTATTACAGCAAAACCATTGCAATCGTTGACGGACGGCGTCTTGAGTATCACAATTAGCTTTAGCCAGGTCATTGGCCTTCATGCACAGCACAGTCCTGCCAAACACGCACTGCAGCTGTCAGCCAATGCGGTCCGACACTCAATTGACAAGACTGCAACACGAAAGGGGTTGCAGCCGATATCCTACCCCGAGTGCTTATTTACTCAGGAATTCTCAGCATAACCAACATCGGCGACGCGACGATTGTCCTGCTGCTGCAGAGAACCATTTATGCTATGCGGTTAAATGCACGAGACGTGACAGGGGTCGATACCTCAACTTATGGGGAAAGATCAATATGATGACGGCCCGCTGCCAAACTAAAATGGCGAAGAGTGGAAACGTACAAAGTCAGCCACATCAAGACTTGATACCATACCCTTACTTCGTATTAACAGCCGCAACAGGATCATGTAGCGAGTAATGTCGGGCATTGTACGATGAACTCTTGTTTATTTAGATCGTCAAAATATCTCTCGGCGGAGAACCGCCAGGGGAAAGTCCAGGTTACTGGCCTTGGGGATGATCAAACACTCGGGTCTGGGCCCCTCTGACATTGACAGGCCTTGACGAATGCTAATGCGGGGCCTGTAATTAGAAATCTCCGTAACGCCTCGATATTTGCATGCACAGAACCCCGACATGTGCACTTTTCTTTTCTGTGCTGGTTCTCTTCCGCTTCAGACGTCGCGAGGCAATTTCGCCAACATCATCTAACGAGGTCTAAAGAAGATGATGGTGTCGTTGCAGCTGGGGTAGGGCAGCTCGGACATTTCACGACCTCCAACCAACGAAGGCCCGTGAGCCTGGCTCACCATGTCTTGAAATGGGCAGGGACGCGAATGAATGCCACCAACAAAAGTGCTCGCGTGAACCGAGCAGAACTGATAGCCAAAAGCTGCATCAGAAGGCGATTAAGTCGGGCCGGCAAGCAAAAGTGTTCGCCCGTCGAATCGGCGAAGCAGCGAGGGTAGAACAGCGGCAGATGCACATTCCTGTGGCTCCAAAACCACATGTTCTTTATGAACCGAGATCCCGCTGCCGTATTGACGGTGTCAAATCTTAGGCTTCTCAGTAAGGTCGGTAGTGGAAATGACAGAGGTCGGTTCGGTACCTGGGCGGAAGTTATATCAGGTGTGGGCCGAGATTGATCAACCGTCGGGCGGTTCTGATGTAGAATGTGGGTCAGCTCCGATCCGACGGGGCCGCATCAGGCCAAAACTCCGGTAAGCATCCGCATTGAAACTTGGAATCCCGTGCTACAATTCACTGGCATCTGCCTCTCGTTGGTATGGGCGACGAACGTAACTAGTTTTGAGTCTCAGTCCATACTGATGAGTATATTTTTGTGGTGACAACTGGAGGAGCTTGGCGTAGCAGGACACTTCTTCCACAAACTTCAATTAATTGTTAGTTACTTAGCTATATGGTGCCATCATGAAATTTTTTCGCCTATGGAACTCGAAAGAATGGTATGTTTGACCAGATGAAGTGATTTACGGTCTAAGAACGAACTGTTGGTTATGCGACCTGAATACGAAGAATGGAAGAGCGTATGGGATGAAGGGGCAAGGACTTGCAAGTTTCCCATGATACTTGTCCTTGCAACAAAAATACATTCGCAAGATCCTTCGAAATGAGACGACCCAGCACTTCCGACCAAGGTGAAAGAAAGGTTGCCGTACAGAAGTGTAACCTGGGAGGTCCAGGGGCTACAACTGCCTGACTGAAGGTACCAAGATGCGAGAAATTCCAGCCAACATACAAGGTTGTAGTAGGGTCTCAGCTTGCTATTTGGGGCTGAAAAAGTTGCATATTTCGAAAGTTTGACGAACTGATGGTGCATTTTTCCCAATCAAGTGAACAATGCGAAAGCGGCGACATGTTTGGCTTGCGGGACAAGGCCTCATTGCTTGGGTGACATCGGCTTCGTCATGAGGATGAGATGACCGTGGAGGCAAAACTCTATATCTAACACTCCTACAGCACTCTGCTCAATCCAATATCTTGCCGTGTCTAATGTATAAACCTGGGCATTTCGTTGGGTAGTCAGTGACGGGAGATACGACAGTAATGAAGTTTCAATCAGTTCAACACAGAAGAAGTAAAGAATAGAGTTAAAGGACTAGCTTGCGGTCTAGGACAAACTAGACTTGAAATCAAAAAGCAGAGATCGCATGAATGCTCGGCCCACGCCGGTAACGGATACGAGGCTGGTCATGCGCGGGCCCTCGCGGTAGGTGGCAAAGAGGCCGGTGCGTATAGTGCAGATTTAAATCGACTCAATCGGAGTATTTACGGCCCTGCTGCCGGACATTAATGATCGCCTTGGGGTAAAGGAACCGCAAGGCAACGGATCCAGATGTCTGTGTTGAGACAGCAAGTCCGAGATACTGGCCCAAATCAATCAAAGTGCCGTCATGAGATCAGCAATTGGACAGGGCAGGAGGGGGGACTCGGATGAGGTGTGTTTAGACATCAACAACAGTGGTGAATATCTTGTCTGAAGATACTGAGGAGGGCCACAAATTAAACATGGCACGTACGTCTGAGCCGCAGTCCTGGGACGGCGGCGGCCTGGACCAGTTCACGCTTGCAAGCAAAGCGATGCGAAAGCGGTTGGAAGTTGGGATGAAAGGAGCTTCAGTCGCGGTCGGCGAAAGGCGCTGCAGTACCTCCCAAATCCAATCAGAGGAGTCATCTGGTAGGCGCCAGTTTTGCAGACCCCGTTGTTTCAGGTTGTCCGAACTCCACTTGCGTCGAAAATAGCAGAAAAAAGGCCCCACCGTTCCAGCACAGCGTCCTCTGGGATCTTGTATTTTCGCCGTGTCCACAAATCAACACGCATATCACGGAGCGCTCAAAGCTCGCAATCTACATCAACGGCTTACGTAGCTCATCATACTGTGGCTGCGCAAATATCAGAGGGAATGTAAATATCGTAAGCCGTCGAACTATAGCATAATGTTATTGTACGGTTCCGGCCAAACATCTGGGGATACCCTCTCAGATGTTACTCTGCAAAGTGTGCGCAGAGCCTCCGATGTTTCGTTCGAACGATCGGCTAAATCACTCTGCATCATCACGCAACCGCGGCTCAAGTGTCGTAGGAGCATCGCATTGTTGGACTGATGGGAGCAAAACTATTGTTTGTTGGTAGTTATAACCGACTGAGAATGTTATCGTCCGCGGTACATATTGGGAACGGACCTAACGAACGCACGCAGGGGAGCAAATGGTGATTGATGAACAGCCACGCCACTTGACAACGAGGAAGCAAATATGTTTTTACACCTGCCCGTTGAACTACCATCAATAACTCGACTAGAAGTATCAGGTGGACAGGCCGAGGGTTTCTGAACGTGTATGAATCTAGCGACAGAGTATGTGTTGGACCAAAGTTTGACAGCTAGTGGCCGGGATAGCCCGCATTCTTCGTTATTCTGGAATTCCATGTCGAGCAAGTTTCTAAAGCTGGCGCAGGCGCATTCTGAGTCATCAAAGCACTTAACCTTTAGTATGTACTTAATGGCACATTTAGTGATCCGAATATAGCGCTCGGCGAAGCAAGCCATTGTCTCCTGTAATGGAACCAGAATAGACAGCCACATTGGCAAGGGGAGACGAGTCTTCATGGACTTCAATTGCTGTTTTACACTGCTGAGCACAGGACAGGAAGCAACATCAGAGCCTGGAACACCATCCAGGTTCAGGGTTTGTAACGGCTGATCCCGAATCGCAATATGCGAAGCTGTAAAGAGGTTACGAATGCGGCTGCTGAGAGCATGACAGCAGTTGTACAAGCTGGACGCGTGTTGAGGCAATTGACATTGATTGTTGCTTTCTTGGCTTCCTGAACCATGAGTTCTGCAGCCGAGTCAGGGAACCTGGACGACCCAGCGCTAGCCTCGAGATTTCACCTGACACGACGTTGACCTGCCAAGGAACGCGGTCTTAGACAATGGCGGTCAGCTGCCGAGGGGAGGGGTGAACCATCTTCAGGCTGGTGTTTTCAAGACGGATTCTGCGACCTCTTAAGAAGTTTGAGCAATATCCGCAGCAACATTTCCTGATGACATTGGGTTTCCATCCAAGCCATAATTAGGACAGATCTAAGAGAGATCCCAAAGCCGCCGTGGCGCCGAGAGACTAAGGCCGCGCTCAGCGTGCAGGAATGGCGGGGGCAACGATTGGTGAGTTGAAATTATCAGCTGCAGACCAAATTTGGCCAGGCCACGGTGATTCGCTGGCCGTTGGGGCTAACTCGTGAGCGTTGCTCTATTAATAGCGACAAGTATACCCTCGCTCGTTTCGCAACACACCGCAGCAGGGGGGTGTGAAGTAGTGGCCATCCACATAGTTGCCCGCACTGCGCAATAAGGTCGGTCCTGGAGCGACAGACACAGATTACCCTAGGCCTGGACGTACAGCATGTCACAGGCCACCTGGGCAGGTTGATGAGAGCCGTCTGGCTGCTCTGGGTGGCTGGGAGAGTGGTCAAAAGTGGCCTCGTTGCATGCTTGGCTTGGTACCACTTCAAGCCGAGGCCAGGTTGCGCACAAGTCGCTGACCCAGCCATTGTTCATAGTGGCTGTACCCCAGAAATACCAGCCATTGTCGCCTGGACTAGTGAAGTGCGAATCTCTCTCAAATCAACTTTTAGAACAGCAAGCAGGAGTGCAGACGAGCAGCAACCCAGCAAGTAACCTAGCGCCTTCAACCCGCCAACCCACCAATCTGCCCACAATTACTGGCCCGCCCCATTTTCCTGCTACCCCTTCCCTTGTCGCCTCCGTTTTGGTGTCGCTTGTATTGTCGTCCGACTATCTCTCTGACACTTTCTCGAACTCTTGTCATCCATCCGCGGTTCTTTTTTCTCCCTTCACCACAATCGCCAACCGCCGCATCGCCCTACCGCCCTACCGCCCTCCACAAACATTCAATTCTGCCTTGTATCTATTATGGTACCAGTGGCCGGTAGTGTTAGAATGCGCTGACACCCAATGGATGCCCTCTGATAGCCACTGCTTGGAAACGAGACACACCCGCCCTTCTCAATTGCCCGTCCATTCCATTTCACATACATTCATTCACTTTCCACTTCCTTGGTTGCCAACACCACGACGTCGCTGCGCCGACCAGACAGTACACCTCTTGGACGGAAATCATCACCTCACCTCGAGTTCACGCCGACCCAACCGATTGATGCGCGACACGCCGTTAGGCCACTTTTTTGCCGTACAGCAATATCGACCAACTTCATATTTGACATCGCCAGCCCAGTCCTGGTGGTACGAAAAAGGATTCAGCAGAGCTGTCCAGTCCAGGCTTTGACTGCCATCACCAATACAACCCCAGCCACTCGTGGGCCATTTCCTTTTGCTCCCATAACTAATCGCCGATTTCATTCGTCCCAAGTGCGAAGGGCGAACGAAGCCCGCCGGACGATAGAGACTACCTACAAGAGGCACTTGGCCGTCGTGGTGAAGCGAAAAAGACGTGCAGAAAGAAAAGAAAGAAAGAACGAACGAAGGAAGGAAGGAAGGAGGAGGAGAAGATACTGGTTGGCGCGATCGAAACATGCCGTCTGCTGCCGCCCGACGACTGTATGAGGACCAGTTACCCTCATTCATGTCCATAATAAATCCGGAAGCGGACAACTTCGACGACAGAGGGCTTGTGACCGTGGTAGATTCCAAGTTGATGGAGATGGAGCCGACTTGCGGCGCACCCCAATTGCCAAACAGTCAACACCTACCTTTACGACCAACGCCGACAGATCTTCACCGTCACCATGACAGCACTTCGACACAAAACTCAGAATCTGCCGACTCGTCGCCAACAACGACGCTGATCACAGACACATCCTCGCTATCAGACCCGTCACCGTCGTCCTCGCCAGACTCTCCTGTCAATTTAGTACCACTTAACGCCTTCCCAGCCACCACCTTTGGTGGTCTGTCGTCCACCATGAACACCCTCACGGTGAACGAACCCAGCACTCACCGCGAGAGACCCATGACGTCGCCGTCCCCCAGGAGAGCACGAAACATGAAAGGCTTGTCCATACAACCACCGTTCAATTCACTGTCTTCGACCTTGGTGTCAGAGCCGTCGTCTCCCTCGTTCATCAAGCCCAAGATTCCTGGTATGAAGCGAAAGCCCAGTCAGCTGAGCCTCAAAACAGACTCCAATGGATTGAATGGACTGAATGGAGGTATCAATATTCGCCCCACAACACTTGAGGTCCCAGCCTCGCCAGGGCTGCTGCCGCCTATGCTCCAGCGAAGAGCTTTAAAGCACTCTACCTCCTCGCCGCACATGCTCTCCGGACTCAAGTCAGCCACGTTTGGCCCAGCCGGTGGCATGGGCTTCCCGACCCTCGGCGATAGAGGCGAGTCTGGCCTGTCTCAGATACTGCGGCCCTCTAACCAAGTTGGCCCAAGTGCTGGTAACCGAGCATCCGTAATCATGGAAGAGGATTCGTCTCCGATCAAGCCCCAAGTTGCCAATCGTGCCGCGATAGACTTTGAGCCCTTCCATGATGAGAGCGAGAAGAACGAGGACCAGAAGTCGCCTGGATACCCCGATGGTCCCATCGCCATCTACGAGGACAATGTCTACCTCTACCTGGAGCCGACTGCGGAGGAGGCGGCCAAATTTGATGTGGTCATCAATGTTGCGCGCGAAGTACTCAATCCATTCGACGCGTCAACCAAGGGCAAGGCCGAGAGTGAGCCGGAAGTCATGATCGAGTCACCCATTCCGGACACTGCTGTCACCACCGACAGCTTTGCCACCGCCTTCGAATTTCAAACGGACGAACGCATGGAGACGCCCACTACACCGAAAGCCCCCGACGCTCTCCGCGAACCAGAGTATATCCACATGCCCTGGGACCACAACACGGACATTGCAACCGACTTGATGATGCTGTGTGAGAAGATCGAGAAGCGCACAAAAGAGGGCAAAAAGGTCCTCGTTCACTGTCAACAGGGCGCCAGCCGATCCGCGAGCTTAATCATCGCGTACGGTCTCTATCAGAACCCTGGCCTGACGGTCAACGATGCATACTATCGAGCGCAATCCAAGAGCCGATGGATCAGCCCGAACATGAGGCTTATGTACTGCTTACAGGATTTCCAAAAGGAGGTGGCTAAGAAGAGGCTGCCACGGTCCGCCGCTGGGCCTCGAAGTGGACGCAGCCCTACAAAGTACCATCGACTGACCTTGTCAGCGGATGCGATCGACATGAAGCCTAAGGAACCGTTGACGGCCCCGTTGCCCGATGAGAAACCGGGCCCCGCAATAAGGAGCTCAAGCCCTGGGGGCAGCCCAGTTCGTTCACGGGGAAAATCAACATCGAACCTAGAGGCGATATCTCCTGGCCCTTCCTCCGCTCCATCCGCCTTTTCGTGGTCGTCCAAGGAGGACGAAAAAGACCGAGGCAAATTCGGTCGATTCGATTTGGACAAGATGCTAAACCCTCCCAAGTTCTTTGAATCGGAAACAGATTTGAGCTTCCCGCCCTCTTCATCTTCATTCTCCAAACCACCTCCCTCGCCCGGATTCAGACCACCATCCTTCAACTTCAAGCCTCCTCCTTCTCCCGGATTCGGCGGGTTCGGGCCATCGTCACATGAATATAAGCCGCCTCCATCCCCAGGATTCGGTGGATTTGGGCCTTCATCTCACGGTTACGATCCTCCTCCGGCCCCGGCGTTCGGCGGCTTTGGACCTTCGCTCTATCATCACAGCCCTCCTCCAGCTCCGGCGTTGGGTGGGTCTGAGTATTCGTCTGATGAACCGAAGCCTATTCCATCCCCTGAATTTGGAGCCCGTCGTTTTGGTGGCGGCCCTCAGAGCGTGGGGTTCTCAAGCCTCAACATCGGCCCTCGGGACTCCTTTGGGCCTCCAGCTGAGAAGCCCCACGAGGTGCCGGTCCAACGAGAAGCCGGGATTGGTCGGGCGCCACTCGAAGATGACACCTTGATGTCGCCTAGAGCAGAGACAATGACGAACAACCCGTTGCATGACTCATTTAGTGAGATGGCAGGGATGAAGTTCGTGGAGTCACCGCCTACCCCCGCCGAGAACTTGTTCTCTCCCAGACAAACCATGTTCCCTAGGGACCCGTTCTACCCATTCGGGCGGCCTGCTCAAGTTGCCGACCCAAGAAGTCCTCCAACCAAAGGCGAAACACCAATCGTGCGATCTATCGATGAACTGTTATAGGAATAGACCTTGTGTTCATCCAATCTACCTGGGTACGAGAACCCAACGACGGCTCATAATTGTCACGCCTCCACTCCCGTCACCCTGTATCTACAATTTCAACCACGTCGCCAACCAACACGATATACTTCATTTCAGAAGCATTCTTTGCATGGCATATAACGGCGTTCCATCACATCTGTTTTGGTGAAACCGGCGACATCCATTATGACTGGAAACGGGTTGACCTAGGATTCTGGCACGGCACTCTTGCCGCGGCTCATTCGCCCTGCGACCTTATAGGCACGATGCCAGTATGCCCCCATTGACAGGGGCAACGTGTGATACTCTCTTCTTTTCCCTTTGTCAATACCGAACAACACCCGTTCGTTGCACGTCATGTTTATCTTCTGCTTTTCTACGCGGCATGGCTCAGCACTTCGAGGGCACGGCGAAACCGGATACCCAGACGGGCACACTGCTTGGACTGCATCCTTGCGTGATCAATTTTTAAAAAGAGACTGGCTGGCAGAGGCGGCTTTTGTGATCACTTGTAAGCCGACAACGTACGCCGGCAACAACCGAAATGTGTAATTACAGGGGGCGGCAAACGCTATGAAATGGGGGCCGAAAACAAAGGCCGGAATGATTTTTAGGCAAGGAAAGGTGGATGGATGGATGAATGATGGTCAAACAGGCAAATGACCATTGTCAAAATAAAACTTCTGGATTAAACGGGCCAGGGATGATGAAACAGAGATCCGATGGGGATAATCATGCCTGGATGGACTTTGTAGTATAGAAATCCCTGCCTTCCAACTTCATGAACCTTAATCGCTTGCTTGGAATTTCTCGTTTTGCTTGAACAGTGTTGGTAATGTCGGGCAGATCATGTCCTGTGTAATCTATAAAAAAATACAAAGCGACAACGCATGTCAGCCGGAATAAGATCTTGGATAGGATTATCTGGTCACACCGGGACGCCTCAGGTGCAACTTGCTCGTACTCTTGAAGAGTCTTATCGAAACTAGGTATCTAAAGATTTTCACAAATTCTTGTTTAAAATGGTCTTTCTCTTTATCATTGAGCCTTCTTAACCGCAACTTTATGCTTGGCCGCCTCTTTCGCCAACTTCTCCTGCCTTGCAATAGCAGCCTCGACTCCAATGCCACCAAACACCAGCCCCACGCCCAGAACTTGCATCTGGGTCAGACGATGGCCAAAGGCGACGACGGAGAGGATCATGGTGAACATTTTGCGGGTGACTGTCACCGTCACGAGGAGAACGGAGGAGAAGGTTGCTAGGGTGTAGACTTGGGGATACATGTTAGCATTCTGGCTGTAAGCAAGTGTAGGATAGATAACCCACAGATGAAGACCTGTCCCACGGCACCACACGCCGCGAAGCCGAGTACATCAGCCCAGACCTTGGGATGCCGCGCCATGAAGCTTAAGGCCTCGCTCAGCTCGCCAGCGTTGCCCGCGATGTCCATGCCCAACCACTCGCCAATACCGGTGTGCACCAACCAAGGGCTGAGCACCAAGTACGCTACCGTGACAGCGGTGCTCATGAGGTTGTTGGCGCACATCATCTGGGGGCCCGAGTAGGGCTGGAAGGCGCCAAAGATGTAGTCCTGGGTGCTGTTGGTCAAGCCATCGAACAGCAGGTTAATCGACAGCAACAGTATGCCCCAGGGCATATTGCGCTCCTTGTCGTCGGCAGAGGCGTGCTTCTTGCCCTTCTTGCCCGAGTGCAGGGTGAAAACGGCAACCCCCGCCGTCACGGCCGCGACGACAAGGTACTTGTAGAGCGGGTAGCGCTTGCGGAAGATGGTGATGTGGAGGAACATGACGGGGAGCAGCTTGCAACTCTTGGCGAGCAGGAAGGTGATGTAGTCAATGTGTGAGAGGCTGGCGTAGCCGAAGGGCGAGGCGAGCGAGCTGGTGACAGCCACGAGGAGCAGCGGCGTCACGATGCGCTGCGACGGGAAGATGGGCGGTATGCGCGACCCGCGAGGCGTGCTCAGGTAGAGGTACAGGGCGCCCGTCATGGCGGCGAAGAGCGACTGGATCGTGTTGAGGAAGACGGGGTACTGGAATACCTCGGTCGCGCCGGGGGCGCCGTGGGGGGTCGTCGTCAGTTTCTCCTGTAGGTACGCCCACGTCAAGCTGTGTCGTCGCACTGAGGGTCAACACAACATATTCTACAATATTGAAAAGAGAGTGATGCAATGGGGGCGGGCGCCTACAAAGAGCCGTATATGCCGGTGACAGCGATGACGAGCTGCATCACGCCCACGTCTTGCTTCTCGGCCGTCGCGACTGCGCCCTTGCTGGGAGCGCTCGATGCGCCATTGGGTTTCTGTTCTCCATCCATGTCGAAGCTGACTTGTCGTCTGGGCGTTGAGGTTTGTCGGGTAATGTATTCGGACGAAGGCTGGCGCTCGACCGGTCGCGCTTGCTTTGTACGTGCCATTGTACCTGGATGGACAAGGTTCCAGTTTCGAAGTGAATACTAAGAGTACCTAAGTACCTAAGTATATACTGGAATGAAGGGGGCACAGCGGGCTCAGTGCGGTATACGCCAAGGAAAAGAGTGAATCGAGAAAGCAATTCGACTTGAATCGTTGGGCAAGAAGAATGCAAAATGAGAGCAGAGTACCAAGACAAAAGGTGACTCTAATGTCAATCTGGCATCGTGGACCTTGAGCAAGGGGGCTTAACATCTCGAAGCTCGAGCTCTAAGATGATGACAAGTTGGCCCTTCTAAGATTGGATACTTTCAAGCCTGCCGGGGATGGCGCTTGCCTGAAATTGGTTAGAGGAGCCAAGCTCTCCGGCACCTGCCTTCCTACGGGGTAGGTTAAGTACCCAGGTATTTAGTGCCGACGGGTACTTGAAGTGCACCTACCAACTTTACTATCTTTATAGTGATGCCTTGTGGAATCGCAACCGGCGAACCATTGCCCGTATAATTATCTGTTAGTCAGGTCAAAGAAGGGCATACAGCCATGCTCTCTCAGACGACGGTCCGCTTCACCATCTACAGAACAGGCCAAAATAGCGGTGGCAGGATCTACTACTGGACGGCCTGCTTACCCAACTTACGCAGTCACAGTCACTCGTATATTCACGCACATTGCTCAGACAGCGAGTCGCCCATATTTTGTAACCGTGCTCGCGATTTGATTCTAGGTCTCCCTTGTCTACTGCTAGATACCCCCTTATCTAGACATCTCTCAAGAAGATCGACCCAAGCTTTGGCGATGCTAGGACCAAGGATATCATCAGAGACTCTAGATAAATAGGTCGATCGAGTGTTCGTGGGTTATTGTTCCAGGTACCTTCGAAACAGGTGCGTGCTTGCAAAGGTGGAATTTCGACATGCCGTGGAGTCCTGGTCCAGTTGTCGGAGGAAAATCGGAGAACTCATTTTTTGGCGGTTAGGGACAGTAAGGCATGATGGTGATATGCCCCTTAATTTAGTAGGATATGAGACTCTTTGGACCAAGATTCGACATTTCGTGACAGAAGTGGGTGGGCGTAAGAAATGGGGAAAGAGAGAGAGGGGGGTTGGGTGAGGGGGGTGGAGGAGAGAGAAGGTGGCGTGCCATGGGCGTAGTAAGACGAGATTGGGGCGATTCTCGCATGTTGGAAGTGAAATTCGATACAAGAGTGAGATCGCGGATTTGGCACCGCTTGTCGAGTCTCCGAGAAACCTGCTCTTCTCCTCCCTGGGAGTGTTGGGTCAGTTACAGTCCGGTCGTTCGAAGGAAAATGAGCCAAGGTCGTTCGAGTGCCATGCGTGTGCCAAAAACCGGTGTGTCGGTGGGAGTGATGATATCCGAGAAAAAAGATTAGTAAAGGATAGAGAGATTGCAGATGGAGCCTGCTTTTCGAAGAGGAAAGGTCATCGTCACGTCGTTTCGTGGAGTCCACCCGGACCCGAGGAGGTCAGCCTTGCGGCAAGTCAGATCTGGAATGCCTGCCTCCCTAAACTCAGGGCTTCGTCGCCAAATCCGATCAACATTGGAAATAAACCAGAGACAAATCAATGTGTGCAATTTCCAGCACTCCGTATTGGCCCGTGTCGGACCGTCTACTCCTGCGCCTGCGCCTGGCTGCGTCGCATCTTCTCGGCCTCAAGGTTCTCGTAGAGGAGGAATAGGGCTGACTCATTTGCCTTGGCCGTGCCCATAATGGTGAACATTCTCTCGCCCGTCTCATCGTGAGGCGCCTACGCAATGTGGTTAACAAAGTTGCACAACATACACACATAATACAAGGGAAAACCAGACGAGCTGCGTGTGTTCCCTCGTCACGGTGATTTCCCTGTGGTAGTGTCTTACCTTGGCAATCGAGATGCGGGCTCCAGATGTCTTGCGAATCTCGCTAATCTTGCTTCCAGCGCGTCCAATAATGCAACCAACCATGTCTGCGGGAATACTGATGTTCTGCGTCTGGATCTCCTCTCCGTTCTCATCGTGAGTTGGAGGGCCTGTGTGGTCACGGGGAGCTGCGTCAGAGTTGGAGCGGCGGTAGGGCCGCGATCCGCCATTGCTGAAATCGGCGCCGTTTCCTGTTCGCGTTACACGAGGACTCGCGTACTCTCTGCTGGGAGCACCATAGCCTCCTCCTACCCCGCCGAGAGCGCCGCCAGCAGCTGGAGAAGCACCTGCAGCACCACCCAGAGACCCCGCACCCCCAGGTTGGGTTCGGACAACAGGATTGTACAGCACGGTGCCAGTGCCGCGCTGCCAATCATCGATAAGACACTTGCAGATTTCCCAGATGGCTCGCTGGATGCCTTCTGGTGTTCCCTGGACCTCGACAATACGCTCGGTCGATTGCGGTAACATCTCCTTCTGCGCGACCATGCGAACGCCGGATGTGTCCTGGATGTGCTTGATCTTGAGACCCTGTCTGCCAATGATTGTGCCCATCTGGTTATGCGAGATGAGAAGCTTGATAGCTAGCAGCGAGGTTAGCGGCCCATCAGGCCCGACGGAATCGGATGGGTGGCTCATACGATGTGTGCCGTTGTTCTGAATGACGCCGCCCATGCCCATGGACGGTGCGCCCTCGAGCAACGCGCGGGCTACAATGGCGTAGGCTCTCGAGATAGCGTCGCATCCACCCGTGATGGTCAAGACACGGTCATGTACGCCTTGTACGACCTTGCTGACCCCTGCCTTGACACCAGTCTCGTCGCGCAGATCTGCAACGTTCTTGCCGCCTTTGCCAATAATGACACCGGCCTCCTTAGATGAGACGATGGCGCGGAGCGTGAGGTTCGCCGCTGCATACTCTTCATCAGTTTTAGGTGCTGGTTGACCATCTGGGCCAAGACCAGAGTCGCCATCAAGCTTGAGGCTGTCCATAGCTTGATCGAGCCCCTCCCCATTGGGCGGGATGGTATCTTGCGGTGCGGACATGATGGTGGTTGTTAGTGCAGGTTGAAGGATGATAAACCCGATTGAGCGACAACGCTGTCTGTTTGAGCTGCTGACCGCGAGGCTGAAACGTACGCGACGCCAGTACTTGATTTGCGCGACTGATTTTTATTAACGTTGCTGCTCAATGGGTGGTTGTAGGAAGAGCTGCAAAGTTGCCAAAAGCGTCAGCTCTGATAAGCTTTAGGGAAGCTGGAAAGCAGGTGAGGTTTATGTGAGACTCGCAAAGATAAGTGGGAATGCACAGTGATCTTACTGCCACATACGAATCGCATCTGCACTGCAAGATTTCGCATGTGGTGGTAGAAAATAGAAATAATTGACTGCAGAGGGAATGGGAAGAAGTGGAAGCAAACCCAGAATAGGCGGGGCTATTTGCATACCTTTGCTGCTAGACCTGATGCGAAAGTAAATCGCGGTAGTTTTTGGTAGGGATCGATGGCGGGGTGGTCGTCGGTCGGTCGGCGCTCTAAGTTTTTTTTTTGCTCCTACCCTGACGTTGTCGGGGACCGGTGTTGGCGCGGCGGGGTCTTTGGTAGTGTGGGTAGAAAGTCGGACGTCCCAGGTATTGGTCTGACAAGGGGAGGCAGGCTGTGATGGAACCGTGAGTCTGGAGAGGATGCCGGGCGACAGAGTGGATGGGCCTCTATGAGTGGGAGGAGACTCGGGTGGACGGGGGAGAAGGGCAGTGGAGGGAGAGGACGGTTGGGAGGTGGTGGGCGAGGCGGTTGTCGTGAGACGGTGCTATCGCGAGGAATATTTGGGGGCTGAAAAAAAGGTGAAAAAGTGTGAGAGTGGAAGGAGGATGAGAGTGTGGAAGAGACTTGGGATATGTTGGGCGCAGGGTATGGTGGGTTGATGATGCTACTGCGCACGGCGACTGCCAGACCAGACAGATAGATAATGGATCACTGTCACTTTGCGCTCAATGTCAATTGGCAGGAAGGATGAACGACCGAACGAACGAACAAGGCAGTTCAAAGCAAGTAACGGCGAGTCAAAGGCATACACAGGCAGTCCCAGCCATTACGTTTCTGGCGTGTTTCCTATCGGCGTGCTTTCCATGAATGTGAAGTCATTTGGCCCTGGAAGTGACAGCACTGATACCTGACTAAGGGTCTTAAGTATGAGCCCTGGGATGTTCACCATCAAAGTTGCGAGCATCATACCCAGTCGTACTAGTACAAATGGTGGTGTCATTGGACGAGATTGCACTAAAAGAGACTTACTGGGCTGCAGGTGCTCTAACAAATTTGCGGAAAAAAACAAGAAAAAGGGAAACTAGGGACAATAAAGAGAGCAAAAACCCATTGTTTGGTGTTGCTTAGTATGTACCTACTGGAACCGTGTATCAACGGGTTTCTCACTGGAGCAAAACCCAAGACTTCCCCAGCTGCAGCTGCAACTGCATCAATTTGATGATCTATCCGCAAGATGACAAGAGCCTCTGCCCGCACTCCAGAGTAGGCGCAATGAGCGGTCAGATAGACCGTCTAGGACAGGCACGGCACATGACATTCCAAGCTGACCTAGTTCCTTCAACGGTGCCCTGAAATTGCATGTTTCTATTGTTGCCATTTCCTCCAATACTCATGCCCGTGTGCTGCACCAGCCCTCTGGATTTTTTGTGTCTACCTTATTAGTGGAGCCAAGAGCTGCGGGCTGCGGCCATGTTGGGGTACATGAGATTCTTCTGATTTGATATCCTGATTGGTGTTTCTCAATGTGGGACATCACTCGTGTTGTCTAAACAATTGTCGAGGTTGCTTGCCTACTCTGCTGAAGTACCTTAATCAATCAGGCTGTGGAGAACATGCCCTCCGGGCGTGGTAAGAGCTAATCTCACCTATGCACTATATTAATGGCAACTTAGACGGTTGCGTTTCGGCAACTTCCCTCTCTTAAGTAGCCATCTCATCGTCTTGTCTAACGTTCCTGCAACATCTGAGAGCTTGCCATGGACTATCCGCGCCACAACGGACGATTGCTCGGGTCTAAGGTAACCAACCTGATCATGCATCAATATCCTTGGGATTCCCATGTTTTCTTCATGTGACTCTAATCACTTTCACCATCATCGGCCAGGTGCGAAAACACGCGTACAACAACTGGCATTGACAAGAAACATATCTCAGATTTACAACCATCCCGCAGTGGGACTCGTGACTATCCAAAGATACAATTCCCTGCAAGCTGACCATATGGTATCTCGATTGGCGGAAGCCTAGCCAATCCCATCGACGAGATCACCGTATCCCCTCAAAGTGCGCGGGGGAACTCCCTCGAGGCTTCATGGCTCTGCCTCTCGGTCCGTTTGGCACTATAGCTTAACGAGCAGCCTCCTCGCCAGATCTCTTGTTGCATATGCAATGGCAGCACATGTTGTGCAACACATCGACATTCAAGTTGCCTGTTTCCGAGGAGGCTATTGGAAAATCCAGCTTAGCTGGCTGGGCCATAACGGGGGCCACAATGGAATAACCCACAACCCAAACGCCGCTGGCGCGTTGTAGTCTTTGCGGCAACGACCGAGTGGTTCGGGTCAAGATGGCACGCCTCGTGGGTCGCTGAAGAAAAAATTCCGCACCGGGTATATTTATCATGCCGCCGCGCATGCACGTTCATACGAGAAAAGATGATATATTGTCAGATTATATGCGTGCCGAGAGACCCAATTGGTCCCCCAAAGGTGGGGTCGGACCAGCTATCCAATTCCCTAGGAGCACATGCATTGGGGAGCCTTGTCTTTTGCAGTAAACTGCTCGCTTATTTAGATTCTCATTTGGTGAGGGTTGCCCACCCCCGATCCCTTGATGCTTGCAGCTTCATGTTTGCTCGCCAAGATCACCTGCTACGTGCAACTCAACTAGGGCTACTGTGAGCACAGCTTCGTTATTCGTCAAATAGTGTAAATTCTGCGCCCAACCCCTTTCGTGCGGTTGCAGCCGAATCATCCGGCGCATGCATTAGCCGCATTCCTCGCTCTGAGCGAATCGTTTCATGTTAGAAAGATGCAAGTGGATTGAGGCTCATCGTTGACGCAAAGCGACTTCATGCTCCAGCCAGAATCTTTTGCAGGTTGTATGGCCCCAATGATCACTCCACCATTCGCCAAAACTATCCTCGACTTCGTGGTCGACGTGCAAGACCCGCTCATCCCGCTTCAAACCACAGATGAAGCAAGCTTTCGGGGCCGTTGGCACTGCCTTGGCTGTTTGGATCGGCATGTTCTCTTGAAGCCCTGGGATTTTCAACTGCGGCGCGGTATTCTTCGTGGAGGTATTAGCCGCTGCTATCGAAGAGCGTAGCCGGCCGATGTTTTCTTTCCAAATGTCCATGATGTCAGCCGCCTCTCGATCTTCGCGAGCTGCTTGCGTTTTGTCAATCCCTGCTAGTTTCATGCCTTTTGACCCTGCAGCTGATATGGACATGCTTTGAGAAAGGAACTTGTCGCGATGCCATCGTAGCTTGCGTCCAGCAATTATACGGGCAGCGACAGTTGCCAACAGTAGATAGCCTCGGAGGTACTCAATGGTCTTTGGGTCTGAGAGGATACGATTCTTGATGGGAAATGCTTGCCCGCCAACAGGTTTGTAAAGAAACGTATTTGCCTCCCCGATAAGCTGTGGGAATATGGACAGTAGGATGGATGGTGGCGGAATATTCGTGGGAGGTGCTTGGTCAACCGGCTGCAATGCGCCGTCTGCTGCAGTATCGATGGAATTTTGGGCCCAAGTCAAGTCTCCACATCTTGCAGCAGTTTTTGAGGGTCGAGATTTGGCCGATTCTGGTGACTTGATATCGTCTGCGTCCCAATCCCAATTACCGTCCGCGTCTTTACTGTCCCTGCAATCTTTGGATGGCCTTGGGTCATCCAGAAAGTCATCAAAGGCTCCCCAGTCGTCGCCAGCCCCGGTGCTACCGGCTGAGCCCCTGTTGTCCAGAGTCGGCCAAGCTGTAATGGGTGACGTTTGGGGGTTGTCGGCTGGCCTGACGAGCTCGGTCGGCGTTTTGACACCAAGCCCAGGGAATGGGTTTCGATCATGGAATGAGGGGGACTTTGGCGCCTGGGGATACGGAGATACCGGTCCATTCAGATTCAAAGCGGATAGCAATTGCGGCGGATTTCTCTTCGCTTTCGCCGGCGGGCCGAACTCATTCGTAACAAAGCCTGCAGTTGTTCCGGCTGGCGAAGCGACTATCTCGAAATCTCCGAAATCATCACCCTCATCCTCGTTATCAGCCTTGCCAGCAAAATCATCGGCGTCGAATAAGACATTTGGATCGGGAGTTGATGATTTGAACGGCGGCTTTGGGGGGGTCACTTTGGGCGCCTGCTTCTTTTGCTGCTCAAACGAGGTTCGCATCCAGGGTGGGGATCTCACCTCGTCAGGCAAATTATTCAAACCAGGGATATCGATAAGACTGTTGGTCATCAACTCTATCGTTGGAGCTCTGACTATCCTCGTTCTCCCGATTGCTGGGTGTTGCAGAGGCTTCCGTGAGCTGTAAGACGCGGTGAGAGTCTGGGGCGCGGCGTTAAGTGGTTGCGGCGTAGGCTTCGACGAGTTGTCCGCGGATTCGAAGTCGCCCCAGCCATCGTCATCATCGTCGTCATTGTTGACTTTATTCTGAGAGCTGATACCAGCTGGGAATGACTCCGTGAGGCTTCCCCATGGGTCGGGATTGGTGGTTTGTTGCAAGGCCGGCCATGGCTGCTGGCTCTGCTGGCCCTCTGATTTCACCGGCGCGAGGCTCGCAGAGAAGAAGGGATCGATATGTTGAATCGGCTGGCTCGCGGAAGTGGTTGGTGAGAAGGAGAAGGGTTCGGCGGTGAAAGATGGGTGAGAGTTCTGAGGTGAGGGTCGCTGTGATGGCTTCGGTTGGGCGAACTCATTGAAGAGGTCGGCCGACATGATGGGTTTTCGTGCGTTCAACCACAACTAACCTTTCACTTCCTCTAGTCGTGCCTAGGATGCTTTGTCCGCCAGCTAGGCATTGAGCTCACAGGCTGTCTAAACGAGCGACAAAGAAGGCAAAAAAGGGAAGTATGATGGCGAAGTACGATGCGGCTGAAATCGACAGGCTGGGGATTTGTTGATAGACAGGGGTGCTTATCGCCGAAATGGAGACGGGAGTCGGGACTCGGGAGAGCGACAGGCGGGACCTTAGGTTTTCTTGGCAGTCAATTTTGGGATCTACCCGAGAACGATGAGGTAGCCTTGGGCAGTGACGCCATTTAAGCACAGGCACCGGTGAAATGGGATGAATGGGGGATGTATGAGGTGAATCACCACAACCTCCGTTGTTACACGAAGGCCAATTCACTGGTAGTGATGGTGGAATTTTGCCATATTTGGGGTCAAGCCGCCACGACTTCATTCTCACAGGACAGATATTGCTCCGTACGAACCCTCATGCGTTCATGGATCTATGCATTTGACAAGCTGACTGCATAAATTTGCAGATTTGGCTTCCCCGCAAAATGCCTGTGGGTTGTATGGATACCTTGGCACGTGGCGCCGTGATCTCGAGGCGGACCAGGCGCGCTTTAAAATTCTTCTCGACTCAATGAGCTTCCCGAGGTCATGTTAGCATTGGTTTATTATGCCATCGTCCTGACTCCAGGATCTTTCTACGGTTGGTGAATCGTTTGTCACAGGATACATCCGGCAAGCTTCCACTTGTTACGACACTACAAGTGAGAAAAACCTGCCACTCGACCTCTGCGGGCGCCTCTCTTGTGTGCGGTACAACGAACCCATTAGCGCGTCATGGCTCCTCCAACGGCACCCTTGAACTTGGATGTCGAGGCTATATCCGGTATCTGTGGGTGAGTGAAAAGCTAGACCAACTTAACGCAGTCAAAGTACTCGAAGTTCCCGTTACTAGAGTACATCAGTATATCTCACCTCACATCAGACAGCTGACACATCATGTCCAGCTCCATATCCATTGCCGCTTGGGTAGTGGTATTCAGTCCACAAATCATAGAGAACTTCCGGCGTAGCTCCGCTGATGGCCTGTCTCTACATTTCATCATTGTCTGGTTGGCAGGCGATGTCTTCAACATCCTGGGCGCCGTACTACAAGGCGTCCTACCTACCATGTTGATTCTTGCCATCTACTACACGATAGCCGACGTCGTGCTGTTAGCCCAGTGTTTCTACTACAAGGGCTTCACATGGAAGGATGAAGTGGTGCCGCCACCACCCAAGGCACCGCACATCGTTGTGACGGGCGAGCCTAACGAGAGAACGGGCTTGCTCGATGGGCCATTTGCCGAGCGAGGGAGAAGAGACAGCAGGGATAGCTGGAGTCACTTGTCGCCAGCGGTTCCACTAGTCTCCGAGCACCCTGCCATTCTGCCGCCTACACCAACTCGTTTACAGGCTACCTTGTGGAACACGACTGCGGTGCTTATGGTCTGCGTGGCAGGCGTGGCAGGCTGGGTCCTAAGCCGTCGTTACTCGGACGGGTCGTCTGACGAACCGGCCGAAGAAGGTCTGCGTCAATTTAATATCTGGGGACAGATCTTCGGATACATGTGTGCCGTGCTCTACTTGGGCTCTCGGGTGCCGCAGATGATACTCAATTGGCGACGGAAATCGACCGAGGGCGTCAGCATGCTTTTCTTTCTCTTCGCCTGCTTAGGCAACTTGACATATGTGTTGTCTATCTTTGCATACGAGCCACGTTGTGCTCAACCGTATCAGTGCCACGACGGGGAGGCGAAGAGTATCTATGGCCGATACATCCTCGTCAATCTTTCGTGGTTGGCAGGGTCCCTAGGAACGCTGGTGAGAACCTCCCGTAATCCTTCCACTTCGTGACGTGGTGACTTGTGTGTGGTGACCATAAAGAGCTATCACCCCTCCAAGACATAACGTGACACTCACAAAATATGCTACGAGTAACAACTACTGACAGGAAATAGTTCCTCGACCTTGGCATCTTCGCCCAGTTTTTCATTTATAGCACTGACGCGTCGTCAGTGTGTGATGAGGAGGCGCTTGAGGAAGATCAGCTCGACGAGGATGATGACAGCAGCATCGATGAAGACGGTGGGGATCAGCGACCGGTTCTGCAGCGCCTCGGTTCAGGTCTCCCCTAGGTTCCTGGGGCCACCGGAGGGCAAGGAACACGAAAAGTCAGGATACAGGAACAAAACATTCGGCGTACGGTTATAGTTGATTATGGAACCCCGAGGGAAAAGCAACATGATGTAGGTGTTCAGCTAAGAATATCCAGTTGTGTATTAAAATTCTGTAAGATAAAGATTGGGGGATAAAGATTGGGGGTTAAACGGTGGTTTCTGATTTCAAAAGCAGCTTTTCACGTCATAAGTAGGTATATATTTGAGAGACAATGGATTTGCGTACGCAAAATTGCGGAAATATACTTTGCAATTTCATGTGGTGAAAGTACAGCCTGATACCCCAGGTTATTCCAAGGAGTGGTCGGTCTTCACATGTGGTGTATACCTTATGTAGGTCAGTTAGGATGATGAAAAGTAGTACTTGTTGGTTGGCATCAGCACAAGTGTGCCTCGAAACTGGTGTGTTCTGAGGTCAGTCTCAACGTGACCTCGTCGGAGGAGCGCGTCGGATTACACCAGTCCGTTACGTAGCCTGTAGCAAAACGAAGAAGGCACGACAAGCCTAGCGGACACTTCTTGTCGGTGCTACCTCCCGTCATATCTAATGCTGAATGATCGTGCAACTTCATACCATTAATCGGCGGAATATGAAAATCGCGTCAGTTTGTAGCCCCATTCGGCAGTCTCTCCAGAGGACCATCAACCCCGCACGACAACTAGTCTTCGCATTTACCCATAGGTGGGCCCGCCAACCCCCGTTATTATACCTATCACATCTCAATCGCGGCGGTCATCTTTGGTATCCCACGGTCCATTGCTGAAATCCAAACTCCCAGAAACATGTCAGGCCTCACAATTCACTCAAAACTGAAGCTGAGCAGCGGCTATGAAATCCCCTTGCTCGGGTTTGGTGTAAGTATCTACATTCCTAAATATCCAAGTTCAGACACAACACTAGAGACCTGACTGCACTATAGGTCTATCAGGTGTAAGCTACAACCCTACTAACTCCGGTGCTCCCAAGACTTCCAAACTGACCACAAAAACCAGCCCAGCTGACCAAGCCGAATCCTGTGTGGGAGAAGCACTCGCTGCGGGATACCGGCACATAGACTCGGCAGCAGCCTACCGTAATGAAGCGCCTTGCGGCTCTGCCATCCGGAGCGCCGCATCGACCATTCCGCGCCAAGACGTCTTCTTCACATCCAAGGTGCGCAGCAAGGGCATGAGTTACGAGTCGGCCAAGGCGCAGGTCGACACAACGCTGCGGGAATCTGGGCTGGAGTATCTCGACCTGATGCTGCTCCATGCACCGTACGGTGGCTCCGAGGCCCGCAAAGGCAGCTGGAGAGCTCTGGTGGAAGCTGTGGAGGAAGGCAAGGTGCGCTCTATTGGTGTGAGTAATTATGGTGTCCATCATCTCGATGAACTCGAAAAGCACATCGCGGAACTCGAGGCGGAGAGGGGCGGGAAAGGGAAAGGAGGCATTTTGTCGGTTGGCCAGTGGGAAATCCATCCCTGGATGCCCCGCCACGATATCGTGGAATGGTCAAGGCAGCGTGGTGTCGCTATCGAGGCGTACTGCCCTCTAGTCCGCGGCGAGCGGTGGGGAGACAAGGCGTTGCAGGACCTGGCGGAGAAATACGGCAAGTCGGCTGCTCAGATACTGCTGAGATGGAGTCTGCAGAAAGGGTATCTGCCCTTGCCAAAGTCAATCACACCTTCGCGGATTCGTGACAACGCCGAGCTGTACGACTTTGAGATTTCGCAGGAAGATATGGCCAAGTTGGAGACCAAGGAGTATGCGCCGTGCACTTGGGACCCAACGACTAGCGCAATCGATAACTAGAGATAGAACCCTCCTGTGTATAATACGGGACTGTGTTGTTTGTTAATCGCCCGTGGTTGCCGTCGAAGTCACTCATACCAGCTGGGGCAGACCTAGATCAAGGTGGTTCTCTAGAGCTATTTATCCATTATTGCCTTATGACGAAAAAAGCCATTACCAGCCGCAATGAATACCTAGTAACAGTGGCTACGATCATCCTACCAATGCAGTTACAACTTGCTCGAGTGTGAATATTTCAAGAAGACAATGTGCTGTTCTTCGTGACGCCCCGAGGATTGAACCAAGTCATGTATACTAGACTACATGTAGCCACGACAGGGTATCGCATTGGAAAGTCGAAAGCTCGACGACATCAAGAGTCCAAGTTCAATGACTGTATGACAAGAACATCAAGCTAAATAATTTCCCAATTGATGACGTTTGAGCCAAGTCTGGCTCCCATCCGGACAGCGAAATACAGAGCACATGGCACACACCGAGATAGCAAGGCTAGCTTACGCCTTGAACACATGGAGATGCGATACTAGGGTTGGCGAAGCTGTGGAAATGCATGCCTGTCGGGCTTACCACTTCAAGCTCGATGCTCTGGCCAACATCGAGTTCACCATGAAATTTAACTGAATCTGCCAGTGTTGTGCAGTAGTAACTTCTTCATACAATGATGAAACAGATCAATGCTATCCAAGTGGTACCAATCTCCGGCTTTTTCAATATTGAGGGGGAGATACCTACGTCAAGTCAGTTTTGCTCATTCAAACGGTAAGAGTGAAAGCGAGTCCTCGTTAGTGCAAACGCCCTGTCTCTTATCTCAGTCAATCGATTTAGATATAGCAAAGTACTTCTGTATAGCAAATCTAGCTGGCTAAAATTTAAAGAATCTACCCCTTAGTATTCTGAGTATTCATCTCAAAAAAAACGCCCTAAACAGCATGGACGAGACGCATTCTGTATGCCGCAAGTTCCCTCCGTCACCCCATCAAGAAAACGATCCTGACCAAACGCATAGGACCGATCGTCTCGGCCTCGCAATCAGTCTTTCAAAATAAATACATTACCCACTATATTGCCGATTCGTCCCAACCTTATCAAATACCCGGACCTTATTGACTCGGCCGTAGAACCGTCTGCATTTCCTCGATATCACGGATTACTTCATTAAAGACCCGCATCGCAGCATCGAGTACCTTCATGCGATTGTGCTCCGCCTTTGTCCTCCAGATCTCGGCCATCAGTTCGCGGTTAATCTGCTCCAATTGCTCAATGGTACAGCCGGATGTGCGTGACGCTAATTCGTCGAGGAAGAACAGCCCTGAACTGTCATCCATTACCACTTGCTGCGAACCAGACGAGCCGCCGGAGTGCCGCTGAGATTGCGATTGCTCCTCGGGTGAGGGATCATTGAGAAGATTGGCCATACTCGGCGCGTGAGACGATCTCGCCGCAGTCGGTGATGTGTTCAACCGCGAGTCCTGTGAAAATCCTAAAAGGGATCCTCGGCCCAACCCAACTTGGGAATGGGGCCATTGTTCATCGCTTGAAGTTCTTTGGCTTATTTCGCCTGGCAACGGCTGAGTGTCGGGAATGTGCTCAACTTGGCTATATTGCTCATGGTGGACTCCGTTCGTCGCCTGCGTGCTGAAGTTGTTGGATGACCGGTTTGAAGGATCCGAGGTTTTGGTAGTAGAAGCATCGTTCACGAAGGCAGATGGCGAGACACCCGGGGGCAGAGACTGCATAGCCGAAACCTGAGATATCTGTGTCATCCCGCCCGCGGTTGCTCTGGTAGAAATATCGAGAGCCCTGGGCTCCATGCGAGGCCACTGAGCCGGTGGTTGCATGGGTGACGTGTGGTCCTGGTGTTGCGCGCTGAAATCTCTCATGTCGATATCCTCGCCTAGACCTCCAGACGGAACAGATGTACTGTTGGTAATGTGATGCTGAGACATAGAGCTCTCGCCATTGCCGTTGGAGTGAGGACTCATGACTTGAAACGTAGCCGTAGTCGTGTGCAATCTGCGAGGGTGCTGGTTTTCTTCCAAATTGGCATCACCACTGCCAACCTCGGCACCTCCGACATCGGATATGACCAGATCAACCACGGATTGTAGTGCCGCCTTCTTTCGAGCCTTCTCAGCTTTGACGGCTCTACGCCGGGTTTCAGCCCGATACATGTCATCCCAGTTGACGCCCAGAGTGTCGAACTTCTTGTCAACATCATTGACATCAACCTCGACATTCGTCAGTAGCTCACTGGCCTTAATGTATCTCTCCCTGTCTCCGATAGCTTTGGCATCACTCAACAAAGACTTGACGTCGCTTAAGAAACCCTGTGGCTTTATGTAGTAGCCATTTGCGAGTCTCTCCTCTATGGTTTGGATGTCAAGATTGTAGTAGAACTTGCCACTGGAGGTCTCCCGGAGGCCCTGGGTGCCGTCTTTGTCTTTGGCGATCTCGTATGGACGCGGGACGGCATTCTCGACGTCGGGGCGGACGTGATTGGGATCTTGCTCGTCGAAGAGATATTGATAATTGGAGTGTGGAATAACTGGTGAACGGAACTTCTTGTACTTCCTGTTGATCTGGTCCATAATGGGTTGCAGGTGGACTTTCATCAGATTCAGCAGATGCCGGTAGCGCAACCATTCAGCTTTCTCCTCCGCCTTAGTGAGGACCTTGGGCGGTGGGGGCGGGGCTACTGGGAGCTCTTCCAATATCCTCTTCTTGCGATGCGCTGGGTCTGGAAAGTCCCTGGGGGACCTGCGGATGTGGTCTATTATCATGGAGAAGTATTCCCGGCGGTGTTCCTAAACGAAATTCGTCAGAAAAGAGGTATTTGCAGTGGAGCGAGTATCAACGACTTACTCTGCATGGATGGAATATCTCAGTGCTGTTTTTGCTAGAAAATCCAAACAAGTCCCTTTTAAGTTCCATTGAGATCTTATCGGCTTTGGTTTCTGCTGTCGCTAAAACCATGATCGGATCTGTCGGTTTGATAGACCTAAGTAGGGCAAGAAACGCGGTGAGAGCCGGTCCTTCCAGAGTTGAATACCAGGTATCAACATTCGGTATGAATATAACACTCGGCTTTTGCCGCTTGACCTCGGTGAAGAGTCCGACAAGGACTTGCTCAACAGACTAACAACAAGTAAGTAAAGAAGGTCTGGGAAGGTTACGTGTCAGAAGCAACTTACTCGTTGGTCACCAAGAATCGTGGGGAGATCAAAGTTCTGCACGTGGACACCTTCAAGATAATGCAAAATCGCGGCACCAATGTATGTATGGCCCATTCCGGGCAGGCCACAGATGAGTAGCCGCGGCCTAAACACCCGAGACCTCTCAAATTCCTCATGCAAAGCCTCCCTACCGAAACCGAAATCTTCGTCGTCATACGGTTCGAACATGGCCTCTTCAAGAGCAGTGACTTTCTTTTTCCGGGGTAGAATATCATCCAAAATGGATGTGATACTCTTGAACGAAGTTCGTAGCAGTGGCTCAATGGATTTCGGCAGAGGTGCAGCACCGGAAGTCGAGGACCTCTCTGATGATGGAATTATCTTCTTCTTGGAAAGACTGAAGTCGGCCATGTGAATACTGATCTTGTCCGGATCGACAATCAACTTTTCTTTGGACGAGTATATCTGCGGGTAGGTTCTCTGGATCGCATTCATAGCCGCTTCTGTGCACAGGGCTCGGAGATCGGCACCTCCGAAGCCTTTCGCATCACGAGCAAGAGAGTTCTTGAACTTTTCAGACAATCCCCAGTCTTTGGTGTGTATGTCAATGATGGCCTGGCGCCCATCGATGTCCGGCAATGGAAAGTAGAATTCGCGGTCGAAGCGTCCAGGTCGACGAAGAGCAGGATCGATATTGTCTGGACGATTCGTAGCACCAATAACGATGACCTGGCCACGTCCATCCATGCCATCCATCAAAGCAAGGAGGGTCGAGACGATGGATGCATGAATCTGCTCTTGCTTACTAGACCGAACAGGTGCAAGTCCATCGATTTCATCGAAGAAGATGATACTGGGCTGTGTTCGTCTGGCTTCCTCAAATAACAATCGAAGCTGCTTCTCTGCTTCTCCAACCCATTTACTTAATGCATCAGCACCCTTGCGCATGTAGAACGTGATCTTCTTGCCGCCAATACCGGCAGAGTTGGCTAGAGCTCTGGCTAACAACGTTTTACCAGTGCCTGGTGGCCCGTGGAACAGGACACCACGGGGTGGTGTGACGTGGAACTTCATGAACAGCTCTGGGTACAGAAGCGGGAGCTGGACCATCTCCTTGAGATTGTCAATGTGTCCCTCCAGTCCACCAACCTTGCTAAAGTCAACGTTCATATCGACGCCAAGAGGATCCGCGTCGGCGTAAGCCTTCGGGTTTTTGACCTTGCCGACATTGGGAGCGACTGCACCGAGACCGCCGAGCCCTTCGAGAGGAATGGCTTGACCAATGCCACCGAGCATGCCAGGCGGAGCAGCGGAGGTTGGTGTCATACCGACATTTCCGCCGACGCCGGAGCGGTGGCCCATCTCATCATCACTGCTATCGGAATCAACACCGCCAGCAGCACCGGTTCCCCAAGGTCCACCAAATAAGGCCCCCGGCCCGCTGCCGCTGACTCCCCCGAAAGGTCCCGCGATGGTATGGAGGCTGCGATCCCATGCTGAAGCTCCACCGGCTCGACCGCGGCGACGAGCAGGTGTGGGAGCCGCGTCCTGCTCTTCATCAGGCTCAATCATCAGCTGATCAAGGGGCTTGATTGCGTAATCGACCGGTTTTCGCACCCGGCGTTTGCTGATGACTTCTTCATACTCAATAGGGGTAGTTGGGCGTCGGCGAGGCCGGCGTGATCGAGAACTCTGCCTAAGCTCCTCGAGCTCATTCGCCAGCTCATCTTTATCGAGCTCATCTTCATCGCCAGATTCTTCTGGCTGCCGGGAAGTCTTCAACAATCGACCTTTACCCTTAGCAGCCTTGCGCCCACGGGGATTGGGACTTGAAAATTCGTCATCCTCGGCATCTTTGCTCTTGGCTTTGCCAGAGTGGGACTCCATGTCATCTCCAGAATCAGGATCAAAGTCGCTACTCGGTTCCTTGAGCGACTTCGCCCGCATACGAGACTTGCGAGTCAAACGCCGAGGACCATCGTTGGGTTCGGGCTCTACAGACCCTCCGGTTGCTGGACCAGACTGACCGGCTCGTGCACGGGTTCGGCGATTAACAGGGGGGTCGTCCTCATCATCTGCTTCTTCTTCGACGGTTTCCATCGGTTGATCTTCATCTGCGTCGCCTACTTCTACTTCGTTACCTTCGTCCTTATTGGGCTCTTCCGCGACATCTCCAACCACATCTGGAAGAGCATCATCTTCCGCACCATTCTCGGGTGCACTGCTTTCCTGAGTTGCTTCATCAATGGTAGGGATTGGTGCTGGTGCCTTTCCACCTCGAGTGGATCGGGTGTTTCTCGCGGCCGCGGCTGCTTCTGGACTAACAGACTTGGATCCTCGTGCCGATACAACGTGCTTCCCCGAATTGGACAACTCGAGGAGCTGCTCATCTGCCTCAGCCGTGCGAGCTCGGGTGGATCTTCGCATACCCATGGTAGCGGGAGCAGCTGTGGGCAGTGCAGCAGTGGCTTTGCGCATCGATCGGGGTATGTTCAACACTACTATCTTGGTTTGCTTCGGGGTGTTCTTTTTCTTGGGAGTCTCTCCGACAAGCTCATCTTTGTCGTCCGAGTCGTTCACTATGTCCACGTCATCTTCGGAGCTTTCTCGGTAGCTTGGACGCTTCCTGGCAGCCTTTCTTCTGCGGCGGCCAGTTGCCTCGTTGATGGGCGCATCATCTTCATCCTCCTCTTCTTCTTCTTCTTCATCATCATCGTCGTCATCGCCGAAAGACTCGTCCTCAGACACTTCGTCGTCGTCTTCAACATCGGAGCCTCCGTATCTGTTGGGCCTCCTGCTGCGACCAGGGGCTTTAGCAGATTTGCCACGGCGTGGTTTCTTGCGCGGCGGTCGAGGTTGGTCCGCGTCAGGCTCGAAGTTCTCATCCTCTGGATCCGACTTATTAGGATCGAAATCCAGGAGGTCTCGCTTCCGTTTGTTGAAAGGCATGTTGAGCGGTGCGGTGCCAGGCGAGTTGCCTGTGGAGAGGCTTTGATGGCTGTGGGCCACCGAATTAGTGAGGTGATCATGACAGAAGAGTCGACATCGACAATAATGAGACAGCAACGACCAATGACAACGATAATGAAGCACTGAGAACAATTTGAAAACGTAAGGGAGTGGATAAGGTTTGGTGAACCGGAACAAGCGTGTGGAGGAATGTCCATCAAGACGAAGGTATGCTTGATAAACCAGCATCAAGAAGACCAAGTGCATGTCTGGACCGAGTTGCAAGCCAACCAAGAGAGGGCGACAAAATGGGAGGAATCCACCGAGAAGCCGGCGGCTGCATCCATCGAAGGGATATCATGGGGAGGCGATAGACTCGATTAGTCAAAACTCACCTCGGAAGCAAATAACCAATGACGAGGTGTCGATTTTGCGCTACAAGCACAAGTTCAGTTGAAGCTGTTGAAGAGCCGCCACACTGATGTTGGCGTTGGCGACGTCTTCATGGGCGTGGATGTGGACCCAGAGCGTGGGAGAAATTCGCGACACAGTCGGGTGGTGGGTACACGTCAAGCGATGTTTCAACACAAAGTGAAGATGCCTGCGCTATAGGAACTTGAAATAGACTTGGGCGTCGATGGAAAGTCATGCAGGTCACCACGGGAGTATTTCGTGCCCTGGGCAGGATGATGGGCAAATGGAAAAGACTTATGGCAATGGAAGGCAGAACTGCGCGTTGTGCTGGTCGCGTCCCTATTAGCTCAGCAGACGGCTGCTGCCCCATAAAATACCAGTGTTCCATCCAATCAACCTTCGCAATCAGTGGCCCAAGCGCCCCTTTCTCATGCAATCTGGGCAATGACAATCGCGCATCACCAGAATTGCTTCGCAAATTTTGAAATCACGAAAGCTTCCATTTTGCAACCTAACATTTCCACTTTCTAGTACTTCCAGATCGACTACCGCTTTCGCGTCTGCATCGACTTCAAAATAGGCTTACAAGAGTCGCCTTTTTACACAAAACACAATTGACTTACTGTCGACACCATTATCGTCCACAGGATGCTGCAATCCTGCTCATCGCAAACTGCAAGTCCGACAACTTCGATATAGATGCTGCCCCTTGAGCTCCCCGGATTTCATCGTCATCGTCGACGCTATCCGATGCGGCTCAACTTAGAATCAGCCTTACGGCCCCAGACCGTTGGGCTAAGGCTCCGAGACCCCGTGACCCCGGCAGCCCGGCTCTAACCAATCTCGTGCCAAGACCTTTTTGGCGGTACTGGCCGAATTGACCCGTCTGTTTCGAACAAAGGGTAAACCCAAACATACCAACTCGATATTGCAGCATGACCGGTGACTGAACTACCTCAAAAGCCAAGTCTAGTCTGGCAAAAGGCATTGCGGCATCTTTACACTTTGCCTCCCCAAGCGTTCCCACGACTACTTTAGCATGCGTCATACGATGAGATGACAATTATTCTTTATATCCCAATCAAGTACCCAAGGTGGTTGGGTTGGTGAGGCAGCTGAAAGGGTGCTAGTGGTGATGCACGCCGAGCTGATGACCACCTTGGGTTGTCCCCGCTTTCCAGGCAGCCCTTTTTAAAAATTGGTTGCCTGACGGCGGGACAGTTGGCAACTAGACGTTGGTTGAGCAGACTGTTGATCAAGGCTCCAGTTATCGGGTCCTCCACGGCCTTTGAGTCGTCGGTTCGCGACCTGCAGTGCAGTAATGATGGAGGACCCCGCTAGTCGGAGGACATGTGCTCCATCTTGAAACTGCAGGCCCTTCGGTCCTCCAACCCTCCAACCCTTCATCCCTCCAGGCGATCCAGGGACTCATTAGAGGCAAGCACTTGTCCTCCACCGCCAGTTTGATGTACAAGAACTCTGCAGCGTGGGGGAATCGAAGACATCATGGACACGTTGTACTCCAAAGCCACGGCCCCCAATTGGACCCCAAGCCGGGTCTGGAACACAACGACAGTGTTGAATGCCGGGTTCGCGCTGGCTTGACCCTCGACCTGCTTCGTCCGGCTCCGCCGGTTGTAGGGCTATTAATGTATGCGTAGTGGCAGACCAGCGGAGAGTGACTAATGAATTCAAGTATAACGTGAATACTGGTCATACTCCATGCATATTTGGCATTGTCAGTCGTGAGCTTATTGGACGTGCCCAACGATAACCATGCAGCTGGCCATTCGGCGTCTGATTGCCTTACCACGAGGACTTTCTCTGGCCCCCGCTCACACAGTACACATGCTAATCAGCAACAGCAGCAGTCGATATCCTTGCTCATTTGAGTCGGTCGAGCGAGCCAACTGGCCGCACTTCAGCCGCCGATGAAGCATGTTAGTGCACATATATATCCCACTCAGCTGGCTACATTTCCGCACACTTTTCACCTCAAGACCCTCTAAGCTCTCAATCGCATACAACATCGCTGCACCAGGAGTGCAAGGTTCACTACCCTGGAGGGCGTTCATTCCACAATATCAGAGAGGTCTGCAGCATTCAGAAAGCTTGAAGTTTTCAACCCCTCACATAGCCTATCTGAACCGAATCAAATTGCCCTCTTTATTTTGCACTATTCTTCCGACCTGGGAGAACGCTGGAGCAAGCATTCGTTGCGTTTACTTGTACATCTACTCCACCAATATCCACCGACGATGAGTTCAGGCCGAGCTTCAGCACCAGCGCCGCTGGCTATCTCCAGACCAAGCGTCTCAGGAAGCGGGCACGACAGCTTTGGATCGGACTGTTCTGACAAGGTAAACATGGCCTCTCGCCGGTCCACAATACACTAAGCTAACACCAAGTCAAAGACGGTCCCCAGATCTTTCTCGAACGGTTGGGCTCAAGACCGGCCCCTGCAGAGTCGAAAGTCGTCTGCGAGCTCTTCCAAGTCTTCAAAGCCAACATCGCCCACTGCGAACGTCTATACCCACTGCGGCCGCCACTCGGATCAGTGGCTGCTCGGCGGCATGTCGGGCCTGTTCAAGAAGAAAGAGTAGTACTCCGGGGAAAACATCTGATGGTAAATATGTGGCTGTTGGTATGTTGTTATCACAACCTTGGCTGGCTCAGTTGTGCTTATGTCATTTTAATTTGGGGGTTGACTGGTGAAAATTGGGACATACTGGTAATGACGCGAGGGTAGGACTTCCGACCAAATGTGGGTAAATAATGCCGAAAAAAAATTTATGAGATACCCGATTACATGAATGAGGAATGGTAGTATGAATGATGAGATAATCAATTGAAACGGTCAGATATTTGGTGTCGTTGTCTGCTCTAGCTATCTGCAAAGTGGAGTTTTGCGTGCTTTCACTTATCTTCCTCATAAAGCCATGCCAGTCGAGACTTCTTGGGTACTGGCCTCATTTTCTTGGCCACAGACGGTGAACGTATAAATACATAGGAACAGGCTACACATGATTGCGAGGACACCACAGGTTCCACCGGTGCTTTTGAATGCCATGACTGCATGTTCTACAACTCAGACATCATACACAACTGGATATATGGATTCGTGCCAGCTGGAAGCAGGTATTAAAATGGCATAAGCGGGAGCATGAGAGCTATACCTGCTACTAGTAAATCGTTATTTGTGCAATGTGGTATTTATGGGTTCCTGTCTCGATGTCTCGATGTAACATCACGATATCAGACCACCACTTCACTAGCTGCCCGCCTTGCGCAAGCACGAGCGCGAGAAGGTGTCGCATGCAACATAATTATGGTTAGCGGTCACCGCCTCTCAATGAAAGCCATATGCCGCGGATACTTGCATGCTTCGACGCCTGTCAGCTGAATGCTGTGTGGCGTGTACTACTCTGACAGTATTGTGCAATTGCAAAAAAAAACTTTGTATAGGGTTTCTCGGTGTTTGTGTTTGCACAAAAGGTTTTTACATCCCAATATATCGACAATAATACTGGACATGCGGGGTCGTTTGTTGTCCATAAGTCCGGAAGTATGGTTCAAGGCCATTTAGACTACATGAGAAAGCACATGTGGAGATTCAAAAGACTTGCAAATCCGATTTTAGACTTACGAATGCAGGATCTGCCTTAATTCATCCGTAGTGGTCACTGGTTTGGACGAGCAGGAGCTTTCTAACCCTTCGTATTATTACACAGTTTCAATTATAATTTGAAGGATTCAGCAGCCCCCAGGCAAGGCACAATTCTTATATAAGTGGGTGGCAACTCATGTCACAAAGGTGCCATCCCCTTGTCCGAGTAAAATGTGTTTCACTGCTCAGGGGATCACACTGACCCTATTGTATGCAAAAACACCCAACACTTGGGAAATACCTCTGGACTGACCCCGGCATATGTTTTCCTGAAGCGACCTAGCCACATCTCAATCCATTCTTTTGTCTCGTGATTCGCGAACTCATATGCAATTCTGACAGAGTAGCCGCATCAGTATCTTCCTATCATATCCTCGCCGACAGTCTCGATTGATCTGAATATGTTCTGCATGAACAGTTGGTTCAACTCGGTGTAGTCAATGGGGCAATGACACTAGTTTAGGCATTCCTGCAAGATCATCATGAACGGCCAGTAATCCATGGGCAAAGAGCCCATTCACGGTGTTTCGTATTGTAGGATGGGTAAGTATATGGACTGAGGGTCTTCCGCGGAGACTTCTGTTGGCCTGGGTTTACAAGTTCGACCTTGGAATACCACCCCTCGAAGTTGCTGCAAAGTTCTTTCGCGGCTTTTATAAGATGCAATAGCTTTCCAATGTCTGCTTGGATGCCATGGTTGTTGACTTCACGAAGAGCGTAGCCGTGGCATAGGATAGACGGAATTTTGGTCAGTAGTTGAAAATACTCGTCGATCAAGTGCCCGCCTTCCTTATCAAATATAACGTTGGCAATAGTGCGGGCCGCGGCACCATTATATTTAGTCACTGATTGCCATCGGGGCTCTTTCAAAAAGCAATCCTGGCAGGTGAACATAGCATTCATAACCTGAGGCACATAGTTAGTATGCATGCATGGCTGCGGCTATCCGCTCGACGGCTCACAAATATAGGTCGAAACGAAAGCAGAATCGACAATTCCCAGTCTATCTCATGAGCTGCTGGGCCCCTGAGCTGTAGTAAATGTCTGAGGCCGGCACCGTGTTTCATCCAGCCACCTGGGGATGATGTGCCAGCAAACACTTAGCAACTATTCCACGACGCATTTGAGGCATGTTGCCTTACCTCGTGTAACCAAGCAATGGCTTCAGAGCATAGCGTCTCAGGACTCTTCCATTTCGTGGGGTGATTCAAGGCCTTCTGCAGAGGAGTCAGGGAGTAGCCATATAGCGTCTGGGAATGGATGATGAGATCTTCGTCTTGTTGCTTCTTTCCCAGCAGATTGCGCTATCCAATTTATCTGCCCAAGTGATCCTTAACCCTGTCAAAGAAAGAGCTCAGGACAATCAATTTACTTTCCGGCTGTGCGTCTTTCAAGGTGCCGATGAAGGGGGCCCTGTTGGTTCTCGGAGCGGCCAACGACGGGGCAAGCTCTGACACGACCAGCTGTAAATTATCGTATGATGATTGAAATGCGGCCGCCGGCCATCTTTTCGGTCTCGGCATCCTCCGTAGCAACAGAACTTGAACTTGAGTCCTCGTATAGTAGCGCCCTGTCGGCACCCGTCTTCGGCCGCCTCGCATGCGCAAAAGTAGACGGCGAAGAGGAGCCTCCTCCACTCTTATTTCTGCCTTGCGACCTGACGGCGTGTTTGCGGACGACAAATTTGAAGCTATAGTCGTAAACTGGACAGGCGGAGCATTTTCAATACAGTTATTACAACCTAGCTTCGCTTGGTCACAGAGGACACGGAGTTGCTTACATGTAACGCAGCCGCTATGGCAAGGGACGCCAACCATGTCTGCCATCTGAATTGCCAGCAGGGTCCGGCGGAAGGCTAGTCAAGAAGGATAGCTGCGGAAGGAGCTCCGTCGCTCGCTTATTGGACGCTTCAGGGAAGCAAGGGTGAGAATACAGTTTCCGCCTTTATGCGGCTCAACCGGCCATGATAGTTTGGTGGAACGCTACGTTTTCACGTAAAAATAAAACAAAGAGGTTGAGTATGACGGATGTAAACCTTTCCAGCCGCTGCCACGCAGCAAAGTAGCAAAGTTGCAAGGGTGCCAATCCTGACAGCACTTGCAGCTCAGTCAACAGCTGACTCACTGTACGGCAGCTCACGTGCTAAATAAGCCGTCAAGGAGCGATCGGTCGGTGATGCATCGGATGCTGTCGTTTTGATGCTGTAGAACGCGCGAACTCGACCAGTGCAGCTCACTCCAAACCCGAGTAAAATCAACGTGACACTTTGTTTGACTCGAGCCACGACTTTGTTGAATGTTGTTTGGATCTTAAGATCAACGACTGCAAACCCATCACTTGTTAGAATAGGTCTTGCAATAGATATGTAAGGCGACCAACGGAAAATGATGCCCCATTTGCCATCTCATCCTCGAATATTTACCCGTACTTGTTGCAATTCCTGACCCTAGGTCTGCTTAGTGTGTTGATCCGGCGGCCTGGAAGCCCTTCGGGTTCGGGAATTTGGAACATGTCGTGCATCTCGCTCCCGGCAAACAACTGAAATGATAGTCCATGATGCCTTACGCCGGTGTAAACTTGCGCATTCGATCGAGGTGTCAGTTCCCAGAAAACTTCGTTGGCCCCTCGAAGCGCCATCCACCTTGCGTCTGAAACGCTCATAGGCATCGAACTATTACCGCGCTTGCGTGTCCCAAGGTCGGGTCATCCGCCAACTCTCCGAAAGTCTAAAAATGTCGATGAATAGGGACGGTTGAAGCATGGATGCAGCGACTAGCAAAGGGCCGGCGAATCTGCCTATGATGCCATAGTCTGGACGACGACTAGACAAGAACAAGCGCACATGAGTGTACGAACTACAGCTTCGGATATGCGACAATGCTGTGTTGCGGTGTCTCGGGTGCTGCGGCAACCTTGTACTGCGTCCTCTATTCGCGGGCTGGGAGTACAAAGTTTGTAAATGTGTTGGTCAGACCTCCACCTACCACGAACATGACATTGGCAGCGCTCTGATGTGATCCCAAGACAGCAGCAACTCGACGACTCGTCCGGCTCGTGCCATTGACGGCGCTTCAAACGGAGAAACTGAGCCGCCTCGCTGTTGAAGAGGTTTGGATTTCCAACAGTCCAAGGTCTCGGGTTGAATGAAGTATGTGTGTTCGTGATATTCTGTAAGTCGCTATGTAGGAGATAGATTCCCGTTCACAACCTGGCAATTGATAAGAGAGCTCGCTTTCAACTTGCAAGTTCAGATAGCGGTGAACAAGATCAAGGGTTCTTTCCCAGTCAGAATTGAATCCGGGGTATCGTGGCACACGGAGAAACAATTCTAAACTCAGAAACCATATGGACAGAAGGAGAGGAAAGAACGTCTCCATCCGCATCGGCCATACGTGCATGACTTTTTGTTATATCATTGGTTTCTTGTCAACATCGACACAAATTAGCATGTAATGCCTTGCTTCCTCGGCGGTCCCAATTCGACGCAAAAAAACGGCCAATGACAGTCTCAATGTTGCAACTTGCCCAAGTGAGAGTCTTATTCCACGTCTTAATACCCTTCGGAATCCGAAGTTGTAGAGCCTCCGAATTAGGCATTTGCAAGGATCAAGTTGTTCGTTAGCGTTTCCCATTTCACATGCTGCCTTGATGGTACCGTGGTACGTGCTTCATCTTTGCGGTTCCCCATGTTGCAGTACAAATGGAATCGAAATTCGCTTCATCGTGTCTTCGGCTCCGTTGTCTCCCGCAGATCGAACGAGTTTTGCACAGAGACGGATTTTGAAATATGAAGGAATCAACAGCTGGCATGATGCCAACATGCGGTTAATAGTGGTGTATCTAGGGGTTGTGCATTGCAATCAAATGCACTAAACTGTATCTTTACCCACTAGCAGGGTTCAGGGTTGCCAGGAAGAGAAAAGGGGCTGAACAAACATTGCGGAGATGAGGCGACCAAATTTCCAAGTTATCGCGTTAGGATGTATTTACCGAAGGTTGGTGCACATTACGGAGTACATTCTTGTCAAGCTCGTGTTGAGTGGGCGCAAGATGGCATCCCGGAAACGATTGTCCTTGTATCGGGTATGTCGTTATCTGTTAAAGCAACCCAGCCACTTTGGAAATCACAACGGAATTCATAGTGATCTATTGAAGAGTTGCCCAATCATCTCTGGCTACTTGAATAGAAACCATCGCGAAGAGCATACAGGAATCAACTTGATTAATGCAATGACAATGCTGGTTCCCCAGGTGGGTGCTACCCTGAAACCGAGGCTTGCTTTCTGCTCGTCACGACCACCAATACTTAGACGGATGCTTCCACAAGGCAACTGGACTAGTTGCAATACGTCAAGATGTCCTGGTCTGTTCTATGATTTTATGATTAGGGCGTCACACGAAGGTGAAGATCAGCGATCCAAGCGCATTGGCATAATCAAGAATGGCTTTTACCACTTAATTGCACAAATTACTAGCCTGTGGGAATAGCATTTTAATAAACAGCAAGATGAAACCCATCATATCGCTTTATACCAATTGATAGTCAAACCGGCCCCAGTGTAGGTTGCTTTAGTTATGTCCTGATTTAGCTGATTAAGTACTGAATTCCACGCCACTGTGATAGACCACGAGATAGCGAGTATCTTCGGGAACCCTGGAAATGACATCAAAAACGAAACCTTGATATAAGTTGATTGAACTCAAATGGACAGACAGCCTTATGACTTGCAATTAACGCCAGATGAGATGGGAACGATGATGCCAACGAATGTTTCGCCTTATTACATAGTACCTGGCTCGGCCTGTTTGAAAGGCGAGAAGGCTTGGCGCGATGCTCCTTAACCCCTAGCAGACCACTGGTGATCGACAAGTCGAAACTTGGTCAAATCTCGTGCCTGCATCTGGGATCTTGATATCCTCGAATCGCCATGTCGAGTTGGGGGATATCCTCTGCAACTATCATGCTTACTCCGTACACACACACACACGTGCGCAGGATCTTTGGTGGCTAATCACAGCGTAGCATCTCAGATCAAGACTCGCACAAACCCATTGGAGCACCAGGCCAGTCTTGAACAACGAATATTAGAGCATCACGAAATGCTGTCGCTCCCGAGGTTTAGCGTGAGTAACTGCAGCACCATCGCGGCACGACAGATTGGAACAGGGGGGTGGCGACGAGATTCCCATCACCGCCTGAACTCCGTAATTACATACTACTTTTCGTGGAGGCGTAATGCATCATCCAAAGTGGTCCCCTTTTGTGTCGGGCGGAGATATTGCTAGGATACCTGCGTCAGCCAAAAGACACGAAGTGGAGGAGTTGAGGAGTCTAGGAGCTCCTAGACGAAATACTAGTCCGTCGCCTAGTGGTCCGCCAATCGCTCTTAGGTTGACCAATTATTCTCAGATATGACGCCGGATGCTTTGGATTCGGCCTCGGAAGCTGCCTCATTCTTATTATTGTTATTGTTATTATAGACAGTGCTGTTGCTGAGAATATGGGATACTTTCCCGGACGTCTGAGTTCGGAGCAGAAACCGTTGCAATTCAACCAACTGCTCAGGGCTGAACTGGTTGGCCTTTCCGCCGGGCGCAGATCTCGACTCTGGGCAGAAACTCTCTCGAGCCACTTGAATTGTCGTCTCGAAGCACACCCAAACCACCCCAAGCCTGCCCAAGCAAACCAATACTTGCACTGCAGCTTGGTTAAAACATGTCATAATTGAAACAATGCGAGCAGAGACGAATCTATTGCTCCAAATTTCACGGCAGCCGCGTAAACATATCCCTTGTCGGTTGCTTGTCTAGCGCAACAGTGATCAATGCCATTTCGACCGCCGCCTGCCGACTCTAGCCAATGGCGGCCGAGTACCCTCCCTGCAAATCAACAATCCCGCGAGGGTGGACGACCAATGGGCACAGACCTGGACGAGGCCAGATGGAGCACCGGTACGCGGCGCCATGCTGTAATGCGCTCGCAATCTGAAGTAGCGTCCACAAGCCTACTCCACCTCATTCACCAGGCCAGGTCGCGGTACCTCAATTGCGGTCTCCCCCCCATCTTAGGAAACACGTACTCCGTGATGTGGTACCTACCCTGGCCTCCATTGGATCTGACCACCGCACCGCAGCATCACAGTAGCAGGCTATCGCACCTGCAATCAATCGCTGATGTTGGGATGCTGAAATGCACCAGTCCCAGTCTGGCAGTACCTAACCTAACAGTTTCCAGTGTTCCACTGGCGTCGACTGTCTAAAGCGTGCAGCACAACGCTGGGAATGCTTCGATATCTGCGGGTCTACGCTTCCTAGTCGGACCTCACTACTTCCAAAAACCCACTCTCGCTCTGCTCTCTTCCTTCCAAAATATCGGAATACCATCACGACTATCCATCACCCGCTTCCCCCTCTCCTTCCGTCTTGCCCCCCGCCCCATTACACCCATTGCACCCATTCCCGTTCTTCCTGCTCTTGCTATTCCCTAGTACATACCTTTACTTACATTGCCGGCCCCTTCACTTTTTTCCCTCCTTCTAGCGTGACCAAAAGACCCTCCCTTGTTCGCTGAGGAGCTTTCTGTCACCATCCCTTTTCCCACCGCCGTGCTTTCGCATTGGGTGCCTGTCTGTCTGTCTGTCTCAGACCTGACTGATAGCACCGCCGGACCGGCATTTTGTCCATTAAAGGTCACAGAAAAACCAAAACCAAAAAAGACAACAAATTATCCGTTTTCTTCTTGGCTTCAAGGACAGGCAATTCCGACGTTTGCTCCTCAATGTCCTCCTTCTGACCCAGATTCCACCACCTCGTGTCTTCCGTGACACTTCCGTAATCCTCTTGTCTTTCTCCCAATCCGAAACGTCGTGAGAGACGCTCGACATCCATTCGGTCAAACAAGTTGTCTACGGTAGCAGTGGACTGCTTTTTGGAAGAATCAACCCGTTCGTTGCCCCCCTCGGTCGCAGGCGTCCTTCGATTCCACCCCGACACCACCATCGTTTTACCCCCTTCACAGCACGGCCTGGCCCCGATCAAACCAGCCGTGTCATAATAAACCAGAATCCTGAAAGGTGCGCCCCAGTCGCTTCCTTACCGTCACCACGTTCTTTGTCGTGCCAGCCCATACAGATTGTAAATCATCAATGTTATGATGACCAATTCAACATCTAGTACTGCCAACGCCGAGTACTAACACTAGTCTGTCATAGGGTCATCTGGCTGTCCTCCGTCCCCGCGAGACCATTTACCTAGAACCTCGCCGGTTCCGTACGTTGTTCAACCACTCCAGGCTCGTCACGGCAATAATTATTTTGTCTGGTCGCCTCCTTGTACTATCAAGACATAGGCACGCCCTCTGAACATGGCTGCTATGGTACAAACCTACCCCCAGCAAACAGCAACTGTTACAATGCTCCAGACGCGACCGAGCTCTTCTTCAGGCATCATGAACGGACACGCACATTCTCAATCTCAACCAAACGTGGGAAACCAACAATATATGGCGAATTCTCAACCTCACAGGAACAGTTTCCACGGACTCCCTGGGGTCGTGGGAGGACAGACTGGCTACCGAGGAAGCTCTCCCGGCCCGGTCCAGCCGTATGCTTTCACGACAACGCCCAACCTTGCTAATAACGGCGCACCATGGCAATCATACGGAGCATACCGGACAACGTCAAACCCTAATGTGTCTACGATGCAGACGATAGACCATGCTAATAACGCGGCTGCTCGTCCTCGTTACCACACAAGCGGCTCCATGACCAACATTCACAACGGTGCCAATTCATCTGCCGTCATGGCTCAGGGAGTATCGAGGGACGACTCTTCTCTTCCATCCATGAGTCGAGCAGCAAATTCCGCCGCATCACGGCCACAGTCGGTGCACCTGACGACATCCTCTGGCCAACAGACCTTCGCTCAGGTTGCGGCTACCAAGGCGTCCCCCGAGAGGTACAGACGGCCTTCACCCAGACAAGTGGATTCCCAGCAGTCTTCGCAAGCCCAGGGCTCTGCCATGCCATCAGGCTCAGGCATGGCAACCGTGGTTCATTTGTACAACCCTCGAGCCATGGGCAACCAAAGAATCCCCCGAAACTCGGCGAACCTTGCCAGCAGACCGCAGAGTGCGTACGGCTCACTGATGACTGGAGCGGCCGCAGACGACATGTTGGTGCCCCGGCAACCCACCGACGAGGATATGAAGAGGTTTCGGCGGCGCAGCATGCACTCAATTGATTCTGCCGATTATCCCAACCCCTTGACCCCGCAGGAGTTCAAGAAACAGCAGGCACAAGCGGAAGAAGCACTCCGCCTCAAGACTAACAGTTCTTTTGCTGGCAATGAGAAGCCTAATGCCGCCACTCACACCAGGAGTGGCAGTTCCGAGAGTATAGTTTCGAGTAGAAGCAGCAACTCTCGACCGTCTTCGGTGAGTGATTCTGATTCCTATCAGGTCCGCATCGCCGATGCATTGCCCAATCATACAGGGATCTGCGGTTTCCTGCGCTAACGACCTGTACCCTTTTACTGATGCGTTACACCCTGTAGTCTACCAATCGAAACTCCAATGTCTCTGCCCCCACAACCACCAGCCCCGCCTCCACTACTAACGACGAAAAGTCGTCCAACCCGGATCAACTCAAGCTGGTGAACATACCACCTCGCAGTTCGTCGACCGATGTTGGGAAACGAGTCCTCAATCCATCGCCGTTATCGAAACCGGTAACCATGGATCCAGCGTCTTCGTCGGGCGACTCTGCGGCGCCCGCAAAGAGCAACGGCCCGGCCGTTACATCCCCTACGAAGCCGCCCGGCTCGTCCCATGGATCCGCAGCTGACAGCCCTGCTGCAAAGCATCTGGCTGCCATTAACGAGAAGGGCGGCCGGCCGAAGACTAAGACGTCGAGGCTCCGCCGTGCTTTCTCTTTTGGCAGCGCTGCCGAATTGAGAAAGTCGCAAGCCAAGGACCAGCAGGCAGACACGCCCTCGACTGCTGTGACCGCCCAACATGGGCCATCAAAACTGCACAAGGATCCGCAGCCCGATGATTTGTACGAAGAGGAGCAAGCACGGATAGCCCAACTACAAGAGGAGAGTGGTTTGGGGAACAGCATCTATTCTGGCACCAAGATCTTTACAGGTTCGAATGACAATCTGTCCATCTCGTCTACAGCTTCATCCGCCTCCGTCATGCTCCGGAAGATGGGACGCGGTATGAAGAAAGGTGGTCGATCGTTGGTCGGGCTTTTTAGACCCAAGTCAATCATCGGCTCGCCAACTGGAGATACACCGGGGGCCAGTCGACCCGAGGTATCCATGGTCACAGTTGAAGCCGAGCGTGAGAGGGTGAATGTGAATGCCAACGGCGACCTCGGTGCACCATCCGGAGGTACTGGCTTCCCTCACTTGGAACGAAACTCCATTGACGCCATAGATGCCGTACACGCAGACAGCCTGACATCGGACCGCCTCGGCAGCTCTGGAACTGACAATTCGGGTGCACGAAAAAGCATTGTCGGTGGCGAGAAGGAACGGGCTGAGGTACTTGCTACCATTCGTAAGGGCATTCTCAAAACTCGGAGTAATTCCCCCAGCCCGTCCCCCCGAGGACAAGATACCAAGGGCCCCATTTTTGAGTTGCCCCTGATCCCCAATGTGACCGATTCCCCAAGCTCCAGTGCCCCGAGCACCCCGAACGAAGACGCTCAGGGTCACAAGCGCAGCGGCTCTGTAGCCATTGGCAATGAAGATTATTTCATGTCGGCACTGAGGCTACGACAGGACACGAAGAGCGCCCCGGGTACGCCACAGGGGAGCATCAGCAAACGCAATGCCACATTTAGCCCGCGCATCGTGTTCTACGATACATGGCCAAGCCAGGAGTACGACCGACGAGGAGAGATAGCAACTTGCAACCGTCTCACACCAATGCTGGCCCAGCAGATCAAAGAGGAGTTGAACAGCTTCAAAATGGTAAATGCACATGGCAACATGCAACGCAGGCTTTGACGCTAACACATATTGCAGGAAATGGAGGTTCACGAAACATCAAAAATTTACACCCACTTTTTCTGATGACAAGCGTATTGAAAGAAATCTGGGCGAGCCTTATTATTCCCGATTAATAGTTTCCTAACACCTGCAAATCCTGTATTTCGACATACTCTTTACACCACAAAGGCGTTCACCAGGTCAGCATCGTATGGTGTCACGGCGTTTTCGAATTCATTGGTACGAATTTTATTGGTTTTCCGTATTAGAGAGGAAACAAAGCCCGATCGATCACCACGACGATATCGGCGACATCCACTACATGTACATGCCAAGGTACGACTCAGTTCCCCGTCACCCGGCCAGGCTGTATACACGGGGCAAGCGTGCAATGTAAATCAAGATATCTTGATGCGGAGCTTGCTAGGTGCAACATGCGCATATATGCGTACCCAGTATGAACTGCTTGCGTGCATGGCAGATAGGGCAAACCCGATGTGCTCTCGAAGAGCATACACCGGTCATTCATTGGGCGTAGTCGTTATCGCTACTTAATCAAGACAAACTCGAAAACAGCAGGCTGGAACATTTTGCGTCGGCATTCTGCCCTTGAAGCTCATATGGAACTTTGGAAGACATCCATTTTTTTTGTCTATCTACACATCCCGTCCATCCTTCAAGCAACGAGGATGACGCAATCTTGGTGGCAGATAGAGCTAGCACATGCCTGCGTGAGAGTGGCTCGGAGCCAGCGATATACGTAAGGGATGGGGTCTATTTGCGGCGGCAAGGGCCGCTGAAAGGGTTTAGACCGAGACTAGATTCGGAAGCGTTGACAGCGAACCGTGTGTTTGCAAGCGAGCACGACACCGGGCGGCACATTATCAAACTCATATGTCTTATCATCATTCATCCTCTCAGCGGTTGATGTATTTGTAACAGGGATCTCTACTTAGTGGGATTGCGGAGGAGAGGGGAAGGGGGGGGGCAGGGGTTCAGACAGACATATTGAATTTTTTATAGCAAATATTCGCATGGGCAGAGCGACAGGATCTATTAAGGCCAACGACAATTATTAAACGCTTTCGATTCGCACCCTCGTGCCATAGTGAAATGAAATCCTTGTCTGGGGCGCCGGCCTCAGGCCTCGTCACTCCAATATAGCCAAAGTCCTTACGCAGGTTCAATATGGGTGCATTGGTTTCCATAAACCTCTCGGTTTCAAAGTGGAATAATCAGTCGATCGACCAAAGGAATACAGTGGGTTGATAAGCGCACTATCCAGCGTAGTATCGAAGTGGACGACACTTTTCCGCGGATATTAATACGACTTATAAGACCGTTTGTTGAGTGGTCCCGGATTTTGCTTGCTCGAAAGGGGTGCCAAGATATCGCCCTTGGAAGTAGTTGTTGAGATCTTAGACTTGCATGAAAGTATTGGGAACTTACTTGCCTTGCAGATACGAGGCACCCCCGCTGCGTACCGAGCAAGCTGGGTTGTTTTCCTGAATTTCTTGTCTGTTTGTAACCAATAAGTCGAGGACGCAAGGGATCTGGATGCGCGTGTAATGTGTTCCACCAATCAGTTGGTCAGCACGCAAGGCCCGGTCTTTTTCGTCAGCCTCGTGCTCACATGCAAGGCTGATAATTAACAACTTCTCAAATTTTGGGGCTGCCGTCTATCAGGAATTGAAAGAAACAAACGATCAGGCGCTACCGAGACGAAAGGCACGACCGTCATTCTGGAGGTTGTGAACAGATTGGGAAGACGCTGGAAATCTCCAGGTGGCCGCTTTCTGATCAGAGCCTACGTCACAATGGGTTCCAGTGCTCTTCCTTCTGGCGATGCGACCACGATGGGGAAGCCCAAGCTGCACGGACGGGCTTTCTACAAGAGCATCGGCAGTCCCAAGTTCATAGTCGCTCCTATGGTTGATCAGTCCGAGTTTGTACGTCCTGGCAAGTTCAAACCAGTCTAGTGACGGTATATTGTTGCTAACTTGGTGGTAATCTCAGGCCTGGCGAATGCTCACGCGATCCTTCCTGACGCCCTCCGAGAACAAGAAAGTCCTCGCTTATACGCCCATGTTCCACGCTCGCCTCTTCCAAGAGGCGGACAATCCTAAATATCGAGACTCCCACTTTCAAGCTACCAATGCTTCCCGCGCCCCCAAAAGAAGCAAGTCGCCCAATCGTGCCAATGAACCAGAAATAGCGTCGGATTCGACACCGTGGCTAGACGGCAATCCTTCCTTCGACCGCCCCCTCTTTGTGCAGTTCTGCGCAAACGATCCGACGCACCTCCTTGCCGCTGCGCAACTCGCCGCGCCATATTGTGATGCCATAGACTTGAATCTCGGTTGTCCGCAGGGTATCGCTAAAAAGGGACACTATGGCGCTTTTTTACAGGAGGACCAGGAGTTGGTCTATAATCTGATCAACAACTTGCACAAGAACTTGTCCGTTCCTATCACGGCCAAGATTCGCATCCTAGAGACGAAAGAGGATACGCTCCAATATGCCAAGAACGTTCTCGACGCGGGAGCCAGCATAATTACAGTGCATGGGCGCAGGAGAGAGCAGAAGGGGCATTTGACTGGTGTGGCGGATTGGTCTTATATACGCTTCTTAAGGGAAAATCTGCCTAAGGACACAGTCATATTCGCCAACGGCAACGTGCTCCAGCATGAAGATCTCGAAAGGTGTCTGGAAGCCACCGGTGCCGACGCCGTCATGACAGCCGAGGGCAATCTAAGTGATCCGGCTCTTTTCTCAAAAGCACCTGCAGAAGGTGAGGAAGGGCGCGAATATTGGAGGGGTCTTGACGGCAAGGGCGGTTTCAGAGTTGATGCCGTGTTCAGACGGTACATGGACATCATTCATAAATACGTGTTGCAGCACGACCCTCCTACGCGGAAACCCCTTTTCGTGGTCGGCGATGACGAAAGCTGGCTGCGCAAAAAATCGCAAGCGGAAGCAGATGAGGAAGAGGGTCCGGCTCGGAAGAAGAGAAAGAAGGACTTTGCTGGCAAGCAGGGCAACAAGCCAGAGAGGACTTCAGATCCTAATCTGCTTGCTATGCGGCCACATCTCTTCCACCTGTTACGTCACTTCATCTCTAGACATACGGATGTGCGTGACGCGTTGGCGAGGTGCCATGCCGGCGATATTGCAACTATGGAGACGGTGCTCGAGATGGTCGAGCGACGGGTGGCGGAGGGGATTATTGAGTACAACAAGACGCAGGGGAAGAGCGTCGAGGAGCCTGAGATCAAGGCTTCTGTTCCTACCGCAACAAGAGACTCGAAGCCAGCCGATGATACAAAGGTGGAGGGTGACGAGGCGGATACCATATACGACCCCGAAAGCTCAGTAGCGACGGTTAAGGCGTGCAAGCGGCCTTGGTGGGTGGCTCAGCCCATTGTCCGGCCGCTGCCTAAGGAGGCGCTGGCCAAGGGAGCGTTGAGCCTGAGTAAAAAGGAGAAGAAGAAGTTGGTAGCGAAGATGGAGAATGGTCCAACAAACCAGATAGGTGGCAAAGTTAAGGATGAGCTGCCCCGGGATGATGGCAAGGAGAGTGTCAAGGAGCCTATTATGAGCGAAAAGGCGAACGGGGTGACGACTGAGGAATTAGTGTGTGGGTAGGTAGAAGTGATACCAACATCGAGTAAAAAACAAAATTTCAAATCCAGCTAATGCGTGCGACTGCGGAGTGTCCTCACTGGAATACGGCAAGTTAATCTGGTCTCAACGTCTTCTATCCCTGTAGTTCGTCACTAGACTCAAGCTCTCAGCTAACGCGGGTGTAAAAGAGGGCCCTCTCTTTTCATGCGGCAGTTTACCAATTTTTTTTTACAAGTTGGAGATTTGGTTTGTTTTCCAAGTATTCCATTCCGCCATGAACCTCGACAACGTTTCCATTCGTATACCTATTGTCCTGACCAAACAGAAACACCACAACGCGGGCCACTTCGCCCGTCGTCCCTAATCGCCCCATGTCTATACCCGCAACTAGCTTCTTGCTCGCATCCCCGCTGGCCACGTTGTCGATCACGGTGGGCGTTTCGATCGGCCCCGGAGCCACACGGTTGATCCAGATGTGTTTGGGTCCTAGCTCAAGGGCCATGGCTTTGGTGAATCCAACGACCGTCCTGCAGTATTATTAATAGTGCCACTGGATCAGCTCCCTTACTCACCCACATCCCTCAAAGGCTCATAAAGAAAAGACGATTAACTACATTCTATATGCTGACCATGGCACACACCTCACTAGCCCTCAACCCCGCCATAATCGCGACATTCATTACCGCGGTGCCCTCCTTCAAATGGGCACGCAAGCCCGCGTGATATTATACGGCCCGCGCAGGTTCGTGTTGACCAGCTTATCGAAATAGTGCCCCGTCGTCTCACAAAGGACAAGGCAGTGGGGTCATTGCCCGCACAGTTGAAGATGAGGTCCAAATGGCCGAACGCTTCCATGGTGTATCATACAGGCTTTTCATAGTCGGCGCTGGACCCCACAGCGCAATCTAGCGTAATACGCTACATATCAGCTTCTTTGCCTATGTTGGCCCGCCCGGACTCGTCGAGGTCGCAGAGGAGGAGGCGGACGCCGTGGTGGGCCAGTATTAGGGCGGTTGGGCGGCTGGAGGGGATGTGAGTGAACCTGCGGCGTGAGATGGGATGTGATGTATATGAGGTGTGTGAAATGCATGGGCTAGACCTACCCTATTCCGGCTGCGGTGCTGGTGATAAGGACCGCCTTGTCTGTGAGTGTGCCTGCCACGATATGAGAACGAGTACGAGATCGATGGCGGGAGAATAGCGGTTCTCTTCCGGCTTGGTTGCTGGCTGAAGTGAACACTACTTTAGAGATTTGGGTGAATAGCTTCTGGATCAGTGTATATTTATGGAGTTCGCCTCAAAATCACTACTGGGTCCCGCGATCATGTCATAATTGCGACTATGGGTCGACTGGTATACCTTACCATCCACTTCTGCGATAGGAGGTGGGTAATTAATTCATAGGACATGATAGGGCGGGTTACTATGTATTGAGAATTCTCATCGGTGCTACCGTCATTCTTTTTCAAATGGATAAACGGGATTGAATCCAGCTAGTACATCTTCATGCTTTCATGCCATTACGCATAAAGTGTTCTGAGAGTCATGCGACATCGCCATCGAAACATCGCGCTTTCATTGCATCTGTGGAATGATCATTTCTAATCTCTAACTTTCCACACTTGGCCCCTGAGAAGAGCTAGTGGGTAGCTTCCCTTAAAATTCCTGAAGATGGTTGGCAATGCTGTGACAGCAGAACACAAGATACATTCACGATCCTCCAGTTGTCCATTTCGTACGTTATGCAATGTTTCAAATGACTGTAATTAACCAAGAAATAAAAGCATATAAAATAATCGTGTCTCATAGCTAACAATCTCGCAGTGAGGGTATAGCCGCCTAATCAAACCACAAACATACAATCAGTCAATCAATTGTTCAATCCATCAGAGAAACACAGAAAATCCCCTTTCCGCCCTTTCCAAAGTCGTTCCAAATCAACTCCCCTCAAACTTAGGCACTAACTTACTCGCCGCCGCCGCCGTCCCCGCCAACTGATATATACTGCCCTGGCTCGTCATCTCAAACACGGATAATTCCGCGCCCAGTTCCTTCGCCAACCACGCTCTCAATTCGACTGAGACAAGGGAGTCGACACCGTACGCGTGGAGTGGTTTGGCCGGGTCGAGGTTGGACGCCTCGACACTAAGAACGCGGCAGAGTTTGAGGAGCAGGGCGTCGAGGACGATTTGTGTGGCCGCCTCCGTGGAAGTGGCGGCAGAAAGGAGGGTGGTGTAGTTTATCTTATCGGATTTGGTTGGGGAGGTGGACGAGTTGGGGTCAGAGGTGGGGGACTTGAAGGGTTGGTGATTAGAGAGGTGGCTGAATAGAGGGTCGTTCCGCCAGGCGGGGAGGTCGATTCCCTCTGCAGCAGTGTGTTGAGGGAGCCAGAGGCGGGGTATAGCCTGGGACTGACGCGTTAAGTCTGCGTTGGATGGTGATGGACGACAGTAAAAGTCTAGCACGGAGAGAAGGTCGTCCTCGGTCATGTAGGACCACCCCGAGGCGCGCATGTGATCCAGCAGCTCGGGCTTCTCGGCTACGAAGCCGACGTCGAGGATGACGGGGAGGTCGAGGGAGACGGCGTTGAGGCTGTGGCCGTTTTGGGGTGATGCTGTCGATAGTTGTCGGGCTAGGGCATCTTGGAAGGCGCCGCCGGCCGAGTAGTTGGACTGCTCTGGGTTGCCGGTGATGCCGACGGTGGAAGATAGGAGGATGAGGAAGTCGAGGTTGCAGCCGAGGACTTGGTGCAGGTTGCGGGATGAGTCGACCTTGGAGCGGATGGTGGTATTCCAGTCGTCGAGTGTCATGTGCTCGAAACGGTTATCCTGGTGGGCGGTTCGGGTTAGCATGGTATGATAACATATCAGAAAGCAAGTCAATTTACCTTTAGTACCATGGACCCCTGGATACACCCCTTTATTGGGGGCATGGAAGTCAGACATTCGGCGACCACCGCTCTTAGGGCTTCGGGATCCGTCACGTCACAAGCGGGTGCGACAACCTTGTCGCAGACCGATTCGAGTTCTTTGATTAGTTCCTTAGCCGAGTCCTCGACGGGACCGCGCCTCGACAGGAGGATGAGGTTCTTGGCGCCGCGGGAGGCCATCCATCGCGCAACCGACCTCCCCAATCCTCCAAGACCACCAGAGATGACATAAGTAGCCGCAGAGCTGAACTGGCTGGCGGGTTTCCGGCTCGGGAGAACAGGCACCACGTCTCCAAGCTGTGGCTCGAGCACCAGGTTCCCTAGAAGTTCACCAGACTGCAACTGCCGGAATGCAGCTGGCACTTGAGAGTAAGGTAGGGAAGTGATAGGTGTCATCCGCTTCGCCGCATCGAGCTGGTTCAAAACAAACGTGACGGCCTGCTGGAAAATGCGCTGTGCCCGCACGGGGTCATGTTGAGCCAGGAAGACGGCATCAAACGACTCGAAGCGGGTGTTGCGGTTGAAGTTTCCCATGGATATGGAAGCGTTAGCGTTGATATCTCCCCCCAGTCCAAGCTCGACGAAGCGGCCAAATGGAGCAACGCAGTCCCAGCTGGCTCTAAGAGCTTCTCCTGCGAGGCAGTTCAGGACCACATCAACACCGCGGTTGTTTGTCGCGCGGAGGATGCCGGCCTTGAAGGACAAGTCGCGGCTGGAGAAGATGTGATGCCGAGGCACGCTGTACGTGGTTTCAAGGAACTCGCGTTCTTCGATGCTTGCGACTGTTGCGAAGACGTCTGCCCCCTGGTATTGGGCTAGCTGAAGGGCAGCTTGACCGAGCCCGCTGGCGGCCGAATGGATGAGCATGGTGTCCCTTTGGTTAAGGACACCCGTCTCGTGGAGCACGGCATAACTCGTTGTGTATGCTATAGGGATCGAAGCAGCCTCGGCCCAAGACATTGAGTCCGGCATCTTGGCAACGAACCCTTGTTGAGATCGCACATACGTCTTGATGCCTCCTTGGAAGCACAGTCCGAAGACTTTGTCTCCGACCTTGAACTCAACTGCGGATCCTACCCTGGTGACGATACCGGAGGCCTCAAGTCCAAGCGGCGCTTCCGAAGCCTTACCCAGCGCTATCGCTAAGTCCTGGGCGTTGACCCCGCTAGCCATGGTCATGAACTCGACCTCGTCGTCTGCCAGGGGCGAGCTGTACAACGGATCATCCTCAAACCTCAGTGTGTCCAGCAAGCCCGTGGTGCCGATCTGAAGAGAGAGGGAGCGATCGGGAGTACCACCAAAGTGCTCTTCCACCACATTTGGAGAGGCGGTCTGGGTTTGCATGTGTTCCGTCAAAGCCTTTGCCTCGACAAGGCGGGGAACATGAATCATCCCGTTGGAGATGCGGAAGGAGTTCTCCGTGCTGTTCTCGAGGGTACGCAACACCTGCAACGAGCAACCGACGATGGTGCTCGAGTTGTCTCCCTGCTCAAAGGACAGGGTGACGAACCTCAAGTCGGGCTTCTCTGCCCGGATGCCTCTCGCCATACCAGTGATCAACTCCATGTCTGGTGCTGCCGTGGTAGCTGTTCCACCGCGAGTCAGCCAGACGAGTTGCTTGCAGTTATGAACCATGTGCTTGAGAGCGGCAAAGACCTCCTGTCCCATATTCGCAAGCACTGGTGACTCAAGCTCGGAGAGGACTATGCAGGTGCTGTCCTTCAGGTCTTTGTCTCCCATCGCCGTCATTGCAACCGTCTCGCAAGGGGCTATGGCGGTCGACATACCCCCAGCCACCTGCTTTTGCAGCGCCGACCTCACGTCAACCACAATGTAGGTAGCATTCCCCGACACCAGCTTTTGCTCTGGCACCGGCACAGTCGACGCCAGCACCGAACTCGACTGGTACTCCGGATCCGGAAAATCATCCAAAACAGCATCCAAACCCGTAAACCCCGAGTCCAACAAATGCCGACCCCAATTCTCTGCCGACATCAACGGTCCCCACTCCCTCTCCGGCTCCTCCGACAGCCACCAGCCCGGCAACACACCAAAGCAGAAGCTGCCGAGCAGAATACTCGGGTTCGTAAGCTCGAACAGCAACAGCTTTCCCCCGGGCTTGAGAAGCGTTTTTATGTTCTGCAGGGTATTGTTGATATTCGCCGTAGCATGCAACACATTCGCCGCAACCACCAGATCGTACTCCCCCTTTCCGAACCCCTGTTCTGCGGGATCCCGCTCCGCGTTCAGCACCCGGAAACTCATGTTGTCCAAGTGGTCCTTGAACAAGTCCCGCGCCAGCTCGAAGAAGGAAGGCGAGATGTCGGTGAAGTCGTAGTGGTCGTACCTTCTGCCATTCTCCCGTGCGAGGGTCTGCATGACGGAATACGTCGCCCCCCCTGTTCCCGCGCCGACCTCGAGGACTTTCATGGTCGGGTTCTTGTGCGCAAGGGCGTCGAGGTAGGCGCGCAGTTGGGCGTAGCACCGGTTCGAGCCCAGGCCGTGCCGGTAGACGTTCTCGGCGAGCTTGTCTTTGAAGATTATGTCGAGGGGATCGAGGGAGCCGCCAAGCATTTGGGGGAGGGCTTGGCCAACAGCCGTGATGAGCTTGCCTTCGGGGGTGTCTCCGACTCTGACTCTTTCCTCGAGTTCGGGGATGCTGTCGCAGGACAGTCTCCGGGTGGAGGTGGTGGTGGTGATGATGTGGGCCATCCAGGATACGTAGCACTGGTGGTGCGGTTCCATCTTGGCGATGTCGGTTTTCGAGGTTGACGCGAGGAATTGGCGCATGTAGAGGAAGCAGAGAGACTCGCAGTCGTCCATCCATCCTGATGGGTCGTCTTGTGCTGTGACGGGAAGACCGAAGACTTGTCCCGCTTGGTCTTTGGTCAGGATGGTCGGGTCGGGCTTCCAGTCTAGGTTGAGAGCCGAGTGCTTGGGGTCATCCTGTGACTTTGAAGAGGCGTCACCAGGAAGGGTCTTGAAGACCAGGCCCGAAGCATAAACCAGGGGCACTCCTGTTTCGGGGTGGACCGCCGCAAAAGAAGACTCGGCCTCTCCGCCACGGGGTTTGGGCTGGGCGGATACCGTGTAGGCATCGTGTGAAGCAGCCGAAACCCACATCTCAGCTGCGTAAATGGGGACTATGGCCTGCTGAGATCGCTTGGGAGTAAGCACCAGGGGAACAAGGTTAGCCTGCATCAACCCATCCAGGGTGGACGGATGTACCAGGTGAGGCTGGAGGTATTGATACGGCATGCCCTTCTGGATGCTGGAAACCATCGAGTCGATGTTGGCGAGCATCTGGTGGGCTGGTCCTAGCCGGACATCCTTGAGTGTCCGGAAGGAAGGGCCAAAATCGAGTCCGGTATCCCGGAAGGTGGTGTACAACTTGGAGGCTGTGACTTTTCTTGCACAGCTACTCTGCGCGTGCTTCAGTTCTTGATTGCGCTTTTCTTGCACCATTTGGTCTTCCAGTCCCCCGTCCACGGGGGTGTGTTCTGACTCGTACTCGGTTTGTATAAGTCCACGACAGTGCTCTCTCCACTCGCCTCCCTCTAGCGTGCAAAGTTGGAATTCATTCCAGGATGACGAGGAGGGCGCACTAGTCTTTCGAGATGACCGCAGGTAGAAGTGCGACTCGACACCTTGCGCAGTATCTGGGATGCGCAGGGCGAGATGGAACGACACGTCCTTGAATCGGAATCCCGTGACCACATTGTCCTTGTCAGCGATCTGGCGGCTGGCTTCAATGGCCATGACGAGCATTCCGGCGGCGGGATAAAGAATGTCGCCGGACACTTTGTGATCCTCGATCCAGGGGTTCTCCGAGAGCCTGATGTGGTTGCACCATACCGCATTGTCTTTGTCCCAATCGCGAGCCGGGGCGCCGAGGAGTTCGTGGCGGGGGGCAGGGCGGAAGCGGAAATTTTTGCTAATCCGACTTTCGGCCCAGTGCTCGTTGGTATGGTTGAAAGGGTAGCTCGGGAGGTCGGTGAGCATTAGGGGAGTATGGTTTTTGGATGCGGCCGTCTTGTTGACCTCGAGCAGGTCGACGTCGTAGCCTCGACAAAACAACGAGCCGGCTGCTTCCAGAGCGGTGTTCATGGCCGACTCTTTGCGTCGAATCACCGAGTGGTACTTGACGGTGTCGCCTCCCTTGATCTGACTCGTGATGCTTCGCAGTGGTCCTTTCAGACCACTGTGTGGACCTATCTCGAGAATGTCGGTAATGGGTCTTGGGGGTTGTATATAGTGCTTATTATGTCCATCAACCCCATTCACTCCATTCACTCCATTGACTCCATTGACTCCATGGGCCTTTGCAGGTCCCTGGAGCATATCCGTGATAGCCTCATTGAAGCGAACAGGCGACACCAAGTTGTCGACCCAGTAATCAGCCCCCCGAAGCTTCGACGGCGGGATGGAAGCACCGTATAGAGACGAAAAGTACGAAGGCTCCGAAGGGCCTTGTCTAGCACCCTCCTGCACCTCGCCTATCAAGTCGAGATACTCGTCGCTAATGGGCTGCATGAACCGGGAATGGTACGCAATATCGACCGTCAGCTTGCGAGCAAATATTTTTTCGCCTTTCAGCAATTCGACCAGGGCGTCGATCTTGGCGATATCGCCACTGACGGTGTGACTCTCGGGACTGTTCATACAGGCAATTTCCAGTCCACCTTCGCTGATCATGCGGTTGACACGATCGATGCTCGCTAGCGTGGCTTCTTTGTCGAGGGCCACGGCCACCATGCCCGTCTTGGGCTGTGTCTTGGAACGGGACAGTCTGGCACACAGTTTGCCCCTGTAATATGAGATGCGCCATGCTGCCTCTTTGGAGAGGTGGCCGGCGGCGTAAGCGGCAGCGATCTCGCCGGAAGAGTGACCAGAGACGGCGTGGGGGTGTATGCGCCACGTGGAAAGAAGGTCTACCAAGGCAACTTGTAAGGCGGTGCAAATAGGCTGACAGAACTCCGGGTCGTCTATCCGTGAAGTTTTGGCGTCCTTGCACAGTTCATCTGCAAACGAGCAAGCGTTAGTTAGTACGGTGAAGACGGCACTCTCCTGAGGGGGGTTCCACTCACATGGTAATGACCAGGAACAGCCCAAGCTGCTGAGGTATTTATCCGCAGCGTAGAGGCTTTGTTGGAATGTCGGATAACTCATCAGCTCTCGACCCATAGCAGGCCACTGCGCGCCCTGGCCCGTGAAGATAAAGGCCAGACGTGGCTCGGCCGCTGCTCTTATTGGTGTGGGCTTCTCGCTAAGCGCCTTTTGTAGAGCCGCCTGAGAGCTCGCGATGCTGAAGGATCGCCACCCATGCCGGGTTCTCTTGCTTGCGAGCGTGTAACTAAGATCCCTCAAGAACGGGACTGCTTCACTCGACCGTTTCGACTCAAGGTACTGGCTGTAAAGCTCGTGTAGGCGGGAAACACCATCCCGGTCATATGAAGACAACACGTATAATTGTTGTCGTTCTTCTTCTCCCTCTCCTTCTTCTTCTATCATTTCGTCTTCGTTGTCATCCAGTCCGGCCTTGCCCTCGTCGACAAGGGGTGGCAGACTGGTGCCATTCAACTTAGTGGACGGTTGCCAGCCGTTGACGACTCGTGTAGGGGTGCGAACGCCATTACTAAGGCCGTTGACCCGAGGTTCTGATTTATGAATGCCGCTGCCATTCACTACTTTTGGTGGAGAGTGACCTCCATTTGGGTGTCCTATTCGTATGCTGTTAGTGATTCGTAAACGCAGAAGGGGGGAGCAGAACGTAAAAACAAACTTGCCATTGGCATAAGCAATCAGTTTCGGGTTCGCCACAGTACGATGGCTGCCCCCGAGATGGTACTGCTTCAAAAAGTGCAAAGCATCGTCCATTACAACGTGGGCGTTGGTGCCGCCAACTCCGAACGAGTTGATGGACATGCGGCGCACACCAGATTGCGGCCAAGGGGTTGCCTTGGTTGGAAAAGCCAGGTTCCATTCCTCTAGTATCTTAGGGTTTCGTTTCTCAAACCACGTGTTGGCGGGGATGATACCACGCTCCAGGGTGAGAACTCCCTTAATGATGGCAGCAACCCCAGCGGCGCCCTCCAGATGCCCAACATTACTCTTCAAGGCTCCAACGTACAGGGGCTGGTCCGCGGACCGGTGCTGGGTAAAGACGTCGCTAATGGCCCCTGCTTCGATAGGGTCTCCGACCGCGGTACCTGTGCCATGAGCTTCAAAGAATCGCGTTAACGACGGATCAAGGGAGGCTCTGGCGTAGACCTGTCGAATGAGGTCGGCCTGGGCACCCTGCATGGGCTGTGTGATTCCAGGGGATCTCCCATCGGAATTGGACCCGGTATTCCGAATGACGGCGCGGATCATGTCTCCATCGCGGATGGCATCCGAGACCCTCTTCAACACGATGGTCCCGAAGCCTTCGCCTCGACCGTACCCGTTGCCCCGGTGGTCGAAACTGTGGGAGGTGCCGTCCGGGCCGAGCACTCCTGCTGCGTCAAGCAGGAGCGTGAACTCGGGCGAGATCATGAGGTTGCATCCGCCGACAATTGCCATGGAGGTCTCACGGAGCTTCAGGCTGTTCACGGCCTGGTGCGCGGCTACGAGACTACTCGAACAGGCCGTGTCGATGGTCATGCTCGGGCCGCGAAAGTCGTAGAACCACGAGACCCGGTTGCTGAGCATGCTGACCACGGTACCGTTGACGCCATACTTCAGGGGGATGTCGAGGTCCTTGGTCATCATCCGGTCGTAGTCAGAATACATGCAACCGACGAAGACGCCCGTTTGGGATCCGGCCGCCGCCTCGAGGGAAACCCCAGCTGGTTGGGTGTTAGCATAACGTTCATGGCTGCTGGTAGGTATGATGACCAAAACCATCGGCAAGCGGGGAACGAACCGTTTTCAAGTGCTTTGTAAACACTCTCCAGCATGCCGCGCTGTTGCGGATCCATGCTGGCCGCCTCGGTGGGCGTGATGGAGAAGAAAGGGGCATCGAAGGCCGATATGCTGCCTTTGAGGAAGTGCGCCGCTCGGACTCGGGTCTACTGCATTATCAGTCTCTGCGCGTCAAACTCTAAAACCCCAAGGGGCAAACAAGATGCGTACGTACACTGCCGCATCTTTCAGGGTCGGGATGCCAAAACGCGTCGGCATTGTACCGCTCTGCCGGTATCTCAGTCCGGGCTGACCGTCCCGCGAGCAGGAACTCGTAGAACTTTTCGGCAGTCTCGCCGTCACCAGGGAACCTGGCGTCCAGCCCGATGATCGCAATCGGCTCATCCATCATGGATGCAGCGTTTTTCGAGTCATGAAGAAGACCAGTGTTTGTCGGTCTCCTAGGCCACCTCGAGAAAGAATACTAAGCAGCTCGCGGCTGCTACTCGTACTTAATAATAAGCTTCCCGGCCTGCATCGATAGCATCGTCTCGAGGCCGCATCCACTCTTATCTGACGAACATGTCGTTCCCGACCATTCATGGACCGAAGGCCCGCGAGACTTCCCCAATCGCACCGCTGCCCATCCGCGACGCCAGTGGTTTGGGGTGGAGCGCCCATCGTCGAGTCCAATGGCCACTGCAAATTTCCCCCCTGAGCAACCCGGACAGGCCACTTTATCTTTTCCAAATGGGCTAATGCATCTAACTGCCACTTGATTGACACCTTAGACTGCAGCGACTGAGTCTACTAGTCCTCTGTTGACGAGCGAATAGTTCACCGCTCACTGAGGAGCTGTGTACAGTATCATTGCACTTTGTGGATACCGCCAGTAGTGAGGCGGGGTTTGTGGTCTCTGTCTCTGTATCTTCCACCATCCATCGCTTCCCCTCTCCCCAAGTGCCGTTAAGCGCTCATCGTCGGGTACGGAGTCCTGCGTACGCGGTACGGCCATCGGGAACCCGAATCGCACAGGCTTCCCCGTCTCGATTCTAGGCGAATCGAAGATCGGACGTTTGGGTCCCATCGAATTGATCGGCATCCTAGTCAACAACCCGCTTATAGCATTAGGGTTGGGGCCTAGTGTGTTGTCCGTACCATATCCGTACAATGAAGGACCATGCTCAATGTCGATGCTTAGATGGTCGCCGAGGAACGGGTGCGTCGAGACGTTGGGAAGCACGGCCAGGTCTGCACTGCCGTGTCAGGTAGCCAGCTCGACCCACTTGCAAGTAAGATGACCGTATAATGCAACCCGTGCCGGTAGAGCAGGGGTAGAATACTCCGTATAACATATCATATTACGTATACTATAGGATGCCCATCCGCCTTTCCGCGTGTTCTCCTGACTGTGCCACCGGATCGCGAAACAAAGGGCCAGACCAGCTCATCAACGGTCTATGCGCGGGTTTATCGCACGGCGTCTACGTACCGAAGTAGTGAGGTAGATGTCACCACCGCACATGGCAATGCAACGGCACTTGGTCGCACTGGCACGCTGGCACGTTGGTTGGGCTTGATTCCTGCATGAATAGCTTCCAGCGCTCCGATTGGACCCAGAGAGCGAAAGTGCCGGAGGAGAACCCAAGAAGTCGGGTTGAGAGGAAGACGTCGGACGTCGCAGTTCGTGATAGGGACGGACCAAAGAAAGCCTACGGGATCCAATACCTAGCGACTGCCCTGCAAACGGGGGAAAGCTTAATCCTCAATTAGCATCACCCAAGAGGTGTACCGAGAACGCGAAAAACGCCCGACCTCTTCCACGGCAAGTCCGTAACGAGACATATGGCCAAGCACGTTGGGCTGACAAAAAGGCAGGAGACAAGTGGACACAGGCTGCAAGCGAGGGGCACTAGGTCCAATATGTATTCAGCTGCACGGAGCTTGCGCCCACGTTGCATAGGAATGTTTCAACAAATACGACGAAACAGGCAATTCCTGCTTCCCTAAAAAATATAATATCAGAACGCGCCTAAGGTTTGGGCTTCCCATGCCTGCCATACCTGTGACAATCCCCCATATGGCCCATCTACACAGTGAGGTGGCCAATCGGGGTGTCTACTCCGGGTGGGACGTTTCCTTTTCAGGGACCCTCGTCAAAAGAGGAAAGACTGCGACCCTCTCACGCGCATGCAAACGAGGGCTTCCCACGGGCAAAAATGTGGCCTTACATGATTCTGTCGCCCTGCTTAACCTGGCTATAGCTTCCTGGGTTATAGACTTGGTAGCGAGGGCCGTGAAAGAGTCGCACACCAGCGACGACACGGAAAAGCCCCGCTGAAGAAACAGGGGCAGCCGGCCTGCAGCCAGGACACTAATAAATGAGGACGCAGGCCTAAGAAAAGGAAAACAAGGCCCATGACTCGGGTGGGTATTTCAATTCGAGTTGTTCCTTAAGAAAGTCGACTGGTTCCATTGTTCTAGCATTTTGGTAACCAGATCCCCGCGAGAAGGTTGATTAGGCACCCTCGTGATACCACAGACTACCGCAGCGGGCAAAGAATTAAAAGAAAAGAGAAAACAAGAGAACCAGCCAAACAAAAAAAATTTATCCAAAGCCCAAAGAGCAACCGCCCCCTCGGGCCGTCCCGAGGCTTTGCTTTGATGGACACATCCAAATCGCGCGGCCACAGAAGCGCCACCCCGTTGGGACGGCCTTCCACAGTGGCATCAACCGTGTCTTCCAACAACGCGAGGGAGGACTTGTTCACCGCCACCTCGTCGTCATCCGAACTGCACCATCATGCATCTGCGTCTACTACCCCGCACCACTACCGCAACCACCACGACCTCAGCCACCCCAGTTCAGGCACGGCGTCGAAACCGCAGACCCTTTCCAAACATTCCTTAGGCTCGTCTGCGAACCTGCAGCGACCCAGCAACGTGCGTCCAATCTTCTTCTTTTCGGCCCTCTATTATCAAGCGACTCCGATTGGTGTCGCCCGGCGAGGACTGCTACACATGCCTGGAACATGACAGCGGCATGAGGTGTTGACGAAGACTTGCAGGCATCGGCCAGTATTGACGACCGCTCGACGTCCAGTCTCGCATCGATCCAGTCGCATGAGTTTTGGCCTCAGCCTGATTCGGATGATTCGGACAACACATCGAACTCGTACCCCAAAAGGTAAAAGCCTCGAGACACTTATCTGTTGTTGGGTGGCCCCTCCCCGTCCCCAACCCGCGCGGCCCCCACCCCGGTCCCCTCCCCCCCCCTCTCCCTTATCGATCGGTGGGTTAGGGTCGGTCGGTTCTTTTTTTTACTCACGATGGCCACTTCATGCAGGAGCTGCAGCAGCACCAAGACGAAAACGAGTGGATGGAGCACGTCGAGATTCTTTAGGGCTCTCGCTAAGAGGTTCGGCAAATCGTACAAACGTGAGCCACCATCTTTCCTTCATCTTGCGCGTTCCCCTTGCAGCTGTTGGGCACCCGCCCATACCTATTCGGAGAAACTAACGATTGACCAATTGCTCTCATTAGCTCGATACGGCTTTCTACTTAACGACGCGGTGAGAAACAAGACGCCACCTTTAGGTTTTGGCGCTTTCGTCGGCTAATCCAAAAATTACCTTTCAGCAAGAACAAGATAGAAACGGTGAGTAAGAGGGGTAGGCCCCGGCCCCGTCTTGGTGTGCGCTAGGCGGGCGCTGACTTGAAATCAAAGAACTTCAACACAAAGTACTACGCGAACTACTCGACGGCCGCCTCCACTTATCTCCAGTGATCAGGCCGGCAAGAGCCCTCGATGTAGGAACAGGACCTGGGTCTTGGGCATTGGTCTGTCTGTCCGTCCATCGTCGTCTTGTACGAGGCTGACTTTGCAATTACAGGACTTCGGCAAGTCAGGTGGACTCTTACACGTATACTAGGCGCATACTAATCCCGTCCGTCCAGCCAAGCGACACCCGGAATGTGACGTCGTCGGCATAGACATAGACCCCGTGCGGCCTCCGTCGGCGGTACCAAACTGCCGCTTTCTCGTCATGGACGCCACCGAGGATTGGGCATTTGAGGAGAAATTTGACTTCATCCACGTACGGATGGTGGGCGACTTGCCCGGCAAAAACAAGCTCATTCAGTCCATCTTCGAAAATCTGAACCCTGGCGGCTGGGTCGAATTCACCGAGTGGATAGTGCTCTTACAGTCGCCGGACCACTCATTTGACGGTAGCGCATTTCACAAGTGGAACTGCCTACTGCTAAAAGGCAAGTCGGGCGCCGTCGACCAATGACAGAAAGGACCGGGTGGTTTGTCAGTTCTACACGGGTATAGTCACTAACGCGTGCATTAGGCCTCCGAAAACTCGGCAGTTCCGTATTCTATCCAACGGAATACAAGGCGCTGCTCCAAAAGGCCGGGTTCGACCATGTGACCGAAAGGAAACACGCCGCCATGACGAACCCTTGTTACCCGGGCAAAAGCATGCAGAGACTCGGCGCCCTGATGACGTCCAACTGGATGGGTGTGATCGAGCCGTTATCCGTGCCTGTGTTTGCGAGCTTGGGCTGGTCGCCGGAGAAGACGAAATCGCTACTCGTGGATGTGCGGAAGGAGATCAGCGACCCTCGCTTCCATTCATTCATGACGTTGTGAGCTCCCCATGACCCAATGACGCGTTTTCTCCTCCACTTATGTACCTTTTTTTTTTTTTTTTGATGAACGCGAATTGCTGATTGAGGATCGTAGAATGACCGTGTACTGCCAAAAGCCGACGGAGGAATAACACAGGATAGGCCGGCCCCGTGTGGGGGAGTTTTTAATAGATCGGGATTACGCCGTATGGAGTTTGGTCCGGTGGAGCATGCGGGCGGGCGGGATGCTACCCACTCTGCTGCCGCAGCATGCGCCAGCATGAACGTTGTGTGAGGTGTACAACATGACTCTAATGCAACCAGAGTTCCAATTCCATACAACCTTCTCATGTGGCAACCAATGAGAGAACTTCAACTATCGGAGGCTACGACGCCGCATCGTGGCTTCAGCGGCGCGCGATAAGACCCAACCCCCAAAATGCCTTCATTTCTTTAAGGAGCAGACCGCCCATCATTGGGCGATTGGGGATGCGATTGGAACGGGATGTAGATGCAGTCGCGGAGACATCGTGGACCTGCCACTACGAGTAAGGGAGCTGATCCCAGCAGACTTCGGTCACTTGCTTCCCCGTTTGCAGCAAGCTGCGCTGAGATACGGCAAAGCGAGCTGGGGGTCCCGTGCATAGATAAAACGTCTAGTTCCCAACGCGTCGCCGGCAGTTCTTTCGCTTATACACCTACACACACACACACACACACACACATACATACATACATACATACACACATCGCATTGCGGGAGCAAATTCCAAGCTCTCCTCGTCCCCCCCTACTGCTTTGACTTATCCGCAACCATGGCCGACCCTACCGGCGCAACGCCGCAATCCCGCGTCTACGCCACTGTATACTCCCCCTCATTCCTGTCCATGTTCTACGACTTCTACGTGCTCCGCTTCAACATGCGGTACATGTGGGGCTGCCCGACAGACTCGGTGCTCCTGCCCTTCTTCAGCGAGAACTTCTCGCGCCGCCACCTCGACTGCGGTGTCGCCACGGGCTTCTTCCCCGCCGTTGCCCTCTCGCGGCCCTTCCGCGCCCAGTCCACGCAACACCTCACCCTCCTCGACATCAACGCCAACTCCCTCGTCGCCGCCCACAACCGCGTCCTGGCCCACTCCACCGGCACCGAAATCAAGTGCGTCAAGGCCGATGTCACGGCGCCGCTGCCCAAGGCGCTGAAGGGGGAGCGCTTTGAGACGATTTCCATGTTCAATTTGTTTCATTGCGTGCCCGGACCCAACAAGTTGGATGCTATTGGCATCTTTAAGGAGTTATTGACGGATGATGGCGTGCTGACGGGGTGTACCGTGCTGGGGCGCAAGCATGCCACGGGGTGGTTGTCGAGGCTGTACGTCAGGTACTTCAACCATGCTGGCTTCTTCAACAACTTGGATGATAACGAGGAGGACATCCGGGCAGTGCTCGAGCAGGAGTTCAAAGAGGTGGAGACGTGGGTCATTGGCATGATGATGTTGTTCAGGGCGCGGAAGCCTCGCAGGACCGTTGACGAGTTGCTATGAGCAAGGCAGTGGCCGATATGGCCTCTACGTTGATGGAAAGGAGTTATGGTGTCGGTTACGGATACAGGGATTACAGGAGTAGGGACCTGGTTCTTAAAATGCATTTTGAAGAGACTGGACGGTCTTGGTCTCTTGCTCTAGATTGATGAGCCAATCAATTGGGTTCATCTCAACTATTGGGATATCATTTACCACCTCCACAATTGGGATTCCTATGACTAAGACTATATTTCCTGGAAAGCAGTATTGAACATGACGTGGCACTCCACACTGTTCATACGCACCTTCCGAAGTTGAGACACAGCCTTCTTAGTACAGGGTTGATATAGTTTTGGGGTCCGCTATGTCAAGTCCGAAGAAATAGATGCCTCTGATATATGCATTAAGATTAGACTGACATGAACTCAACGATACAAACTATACAGGGAATAAATAAGAACTACTTTTAAAATAGATTCCCCGTGTAAATAACCGTATTAGAGGCTGACATGAATTCACTCCTCCTTATTGATATGCGACGATACATTCTCCAGATCCTTTACCAGGATGACATTCATCGCTAGTTGACCTATACGGATACGGATGAAGAGAAGTGCTTGCATTATCTAGACAGTCTTTCACATGTATCGACATTTTCCTGCTGGCAGCTTCCTATCAAACCGTGTGGATGCGGAGGTGTCCAAAGACCCGCGATATCCTTTCCAAATTGCGTTCGGCGTGTTCCGAACTTGTCAGATGGACCACCCGGAGCCCTGCCCCTGCATATTTGGCTCGCACCCGTAGCGCTGGAGGAGGATAAGGTGGCTACGATGTAGCGCGGTGATTTGTCGAGCCTTCCACCCGTAAAGATCAAGGAAGTACACGCCCTCAAAAGCGACTGCACCGCCCAGCCGCCACATCAAGTTCCTATCGAGTAACCTCCAAGTCCTCCGAGCACGCTGTCGGCTACGCCATTCTAGAGTAAACCCCGTACTACCCTCTATAGTCAACGGAAACGGGGTCAAGGGAGTTCCGTGGCTCCGCCACCAGAAGCCCTACCTTGGGACGAGATCCTCGGGATACACATCGAGCATAAACGGAACACCATGATGGGCAACGACTCGTGGGTCTTTCAGGACAACCTCTGTCTGCCCTTCGACGGGTAACATTCTGGGGCCGGAGGCTATGCAAACCAATAACAATGACCTTGCGATTGGTGCGAATGTGCTTGAGTCTTTGGGGGTTGCGGATATCATTGAGAGTATATCTGCACAAGAAGGTCATGGACGTGTTGTTAAATACGCTTAATACTCTTGACGTGCTGCAGGGACCAAATACAGATGAATTAAGCAACATTGTAACATTAGATACGTAGAGGACGAAATCGTTGCGGTAACTATTACTTATAATCCAAGTTCACAGTCTCACAGCTCCAGCCCCAAATACACAGCTAGTCATTGGGTTGATGTAAAATTTTGTCTCGCTCTTTTGTTATCTGCAGCCGCAGATAATGTCCCATGTTTCGTTAAGACATCATAAGAAAGCAAACTCCTAGATTATTGATTTACAAGAACACTGCGAACCTGCGTAATCAAGCTACCTACACTCGAAACCACAACTCATTGGTTTTGTCCAATGCAGGGCAATCCTTGTCTGCAAGCATGCTGATCCCTCGCACCTCAAATTTGTTTCCCCCACTTCCAGGGTTCCGTGGCCGCTTATTCTAGCAGGTCCGGGGTGATTATCAAATGTTGACAGGGTTCGTAGCCACGGCTGACATGATTTTCACCGATAGCTTCTACTTCCTTGATATTCTCTGCTGATCATCTCAGTTCTGAGGAAGCCTCGGGCTCACAAACCTCATCTTACCAAGGTCTTGTCCAACTCTACGAGAACTCGGCGTTGGAGCAGCGATCTCGTACATATCCACCAAGTGAACGTATTTGTAGTATACGCCATCCCATCGCCAGACATCAATCATGATGGGCACCCACGAACCCGTTGAGCCCTCCAGCTCCAGACCCAAGTTGACACAGGCGCAGACCAGCAACCCAACAAGATCCGGGGGCAAATACGTCCTGATCCCCCTCTTACTAGCCCTCAGCGCCTTCGGCTTCTACACCACCGTAATCAGCATGACGACCAACGGCCTAGTCGATGTGCTCCACGCCGTCGCATCCGGGGAGCAGTCCTCGCTCGTCGGCGCGCCCGAGCCATTCAAGCGCGTCTACACCGGCATCGCGCTGCTAGACGGCCACTTAGCCCTGTTGGTCGGCTTCTTCTCGCCGTTCGTCGACGGCGCCGTCCCGGGGGAGGCGACACTCTTTTACTTCTGGGCCATGGCGCAATTCCTCGCGAGCTGGACCGTCGTCACGCTCGAGGGTGTGCGGGTGGGGAACCGTAGCGGGTTCAGTAGCTGGACCGCAACTTTTGGGATCTTGGTGCAGAATTTGGCATGGGCGACGACGTTACCTGTTTGGCTCGCGGTACATTTGCTCACGAGCCCCGTGGCGCAATTACCCAAGGGTGACGGAAACGCCGCGCGAAAGGCGCTGTCTGCGTACCTGTGGGACATGGCGCTGCTGCCGTCGGCGGTGATGCTCGGTGCTATCGCGCCCGCGCTGCTCATGAGTTGGCCGACACTGTTGGGGCAAAGCGCGAGCGCGCATTATGGCTGGATCGCCTTTTGGCAGTTCTTCCCTGTCTGGACAGCGGGGCTGCAGTGGGTTCTGCGCATGGTGTGCTATAATACCGTCGGGTCTATCAAGCCCAAGGACGACGAGGGCAGGCCTACCTCGCCAGGGAAGGGATACATGGCGGCTGTGGGTAGTGTGTACCGTTTCGCTCTGACCCTGCTCGTCGGCGTGCACTTGCCTATCCTCGGATTGGCCGTCGCGCCGGCTGCGGCGCATTCTTATTTGGGAACTAAGTTCTCCGGCTACGCGGGCATCTTTGAACGGGGCACTTTTACCAACGTCTTCGTCTCGCACCCGCCGTCGCAGCCGCCGACTGTGATTCCCACCGGCTATGCGAGCGGCGATCTGTCACCTCTGTCGATGCACTTCTTGCAGTACAACCTGTACGTGGCCAGTATCCCCTTTCTGCTGTGGGCTATTTATCTGCATCAAATCACGCTCAAGAAGTCCAATGTTGTCGGCATCTTGAAGACGGTCGGGTTCTGGACCTTGGTCGGTGGGCCCACCGCGGCTGTTGTTGCGCTACTGTGGGAAAGGGATGAGGTCGTGTTGGAGGGGGAGGAGTTTGACAAGAAGACAAACTAAGGACAAAGTCATGCTTAGGCCGCGGTTGGAATTTATGTGTAAGTCACGCCTCGATCCTGCGGGCAGGACAACAGCCATCACTGATGAAAACCACTCCAGGGGTTATTGATTATGAATTATTCTAGGATTTATAACAATGTAGAAAATGCCTCATGTGAGTATTGTAGATGCATGCGTTGTATCACTATGAACATAGGTACTTGCACCTATGTCGTGCGTAGACGGTAGGTCGCTCGCTGTCTTCGAGGGCGGGTCTGACTGGGTGACAAAGACGGTATAAAGCTTCGTGGGAACATTCATCCGAATGCTGGTTGATGGCAATTTATTATCAAACTAAGTTACCCGTTAGTTTTGCGTTATCAAAGACACATGCCGAAGATTTCCAGTGGAAAGGATATCCAAACTCATAAGCGCCCCGGAGAAATAGTGTGCTCTTTTCTTGCCAGTTATACCATGGCCACCGCGAAATGGTCTGCGGGTTTGTGACAACTTGTCAGTGTAATGACCAAGGCGGTGAGCGTTTCCATACATCAACGAGGACATCAAGCAGATTCGCCCAATGGCATCTGAGAATACGTGAGTGTGATATACCTGCAATTCTTGATGACCACCCAACCATGTTACGTACGTGATCGTATCATCAAGGTGAACAAACAGCCATGATGGTAACTAGGAATTCGAGCTCCCATTAAATAACGATACTATTTATTCTGTCGCATAATCTGGTATCAACCTCAGAAATCAATGCTGGGACCATCCTTACAAATTTATTCACCTTTCCATGGCCTGATCCTGTTCCTGTATTACCTCCTGTCCCGATTGACCGAGGCCCCGCCGCCCCGGCTCGAACTACTATACCGTCTGCGCTTTAGCGGCGCACCGCCATCCGAACTGGGTGATCGACTCTCATTCTGTCTTGCCCGTTTTCGCGGGGCACTGCTTACACTACTGGTATTCCTCCGTCGTCTAGGCAGTGGGCTTACTGACCTAGATGCTGGGCGACCACGTTTGGGTGGGGGTGAAGGCGAACGCGTCACCGACCGGGGACGTCTCGGTACGGGACTAGCCGACCGAGAGGCCGGACGAACTTGTCTCGGACGAGAAGGCGACCTCGAATAACTGCCATCCCGGGGTGCTGAACGTCGCCGGGGTGGACTGTGCGAGCGGGTAGGTGACTTCGCAGGGCTTCGACTTCGGCTGTGGTAAGACCGAGCCTTGACGCTAGTCCTCCGGGGTGGGCTCCGAGATGGAGATCTCGTCAAGCTGCGGCCACTGTGGCTACTGAGAGACCGGCCCCTCATGCCCGCTTGTCGGGGTGGTGTCCGAGACCGTGATCGGTAGCGCGAATAGCTGCTGTCGCGACGGACTCGACGTGGGGGACTAGCCGAGTACGAATCCTTTCGTGCAGCTCTGCGAGGCGGACTCCTAGAGGAGCTGTATGAGCGCGAACGAGATCGAGAGTATGATGGGCTTCTACTGCGGCTGTACGACACCGGTCTGCCACGTCTAGGTGGGGTTCGTGACAAGGTGCGTCCTCTGCTCAGCGCACGCCGCGGTGGGGTTCGAGATCGAGATCGGGAAGAGTAGGACGAGCCAGTGTAGGACGAGTAGCTGGAAACGGAATCGGAATCGGACTCGGCAGCTTTGGCGGGTGCCGGTAGACCTGGCTTGGGCATCTTCGCGAGATACTCTCGCATCTCCTCGGTAAGAGCTCCCATGCCAATACTGGTGAAGTAATTGATGGAGAATCGGATATTTCGTGGGTTGTCGTGGGGGAAGAGACCCTCAAAGCTAGGTTGCAGTGTCTCGTCTTTCATTCGGGCCTGCACCTTCGGCATGCCCAACTCTTCGGCGATCTCCTGGAATAGGATCTTGATAAAGATACGGCTGGCACTGGTGGTTTCATCCTCGTTGAGATGGACGACGGATAGTGCGTGCCATCCAATGGCATCAGAACCGAACAAGTGCCCAAAGAACCTGGCTATGTTGCGCAGGCGGTTCGTCTCGTATCTGTGAATTGTATCGTAATACTTCATAAAGCTCTGCTCGAAGAGATCCGTCCACAACCGATTGATCTTGGCGAACCTCTCCCCGATCATGCCGAAGAATTTCGTGTATGTCTTCTCTTGCGAGCAGCACTCGACCACCATACTTGGCAGCTCGGGTTCTTGGCCGACGGGCAGGTTGACCTTCATGAGCTTATGCACGCACTCATCTGCTTCCATGCTAGACATGATGGTCAAATAAATGGTCTTGCGAAGATTGACGAGGTCAGTGTTGGTCTGATCCTTGATTTCCATCGCCTTCTCCTGACTGTCTTCTTCCTCGTCGGAGCTCCCGTCCTCGTCGTCGTCATCGTCATCGTAGTCGCTTCCTTCGCCCAAGATCTCTCCTTTCAGTTTCTTGTACGCCGCCTCGTTCTCCTCCCAATCCGGGTCATATTTGAAAACGTTTAGACCATCCTGGACATCGATGGTTGCATCCAGCTCGACCCTGTGCGTAATCTGATCTTCCTCTTCGATCAAGTCGAGTTCCTCCTTGACGGCTGGGTTATCCTTGAACTTATCACGCCTGACCTGGAATAGCACCTCGACCATGTACTGCACGCGCTTTTCGATATCGGCTTCGTTGAGGATGGTCCGGAACTGATCGAACACCGCCATGGCGATGGGCGGGCTCATTTCCTCCATGTGTTGACCCACCTCCTTCATCAGCCCCACGGCAATCTCGACGCTGTCGTCGGTGGGCTTCGAGAGCAGCAGCAACAGCATTTGAGCCGCAAGCATTTCATGAACGACCTGCTGATTGCACAGGTGCGCCAAGAACATGGCCGAAGACAGGCAGACGGCCTTGTCGTTTCTCTTGAACCCTTTGCGAAACACAGTGACCAATCTTTTAACCAGAAGTTCTCCCACCTGTGGAAGCTTTGTGTTCACAATAGCGGCAAACGCAGCGTAGATGGGCGTAAAAGGCAGACTGGCCGCCTGGGCTTTCATGATGCTACGACAGAAAAGGCCCCTCCCACGAATCAAATTCTCGGCAAAGAGCTCGGGCACGATGAACTTGAGATTCGCAATCGAAACCTTGTTGATGAGACCATTAATGGACTTCTTGAGCGCCTCCCACGCCATGCGCTGGTACTCCTTGCTCGACTTGTCCGTGATCTGGGCCTGAAGGGCGCGCAGTCGCGCAGGCGGAATATAGGTTCCACCCGAGCGCGCGTTGAGCATCTTCTGGTACTCGGCCTTGGCGGCCGCCTGCTTCTCTTCGTCTGTCGGCATCGCTACAGGTGACCGTCTGCGCGGCGGTGAGCGTTGACGCAAAGGCTCCGCGTCATCTCTCGAAGGTGTCCGACCGTTTTCGCGCTCGCCGGGTCGATAACTATCGCCGCCGTTGCGCTGAGGTCGTCGTCTTTCGCTTGGTCCCGGGCGAGGCGATGGGGATCTGGAGGCCATCTTCGCGGCTTCCTCCAGCAGTTATCCCACTGTTGGCGAAAAGGGTGACTGGTGGAAGGAGTAACCGAGTATGTGGGGCATGCGACTGCCCAAAGTCGCAAAGTGCAGACAGGCGTGGGTGGTACGATGGACCGTTACTGCCTTGACGATAGGAGCTGGAGAAGTCTGAAGTTTGGAGTCGCGGCACTGAACGTGTCGGAGAAAGCTTCGAGTTGGAAGCAGCAAGGCTGAAAAGTGGGGTGTTGCCATTCCGCATGGGATTCTATTGGTGTAGCTCCGAAGCGCGGTGGCAGGGGTTAACGGGCGCTCAAGTTCTCGCGCCCGCGACGTATCCTGACCATTTTAGGGGACCTTTGGAAGGTCGATACCAAGTAGTCTATTTGGCCAGGTCGTCATTCCGGCATTGAAAGCTGAATCTCCAAAGCTACACCTCACAAGCTGCGTCGCGACGAATACACGAAAGACGAGGTGCAATTGACGCGCTTCTCTCTCATTCCTCACGCTCATTTCCCAAAAGGACTGCACTTTTCATCGATCATGGTACGTTGCCCACTCCGCGCGCCGTCTGCAGCACAAGGCAGTTCTGCCTCTCCTATGACCACGGGTCCGCAAAATACGAGCTGCGTTCGCAAAGTGGAATGGTTGTTGCTGACATGTATGTAAATTCTCCAGCTTGACAAACTCGTCGGTCTCGCCATGCTTGTGGCCGCTTCCGCTGTCTTCATCTACTACTCCATCTGGACGTTGGCCATGGTACCGCAATGCCCCCCTCCTCCCCCTTTGCCCCAATGGAGCGAGCCCCTCAAGTACACCGACTAACAAGCAGAAATCAGCCCTTCGTCGATGCGGACCATCCTCTTCACAGTTTCTTCCCGCCCCGCGAGTGGGCCATTCGCATACCTGTGATCCTCATTCTATTGGGCTCGGCAGTGCTCGGTTCTTTCCTCAGCATTGTCATGATCCGCAGCAACCGGAAGAAGGCTGCAAAGGCAAAGTCTGCCGCGGCGAAAAAGAAGGCGTAGGGGTCTGGAAAGGAGGGTAAAAAAAATAACAGGCTCGGTTGCTCTACAAGGTCAGAACGGTCGGCATACGGCAGAACCATTTGAGCTTCATACGAGTACTGATGTCGATCTTGATGGCGTACACCTCGTCTATGATGGTCAATTCGAAGAGCATACGTAGCATTTCATGTGCATAACGAACGAATCAGTTTTGGGACATTGACAGGCACAAGGAACTCCCAAAAGAGGTGGAGTTAATGGTATCTAATTGAGTCGCGTACAACTCCTATCTTTTGCTCCGAACTGTACCAGTCTCGAAGTCTTAAGAATGCTCTACACGCATGTGAACCCCTGGCCCCGTGGTGTCTAGGCCGCATTCAACTCAAAAGAAGGGCAAAATTCGATAATTTATATCGTCGCCCGACTCAAAAAGTGAAGTCCTAGAACACATCCGGCACGATACTGTTCGATCAAATGCATGCAGAATCACGCAAGCAGAAGAAACAGTCCACGCATGCCTCCGTCTATATCCCTGACAAAACCTGAACATCCAGCACAGGCAAAATCACGTGTGTCGCATCGTCGTCTACAGAGGAGAGACCTTAAACTCTCTGGTCCGCAAAGTCAAGCACTTCACAATCATCCTCAAAGAAACCGTCCTCGTCGAGATCCGATGCACGGTTTCCACCCCTGCGTCGGCGCGTTGTCACCACGATCTGCTCGTCATTGTCACCGACCTGCAAGACTCGTTCAATAGCCGAGGCCGGTAAAGCACGGTGATCGTCTGTGCCGTTGATAAAGTCGACTTCTTCCGTTACTACTAGGCCCACGTCCACCTTCACGGCGTCAATTTTCTGGCCAAAGGCCCATGCTTGTTGCTTCCCAGAAGGCTTAGGCTGGTGCCTTTTCTTAGTTCGTGCAGGTGATACGTTTTCATCCAAAGTTGTAGCATCCAGCAATTGAGTGATGGTGATAAGAGAAGACTTCACCGGGTCGATACCATACTCGTAGAGAGCAACTCGCCGATCAGTGTGGAATGGTTGATACGGCGCACTGGACTCTATCTCAGCTTGCGGGATCGACGACTCAGGCCCGAGGTCAGATCCCGATAGCCGCTGGCGCGTATTAAAAACGAGTGGATTTCCGCCATCCAAGTCTGGGTTTATGAGATCCAAGTCCTCATCGTCGACGATGCGCCTGATGACAGGAGCGATCATGTCATCGGGCAGCGCCTCTAGCTTGTAGTCCTTGTATCGGTTTCCGCAAGGAATTCTAGGTCTATCTTTGCCGGACGTGGTCTTACGCGTCTTGCTTGGGAAGCTTCTGACCAGGCCGGCGCCCGCAACGTACAACGTGTGTGACCTTTTGCCAGTGGTCCACGTGACGCATGATATTCCTGGAGTCGCATTAGTCATGGGAAGACTGACGCGGTTCTCTCCTTGTTGTCGTAGCTGATTGATAGCAGTCCCAGCATTGCCCAGAGAATGGCTGATGCCAGCAGCAATGAACTTTCCACCATAACTAGCATGGTCCATTATGCTAGATGCGTTTTGGGTGTTGGAGCTGCTTCGACTTTGGCGGTTGATCAGAGGTCGCGCAGCGTCGTAAGCCGACGTCAGAGCCGTGGAAGCTATCGAGGCCGCAGAAGGTGCATTTTCAGCGCCCCCGGCCCCCGACTCCTGTGCTTTGGCTCTCCTACGAGGAGGTGGCCAGGTATACGCACTGGGAGGCATGTCGAGAAGATGGACTGTTCCTCTCTCAGTGACCATAGCAACGCGCTCCCCGTTCGGCTTCGCCCAAGCGACCTCGACAATTCTAGCAACAGTCATGCGCGAAAACTGAGCAATTTGCCTAACCCGTGTGGTATGGCCATTGTTCGGTTGCGAGTTTTGCAACGCGGACGATTTGCTGTATTGAATGCGCATCAAATCCCACACCGTCTGCACATCTCCTTTGCTACTCGCCGTGAACAGGGAAAGCCCAGTGGGAGAAAGGGAAAGAAAGCTGCAACCTAGGGGAGTCTTGAACGTAGTGACATGGTGAATTGACGTCGAATTTTCCAAGCTTTCCAAGTCCAGGATTGACACGAGGCCAGGATCCTTCGTAACTGCTTGCCCAGATACGCCATAAGTTGGAGGGAACTGCGAAGCATCGGTCCTGCCAGCGTAGCTTGCAGCCCATCCAGGCGGAGAGCCAATGGCGGGAGTCCGGCTTTGAGGTGCAGGGCCCGGCTGTTTCCAGTAATTGTTCCAGAGCTGCATTCCTTGCTTCCCTACCCAGCGGGCTCCTTGTATAACCTCCTGTGTAGTTTCTCGCATGATTTTATTCATCACTCCGTCTGAGATGGGCTGGTCTACCTCGGAGCTCTCACTTGGCAGAACGGGTGATGTGAGTGTCGCCAAGCCAGGAGCTTTGCCCTCGGCGGGAACTCCAATGACGGCATTGAGGGCAATTTGGGAAGATGGAGCCGGTGGGCAGTATGCAAGCCATCTCCCACTCATGGCCACAATTGGTGTTTGTGGGCTCTGTCGAGGAGGGACTGGACTGCGGCTCCTGTCCTCTTCGGGCGTTGAATCCCCCTTGCGCGCCTGCTGGAGGGTTGTCCAGATTTTCCCTACACATCGGAATTCAAATCCGGGCTCCAGTTCGCACAAGAATTGCCGATAGACCCAACATTCGCCGGTAGTACCGGAAGACACAACAACTGTTCCGTCATCGGCGCGGATCTGGAAGGCGCCGGTGGGAGGCGGCCTTCTAAATGCCGGGTTTGTTGTTGAAGTCTTGAATGGGATCCTCGATGCTTGCAACAAAGTACCAACTGGTCTGTTCGTTCTCAATGAGTAGACTTCAACGGTCGTCTGATAGGCCTCGACAGCTGGTGCAGACTTTCCTCCGCCGATCAGCCTCTGATTGGTGTCAGACTGCGGGGTATTGATTCCATCCATCTTCGGACTTGTTCCGGCATCGTAGTGTGTCTCACCCGATATCTCAGGCGCAGGTGGTGTAGGCATGACCGGCCCATGAACCACGACGGCTATCAATGGAAACAGCCCATATTGATCTCCAACCCCATTCCAGGGCAAGATCTTGGCATTGTAGACACCACCTCGAAGACCTTTCAAACTCGTGAGGAGCTCTACCCCGCGCTTAGAAACCGAGTAGATGTCCAAGCCGCCTTCGTAGCCTGCTAGAGCAACGGTACTAATACCAAGGCTGATTGCGCCACTTGGCGCTGGCCAGGTATCGAAGCCGAAGTAATATCCGCGCTCGCCTGCCTTCAGACCGCTTTTCGGGTTTAAATCAAAATCAATATCAGGAGCGCCATAGAAATGGGCCTGGGGCTGGTGGGGCAAAGGCGGCTGGCCTCCAACCCGCGGTTGGGCGAACGGCGAATGCATCGAGCTTCTTCGGGCGCCTGGAGGTGACGAGGCTTGGGACCTAACGTCATTCGCTGCGTAATGGGCATCCATCTGGAAGCTCAACGGACGCCTTGAGCCAGTTGGAGGAGACGCCGAATAACCCTGGCTATTAGCGAAGGGTCGTTGGCCATTCCACGTGTAAGGTGACACTCTTTGATCTTCGTACGATGATGGCTGAGTTGGAGGTGATTCACCCATCAGGCTGATTAAGTTGGGCGAGCCGGCAAACACTCCATGGTTTTTGGCCCATTCACTTGGCGCCGTGCTGGTCGCAACCGACGTACCCGAAACAGCATCTAGAAGCGGCGAGGCCTCGGTAGCAGAGACCCCGTTCGTTGGGATCGAAGCCGGGGTCGCAGGCTGCATGTCGGGCGAGTCTGAGTTTGGGGGGGATTCAGGCATGGCTGGAGACGGTTCATTTGCGTTGCCATTTCTATGTGTAAGAAGCATGGAGTCAGTCTTTGTTATCCGCAGTCACACTTGCTCAACCCTGGAAATAATCGACAAGTGAGTGACACGCAAGGGCAGCATAGAACGTACGAGAACTTGGCAGCATGTTTCGTCACCGCCGCAACAACACCACCACTATCTTTGGCATTTTTGTCCTTCTTCTTTGCTGTAGCCCCAGTAAGTGCTTGTTTTTCCTTGCGTTTGCGGCCCCCCTTCTTCCCCACGGAAGAAGAACTCGGAGATGAACCGCGGGCAGACGAACCAGGCATTCAAGTGATGTTACCAGAATGCTGGGGCAGTCTTCCTGCACGCCAGCAAAGGAGCTCTCGGGAGAGCTCGACTCGAGACGAGGTTCGCAGACGGACTACTCAGACGGGATGATCAAAGAAAGGGCGTGTTGGCGGGCAGTTTCTGTTCAGGATTGTACGTGTCGAGTAAGAATACGAGTCAACTAAGAAGAAGAAGAAGAAGAAGAAGAAGCGCAACAAGGAAACGCGCTTGTTGTAGGCTGCCGATGGAGCACGGAGCCAAGAAGAGGGGGGTAGACGCGGACAAAGGAGTGGATGATCCAGCACTGCCGAATAATGTATTATCTACGAAATCGTACTTGGCATGGACACAATGCCACTTGAAGAGAGAGTCAGAGAGGTATTCACAAAATAGTATCGCCAGATCTAGTTGTTTGTTGTGTTGCGTTGGTGTTGATGTAATGAGTTGGGAACCGATGTGCCAGTTCAGCCGGAGGGGAGTCAGATCGGAGAGGTCTCACGGCGAGCAGCAGGACGACTTGCGACGTTGGAGGCGGGCCACATGGATGCTGGGTCATGGAACATTGGGAGCGACAAGGGCGGGGGTGGTCTAGAAGGCAGGAGCTATCCAATGCCCTTGCTTGAGCAGGCGTGAGGGGTGCTTCCTTGGGACTAGTACAGACTAGTATCATTCATGGCCCTGCATGAGCTGCATGAGGTCAACGATAGCAGCGCTTCACTAAAACAAATGCCCCATGTCGGAAGCCGGCGATTAGGTCGCTGATGCATATCAGTCGCGGGGTTGCTTGCCTTCCCAAGTTGCGATGACGGACCGTCAGCACCTTGGTATACGGGTAGGCAGCAATTGGCATGCCGCCAACGAGTGAGACTGCCGAATTCATCATGTGAGACACCCGTTCGATAACAGTTCCAATTGCGTCATCTGCTGCAATTAACGTCTACTCGTAAGCCTATGGATAGGCTTTTTGGGGGACAGGTTTGACTTTCAGGGGAAAAGGCGAATTTGAACATTCCGACATGCCGAGTGATTCATCATGCGTCCGTCTGCCAGTTGACCTGCTTCTGGGTTCATCCAAGTTTCTCATCTCTCAACATGCCGCAGCACGGTGATCGGAACGGAGGGTGCGCAGGTCAGCTGATAAGGCCACGAGTGCTCCATTCTTCATACTATTGAATCTCCCCACCGTAACTAGAGCCGAGGTGCGAGCTGACAGGAGCTGACAGGAGCTGACAGGATATGGATCATCGGGCAGGCAGTTGATCAGCCTTGCATCGTGTGATCCTCAAAGCCACTGGACTCTGGGAACATGACCATGCCGACATGTTGCAGGTCACGTCTTCAATAAGTGGATTCACTCATAAGGTAAAATGACAGTCGTGCGATTCCGTGAGAATCGTATTGTTGCTCGATTACTCATATGAGCGAAGAAAACTTGTGAAGGATATTGTGCGAAAGCATCCAAAGAAGGTCAGTCATGGCGGATTGTGATGATGAACTGAGGTTGTGGACTTTGGAAGCAATAGTGATCCTCGAGACCACCAGGGCCACGATATGGTGTCGTACATTTGTCGCTACAGGGTAGCGTGGCGTGGAGGCTGGCTACCCTGAAGCCGCCAGTCGCTCCACTTTTGCGGCCCAGACTAGACGACGACTTCAACGTTCTGAAGTGCTCGCAGTCCTCTATTTGTGATGATGATATGTACCGCTTCTAAAATTTCACATGAACAACACCAGCGCGAGTGAATCAGTTCCAGTGGCCTAGGAGACGGCTTGCGCACTTGCCAAGTTGAACTTGCTACTTATTTCCCAGTTGTCAACGAGGTTCGTTGCCTCAAACTCCAACGATACTTCGGACTCGAGGACCCTATGGTAATGCTCAGCCTTCTATAGGCATCGTTCTGGAAATAATCACCAGAACACGCCTCGAAAGAGAGAACCCCCGCAAAAATGATGTCGCGCCTGAAGCTGCGATCGCGGCCTCGCATCGTCGTCTCCTCGTCACGCACCAGCCATTCCTCACCTCGGCCACGGCTCTACTCTACTGAGCCCGCCAGCGCAAAGACTGTCACAAAACATCGAGCTCTCTCCAATTTTGTCTATTGGAGTGCCGTGGCTGGCATCTGTTCCTTCGGCTACTGGTACTCGCAAAAGCAAGCCTTCCGCACTTACATGGAGGGGTTCGAGGCCGGCAAACGCCAACAGCTACCGGCAAGTCCCGTGGAACTGCATAGTGAAAACGGGGTCCCCGATCTGAGCAACCTAGGTTCTTCTGACAGAATCGATTACTGGCCTCCACCTTCCGCAGACGATGTCACCAAGCAGCTGAACCAAGAGGCATTCACCATATCCGCGGGTGGAGATAGCGGTGTGGTCAATTATGACGCTGCCCAGCTGCCCTCCAACAGTCCTTGTGAGGATGCATATCTGCATGGAAAACTCACCAGTCCCGTGAGTGGGGAGGGAAAGAAGGACTGGATGGCTTGGGCCGTGTTCGACGGACACTGCGGGTGGCAACTGTCAAAGCTTCTGACCAAACAACTGCTTCCCTTCGTACAACAGTCCTTACGGGATCTCAAGCCTGCAGACGATGGTGCAGTATCTGAAGCGGCCGTACAGCAAGCCATCGTGTCCGCTTTCGAGAAGCTGGACGATGCATTGGTGAAGAGCGCCTCCGCAATCATCGAAAGCGACCTACCCTTCGCTGAAAAGATCAGAAGACTCGAGCCCGTCTACGCCGGCTCTTGTGCCCTGCTCACTCTATACGATCCCTCAACCAGCTCATTACACATAGCTTCCACGGGTGATTGCCGGGCGGTCCTTGGAAGGAAGACCGCAGACGGCACATGGGAGGCAGTTCCACTGACGGTCGACCAAACCGGTGCGAATGTCGACGAGGTGGCCAGAATCCAGAAGCAATTCCCTGACGAGCCGGATGTTGTTGACGGTGGCCGCATATGGGGCATGCAACCAGCGCGGACTTTTGGAGATGGCGGGTGGAAGTGGGATAAGGTGCTCCGGGCGACGCTCCGCAACGAGTACAATGCTTGCAAGCTTCCCTCTGGATCGCGCTACAAGAATTACAAGACTGGCCCTTACCTGACTGCTTCGCCCGTCGTAACGACCGTCAAGATCCCACGTGGTGAAATACCCAGCTTCCTTATCCTAGCCACAGATGGCCTTTGGGACACGATGAGTAGCGAGGATGCTGTGGATCTCGTGGGACGCTGGTCAGACATGCATAATGACCCCAAGCAAGCAACGCCTATGACATCCCCAAATCCGTCAGCGTTCGGCCCAGTAACCTTCGGCAGAGATGCATGCTACTATGACAAGGGCAGAGCCACTTTTCAGGACCATAATGCCGCTGTCCATCTCATGCGGAACGGTCTCGGAGGCGCACACGAGGAGATGGTCAAAGGTGCACTTGCATTCCGGTCTCCCATGTCGAGAGATATCAGGGACGACATTACTGTCCAGGTTGTGTTCTTCGAGGGCAAGGAACAAAACCGAGCAGACAAGAGTTCTGACTGAGTGGTCAGGGTTTACCCCTTACAATTCGAATGGGTGTCTCATTACAGACTTGTGAACTAGCGACCCAAGAGGAATCCTCATTTGGCTGTTGCGCCGCAGAGGAAATTGGCAGCGATGCGGAATAAAGCACAGGTGTTGACTGTGTGGGCATCCTGGAGCTGTATTTACGACGCGTTAGATACTACATAGGTGTCAAAAGCCATGTTGATACTCCCGGCCTTGAACATGACTTAGTTCTTATTGTTTTTCTCCATTTCGATAATAATCTGCACTTCGCCTTTTGTTTTTCTTCTTAGTCTGCTGCAGATTTGGTCACCACGATGGGTAATCATGCTCTTTCTTCCCTTGGTATATACCCCCTAAAAGTAAATCTGTCGCGAGAGATTTTCCAACACTATGCTTTCGATCCGAATGTGCTGATTTGAGTCAAGGTAGAGAAACTAAACAGTTGAGGCCAAATTTAGCAGAGTAACGAAGCTGAACTCCATATTCAAGTATACATAACACTTGTATTACGATAACTCCCACATTTTACAATCTAGAACCTAACTACTCCCTTTCCGCATGCCTCCTCAACCTTGTCTTGGAGCTGCTCTGGCTGATCACCTGGAGTGTTCTCGTTTTGTCAATTGGAGATCAGCATTTCCTCTTCTTGGTTGATTCAGGTCTAAGTTGGGTATTTGAGAGTCGTACAGTTTTTTTTTGGCTCTTCCAGACAGGACAGGAAAAATGAAATAAGAAAACGATATAAGAAAATCCCGGCGAATACTGACCGTGTGATCCCAGTACTGCCAGTTACACGTCCAGAACACCACGTATTCGTGTTGGACGAAGGTGGCCTTCCTGTTGGGCACCGAGTTGCCGATTTAGTTCAGCAAGGCGGCGAGTTCGAGGGTCGTGTTCCAATGGAGGATTATTTAAACATCAGAGTCAGACTCCTCAAGGGTAGCTATTGCCTTTAGAATAATCTACTCGCTGGCACCAGAAAGAAGCACCTGTGTGATCGTTCGTTCCCAGCGTATCGTTGGGACGGACTAGGGGTAGTTCAGGAATGGTAAAAGTTCATGGCGCTGAGATACAGGGAGCAAGCAACTTCAAAATTGATAATGCGATGGGCCTCATCATGGAGATGGGTGATTCACGATATTTAGAATGGCACTATTATGAGGGAAAGTATGGACGGGTGCAAATACTCCCAATCCCCCCCGAGGGAAGTGCTCGTTCTCCGTGAAGAGCGATTCCATCATCCAGTAACCGACGGGAACCCGGACGGCGTCGAGGCCGTAGCTCCTCATCGTGTCGAAGTCGGCCTCGGTGATCCAACTAGCCCGATGGCTCTGACAGACCTCGTTGGCCTTCTCCTGCCCCAGTTTCTCGACGCAGTCCCATTCCGATACAAGACCATCACATCCCACGCTCTTCCTTCCTGGCCATTGACTCAGGGCTCAATGATGAACTGAGACCCCAACTTGACCCCGCGGACCCTGCTGAAAGAGGGTGATAACCATCGTCTGCTCGTCAGGTCGCGGGGACGTTCGAAAATGTTGACTCCGTCGCGGTCGAGGATAGTTTTGGACCCGTAATGTAGTAGCCATGCCTGGGCAACGGAGCAAAGGGTTGCCAAAGAAGTAACGGACGCTAAGTAACGACCGTATTCAATGGTGAACGGTGGAAGACTGAACGAGAGACTGGAGGAAACTGAATGGGTCACGGGAATGAAGCCTAGAAGGAGAGATACCTGGGAGATACAAGCCCGCCCGAGACACCGGCACCTACCTATATGCAAGTATGAGTATGACGAAGGATTCGAGTGAGAAATGAAGAGCAATATGACCCAGGGCCCGCACAAGATTAGCCGTGCGACTATCATGTTCAACACAAGCGATGCTCAAAGAGCTAGGAACGTTCCAGGTTGCATACTGCCGTTATCAGTCAATTGCGTCGGCTTGAGATGGCCGGTAGTGGATGGCAGCGGCGGGATGAAAGCGGTCTAGACTTGCCGGACAACCTCAATCATCAACCTGAAGCCAAGCCAATCGGACCTTCCCCCGATGAAAATGCCGTCTAACAAACATCCAACACGGATCCCATCCATGCTACAGCCTATCCCTGAATGTATCATCAAGTCCGGCAAGGTTCGATGTCCTGCCACCTGCCTGGATTGGGCTGTGTTGCGTGAAACGAAAACCCTAACAGGCCTTCATCTTAAACCGCCATGCACGAGGAGGAGGGAGAACAAAAGCGCCCCGGTTTCGTGGGGGTCTAGATTAGCGTAGCTCGTCCCAGCTTGACCTCGTTTCTATTCTGAGAAACGAGCTGCATCTTTTTAGCCTGCAACTCTAATTCATCCCGTCATACCAGACTGCACCACACCATAACCACCATAACCACCAATACCCCCGCTGATTGTTATGTAAGCAAACCCGCCCCTTTCACTCCTGGGCAAGCACTAGGCAGGAAACCTGTAAACCTGTTTTCACACTATAACCCGTCGAGTGCCGACAGGTTGCGACGGTGTCTCTCAAGTGCAACAAACCTTGACCAGATTGTGGCTCCGACGGGGATCCTCACCGACATGTTTTATAGCCCATAAATTCAAGTGCAATGGGGACTTGGTGTTAGACATCGGCACTCGAACCAGAGACAAGAACGCGCTTCAGACGTCAGTCTATATTCGCTATATCTATCTTGTGGTATATCTGTTGTAGCAGCTAGAACCATTCAACCTAGCATGCTTCACCCATGTCTACGCCTAGACCGTAATGACCAATGGGGCAAGAATTCGAACGCCGTCCGAGAAATCCCACCGCGTAAGATTCCCAGAATGTTCACTTTTTTGTTCACCGTCGACAGCTTGCTCAATGTATCCCAGAGCTTGAGGCGACCTCGCTCCCTCGCGCCTGAATGCCTGTTGAACTGCCGTCCCATGCCCCCGCCTTGCACACCCCCGAGGCTATGTCATATCCAGCCGTGAAGGAATGCAGCTTATGTAGCATATTACCAAATAAATGTCCGAATCGAAAACCCAGGATGCGTACACAACAGACTGCTGGAAACCATTATTTGACGCTTTAACAGATCGATCAGTCGTCTACCGTCACGATCAAAGACGACCCAAAAGCCGCAGCCGCAGCCCTCCCCCTCCTCCCCTCCTCCCCCAATCAGTAAACCAAATTCGCATCATCAAGTTGTGAAATCCTTTCTCGGCGTCTTCGATATGTGACGTCACATCTCATGTAACAACGGTCACGTTGGTGCGAGAGGGGTGGTTGTTTTCCAAGAGCCCCACTGATCATGGAATTCCCCAAAGCGGCCAGCAATTGCCAGCAGCCATGTCTACTCCTCCTCGCGGGGCACTCCATCACGTGACATCTCATATGCTTGGTCCTCACGTACAGCCACTTGTCCGTCGACCGGGGGAGCTTTGCCCTTGCCCTTGTACTCAACCGTCTCGTCCCCGACACTAAGGTTGGTGCTGGGTGGGCTGTTGCTCTCTGGACTGTTGTGCTCCGTTGTCAGGCCGGGTGTTGGCATGGCTGAGTTAACGTCAAGCTGTAAGCTCGGATCCGTTGGTACTTTCACTGCCGAGCGGGACGTGCTTTGCTTTCGGGACGAAGTTGGCTTGTTGTCAACCACATCCATGAGACGGTCAATGGCCGTCATTTGACGCCCTGAGCTAATCTTCTTCAACGATGCGAATTGCGGTCGCATCTCGTCGATCAGGGTATCCCGGTCAGGGCCTTCAAGTTGTTGGACCAGCTTCTCTGTATGCCATTTTTATTAGTTTCAATGTTTCCCGTGGCGGTATTCGAAGAAACAACTTACGGATAACATAGTTGCCAAACTGGTCTCTCATCATCATCTGCAGCAGAGGGGAACCATCAGTCGACCTCGCAGTCAGCTTAACCCTTATGGCTTCTCGCTCGTCGGCTGTGCCGTGCTCGATACACTTCTCTACCACGTTTGACGCGAACTTGTGCTTCGACAATGGGACCAACTCGTTGATGACGTGGCGAATCATCCTGGAGCGGTCGTCCGGTGACCCATGAGCGATGATGTGCTGGGCAACATAGTTTCCATACTGGTCCGCAATGAGCTGGGGAGCGCAGGCGTGCACCTCGTCCATCAGTTCACGTCTCTCCATCTCGGAGCCATGCTCGAGCAATCGTTGAACCACGCGGCAGCCATAGGTGTGCACGGCTAGGACGTTGATGTGACCGCGGAAAGCATCCATCATGAAGGGGACGCACAGACTTGGTGCCATTGAGATGATCTTCTGGATAACATGATTCCCATTCTGGTCTTTCACAATTCTCATGATGTCCGGCTTCAGTTCGTTAATAATCTCGGCTTGTTGCTCTGCCAAAACGAACTCCAATGCCTAAGAGAGAGTGAGTAGTCTAATCTTGAAATACGGGAGGCAGTGTTGGAAGCTGTCTCTCACCCTCTGAACCACGCGACAAGCATACATCTGAACGGACAGCTCTGCCACCTTGCCCTTCATCTGCGACGCAATGATCTTCTTCTGCAATTGGCTACCATGCTCAAAGAACTTTTGGATGACGTAATTGCCAAACACGTCTTTCATGAGTTGCAGTGCGTTAGGCTCTATTTCGCGGAACACTTGGTCCTTTTCGTCACTGTTGGCAGTTGTGAGTTTCTCCTGGATGAATCGAGATCCATGTTGATCCCCGCTGAACTCGACAATATGATTGTATAGGTCCTAAATAGTGTCACTCCTCGGTCCGTCACTTGTGAAGGATCAACTTACCTTGAGCTCGAAGCGCTTGTTTGATTTGTTGCTGGCACGAAACTCTTCAAGGAGCACGCTTCTCATGCCCTTGCCGGGATCCGTGTCTCTGCTGGGTCGAACTGGAATGTTGACCCCTGGGATAAATTGGTTTATGGGCATGTAGGAATGAGGCTGCACCTGGTTACGAAATGTCGAGTTCTGTGTGTAGTGGTCGTAGGGGTTGGGCTGCGGCAAGTACTGCGGGAAGCTGGCCCAACCACCGGAAGCAAAATAGTTGGGGTTCTGTAGTAGCTGGTGTTGCCGTTCCAGCTCCTGGGTCAATGCTGGATTGGCCGAGGGTGGCCTGGGCCACGAATCTGCTCGCGGGTTAGGCGTTGGGCCGTATCGGGGACTGTTCAAGCTTGAGCGGTGAACGCTTCCAGCCGGCGAGGCTGAGCCCCTTTTAGCACCACCAAAGAATTGGCCTGACATCTGCTCTAGATAAACCTCTTGCTGATACGCCTGCCCGAAGGCCCTTCCGTTGTTTCCCACGTCATTGGTTTCTGGCCACGGTTGCGATCCAGGGTTGAGCTGGAAAGGCTGGCTCGCAGTGTGCGCATAGCTGTTGCCCGTCATGCCACCGACAACGCCAGAATCTAGAGCTTCATCAAGCTTGAGCGATTGCTTGAACATGTCGGGCAGACCCCGGTCCATGGCCACTTGGTTGGATGATGACCCTCGAGCGGAGCCAGTTGAAGGGAAAGACAAAGCGTGGTGGGTTATCGATGGCCGTGAAGATAAGCTTAGCGCATCATTGGGGATCGGGGTAAAGTGATAACTGGAAATGTCCCCGTGCAGAGGCGCCGGTGTGAGCACGCCAGATGAGGCCGTACTGTTTTCACGGGGCGGGGCCATCGTTCTGAAGACATGGTCTTGTGATCCACGCTTATATGGAGCAGAAGGGTGCTCGTAAGAATATTTGGATGCGAGGTTAGAGTATGGCGCACTCTTGTCTTTGTCTTCGCTGGTGGGGACGCCAAACATAGGTACGTTTTTAAACGAAGTTGAAGAGGCATCCATGGAACCATGCTCTTTCGATCGTTTAGAGACGGTGTTGCCATTCTGGCCCACAGCAGAACGCGTAGGGAAATATTGGCTGTCTTGTAGACTGTGCTGGACCATGCCATTGTCCCGAGTGTGACTCGGCGAGGTGTGACCTGAAGGCGGCCGACCCTGCACCGAAGTGTCTTGGCTCTTCCAGATGCCGCCTCTTGGAGCCCAGGGTTCCGCTTCGGACATGTGGTTCAGCTGGGCAGACCCAGAGGGTGCTGTGGGTGAAGCTTCATTGGATCCTAGAGCTTTCGTTAGCTGCCGCCCAAGTATGATATCATATCGAGATGCCCACGTACCCCGCGAGTCTACTGCGTCTCTCTTAGACGAGTATCCGCCTCCTATGACGTTGCTGCTCCAAATCTCACTTCCCCATCTCGCGTTTCCGAATGCTGTCCTGCCATTTTGCGAAGACTTGTCGCTGGATGGCGGGTTCCCCAGTGGGAAACTCAAGCCACGACCCGGAGGCTGCAGTATGCATCGTCAGTCAACCCGCATGTGGGAATATGGAAAACACAGAGAAGAGCACAGAGTGCAACATTTCTAGTGGAGGAGGAGAGAGAGCGCATATATGTTTATGAGGGCAAGGAACTCAAAGAGACCAAAAGGAGCCTTACTGCAGTCATCATAGCGACGGCCTATTCCGTACGTGAATCCCAACTTATCCCAAGGGTATAGTCAAGGTGCGTATAGTAGTCTCTTCCCAAATTCCTGTCCGCCTACAATGATCGTCTCGGCTGATGTCACCGGAGTGTATGCGCGGGTGTTGCTACACGAAAGAAGGCGCTGTCCAGGCGCAAAGAGCAATCGTCTCGTTCTATTATATAACCTGCAGTTATGGGACAAGTCGTATCGAGATGGTACGAAAGTGAAAGACTACGGAGATGACACGTCAGCATGAAAGACGTCGAAGGCCAAAGGGTCCGAAGTCCTGGTCAGCCTGACCACGGGACAGGTTGAGACACAAATGAAGGCGTTCTAGGATCCCACGCCTGACACTTCGGCTGCCAAACCAAGAGGATCCAGAAGTACATGGAAGCAAAAAAGGGAAGAAAAAAGAACAAAGGAAGAAAACCTACCAATATGCCGTGTGATTATGTCCTGAACTTGTTTGACAATGTTCCTGGTCCGATGTCGAACAGAGAGTATTATGCAACGAGCGGAGGCCGGCCCAAGTAGAAACAAGAACAGCCCTGCCGTGTTCTCATCAATGTACAAATCGATACGAGGACGAGTCGATGTAGACGGTGCGTCGTCGTCGTCGTCACTCGCATGCGGCGAGGCAGTACTGTACGATGTCTCTTGGGGGTGATTCGCAAGGAGTGATGTCGGTGGTGTATGTATGTGTGTATGTATGCTGGGCAAGCTCAGAGCAGCAGGTAAAAAGACAGGCGAGGCGATCGGGTCGCAAGAGGAAAATCAAGACCCAGGCAACAGCGCAGGCAGAATAAAAGAAGAAGAGCAAACTTGGGAAAAGGCTGAGATATGTACTACGGGCCAAAAGTTTCTGGGGCGAATGGAAAAGAGCAAATGGATGTAGGACGCAAGTGACTTTGAATATGAGCGACGTTTGCGGGTACGCTAGTTTCGCAGTTTCGTGGTTGGAGCAGACTGGAGTCGGTGCTTTTCGAACCTTCGCACGCGGGCCGGGGGAGGTGCGAAGTACAGGAGTCAAGTACTACCCAGCTGCACAATACAGTGCAGTAGTACCCCAGGGTTTGGGGATGTGGGTAGATATCCACCTTTCTGGGAGTATGTTAGGTATGCTCTCAGCTCAACTTTGCTTGCGCTGTTGGTTATGGCCCCGGGTGTTGGACGCCAACAAGCCAGAGACTTTGCCGATTGGGTTTCTTGCTGATGATGGAGGGATGGTCGTCTTCAGGGTTGGCCCCGAGAGATGGGTCGTCTCCAAATGCAAAGAATGCTGCTAAGTTTGACTGCCCGTGCTGGACAGGGGCCTGCCAACTCAAGTTTGGAATCTGGAGACGAGTCAAAAAGTCGAGATGCACACCTGCGCGAACAACGCCCAGACTAGCGCCAGACTTGGAAACTAAGCCTTCCAGCTCAGGGATGGTCCGGGCCCTTTACCGATTTGTGTGTTACAAATTCGTCTTTTTTGGAGGCGATTGAGACTTGTGGCTCGGCGACTTCAGAATTAGAGTATTCAAGATTCGGGACTGACAGAAGCCACGAGCGGGTAGGCTTGAAGTGGATCTGCAACTTGGAGTTTCGAGTCTTGCTGAATCCGCACCGAAGATGACGAATGACGAAAGTAATGAGATGACGGCAGGCGACTGTCGTCTGTCGCCTGTTTTCCCCAAGTCAGCCCAATTGATGCGCGCCTTGCCGCGCTACTTTGGAGAACGTAACGCTATCGGCCGCTTGATGAGATGCTGCGTCGGTACACAAAAAAATTGGAGAGATATGCACCAGCGACGCTGCTGTCAGGGGGTGTCCGTGCCTTTCGGGCTTGGGATGATGGGGCCCCTAGGTGCGGCTCCCGTGACGCTTCAGGTCCGCGACGGCCAATCTCTGGGGAGGGGAGGCCACTGTTTAGATCTGGTACTAGTCCCCAAAGATGTGTTTTTTCTGAACTTGGTTATTTGGGTTTTCTTTGCCTTTGATGAAGAAAGATTGTACAATATTCGGTTTTGCGACTCGGTTGCGATTGTGCTGGCAAGCATCAGAAAAAGCCTGGCTGATGATAGCTTTAGAAGTTTGAAGGCTTCAATAGCGCCAGGATAAGGCTCTAATTTGTTGCGGGAGTTGTCCGGGAGCGGATAGGTGACTATGCGGGTCACAAGGTAACAACAAGCTGGGGCGGATACTGGAAACAAGTTCGTGCCAACAATTGCACTGCTGCAGCATGTATTTGTTGCTTTCGTGCGGCTGCCGTGGCTCGTATGTTTGTCGTTGGGGGCAGTGTCTGCGGTCTGCAAGTGAACAATGAGCAACCAGCCGTTTTGCTGGGGGCCAAGGGCACACCAACGAATGATGCGAATTGTCAGCCCTGATTTGCGGGGGCTGTTGGTTGTTCTCAATCCTAGAGTGTTGTGTTTTGAGCTATGTATAGAGAGAGCTGTGTACTCGTTGCGGTTGGTGTGTGTGTGTATGTGTGTTGTGTGTTTTATTACGGATATATCGTGCAAATGTGTTGCTGCGCCTCTATGTTCGTTGGAGGGACGGTTTCTATGTTCGGTGTGGTTTTACATAGATGTGGCTGTGGATACATATGAGAGAGCAGAATGTAGGGAGTGATATTTTTGATAGGAAACTGACAAGGAATACAAGGTCGATTTTGTACGAAGAAAAGACAGGCATTAAACTTTCACACATGCCCAGTTGTTGTTCACTCAGTCCCTTCTGGTAAAGGGCTGCACGCTCAAACAGGAGGGCGAGGAACAGAGGGAGGAGGGAGGGAGGCCGAGGCGGTCATACTAGTAGTCAATTTGGACACAATAGTCTGCCATAGGGTAGTCTGGTGGCAGTGGGACAGAGACGATTGTGGAAGGACGAGGTAGATCAACTGTGTAGCTCCCCTTGGTCGCTAGCCCATCTCACCTGTTTGTTCACGTTCTGGAAGACGGCATCATCCTAGATGACTCTGCGAGTCTGTCCTCGTCTTCACGTGGTACTAGCCACTTGTGGGGGTAGCGTCACGACTAGCGGCTGGTAACGTGGGCAGATAATTGCTAATTGCGAAGGGGCGTTTGCAACGTCGACCGAGTTTGGCCGTGTTATTATCTCTGCACCACGACTAATTTGAGTATTGGCATGTCCATCGTGTTATGTTCCGAAACACAGTGGTTTGCAACGGCGAAGCCCGCGGGCCGCCAGAATAGATGGCCCCACGAAGTAAGGGGACCAGAGCAAAGGCGCGGCGGCAGGGCCTATTTCTTCCTCATCGCCCAGACTGTCGTCGAGTTTCAGGAACGAAAGCATCTCCGTTGGGAATGTAAGCCCATTCCCAAGTTCTCGTCCCTGGAACACGGAACACCACGTCTACTCCCTGCGGAGGATCCCGCTAGACCATGGCAAATGATCCTTCTGCCGTCGGTGACACCGGAACTTGACCTCCTTCTTCACTTAAGGATATCCTGGTCAGTGTCCATGTTAATTAGGTACACCCAATCGTCACACAGCAGGAAAGGCTCGCCTCTGGCTGCGAATCTGTTGGCTGCTGGCTGAGGCCGTCAAAGCGACCTGTTCGCCCGTCCTGTTTCGAATCATGTCGACTTCCCTTTGGCTTAGCGGCTTTTGGCTTGTAGATATCATTGATTGCTTTGGCATGCTGTTCACCCGACTTGAGACGACTGACGATCTGTCGCATCCGGCGGGCACTGTCGGTGAAACACCTCTGAGCCGAGTATATGTGAAAGCCTCCTTGCGTCTTGGCAAGTCGGTCGCGATAAGCAAATACTAAATGTCGGCGTATAGGCAGCATTAGCCGTGCATATAGCGGGCACTAAAACAGCATTCTGCAGTTGATGGCTTCTGAAGCCAGCCGCCGGGTTTCTTCTTGTTCCTTTCTCCTGCCGACATCTCATGCTAGGCGTAAAAAGTTGGCGGGACAGGAAAAAAAAAGTCGATTCATCGCAGTTCTGATGGCCGCCCAAAGGAGCCCTTATCTGCCAGACTGGGCAAGTGTCTCACAGTATTTCCTCTGGCGAGACATCACAGTATCTGGAGGTTTCGTACGATGTTCACCCAGCCTGAGACCATATTGCGGGGTACCTCTGTTAGTGAATTTGCGAGTATTTCCGCCGGACTACACGATCTTGATGGTCCAATGGTGCCACTTCTGCTTGAAACTCACTAGAGCTTTTCGCACAGTCGGCCACCTACAATGTTAGTGATAGTGAGTCTAGCATCGGGGAATATTGCAGCAATTTATGTGGTTTAGCGGTTTGCAGTCTCACCAATAGAGCTCGAGCAGCAGATAGAATGACTGACATCTAAATACCTGCCATTCATCAAGGAATAAAAGCCGCAGGTTTCACCGCCAATTACACGACGGCCCAAACTGGTCGGAATTTGCCTGATTCAAGGAAACGCCCATGATGCTCGACGTCGAGAGGGGCCATGTCTCGGATGAAGCTGCGAATTGCCTGCAAAATCGCTGCATCCCGCCTACCTAACCTTCTACCGACAGGATGCCTCTATCTCTAGTGGAGCGACTTATCGAGTAGCTATAGCCTAACGTCAGAGTGCGCAACTGTTCGAGACGGAGGTCCTTGTTTGATAGACCTGTTGCTGTCGTAAATAACTACCAAGTCGGGCGGTGGACATTCGGCTGCGAGCTGCCAACCACGGCGATGAAGATGGGTTTCTCGACTGATTCAGTTATCCTCGAGGCTTCTCGAAGACTTCCAAGCTTTAAGATTAGCCATATGTCAAAATAAACGTTGGTCTGAAACATTCGTCCAATGATTGAATCTTGCTGTCAATCTGTCAAGTCTGAAGCAAGACAGTCCAACCTGGCCAGCTCAGTGGACCATGCTCCAGATATCTCCACCGCAGACGCGGCCCACTAACGCGTCGTTGCCGCAGTCCAACTCCATATTTATCTTCTGCTATACGAGCAGTTTGCGGTGGTGGGTAGGTATCATCTCGTCTCGTATTGTGCCCGGAAATGGCAAGAGGATGGTGTTTCATTGCGTCTGACAGGAACACATGTCAAGGTCTGTTTACTATCTTAAGTATCAATGTTATTGCGAAAGCCGTTTCGCGCCGATCAACTCAATGGACCAGGAGCCATTGCAACCAGAGCTCATTTCATCAGTGCCGCCGGAAAGCTCTGGCCAGGGTCAGCACTTCTCCTTTCGGTACCGCTGTTGTTCAGATTAGGTCCCCACTCTTCAGACTTCTACAACGGCCGCCGTTGGTTATTTACAGAAATTGCCAACCGCCGAATCCAGGCAAGGCCTCCTAATTCGGCGGGGACTAACCTGCCCCTGCTGTGCCAACTGCTAGCCGACTGGGATAATAGCACACACCAAGGTTGCCGGCCAGTCTTGATTGGCTCAATCTCCGTGGACTACTCCTGGCCATCGCAGGGAGCACCAACTGAGGAAGGCAGATCTTGGACTCCTCTTGTACTGCTCGCCCGCCGAATCCGTCCTTCTCTTTCTACTTTCTTCACGATCTTTCATCGTCGTTGCTATTGTCGTCGGTTTTTGAGTGACATTCTTTCGTCTCGACCTCACTTCCGCCCCTCACACTCTTTACCCTAGGATTCAGCTTCATTCTTTTAGTTGTTTCCGTCCAATCTTTTCCCTAAACCCGCCTTCGTTGATCCAGACTTGCTTTTCCGACGGATCCCGATTCCTCTCCCTTACAGTAAGTTGAACCAACAACTCCAACCATTCGATTTGAGCAAGTTTCGGCAAAGTCTGCCACTACGGGCAATCTTCATGTGTGAATCCAATGAAACGAAGCACTTGCTAACAAATGTCTCTAGCCTAGTCATTCTTTTGCCGACGACTCCCTTGCGCAACCTTTGGAACAAATAATTGTTAATCGTCAAAAAATACGCCCATCGACAATCATGCCTCCCATCAACACCTCTATTGCCCGCCGCGATGACAACGAGGATGGCATTGGTGGATCCGACACCACCATGAACCTTTTGATCACTTTTGTCGGCCTTGCATTCGTCGCCCTCCTCCTCACAGCCACGCTAGTGCTGCTGCGGAGAGTGAGGCATCGCCAGAAGATGGCACACAACGAATCGCTGCCGCAGTACAACGATGTCAAGTATGGCGACAACCACAACCGCCGCCGCCTCACAATCACGACCCCCGACGGTCGGTCCAGTATTTTGGTTGTCGACAACCGCCCCATGCTGTCGGACCCCAACTCTCCGCCTCACTCGCCCAACAACGTCCCCGAGATCCACATCACCTTCCCGGATGAGCATGACGAGCAAGGCCACCGCAAGAATGGCCGCGTCATGGTTGTACGAGTTGGTGAGACCTCGGTTGGTCTTGAGCCTGTCCGCGAGGAGCAATTACCTGCATACGAGAAGCAGAGCAGCCACGGTTTCTATTCCATCGATATGGATCACATCGGTGGATTGAAAGAGAAGGACCACACCCAGTCCCAGTAATTATTTTTTTCCTTTCTTGGGCTACACCCGCCGATGGCAATCTGCCCACAAAACTTTCTGGGGTAGCCCTTGCCGTGGCTACCTCAACCTTTTCATCTCATATATATATATATACGGCGGGAGGAGTTTGGACGACACCTTTACATGCATGAATGACGGAGTACCCCATACAAGGCAGCGATGTTTATACCTATTCATTCTGAATCGCCTCTCGGACGAGGCGGCAAGTAGAGATTTAAGGGTTACAAGGGAAACCGCCACCCAAGGCGTTGTTGCGACCGAAGAAGCAGCCTCCATTTCTGGATATATTCTGGCCCCCACATAGCGGTGCTCCTTTGCTGGACGATTAGCTTACCGGCACAAAAACGGCTCACCGTTCGAGACGAGAAGAAGACCACTAGTTCGTGGTGATCTCATATGTTCTGTAGTGTATAATTAATATTCAAAATCTAAACCCCGCCGAATGACAGGCTCCCACACACTGTTCTGCTTTCTGTATTGACCATATTCAGGATATCGATAGGGGGGCTCGGGGGGGTTTTGATGCATAGGACGCATTGAAGGCAGGTGTACGGACTCGTCTCAAGCGTACAGCACGGGGATCATGTCGTTGACCTCAGACGGCGTCTCGTCAACTCCATACGAAACTGCGACGCCGAATCAGCCCAGGCCGCCTGCAGTTGGGCAAACCACGCCACGGGGAGAATAACAGCCTGGCCTCAGGTAGTGACTGGCGGACCCTATAGAACCGTTGACATGAAGCATGCCCAATGTGCCTCTGCATCAGGCCAGAGTCCACATCAGCTTCCGATGCGACGCCTATCAAGTATGTTCGCCCACTGTGAGCGGCTACCAAGATGAAGATGGTCTACCTTGATCGTCCACTCCATTTAGTTGGTCCGGTGGAAAACGTCTATCACATGAACCACACAACGATCACTCTGGATTATAGTTGCGCTGCAACCTTACCAAATCTCCCTTATACACAGCCGAACTCACCATAATTTAGTGGGCATACTTCACATTTCAGACGTGCGGACTTGGAATAGAACTGAAGACACTGACCGACTATCTGCGGCTTCATGCTGGCTTCACGACTGGAGCAGCGATGCATAGAACAACCCGCGTGGCTTGCATTCATGCAAACTGTATACGCAAACCACGGTCCGCTTATGTAAGTGGATATATTCGGGTCATAAGCCTGACATGGGGTACGCAAGCAGGCGCTGCACACCGGCAGTGGGACTCCCAATTTAGATCCAAGCTTGAACTTGAACTCCTTCAAATTACAGCACGTAGGGCTGACAGCCACGCCATTGTTATTGGGGCGTGCTTCCTGTGCATAATTATGGACACTGCTGTAGCTTAACTCGGTATATACGAGTTTCCCCTATCGCGTCATCGAAGCTTGAGGCGAAGAGTGGATAATGGAACTCTATTATCCCACATAGCAGCCAGCCCTACCATACTGCAACTTGAAAGCATGGCCCTTATTTAGATGTGTCAATATTTTTTATGGTGTGCAATATGCTTGAACTCGGAAGCGGGCAGGCTATGCACAACTTTATCATCCACGTGTCTGTCCGACCCGAACTGTCTTCCTGCTATGCCGTACCTTTGCAGCCATGCTGGAGTGGCGAAAGTAACTGCGTGGAAGGACCTGTTTGGCTGCAGCGAAGCTTCTTTTCAAAGACGACACCAGGGGGCTTGTGGTTCATGCAAGCCTAGTTGTTCGACTTGCATCGCCATGGTCGGTAGGTTGGAGCGTGACGAGACATACCCTCGGTCGACATGTGTAAGTACGGTACTATTCAGCACTGGAATGCAGGGCAAACCCTCAGAGGATCACCTACGTAGAAGGCATTTTTAAAATGTGATTTGCTCTGTGGGAATTCGTCGAGTAGATTACACGCCCATCTAAGTATTTGCTCAACCCTTTAGCCTCCCAACGGCACATTTGCTCGATAGCAATTGCATTCACCTGATTAGATCCACCTGGAAGTCATCAAAGTGTTCGAGTTGACTGAATCTACATTAGCTGTGAACCAGACTCGATAGACCTCATTTACATCTCCTTCCAATATATAACACGCGCGCTCATTGAGGGTCTTTGGTACAAATAAGATGCAAATGCTCCGTCCTAAACGTTAATGCAAGGAAGGTATCTACTGTACTCACAATAGCTCCCCAATGGTACTTCCATCTAGATCTGCCACCTGTATTAAATCATATTGTTTTTCTTCCATGGAATCGAGCAGGTAGACGGCGCGCGCCCACCTTCAGCAAGTCTCAACATCGCTTTGGGTTGCGGGGTACATGTGTTGCAGCCTAACTGGCCCATCGAGTACTCTCAATAAGCTGCCGAAGCAAAAGGGAGCACCAGCTTGTTTAGGCTGGAAAGCTCTGCTATGAGGGAAAGCCTATGTGAACCCCTCGTATTGCTAGTGGCGATGGTATCAAGCTCGGGTATTGATGTGAACTCCATTGAAGCTGAGACAAACGTAGAGGCAACGAGGCTCAGTGGAAGAAAGAAGGCGACGACTCGATGCCCAGATCCAAGTGCCTCTCTGCACCTCTCTAATGGCAAGCACTCAGCAGTGGCAAAACGCATCAAAATCTTGGTTCGCTACATGTCGATTAAGGACCCATTCGAACGTCAGACGTGGTCATTCCGCTGCCCATCCTGCGTCCATAGATACTGCGATTCCCCGTTCTGAAACACAACAGGAGGAGCGTACGGGTTAAATGTCCTGTCATCTTGGGCCATTATCGCACTGGGTCCATGCATGGGGTAATCATTGTTCTCTCGGGAGTCCGGGCCATGATGCAAGGGCAACATCATCTGGGCGGAAGCGGTCGCCATCCCTTCCCTGTCAGACGCATCTGCCATCAAAATCGGGCTGACGACGGAGTTTTGCATCGGAAGGTTCCCAAAATCATGGTACACCTGAGGCTGGCTCGAGTTAGGATGCGAGGACGGAACCCCTCGGGCCTGTTCTAAACAGAATGGAATGGTTGGCAGGTCCACGGCGTAGGTGGCGGCTACCGCCATCTGAGCAGCCGTGGGGACGTGGGTCTTGCTGACGAAAGACTCGCTCTTTTTCCGGAGGAACCTTTCCGACATGGAAGTGGGATATGTCTTGCTTCCTGCGTCGTCTCTTATGATGATGTTATCCGGCCCAGGCAAATTAGAACCCGTAGCGAGTTCCGAATCTATCAGTCCGCGGATGAGTGGGCTTCGGCTTGCACTACGGGATCTTTCGTCCTCGAATTGCCTGATTTTGCTCATGGCCTGTTCCAACTACGAGGATAAATTAGTTTTCCAACAATGTCCAATCGGGGCAAAGACCCACGTATGACTCAATTCTCGGAAGCAAGGGCTTAAGAGTCTCGAGAATAAGAATGACTTTGGCGATAAGAGTCTCGAGCATGTCATCGTCGACGTCTCGGGACCGACAGAGCTGAGCACTCGAGCCATCTCTCAGGCCCCGGTACAGCTCGTATTTCCTGGCGGTTAAAAGGATTGTCGTCACCTCGACCGCGCAGGCGCCTACCATCCAGTCGACAGTGACGACACCCTTGCTCACAGTGGAAGCATTGTTCTGTATCATCTCCAAAGAATAAGTCCAAAATTGGGCCAGACTAACTGCATGTGCCACAGCTTGTTGCTGCGATCGGAGAAGGAACTCTTGAGGTATGCGAGCCAAGTGGTCTTTGTATGTTGATCCTTTGGCATTCGGCAATGAAAATCTGTAGAGGTCCATCACTGTTTGGCAAATCCATGTATGCAACACTACAGCATATCGAGAGTCAGCGGTCTTTTCTGGTTTACACGTAGAGTGTGTCCATCGTCTCAGCGCAGTGGGACCGTGTCGATACCCCTGGATAAGCTACAGAACAGATCAGAGTAAATACTTACTGACATAACTCGGCCGATCTGGTCGATCCAAATGTGCATAGACGTTGACTTCCGTAAGTTTCAACCGGTCTGGAAGCGTCTCGTTGAACCTGTTCAAAGTAATCTGATACCGATTCACAATGTCCATTACCTGCTCAGCCCTCAAGGGTTCTCCCTCGGTGGGCGAAGCACTTGTGAATCGCTTGGAAAGACTACAAAACGGGTCAATCTTAGTAAAGTCCTTGTAAAGTACGGCCAAGTTGGCCCGACAGACGCTGCCGTCCTCTGACGGAGCCCATGGACAAGAAAATCGGGAGTTGAGTGAAAGGGAGAAGGGTCTTACCTGAGAACCTCCCTGCGTATGGTCAATATTTTCACATGATATGCGTCGAGACTGTAGTCGTTGGGATTGGATTGAATGGCGGGATTCTTTACGAGTGTCTCCATCATGGAAGGAAGTCCATCTTTGAAAACCTGGTCGCTGCACGGCAGTCGTACATGCATCGAGTTGGAAGGTAAAAGGAGGTGTTCATCGAACCCGCCGGAGAGGAAATGATCGATGAGATAAATCTGCCAGACACTGCGTCTTTGGATTTCTTGTTGGCTAAAATTCACCTGGTTTGCCTTGATGTCGGGATCGTAGTTGAGCTGCAAGCAGCGTATCAGCCTGGCGGCGGTACTAACATACATCCAGACTTTGCTCCAGGGTCCATACATCCAGTTGTAGACGGTCACTAGAACGTGATATAAGAGCAGTTCCGGTTCCAGGTGGACAAGGTTCTGGAAAACGTAGTACTCGACCTGTTCGTTCCAGCGGGCGGCAAGAGCTCGGCCCGGAGAGACAGTTGAGACCAAGGAAGAGCTAATCGAACAGATGGCTGCTGCAAGGTGAGGCGGAAAGTTATCTTCTTCGACCCAACGATACACTGTGACTGGATGCAGAAAATTCATGCAGGGCATATGGAAGAAGTAATCGAAATAGGCGTCCACGTGTTTCAGAATAACGTCTCTCTTGATCAACCGAGTCCTACGGTTGTGAGACTTGGACTTTCCTAAAAGGGGATTTGGGTAGATTACTCACTGTGGTGCTGGACTAGGATCCAGAAAGATGTCCGAAGAGATGTTGCCATCTGACGAAACTTCGGGCGAGAGTTGTCCATTGGGAAAAGGCACAGCTGACGGCGGTGTCTGGCCATCGACGCTATTGGAGTGACCGGGGACATTGGCAAACTTGCGCTTCGCAGGGACGTATTCACATTTGAGGTCATTCGTCTGACATCTCGTGCAGCTAGGTAAATCACCGCTACACTTCGTCTTGTGACCGTGGCATTCCAGGCACGCTATAAGAGCAGTATTAGAAATGCATGCATGTAAGGTGAAGGCAAACATATGACACCGACCTCTCTGGGCACGTTTCCGCAACGTTCCTGCCTCGGTCACTGTGCCGTTGGGAGTGATTCGGGCAACTCTTCCTACTCAAGCAAGCAAGCGTCAATCAGCTGCATTCTCATCAAAAGTTGCAACGAAGTCCCCTCACCGGTATCCTGTGATCCACTGTCGTGTTGAGTGAATGGGCAGTTGAGTTTTAGTCTCGAGCAATTCAGACAGGGGCCGTTCTCGGTTTTCCCACTGCATTTGACCTAGGCAGGTTGTCAGGGAATGTTTGGCTGAATGCATTCGCTTAATAAGTGTTGACCGATCTTACTTTTCTTAGGCGACAAGTTCTGCGGGCTTAGTATTAGTAAGAAATTGGAAGAGAAGAGCAGGAAGATAGGACAGCGCACTCACCTGCAAGACTCATCTGGATTATTTCTTCGTCTCTTCGCTTTGCCGGACCGTGAGTCTCCTGGAGATTCGGATTGATCCTGGACCCCCGATCGCTTCATTGTGTGCGTTAAACGAAGCCTGTGGAGAGTATAACATTGTCGCGCATCTCATTCCCAACACTGGTTGTCGTGGGCTGTGGGCATGCTCACAGTCGCGGCAGGCAAGTGGTTTTAAGAAGTGCAATGGGCGCAACGCGTTGTTCTGGATGCCGTTGGTTCAAATGAGGTAGGCCCACAGGGATTGCGGCTGTGGGGAGTCTGCATCCTGTCACTTGAGCAGCTGGAAGCCAACAAATCCAGTGCGACTGGACAGTACCGGGATCAGGCCTTCAGGCCCTCCATCAGGAGCGGTCCGCTAGATAGAAGCGGCAGGAACTCCATGCAAATATCGGCTCTACTTTGTACTACGGTTAATATTGTATTGTCCTTCGATTCTCGCTCAACCGGCCCGTGTTACTATAGTTAGTATTTGACTAATTATTAAGCAGTCTGTTGAACCTATTACTATTGACTCCATCATCGCAATGCCAAGAGTTGCGGTCATTGTATTCTCGCGAGAGTAGACAACAAAAAGCATGATCGGATGATGTCCCTAAATTCCCTTGGCGGCATCCGACTTGATACTTGATTGGACATATCGAACCCTTTGGGTATTATACGCAATTTCCTGCATATTACACAGTTCTACAGTTGCTGTCAAATGGCCTCGAACGTTTTTACAGCTAGCCCTATTGCCTCAGTTTTGAGGACCGTGGAGACGCCCTCTTAACTTTAACCATTGTGTTACGGAAATTGCGAAGATAGCCAAGAAACCAAGGACAACCTCTTTTCCTCCCTAGCTAATTGGTTGGATTCCGATAAGTCTCCTCAGTCTCCAAGCAAGGGAGAGAACGTTCAATGACGACGACTAGTTTGCGATGTCATGCACCCACTAACTAGGGTGTTGAATCATGATCGACGATTTGCAACATGCCCTTGTTACGCAAGGCAGACTTTTGGGGACGTGGGCTGATGCCAAAGTGCCAGGCGCTTCCTTGCGTCGATTCTGCATAGCCGTCAGGACTTCGGGGCACGTAACTAAATCTAATCTACAGCAGTTACGCAGTGTAAGAATCTAGATCACCTCAGAGCCTCTGCATGTATTGCAGTACGTAGACTCCAGCACTCACTTCCAAGTTACTATGAATATAGAGATAGGCAGGAGCTAGAGAAACAATGAAACAATTGTAGAACTTGCAGCTGCTTTCAGCCGGCAATAGCGACCCGCCTTCACTTGCTTTTTATGTGGGGCTGGATAGAGCTGTCGGGAAAGCTTTTGGTGCACCGAAACCCGAACAAGCTCATACACTTGGCGTTCCCGCTGCACTATCTAGGTAAGAGCGTTGCTTCCACCACGTTTTTCGAAGCAAGGGAGACGCAGCGGTCATCAACACCTTTCATTTGTATAGCAAGTCATGTTTCGGTGGCAGAGTCCTATTACAACACACTGATTGCCGTATATGCTAGCTAATGGCTGAGTTCGACGCCGCAAATCGACGCCCCGTTTCCTCCCTATCCACCGAACATGCCCTCCCGTAGCTCTCAACCGAAAGCTGCCCTCTCCGACTACAAGGCTATTGCGGCACAGTATGCGAAGGCAAAGAGGCTGAAGGAACTTGAAGATGCCAAAAATAACCAACGAAGTCTCCCCACCGAACCCGCGCCGTCAGGCATAGCTGAAAAGCAGCGCCAGGCCCTCGAGGCTCGCCGGAAGGCTACTTTCGAGAAGCGCTTCCAATGGACCGTTGGCTTCTGGGTTTGGATGCTTTGTATCCATGTCATTAGCATATTTTTATTCACCAGCGGCTTTCTCCTGACCCGCCTAGTCCTCGATGAGCGCTCCAACTGTGCAAACCCACCAATACAGCCATTGCTTTCATGGAAGGGGCAGGGCTCCGTGGATGGGGGCTGCTGGCATCCCAAGACCTTTGACAAGGCCGTAGTGGTCTTGATTGACGCACTGCGTTACGACTTCACCGTGCCAGTTGAGGATGAAAGCAAGGCTGAGGGGTTTCACAATGCCTTTCCCTTTCTCTACGAGTCGTCAGTAAAGTCACCCAACAATGCCTTCCTGCTGCCCTTCATCGCGGACCCGCCAACTGCCACGCTACAGCGACTAAAGGGCCTAACAACGGGCACTTTGCCAACATTCGTTGATGTGGGCAGTAGCTTTGGTGGCACCGCTATTGATGAAGACAATCTCTTACTGCAATTGCGAGGACTAGGAAAGCGAATAGTTCACTTGGGTGACGACACATGGACCGCACTATTCCCAGGATACTTCCAACCGAACATCAGCAGGGCATACGATAGCTTCAATGTGTGGGACTTGCACACGGTTGATAATGGTGTACTTGAGCACATATTTCCCCTGATGAAACCCGAAAAACAAGGAGAATGGGACTTCCTCATCGGCCATTTACTCGGAGTAGACCATGCCGGCCACCGATATGGCCCCAACCATGCTGCTATGACTGCCAAGCTTGTGCAGATGGACCAGTTCATTCGAAACCTGACAGAAACCATCGATGATAATACCTTGTTGGTGGTAATGGGTGACCACGGAATGGACGGCAAGGGTGACCACGGAGGAGAGAGTGACGATGAAGTGGAAGCAGCTCTATGGATGTACTCCAAGAGACCACTGTTTGGTCGGACCAAGCCCGAGTTTGTCACACCGCCTGCAACTGCGAAGGTTCGACCTGTCAACCAAATTGATCTGGTTCCTACATTGGCTCTTTTGTTGGGGTTGCCAATCCCATACAATAACCTCGGCCGGCCCATAGAGGAGGCTTTCGCTGGGAAGAAAGGCAACGCATGGGGTAATTTGGCTGCTGTGGCAAGGATGGCTTCGGCTGGAATCAGAAAATACCAGGCGTCGTATTTTGCAGCCAGGGGCATGGTACAGAGTGCCAAACCAGGATCTGCCGCTGATCTCTGGGAAATTGCGGGTGCCGCATCCGAGGGCCGTCCCGTACAGCAAGCAGTATACCATGCGTATACTACGTATCAGGAGGAAACATTGAGGGTTTGCAAAGATCTATGGGCTCGTTTTGACATCCCGAAGATGATTCTGGGCATCACCGCCATGGCGCTTGGTGTCATTGTGCTGATTGTCTATGTCTCTAGGGATGAAGATGATGATTATGCTGTTTTGGATAATGCGGAGCTAGACCTAGCTGAGAAGAACCTCGAGCTGCTGGACGGCAGTTCAGTCCCTGAGGCGGCTTCTTATCAAGGCCTTAGCAAGATTGTTGTGAAGTCCGGACTCCTCGGTGGACTAATAGGTGCAGCCCTGGGCATTGCATATGTGTCTTTTACCAACTCCGAGGACTGGCCCATGGCCGTCGCAGCCGCAGCGCTCGTAAGCTTGGTTGCAGTGACTATCACTCTATCGGGGGCTGGGAAGAACTTGGTCAATGTCGTACCCAACACTGTCTGGGGGTGGCTTTCGGTCGTATTTACTCTGAGCCAGTCAATCGGCTTTGCCTCCAACTCGTATACCATCTGGGAAGATTCGATCTCGCTGTTCTTCTTATCGACATTCGGGTTCACGAACGCTGTCGCCGCCCTCCGTCGGCCAACTATCGCCGAACGCACGTTGGGTGTATACCACTCGATCCTGTTCCTTGCTCTCGGCCGGCTGGCTTCATTCTCGAAATTGTGTAGGGAAGAGCAGATGCCCTACTGCACATCAACTTATTACGCCTCGGCCAATTCATCCACGTCGGCCTCTTGGCAACTAGTGATACCCTTTGTCGTTTTCCTCATTCTACCCTCTATCATCAAGGCGTACATGATGACGTCTCGCTCCTACGAGGGCCTCGCCCCTGCCTGGATCGGCTACGTTTTCCGGATGGGTCTCCTGCTCTCTGCAGCGTACTGGGCACTGGATGCAGCGGACAACGGCGATTGGATCACCTGGCTGCCCGCGCAGACGCTGAAGACGATCCAAGTGTCCGTCGCCCAGCTCGTCCTCGCTTTAGCCTTCGTAGCTGGCACCACAGCCTTCATCTGGGCGCCGCCCTGCGTTTCAATTCTCACCAAGGCGGCATCCAATGCTCGCACTGCCCAAATCACGGTTTTAGGTTATGGCAATGTGAATGGCGCGCGGTATCTGCTCCTTGTCCTCAACTTCGCTGGAGCATGTATCCTCCTCTCGAAACCCATGGGTAGCGGCGCCATGGCCATTATGCTCTGGCAAGTCCTGTCCCTCGTTGAGATCGTTGACCTCAATGCTCTCACAGCCGAGACCATCGGACCAGTCACCCTCGCTCTCCTCGGCAACTTTCACTTCTTCAAAACCGGCCACCAAGCAGCGTTTTCATCTATTCAGTGGGACAGCGCCTTCATCCCGCTCTTCACGATCCGCTACCCATGGTCTCCCATCGTCGTTATACTGAACACCTTTGCCGGACAAATTCTTGCCTGCGTTGCTGTCCCACTTGTGGTCATATGGAAGACGAATCCCAAGCGCAAAGGCGTGCTGGAAAGCGTGACGCGTGCCTTGGGGGTCTTCGTTGCGTTTTATGCCACCCAAAGCTTGGCGACCATGGCGTGGGCTGGATGGCTACGCCGTCATCTCATGCTATTCCGGGTGTTTAGCCCACGATTCATGGTCGCCGCAGCTGTATTACTCATCGTGGACTTGGTAGGCATCCTGGCCACGCTGACCGGTGTCAGGACTAATGCGCTCGCGATTAGCGAGGTGTTTGGGTGGGCCGACTGAGGAAGAGCAGACAAGCAGAGGGAAAGTGTCGGGCTTTCAGGCGCTGTAGAAGCAATATGTAACAATCCAAGTAAGGGCGTAATCGGCGCGAGACACGATTGGACAAACCCGGCGGTCACGGTGTAAACCTCGAAAAACAGGCTGGACCCCTGTAGTGTAGAAACAAAGGAGCATACTAGAGTAGACAAAAGCAGATGTTTTGCGGACGTGCACAGATAATGACTTCGCGACTCGCATTTCGTATGTCATTTCATCACATTATCAGGCGCCAATCGCCTAACCCCCCAAGAAATCCCGATGAACTTGATCAAGCTACGAGTAAGAGCATTCTGCCTGGCTACTCTCAAAGATCTTCAGTCAGCCGCTGTGTCGTGCATATGTATCAACCCCAGCTAAAACGATCGACTAGACTAAAAGCCCAGCACGTGGGAGATAAGGGCGAACGGCGACGATCCCGTCGATCCGCACATATTGCAACGACGTTTCTGGAGCAGCCCTGCCTTGCCCAGCCTTGACGATCCCGAGAACGTGGCTATTGCCGATAGGGTCCCGCGTCGTACTTGAATTATCATTCGGGAGGTCGGGTGGTTTTTGATCCAGGCTTGTTCGTTGATCCATATGCCGTGTAACGCTTCTATTCTCGGGAGGAGGGGCCATGATGAATTCCGTGGGTTGTTGCACAGATAACTAAAGGGGAAGGAGCTTGAGGAAATGGAGGAAATGGGAGTGAAACTAGTTGGTGTGGTGTCGATTGACGACTGTAGCTGGTCTTGATGGGTGATATATGTATATACAAGGATATTAGCGATAAAAAGTCGATCCTTTGGTGCAATTTTGTCGTCTATGGAAAATTGACAGTCGTGTAATGTTGTACAGCAGCTGACTTGAACGCAGACTGCGAGTCCCCTTGCCAAACCCTTCTTTCCCGTTCTTTTCCTCCGTCCTGGCTCGGTCCCTTGCTCATCCTGGACCGTCCCTCTTCCTCCCATGTTATTGTGAGTGGTACTAATATGTACAACGAAGTAGTAGTTAGACAGCTAATAAAAGAATAAAAATCCGCACGCATGGCGAATATATGCCGAGCGACGTTTGTGCTGGCGGGTGGGTATCAAGCGCTCTGAAGGATCAAATCGTAAACCAAAAACCAAAGCAATAGAGAAAAAAAAAGAAAAAAAAAGAGCATAGGGTCGTAAATCCACTTTCCCAGTCCATGTCCCGTGCGAGTTCCCATGTACCCCCAAAGACTCCGTGCATTCCAATGCGAACTAATGGTTTAGCTGTGGCCTCGATGCTAGAAAAGCCAATGCGAAAGCGCCATGGCGAAGAGCGGTATCAGCAACAGCAACGATGGTGGTTGTCGCATCGCCAACGCGGCATTCTCGGCCTGTGCGGCCGGCAAAGTGGCATTGACGAACCCTTCACCACACAGGTCATTGACAGTATCAGCAGCGCCTCCGTAGGTAAGTGCTATTGGCTGCGTTCGAACTGCTGAGGCTGACTGGAATATGCCCATGGTCTGTTGCGTGCACCAACCACAGGACGGCGTGGCCTCGAGCGGTAACGACACATTCAGGGGCAGAAAATAGAGGTAGACATTCGAAGTGTCCGTCAAATTGGTAACGGCGTTTGCAAAACAGTAGGCGTCGGTTTCCGGATCCGTAAGGCATGACGCGCTATAAAGCATTGCATATGTACTGAGTCCGAGGTAAGCCTGCATCACCACCTGGTTTTCCTGGGCAAAATCCGTGGCGCAGTTCGCTTCGCTGATGAGATCGGTTGCGACGCCGTCAAGGTAGTCGGCGCACATAAGAGAGTCGGCTTCGCAGGTGGCGTCGAGTACCTGTGTTATGCTGACCATGGACTTCTCTGCCTGGAAAAAGGATAGCGAGCCCTGGGGAACTAGTTAATATCCGGAGAGCGCTTAGAATCACGTAACAGGCCGGCGACGGCACTCACCTGCAGCAGCATAGAAAAGGGGTAGCATTGCTTGAAGGTGGAATTTGTCAAGATGGTGTTGATAAAAGATGGACAGTTTCCCGACGTGCCCGAAAAGTTGGCCGCCAGAGCGGTGTCGAAAGGGCTTGGAAGGGGACTGCTCACGGCGGTCGTCGTTTGGGTGGGTTTCGCGGTCGCCGTCGAAACGTCAATGGCAATCGTCGTGGTGACATCGGTGGATGGAGAAGAGTGCGCACGTACGGCGTTGGCAGCGTGCCGGCGATCGAGCTGGCGATGCTCTTCCTGGGACATCATGACCCAGGCGCCGTCCTTGTTGAGAACGGGAACTCTCGTGTCGACCAGCAGCGTGTCGCTGAGTTGGGGGAGACGGTCGTGAGAAATAGCGGCCGTCAGGGACACCCAGCAAAAGAAGAGGGCGATAATCAATGCTAAATGTAATTTAGGCGTTGGGCGACTTGAAACAACCAGGTTTGCGCGACCAGGGAGACGGGACTGGGCCTGCGTCCGCCGGCGCGACACGAAATGACTGGCTGGGAACATTATGCTGTGCAAGCAGGTAACCGATCTGCGAAACGTTCCCACATCACTCCCGACGCCTTGTCAGATGCAGATCTCGAGTTACGGTTTGACAGTTGCCTTGATTTCTGAACCAAAAAGGTTGAGACGACGTTTTCGCTCATAGATGATGGGGCCGAGGTTGCAAGCTCCGTGCTTTAATTATTCGATCTTGACCCGACCCAAGTGTTGATTACTTGAGTATGTCCTGGGCCAAACTGGGATTCGACGGGTAAATAGCTCCGTGGACAGGCAGGCCACCCCAACTGCTCTTGTGGTGGGTGTATCTGCAACTGGACGACAATGCCCACGAATCAGCCGAAACCTGGCGGTGTCGATGGCTCGGGGAAATGCGGGGACAAGATCGATCTTCAACGTGGTGGTTTGATGGTCGAGTCCGACGACGATGCGATTAGTATTAAACGAGTGACGAGTGATGTACGGTTATTAAGAATTAGGGAGTCTTTCCGTTTGGTCGGAAGGTCGATCGGAAGAAACGATAAAAGTTTCCCCAGCATGCCGCGGGAGGGTGACTCGTTCATGGTATTAATATTAGCTTTCTTTTTTCTTCTGTCTGAGCATAGAAACGCTCTCGGACTTGGATGGGTCTTGGAACTTGGCATGGTGAAGCACTGAAAGCGGGATTGAGGCCTTTGATGTTACCCTCGGCCCACCACCGACGGTCTCGTTGCCCATCTGGTCAGTAAAGCCACGAAGCCTTCAAGGGGGCTGTCGTGATTGGGGCTAGAACAGGCGCGGACGGACAAGACAGGGATGTTTCTGCACACGAGCAACGGGAGCGTAGCATCGACACAACTCGATTGATGCCGATTCCTTGTAGGGCATCCCAGGCAGGCAATTGGGGGCCAGCTGGTACGGCAGCGTTTTATTGACTACTCGCCGGCTTGGGCGGAAGATTGGCTATTGATGGTAGTGGTGGTGGCAGCAAGCCACTTGGCCTACGGATTACTGATAAATTGCCGCGAGGGGTCCCAAAGTCTGGCAATGTCTTTCTTTGTTGGCCGCAGACAAGTCGCAGAAATGGGGGCTCTTGATCAGGCCAGCGTTCCCTGCAGGAGACGGAACGCCTTGCGGTGTCGAGCATGCGCCGCTTGTGCAACCTTAGTCAAGTCCTGACTCGACTTCCGCCGGCACATGGAGGCTACTGCAGCCCCCGGAGAGCCTGCCGACGGCCATGTGCAGGAGCGTTGGGGAGCGTTGGACACCAGCCTGATGCATCAATAACGTCTGGAGGAGAATGAAAACCAACCCGCAGCATGCAATGCAGCTTTGCTCCGACCACCAATCTGGTTGGGGCAAGCTGGGAACTTCTCAAATCACATCAGCCAGCAGAGATGGACGGTTGTCGGGGAATCCACTGCCCTCGAATGCAAGCCCCATCTAGGTTGCAATGACCGATACGACCCCAACCGGTCGGCCGAGTCGCGGGATTTTGGCACAGGCCCAGGCACAAGCGTAATTTCGCTTTCCCTCTCGGGCGCTTGAGGCTGAATGGGCAACCCAACCAAGGAAATGGCGCCATCGACGTGATCCTAGCCCCGGCTCATGGGTCGTCCTCCGCTTGATCCCAACCCTGTCCCTGCCAACTCAGTTCGAATCTGGGAATGCGTGCCCGTTTGCGCCCGTTGCCATGGATGAAAACGAGGCTCTGCAGATGCACGGCCACGGGAAACCTGATCAATATGATATCCCCTCTCCATCCGCGATGGAGACTGCGGTAGAGCTTTGGTTCGTATGACGCGCAAACTTGTTTCGCCCTATAACTCCTCTCACCTGAGGCAAGAAGATGCAATCGGAATTGACTACTTACACAACGACAACGGCCGAACTTTGGGGCTCGAGTCTCACTGATCAGAATCATACGAAGCTGCTGTGCCTCGTGGCACCGCGCACATGCGGATAATGGTCCGGATCAGCAGCAGCAGGCCCATCTGCAAGGTACCGTCGGCCTATTAAGATGGGTGGAGTTCCAAGACAATGCTAGTTCGCACCAATTTAACGGCTTCAGTTCTTTCCGCCAAGTTGGCTATCTACCAGCGAGCCCAACTATAGCCTATACTGCTCCACTCATTAGCATCTCTACAGTGGCATTTGGATCCGTCATCTCGTTCCACACACGTAGCCGTGCTGGTGATTAGCTGAGAGAAGTCGCCCTCCATGACGCTTACCAACTTGCCCTTCACGGCTCATTTCAGCGGACAGGGCGCATGTGTGGCAAGCGCCTTCTAGAACCTGGACTCCTAATAATACACCAAGTATTGTAAGACAACTGGCTGGTGCGACGGGGAACAGCATCTCTGGTCTGACGGGTACCTGCAATTGGCCCAATTTGCATCGCACCACATGTGCGAGTAACCATGTCAATTACCTCGTTCAATTCGCCTCAATCCGACTCAGAAGCATTATTCGGGACGGGCGTACCGGATATATGAGCCTGCATACGTCCCTTGCCAATGCAGCACTGTCAGCAACAGCAGCAACGGCCGCCTTACTCCGCTGTCATATCCGTTGGCCCCTTTTCAGTCCAGAAGAAACTCAAACTCATCGTACAACGACCGAGGAGCCCCACACGGAGGCTAGTGGTGGTGGCGTTGAAGCTAGCGATTCTTTAATCGATGGATCAAGATGACATGACACTACAGCGTCGCCTTTTTACTAGCTCTAAGGCTTGTAAGCTTGCCAGTGAAGCTACTGCCACTAGCTGTTGTAGATACTTGAGCGCGGAAAGGGACAGGAGGTGGCTTGCGATGATGAGAAAGTCGAAACGAAGAGACCCTGGTTTTGCTCACGATGGCCTTAATTAAGCCTGGCTTTCTGGCAGAGACTACTGGGGTGCGTAGGCGACGGGGAGACGTCTCGCGTATCTGGTTTGGGTTTACGCGATGACGTCTCCGGTAGCTCCCGTCCATCATCACCACAAGGGGATCTATCAATGTGTTAGTCAGGAGCAGAAGGTTCGGCGATGAGCGAATGAAGGTGTTTGCCTCGCAAATAGGGGGTCGTCCAAACATGTGCTGCACTGGGTTGTTCAGGAGTGCGTAGAGCTACAGACCATTCGAATTCGCAGTCGTGGAGAAAGTCCATCAAGACTCCTAGGAAGGACGATGGGAGTCCATTGTAGTGCTGTAGATTCCATCGCCAAACAAGAGACTAGTAGGCGGGCAGATCCGGATTGCCAGCAATTCGATAAGATTCACGGGAGACGAGAACTCGAAGGCCGAAAAGGAAACCAAAGCTGAGATGGCTGAATGTTGGGATGGGCAAGGTGCTGGGCAAACATCAAGGTTGCCGACAGGGAAAGTGCTATCGAAACAGTTGCACGTAAGGGGTGTAGGTACTAGGCTGCGAGGAACTTCGAGTTGCTTAAAACACGGCGGTCGCAGCTGTGACACATCAGTATATATGACGATTGGCAAACGACACAGGCAGAACCGAGAAGACTTAACGATATCGCAGCGGATTCTCTGCACTGAGTCAATGCGCTATAGAGAATATATACTCAACCCTGCTCGGCGTCTTCTTGACTCCTCGGCTATGTATAACGCTATTTATCTCTGTCAGTATTCCCAGAAACCAACTCTTTTTTGTTTTCTTTTTTGTTCGCCCAACCCTATTGCGCTCGAGTTGCATCACTCTACACAAGTCCACAGCAATAAAAACCATGCTTATATGGCTATACTACGGTAAATATACTACGGTAAACGGTGCACAAGAAGTTCATATCGAGATCGACATATTGGGACCGAGGGTATCTAGGCATCTGTATTTACTTGCAAGCAGGAGAAGGATTCTGCGTGGACATATACCGTCTCTTACTCGGTAGATAACAAACCCCAAGTGATATAGATAGGGCATCACATAGAACCTGTAAGTCCAGTGGGCAAGTAATGACGACTGGCCGCTTCACGCCCCCGTATTCTTGAATTCTAGGACACGGCATTAACGAGCTATAAGAGCGCTGGGGCTAATATAGTCCAGGTCTGATGAAGCTGGTTACGTTCGGTATATACTAGCGACTTAGATGCGAGGTAGTTTACCCCGGTTATCAACGACCCAACAGGTTCACCAGCTATTTCAACTCAAATTCTCAAGTACTCGGTCTCATCGGTCATATTGTTCATATGCCTTCCTCATACACATTTGGCGGACACCTCGCACTTGCGAACGGGCAAGCCGAACATGTGTTCAGTAGAATGGCGACAATACTGCAGATGGGTTCACAGAGTAAGAACGACATGCAGATAAGCCCGGTGTTTGTACATGAACTTGAACTTGAGTAATTATCATTTTAGTATATTTCTAAGCCCATTCATATATGAATAAGCCGTGTGAGTGTATAGGTGGCCAACCCGATTCAACACTGAATCCACAGGTGTTGGGAGAGCCAGCTAGTCCCACCACCTTCTAACCCATAGCGCCAAACAATGCCATTTGTAATTCCCTACCGACTCAGGTATGCCAATGGTGGGGGTGAGAGAGGGGGAATCTTGGACGCAACGCAATAATATCTCACAAAAATCATGGATCCTCTCACCAAATCCGACCCGTCTAATCCATTTTACTTTTCCCTTCAAGAGGCTACCCACTCTTCTCCAAACTCTGCAAATTCACCAACTCAGCATACCGCCCATTCTTGCGCATGAGCTCTGTGTGCGTGCCCTCCTCGACGATGCGGCCCTGATCAAACACATAAATAATATCCGCGCGCTGGATAGTACTCAGTCGATGTGCAACCGCAATCGTGGTGCGACCCTTAGCGGCCTTATCCAGAGCCACCTGCACCACATGCTCCGACTCCGAGTCCAGCGCCGACGTCGCCTCGTCGAGCAACAAAATCTTGGGATCCCGAATCAGCGCGCGCGCAATCGCAATGCGCTGTTTCTGTCCACCGGATAGCAAGGCGCCCTTGCTTCCTACAACGGTGTTGAACCCGTCGGGCAGGGAGAGGATAAAATCGTGGATATTGGCCTCCTTGCAGGCGAATTCGATGGCCTCGTCGGTGACCTCGTGCGAGACGCCCAGGAGGATGTTCTGGCGGATGGTGCCCTGGTAGAGGGTGGGCTCCTGGGAGACGAGGGCGATGAAGGACCTGTACTGATTCACGTTGAGGGAGCTGATCTCCTTGCCGTCGACGTAGATGCCGCCCACGAGCGGGTCGTAGAAGCGCTCCAGGAGCGCGATGGTGGTGCTCTTACCACAGCCCGATGCGCCCACTAGGGCCACGTACTGCCCCGGGCGGACCGTCAGGTTCAGGCCGCGCAGGACGGGCTGTTCGGTGCGTGTCGGGTAGCGGAAGTGGACGTCGCGGAACTCGATGGTGCCTTCGATGGAATCAATCTCGGCACCGTCCGTGGACCACGTGTCGATGTCGGGTTTTCTGTCAAAGAGCGCCTTCAGCTCTGCAGCGGCGTGGTGAGCCTTGCCCATGTCGGGGGCGAAAGAGAAGATGGTGCCAGCGGACTGAGCGCCGAAGATGATGGACGAGAAACAGACGAAGAACTGGAACTGGTCGTATTCGTACTTCGCGATCAAGGTTCCTCCGTACCAGAAGCCCAGGGCGAAGGAGAAGAAGAGAAACGACTGCGAGGCGGCGTACAAAAGACTCGACTTGAGAACCGAGTTCAAGCTAGATCGCTGCTGCGCGGCCAGAGCGTGTTGGTACTGGGTGATGACATCCGTCTCTCGAGTCAACGAGGCCACGGTGCGGATGGCCGAGATGGCTTCGGAGGCATACGAAGCAGACTGCTCGTAAGCGTTTTTGGACCGACGCTGGAAGTGAGCAAGCATGTAAAAGCGAAAGAAGCCACAAGCCAGGAGAACAGGGATCGTAGCAATGCAGACCAGAGCCAGCTTCCAGCCAATGGCCAGAGCAAGACAACAAGCCGAAATCAGTGTGGTGAGCACCATAATGAGCGTCCCAAGCGTGACACCGCTGAGACCAGCGACGTGCGTGGTTTCGGTAGACAGGAACGATGTCAGGGCACCTGCCGTGTTCTCGTCCTTATCAAAGAAGGAAACATCCTGGCGAAGAAGAGTGCGGAAAGCACGGTCTCGCACCCGATGGATCAGACGCTCCGAGCATTTGGCGAAGGCGATGCCCTGGAACAGCTGGGCGATGAACATAACCAGAGCCAGCATCAAGTACATGACACTCCAAAAGTCGCTGTCTTTCTTGGTTTGGTCCGTCAGACCAGGCAGGAGAGGTTGGCTGAGAGTCTGGACCGAGCGAGTTAGCACCAAATGAAGAAAAGGGATAGGTAAACAAGGACAAGACGACGCCACTCACTATAATTTGTTTGGCGAAGAATAATGCCTGCACTGGGTTACCACCGCCGCAAATGGCCGACCAGAAGCAACCAAAGACCATCCATTGCCAATCGGTCCGGTTGAACGAGGCAATCAACTTGATGAGCACCCATAAACTGTACTGCTTTTGCTCTTCGGCCTTGTGGCCCTGCAGCGCTCGGCTCGAGGCGGACCCCTGGGTTGTGGACCGGTGCAGCTTGGCGCGCATGTCGTCTTGGGGATTTTCGCAGGAGCCTGCTGCCCCGTCCTGGGCAGACATCTTGCGAATGAGCTTGTCGTCCTCGTTGTCGATTTCTGCCTGTTCTTCGGCGGTCAATTCGTTGACCTTGGCAATGTTTTGCGCTGTGACCAGGTTGTAGTAGGCCCCGCGTCTCTCCAGCAGTTGATCATGGGTGCCCTGCTCAACGATGGTTCCTTGCGTCATGACCACGATGTTGTGCGCATCCTTAATGGTGGAGAGACGATGGGCAATGGTGATAGTCGTACGGCCTTCCGCAGCCACCTCCAATGCCGCTTGTACGACGCCTTCCGATTTCGTGTCAAGCGCACTAGTTGCCTCGTCGAGCAGGAGAACTGAAAGATATGTCAGTCAGGCCCAGCCCGGGTATCAAAGGTGAAGTCGGTGGTGCATTCGTTGTACTCACTCTTAGGATCAGAAACGATGGCTCTTGCGATTGCAATGCGTTGCTTCTGGCCACCAGACAGGAGGAAACCACGTTCTCCCACGTTAGTCTCGTAACCTTCGGGAAGATCCGAAATGAAGTCATGGGCGTTTGCCTTCTTGGCAGCTTCGATGACGAGCTCCCTTTGCTTTTCGTCGCTCTCCTTCTCATGTTTGGTACCGATGAGACCGTATCTGATATTGCCGTAGATAGTCGTGCCGAACAGAGTTGGTTCTTGCGAGACCAACGAGACGTGTTGGCGAAGCCACTGCAAGTTCAAGGTGCTGATGTCACGGCCATCGAGGTAGACCTTTCCGGCGACTGGGTCGTAGAAGCGCTCGACCAGGCCAACGATGGTGCTCTTTCCCGAGCCCGAGGCGCCTACCAAGGCGGTGGTCTTGCCCGCCGGGATCTCCAGACTCACATCCTTCATGACGACAACATCCGGCCGTGAAGGGTAGATGTGCTTGATGTGCTCCAGACGAATGGTGCCCTCGACGTGATCGGGCCGTTCGCCCGCGTCGCTGGTCGGATCCAATGGCGAAACTCGGTCGATGGTGCTGAAGATTTTGGCAGCGGCAGCGATGGCCGTGCCGAAGGCCTGCACATTCGGGGCAATGTTGCCCAAATTGAAGGCACCGATCATGACGGACATCATGATGGTGAGCACCTTGGACAGCGACGTCTCGCCATCAATGAGATAGGTGCTTCCCATCCAAAACGACAGACCGTAGTTGAGGTAGAGAATCAGCATCATCCCTGCCACCATGCAGCCGAGCGTCGTCTTGGTTCGGAAGCCAAAGTATTCGGCTTTGGTCAGGTGGGCATCATACTGCTTTGCGAGACGGTCCTGGGTGCCGAAAGCCACTGCGTTTCGAATGGAGCTAATGACCTCCTCAGCAACACTTCCTCCCAGCGCGTACGACTCAATCGAGTTCTTATTGTACTTGATCATGAACCGGGAGCCGCCGCCCATGCAGAACATCAGGGCGAACACGGTCGAAGTCAGAATCAACGTGAGTTTCCAGTACTGGACGAAACCGATGACGAAGGCGGAGACGAAGGTGGCCACGGCCGTCATAGTCAGTCCGACCTTTTCAGATATGCCATCCTGGATCAAGTTGGTGTCTGCAGTGATTCGCGTCGTGACCTCGCCGGCGCCCAGCTTGTCGAAGAAGCCAATGTTTTGACGCATGCAGCTCTCCAGGTAATGCTCTCGGATCTTGGCGCTCACGTGCTCGCCCGTGTATATGAAACCGACGGTTGCGACGTAGATGGTGACGAACTCGCCAATGGCCAGGTAAACAAAATACAGAACGAGATGGGTCATCTCGCTTACGAACTCGTCGTAGGTCATGCCAGCGCCGGCAAAGTAGCTTTGGAAAGTCCCCTGCAGGTTGCCAAAGATGACCGTCATCAAGGGCAAGGCAGCACCGCCAGCAATGGCGCATAAGGAGCTGACAGCAATGATGAGGAGGTCGTTGGTCGAGGCATATCGATACAACATGGCAAAGCCCGTCTTGACGTTGGGCGTGTTGACTTGTCTCTTGAGGATTTCGGCTTCATGGGCGGGGAGATTCCTGAACGGGTCGTTGTCTGATTCTTCAACTGCGCGGACGACTTTGGAATCGGCCTTCTCCAACGTTCTGGTGACGTCGGGACTCGAGCTGGTTCTTTGGTCGTGTGCGGCGCCATCTACATCTGTTGAGTCGCCGCCACTCGCACGACTCGAGCCTCTCTCCCAGTGTATTCCATCCACCGACATCGTCGCCGCCGTCGCCGGCTTTTCTGATATTTCGGCAGCCATTATATCGTACTCGTGATTGTCTAAGCCAGGGTATCGACGGAGAGGAATGGCGCCCGCGTTCCAGAGGAATGCGCCAAACGAAAAATGAAAATCCTTGTAATGTGATCTGCTGCTCTTGTTCGTCCGCCGCGGTAACGATACGTCGTAAATTGACTGGCCGTCGAGGACCCGTGGGAGGAGACGAGGGAAGCTCTCGGTATGCAAACTACCGGAACCAAGACTCGACAACACTCAGGTGCAGGTGCCTACGCCAATGCCAATGCCAATGCCAATGCAAAATGCAGGAGACGAAGACGGAACAAGAAACGAAGAGAGATAGGACGAAGCATACGTTGCAGCAACGGCGGATGCCATCCTTTTTCAGTTGAAATTGTTCCCTATCGCCTGCCCACTTGAGCTTCGCGGCGTTTCTATGAACGCACTGTCGGGATAATCAGACCCCATTTTGTGCACCGGAATCCTGGTCAACCGACTTTAGTATATGCACTTCGGATGATCCTAGCCAACCTGGCCCACTCGTGGGGTCAAGAGAGGGGGGGGCTTTCTTGAGCTAAGTTGGTTAAGCTATCCTTCCAAGCCGCTATGATTTTAGATCGGACTCTCCCGACTCCGAGATGGATTATTTACAATGCATGACTACAAGGTATTGCATTATGGGCGTTGTGGCCTGTCTCCTCTTAGCTGAGAAGTCGGTAAGATATCGCTGGGGACGGAGCCTGGTTGGCTACGATGTGAAAGCCGTTACGCTGCCTTGTCTTGTCTGACCAATTGGGTCAACTTCAACCCCATCTGTTGCACGATGTCTAGGTTGCTCACACCGACTATAGTGTGTTACTAGCCGCGAGGATCTCTCGAATAGGCAGCAAGTCGTCAGTTTCGCCTGACCATGCAATATAGAATCTTACATAATAGTTGTGCCGCGAAACTCTACCTCAGGTGCACGACAGACTCCCAGTCATCAAAGAGCCCCTTTGGGTTAAGCGGGATGACTTGGCACAACAATCTGGCAAGGCTTCGCCAGAGAATATTCCATACATAATAAGTAGATGGATCAGAAGTCCAGATCCCAAGTGGAGAGATCAAGATGCAATGGGGCGGGCGTATCGGCGTGCTGACTCGACCGATACCGCCTTGGGTTGTGGCGGGAAGATTATATTACCATAACTACTCACTCCATCTTACTGCGTTTTTCTGCCAGATTAGGCGAATGAGCACTAAAACAGGATGGCGCGAAACCGAAACCGAAACGGCTTGTACTAACGGGCTCTCTCATTGAGCTTTTCGGACTCCTTTTCTTGTGCAAGTGAAGTACGCGTAACGAGCGCTCCCTTCCCTCCTGCATGGCAATTTATTATTATCCATTGCAAATTTGATCTCAGGACGGACCCAGAACGTCGCACTAGTCCTAGCTAGAAACCAACGCTTGGTCGGACCTCGGACAGCTCAGGATCCCGAACGCCGGGAAGCCCAATCGGTTTGTTTCCTGTCCTGTCCTGATCTTGTGCTGGAATCGATCGCGATTGAATACCGTTGCATGGCTTCTCTGACAACCTCACTCGCTCTTCCAGGTGTTGCCGCAGTCAGCATGACTATTCAATGAGGATAGCTAACCAAGTGATTGTCTTGCCCTGTTCGAATTCGACGATGTTCCGAATCAAGTCATAACTAGTAGTGAAGTACTCCAATATGTACAATACGAAAACGAGCGGCATATGCACGTAAGCATTTGGCGGGCCCAGGGCTGACCCGATGTGTTGGATACCATCACAACTTGTTCAAGCCAAGCAATTCGCAGAGTTTGTCGCCCGAAAATGGCAAGCTCGGGGCTGTTTCGCTGTGGTGTAATGACCCACACCAACTGGCTTACATATGATGCACGACGGCATGACTCTGCCGGCCAGTGACTCATATGCTTCAGTTGACACCACAGGGCATGTTTACCATCTTCAGGCGCTAGGGGATTAAAGCGATTACGCTTGTAGGACAAGAATCCCATCCAGCCGTCTACTGCAATATATCCTGGGGGGCGGGTGACCGCCTGTTGACAGGCCATTCGGGACTAAGCACGTCAAATGCTCGAACTCGTAGAATTCCGCATAGAAGTGCCCAGGTGCGTGGCAGCGGGGGAATGTGCGGTTGACAATGAGAGGCGGCAAAGTGAATTCGACTCAGGCTTCTCATCCTGACGCGCTTGCACTTCCTCGCAACCACTTCGAGATTGCGGCTCCACGCTGCCTTGGCTGGCTGCCAACTGTCCACTACAACATTTGCAACATTTGCCACCACCAACTGACTTCCAGCTCGAAGCTTCGCCAGGCTCCTGAAACTCGAAAAGCATACCCAGTAATTCTTGAGTACGCAAAACTCATAACGGCTACCTGAGCATCGAACATATCTCCGGGCGGCCAAATGTGAAATAGGAGTAGTCAGGATTGTTTCCCCGCAGAACGGAGAAAACAGCAGGATCGCCACCCCACAAAAACTTGCGAGTACCAGCTTTGGCAGTCGAGCTCTCCAGCTCGTACTGAGTTCACCACACATCACACACTGCTTCAACAATCACGAGCTCACTCGGGTCTTGGCGCTCCCATATTTCTCCCTGCATCTATACTCAGCTCTGCTCCCAACCAACCCTCACGATGCATCTCCTCACCCTCCTCACGCCCCTCCTCCTCCTCTCAACCTCCCCCGCCCGCGCCAAAACCAAACCCAAAAACGCCATCCTCCTCTCCGAAGTCCAATCCCTCACCCTGCGGGCCAACGCGCAAACCACCCACCGCCGCGTCTCCGCCATCCCGCAACTGAAATGCATCTCGCACCCTTCCATCTGTCGGCTACACGAAATCGACGTCCTACGCTGCACCAACGAAGGCTCCGGCTACGACAGCGAGGACATCCAATGGTCGTGCCAGGCGTCTCTCCCGCCCGAGTTAAAATTGGGATCCACCGACGTCATCTGTGAGGGCTACTCGGGCCCAGAGGACGAGTACGTGCTGAAAGGCAGTTGCGGCGTCGAGTACCGGCTGGCGCTGACGGATGAGGGCGAGCGGAAACACCCTAACCTTGGTGGCGGAAGTGGAGGACCAGGACAGGAATGGGACTTGAGCGCATGGCTCTTCGGATTCATCTTCGTCGGGGTCTGCGCCTGGATTCTGTATTCGGCCTACACGCAAGCGCAAGCGAACCGGCGGCCGGGCGCACAGAGACGGCCGCGTAATAACGGCGGAGGCGGTGGCGGAGGAGGATATGGATATGACGACTCAAACGACGACCCGCCGCCGCCGTATCCGGGAGCGAAACCCTCGGGGTCGAGACAAGCTGGTGGTTGGCAGCCTGGATTCTGGACTGGAGCTGCGGCTGGAGCGGCCGGTGGTTACTTCGCAGGACGTGGGGGGAACAATCGACGACAGTCCAACTACGGCACCGGCTGGGGCTCTGGCAACAATAGCGGCTGGGGTGCCGGACCGTCGAGGTCGTCGTCGTCATCTAGTTCAGGTTCAGCATCGGCGGCGAGACACGAGAGTACCGGTTTTGGAGGTACAAGCCGCAGATAGTAGGAGGGAGAGAATCCATGGGGCTTACGAGAGACGAGTACTCCACAACTCAGTTCTCATCGCTGCACGATGGACAGCCATCGACAGCATCTCAACAAAGCAAATGGCTCAGATGTGATTTATTATTCCTACATTCCGGTTGGTGTGGTTCACCCTCTATCCTGTGCGACTGCCCCTCAAGATGTGAATTCGCCCATGTGTGAAATGCGAGTTACAGCTCATGCCAAGACAAGGGGAATCGGCCCCCCTCTTCCACAGCGGTATATCTGAGTGATCCAGCCGCAACTCAATATCCTCTCAAATCGGGGTATGTCGGTGTAAACGCCTAGCGAAATATCGCCATCTCAACTCAAATCTGCGCGCGTCTGTAGCGTCTAGCAGATGACTTTCACCATGCGCGTGCCATCCTTATATGTACACCATCGTACACAGCCCTCAAGCTCCTGAAGTTCTGCTCCCCATTTCGTCCGCTCTAGTTTTACACACAATCATCGGGCCGTGATCCACGAGTCAAGAAGTCTCGAACCTCGAAGAGGTTCTACAAGTGTACACCCATTAAATCGACCCTATCGAACGCCTTGTTGCAATTGGGACATTTTCGCATGCGATTGGCTATTCTGTCCTCAACGCACCCTCGGCAGAAGGTGTGACCGCAAGTCTTGATGACTGTGTCCTTGAACTCTTTGTGGCAAACCGAGCACGTCGCAAGTCTCTATATCGCACGTTAATATTGACCTATGAATTAACACTCGGTAGGGTCCACTCACACGTAACATATCCTCCTCTTCGGAGGAATTATTCAGGCTCTTGACTTTCCACTTGTCACGGTCTTTCGACGTATTGTCGAGGCGTACTTTTAGCCTCTCATTGTCCGCCTCCAATGCCACAGTACGTTCTCTCGCCAAGGTGGTCGCACTATCCTTCGACTTGGCCAAGCTGTTTAACTCGGTAACCTGGGACTTGAGTACATCATAGCGACGGAGTACTTCGTTGCTGGAGCTCTCCAATCTCTTGTTCTCCGTCATGGCCGCAGTATTGGTCTGTTTCAGATCCATCATCTGCTTCTCCAAATTACCCAGGAGAGTGCGGCTCTGTGCTTCGTTCTCCTTGAGCTGAGAGATGATCTCGGAACTGCGATTGTTCTGCGATCGTAGGCGGGTGATCTCTTCCTTTTTTGGGCCCGTGTCCTTGCACGCATCGTAGTACTTCTGGTTAGCCTTGCTCCTCTCAGCAATTGCTGTTGCCAGTTTCTCCTCCAATTCGGCATAATCCCCGAGTTTCTTGTTGGCAAGAGCTTGGTACTTCTTCACGGCTGCTGTTAACGGAGGCAGCTCGTGATTGATGGAGTCAAAGTCTTTCTGCAGCCTCTTGTATTTCTCTCGCAACTCGTCCAGCTCCAGGCTGTCGATGTCCGGTCGCGCAGTCATGTCGACATCCTCGCTTGGTTGCAGGCGTTGCAATTCCACCTCGAGCGCATTGATCCGAGCCTCCTGCGCACTGGTGAGTTCTTTGAAATGAGCTATGGATGCTCGTTCTTGTTCTTTGCTTGCCCTGAGTTGCGTTACTTCAGCGTGGAGCTCGTCCCGTGCAGATCTGACCCGCGCGAGGTTTGTATCTGACTGCTGAAGTTCGTCCTCAAGCTGGAGTGTCAATGTTTGCGCCTCGTCCTCCAGCTTCTTCCGATATTGATTACGCTCGTCCGCAAGAGCGATTTTCTCCGCTAGAGCTTTCTTGTTGGCCACCTCTAGATGGTTGATCTTCTTGATCAACTCCTCATGCTGAGTCTTGGATAGCTTGAATACTTCGGTTCGCGAGTAGTCTTCATCCGTCAAGCTGGTAAGCTTGACTTGTGCAGCAGTCAGCTCTTCCTGTAAGGTCTTGGCCTGAGCCAATGCTATCTCTAGCTGTTCCTGACGTTTCTGGCTCACAACTGTGGCTTCTTGTAGCGACACCTGAAGAGCTTCGTAGTTGCCGTTGGATTCGTTGGCGCCGGTACCATTCTCGAGCTCGCTGCCGGTAGGGGGCGCAGTCGCTCTTGCGAAGGCTGCTTGTTCGAGCTTCTGGACTTGGTTACTCTTGAGTCGATCGAGTTTTCTTTCGGCCTTCATATATCTCAAAGTGGCGGTGTTCAGCTGCTCTGAGAATCCATCTCTCTCCGAGGTGAGTCGGTCAAGCTTCACTAGGAAATCTTTTTGGTTGGCTAGCAACCTATTGACCTGCGATTCCAAATTGCTGATATTAGGAGGCACCTGACCGCGAGCAGAAGCTAGGTTGTTGATAATAGATTCGGCCATCTTCTTGATACAGGATGAGCTGTCGGCCAGATGTGCCTCGAGGTCTTCGACGTCCTTGAACGACGTGTGCGTAGGAAATGCCTGCGGGGTGGAGCCTGGTTCAAGAGGAATGGTACCGTCGGCCAGAATTTGTATCTCTTGCAGTAACTGAGAGGTGTCAGCAACATCATGATGAGCGGCTTCATGGCTACTTGGCTGCTTACCTGAACCCACCAAGCATCGACTACTCTCATATGATCCTCGTGATGGGCTGACCTTCGCTTTAGGTCCTCTATTTGTGCCTCCAGTGTGCTGCAAGATCGCTTGTATTCTAGCATCTGGCGGTAGATGGCATCTTTCTGGTAATCCTAGCCATTCCATATCTGTCAGCGTCTCCACTCCCTCACAGCTTCATGGATGGTGTGCATGTACTTGACAGCGAGGCAAGTCGGATCAAGGTGGGGAGAATCAATCGTGGGAGGATGGGTTGTCATATGAGGCAATGTTAATGGCAGCGTCGCTGGGCATTAGTACTGGAACGGTGAGTATGGATTCGTCCGAGGACAACGATGTAAAGCAACAACAGTAGCAATACCCCTCCATCGCGGCGCCATAGACGATAGATATGTGTACGTGGCTGTGAATATTCGGGGGGGAGGGGGGGAAGGCGGGGATACCGGTGGTGGTGTTGAGTTGGGCGGAGATTGAGAGTCTGGTTGTCATTCGCGCGGAGCTTACCTGAACCCAGTCATCGTCTCTAATGTCGCCATCATCTTTGGATGACTTGCTGCTGCCATTGACAGCCTGGCGCTTGCTGGGAGGAGCAATGTCATCAGCGCCCCCAAGGGGTCTCTTGCGGTCCTCCATCTTGACGAAGGTGGAAGGCGGCGCAGATGGGGTGGCAGTGGATAAAGGCATGAAGAAGGCGGTCCAGATGGGAAACGGGCGAGGCGAGGCAATGATGGTGGTGATGGAGCCGAGCGAGCGACGGCCAAAGGTCAGTCGGCAGCAATGAAATGAGACGACGCCGTCGACAGACACAAGAGGTAGGACGTCAGCAGTAGCCTCGTGACATGAGTGATGCGCGGATGCTCGAATATGCGACGTCGCCGCGTCAAGATTGAAAGTATATGGTGTCCTCAATGCTAGGTGTGGGCGAGAATGGGAACTTGGACCGTTCGGTACAGGATGGGTGAGAGGAGGCGATGACCCAGCCGGGCCTTGATTCCAGGAGTTGTGAAAAATGAGGTTGTTGCACCTTCGAACGTGGAAGTCGGGCCTAGTCTCGAATGGGGATGGACACTTTAGCGGCACCTGAAGTGGACCTGGTGGATGGTGCCCAGCTAGTGGCCAGTGCGCCCTCCTTATCGGCAAACATCATGATGATAAGGAATCCTCAGAATCCATCCCACTTGAAATGTGGGAAGACGTTGATTGAAACATGGACCATGCTAGGGAAATTGAGGTCATACGTCCCACCTCTCTCTATTTTCAGAATGAATTGAGTGATAAAAAAAGATTTATCTCAAATTGTCTCAAGTGGTCATAGGCTCATCCTACTTTGACACATGGTGAAAAGCCAAACCCCCAAAAGCCAGTTGGATCCTGGTTATTGACAAGGGCTGCCAAGAGAAGTGGGCTTTCAGATTCCCCGCTGAATTTTTGGCTAGCGGCCCGTGCATTTCAAGTCCCTCTATTAGCTCCATGAGCAATTGCAAACACGAGGAGGACTTCTTATTATTCACCACTCCCACCCAAGTTTTTCTCACAATCCACAGACCAAACCTAGTGAAAGGTACTTGGTCAACATCAGACATCTTCGTCAAGGTGCCTGTCAAGTTACAAACAGTCCCAACTTCCTTTGGTGCTCTCTTGAACCACGCCGATGCACACGTTAACGCAATCATTACTAGAGGAGTGCGGCAGAAAAGTCGGGTCATCGTGCCAAGATGAGTTCCATGTTGAAGAAGCCCGGCGGGCTTTCCTTCAAGCCCAAGGCCAAGCCCAAGATAGCTGCACGTCGCCCTGGCGGAGGAGAAACTACTTCTGCACCACAAGCAACTGCCGACACGGTTACGTCTACCACGACAGGAGCCCCTACCGATGAACCACAGTCCCTAGCATCGACACCTGCCCCAACCTCTGTTGTGCCTTCTGTCTCTGCTCCTCAAGCCTCGAATGAAACCGCCATACAAGGACCGCAAGACACCTTGAAGGACGCGACACCCGCTGTTACAAAACCGGCCAAAGCTGCGAAACCATTGATATCACAACCTACACCTGAGCCTACTGCTCCGACACCCCTCACACAAAGACAAGTTCCCCAGCTTGTCTTGAACAGTCCTGTGCCTACCAGCAGTATACTAGTAGGCTCTCAAGTCCAATCACAGGCAAGCACAGCACCCGCGGTCATCCCACAACCGCAACCAGCTACATCCGCTGCCACAACTCCTGTGCCTACACAGTCCTCCACACCGAATCCGAGTACCACCACCACCCAGCGTTCGATTGGACAATCGACTCCTGCCCCCGAAGGGCCCATCATACCAACAACTGCAATTTCTCAACATACACCCTGTCCCGCCGCTTCAGCTCCTCGGAGAACCCTCCCATCGCCATCGCGGTTCCCGGTTTCCGACACCATCACTGCTGTCCCACCTCAAACAGACGCTAGACTATCTGTGGCACCACCGAAGCAGAAGCGAGTATATTGCAAACGTGCGGGGCCAGCTGGGGTCGATAACAATGATGAGGGATCCTCCGCACCTAAACCGAAGCGTCAGCGCAAGACAACAGCGCCGGCAGCTGGCAATGGTCAGAACAATGGAGATATCTCCGATGGAGAGGTCGGCCGCGCAGCACCCACGCTCTACCGTCGCCGCCGCCGCGAACCCACACCTGAAGATGCCGAGGAACAAAGACTCGACTTGACTACCACAAAAGTCGGCGACTTGACCAGAGATTTATTTATTGGTAAAAAGTTTAAGCATGCCGATGCCATTGCTGAGAGGCAACGACAGATGCGCCGCGACGCCAAGTTGAAAAAACTAGAGCGACAGAAGCGAGCCATGGGTCTCCTGCCGGATGAGAATGAGACTACCGAGGACTCGCGCGCCGGTACACCAGCAGACGGCGATGCAGGCACTCCTGCGCCAGAGGTTGCACAGGCAGATAGCGGCGGAAATATAGACTATCAGGTGATCGACGGACAAATCGTAATCAATCAAGCATCGCTTCAAGTAGACCATCACGCTGGTCAGGAAACGCCAATGGAAACGGTTGAAGAGGATGAATTCACACACCTTACAACCTCGGCAACCTACATGAGGCCATCCCGTGCCATGGGTGGGAACCATTGGACAGACGAGGATACGGAGCGCTTCTACCATTACTTGCAGATGTTCGGCACTGATTTTGAGACTATCTCCCACCTGTTTCCCGGAAAGACCCGCCGGCACATTAAGCTCAAGTTTAACCGTGAAGAGAAAGCACGACCAAAGCGTGTCAATGCTTCGATGATGGCGCGTGGGACAAAACCAGTGGCCATTGATCTTGACGAGTATAAGTCTAATCGACGTGGCGTGCCAGAGTGGGAGGAGAAGGAGAAAATTGAAGAGATGCAGAAACGACTAGCAGAGGAGCATGAGGCGGATCTCGAGGCTTTGCGTCAGGAACGTCGCGAGGCGGGACTGCTGGACGAAGAGGAAGAGCCTGCAGAGGAGGAGACAGGCGAGTCGCAGGGAGATAAAGACAAAGGGCAGGAAAATGCCCCGGCAGTGGCAGAAGTTGAAGTTGAGGCTTGATCCGAGCAACTTCAACTGATCTCAGCGTGCAACACAAAAAGCGAAACAACGGGGATGACGATGGCGATGAGGGCAACTGCAGAGGCTGCAGGCTTTTTATTTTGATACCCCATTTTCTTCTATGGCAGCCGCCTTACTTGCTTTTGTCGTCGTCGTCGTCATGAGAGGAAGCAGTCGGCATTCCTTGATACCAAGTTTCCTTAGGAACTACCTCACGACTATATTCGGTTGTATCAATATGGAAAAGCAGAAGGAGTAGGCCATGCAGTTCGCCAATCATGATTGGCGGTAACCTGAGAGGAAACATAGTCTACCACTGAAGTAACATCATGAGTAGGGAATACAAGATCTGAAACCTCTGGGTATAGAGTAATTGTGGTTAATTAGAGTAAAAAAAGATGGCTTTGCCACATTTTGGTCAAAGCTATCATGAAAGGATGGTCATGTTACGTATTCTAGACATAGTCGTGACTGCTCAAGTGGTAAGGGACACAATTGGGTTCGGGGAGTGTTTGGGTTTATGGATACCATTTCAGGGAGCCTCGTTGTGATTGTCTTCTATCTTGGAGTTTGAGGCATTTCTTCATACCTAAGTATTGCACAAATATGTAAGGAGCTAGGTAATGGACACTGAACACAGGGTTTGCATGTGAACAGACGATGTTTTCACATTTATGTATTTGTTTTCTGAAATATCACAATCAATAAAACTGGACACCATGCCGTAGTTGCTACATGCCATGCCGGGGAATATAGTCGTCAACCCAGACCAGAATAGACCTCAGCATTCCTTTGCTCCAAAGCAATGTTGGTATTTTTGCGTGTCCGCACGTGGAGAAAGCTCCCTTTGTTTCTTATTCATCGTGTATCATCATTTTGGTTCCTGTATGGAGTGGAAACTACCTAAGCTATATTGCTGGGAGCTATCCATCGTTCTCAAGAACAATGCCGTGTTCCCCTGTCAAATATCAGGGGCTAGTGCTCCAAGTCACATGCCTGAACGCCAATACGTGATGACGTTGACGGAAATTAGTGTGAGAGAAGAGGGGCTACAAGAGTGCCAAGTGATGGAGGGATATCATGAGATCAGGCGGGAGATAATCCGCAACAGAAAGACGAAGATGTTGGGTATGAGAGCCTTACTCTACATCTAAGCTTGAGACGGATCATCGTCCTCGGGCTGGTCAAACAAAAAATTCGCTGCCAGCTCCTCATTCTTGTCACAGGCGAAGTACGCCTGAATGGCTTGCTCTTGGCTAAAGCCCAAGCGACACAACTATGTCAAGTTAGCCCAACGATTATTTCGGATGGATACGGGGGTTTTACTCGATCAATGGCATCATGCTCCTCAGGGGTGACACTGATTGTCTGGGCACCTGGAGGGAGAGCCGCATCCTCGTCGGCATCCTCCCCCAACAAGCTCAGGAACTGGTCGGGGTTCGACGAGATGAGTTGGGCGAGCTGAGGATTGCCGGCGCCGAGTTGCTGAAGAATGGGCTCAAGCATCTGGGGTTGCTGTTGGACGACCTGTCGAAGCTGTTGGAACTGAGCATTGTTGCGCAAGAAGTCCAGGTTGCCAAGATCCCGTCCACCGGCAGCGGCAGCAGCTGCTGCCCCGATAGAAGCAGCTCCAGCAGCCCCCGCTCCTCCACGAGCTCCGCCTCGGCCTTGCTGTTGTGCAGCAAGATCAAATAGGTTGACCGAACCACCTTCCTCGCCTTGAGCGGCGGCAGGGGCTGCAGGGGCGATGGCGGAAGCTTGCGCAGGAGCTGCCTGGGCCGGGGCCTGCTGTGGAGCCTGTTGGCGAGCGCTCTCAGGAATACCCTGAAATCATGTCAGCTACGAGGCGGTATCATTCTAATGGCAATGTAACGCACGTTCAGCAGATATTCGACAGCGCGGTCGGGGTTAAAGAATGCGGCACGCATGGCAGCATCGATCTGTGCACGCTCGAATCCCATAGCCTCCATGTTGGCAATGACTGCGGCTCGCTCAGCGCCCATGGCCATGCCACTGGGGTCGTTGCCACTTGGAGCCTCAGTCGCGCCGGCCGGGGTGGGAGTCGCAGGTGCAGCAGCAGCGCCACTGGCGGCATGTGAGGGCGCAGCAGGGGCAGCTGGAGTTGCAGCGGGGGCTCGGGCAGGCGTCTCGGGAACATTGGCGGAGCTTGATGAGGCAGCAGCTGCCGCAGCAGGCTTGGGCTATGGCAGTGGTTAGAGGTGTTACATCAGGTGTCATGGCTTAATGATATCGCTTACCTTGTTCACCATGCAAACAACGAACCCCTTCTCCTCAATCTTGTAGCTCTCGACTGTATCGTCATCCTTGAGGATCTTGCCTGTGCTGAAATTAGTTATGCTCAACCACAACATATCAAATTGCGGCCATACCCGAGTAGATGAGTTTCTGGGCCTTCGGATCCCACCCCTTCTCCTCAGAGATTCTCTGCTTCACGGCAGACACCTATTTCACATCAGCATGTGTCCGGCTTCAAAGCTTGTTGTGTAGTGAAAGGGCTGGGGCGAGGGTGAGGGTTCGCCATGGCGGGCGTGTTTGGGGCGGGGCGCAAAGCAGCTGTCGCAGCAGAGCCCGAGCTGCGCGTGTCGTGATGTGAACGGTGATAACGTACGAGATCAGTGGGCTCGACATCGAGCGTAAACTTCTGCTGCTTGAGATCCTGCGTAGGTAGATGTTAGCATCGTCGGCGACACATTGGAGCAGGTTGGGCCGTGGCTAGAAGTTTCGTTCGGACAATCATACCTTGAAGGTGACCTTCATCTTGACGGCAGTCGCGGCTGACAACGGGTCGCAAGGATGGAATATGGTCGACGATAGAAGCTTTCCAATCCAAGGGGATCAAAAATGCAAAGATTAATTCTGGTTGGCGATGCTGATTCCGCCTCTTGGTTGTGAATTGATGGGTGACGGTTAGGTGGCTGCGAACGTCGACGCAGGCAAGTTGTGATCGGTTTTAGCGGGGAGTCGACCGAAATCCCAGGTAGCAATGATGACTTGTCGCGGGGCGTCGCCGTGGGGCGTAGGCTGGGGAAGCTTATTGGCAGAGAGCTCTCGTGGCGGAGTCGCCTAGAACGTAGCGCTACGATTGGCTGAAAGGGACTTGAGGCTGCACTTCTTGTGGCACCAGGAGATCCGCACCTTCCAACAATTGCAACTAAAGTTACGGTCGAATTCGCTTCAACACCCCTGGATTGCGAATACTTGAAGTTGGTATTCGGCTGGCCCAGGTGGTCGAGGTGGTCCAGGGCAATGTCGACGTTGTCGGAGTGTCGATCGTGTCTTCACAGGGTCAAAATGACACGCTTCTTTTACTAGATTTGCTTCGCCGGGGTGCTTTTGAGCTATGTAGAACTGACTAGTATACCAAATGGTGGAATGAAATGCTTTCTTGTTATATGTTTGGGCGGCTTGAATGCCTCCGGGGTTCATACGTTTACTTGCTTTCTTGCACCCACTCTGATAATATGTCTCAAGGGTTACTCATTGTGCTGCCTGTTGAAAGCAGTTATGCCGGATCCCAGTTCACTATGGGAAACTGAAAAGCTTCGAGAACCCTTCCAAGTTAGACTATTAACCAGAAACCACTGGATGAAATATTATGTCCTTGTCTATTGTGCATTCCGACAGGGATCACGTTAACTTAACAATGTGTTCCACCAAGATATCGTAGATTGGGTATTCCTCGACACTTTATTTTAGATGCCGGACAAATTACGATGACAAAACCCTAGTAGATGAGTGTAGTTTTACTTTATTTGGGTTATCTGGGTTTTAACTAAATTTTAAGTTGTTCTTATTCCTCGCAGAAGTGAACATTGATGGCTTTATCTTCAAGCCCACCCCTTGGCTACCATTTCAAAACTTCAACGCCGCGCTAAATCACAAAGGTATCTTCCAGCAATGCAAGTGTCCAGAGACAACTGGACTCAAAGAAATAACAGCATCAGTATAAGGCGTAAGACGTCATGGCGTACCGTAACATGCTTTAGGCAGCACGACATGGTGCGACAGACAAAGAAAATCGTCGTGGTCATTATCATCATCATTGCCCTCGACCTCTCATTGAGAGATGCCTAAACCCCCCGCAGTCATATCAATCTCTCCATCCCGTAATTTCCTACACTGATATTCAGTGAAGCTCGTTCGAGAGCCGGCGCCAAGAACCCACCCGGGGATAGGAGGTGTCATCCTCCGCTCCTCTTCTTCGATCGCCTCCGCCAAAGTTGGAGTCATGCGGCCGCTGTCGTAGCTTCCTGACCGGTTGAGAGGACTGGGAGATGATGGCAAACTGCCGCTGCGCATCCGGGTAAGCGACTTCTCGGAGATCGTCCTTCCAGCTTGGGGCGCCGCCACCACTGACGTGCCAGGGGTCGCTGCGGGCGGCGGTGTAGGAGAATCAGACCGGAACAAAGGATGTATGTGTAGCTCGCTTGTTGAGGCATGGGCTGTCAACAAGGGCGGGGGCTTGGGTACCGGGCTGTAGCTTCGACTTCTTCTACGTGTCTTCTTGGGCGGCTCAAGGTCTAGCGCACAACCAGGGCTGGGGCTTCGACTCGTCGTCGGGCTTGCGGGGATTGTTTCCAAGAATCGAGGGGCTGGTGGTGATGAGGTTTCCAGAACCGTTTGTCGACTCTGGGAGTCGACTCCAGACGTATCCCAAGAATCAAAACCATCCTCTACAACACTGGAACGTTCCTGGTTGCTAGTCGACTCAAGGGAAGCAGTTCGCCGTTGTTGGTAGATGCTTCCGGTTCTCGAGCTCATTGAAAGCAGTCGGGTCTTAGATGAGATCGGTCGCACAGCATGAGAGATTGAGGTTCGGATAGAACTGAAAGTACCGGCAACCGAATGGCCGCTGCTAGTGCTGGGTGGGCTTTGGTGATCTGTTACCTGCCATTCTTTGGACTTTGCGCTGGTGACGGTCGTTCGTGTATACGGGATTGATTTGACCCGCATCTGCGGAGTAAAGCGACCTTCTTCCTCGTTACGGCTCGATTGAATCTGATCAGAACCGGACAGTCGGCTGACGACAAAATAGACCACCACAAAAAGAAGTTGGCCGGCAAAAGCGAAACCAAGCCCAACCGCTGCACCAATCAAGAAGTTCAACTCGGGTCCGCCGAGAATCAGCTCGTTCTCCGTATCTTGGCCAAGGATCACCAGTACCACAACCGATGCAGTTGTTGCAACAACACTTCCAACCAGACTCACAGCGAACCAGATGCCAGCTGACCGTTTTGGACGGGACGCCTTGCGAAGGCAGGTAGAAAGAAGAACGGCCAACAGGACAAACATGATGGCTTCGAAGCCAGATGCCACAGCGGCAGCTGTCTGTACCGTCGAGGACTTTCGTGCCGTGCGGGCGTTTGCCACATCCAGCAGAAAGACAACAGCAGTCGCCAGGAGTGCGGCAACACCCAGCACGGCCGGGAGAAGACGAGGCATCGTCATAGTGGTAAAAGTTCGGTCGAGGGTGTTGTCAGCGTGACACGAGAAAAATCACAAGTAGATTGCGTCTTGAAATAGTAACGGGATAAATATTCATGGACGGTCAAACGGAGCGCGCGGTGATTCACGTTTCAAAATGCGAGTGAAAGGGTAGGCCACCCGCTTTTGAGAACCACGGGAGACAAGCGTCGCTTTCGACTATCTCAGACCACTGTGATCCTGGGATGAGAAGAGCGAAATGTGCTTCGCTATACGTCTAGTTCAAAAGGCGTGGCGTGGTTGTTGGCGCAGGAGACGAGTCTCAATACAGGTCGCCGGGTATTGCTAGAGGATCGAGACCGTAGACAAACTCCAATTTCTCCGCGCACACCAATAGACGAAACGCAGTGTCCGATAGAAGTTCGAGAGGGTTTTTGTACGAGTAGCGGTTGAACGAAACGTGCAGACATGGGGTGGGGGCCTGGGGAAGTGTCCAGCGATTTCCGATATAGCGCAATGATGCCAGGCTAGTGAAAGCAGAGCAAGATTGCAGGCGAGAGGGATTGACCGAGAGATAATCAGGATTTAATTTTGAACGAACGACAGAATCTCGGCTGCAAGTGTAGCCGTTCGCTGGGAAATAGAGGTAAGGGAAAAAAGAGTGCGAGAAAATAGTAGCGAGGGACTTGGCGAGGTAAGGCGAAGTGTTGGTGTTGGTGTTGGTTGTAGTGTTTGCAGTATTCGAGCGGACCCGTCAGGCCAAAGTGCATAGAATGCGTATATGAGGGCCGACGCGTTCAAGGTTGAGGTCCGACGCGATCTATGGGAAGGATGCAGCAGATGAACCCTGGTTCCGACTTCCTTCCAGGCCTGGAAACTGGGAATGCTTTGCAGGGATCTGCAAGGTACGGTGCAGGCTGTGGTATTGTAATGGCGTGGTGGTCCGTGGTCAGATTCGGTGCACGAGCCTCGTCTCATCCGTCATCCGTCATCCGGCATTGGGCGCGGGGATTGGCCGGATCGATCTTTGGTTCCTGGGAACTAGTGGAGGCGCAAACAACTTATTGCTCGCTGGGCTGCACTCAAAACTTCGATATGCCAGTCGTTTTCTGCGTCAGTCCTGCTTCTGGTCGTTCTCTCGAGCCGCTTCGTACGCTACGTATGCAGCAGATGGCGTGGGAACTATGGCGAGTTTATTGAAACGGTGTCCCTCCCTTGGTGCTGCGACGCAATCTCGTCGATTGGCTCAGAGTGTCGGGCCAGAGTTGGCGATACTTAGCCCGCGACGACGGAGCCGGGAGTTGTTATTGGCCACCCAGTAATATTGTCTCGAAAAGAGAGTTGCGTCTTGATCTGGTGCTCAAGGTAATAATCGTCAGACAAACGACGGCCAGGTACCTGCAGACAGACAGACGACTTGAAAATGATAGGGTAAAGAATGACTGATGGAGCTGAGCCTGCCAAGCGTTAAAAGGGCGAAAAGAGAAGATATTGAGCAACCAACGGACGGAACTCTGTGTGTTATGTAACACAGCAGCTGGGTGGCAGGGCACCAACTTATCAACTGTTTTGCGATATTTGTCCAGGGCCCCAAGGAATGGAGCTACTTTTAGTCAGGTAGGGCCCGGACCTGCTTCATTTCTTGCAGCCCTTTTAAAACGCAAGGATGTGTGGATTATAGGGACCCAGCCCACATCTAGTCCAGACTCTGCCTAGTCTGTTTCTACAGAGCCTCTAGGGCCGTCTCGCTTCCAAGGTTCCAGAATCCAACAAGGACCATTGTTGCAGATTGGCACTGCGGAGCCGACTTTGCACGTTGTGCCGGGTCGTATTCCGCTGCGGCTGGCGTCGATGCAAAAAAGTTGCGAAAGGAGGCTTCGTTGTCAAGGCCGTGCAACACCGATGGAATGCTCGCGGTGGCATGTTATTCAAGAAACGGCGCACATACTTAGGCATTCGTCATATCATCAGACACCATCAACATGGCTGTTGTCGTTCAACTTGATGGTTTTCGATTTCGCTTTCTTCACTAGTGCTAGGCATTCCTGCTGTCCCAACTGCTATTATCCAGGCCTCTCCTTGCCTCCAAGCCAGCATACCGTCGCTATGTGTAAGAAGACAGAAGGGTTCCTGGGATGGCCCCAGCTGCGACGACGAATTTCCCGTTATCATGGACCCCAGATGCACGAACCCAACGCAGGAACAGCGAAAATGGCAAGTTTGTTCTTCTCATCTTCCCGGGTGATTAAGTTGCTTCGTTCCCTGCAACCACATGTGCACCCAGCAAAATTATAAAGTTCCGGCACTTTTCTTCCAAGTTTCCGGAAAGCAACTCCAGTTCCCCACCCACTAGGAGATGTAGTGCTCCGTATACTCCCCTGTTCTCTAGTCTGCCGTGTTCCAACGGGGATTATGGTTCATCAGGATTGCACCTTGGCTCATCAGCGATTCCTATAATTCCGGGGATAGGCTGCCAGGAAGTTGGTCCATAGGAAGCTGGTACTACGGTTCTGGGAAGGTGATCCAGAATCAAGATCGAACCTTTGACAAAGTCAAAGGAAAAAACATCGCCGTGCTGAAACATGACCTGTTCGTATCATCCTTACCTTGGCTCATTCTCGATTTCCTACACGGCGGCGAGCACGTAGGCACTACAACCTACCATAGTATGCTTGCAAAATTGGAGCCACGGCGCACACCGTCGCAAGCCAGGGCGACCGTGCCTGGGAAGCGAACACAGCCATCCGTCTCAGCCTACCTGTCCAAAGGGGCTCAAAGGGGAAATTTCAAGCAAAGTAGAACAACTTTCTTTTTCTTGGGGGTGGGGAGGCAGGGGAGGTTTGGTGGCATCTCTTGAAAACAACACTCCGAGGCATCTCATGTTTTCTCTCCGTCTCTACATTGGCCAATCAGAGATGATAGACCGCTTGGATCTGTAGCTTTTGCTTCTTCGCTCACCATCATGCTTTTTGAGACATGGCGACATTTCGGAGATGTGCTTGGCGACACGGCGGGGCTTGTGTTGTGTCGTGACAAGATCGGTGAGAATCCGTTGGACGATCCTCGACTCCTCTCATTAAAGTAGCGCACAGCGTGTCCGCAGGTCGCCGCACTTTATGGTCCCACATTCATTCCATTCCTTTTGCGCTCGAGCTCGGAGTGAGACGGCGAAGGGGGTGCAGTGTTGGACAGCTTGGCAACAGGCATCTTCTTGTGCGCAATAAACAGTAATAAGGTTTTGCCGGAGGGCAAGAACAGGCTGCCTTGCTGCGTACACAGTGACAGCCGAGATGGAGACCCGACATCTGTCAGATACAAAAGACGACAGCGGCACTTCATGACCATCCCAGGCAGCATCTATGTAAGGAGATACGACTGGGCAATCTGGCGGTACGAAGCGATCGACAGCTGTTCCGTTACTAGTTGGCGTGCATAGGGGGGCTTGTCGCTTTTCCAATCTAATCCAATCTAACGCTGGGGAGCCAGCTACCTGGGAATCATGAAGGCATGATGAGGCTGCTGCTGCCGAATCTCGTTACGGCTGATATGTGACAGGCTCCTTGTCTCAGGGCTAAGGCTAATAATAAAAGTAGGCTTCGTCAGCCCTCGGTCTTCTGCGTCAAAGCATCAAAGCACACAAATTGAAAAGGGCTAAGGGAAACAAACAAGGCGGTTGACCTCATCTCATTCGTTCCCGGCAGAAGCTTATGGCCGGAAATGGCTACCAACACCAGACAAAGGCGTTTTCAGTCCTGCACTAGCCCAGGGTCGTAAGACCCGGAGCCGCCGTGCCCGGGTTGTTCGTCATAGGGCTTGCAAAGGTCTGTGAGTGAAGTGTGAAGTTGTTATTACAAGATCCTCATGTGGTTTGCAACTTCTGACTCGCTGTCATCTCGGAGACCTCTTCGTAGAATTGCACTGAATTATGGATATTTCGCTCTCACAAACCCTACTCGGAAGAGTGCGTCCACAGTGCCGGGTCACTTGGATGGTGGTTAGAGATATATTATATTCGTCTCCACAACGCATAGGACGTCTCCATGTCTCCATCTGTCTGCGCAGTTTCGTTCGCAGTTTGCCTAGTTCGTCTTGACAGTCTACCACTACAGATGGGCCGCAGGGCTCCGACCCTCTTCCAAGCTGTGTGATTGGTTCGACGTCTGTTCATGGGTCAGAGGGGAGGATCTGAGAGCCGGACTCCGGAACTCAATACACGTTGGGCCAGTCGCTGCCGATTCGTTGCAAACCCAGCAGCTTGTAGTTCATGGTTTATCAACCATTGTTGTCAAAAACAACCCGTTGTCACAACAAACAGCAGTAATACTTTCCGGATATTCCGCGCCACCAAGCGTCGCTTAAGACATATCCGGTGGTATTTGTTCTTCGCTCTGCAACGTCGTGAATCTCTCGAAGTTTCGGATTATGTAATAGGTGCGAGTATCGTTGACCTATGAAGATTTCATCGAGCTTGGTTCATGAGCTGAATTTTCGCCGAAGGCACGAAATCTAGAACCAGACGCGGACTACTGAAGTAGTTCGAAATTCCAAGCTGCAGGAAAAGCGAGTAAAGTCCCCCCTCAATTGGCAAATGGCATCATACAATGGAGAAATGTTGGTGCTGGCTGGTTCCCTTCCCAGCGTTCCATCGTAGGGCACTACCCCACACTCTCAAATATTGGCCGCGGACCGGACGGCTCGGTCGGTAGATCTTTCACCAGAATTCCCGAACCGCAACCCAACATTCGACGGTCATGGAAGTCGATCCTATACGGGAGCCATGCTCGCGTGTTCTGGGGAGATTTCACCCAGCATTCTCCAAATTCCGTGAGGGGAACCACATCTGGCTACCAGATCCCCGGACAGGATCGTCATTATTAGCCAGAATACATTACAGGCTGCTGATGGGAATAGAGGCTTCTGATTGCCGGAAATCCAAAAAGAGAGTCGCATTCGAGTGGATGTGATAGCTCGCCAGTCCTTCGGTGCCTTTCTGTTCTGGATCGTCCGTCTTCCCATTTTCGCATCATTGTGCTGCGAGCAAGGCTTCATTGACCAGGATACTACCGTCCTGTATGTCTTCTGGGATTGCTCTCATAATAAAGCGTGCATGCAGGTCACTCAGGGTGTTTAGTTTATAAGCTAGTTGCGAGCTTGAATGTAAATGCCGTTGCATGCGATACCGACATCCCAAGTCAAGCCATGCGTCTATTCCATCTTGCTGTGACACTCCTCGGCCTCGTTTGGGGGGCCGTCGCGACGTCCAATGGCCTCACCGATCTGGTAACTTGGGATAGTTACAGTCTCAGCGTCAATGGCGACCGGACTTATATCTAGTGGGTGTCCCTTATTTCGAAGCCATATGAGATATTAGCACGGTCACTTACAAGCTCCACCAGCTCGGCCGAGTTCCACTATCAACGTATGCCCGTCCCCGAATTATGGCCAGATATCCTCCAGAAGTTCAAGGCAAACGGCTTCAACGCCATCAGCGTCTACTTCTTCTGGTCCTATCACAGCGCCTCGGAGGGTGTCTACGACTTCGAGACGTCAGGCAAGAACATTCAGCGCCTCTTCGACTACGCCAAAGAGGCGGGTCTCTGGGTCATCGCCCGCGCCGGGCCATACTGCAATGCCGAGACTAACGGAGGCGGACTTGCACTATGGGGCTCGGACGGCAGCATGGGTGTCCTCCGGACAGCGGACGAAACATACCAGGAGGCCTGGCTCCCATGGATCACCCAAGTCGGCGAGATCATCGCAGCGAACCAGATTACCGAGGGCGGACCCGTTATTCTAAACCAGGTCGAGAACGAGTACCAGGAGAATGACCACTCGCCCAACGCGACCGCCGTCTTGCATATGATACAGATCGAGGAAGCTTTTAGGGATGCTGGGATCGTGGTGCCGCTTACGCACAACGAAAAGGGAATGAGGTCGCAGTCTTGGTCGGTGGACTATCAGGACGTGGGAGGTGCGGTTGATATCTACGGCCTCGACAGCTATCCTGGAGGGTTGTCATGCACCAATCCAACAGTGGGCTTCAATGTCAACCGACTGTACTACCAGTGGTTCCAAAATTACTCGTACACTCAACCCGAGTACGTGCCCGAGTTTGAGGGTGGATGGTTCTCTGCTTGGGGTGGTGGCACATTCTACGACCAGGTGAGTTGGTGTATTCGCAATAAGGAGCTATAATACTGACTGATCCAAGTGCGTGGCCGAGCATGATCCTGCTTTTGCAGATGTTTATTACAAGAATAACGTAGGAAGCCTCATCGTCCAGTTTAATCATAATTAATCACTAAACGCCGTAGATCGGTCAAAAGATAACCCTTCACAACATCTATATGACGTGGGGCGGGACGAATTGGGGGCATTGTCAGTAACCCCCCTTGGATAATCTCACCTCGTTCGCTCACCTGTTCCAAGCTGCCGCCCCGGTAGTCTATACAAGTTACGACTACAGCGCGCCCCTCCGAGAAACTCGCCAGCAGTGGAACAAGCTGTTCCAGACCAAACTCGTTGGTCTTTTCACAAGGGTTTCATCCGACTTGTTGAAGGCCGACATGGTTGGAAATGGAACAGGCTATAGTGTAAGTCAACCCTAGGTCCTAAAGTTCCGACCTCAGTATTCTAACACATGCTCCTAGTTGTCTTCAAACGCCGCATTTAGCTGGGTTCTCAGGAACCCAGATACGGGGGCGACCTTCACCGTGGTCCAACAAGCTACGACGTCGTCGTTTAGCAACATCTCGTTTTCGGCCAGTCTCAACACCAGCGCTGGAGCCGTCACGGTTCCAAATGTCGAGCTGTATGGTCGGCAAAGCAAGATTATTACCACAGATTATAACTTTGGCAGCCACAGCCTGCTCTACTCCTCCGCTGACATAGCCGTCTATGGAGTGTTTGACGTGGACGTCATCGTCATGTACTTGAAAGAGGGACAGACTGGTTCTTTTGCATTGAAGAGCGACAAGAAACTGAGCTACAAGATCTGGGGAGCTAGCACTTTCGCGGCAAGCGGCAACAGCACAACCGCTAGCGCTTTCAATTACAAGCAAGCTGCGGGCACGACTGTGGTCAAGTTCCTTAACGGTGTGGTTGCGTACTTACTCGATCAGCCGACCGCATGGAGACTGTGGGCTCCCCCGACGACTCTGGACCCTGCAGTGGCGCCACACGAGCAAATCTTGGTTATTGGACCCTACCTGGTCAGAGATGCCAGTGTGAAGCTCAACACGCTTTACATCAACGGCGATAATGATGACGCTACAACATTGGAAGCCTATACGGGCACCGCTATCGACACTATTGTCTGGAACGGCCAAAGCATCGAGGCACGGAAAACAGCGTACGGCTCTTACAAGGCTGATATTCCCGGTGCGGAATCGAGAGAAATCTCGTTGCCCGCTCTGACAGCGTGGAAGTCGGCCGACTCGCTGCCTGAAGCGCAGCCGGCGTACGACGATTCAAAGTGGAAAGTGTGCGACAAGACCACGACGCGGAGCCCCGTCGCCCCGGAAACCCTACCGGTGCTCTTTAGCTCTGACTACGGATACTATGCAGGCACCAAGGTGTACCGTGGATACTTTGACGGCGCCAACTCTTCGGCCGTCTACATTTCGGCTTCCGGGGGTCTCGGGTTTGGATGGAATGCCTGGCTGAACGGAAAGCTTATTGGCGGCCACCCCGGTGATGGCAGCTTCGCCAATACCAATGCCACTCTGGCACTGCCTTCGTCGGCTCTCAAGGCTAAGGGCAACGTCATCACCGTGGTGGTGGATTATCACGGCCACGATGAGACCTCGACGGCAAAAGGTGTCGAGAATCCGCGCGGAATTTTGGGCAGCTACCTTCTCCCCTCTGGAACCGCCCACAACACGGGCTTTACCCTCTGGAAAATACAGGGGAACGCTGGCGGCGATGCAAACATCGACCCCGTTCGAGGCCCGATGAACGAGGGCGGTCTGTACGGCGAGAGACTCGGCTGGCATCTGCCCGGCTTCAACCCCAACTCCAACTCCAACTCCAGCTCGTCCAAATTTGACGCCTCGGGCCCCACAACTGGCCTGTCCAAGTCCGGCATCCGGTTTTACGCCACTGACTTCGAACTCGACCTCGACGATGATCTCGATGTGCCCCTGGGCGTTGAGTTGCCATCGCCGGCTGGCACCGTAGCCCGGGTTATGATCTGGATCAACGGCTATCAGTATGGAAAATACGTTCCACACCTCGGACCGCAGACGAGGTTCCCCATCCCGCCGGGCGTCATCAACAACAAGGGAAAGAACACGATGGTGCTTAGCCTGTGGGCGCAAACGGAAGAAGGGGCCAAACTGGACGAGGTGAAGCTGTTCAGTTACGGACAGTACCAGACGAGCTTCAAGTTTAGTCAGGACTGGAGCTATCTGCAGCCTGGATGGGAAAACCGCGAGCAGTATGCTTGACTTGGCGGTCGTTGAATTGGCGAGACGCCTCGTAGTTGTCGTCGGGTTCTTGCATGTGATACAGAAAGAAGCCAGGGTATTACGTGCGCTAGAACATAGTACAGAGTAGTGTAACAGAAACCAATGCGATCCCCAGATATGAGCATGAGTTATTCTTGATGCCCGGCGGTATCCGTCGTGTGCCAACACAACGGCATATCTCTTATCATCGGTGAAGCGCAGCCAAGCTCTACGACTCAAGTTCTACGACTCAAGAACTCACCTACGCCGCGTACAACTTCCCGAAGCAGTAAGACAAGACAGCGGCATCATCCCCAATCCGCATGGTGGGGTTCGCGATACCGACCGTGGAGGAGCAGCTCCCCAAAAACAAAAGCCGCCAACTAACCCCTCCACCCGGGCCCCCCGGGAAAAAAAATGTGATCGAGGATGATTTCCAAACGGCAGCGCTCGGGATAAGTAGACCAGTCGCTCAAAGAGGCAGCTACACGCGGACACCTTCAGGTACCACAGCACGACGTACGGCAAGCTACCCCGTGGTTGCCTGGGTATCCCCGGCCCGGTGTGGTCATGTATCGTTGTACGGAGAGCCGAAGGCCGCTGACGTACTAGAGCTGGATCCGGTCTACACCAGATGCCCTATCAATGTCCACGATCATGACCCCGCAAAAGCTTGACTTGCTGCTGTTTGGAATGGCTGGGTGAGCCCCTCGCCCGCCGTCATGGCATGATAAGGCCCCTCTTCATTACCTCTAGATCCCCTACAAGGTGTGCTCCAAGCCCGTCCTTTCGTCCCATCACTGTCCTTGTCAACCGAAGGTGTCCGGTGTGTGTTTAAACTCAAAAAAGCCCCAAGCCCAGGAAAAGTTTGCTGAACCAATCTTGCGCCAAACCTTCGTCCGATTCCCATTCGTAATTACTTTTAGGACCGAACTTCATTCGTCGCTGCTTCCGTCAGACAGGTAGTCGAGTACAAACCACAAGTCCCACGACTGCCCAGGAAAGCAGGTCTAGCCTGAGAGCAAGCAGGACTTCCTACACCAGAACCATGGCCGCTCTTCGTCAAAATGGCTTGCGGCCATTTTTGGTCGCTGGGAAGCGCGTTTCTACCGCCTCAGCTGCCAGACAAAGCCTCTCCCAGACTTTGACGCGGCAAACCACACTCTTGAGCACCAGAATGGCTTCCACCTTCTACGCCGGCGAGCCTGAGGGGCCGTCCCTCAAGACGGAATCGATCCCAGGCCCCAAGTCCACGGAGCACCTGACCCAGCTGGACAAGGTGTTCGACACCCGGAGTGTGAACATGCTTGCCGACTACACCAAGAGCTTCGGCAACTACATTGTGGACCCCGATGGCAACACTCTGCTCGACGTGTGAGTTCACTTCGTCATTTGCCCCCATTGCGCTGAACCCTGTGGGCTAACAAGCGGCCAGCTACGCGCAGATTGCTTCCATCCCCGTGGGTTACAACAACCCCGCCTTAATTAAGGCTGCCCAGACGCCCGAGATGATCCAAGCCCTCGTCAACCGCCCGGCGCTAGGCAACTTCCCCTCGCACGACTGGGCGTCCATCCTCGAGACGGGTGCCCTCAAGGTCGCACCCAAGGGTTGCAACCAGGTCTTCACCGCCATGGCCGGCTCCGATGCCAACGAGACCGCATACAAGGCCGCCTTCATGTGGCGGCGGCAGAAGGAGCGCGGTGGCCCCACGGTCGAGTTCACCGAGCAGGAACTGAACTCGTCCATGAACAACCAATCCCCAGGCGCTTCTCAGCTCTCCATCATGTCCTTCAAGACGGCCTTCCACGGCCGCCTTTTCGGTTCCCTCTCCACCACTCGTTCCAAGCCCATTCACAAGCTCGACATCCCTGCCTTCGACTGGCCTCAGGCAACTTTCCCTCTCCTGAAGTACCCGCTCGAGGAGCACGTTGAGGAGAACGCCAAGGCCGAAGCCGATTCCCTTGCTGAAGTCGAGGACCTGATTAAGAACTACCACCTGCCGCCTTGCGCTGTCGTCGTCGAGCCCATCCAGTCCGAGGGGGGTGACAACCACGCCTCCCCCGCCTTCTTCCGTGGCCTGCGTGAAGTCACCAAGAAGCACGGTGTTCTCCTCATTGTTGATGAGGTCCAAACTGGTGTTGGCGCGACCGGCAAGTTCTGGGCCCACGACCACTGGGACCTGCCCTCACCCCCGGACATGGTCACCTTCAGCAAGAAGGCCCAAACAGCCGGCTACTACTTTGGCAACCCGGAACTGCGCCCGAACAAGCCCTACCGCCAGTTCAACACATGGATGGGCGACCCGGCGCGCGCCCTCATCTATCGCGCCATCATCGACGAGATTGAGCGCCTGAATCTGGTCGAGCACACGGCCAAGGTGGGCGATTACCTCTACGGCAAGCTTGAGGCACTCGCCGCCAAGTACCCAGGCGAGTTCGCCAACCTGCGTGGCAAGGGTTTGGGCACCTTCATCGCCTTCGACAACCCCAAGCGCGATCAGTTCCTCGCCAAGGCCAAGAAGTTCGGCGTCAACATCGGCGGCAGCGGCGTCAGCGCCGTCCGCCTGCGGCCCATGCTCATCTTTGAGAAGCAGCATGCGGATATCCTGCTTAAGACGTTGGAGAAGATTGTTACCAGCTGGTGAGAGACTGGCGCAAGAGACGGGAATAATATAAAACGAAAAGTAAAGAAATTAAAGGGCTTCATCTGATAGTGGAGGCTTGCGTGTAATTTGCTGTGCTTCAAAGAGCGCAGGTTGGTTTAAGCATCTGAGGACCGGCTGCTGGTTTCTAGGAGCTGTGTGTTTGCTGAAAGACTCCGAGTTTGGGACGTGGGGGTGACTTTGCTTATAGAGGCTAAATAAAGTATCACAGGAATGGCATGTAATGACAATGACCTTTGAAGACAGCTTCCTAGCTCAATAGATGTGGGTAGCTGTGATTGACTTATCTGTAACATATCACTCCTGTGAACCCGTGGACCTTGAAGTCATGCCTTGGTTCATCTTGCCTCTCTTCATCCCCAAGTTCTGTATGAGCTACATGGTCGATGCCGGCATCTCCAGAGTATCACATATGTGATATTTAATTTCATCTGCTTCTGTTGCCGCATTGTATTAACTAGCTAGTTAGGTCGCTAACCTCAGATTCGCCATGCAAGACTTCGAAAATCAGCCTTGCCATCATTTGGATCTCTACTTATTGTAGATTCCCTCCACGGCTACTTACAGGTAGGTAGGCGCACAACCTTTCCATCAAAACCTACGAGTCAATGGGCATCGACACCAAGCCCACCAGACGTGCACTTCCAGAACGCCGCATGCTGGTCGCGTAGGTTAGTTGGCAAGCAGACAGACTGTGAATCCCCTTCGTATTCTTCGCCTTTCGTTTTGAAATGCATTCCAAACATGCGATGCGCGCAGTATGCGTAACTTAGAGCAACTCATCAAATGACTTCGCTGTGTCCCCATGCAAATCCATTTGCCATTTGTTTAATACAGAAAAAAGAATAGTGATATAGTACTCCACAGACTATGGTTGACAAAGCACGAGATGACTGTATGCATGCCACGGCCGGGTTCGCTTTTAGGGAAAATAAAAAGGGGGCAATATGCTAGAGTATTTGTACACACACGATCCGGGGAGGAAATCTGGTTCCCCTTTTTCGTTCCAATGGTATGTAGGGTGGATGATGTCTTGACATGTTCAGGGATGGGTTGGCGGTGTTATTCCCATCATTCGCCGCAGCTGCACCGCTGTGAGTCCTGCCCTGCCTGTCCCTCTCCAAAACCTGCAAGGGATATATGCCTCTGCGTTGGGCATGGGTATCAGTTGAGGTGAGCTCATGTCTAATGGCTCATTAGCTCCTGCTTTCTGCCTTGACCACTGTGCTGTATTCCACCTGCGCTGCCGTCATTACTTCCGTGAGCACCCAGGGAGCCGTTGGCGCCGCCACTGATGCTGTCATTCACCTCCTTGCTGTCCTGTTGCTCCCTCTCAAAGTCGAGCATGTTAAGCTCGTTTTCTCGTTCAAGTGCAGCTTCTTGGTCGCGCAACTCCTCCGCAGCACGCTGGGCCTCTTCATTCTCGAGTATCAAAGCCTCTTCTTGTGCCAGCAGAGCCTGTTCTTGTTCAGTCATTTCCCCATCCACTGCGCTACCAACCTCGGGAGGTGGCGGAGGCGGAGGCGGTGGACTAGGTACATCACCCTCGTCCTCCTTCAGCCGCTTCATTGAAGGCGTCTCGGATGGTGTTGCGCTGGTCGAGACAGTATCGTCTTCCCGCTTGCGTTTTCTATCGGAACTGCCGGGGGTTGAGTTTATATCCTCATCGTCCGTCAAGATGACCTCAGTATCATCCTGTACCATGGACAAATCAACTGCAGCATTTGAGCCGAGGGGACCACTTGATGCATCCCTTGCAACTCGTTCGGCCTTCTTCTTCTCATGTGCATTGTACTTTGTCACAGCCTTGTCGAAAAACTCTTTGACATACTTCTTCACCTTCTTTTCCTGTTTCGAGGAAATCTTGGTCGGGTCTTCGACACGCTTGTTCTTGTAGTCTGAGGAGACGAGTTTCTTGTTAATGTCCTTAGCGAACTTTTTCAAGTCCTCTTTTGGAAGCTTATGCCGGAATTTGTCTACAACATACTTCACGGCGGGATAAAGCTAGCAAGCAGCCATTAGTCTTTGTGCACCACAATGGCTTTCCACGCAACTCACAGTGTTCTCGTAGATCTTCATCTGCTTGTCAATCGGCAGAGAACGCCACTTTTCCTTCTTTGGCTCCTGTACGGGAGTGCTGATGTGCTGGGGGGTCTGCGACGCAGAGGTCCTCAGTGCATTAGCGCTGTCAGGCTTGGTGAGAGAATCGATAATATCTTGGAGTGTCTTCTGTTCCTGCATTGCTTTGGATGGGCCTTTTGAGGTGCCTGCATCGGGAGCAGGCATCGTGGGCTTTTGCCATTGTGTAGCGCCTCCCTTGGTGTAGTAATACCAACTGCCTGTCTTGTCAGTAGCTATGAACCAGCCCGCTGGGAGAGTCGAAGGATCCGGTGGTCGGCGTTGTCGTTGGGTGTTTAACAAAGTGGCATTGCGCTGCGGAATGCTACTGCGTGGACCTTTGGGGACATTATCGGGCAGAGGAACAGAAGCGACAGGCTTGATTAAAGACTCTTCGGGGCGGGTGCCTCTGCGGTCCTCAAACCAGTTAGAGGGTTGTGTAGTGGCTTTGCCTGGGGCAAAGCGGGAGATTCGGTAGCCGACCGCTAGCTTGCTCCATTCGTCAAGCAATTTGCGAGACACCTCAGCAACATCTTCGTGCTCCGAGTCGGCCAAGGGGCGAACTGCAAGCTCAATCTGTGAAGAGTCGATTTTGTTTCTCGTTAAGCGGGGAAATTTGTAGAGGATATCGAGGACTTGAAGCACCACGTTGTAGTCCTCCTTGAATTTGTTCAGTGTGGTTTTGAGAAATTCGTATCCGTGCATCCGCATGACATAGGGGAGTAAGCGCTCGTCGCATGTTTGAATGCGCTCCAAGAGCTTGACGGCAATCCACTTTTCCTTGCACTGCATGAGCGTGGCCATGACTTTCTGAACGCCCTTTTCGTCGAGACCACGGGCTTGTACGCTGTTGACATATTCTTCATCATCCTCGCCGGCCTTTTTCTTGCGGGGCTTCTTGGCCACCACGGCAATCGTTGTGTCCCAACTATCGCCATCGTCAATTCCAAGAGCTTCAATGGTAGCATCAGACAGCTTAGTTGCGCGTTCGGTCTGGGTTTTGCCTCCAATGAAGCCTATGCAGTTGGACTCGCCACAATAGCAGGGCTGCGGGTCGGCACCGTAACGGTCAACATTGTAGTTGAACACCAGCTCCTCACCAGCCTGGATTTTACGGCCTGCAAAAATGCCCATGCGAAGCTTGTTTTCCACCACCCATTTGTCCACATAGCAGTTGGGATTGCAGGAATGGTTGCAAAACCGTCCCAAATTGCCCTTTTTGGTGGCATCAACAAACTCATGCTTAGTTAGTGACATAAAATAGAAGTGTTTGATGCCTTCCTTGTCATATTGGATCATCCGCCGTCGGAATGTCGGCTCATTTATGACTTCGCCGATGTATTCAAAGATAAAGTCGTTGGCTTGCAAATCTCTGTTTGCTCGGAGTCCAAAGCCTTTCTTCTCTGTCTTAATGACTGAGACGTCGGCATATTGTCTTCGCTGAAATCGTTGATTTTGGCAGCCGTCGCCACAGTTGCACTTCTTGTCAACACATTCCATCTTGGTGACGCGGTTGATGCAGTCCGAATCTTCACCGCACGCATGGTTCATGCCATCACCTAGAGAGCGGTCTGGTCAGCACGGCGTTTGCACACCACACATGGGGGCAAATCATGACATTTCCAAGGTTCACCTACGCCATTCTTCGCTGCAGTCGCAATCCAGAGTATCGTGCTCAGTGTAGCCGAGCGCCTTCGCACCATAGACGCAGTGCGGTATAATCTGGAAATGATCGCAGGATTCTTCAGTCACATCGGGCAAGTCGTCGAACAGAGCTACCGGCCGTGGAGCCATTTTCTGTGATGCTTTTCGTGATGGTTTAGGGTGTTGACCTATGTCGGGGGTTGAGACGCTGTCGCTGCGTTCTTTCCGGTCTTCGGGGGACGCGCTTGGGGAATGTGATCGCGACTCCTTGCTTCGATCAGAGCTGGATGGTACGCTATCCCTCTCCTTGACTTCAGCAACGGTATCTTCCAATGGCGCCGGGGCGCCATTTTGGACACTGAGGCCCTCCAAACCATCTTTTACACGTTCTTCGTCCTCCATCATGGCAACCACGGTATTGTGACCTCTGAGGTCGTCTCACTATTGCACCTGATGCAGTTTGAGAAACCAAACCCCAAGTGGTTGGGCTAACTATTGATCAGAGGACCAGGGTGGGATTCGGCAGAAATCAGCCCGAGGGAAGGATGTGGATTAGATGAGGGATTGAGTCCGATAGACCAGAGAGACGCGACGGTAGCTTCGAGGTTGCGCCCATGTGGAGAGCTGGTGTGGAGGAGGAGATTGATTCAAAAGGCTGCTCGGTGGTGAAAGATGGGGGACGACGAGCCAGTCTTGCAGACGGATGGGACTATCTGGCGCGTGCTGTTCGTGGCATTGCAGGCCCGTTGCAGGTCAATTGAAAAGACAAAAGTATTCTTGCGACAGTGCCAAGCACTCGCTGTTTGCCAAACAGCTATGCTGACAGTTGAGTGCTGGTCGTGGAAAAAAATAGTGTAATGGGATTGGGAATCGCCAAAAGCTGGAGATGCAAGTGCAACTTCCTGCCCATCATGATGGATTCGTCCATTGATACTCGGCTAAACCCCGGTCTCCACGGGGACGCTAACTGCAACCTCCGATCCTAGGATGGCACCACGAGAGTGGGCAATAATGGGACGCTTCGCTTGAATAAAATGTTCCACTGAACCCATCAGCTTATGAACAGCTAGAATAGCATCTACCAATTGAAGTATATATGCCTTTGGGTAAACTGAGTCATGAAATAGAAGTCAGAATTTCATGCTTGATCTGGAGTAAGCTACTGGGTAGCGCAATATGTGCTTATTTTGTGAATTATTTCTGCATTCTTCCGAATGGATAGCATGTATGCCATGTGCGCAAGGAATGTCTGCAGTGTAGTTATTCGCCACGGTACTATTGTGCGCACCCTTATAGATTGTACCTGAACAACCTACCTGAACAGAGTTAAGAATGAAAGAGTAAGTGAGGAACTTAAAAGTACTTTTAAGTATCCAGTCCTAAGCAGTACGAGTTCAGATCACTACCAAGGGAATACTACTACTCTCTATAGACTCACCTTTGAAGCGGTAACTTTGCAGTTGGTATTTTTGACATTCTGACATGTGCAGATAGCGCCATTGGGTTCAAAGCAATTGCTGGCTATGTGCTTCAGTAGCTAAGATGAGAGGTTAGAAGATGGTGGCAAATGGATGACAAAACAAACGTCACACCAAGCGTGTAATAATATTGGATGACCAATATTCCAGTATATTTAGGCAGTGAATATCTATAACCGGGCTATTTCACCTAGGTGCACTGTTTATTCTATCCCCCTCTTGGGAGTCTTGAGCGGCATGGGAATGCTCGACAGTTTCACAAATTCCTACGACCTGAAAATGAGGACTATGCCAATTGTACCAATCACTACGTGAGTAGGATACGAGCAATTGCAAATGGATGCCCAAACAATGCTTTATGTGAGCTGCAAGCTTGACACCCCCGTCCGGCCGACCCAGAAAGCTGGAAACGGGATTTGTAGATGCTCGGAATGAATGCCAGCTCCAATCGTAGACTGCCAGCGCATCGCAGTAGTATATCGCCATGATGCACCCATGATCGAGACACCTAGCATGCCGGCTATTCAGCATCACAGTAATCGGCCTGGGAGCCATTGACACATCGGCCAGAGTGGGGCCGGAGAAGATGCCAACTCACTGTGCATGTAGAGTCTGGAAGTCGGGTGTTGAAAAGGCGGTATGTCAGTCGGCTGGATGGTTTATATAAGGAGAGCCTGAGAGCGCGTACTGAAGCTGGTCCTTGGGACGCAACGCACGACCTCGCAATTTCAACACCATCAATCATTTTCCATATCCCTTCGAACCATGTTATATATTCCCGAGATGGGCCAGTCTCTGGGCTTGCGGCTCGTCATATGTGACGAACGCATGATCTGTGCTTGTCACCGGCTTGTGAAAATCCTCAAAGCGCTTGGGCGGTATGATTGGCGAGCTTCCAGTGAATCTTGACCACTCAAACAGACCGATACCAAGGGCTTGAGAGGACTCAAGGGCTGCAAAGCCAGCGAAGCAGCGGAAAACTACCAATGAGATGCAGGGCCTCTTCCCAAAAGGAACCCCAAGCACACGGGAGCTAGTTGGATTGTCAGTTTCAGCCCAATGCTTATTCTCCACGGTCTTGGTATTTTTCTTTGTCTTTTGGTGACTATTTGACGAGCTATGAGAGGTGGAGGGGAGGTTATCCAAAGTTGGGTGGGGACAGAGCAGCACAACACGACACCTGCAGACAGAAACATCGGAGCCTTGCTTGGGCGGAAAATGACCTGGTGCAACAGAATACGATTTGATGTGTGAAGGTGGTCCAGTTTTCTTTGCCAACAACGCAATATTATCAAGTCAGGCGACCCAATCTGTCCAAGTGGTCAGCGGGATTGGCTTATTGCCAACGAATTTGACGACTCAAATGTATTGCGCATCTGCAAGCGGAGGAAGCTGCATATCGTCAGTCCACTAGCGCCCTGGCCGGCATGCATTCCAGCATATGACCCGTGGACTTATTGACTACTGGCGGCAGGACTGCAGGACTGCCAGACTGCAATTGACCTGTAGCCTCACAAAACTCGAAGGGCAACCCCCCTCCAAGCTCTTGCCAAGCTCAGAGGTTAGCCAGATTGGAGTTAGAACGAGGAGTGAGGTGCCGACGTGAAGATTCGGGGACTCTTGTACTTTTTTATGGCAAGCCGAAGCTTTGAGCCGCAAGACATTCATTGTCCATCTGTCCTGGCCGAGGGAATTCGATCCGGGCATCATCAAAACAATCTCGGTTTCCGATCAAGCCGCTGAAGACGATCGGAGTTATTTGGAGCTGGGAAACCCTGAAAATCTGGGTAGAAGTGAGAGCTCTCAACCAGTTGAATAGCAGTGGCAGTAGCACAGACGTTGGAGATGGATGAAGTTGGGCAAGTTTGATGGTACAGACGTCCCCAACCTTAACAATTTTATCCAGATTCAGCATCCCTACCACTGGACCCTGCAAGTGGTGCTAATAGCACAGAAAAACAACCTTCCGCACGCTACCCCTTGCGGAGGCAACCTCGGTCCTTGGAGTGCAGCACGCCGTCGCAACGACTACGGTCTACGGCCTACCTCCTGTTCTGTCTCTGTACCACCATTCGTTCCTTAGACATAACAGGCACACACTCGTTTTGCGCCTGGTGGGAGCTGCTTGGCCACGACGCGCGCTTGGTGGTACCTTTTTTGCGCGCATCTTCGAACCGTGGGGCTTTTGAGCGGCATTCTTTGACCCCCCCTCCTTGCCTCCTTGCCTTCTTCGGTCCCATGACACACCTTAACTGCCTTGTTTGCGCAGCTTTCCCTCGCCTAGCTATCACTGCCACCCGGAGGCCTGGTCTTCAAGTAAGGTAAACGGGCCACAGCCGCCTCTGTCACCAGGTGCTATTACGGCGACATAACCAACCCAAGAGACGGATAGACTCTGCATTTTTCTTTGTCTTCTTCAAATGACTAACTCGCGAGTTTGCTGGTGGATCCCTTGTCTCTCTCAACGCGCGGAATCTACTCGGTACGCCCCTCGGCAACAGCACGTTTCGCCATGGAAACCACCTTCTCAGACACGGAAACGGTATGTCTGAACCCGCCCAGTTGCACTGATAGCCTGGCTTTAACCAGCTTGCAGCGCTTCGTGCTTGGGGAGATGATCAAAGCTAGCTCGATAGATGTGCCTCTGCTGGCCGAGTTCATCAAGATGCATAACGTCGAGCAGAACTGGATGTATATGCAGCTCCCAGCCGGTATGCCCCACTGAGGTTTCCAACGCTATCCGAGCTGACCTGTACAGGTCGCAACATGTATCAATGCATTGGCGCAGTGGAAAAGATGATTCCAGTGCACATACCTCCTCTTCCCAACCCGGAGGGCTTGAAGCGCAAGTCGATTAGCGATCTAAGCGACCAACCCATCAAGAGACAAGCCGTTGTGGGCCCAATCGAGCCGGCCATACCTCCGCGCATCATCCAACCGCGGCCTCCTCCCCCCAATGGCTATCTGGCTACCGCGCCCGCCAGCAGTCCATCGGTCACCAGCACGGGCAAGAAGCGCGGCAGACCTTCGAAGGCAGACAAGGAGGCTCAAGCTCGGGCATGTTACTCGAGGTCAATTGAGTATCCGCCCATAACTCCAGCGCCTCAGGCGACATCCATGGCCCTTGCGCCTCAGCGCGACTACGCCTCTTCCCCTGGTTACGAAATCGCGAGCAACCCCCTGGAGCAAAACTCCAAGAAGCGAGCACGACCGAGCGCGAGCGACTACTCACCAGCAGCTGCATACCCACTAGCTTCACCTGCGTCGACAACGGAAACCCCGCGCGCACTTCCCGAGCCCATTGAGCTGGTAGAGCAAGCGACGCGGTCACCTCGCGATCACCCCCAAGATTTGAGGTCTCCTCGTCAACCGCAGCTACAGCAGCCTCCGCAGGCGCCATCGATGCAAGCACCTCGACATCCCCAGGCATACGAACAGTATAGAGGTCCAGATCCCATTTTTCCCGACAGAGACAGGTCTAGGAGTGCATCTGATCATATCCCGAGAGAGGCACCAGCGGCGCCACCTATGACGAATCGAAGCTAGAAAACCGAGGTCTCTCCTTTCTACATAACGTCTTTCCATTACCATGTTTTACTATCTACATCTTGGCCCGTACAGGAAGACTCTTGTTATATGGCGCAGAGCCACGGCGGTTTATCATTGAAGATTTGGCCTTCTCTTCTCGCCTTCATCCGGCATGTGACGGCATCTTTGATGCTGGGGCGGTTTGTGACCGAGCTGATACAATGTCTCATCTGTTCGGCTCTGATTTATTTCTTTCTCAACCGCTCAATCATCTCGTTTCTACGCTCGGCAAAACAAAATGAAGATGGGGCTCATGTGGCGGCTAGTTTCACAACTTTCTTTCTACAGCGTCTGGAACACGGCCCAGTTACTTGGAGGAACTCTGCCATTTTTACAGCATTTACACAAATATGGTTCATGCTACTGGCACGTGATTATGATATGTCGTTTCTGGCGCTGTGAGAAATTCCATTCGTACAAAAAAAGACTTTTGGGAGGGGCGTTTATATGGGAGAACGGACAGGGGAAATGATGAAATATACCGATGTATGTACGACTGCACAAGCCTGCCCTTATATGATTATCACGTCAAACTAGCAGTTTCATCGTGCCTTGGATCTCCCGTTTGATTTTGATTGTTGGATGCTAGGGGCTCTGTGGACGAGACGACTAGGAGGCGGTTGCGACTGAAGGTTCAAGCAGCCAATCGTGAAAGGCCAGAAGGTGGCAGTCCTATAGTGCCATGAACATCGTGAGCCGATATGGCTGCTTGGTTATCAGAGGTTTACAAGACATGCGAATACAAGTTGATGTTTCGTATTGGTTGTGTGAGTTGGTCGAGTTGATCGATCACGAACTTAGCTTTATCAATGATCTTGAGGGGTCTGTTGGGGGCGCTCAAGAGCTCAACTACAACATATCAGCTTGATTGACTGGCAATTGGCCTGACCTGAGATTTCCAACGGGCATGTCAATAATCCTTCGCATAACATTCAACTCACACCTTTCCATGGCGCCGCAAGTCGCCTATGAATCAAACTAAACACCTGAAGTATTTAGGCTTGTACAAGTGAGATATGAGCGACCCTGCTAAACGAACAGGACAAACTATACAACATGAACCCCCCTCCTCCGCCCGTCCCCCCCCTCTCTCCTGACACTATGAGCAAGGTGTTCAAATCCTAATCAAGCCCTCAACTCAATAATAGTGCTCCACTTAGGCCATAGTGGAGATAATAAACATCAATAACAGCCTCTCTTTCAACATCAGATAAAGTGTTAATAGATCTTGGTTAGTATAGTGGTCAGTATACCAGCTTGTCATTTCTATTCGTTGAATAATTGATGACATTTCGCTGGGGACCCGGGTTCAATTCCCGGACCGAGAGCACTTTTCTTTTTAAAATTTGGTTCTCCATGTCGTTCGAAAAAAGGAGTGCCAGTAGGGATATTGCGGGTTGTCTTTTTGGTGCATCTGATTGAGCCATGTATACATACCGATCGATGGTCAATCACTGCGGTAATTGATTACGAAAATGGCAGCCCGCGATATGTTTCGTCATAGCACCCGAGATTGACTACGTTTAGACTTGCTGTGTTGATCCTTCTACCTGGGTGGGGGGGCTGTGTAATTATTTCCAAGATTTTCTCTATATCTTTCAAGATCGCGTTTGCAGCATTCATGATGTTCTACTCCGTACTCGACTTGCACTCCAGCTACCTTTACCGAGATATGGGAGACAAGTTGAGATAAATCCTGCAGAGGCCTCGAACGCTTATGCAAATAGATGCAGCAATACCATACGTTCCTTATTTACTTCAACGCAACATGAAGCCGGCGGCTGGTGAGAAAAACATAGTATTGTGGCTGCAGGCTCAATAACTCAATCTCGAAAATTCACAGTCCGAAATCATGCGCGGAGAAAAGTCAAGACCCACGATGCGGGTGGGTTACTACCCGTAGCCCTGATGCCCACAAACTATACTCATTTACGAACAACTCTTTCCACGAACCAACATTTGACTAGTTGCTCAGCAACATGAATCACAGCTCGGTTAGCTCAGTTGGTTAGAGCGTCGTACTAATACCTCCCTTGGGACATATTAAGTAATGCGAAGGTCATGAGTTCAACCCTCATACTGAGCAATGGATATTTTTGTCTTTTCAAGACTAACAGTGTCACAGAACATCTGTATTTATTTTTTGGTCATCCTTCTTGCCTAAACACTTTGAGATGATTTTATATTCACGTGTCGAACTGTTCGGATCATACATCGCACAATCAGCGCATATTCATATCTCTTGGCCCTTATCTCTCTGAGTATTGGTGTGTTGCGAACGGCCCTTGCAAAAAGCCTGAGGGACTATTCCGAGCACATGATGAATAGGTACTAGATGACCCTCACCAGATGCGCATCTCTGGTAGTGTCGATATAAGACCTGTGGGATATACATGTCTTGACATGGCAATGTTACTATGCGATTTCATAGCTTCAATGGTTCGTAACATGTGCTCCGGCTACGAGTCTGATCCTACTCGTCACCGGATGATTCATCATCCTGGTCCCTTGATCGCTTTTTGTTCTTTTTCGGATCTGGTTTGGGACCTTCCTCCTTCCGGACGAAGATGTAGCTTCGAGCAGCACGTTCTTCTCCCTTCCAGCCCCCTCCGACTTCGCCAGTCTTGCTCCTCACCACGCCAAGTGTCCTAGTATGATGATAACCCGGGTATGCGCTAGCCTGAAACTTGAAGCTACGCTCGACCTGCAACCCGCTGTGTCTGGCAAGATCGCGAATATTCCAGAGCGTGTACGGCTCGCCCTCGAAGAGTGTGACGATGATCGAACCACCGGGGGCGAGAGACAGCATCGCGCGGTTGAAGAACGACACAAGCATTTCTTGATTGTACCGCACCTGTCGATTGACGTCGGTGCTCTTGCCGCCAACATGCGGGAAGTTGAATATGATCCTGTCCATGTTACCAACAGTATCTCTGTCCTTCTTGACGCCGAACGGTCCCATCTTTGTAGCGTCTATATTATAGATAATTTTGCCATCCTCGGCCTCAATTCTGGCGATGTTTTCCTCGACGTGTGGATACTTTTCAGATAGCTCCTCGAGGCTCTTCTCCAGAACGGTGGCGGTGACATCGGCGCAGTAGTGGTGCTCGATGAGAGACGCGGCGAAACTCAGGTCGCCCTCGCCAACTAATAATATCTTGTCTTCGGGGGCGAAGGGGATTATGGGTTCGGAATGCTGCGCCTGTTGCCGGGCCGGCGTCGCACCCGAGGGCTTCTTCTTCGGGTTGGCATTGTTGGCGTTGGCACTGGAAGTCTTCACCTTGGGGCCGCTGTTCCCTGGCGGCTGCCGTGGTTTGGTTGGGTGTTGCGCCAATTTGCGCCGCTTCCCGCCCATTGTCACCACCTTCGCAACGATAAAGGTGTCACTACAAGGGCATGATCAGAAATAGGTTCCTGCCAGGACCTGCAATCAGGGACACGACGTTGGAAACTGTGCGTGCGTGTGGCCGGAAATGCAGTGATGTCGGCGGTTCGGAGTGTGAGACGATGTCGAGCTATAGCATCCAGTTCTTTGCAGCAACAACAAAAAAGTTAGGTCCCGCCTCGATGGAGCTGTCCGGGCGGCAAGGGCTGTTCGGGGGGCGGGCCAGGGAGCAACGGAGGCTAGTCTGCATTTAGAATTATGGACTGGCAGGGGTTCCAGGAGGCCACTGGAGATCTTCCTTCGTCTCACAGACCCTGGGTTGTAATTGGGACTTTTTGCAGGTCCTCGCATTGATGTATCGATACTTTACGGGGTTGTTCGGGGATCAAGTCTTGTTGTTACTCATGGGTCTGCCCACATGCGGCCTTTGTGATCGACAAGTGAACCAACAGACCATCCATCAATATTGCCAGCACCAACAGCATCAGATACTCAGCAGCACAATTTACTGCTTCTGGATATACAGACAATCGCCGAGTAAAGCCATGCATGTGCATTTTGAAGCCTAGCTCAGATTAAGCTGTGGTGTGCTCATGTTAGACGGTGTGCAATTTGCTGCAAAGACTGTATTTTAAGGAGGCGAGTTGTGTCGTCTACGTGTCAACAAAGGGCGGACAGGGAACGAAATGATGGATGCAAACATCGACTTCGGGGTTCTTTCATCTGATCGGGATACGTGATGCAATAAGCATCACCGGCCCAGCAAGGTCATGCCGTAGAATTACGAACACCCAAGTGTGATGCAGAGGTTGTCTTCGAGACTTTCTGTATCGCTTGGCACAACTCCACTTACAAGCCAAAAGGGTGATTGAGCAACTAAGTTGTGTTGCTACGAAGTACCTGGCTCTCTGGACGGCTTGGAGCTCACAGCCTGTAGGGTAGACTATCGGAGTGTCACTTGCTAAACCATCATCATGCATCAACTCAGGTGGCCAAGGGAAGGAAAATCCTATTAGTTAGGGTTCGTCACATTGAATACAAGAGTTGAAGTCGGCTTGTAGGCCTGTCAAGTCATAAGGCCGGCGTCTATTAATTGTCAGCTGCGTAAATAGTCAAGCAAGTACCGATACTTAAGTGGGGTCACGTGCGGTCGGCCTCTAAGGACCAATGAAAACTCACAACGATGCTGAAGCCGCAGTGACTTCCCAATCAGTCTGGCAGTGCTGTATTGTTCTCTGGATGAAGAAATTCTGGTGATGAGCTCAATTCATACCTGTTGTGCCTTTTGCCTACGACACCAAGAGCAATAGGAAACCCTAGAGCGAATCTTCACTGGCTTCTATTTCTCTGGTTTCCGTGGTCGCCATCCTCACCGTCAGCTGAAGCGAACAATAATTCGGACCAAACTTCCTTCCTCCGTCCGTTTCTTACTGCATTTCCTTCGCAGGATTGACTGACTGACAACACCTTTACTCTGACTCTCTCGCCACAACAACATCAAATAGCATCAACTCCGCACATTTTGTCATTCCCCAGCTACTCTGTGGCTTTCATCACATCTGCTTTTTCCATCAACATCCCCTGCCCTGCAAAATCTTCCTGACACCCGTCTCACCTACATGACGCTTCCAGAGGTCATTCAGCATGGATGATCAGCCCCAAGCAGCTGATTCACCTACTCCCAGTCCTGTTAGAGGAAGAGGTTTCGGCAGAGGCAAGATCCTTGCTGCTCGAGGCTTGAGCAAAAGAATGGCTCGCAAGCCCGCTCCCAAACGCGGTGGGCGCGGCAAAGGCCGCGGTCGTCATAAGACTTATGATGATCTGCGTGTCCAGGCCGCATACGAGCGTCAGAAGGAGCTGCGAGACCTCTACTCAGAAGTCACCTCCGCTGCAAAGCCAGCTCTGGAAAAGCTCGCGGAATACAGTATTAACCAAATGATTGAGGATCCTACTCATCACGAGGAGGTTGCCGAATTCAAAGAGGTTCAGCAACAATTGGACGAAAGACTCCAGCGTACCATCAACGACGCAAACTCAGTCCTCTCCAAAGAAATTGCCATAACGGAGAATCAGCGCCACCTAGACCTCTCTTTCACCGAGAATTCATACCACGCAAGTCTTTCTGGCCTCTTCCTGTTCAATTAGGTGCTGCCGTTCAAATCTACTAACACCTGCCACAGGACGGGTTCAATTACGTGACAGAAGACTTCTACGCTGGGGCTCTCAACCGCACCAGCATCCTTGCCGAACTCCGCCGTGAATGTGTAGGTGTCGATGTAAGCCCACCCGGTATCGTTGTACCCGTATTTGATTGTGTTGACTTTTTTTTAGATACCCGATTGTAGGTATTGGTATGTCGAGCAGCCTGATGAAGTCGCCACGAGCCAGGGTCCCCACGTTGTGTTTCGTAACGGCGTGGAAGTGCCTGAACCGAGCCGCCTTCCGGACTATAAGACTTCCAACATCCGAACCCAGGTCCGAAAGCCCAGAACTGGTCCCAAACGTAAGACAGACGATCTACCAGATGGTCAGCTGGATTCCAAGAAGCATACAGCCGCTGGCTCTGCACTTGGACAAGGCAGTAGACTCGGTCTTGCCCGTGATGATGTTGACATTAAGGGTGACGGCGCATTAACTCCTCGGCCTCGTCACATCGGCGGTCTTCTCTCCGCGGAGACCGAGCTTGACGCTGAACGCGAGTCGAATGCTCCGTCGCCTTCGCCCGCCGAGGAGGACCAGTCACCGGAATCCGACCAGAAGCGCGAGTCCGTCTCCAAGAAGGACTTGCCCGACCTACCTGCTGGAGCTTCGGAGCCTGACGCGCATGGTGTAAGAACCGTCTCCAAGCGTGGTCCCAAGGCCAACAACCGCATCATTGTCCCGCCCCAGTTTGAGTTCGACGATGAGGATATCGGGTTCCGCGATTCAACCAATGATTCGAGTAGGAAGGCGACGAAAACAACAAGAGGGAAGTTGCTCAACAAGCCAAATTCACGCAGCTGGCATCTCGATGCCACCATTGCCTACTATAATGTCTTCGATTATGAAGAGGGCGACCTTGATCCGGATATCGTCAAGAAGCACAACCTTCATCCGCAGTACGGATTCTTCCTTCCGGATTCCGTCAACGAGTCTGAAACTGCCAAGGACCTTGTCGACGGTACGAGGCCTATCGTCGTTGTCACGCCAAACGGTAGCACTCTTATGGCATCTCGCTCAGTCAGAGCTAAGGTAATGGACGAAGCTCTCGAGTGCGATTCCAAGAAGGAGCAGCTGGCCTGTATCCTCGAGCAATTCACAGACATGACACATATTTCTGTCGACGAAATCACCACAGAGGAAATGCGCGATAGGGAACGCGCTATTGAGAAACTTGCTACCGAGCCATTGGAGGAAGAGCCTTCGGCAGTATACACACCCTCAACAGAGGGTTCCGACTGGAAGGCCGCCTTGATCGCACCTGCTAACATCAGTTCCCGTGAGGACGAGATTATTGCGGCGGATAACATGTCCAGTATACTCAAGGCCGCTGCGGCTATCGACGCCGAGCCGGTAGAAGCAGCCGTAGCAGATCGCCCGCAGCCGCCTGTCTCTAGCCAACGGGCGTCGCGGCCCTACGACGCTGTGCGGGATGTCTTTGCCTCGCATCCTTCCCCCACGCCTAGCTCTTCGACCCCAGCGCCTCCCCACGTCGTCGACACCATAGGGCTTTCTGTACTCGCTGACGTATCCGAAACACACGATTTATTTCGGAGCCATGTCGGAAGCCAGATTGAGAGCAGCTACACAGAACCGGCGTCGATGATAGACCCACGACTACTGGGTGGTGCTCAACAAGGACCTGCTGCTGCCGCGCCGTCTAACAACGCCTTCTTACAGACAGCACTCAACCACCCCGGTCAGGCCTCCTTTGCACACATTGCGCCGGCACCTCCCGCCAATGCCGATACCCGCCCCCAAACACCAGGAGCCCGTGTTCCATTCACAGTACAGGGCAATTCCAAGGATAATCAACTGCTGCCGCCCTTGCGGCCTTCGTCTGGAAGGCGAGATAAGGCCCCTTCGATGGAGGTATCGCAAGGTCCGCCTGGACCACCACCACAACATGCACAGCAACAGCCTCCTCCTGCCCCGCCCGCTTCTGTTCCACCTCAGGAATTTGGTTCACCTCGAGGCATGCTGCAGACGAACACAGGCAGTTTCTATCCTCCTGCTCCGCACCGTCCCTTTCACCAGAGCTACTCCGTCCATGAACAAGGCCCTATGATGCCGATGTCGATGCAACAGGGGTCCCAAATACCACAGGTTCCTCACATGCAACCGCTTCCCTCAATGCAACAAGGTCCTCCAGTGCAACAGGGACCTCCTATGTCTGGCCCAGGTCCAGTCATGATGCATAACCCGCCTACCCCGTCTCTGACTCCTTATCCAGCACTCTCACCCCCGATGCAAACTCAACCACAGCTGGCACCAATGCCTCCACAGATGGGTCCGTCGCCTCCGCTTCCTTCTCAGGGGCCTCCATCTGTAGCACTATCACCTCCTGCCCACACCCCTCGACACAGAGCTTCGATTCCGTCCAACGGTCAGAACTCGGGTAAATACCGCAAGATTGCCGCGGCGCCGATTCCTCACAACCGACCATGGCCATCCAACGGAGGGTCAGAACTGCGCCTCTCAAACTATGATCCCAAGGGAGCTATCAAGGACTATGTGGCGAGTGAGCCTGCTCCGCGTAGTGGCCCTACCACGATCAGGGGTTGGTCAGTCAACAACGTAAACAAGGGTCGGAATAGGGCCAAGAAGGAGGGCTCGGCTGAGGAGACAGAATCCCCCAAGTAGGCTCACGTTCCTGGACATGGACCAAATGATAGGCCCAAATCAGTTTCAACCTTGGGCAACTCTGTTTTCACATGTCGTGATTCAGCCCCTAATAAGAATTGAGTAGTCAAATTCAGATCGACCCAAATACCTATAATTGCCCCTTCCTCAGCAATTTTACCCAGCGTTTCTTACACATTTGGCATCATCCTGTTGCCTCTTTGAGACACTGGTATGTGCTGGACTTCACTCAGCTCAAAAAAAGGCATTGCATGGATGGATGGAGGAGGGCGTCGGAGGTTCATTTGCCATATTATTTGATTTTAGTTTGTTTGAATAAAGTGGCATCACACAGCGAACCGGCACTTGGATGGATGAGAGTTTTCTCAACATCAATTAGATAGATGCAGTCTTATACTGCCACAGAACTTTTGATTTAATACACACACACACATACACACACACACCCAATTCCATTCCGTGGCGATAAAGTGAACATCGTTTCTAAACATATCTTATGTGCTTGCCGGAGGGAGAGGGGGTTCTGCAATGGTCACCATGTTGCCATTGTGACAATACAAAAATCTTGCACGTGGACGATCTGGATATGCTCTTGACAGACGTCTGTTTTGCATAGGCGGTTGTTTTCAATACTGCCTTCCTCTACTTCGTCTCGTGAACATACTCTAGGTAGACTTGTCCAGTCGATACTCTACTGTGGTCACCCAACATGAATGATTAAACATTTGGTTTTCTGCTTGGGTGGTCTGCAATTTTCATGCAGAATATGCCTTTCCGCTTTTCCTTCGATATTTGTATTACCCTTAGGGTTTACTAATTATTTTTACTGTTTCTCTGGTCCCCTTGCTCTTATCTTTCCTTTGCTTGTTCTGAATATGTGAATTCTTCCACATTCCCTGTCCCTGTTCTGTTATTGACATACCGCGTGAGCAAGAGTTCGACCTAAACTTGGCCACAGGCAAGAGACGATATGAAGGACGTACTCAACTGGGGCGTAGAAATCATTACTGATCCATGCAGAATATTCTTTGTGGAGCTGCTTGAATCTTTCATACCGATGCATTGCTTGATGGTTGATTTCCATCCTCTATTCAAGTTGATAAGGGGCGTTCGGGTCGTCAAAGCAAGACCAAACGACAACTCCCCCACGTACGAACCCTGTAACATTTGGCCTAGTTACAGGTCATGAAACCCGGATTGTTGGCTATCCTCACAAAGTTTTATACAACTTTTGGCAATGCTATATTTAACGTGAGGTACTGAAAATCAAGTACAGACAATACCTCATACGACGTTGGCCATTGGCTGAGACCAACATCGCACAGAGGTCTGCTTGCCTATAGATTAGTGGAATGTTAGAATAATTGGGAGTGATAAAGAAGCCCTGCTGCAGTGTTTCACTGCGGAATCCTTGACAGCATCTACACAAGTCTGGCCTGGTGAATCAGGTTATGAACTGTGTCATTGATTATCCTACTGTCCAGCCGGCTTTTTTTCCCTCCACCAAGAAATGCTATGGATAGCGAGGCAAACGTTGCACCCAATGTGCATGAGGATATCAGTCCACCGCAGCTTATTTGTTTTCCAAAAGTCGCCAACCAATCAGAACCCTAGGCAGATTATGGTTGACGTTGGTCCACGAGTGCCTTTCCAAGGTCTCCTTAACAAACGCTCCCTGTTTCTCTCCTGTCCTTAACCGCCATTTGGGTACGCCCTGCTAGCCTAGATGGTAGTGTTGGGAATTTGTGAGAATTGATGATACATGGCTGGGTCGACTGCAGGCTGCGGCACATTGGCGGCCATTGGGATATTCATATCCAATTGCGCTCTTCCTAGGTTGACCTGGGGGTGCAGCGGGTACATCTCTGCCTGCATCGTGTTGCCATCAAAGACAACCATGTTTTGGATGGGCTGTTGGTTTTGGCCCAGAACATTGATAACGTCCTGTGCGAGTTGGCCGCCCAAGATGGCTGTGACGGGAGCGATCTCGCTACCAATGTTCTGAAGGAAGCTCCGTAGGAACTCCGAACGGAGCGTTTCCGTAGGGAGGCCAAGAACCTGGTGACAGTGAGTTGCACTCTTGGTGAAGAATTCAAGATCCTGCCGGTTATGGCCTGGGTTCCGGTTCTGTAGCGTCTGAAAGCCCCACAGGGCACGCAGGCAGGAGAGCGCAGGCGTGACTGCCTTAAGCCGGCGCTTAGCGTTCTGGTATTCGGCCGGAAGAAGGCTTGTATCCGACGCAAGATCCCAAGTCGAGTACAGCTCTCGTTTTGTGACCATTTCGATGGTCTTGTCGCCTTCCTTCTTGGTCTTAACGTCAATGACACTGCGGGTTCTGGTTTCTTGGCCAATCTTCGTGGCCACATTTCCCTTGGTACGCTGGAGCACGTAGTCATGCTCAATCAGATCGCAGAATATGTAACCGTAGAAACCATGCGAGGCAGCCGCGTAGAATTGCTTTCCGTGCAGCCGGGTTGCCGTGTTTATGAAGGCCAGTGTAGTGGGATTGAGATCTGTGGCAATGATGATGTCGAATGCATTAAAGTACGATGCACCTTTGGCCATGATGCTCCCCGGATCTGCAAAAACTTGCACACGGGGGTTCAGTTTTCTGATGTTGACGCTCGCCGCCTGGGCGCGATTTTGGCCAATATGCTCCTGTGAGAGAAAGAATTGGGCACCCAAGTCACCTTCCGTGACGATCTGGTCGTCCACGACGGTGAGCGAGCCGATGCCAGCGAGGACCAAATTCTTGGCGATTTCGTTGGCAAGCGCCTTCATCGTGATGAGGAGGACATTGGCGCTCTGAATTCTCTTCTGTGCTTTCATCCCCCAGAGGCGGATCTGACGGTCGTACAACGCGATTTCGTCTGAGACTGTCGTGAGTGGCGGATAAAACAAACATGAGCTGAAAACTGACCTGCACTGATGTCTTTTCCATGGGCAAGCTGCGGAGGAACAGCGCCGTTGAGGTTCATGATGTGCTGATTAGACATCATCATGATGCTTGAGTTAGGAAAGACATCGTTGGCACCGAGGACTCCGTGTAGGCCAGCCATGGTGGCATCTTGGCTGGGAAGCATGAGACCGCCATCATGCGGGACGTGCATGCCCATGCCCGTTTCACTGTTAGAACCCACGGGTTGGTGCTCTGGGACTATGATGCCGCCATCTTGTGTGGGCTGCTCAGGCATTGTGGCCGGGCTATCATTCTCTGTCACTTGCTGCACTGGCGGTGCGGCGGTATGGTCTTGCTGTTCCATTTTTGCTGTCGACGGCGCAGGGGGCTGTTCCAAGGTTGACAAGAGAGGTGGTGGATACTAGGTGAAAGTTGAGATCTAAAATTCGAGGACTCTAAAGGTGCCAGTAACACTGGGCAGTCACGAGAAGTCGCGGTTCATGGATAGATTGGATACGCCAAGATCAAGACGTAGCTTTCGTGAAGTAGATGAGCAGGCCGATTTCCGAAGATCACCGGTCGGGAGATCCAGGTAGTCGACGGATGGACACCAGTCACCACTTAAGGCAGTTCCGATTGTAAGACCAACCGTTCGACGCCTGATGAGATGGTAAGGCCTCAACTGGATAATTGGGGAGGAAGATCGCTTAGGTAGGAGATACGAGATGCAGATGTGATCGATCAGCCTGCCCTCGCCCTCGTCGCCCAGGATTTATTAGATTGTTAAATTGCGTACGGTTTTGTTTGCAATGAGATGAGGCTCAAGTCCAGCGCGCAAAACAGACTGACACTGTTTCGTTTAGCGCGACGCTGGGCGCGTATGACAGGGCTACGGGACAAGCATCGAAAATTATAAGGTAACCGCGTCTAGAGGGGTTCGCGCACGAGTTTAATGGGTACCTAAGCTTCTCAGAAAATCCGGCCAGTCTTAGTAGGCAGAGAAGGCCCAGTCATGTACTCGCTAGCAATAAACCATATGGGCAGTTCCAGGCTTTGTAGGCAAAATAGTGATGCCTGCAAGCAGTAACGAACCTGCGACTGGCCCCGCGGCGGAGACCTGGAAAGCCACAAACCCCAAGCCATTTGACCAAATTGAGAGCGATGATCGCTAACTACGTCCCACTTGGTTTGCTGCAACGACCAACGTCTGCTTTCTGGTCGATTGACAATATCCCTACCTCGTCGTATCGAATCGTCACTGCACTGCACTCTATTATCCTGCCGCGGTACTCCTGACGGCCTTCCGAAGTGGTCGATCTATCCAGGGTTGCTGCAAATCTTGAAGTAGAAAAGGACTCTATCGTGGCAGCAACGCAAACGCCTTGTCTTTTGTCGACGGGTCGCTCCATGGTCAGTTCAAGTGAACCCTAGCATGTCACTGCCGCCCCTTGTCTGGTAGGATGGTCTAGTCAATGCTGAAAGGCTTCCCGTACTGGTTCTTGCAACTACCCAGCGAGAGAAGTACAATCACTAACCAGGTCTATCACCGCAACAGTCTGGAAATCAATCTGAGCGCTCGTCCTCTGATCCACCTCCGTATCGCTCGGCAGATGAGATTGTGCGCTCCATACTCGATGACCAAGCTTCTTCGGCTTCGGATATCAGTCCCTCTGGCGAGTTATACCGAGCGATCGAAAGATTCCACGCCAACGCCCATCGCCGACCAGGCCTGCTTAGTAGCGCAAGACGAGATTTGATACGGAACCATCTGAATCGGTGGGCCTCGGCGTCTCGCTCCTCATCTCGCAACAGCATGTCTTCTGAATCCAACTCCGGCTCAGAGCCTCATCGTAGATTCTCAAGAGAACCCCAAACTACGAACCCATCTAGTGCTACTGCATCCGGAGCCCCGTCTCTGCCTCCTCTGCGTTCACTGAACACGGCTCGACGCTCAAATATGCCAGCCTCAGGCGCATCAAGTGCATCAGGACGTCACACCCGATCTCGTGCTTCCGAACGATACTCGGATCGAAATCGCAGTGCTACTTCCAGCCAGGCAGGTGCAGGTGCAGGTGCTGGTGCTGGTGCTGGTCCTGGTGCAAATACCCACATAGAGCATTCCGACTATCTGATGCAGATGATGCTACTAGAACAACAGCAAATTCGACGTATGAGAGCAGCGCGACTTGACACTTCGAGGGAGCAGCATCAGATGGATGAAGCCAACGCCCAGCGGCAATTAGAGGATGCAAATAGTCAACTCCGCGCTCTTTTGGACTTCACGCACACCCCACCGCATCCGTACTCAGAGCTGTCCTTCCCGTCACCACCACTGCAAGCTCAAGAACCCAATGAGGAGAGTCGCCGGTTCAAGCGGCGGAAACTAGACTCGGATCGTCTGTCTAATGGCTTCAAGGGGTTTAGCTACGGCAAATACGGACAGGTTGAGCCGGGTCAATTGAAGATGGAGATCGTCACCTGCGATGGAGGCATCTTCTCAGATGACAATGGACACGCTGCGGAAAATATCCTGAAGAACGACTCAAGTGTCTATTGTACAAAAGGCCCTCGATGCAATATTGTGTTACGGCACCAAGGGGCCACAGTGTTCACCTTGAAAGAGTTGGTCATCAAAGCACCCCGGTCGAATTACACATCGCCTGTACAGGAGGGAATGGTGTTCATTTCCATGAACTCGGATGAACTGTTGGCTCGAACGACCCAGTACCAGATCCAATATATACCTCCAAGAAACTCGCGACGGCGCGTGGAGCGGGAGACGCAGCCGTTGGCACCAATTGTATCCACTCGACACAATGACGATGGGAGTACTATGACGGGGTCTCAGGTTAGAGCCCGTCGGTTGTATAATATTGGCATGGACGATGAGGATAACGACTCTCGAGTCGCCCAGATTCCTTCTGAGTTTGCGAGCACCCCGCCACCTTTCCAGGTTACGACGGAGTGTAGCGATGACGAAGACGACGCGACATACGGAGGAGATTGGCGTGCGCCGAATAGAATCGGGTCGCTGCCATTTGAGGGTGATAGTAGCGACGACGGAGGCAACCTGGATGATTTTGGCTTGAGCGGTTCGGAATACCGGTTGCGGCGCCATCGAAACCGTGCGGACATTGCCCTTGCAGAGGCTGCTGAATCTGCCCAGGCTGCTTCGCAAGAAGCTTTGCGAGCCGGCGGAGGTGAAATGCTGGCACCTCATGCGAGATTCTTCATCGAGAGTCACAAGAGCAAATGCACCATCAAGTTCGACCCGCCAGTGTCGGGCAGATTCATCCTTTTGAAGCTATGGAGTCGACAGCGTGACCTCTCCGACAACGTTGACATCCAAGCTGTGGTAGCGAAGGGGTTCGCTGGTCCGAGATACTTCCCTGCTGTGGAGCTACGGTGATGTTGGAACATGGCCAACAAAATGTTCGTTTGCATGCATTATGACTATATATGATGGCGTCTCGGAACACTGGGGGTGGATGTTATACCCGAGTATGAAGTGGGTGCGCAGGAGCTGTTCCTGCGTCGACAGGCGCATGCCTGGGGGCCCTTTAGATAGTTGGGTTTTTCTAATGAATCATATGCGGATTGGTCTTGCTTCATGGCAGTTGTGATTGGGTTATCTTCAAATTCTGTTTCGCGCTTAATGGGTAGTTGAGGCTGTTCCATGCATGCTCAGTATGATGCCATAATGAACAATCGGTTGGTGTCGCCAACGCGAGGTAATCATCGGGTCGCTAGACGCCGGGCAGCCGAAGGTACCTCAGATCCCTATCGAAGTATACGCCAACGTCGTATGATGGGGTTTGCTCGGCCTCTGTTGTGTAGTCTCTTACAAAGGCAAACGAATAGAATTGGCAACGCTCCAGGCAAGCTTTAGGAGTTCACAGAGTCATTTTTGGGGTGGCGATGCAGCATATTGAGTCATCACTGCTGGGCAGATACTGAACCAGTCGAGGGTAGTGACATCGGAATGTACTTGCTTACCCTGTTCAAGTAGGCGCAGGCAAAAAGTGGTGGAAAATTGCCCCACCACACGACTTGATACCAATTCCTACAAAAGCTCGCTGCATTCAACATCATTGAATCGGATTGAACTACAATCAGCAGTTTTTCGTAAATAGTCTTGATACCCTATACCACGCGATCTCTTAATTCCCCGCGACTACCACCAACCGTCCCCTACCTCGCAAACAAGTCGTACCAAGCAAGACGACATCATGGCGGTGCGTGCGCAGTTCGAGAACTCCAACGAGTAAGCCCCACCTCTGGACCCTTGAGCCGAGAAGAGGCACGGCAGGACTAATAAGTTGACTGAAAGGGTCGGTGTCTTTGCGACTTTAACCAACTCATATGCCTTGACTGCAGTAGGCGCCAGCGAGAACTTCTACAGGTATGTTTGGTACTTACCTGACCAGGCTAGGACGCCTGCCAGACCTGGAGCGCAAAGTTTCCGGTCATACGGCGCGAGACTGATATAGGCTGTTTCGCAGTGTCTTTGAAGCAGAGCTGCAAGATGTTATTCCCATTTGCCGGACGACCATCGCAGGCACACGCATCATCGGGCGGTTAACAACGGGGTGAGCTTTCCCACACTGCCATCTACTACCACGCCTTTCTTCCCCAGCCCGACTGACTAAAATTCCGCCCGTCACAGAAACCGCAAGGGCCTGCTCGTGCCCACATCAACAACAGACCAAGAGCTGCAACATTTACGCAATTCTCTACCCGACGAAATTCGCATTCAGCGCATCGAGGAGCGCCTGTCAGCCCTCGGCAACGTCATCGTTGCCAATGACCACATCGCCTTGATCCACCCGGACCTGGAGCGCGAAACGGAGGAAATCATCGCCGACGTGCTGGGTGTCGAGGTATTCAGGCAGACTATCGCCGACAATGTGTTAGTGGGTAGCTACATGTCGCTGAGCAATCAAGGTGGCCTCGTCCACCCCAAGACGAGTATACAGGACCAGGATGAGCTGAGCAGTCTGCTTCAAGTGCCCCTCGTGGCTGGCAGCGTGAATCGCGGCAGCAATGTTGTGGGAGCGGGCATGGTGGTCAATGACTGGATGGCCGTTACAGGTCTGGACACCACTGCGACCGAGCTTAGTGTGATCGAGAGTGTGTTCAGACTGGGCGAGGGCGCGGCCCCAGGCAACATTAGCGGCAGCATGAAGGATACCATGGTAGAGAGTTTCTACTAGAGGAGCTGAGCTGCGAGACGAGATGAAGGCGAGTACGGTGTGGGTAGGGCAAGGATTCTCGAGTACTTTGGCTCGGGCTTTGTGCCGTGCGGATGTACGTGCCCTTGATGGCCGTGGCCAATGGAGGATGGCTTTATTTATGCGGCGCTGAGGCTCAGGCCCGTGATGATGGGCCCAGCCGGAGAAAATAGTGATATATGAGAATCGAGCTTCCAGGTCGCCCCTCAATTATTGAAAGCCTGTCGTCGAAGATCACCCATTACTGGTTGTATCTGTGACTGCTAGTATATGAATGAAATTCAACGCATCGCCGTCGCCATCGAGTCAGACTACCATAAAAACTACGTACGCTGGATTAAGGATTCTGTTCTGAATCATCTCAAAATAATAAGCGTGTCTACACGCGCAGGTGCAGTTCCTGAATCCATCTACTCTTCTTTTTCTCCTATTTTTTCACATATTCTATTGTTCTTTATATTGGCTATGCATATTTCATACTAGCTGAATTGGCCGTCCGCATGGTCACGGTGGATGATGCCTTCTGGAGTGAACTGCTGCTTACTGTACATGTCAACCGTTAAAAGAGGTGACTTTGCACGGGAGCGGCGTGGTCCCGAGAAGGGTGATATTTCGAAAGACTAACCCAGAATATGCCCGGCAAGTGAAGCACACAAAACTGCCTCAAGCCTTTACGGTTGAGCAGCTCTATATATTGCCGGAAGTTGCAGAAACGGCGATTGTGTTGGGTGTGCCATGCCGAAAAAGGGAGAGGCCTAATGTTGGTGATGATGAGCTTGACCATCACGTCTTTATGTCAATTTCAATAACCGCCATCTTTCCGCCACTTACCAACCGGCTATCGGACGAATTAGTGTCATAAGGACGACACGTGTTCGTCCTAGACACCCACGGGGAAGGGAGGAGAAGAAGGACCACACGCTCGAGTTAAAGGCATAAATAATCCCGCGACCGCTTTTACTAGTTTGTAAATTTGTCAATTTCATACTCACGTACACCTCTTGTCAGTGTGAGCCCACCAGTTCAGCTACAGCACGCCCCTGGGGATTGTTAGAGTCTGGCGGGGACATTGTAACCTTTTTAACACGGGAGGTCGCTGCAGGAGCGGGAGACAGGCAAAGTCTCAATATCATAACATGAGGTCGACTGGGCGGCAGGATCAGAGGTTATGGCGCCAGTGTCAAAAACCCAGTAACGGTATCTCAGATACAATTGTTATTTGCGGGACTGTACGGGTACTAGCATTTTGGCTACATACGAAGGCTTCATACGAAGGTGTCGAAGAGAAGTATAGGTGAAGAGGCCCAAACCGCACAGGGGCCCTAAAGTACCCGAAGTGTACCTCACCATGACCTCCGGCTACCACTTCCACATTATCTAACAAACTGGTGCTGACAACTGGTTCGAGTTCTAGGGGCATCGTGGTCCGTAGGATGTTGAGCTGCGGACTGGACTGGAAGCGTATCCGAGCGTCTTCTGATCGAACATATCACTGTTAGAATTGGACATAACCAGGTGGTTCTGGGCGTGGGTGTTGCTAACATATTGTGGTGTCACGAAACCACTTATCCTGGGCATTTTATATTTTATGGGAAATATCGATCTCAATAGTCTCCAATCCGCTTATTATATCGAGTGTTTGGTGAAGTTGGCGGATAGTTGTACGTTCGTTGTCGGGTTCGATACAAGTCAGTAGTACCCCTGAATGAACATTTATAACAACCCGTTCCGACCAAAGTGCTTCCGGGTGCATCCACGATTTTCTTACGTTAATGTCGCGAGTATGCTGACTTGTAAACCTAGAACCTTGACGAAGCATGCAATGTTCTCATACAGGTGATAAGCCGACGTCTTTGACTCCCAAATCACCTCAGGATGGTTGGTGATGATGCATGGCTAGGCTGCATACGCTGGGCCGTCCTTCACACGACTCGAGCTCGTATGCTGAATGAGAGCCAAACCTACGGAGAATTTGACGCTTCCAATTAAATGAAGGATGACCATTGATAATTGAGTATGTGCTCACTAAATCTGTAGCGAAGCTGGCATACACTTCAACATAGCTCACGAATCCATGCTCGAGAGTGACCCGTTAGCTCTCTATGCCCAAACCTCGAGAAGGACGTCCGATGTTAGTGTAGAGATCGCTAAGGAAATAAGTATGCGGCAGCCAGAAGATCTGAAGACGTCCCAGATCGTCAGGACTTCTTGGCCTTGCTAATGCCTTGTGGAAGACTGACACTGCAGAACCAGAACCAGAACACAACGCTGGGTGGCTTTGAAGATCCCATACCGAGGTCTGCGGCCGATTCGGGACTCCTATATACAATGTGTCGATTATGAAGAGCCTTCTGGAAACAGCACGGAAATGCAAACAAGCCCGTAGACTGGCTTCGTCAATGGTCTTGTACATATTTCATGCAGCCCATTACGATCTGGTTGCTCTCCGGAATTGGCTGCCATAATGAAATGGGCTTCACCGACTGTTTCTGACCTTTCCACTACGCGTGAACCTACTGACTGGGAAACCTCGCCAATAAACTAGAGGCCTAGCAGTACACAAGTTCCATGGATAGGAAAACAGAGTAGTGCTTGGTGTGTATCTCCGAGGCCGCGGGTAAATTGTCGCGTCCTCATTGTCGAGTGTAACCTGCAGCTCCGTTCGTGCCGAGGCACTTGATCGGATGCTCTGTTCCACCCATCCAAACCATGCTGACCTCAAAATACGATTTTCGATTTCGGCAGGGGAGAAAGGGCCGAGCTGATTAGGTCTCCATTTGGTAAATGAGACAATGTCGCTTGCCAATGATGCTTTTTTTTGCCCCGGACAAACTAGACCCATCAACACCGGCTCCTCAATAGTCCAAGACCGCAGGCATTAGTGGCCCAGGATATCTGGATGCAACATTATTCTGCACAGAACTTACATATCACTCAAGCAATTATACTCAAGTACAGTGTAGTAGTTAGTAAGTTCTCTCGGGGCGAATGGAACAACTGCGAAAAACCTTAGGGTTTGCTCACTTTATACTTGCGCTACAGAAATGGCGATGTTGCACTCTCGAGTTTTGATCGTTAACACTGTCATGAGTTGGCGACCCGTTGCACAAATTCGGAATGCAAAGTGGGCTAGAATGAACCAGAATGGGGAAGTCATCGACAACCTTCACCGGACCACCGTGGTTGAAGGGCTAGCCCCAGCCATAGAGCAAAATGTTGAGATCCACTATTACTCAAACCAATCTAGTCATTCGCTCTGCCTTGGAACAAGCAGAAGATAGGATCACAGTCCTTTGCAACTTGACACAAGTACCAAGGTTAAATAGTATCAACACGATTCCAACTCGGCTTAACTCAGGAACTTCAAGCCTCACAACAACAGGTTGGCAGAGCTCCAGCTTGCCCAGCACGCAGCTAAAAGTAACCACACCACCAAGTCCAAGCATCCCTGGCATCACCAGCAGCTTTATCTGAACGCCCCTGCAACCGAGGGCCCCGCCTTTGGGTTTCTCAACGCGCAAGCCCCTCGCAGAGGCCAGACTGCTGTCACTGCACGACGCTGCATTGTGCATATCGGCACAAGGGTTCCATCTGGTCGCGCAAACCGTTCGAATCACAGCAGCTCAAGCGAAGTGCGCTTTGCCCTTCTGAGGTGGTGTTGTTTATGCAAACCAGCAAGAGTTCGCAACAAGTGGGCCTTTAAAAGCGCATGTTATTGGCGTCTGTATCGGCTCTGTGGACTTGGAAAGTACCTAGCGTTGGGCGACTACAACACGGCCTTTTGTTATTCAAAGACTGCCTAAACCGCAGTCTTCGATTTGGGGAATGAGAAGATACCATCCACATTCTACCATCTTCAGCTGCGGTTGACTCTGAAACGTCAAACAACTTAAAAGGCGGCCATACCCTTGAACCCCGACCCGAATCCCAGATCCTTTGCCAAAAAGAGCCGTCTCTCCACATTTGCTGGAGCCAGGTCGAGGGATTACCATTGTTCCTCCCCGAGTCAAATCATAATCGCAATGCTAACAAGGGCTGAGGCTCCACGCAAACCCGTTCAGGGGGCCAGAACCGGTTTGGAAACCGATGAATCCTCGTACGTTGGAGGCGGAGTGTTTGGCAACGACGACTATCTCGAGCCGGCGTTGACATTCGAGCCTGCCGAGGAGGGACCATCACATTACCACTCGCCAACTACGGACCATCGATCTACCTTTTTGCCTTATCAACAACAACAACATCGTCGGCAACAGACAGCACCAGACTTGTCGCGCTTGCGTATCAACACTTCATCACAACCGTCTAGTAGAAGGCATTCGAGGCACTCGTCAGAAATGGCACTTACAGGCGATGGACGTAGCCGCCGGCGGCAGGATAATTCAAATGGCATGTTCGTCGGCTGGCTAGGCGGCACCTCTACGCCTCCTTCCCAAGAGGATGCTTCACCCGAGACTACACCTAAATCCAAACAAGAAATAGCAAACATGGATTCGACCACGCCGAAGAGCACATCGATTACGCAGTCGCGCTTCGGTTTCCTGTCGGCGCTCACAACGCGGTTAACCAGCCAGTCACCCGTCACTCCCCTCTCTGAAGAAGAGATACTCAATCTCAACGTTGAAGCGGCTCTGTACCCGTCGATGTCACCCTCCGAACGCGATACCTTTTCCCCAGCAGCCTACAAGAATCTCCAAATAAACGCAACTGGTCTCGTTCTCAAGATGCAGAGCGCCTACCGCGAGCGCACCACCGCCTTCCAGGAAATACAAGCCGAACGCTCAGTCGAAAAAGAAGAGGCAGAGGAGATCAACATGCGGGTCGAGAGTCTAAAGATGCAACTCGAACACATGGCCAGCAAAGCCGCGGAGCAAGAGCAGGCCATGCAACAATTGATGCGGGAGCTCAAAGCCGAGAAGAAGGCCCGCATCGAGGAACGTCTCACGCGCGAAAAGCTCCTAGCCGAAGGACCCATAGTGAACGAGGACTTGGGCGTCGACGAAGCTGAGCGCCAAAAGTGGAGAAAGTCTGGGCTCACCGTCAAATCCGATGTTAGCTTCGACACAGACGAGGAGAGCGCCGAAAGCGAGAGCGTCTTCTCCCGCAGCCGCAGTCCGACCATCATGACGAGTGCGAGGGAGAGCACCATCGATCTGCCCACTGTCCAGCCTGGAAAGACTGCCAGTATGGAAGCCACGCCCAAGTCTAAGACGGCCAAGGAGATGACCACATTTCAGAAATTGTTTAAAGGCATATCCGGAGACACCACGAAAGACGATGGAGGTCTTGGAGCGGACGGGTGCAAGAATTGCCGGGGACGGGACTCGAGTGTTGCTTGGGATACTGTTAGCCTGCTTAGAGATGAGAATCGGGGGCTGAAGCATCGAGTCGCGGATTTGGAGGTGGCTGTTGACGGCGCTTTAGATGTGGTTAACGGTATTGGGTTATGATTTACGGGAGGCAGAGGCATCAGTTGCGAAGCATATAGCCAGAAATTTCAGATGATAATCGTGAGTGCACATTTATCACAAAACACACTTCGTAGCTTTGTCGGTTTCCATCGCTCGGATAAAAGTGGTTGCACTTTCAAGACGATTGGGCCTCCTTCTGATTTCAAAAATCACGTCGTGCTATGGAGGAACGGTGTAGTATTATAGCTCAGGGAGGAGTTTGTGCCGCCTAGCAAAGTTTTCTATCCCCATGTCGATACAAAGTAACAACGTCAAGAATCCTCATGCTATTAAAACATGAATGGCAGTGCCACTTTCATCTGACTACTCATTAGCCTACCCGAGATTACAGCATTGCGTTCATCGCGTGGAAGTCAGCCTCGGAGCGCATAAGTCGCAATAAGCTACAACACATCTTCGGGTGTTTTTGGAGCCGAAGGTGGCGGATTTCACTGGCTCGTACCCGGTCTTCTCGAAGCGCCTGGAAGGTTGTAACAGGCCTAGGCAACAGAAGTTGCAAGAGTTCGGACAGTCGAGCTTAGCAATTCCCAGATGAGGATTGCCCCCTCCTCTCATGATATCGACAGCAAAATGCTGTGATCCTTGCCACGTACCCAGGAACTTCTTTCCACGGCTCAGATGGTAGAAGGCAGTCTTTGTGCAGACTCTCATAAGATAGTCATGCAGCGGCTTGGCACCGCTGCTTATGTCGTCGTGGCGGTAGAACAGTGAGGATGCTTCGCAGAACTCATCAGGTAGCTTCTCAAAGCTAGACGGGCTGGGCTTGGCTGGAGACGCCACGTCTAGAGGCAATTCATAGTACTATCGTGGATTTGCAGTGTGCCGTCCTGCCTAGCGCTAGCGGACTTCCTTCCAGAGGATGGCCCTGAGCAGATTCCAGGTTTGGTCGCCGCCTCGGACTTCCACGTCGGTGTAAAGCGTGTTCGGCAGGAGCTTAGCGGACCCATAGAACACGCCACTGGAGAGATGCGGAACGTGATTGCCGTGTTGGGTTACGTATCTTCGCCAGGTTTGCTCAGAGGTACGACATTGATGAAAAAATTACAAATGTCCGAGGAATTCAGTGGCTTCTACGGGAAGATCTAGAGTGGCGTGGAGCTTTCAAAAGGAAGGTGGGACAATTACAGGCTGTGCCCGAGAACTTGTTTATAGGGTTGGATGACTGACTGGCTGAGGTAAATTAAATAGGTAGACAAGTAGCTGTATCCCTCATGGCAGACTGCGGAGAGCCAAAACAGTTAGGTTTTCTAAAGGAAACAGACCTTGCAGACCAGATGCATGATCTCAGCTCTCAAATCAACATACCCATAATCCCTCAGAAGCCAACCTGGCGGACTGCTGCCAGGGACCACATACATAGTGAAACAAGTGGTGCGAGGCAAGCTTTTGCCTCAGAGCAAACACCAAGAAAGTACACCCTCCCCATTGTGCCCCTCTCCTCTGCGCTGACCCCTCCAAAAATCTACCACTCGTCACATTCAGAATGCGAAAGTTAGTTCTTGTGACTATTCTGTATGAACCTGAGCCTTCGTGGCCAACCTACATCCAGTCGAATCCATGGATGCCATGATATATGTACATTGTCCCTTCGCCATCGCCCGATGCCGTCCATCAAGCCCCATTCAGTGGTGTTCCTCGCCATGGCCCTCTGAGTGGTGCTCGTCCTTTAGGAACAGGTACTCATAGCCGCAGTAGGCCGCAAATGCTACCGTCGCGATGCCCAGCCCAGGGAAGCCGCCCTTGAAACGATTCCATCGTGTGAATTCTCCCTCGTACCGCCACGCCTCACTGCCGTTGGGTCAGTCCTGAGTCGTTGTAGTTTGTTCCGCAACCAATTGGTAGACAGATGGGTCGAAGGGCAACTCACGCTCGCTCCCAGGGGTCATATCTGGGCTGGCCAGCTGCTTGTGCGAACTTTCGAGGGTCGAAGCCGGTGATGTTTGGCTTCGGGCCGCGGGCGGCTCGTAGTAACCTAGAGCCGGTGCGATCGGTTAGTCATATTTCGACAACATTGATGACACAATTGAGCGCTGTAACCGTACCTCGTTGCATGCATGGTGAATTGCCGACCTTATGCACAACAATTGCTGTCCAGCAGAAGGCAAATATGTGTCGGGACGTCTCTTGCGCGACAGCTCTCGTTGGTTAGATGTCGTTTGGAGCTCGCTGCACTGATGAGGTCAATTGGACTCGGCTGATAAGTATTTCCGGGAGCCGAGGAAGTGCATACCTCCATTTCAACTTCAACGCCCAACTGGAAAGGCCAATCCCTTATTCTCCTTCCGGTGACGGGATGACCACACTGATAAGTTTGCAAATTGGCCGGACTGAGAGATGTTTTCTGTTCCTATTGGGCATGTTGCATGGGATCTGGTTGTTCTTGCCTGGATTGACGACATCATTCAATGTTGTTCACATTCCAACCTCCCACTGTAACGGATACCCCCAACATAGACAAAAATACGCCTTTTTCTAAAATTTGTCAAATTTCCCGTGTGGCTCGAAACCAGGTTCATTTCAGTGTCATATTCTGTTCGAAAACTGTTCTGATAATCAGAATTAAGCAGGCAGCTAGGCCATCCATCATCCATCCACACCCATCCACACCTCGGCCAATCTATCATAGGTCTGTCATTGCCATCAGTGTCAATGTGATCATGGTTGCGAGATCTCGCACCGTAATTACGACTGTGACGTAGCACATACCAATAGACCTATCCTACATCAAGAATCACGCACAAAGGGATATCAATATCAAGGCATGCCCTTGTTGAACCCAGTGTACCATACGTCAACAATAAAATCTCACTAAATTACTCCAAATAGGCGTAGACCAGTTTGGAGACGTCGATTCTACATCCAGGAAGCCTAAAACAGTGGGAAACTATTCGGATAACGAAGAGTACTTGTCGCATTGCTAAGACCAAGCAAAAGCGTGAGGTACTTGAGTACTTTACCAGTACATGTGTGGGCCATACGGGCAAGAGAGCTGCATTGGTGATGATGGTGGGCCTAACTCCCCGGAATCTACAGCTACGGAAGGGCCGTCTATGGGCGGTTGGCCCAATTGCTGAACACAGCACAAAGTCGGTGTGCCTGGGGTACGCAACAACATGGCTAAGGTATAGCCAAGTTGAGTAGACTACAGTTGAGGTGACCATAGGCCCCCCAGCTCAGCCGACCAGCGTCCCACTTTACCGAATAATTAAGGGGCAATCTTTATATAACCCGACTATGTTCACGACCACACTTTTTCTTTTTCAATCCGTGTTTGTAGTTGAGGTGACCATAGACCGCCCTAGTTCAGCCGACCAATCCCCCCAGTTGAATTACTATTTATGGGGCGCTCCTAATATAAGCCGACCATGGTCGGTTTATTTCACCGACTTGTTACGAATCTACGATTCTAACCAACGCAACAGGCCCGATGGCAGGCCCAGTGGATACAGGACAAAGAAGGAGGGGAAAGTCACACAGGAGTGGCTAGCTGCAGGAGGAGCCAGCTAGTGCAAGGATCACAAGCCACGTGACTTACAAGGGTGGATCATTTGGATATGAAATGATCCAACATATCCAGTTAGGACCAATAGTATCCATGAAGGATCTAATGGCCCCAGTTATCAGTGAAGGAGGGAATAGATATATAAGGGACAGGATTCCCAGGCATTCAATAGATAGACAGTCTCTACTTCAGTGATCAATCTAAGCATCAATCTAACACATTGGTGAGGCAAACTGCTTTGACGACTCTATTCCCAATTACCCTACTTGAATACTTCAGTTACCCCAAAGCACTATACTCCATACGTCAGACCCCGATATTATTGCTTGAGGACTCCGCAGCAGGACTTACTTACTAGCACAAACCCTTACAGACTCTTTAGTGGTTTACGCAGCTAGACTATTTGATGCGTGCACCTAGGGGGGAGGATGCTATAATGCAGCAGTGCGCAACGTTATAGTATCTAATTGAATGGGATTCACCTAACCAGTGGGTCCCCCTACCTTTTCGTATCACTATTAGAGGTTTCGTTACACGACTATACTTATCCTTTTTAAATTCGTAGAGATTTTTCGTAGTAACTCTAGCCTAAATATAATAAAATCATTCTATAATTAGTTCTAAATCGATTCTTAATCGAGTCTACGATATTGTCACGACCTGGGTTGCATCGCATTGGTATAGACCTCGATTAGGTGCTATCGACGAAGATTCTACTCTAAGGAGCGAAGGAAAGAAGATGACAACTTAGGTTTGAGGGAGCGCGACTAAGTCATCCACGCTTGGCGGGGCTCCTACAAGGGTTATGATTGGCTTCCCATCTGACACTGCCACGGCAGGTGTTCCAGCTGTAAGTCACCTGGTTGTAGTGAGTCTGCGAGGGTTGACCGTCACAGATATCACACGTTTCACAATATAATAGTTGTGAAGGTCAACCCTCGCAGACTCACTACAACCAGGTGACTTACAGCTGGAACACCTGCCGTGGCAGTGTCAGATGGGAAGCCAATCATAACCCTTGTAGGAGCCCCGCCAAGCGTGGATGACTTAGTCGCGCTCCCTCAAACCTAAGTTGTCATCTTCTTTCCTTCGCTCCTTAGAGTAGAATCTTCGTCGATAGCACCTAATCGAGGTCTATACCAATGCGATGCAACCCAGGTCGTGACACTGAGCTCCTTTTCCTTCACCGCCAGATATCCCATCCTTTCTCATTGATACGTGACCCCATGGGGGTTACCCTACAGCGATAGATAAGATAGATAAGATAATATAAGAGCTATAAAAGAGCTCTGCCAGGCCAGAATAGCTGACCTGGCCATCCTTTCCCAATACAACAATTCACACCCCATATGCACTCGCATCACAGATTATTACTAGCGAAAGTAAAATGGAGTTAGAATTAGAATTCAGATTCGATTCTATAGTTAGCTAGATCCAGTTTCAAGGATTTTTCAACTAATAAGAGTGGAGGAAATACTTACCCCACTATGGTAACCTGGACCCAATATTTGGACATCACGTGAAGTCACGGTCGGCTCAACTGCGAGGTCCTACGTAGTAGTCACCTTAACTACAACCGCATGCAGAGAACAGAGAGCTCATGCCGCTGGCCAATCACATCCACACAGACGTGCAGGTGGGGTCCATTTAAGGTTTGACACTCGGCTGAAAGTAATTCCTGTTCCTGAAGTACCGATGCCCGATTCTCTCAATTTAAGCAACTTTGGAACTTGGGGTATTGTTACAAGCAAACAATTGAAAAGATTCGATGCTGCTTAGAATAGAAGTAATATTTCCTGTTGCAAGGTTATCATGGCTACTTAAACAAGTAATTGACCGTAGAAGCTGTTCTTTGAGCTACAGTGCAACGACCGGTGAATTCCAAAGAAGTTGGTGAATGTAGCAGGTGGCCCGTGTAATTCTAGACTTCAGCAAGGCTGGCGGGGCTTCGACACGACATCTTTCGACATCGCAGTACAAAGTCGCCGACCACAGCATTTTTCATCTCATCCACTTGGCGAGTATTCATTACTTAGCTGTATTGCAGTACCACTGTCGGCGACATCCAACTTCCTTGCGGCCCGAAAAGTGGATTCAATCGAACATCACGACCTATCACCGGCAAAACCAGACATCGGGCTTCATCTGGCGACGAAGACGGAAACGCTTAGCATTCGGCGCGCTGCCCCATGACGACCGATCGAACCGCGCAGATCCGTATCTCCCACATCACATGAAGCATGCCTCCAGCTAGGTTCGGCGGTGGGCCGCCGCCCTCCATGTCGCCCTATCCCCATCAATTCAACAATCATCAATCCCACCAGCCGCCCTCGCTTGCGACCCAAGGCTACCTGGGCAATTCACAGATGAGCCCTTTCAGCCCTGCGAATGGACTGGCCGGCTTGGGTGCTGGCTTTGGGGACCAGACTGGCTTAGCGAGTCATGCTGCTCGGATGGGATTTGCCCATGGCGCACAGTTGCAACAGCAGCAACAGCAACATCCACACCAGCAATCCCATGGCTTGGGAGGCGAGCATACTGCCAGGTCTGCAGGTCAAAATAAGGGACGAATACGGGATGTATGGAAACACAACCTCAACGAAGAGATTGCCATTCTCCGGGAATTGATCGACGAATACTCTTTTGTTGCCATGGTCAGTCACGGTCCGAAGACGAAGCACCGTACTTGCTGACAAGCCTAACAGGACACCGAATTCCCTGGTATTGTAGGGCGGCCCATGGGAAACTTTCTTGACAAGAGCGATTATCACTACCAGACGCTCCGAGTAAATGTGGATATGCTCAAGATCATCCAAGTAGGCATTGCCATCTTCAATGATAAGGGCGAGACTCCTCCTGCAAGGCCATCTGCCGATTCGGCCGACGTCAGTCCGACTGTAAGAAAGTACCTCGCAACTCACGGGTCACTACCGTATGCATGGCAGTTCAATTTCCACTTCGATATTAAGGAGGATATGGCAAATCAGAGCTCGATCGAGTCATTGCAGCAAGCAGGCATAGACTTTGAGAAACTGGAGCGTGACGGCATCGACCCGAATGCCTTTGCCGCCCTGATGACCACGTCTGGTCTTGTCAGCTTCGAGGAGGTCAAATGGCTGTCTTTCCACGGAGGATATGATTTCGGCTACTTCACAAAGTGTCTCATGGATGAGGAGCTGCCCAATGATGGCACTAGGTTTGACTCATTGATGAAGATATGGTTCCCTACGACATACGACGTGAAGCATCTCCTCAAATATGCCATCAAACTGCACAGCAATGGGCGTCTCCCGTCAACAGATCCTTCGGTGCCGGAAATTCTGCAGAAATTCGAGATAAAATCTGGTTTAGAAGCCGCAGCCGAAACTTTCAAAATCAAGCGAGTGGGCGCAGCACACCAGGCGGGATCGGACAGTCTTCTAACAGGCAAGATCTTCTTCTCCTTGCGCGAGAAGATCTTTAACGGTACCATTCCCGACGACCAGATCGGAAAGACATGGGGTCTGTCCGTGGGAGTTAGTATGCCCGGCATGGTGATGTACGGAGCTTACAACCCGCCCGCCTTCGCAACCGATAACAAGGAGAACACTCCTACGAACGAAACGGGTGCGAACGGCAATGGACCTAGCACTCCCTCAACCGCTAGCGTCAGTCTGGCCATGACACCGGCGGCAGCTCAGTCTCACAATACGAATGGAAACGGAAATGGAAATGGAAACAACTTCGCGCCAATGACTCCAGGGGGTGGAGGGGGCGTACTCGGATCCTTCTTCCAAGGAAGGAATTAGGCGTAACGCGAGTGCTATCTTCTCTTTGTCCAGCGAAACTTTTGCAAGGAACGATTGTATTGTAGTATTATGACACAGGCGGCGAAGCGAATTGAGGCTATGGAATAAACGTTGATTCCATCGTGACGTACATCATAGAGAGCATGTCGTTATGAAACATTGTGTAAGTAAGAATTGATATTTCGCATTGCTGTACAAAATAGAGCTAGCATTTGGCTCTTCACGAAACCGTTAGCATAGACTGTAATTATCCTGTGATTTGGCTGTCAAGTTACGTTAAGTAAGCAGGCATCTCCCTCCTTTACATACCAAAGTCAGGTGAACGGGCTTGGAGTCAGCAGGAGGGAAACGATTTGGAGAAGTAAATGAAGGCCGCCAATCATAATGCACGAAATGTAATGATTGGCTTTCGAAAGATGAAATGCTTGTGTGGTGAGCGCTGCCCCAGCGGTCAGAGAGCTACTCTATGCCTAATTTCAACCGAAGCGCCGTTCATGCCTCTCCCTGCCAGTAACTCGCTCTCTAAAGACAATCTTGAAAGCCCGCTGTTTTAAGTAAATGCTAAGTAATTATACGTCGAGCGCTAGGCGCCTTTGGTTGAACCCACCTGCTCAACGCGCATACTCGCTTTCCTCATGGAATGGGAGCTGGCTCAGGTGATGAACACCTTCTTCAACTCATGGGGCTCAAACACATCACCCGTCCTCAAGTCCTTGACCTGCCCTTCCTGCAAGCCCGATTTCTTGGCATAAGCGTCAAGGCTCGCCTTGCCGTATGCCCGTCCGGTTGGTAATAATAACAGGTCATGTTCGACGTGGCTCTGGTTGTGATGGGCATATGGCACGTTGCGCGCCAGCTCGTTGAGTTCTGTGCTGCAAATTGGACACACGGTCGCCGCTAAAGCCAGACTTGTCGAGTGACTGGGTGCTGCCGCCGAGGCTGGATGTGCGGAATGGCATGCTGGTGTCTTCAGGGCGGAAAGACCGGATGAGAGGGCCATATGTAGTAGAGGAATCGAAGGAAGCGAGAGAAGCGTGTTGTGTGTAGTGGTAAAAATATCGGCCAGTATCTCCCAGCGTTTAGGAGAGTAGAGCTCCCGATACGCTGGATATTTATACGCTCGGTCTGGCGGGACGGCCAACAGTCCACACGCTTGCTGAACCTCCCTGCCGTGGGTCTCGCGGTAAGGATGTAAGAATCTCTGTGCATGCTTGATGGCTTCGGTGAGCTTTGCGGGTGTGTAAGGTCGGACGAGCTCGATGTATTGTTGATACCGAAGCATGAACTCGAGATTGCTCTATAGTGATAGTTAGCAAACCGCGCTGTCACGGGCAGTCGTCCAACCTCTAGAAAGCGTGAACATACGTCCATCTTCCGTAACTCCTTTTTCGTGTCTCCTGCCGTGCACCAAGCCAGCGCCTCCGCTACGCTCCCTTTTAGCAGAGACCCACGTACGCGACTCATCTGCTCAAACGTCTCTACATCCACGAGGTCCTCTATCCCTCGCTCCTGCGCCAACATCCTCGCGCTGTCGTTGAACCCACTCCTCAACAAGTAGTCCACCAGCAGCCGATTCAGCCGCGTCCGGCTCCAAGCCTCGTACTTGACGTCGTCGACACTGTGCATGCCGTATAGCTCGCCGAGGTGGCTCACCCGAGCTGCCTCGTGCCGGTACAATCGGGCCTCTTCGTCGGCAAAGGACGTCAGTTTGCGCTTGACGCCGCGCATGCGCGAGATCATAGAGTCGAGGGACTTGAGAACATCTTCCTGCGAGGAGCGGCCGTTGACAGCCGAGGTCGCTGTGTCTTTCAGTGTGTTCTTGATCCAAGTGCCATCGCGTTCGACTTCATATCGGGCGCCGTGGAAGTTCTTGCGTAGGAGTTCGAAGGGGAGGCGGAGGAAGGGTTGCTCCTAGACAAGTGTTAGCCATGCGCTGATGCTCTAGTTAAGACGAGATAAAGGTTATGGGGCGAGAGGATGGTAGATGGTGGTCGTGTTGGGCGAGAGAAGTAGCTTAGCAAGCGCAAACGAGGACTAACAAGGAGGAGATGGTTCTCGTAGTCGAGCTTGGAGGCTTCGTGGTCGCCCATCGTGACCATATACCAGTGATTTGCGTCTATTAAAACTTGTCACAGCACTTGTCATAGAAAGCTTAGAACTTGTCGTCGACTACGGTCGACGGAATTGACGTCGTTCAAGTTCGGCAATCGGCCAATGTCGATCCGTGGGGTTAGTGGAGTGAAGTTAGCTGTACCCCGGCCACGCTACGTACCCGCACCCTGCAGCCAGCAGCAGTTCCATCTCCAACCGCTTCGAATACGAGTTTCTAGCAATCTTCACCATCTTCACTTTTTTCCCGATTTTCACAGAGAGAATTTGCTTTCTACAATGGTGCCCAAATCAGCAAATTGCTATTGCCAATAAAAACCATAGACTTATTAGTCGGCCGCTATAAAACCTCGCCTCACCTAAAGACTATTCAAGCCTTTATTCAAGGAATCGCTAAGTACGATCTTCCAAACAAGTCATCGTCTTTAGGTTCCCACGCTAGATACTCAAGTATCTGATGTTTATCCACAAACCATTTTCCAATAGGGCATCTCCCAAACTCGCTGATTCTGAAATCAACCCTTGGTGGTCTGCCCTCACATCTCTAATGATCACCGTCCATCATCGCTATCTTCAGGAGCAACCACCACTTTTCAACCTCTGGCCATACTGAGAATCTTTGGGCATGTCCTTCATAAGATCAATGCGTTCAACCAACGCCTCAGATCGAAGAATCCACTTCGATGCCTGCCGAAAGACGCCACGCGTCGAGGAAAGTCCCCCGAAGCTCGTCCACAGTGTCATGGAACAAACGCTTCAAACCATCCAAATAGCCTTATAGGCCAGTTTTCTTTCCAGTGAATTCCTAGTCAGACAATCGTGGACGAGATTGCTGACTCCGTATTTCACCATGATACGCCGCCAGCTCTCTTGGCCTCAGCTCTGCCATGAGGGCTTTCCTAAATGATGCGACGTCGCTTTGTAGGCGTCTCTGGCTGAGTATTCTGCGCAGGCTGTGATGGCGTCACGTGGGGAAAACCCCCGTTTTCTTGAGGATGATCCCACACCAAGTTATGGCCAGGAGTATATCCTTGAGCTGGCATGTGGGAATAACCGATCATTCGACCATTGTTCATCTGCCCTGTCTGACCGTTGTTCGCATGGAAGGCCTTCATGTACTCTATCTGGCCATTATTTGCACGTGAGGTTTTCATGTGCTCTGGCTGACCGTTGCTCGGTGGTTGGATGCCGTTTGTAAGTACTGACTGACTATTGTTCGTGTGAAAGGCGGCCATCTGAGCATTGGCATTGTGATGCAGTGACTGTCTGGGTCTAGCTGCTGGTCCATGTGATACAGCTCGGGGAGGGTATCCGGATGGAAACTGTTCCGGATGCCAGGGCTGAATGTGGTGAGGATGTGGGGATGGAGTCTGCTGAGGTTGCCGAGGTGGATAGGAGCCGGGATATCCGAGCATCTTGTTCTGAACTGCAGGTGTTCCTAGGGACGGTGTTGGGATCGGGGCCGGGGCCCAGCTCAGTGGCGTTATGTTAGATCGGTTGTGCGCCATATGTGTCGGTGAAACATGCGTATAGGCGGCTTGGGGCATGGGCCGGGGCGGTAACGTGCGCGGGAGCTGTGGCCATTCCTGTGGCGATAGCGAGGGCGGTGGCATCATTCGCGCTACTATAGCTGGCTTCGGTGGGAGCTTGTGTTTAGGGGTAATTAGCGATGTTGCCTTTGCGGGGCTCTCTGATGAAGGTGTTCGCTGCACTTGTGGTGTTTCTTCCTGTAGCTTGGCTGATGCGGTTGGTAGGAGTTCAATAGCGTCTAACTGCGACTGCACTTGCATGTTCTCCTGGCTTGATCCAGGCTGTACATTGACCTCTTGGCCATGCTGCGCTGGCGTCTTCGCTCCACCTTCCTTCTGAGTATCGACCGCGAGCTTTTGCAACGAAAACGGCTGGTCATTTCGAAGTAGTGATGTCGAGTTCAGGCTGGCGAAAGGGACGTTGGGGCCCACTACCAAGGCAGTATTTGGCGCTCGCGGCGGTGGAGGCCCTAGCTGCTTTGTCGGAGTATGCGGTTGAATAACCCTCGCTATTTTGGCATGATCAGAACTGGCCTTCTCAGGCGTGGTCGTATCCGGGGTCGCGTGCTGGGTCACCTTCTCTCTTGTGATCTTTTCAGAGGTAGCCTCCTTTGATGTAGTCTTCTCTGCGGTTCTCTCCTCTGCGATTTTCTCCCCCTTGGTCGTGTCAGGGGTCATATTCTTTGGGGCGGTCTCTGGAATGACCGTTACGATAGCCGCAGTTTGCTGGGATGATTGTGATCTGGTAGGAGACAGGGGCGGCGTTTTCATGCCATCGGTCTCAGGCGATGAAGGAAACTGAATGAACTCGTCGATGGACTTTTGGAAAAGCTCTTCGTTGGTATCCTCGTGGAACTCACAAGCAGCACTTTGGCCCCGGACCAGGCCCGAGAGGTCGTTGGCGGCATCTTGTCGGTCCTGAAACAGTTAAAAGTCACCACGTGCTCTTTGCGAAGGGTGTCGAGAGTAATTGGATTTCTGAAATCTGCCCCAAAGGCAAAGTCCCTAACTGACCTGTTCTTTCTCCATTGTGCTTCTTATTTTATTTCCCAGAGCATCTGCTTTATTGAGGAGGGCTGTCACAATCCTAATGTTCTTCTCGATACTTGCACCCTCGGTGGCATCCTCGCTGACACAATTGAGGATGTTTTTCGGAGACACGGAGTTGAGTTGAGCCCCTATCCACTTCAGTTTCCCGGTTAAGTCGCTGATCCAGTCGAGACCTCCCTGGCAAGCTGGAATGCGGTCATTCTCTGGGAAGAGGTCGAAGGTTGAAGTGAGAAAGAATGCCTATGAAATATCAGATGAGAGACGGGGTAGGTTCAATTCAAAGAACATGCGTACCGAGACTTGCTTCTGACATCTAGCAATCATGTTCGGAGTACCCAGAAGTTGCCCATCGCTGTTCCTTTTGGCCATGATTGGGGTGCTTCTGCTTATCCCGAGGGACAAGTAGCATGGTCCATTTATGCCAGTTGCTCACTCGCGAATGAATGCTGTGGTGACTGTCCCTTTTGGTGTTACTTTGATAGTGGATGAATGACGAGTGGCAAAAGCAGTAACGGAGGACAATTGAAAAAGAGGGATGAGTTTGATGTGACGATAATAATGGTGTTAGGGGGACAATGGGAATTGCAGGCAATCAAGTGCACGATGATCGTGGCCGGCTCAGTGTGATTTGCACTATGATAATGATAAGGGCGACATGGGAACGTCAGTATAATTAATATCGCAAAGGCAGCTGCGATCATGGGGCTTGCCGAAAGAATGGCAGGCGTGATTTCGATACGATGCTAAAGGCTGTGAGCCTATCGGTGGAGACAGCTAGTAATCCTCACTTGGAGACACACTGTGGATGACGGAATAAAAAGTGTGGGATTGTTGGGTGTCTGAATGGGTGGAGAGTGACCACTAGAAGACTTGGATTTTATCTTCCAACACAGAGAAAGTAGATACACCCACACATCCTTAACAATTTACGGCAGTCCAACTACAGAGGCTCTCAAAGGGGCAACTTGAACCTGCCCAATGATTATTGCAGGTTTTCTTCAATATTGTTCCATCATTGCACTGCGAGGTGGAATAAACCCCCTAAACTGGGATAATTCAGTGTTCTTCTTTTCCATCAGCCCTCTTCCCGTGAGACTATCTAGTCTCTTCCAATACAGTAACTAATCACACAGCTTTGAGCCAGAAAGTTGCACTTGTTCTTACAATCATCGCCGACAATTGCACCAGGGTAAACATCGCATGCAGAGACTGGCAAATATCCATAGCAGAGATTGAAATGACCTTCATCGCAAGGCAGAAAATACAGAAATTAGCAAATACCCCACGAAGATGCTCTGAGATCCAGTCAATTTCAATACTTAAATAACAGATGCACGTGCCAGTTCCAGGAGACGTTAGAATCATTGCCGTACAAATTCAGTTCCTGAAAGCGCCAAAGTAGGCTGAAATAGAGCTCTTGAGTTCACAATCGAATGGCTCAAGTATGGAAGCATTAGGGCGCTTACAGCCAGGGTTCTATATTGTAAAGCCATGCTAAGGGCAGTGCCAAAAGGGTGACGTCGTTGGAAGGAGAAAGGAGCGACCCGAGGAGATGACCAACGCTGAGGTATTCGGAAAGGAAAATCGGATGGGAGACAAGAAAAGGACGCAAATTGGAACTTGATAATCTACAGAAGACTAATCTGAAGTTACTACCTGATTATTTACTCAAGTAGCTGAAAGAGAAGCTAAATGCCGCGAGGTACTTAGATGTAAGAGGAATCATATGGTTTGTTCCGTTATGATATGCCAGTTAAAAAATTTCACAACGCTGAATCTAGGACCTGGTAAAAAAATATGAGATAGAAAGAGAGAGAGAGAGGTATCGTATTTGTGAAGTCTTCTTTTTTTTGTTAATTGCGAGATATTAAGGAGTGGCATCGTAGAAATCGTGGGACTGGACCATACAGGACACTCAAACTGCTTATTCTGAAAGTTGCGAACACTGTTCCATCAACCAACATTCAAGATAAGTATCACAAATTCAGGGTCAATGGACATCAGTTTCTGAAAATAACACAGGTTTTCTTGGAGACCATCTGAAGTTCTTCCACTGCCTATTTGATTATATACGTATCTCGTGGAGCAGCTAGAACAGTCCGCAATTGTACATTAGTATGGGGAACGGTCCTAAAAAAACAACTTAGTTCTGAAATACTTCAGCATCGTGGGATCAGGCGTGGATTTTTGAATGTAGTTTAATTTTACTTCACTCATCATTTACTTGCCATGATCTGGGGAAGATGGTACATACGAAGTCGCACTTAAACTAATAAAGCATTGGGTGTTTTCCACATAGAAAATATGCAGATGAAATTCAGCACCAGAAGAATTACTGCCTATCATGCTGCCTGAAAACGAGAGATGTTTACGTTGACCTGGTCCCATGCTATTGCTATATTTCAGGCGCAATCTTTTAAAGCAATATTATAATCTTGGACGTTTAATACTACAACCATATGAGGATTGTAAAATTGTAGCCTCTCCACTTTCTGCCCGTCACTGTTAAGAGCGCATTGTGGTGTCAAGTAACAATCACAATATCCAGGCTGTAGTGAGTAAGCTAGGGTAGCAAAGAAACACTGCGTCTCACCTAGGTTTCAAACTGCGAGTCGAAGTTGAAGCTCTAAGTGATTGTGAAAAGCATGAGGTGCTTTCCAGGTCATGATTAATATGAAGAGATGTGTATTAAACATCTAGGTGTTTCTGCGGGCAAAACGGCCCAACGTTGTTGTATCAATTAGGAAGTTATCGTAGGTTGCCTTGGCAGTTACGCTACTTGTCACGTGCCTGGGCCGAATACTGTGCCATATCTGCCCACAGTTCCTCATACATATACTAAGGCCTAGTTTTTGGTAGGAAGCGATTTTATTAACAGGGGGGGTTCGGCGTCGCAAATGGATCAAATTTGAATATAAACTTCCCGCGGTCACCTGAAGCCAAGGCTGAGTAAGTATTTCACACAACTTACTCAAGCTACGCGGTTAGAAGTAAAATAGACGACTGAGTGCCCTTTTTTTTTTCTTGTTGTGCCGGGGCTATATCTGTGTTTGAAATATGGACACACATTTCCTGGGAAGTTAGTTAAGACTGCTTGGATTTCTTAGAGTCCAAGATACTAGTTGACAGCAAAGTTGTTTTCTTAGATTGAAGCTCTAGAGACGTCTGGCAACCCCAGTGACCCGACTTGTCCAGGTGCAAGTAAAAGCACTCATAAGAGGTCAGTTTTGATGCCAATTTAGCCAATGGCAACGAGATCCACATAACGTACAACCCCACCTTTACGGCCACCCACCTTTCTGGCCACATATTGCAATCCAATTGAAGGTATTCGAAACAGTGTATTCAACGTACTATTATAGCTATTCAGGTACAACCAGCTCTAATAGAAAGCTGTGCTCTAGGGCTTCCTGAGGTATAGATCTGATAGATTCTGACGCCTTAGCTGGGTCCAGTATTACCTGATTCCGACGTTGTACCTGGTCTCGTTGCCGTTCTACTTCAAGGGCTCGATCCATCGCTTCCTTAATCTGTACAATGTTACCAAATCTGTCATTAGGCCCTAATCGTACCTTCTTACGTGGTTTGGGGCGTAACGAAGTTATCTCGGCTTCTAATGCGTGTACACGTTGGGTCAAAGTAGCGACCTTGACGCTCTGTACATCTAGCCGACGAGTCAGCTTCCGAAACAATAGCCGTTGCGACGATCGTAATGGCATAATCGCTGCCAGACTCTCCCTAGCTACTAAGCTAGTCACTGGCATCGCTATTATTATCGGATGAAGCCAATTACCAGCTGTTGGTAGTGTAGTTGGTCGTTCTGATAGGGGGGCTATCGTCGGCTGAGGTCGCGATGGATCTAATGGGTATATTCCAGTTGCAGAGAAGCCTGATTGTATATTACTGATCGTGAACGACTTCGTATATGCCTCGATGTATAGCGAGAGGAACGTCGACTTTTTAAATGGAATAGAACAGTACTCGATCGAGAGAGAGGTCGCTAACGAGCGATAGTACCGCTTTAATGGAACAAATACGGCGACGTCGAGAGGTTGGAGCCCGTGAGAACAGTGTGCTGGCAAAAATAGTAACGAGATCTTGTTATAATAGGCTAACCACATAAACTCGACGTTGTCGTGAGCGATATGACCATCTAATATCAAGAGCCGCTGCTCGTCGGGATCAACTGGTTGTGTACGAGGTATAAAGATATCACGAAGCTATCGAACGGCGATATCTGTACTGATCCAACCGTTAGACGAATAAGTATATTGCCAATCAGGTATATCGTCGCAATCGTTAAACCATTGGGCTTGGAGGCTCTTGCTAGTATATATTACTGCTGGGGTCAACGAGTTACCCATCGCCGATATAGCATGTAATATAGTGACCTATTCGCGGCTTTCGTCACTCCGAACGAATGTTGTATGTTTCTCCGACGATCCGTACACTATATTCTCGATCCCTTCGCCAATCGCGATGCCTGTTTCGTCTATATTCTAGACGTTATGTGGAAAGTAGTCGTGAGCTGACATCAAGGCTTCGTACGTCTCGAAGAAATCGTCGATATTCTGCGTCGATAGGCCATCAAATCGCTGACGGTCGAGGCGTCGAGATTGGATACTTCCGATCTGGATGGCGTTGAATAAAGCGATGAACCCAATGGCGACCGAGGCCCTCTGATCGACGATCCTGAGGTAACAGAATCAACGCCATCTTAGCGATGAATAGCGCCGACGGGCTACGACCCTCGTGGTCCATTTCGAGGATCCATCCAATCAGCGCGTCTTCCTGATCCCTAGATAGCTTCATCGACGCGATTGACGCGTCAGAATGGCTGAGGCCATCGCCGAGTCGTAATTGGAGGGTAGAGCGTGGAACGCCCTATCGGAGGGAAGCCTGGCGCTGGGATATCCCTTGATTGATATCGTTGAGAGCGCCTTGAATCGAATTTTCTGAATATCGAGGCATTGTATAATAATAGCCAATACCGACGATAATCTGTAGTGCCGAAGGTTGTTGTAGTTGGCAGATTAGGTGGCCAGAAAGGTGGGTGGTTTGTACGTTAACCGCTGCAAGGTAGCCCTGTCTTGGTGGCTTGGCAAGTGTGGGAGATTCGCCGCTCGGCTGCCACCGGGGCCCAGGCAGACGATCCACTATTTGTACGTAGAAGGGCTAGATCACGATTGATAATAGCATAAGTTGCAGATGCAGCTTGGTGAATAGTGCTGGATAGATCGATATTATAGTTTTATAAGCAGACACAACATGCTTGCAGCCAGTCTATCATTTATTCTGTATAATTGCATTGATCTGTTGGTGCCTCAGGCATTGATAAGTGGATCATCCATCTGACACCCAAACGCGCTCTCTGAACCCGTGACCCATTGCTCCTTCCCATTTCCTGAAGATCTCCCGTCGAAGTGCAATTGCCATAGAAGAATCGCATTTGAATATAAGGCTGTGAGCGCACTCGGTGAACCCGGAAAACCCTCACGATATTCGCTCTGCCTGCCTTGAAGGAAAAGGTCTTGGTTCTTCGAGAAGTTGGGTTCCATATTTCTTCATCGACAATCGACCTCGAGAACACGTGCGTGCAGCAGTCACGAGGTAGGATATCACCTGACTGGAAAGGTATGTCGATTTCCTTTTATCGCTGTCCCGGTTCACGATGCAGCATCGGTCGCATTCGATAGCGACTTGACAGATCACACTCGCCAACACTTCTCATATCTTCAGCTCCCGCTTGCAAAATCTCTTCGTTTGCATTGCGTCCGCCGTGCTTTTAAGCCTCGTAGTGCGACTATCTTACCTGGCCCACATGCGCAAGTGCTGCTTCAGAATCGTACAACGAAGAAAAAAGAAGAGACCGGCACATGTCGGATACATTGTGCATTTGACAAGCTGACCATGCTCAGCCATGGTGCAGCTCGAAATCACTTCGGCCATGGGATTGGCATCTGGTCGCAATGTCAGATTGTTGGGACTACGCGGTTGGGGGCTTCATCAACTGATGACCGCCTGCATCTCAATCCAGCAACTTGACATGAAGGCTTACGGACTTCTTCCCGTACAACTCTTTGATGCATCAGTTTGCCGTGGCGAGATGGAAGTTCTCGACTGATTCTCCCGCTTGGGTCGTGCCTCTTGATAATGCCTGATGCTAAACCTGAGCGTTTTTGAAATCAGATTGAAGTTGAAGCTAATACCATCTGCCAGGGCAACCAGCGACTGCAGTTTTGAGCTTCCGAAAGGCATAAAACAGCCTTTCTGTTCAGGAAGTCATTATAGACGCCTGCAATCATTGAATCCTCAGAAATCTTCATCTGCAGCGATCCCTTGCAATTGTCACTGCGAGTACTTCTCCTTGACTTGCACGATTCTCTGGGGGCCTTCATCGCACTGGACCTACCCTAGGTGCTGTCACTCAAGCAGCTAGCTACCTTTCATAATTAAAAATGATGGAGTCAACCGGGTATCACCAAGCCGAGTCGACCCTGGAGTTGGTCCCTGATCGTGCCTACTTGACTGCGATGGCTGAAGCAGTCACTCAAGACCAAAGCGAGTTCAGCCCCAACAGTCCTAGTCAGAAGCGAAAGCGAGGGGCCCCCGATTCACCATCTGAATCTCGCCGAGCAAAGCGCAATGCACCAGCTGCAGCCATGTCAAGCAATCCTGATGCGGATCCTGCAGCCTATGTCGAGACGGCTGTGGAGGCCGCGCAGGCTGCTGCCGCTGCCAACGTCAGCGCTGCAGATTTCACTGCCCTTCAGCAAGCAACAGCAGACCACCACGAGTCTGCCGATCCTGCGAATGCATCAACCACAGCAGCAGCAGCCCTAGGATCTATGTATCCAACCCTCCACGTCCCACAAACAACCGAGGAGACCTTTGCCGCACAAGTCGCGAATGAGAATGAGCATCATCATGACGCATCCTTTGGGACCACCGATATGCTTCAAGGTGACAACAACAACATTCCTGATACAACTGGTTCCAGCATAGTACCGCCGTCAATACAGAACGGCATCAGACCAGCCCAACCCGCATATTCTACTTCATCACACAGTAAGGCGGCTGTAGGCTCTGAGGAGTGGCATAAGCAACGCAAGGATAATCACAAAGAGGGTAAGTTTGGTATCGACGATTTCTCCAAAACAATGGCTGACTTGTTTCTTCCAAAGTCGAGCGTCGCCGACGGGAAACTATCAACGAAGGCATCAACGAGCTTGCAAAAATCGTACCTGGTTGCGAGAAGAACAAGGGGTCCATTCTTCAGCGTGCAGTCTCGTTCATCACTCAGCTGAAGGAGAACGAGGCTCAAAATATTGAGAAGTGGACCCTTGAGAAGCTGCTCACAGAGCAAGCTATTCAGGAACTCGGTGCTGCGAACGACAAGCTCAAGCAGGAGTGCGAGAGAGCATACCGGGAGTTGACTCTTTGGAAGCAAGTGGCCCAGAATGCGGGACTGCAACCCACTCAGTCGAAGGAGGAGCCTGCTTCCTCTTAATGCACCTCTCGGCGATGACTACACTACGCATTCCCTCTCGAAGTCGTTGATTTTTCTATACCCCCTTTCTGTGCCACTTCTCCTTTTCAGGCACCTCTCCGCGTGCCATATTTGAAATTTGTAACCATTATTCGGCCAATGATCCTAATTTTGAGATGGATGGGAGATCGCACATGGTGCAGGTGGTGCTCAGTGTCATGGTAGCACCTGGAATCATATGATGGATGTCTTGAGGCTGGCGTTCATGGCACACGGCTAGGTTAGGCTTATGCTCGGACTTGGGCTCCCGAGAAGATTTGTGAGAAACAGTCGCCCAGAATGCTAGGACTTGAGCTACTATTTTCGCAACATTTCTATCTACACATGGGCCTTTTGAAAACAGGCTCAACAGGCTCATTCATGGTGCAACGTGAAATAAATGCATAGTACCACATCTAGTTACCATATGTCCAACTCGTTGCGCCCAACTGTGACATGATCGCGCAGGGCTTGGGACAGCAATGGAACCAACAACGGAACCCAAATGCTACCCATGCCGCCCGTTAAGGACAAATAAAAGGGCTGAGGTAAGAGTCTAGAACAGGCTTACTATTATACTTTACACCTGCAGCTAACATGAAACCGTTGGATATGTATAGTGCCATTAAGCATTTGAGAAGCCTGAAGCTTCAATGCCGATTGCCACATTGATCCCTCAGAATAATCCATTGGTTTACTTGGTTTGGGTGAGGGTGATTCCTGGGTGTTTCTCTGTGCATGTCCCCCATGTCTAGATGGTACGTTTAGATGACGAGTCTAGCACAGTAACTAAGGTCAAGTAGGTAGTCTTTACCAGACCTCTTGCAATCCACAGCGTAAATATTAGTTGCGCGTCTCAGTAATAACGCCGCCCTGCAGAGCCGCAAGTGCAAGCAGTTTCTAGTTTCGAGGCCCAAGAATGAATGCTGGTGGCATAATGCCATGATTGGTGGTTTACTCTTAGACTGCCTACACATTGCCGCCCTGAGAGTTATGCAAATTCGACGGCACAGTTCTCAAGGCTGGGGCACTTGAACATTATGCAGTCGAGCCTATTTCAGTGAAATGACAAAGCATCAAAAATCGATCATTGACTAGCAAATCTACGCTGGCTTGTGGAGGCGTTAGATTCATCTGAAGAAATGATAGTGTTCTTTCTAGAATCATGTAACACAATCATGTAACACGACATGGATGAGCAGCAGTCGCATTACTCTGCTTTTGGAAATATTTGACAAACGATGACTTGAATAATGTGCTAACAGCTGCTGACAGTAAACAAACAAACCTGAAGTAGGTACAGAGTAGCGATGCGCAAAGATTGAGCATACGAAAGTGTGGTGGAGATAGATGCTATGTGGACCAGAATTTTCCATGTTCGCCTCATTCTTAGTCGCAATCGCACTTGCCCCTCATGCATGCGGCCAGGCCATCGGTTAGGCACCACCTGCCCGTGCTGGTGGCTGCGCCTTCGCTCTTGTCTTGAATCTCAGTTTCGAATTTCTCCTTGCTCACCTCCCCCATCCACCCCATATCTCTCTCAGCCCTCCTAGCTTTTTTTTTTCCTTTTTTTTTTTACCAACAATTGCCCACGACACTGCGTCGCATCTCCGAACGACTCATCTGATCGCACTGCTTGTTTTAGACACACGACACCCCCGCAATTCGCCGCTGGCCTTGACCCTTCGACATCGGCTTCCAAAGCGTCGCCTCTGTTGTCTCCGAGTGCAAACACGCAACCCACATCTCTATCTCCACTTCTTCACACATCAAATCCCACGTAAATTCCTATTCTTCTCAAACCTTGCACCTCTGCCCCTCGCATTCACCACCACATCTGACACTCACCATTGTCCTCGACAGCTATCGCTGGGCCGCCGTAACCGAGTACCAAGTCGGCTTTCGCATTCACAAGTCCCAGACTACAACACCACACTCCCACTTAGACGGGTACACATCACACTGCTGTTTATGTATCAGCACGACAAGACCGCTGTGTTTAGACACCTTCCCCCTCTCACGCTGCAATCATTTCGCATACCGCGGAAGCCTTGTAGCCCCAACATCAGCTCAGTCGGTTGAACGAAACAGCAACGAGTTAATGCCTACCTACGCCGGTAACAACTGCTCGACAGTCGACCCTACGCCCATGTCCGCTAGGAATAACCCCTCGTATTAACGTCCACCTCTCTCTCTCTCTCTCGCTCTCTATCTCTACCGAGTCCGACAAGCGCCTATAGCTTCCAATCGTCCTACGAATGACCGACAGTCCGTATTAGTCAAGTCATCCGTCAACGAGAACTCGTACAGCCACCCCCGTCATCACAACACCCATCGCATCAACTACTTTCCCGTTCAATACCGCCATCATGGTTGAACTCCTTGCTGTCAACCCCAAGAAGGGGGACGATAAGTTCTATCGTTACAAGATGCAGAGAGTCATGGTCAAGGTTGAAGGCAAAGGAAACGGTATCAAGACCGTTGTTGTCAACCTGAGCAACATTGCTGCTTCCCTCGCCCGCCCGGGATCCTACGTCATCAAGTGGTTTGGCCTGGACCTTGGTGCCCAGACCAACATTGACCCTCCCGATGACCGCTGGATCATCAATGGTGCCCACGAGGCCGAAGTTCTGCAGAAGTCCCTCTTTACCTTCATTGAGAAGTACGTCCTCTGCGACGACTGTGGAAATCCCGAGACGGACATCTCCATCAAAGACGATGTCATTCGAAAGGATTGTAAGGCCTGTGGTGCCCGCAGTAGGCCCCTGCCCCACACCAACTTGACCAACTTCATGATCAAGACTCAACCGAAGAAGGGTAAGAAGAACAAGTCAACCAAGGCTGAACGCCAGGCTGCCCGCGTTGCGAAGCAGCGAGGCCTCCAGAATGGCAAGGAGAATGGCAGCGGCAGCGGTGGTGATGACAACTCGGAGAACGGCTCCAACGAGAATGGCAACAACGATGACGATGATAACGACGTCGGTAGCGACGACGAGTTCACCAAGTTCAAGGCTGACGCGCAGGTCTATGATGCGTCCAAGGACATCAAGGATGATGACTGGGCTGTTGACATGTCTGAGAAGGCCGTCAAGGCTCGTCAGAACCAGCTGCCCAGCGAGTTTCGCCAGAGACTCGTCCTTGAAGGTGGCGAGGAGGACGAGGAGGGAGAAGGCGGCGGTAGCACCGCCTACGATGCCCTGGGTGAATGGGTTCTGGAGCAGGCTGAGAAGGAAGGCATTGATAAGGTTGATGACCTAGAAGTTTACAAGAAGGCTAAGGAGCTGGGCATCGAGGCCAAGTACAAGACTGTCTTGGTCCTCGTCCAGACTCTCTTCAACGAGAATATCGCCACCCAGATTCCCAAACGCGCTTCTCTGTTCAAGCAGGTATATACCCACCATTGCCTCGGTCGAAGGAACACGAAACTAACACCACAGTAGCTTGTCAAGGATCCTGAGGTCGCGGGAAAGAACTCGGAGCGCCACGAGAAGGCCCTTCTCGGTGGCCTCGAGCGCCTGTTGGCTAGCAAGGGTAAAGAGCACCCCAAACTCATGACCCCTGACACCATCTCGAACAAGATCCTGTATCAATTGTACGAGAAGGATTTGATCACAGAGGACATAGTCAAGAAGTGGGGCTCCAAGGCCAGCAAGAAGTACTGCGACCTAGCTATCTCGCGTGAGATTCGCCGCTCCGCTGAAGTTTTCATCAAGTGGCTTGACGAGGCTGAATCGGAGGAGGAGACTGATGACGAGTAGACTGGACCGTACGATCATGCCTGCTCGAGAAGTCCGTCCGGGCTTGTGATTTCGATGAACGTCTTACTGCTACTTCGTTGCATTTCTGTCTTCTGCGAGCAACCCAAACAAAAGTTCACCCCAGGTATACCACCTTCACACGCAAGGAAGGTTGCCTAGGGTCGATCACCACATGAAATTGTCATTCTAGTTAGGTTGCCCAGTTGTACTTGTGTCATAGCTCAATTCACGCCGCTGTCTACCCCCAACTGCGTTGAAGTTGTCCAACGCAAATAAAGAAATTTGCTGGCGCCTAAAGTGATAACCCAGTGCCCACTTCTAGTGACATAGAACTGCCGCAACCAGCTTATTCTACAAATATACGCTTACAATCATTTAGAAGTATCGAGCAAGGCAACCTATTCTTCCGCTACGGAAGCCCCCGCAACTAGTAAAGGTGTGTGTCTGTGTCTGTGACGTAAAAATCCAAATACTTGCTACACGCTAACGAACATTTGGGTACTACACGCCAATCGCTCTCTTCCCTTTCCCTACCGGCCTTTTCCATGCGTTAATGACTTGCTTACAGAATATGGACCATTGCAACAAAGGCGGCAGCGGCGGCAGCCAAGAAGGCGCCCTCGACTCGAGCTGCTGCTGCACTGACGACCTGGGCTTGGGTCGCGGAGGTTGAGGAACTTATACCTATGGCACTTGCACTGGTAGAGTACGAGAATGATATCAATGCTCCGGTACGGGCGATAGTCGTTGTGGTATTCGTCCACTTGCTCGCCATATCTGCATGAATAGAATGGGCGGCTGGTGTTGTTACTGTTCTGAGAAGCGCTGCGGTCGTCTCCGGTATCACTGAAGCTTCTCCCTTGGCCAAAGCAGTCACGGCCAGGGAGCTTGGGGGAACAAAGGTAGCGATGATGGGGATAGGGCACGGAATGAGGGTTACTGCGTCCGTGATGACATGCACGGCGTCCGGGGAAGCGAGGGTAGTAGTCATGGTTGGCGCTTCGGCTTGCGGAGGAGCGGTGATGTTGGCTGAGGCGGCGCAGATGGTGGTGAAACTGTCGATCGTTTGCGTGACGATGAGTTCCTTCTGATACGATGCGGGGCAATTAATGACTCCTGCAGCGCAGGCGGTTATGGTGTAGACCGTCGTGGAGTAGACTGTGGATGTCACCAGGTCGGTATCGGTGATGCCGGGATAGGAGGAAGAGTTGGATAGGGGGGAGCTGTGGCTGTATACGCCGGAAGAGCCGACGAGCGAGGTAAGAGGCGGGGAAGAGGTGGTGACTGGCGCCGAAGATGTTGTGTTGACGGGGTTGAAAGTCGTCTCGGTGATGCTTGGGCCGTATGAGGTCGGGAGTGGGAGGCTGACGGAGGCTGAAGCTCGAGCTGAATTGCTAATAAATGAAGAAACCAAGGGCGTTGCCGGATTGCTATACGACGAGGAGTCTGTAGCAGAAAACGGTTCGCTGAGGGATGCCGAGACCGCGGCTGGGGATGTAATGACACCTGTCGTTGTGGCCGTCACCGTGGCCGATACACTAGATGAGCCACCCCCCTCTATCCAGCATTGCGACATAGTCGGAGCAGTGAGCAATGTCGTCGATACTGTTGGGACCGGTCCAAGGGTCTTCCAATCGATAACGACGTCAAGATGGGCGTAAGCTGCAGGAGTCGGAATTAGCTTCAGCGTCTTGATGACACCAACGCCGGGACGATCACACTTGAGAGGGATATTGCAGAGAGCTGGGCGTATTCGTTCCTCCTAGGTTTGACTTACCTCCAACATTGAGATCCCACCACTCCGTACTCTCCAGCGCGCACGTCGGCGTCGAGTCAATAACCGCCACGAACTCGATGATATTTGCGTAGATGCCGACGACGGCGCCGGCCCCGATTCCGAATACGTCTATACTCGACTCTGCACCACATTGGACGCGAAGCCTAAGATCCGCCTTGAACGTGGCTGTACCTGACGTTACGGTTACTGGCAGAGACTTGCTGCTAATTCCATCACTACGTTGATGGTTTAACATATTGCCACAACACATGGTTGGAAGCAAGTCGACTTACAAAAAGGAGTTGGTGATGTCACCGCCAAAAATGTCAGCTTCAAGGAAAGCCCCATCTGCCAGTTTCACGTAAAATCCCCCGGTGAGGTCGATTTCCTCCGTCAGGCTGAAGACCAAATCTACGAAGAAGACAACACCCACACTGAGTCCCGGGAATCCCAATCCAATAGGAGAGTTAGACATGAACAGGTTGACAGAGAACGTCTGTGCCGCGTTTGTCTCGAGCCCAAGGAAAACGTATGCTTCAATCTGGTTGAACTCAAGTTTGACAGACGGATGGATAAGATCCTCCCACAATTCCGCGGTGACAGTTCCCTTGGTGTAGCAGTCCACACACGTGATTGTGAGTGCAGTACTGAGAGCACCGTTATCCTGAGTATCGGTCCAGGAACTGTACCCCAAGGCGTCCAAGTTAGCCTCACACATGGACGGTGGTCGAAATGAATTGCGTACCCGCCGAAAAGCACTTCGTCCTTCCATGTCTTTTCCATCGAGAAGTCGGCCGAAAGCCGTTTTTCTAGGTCTCGAGAATTTGCAAGCGCGATACCTTCACGTACGAGAAGATCAGCATCCGGTGCGTTTAACACAGACAGGTCCAGTGCCATTGGACTCGCTAAGCAGGCCGTTATAACCCAGCCCAGGGCCAGCACTCCGGATCTCGTAAGACCCATGGTTGATAAGTGACGGAATGTATAATTCGAAAGAGTGGAAGGCGAGTAGAACTCTGCCGCGAGACAAACCACTGTCCTCGGCTATAAAATTCAAAGGAAATATTGAAAGGGAGCGACGAGTAGCCATAGCATAGCTTGCAGAAGTAAATGGGAAACAGCTGAGGTTCTGTAAGACTTCTTATTGGGAACATAGGGGGAATCCAGCCCCATGCTGTCCAGCACTTGCTGATCATGTGGTCCTTGACCTATCATAGCAGCTTGACCAACCAAAACACGAGGACGACTGCCTCAATGGAATATCTCGCATTGTGGACCTTGGAAGGAGACTGATCTGCGGCAGAGGTAGGGGGCTCTCGGTAATCCAAGTCGACCTGAAGGCTGGCGCGGCCTGTCCGTTGGGGCGTCGAAGACAGGCTGAGCCAGCATGGGCAGCGAGATTGTTGCCAATCTGTCGTCGAATGAGATCGCGTGACAGGGGTCTAGCATAGGTCGGGGGGGGGGGGGGGGGTTTGGGGGGTTTGAGCCAAGACGTCAGATCTGCGGCTATGATAGCTGATTGGCCGGCTTCGAATGCTCATGCTTGCCCTTGATTGGTCATCTCAGCTTCCGCATAGTCAACGCTTCCAATGACTTGCCTTCGAAGTCTTCGGAATATGCTTTCAGGTGGTCGTTACAACCACTGGAATCAGCATTCAATCAACATGCTCATTGAAATCTAGATTGGTTTAACTCGATTCCTGCCCAGTAATAGGCACCGGGTGCAAGTATCGAGGTGACATGCCCTGTGGCCGACTCGGTCTGAAGTATGTAAGTTTCCACGGCGCAAATTGTTGCTGATGGGAGAGGAAGGATGATAGTATGCATACGTCCATATTACAGCTAGCTTACAATAATTGACGATAGAGAGCTCGATATCCCCAGCGCTACCGAGTCGAGATCTGAGGATCACCGGATGGACTAAAAGCCTCGGGTCATTTCTAGCACATATGTTTATATGTGTATGTGGTGGACACGATAGGTCCTATTGTAAATGGCTGCCGAATTTGACATGGTATCGGGGGGTTATCTAGCATGGAGCATACAGGCGGCGTGTGCTCACTGTAGATTGGAAGCGATCCCTGCATTTGCAATGGTCAGTATAATTCAAGTTCTGAGTATTGATATGCTCAACGGTCACCTAGAACTTACCTTGAGGGCGCGATGTGTTGCGATGATAAACCCAAGCTATCAATTGGCCAGTCAAATAATGTCAGATATCCGCCAGCATGCCATATACATCATCGTCTTTTATGCTCTTCTGTCCAAGCAAGTTGCAGTCCATCAGCAAAATCGACATGATTCCAATTCTTTTCCTCCAAGATCACGAAGGGAAGATCCTTCTTTGCTGTCTTGTTGAATTGTGTGGGTCTCAGCAGGCGAGATGATAATACGCAGCCACCGCGTGCAAGACTGCCCAAAACATCTGGAGACCGACAGTAGCGGTATATGTGGGCGTGCATGTGCGGCTATTTCAGAAAATTTGGTGCCCTTGGTTCAAGGCGAAGGGTGGGAAGTTGGTACGATGTTGTCGCGATGTTGAAGTGAATTGATTGGAATTTCGTGAAGAGCAGGACGTTCCTCCGCACTGACACAGCTCGGTTTTTCCACATTCATGCATTGCGACGGTTGGGTACAGTGGTGGCAGTCTTCAATCAGAATCGTTGTCATGTCAGGACTGTGCACCGGGCAATGGTCCTCCTGGTATCGTTTTCTCAAGCATTCAAAGACCGTCGCCTCCTCGCATTGGCAGCGGTAGACGAACCGCACAGTTGAGCACATCCTGCTATCAAGTCGGTTAGTGTTGGGCGAATACAAGGAGGCTGCAGCACCGCAGCTGGGCATCGGATACCTGGTGAAACTAAATTGGATTTGGAATTGTTGAAGTGAAACTGTATCCCGAGATGGGCGTGCACTGCACCCTCCCGTACTGCAATTCCAGATGGGAGGAAAAGGGTTTTGGCATAAAATACCAGCCCAGGTGGGAGTCAATGACCCCAAATACAGTCTGCCGTAGGCTACTTCAACGAGAAGTTGCGATCCGAGAGGCTCGGGCCATTTGGTCCAGGAGAGGCAGTCGCGGCTGCCAACGAATGCGTGATCTCCCGAACAATGGGACATACTGGAAGCTCTAACCGACATCTTTTCAGTCTCTTGTAAGTCAGTTCCATTAAGGACATATCTGGCTCTCACGGGAGAATAGACATTCATCAATGAAACGCTTTTGATCATCCCACCGGAACGAAGAGCGACGATAATAAGTCTGGACATTTGACAAAAGACGCCCAATTTAGGCCACTAGCAAGACTGTCAAGTGAGTATTTGATTTTGCACAATCCAGTGAGTGATGCAACCGAACGTGGCGTACCTCATTCAACATCAAACGATTCCCTACGGTGTACCCCCGAGAGATTTCTGCAAGCCTCATTCGACCCCACCTGCGATATGTTACATGGCTATAGCACAGACAGCCAGATGGAAAAGCCACCCACCACCGAAAGGGAGCTGGCACCTTGAAGCCCTAGTACGGCCAAGGGGGATTTTGTCGTCTACATCCCGACGCTAATCCTCAAGTGAATCCTTGGGATTGTCTTTGTATGTGTTGCCTATGTGGCTCCACGAGGTATATTGTGGTTTTGAAACTCGTCACTTGGGTCAAGGTGAGTACTGGGTGGTTACTCATTCTCTTTCTGATCTGTTCGGGGGCAGATATCTGTGTTGTTTGAATGTCTACTGGAGGTACTTCTACTACACTTCAATGGAGTGGTGATATCTTTATGACGTAGATTCTCTTGTTGGCTTATAGATAATCAAACAGCGCTAATAAGATGAGGAATTTTCCTCCTTACCATTATATCATGGAACCAGTTCTCAATAGTAGATCTCTGGGTCAATATGTTCAGCATTCATTTTAAGCTGGGGCCAAGTGGTAGCATATTCAAACTAGTTCCACCATATCCAATAATCTTGAAGATTTGACCGCACTGACATGCATCAACGCAGGGGTGAAAGTTTTGCTGTGATCAACATTGGCTCCGTGATGTTGTACATTTCCATCTCATAGGGGCCCGGTATAGGTGGTCATCTAGCTTACCCTTTTCATGATGATGTATTGCCACACGGTTTCCTGAGAGTTAGCCCCATCAGTATCACCAATACAGCTCTCTTGCCTGTACTGCCCACACAAGGAGACGCTGATATAGTTTGGTTTCCCCTCATTTACCGGGAACATTCCGATGAGATCTAGATTTATCATCACCACGGTCTTGGAACGTGGACGCGGTGCGGGAATGGATTGCTTCTGCTTTCATCGGGATGACCACAGTGTAACCCTCTTAGGAAAGAGCGCGTACGAATCAGGATGATGCTTTTATATGCCCAAGCGTAAAACTCCCAAAGGGAAATGGGGATTATTTCCACCAAAGTAAACCCGATCCAGCTCCTGAGTGGCATGAGGAAGGCCGTGTACAGATCAGGAAACTGGGCGCCGTTCTCACGAACTAGAAGCTAGGCAACACGGATTCTTATACACGTCGACTCAAATTGTGGCCGGGCAATATTGCGCGCGGTATGAAAAGACAAAACCTCTCATTATAAGGCGCTTGACCATTGACCCAAGTTTGTTGCTCAGAGCGACATCACTCTCCTGTATCGAACGACCGAAGAATGAAGCCAATACTTCTAAATCTGTTCCTCGTCACGCACTTAGGCTAGTAGGCATTCCAGTAGAAACCCCTCACGTGAGAGAGTACTATATGATAATAACTCCCGAGAACCATATCAGGTAACAATACCCAGAACTCGCGTTCGATCGACATCCAACGTGCTCGGACAATGTGGGGTGGCGATCGTGGGACGGGAGGGGAAAATGTCACGCATGATCATAGATGCGAGATTATAATGGTGAATTCCGCGGAGATTGTCAAGTCTTCAACCCGTAAGCGGCGCCCCGGTAAGATGTGGATCACGGGAGATGCTTGGCATTTGCACATGGCGCCCGCCTCTATCTTTTCCTCTATCAGTCCTGCATGCCTGATGACCTTGACGCCGAAACTCCAATGGGGCCGTCTATCGCCGTTGCGAAAACGGACTTCCCAGAAACATGATGCGGTTCGGTGAATAACCCCGCTAACAAAGATGCAACCCATCTTTAAAGACCTCTCTGTATTGTCCAAGGTACAGCCAAGCCAGAACGCCGTGATGCCTCCTTTTCCTTCAGCTTCGCCTTCACCCACGCGACAGACTCAGGAGTCCTTTGGCCGCACCCCCCCTGATGGCACTGCTCGTAAGACCCTCGTCGTTATTCAACCTCACCCGCGTCGGCGTGCTCAGGGACGATGCCGTCGAGAGTTTAGGCAAAAGATGTTTCTCAGGTGACGGATGACCGTGCATGCCCGAGCCCGTCGTGTATTGCGGTCGTCCGGAGGGCAACGCTTTCCTCTGGCCCAATCTTGGCTGTGGCTCACTTGCTTCCTTGCTGGGGGCGCCTTCAACAAGATTTAAGCGCACAGGCAATATCCGAGGTGCCGAGACATCAGAAGAAGCAGGTAGTGGTCGTCTTTGTAGCCGCTCCAGTGGCACGTCTTCCTGTCCTGTCCGCAGCTTGTAGCTGGCCAGCCCGAGACGCAACCGTAGGATATCTGCCTTTTGCCGGGCTTCCTCGCGTGTAAGCGGCTGATGGCGCGGGAGTCGCGGGGCCGGAAGTGGAGACTCGTCGGGTTCCGTTATGGCGGTTGCTTGCGACGTGTCGAGGGCCGACATGTCAAAGATGGACGACGGTTCGGGTGAGTTGGAAGTTGTTCTCTGCTTCTGAGCGTCATGGTGTGGCCGCGTTGATGTTGATGCTATACACGTCTTTTTAGGCTGTGGGGCCTGTTGCGGCGCGTAGGTCTCGGTCTCGTCTATGCTCCTCTTGTTGCGAGCCGTGTCGTGGCCGAGAAGTCGCGACGCGGCGGCAACATGGACTTTTGCGGACAACGGAGAAGCTGGCCGGTTTGTGACAGGTGACTGGGCGTTGACGTCGAGAGCACCCAGCACGCGTCTCTTGGTTGACGATGCGTCCATTGCTGCAATTCAGTCTCCGTCCCGGGCAGTGGGGTAAATGTGTACCTCGATGTTGGACGAAGCAGCTCGGTGCTGAGAAAATTCGGAACGAATGGAGAAGCTCGTGCAGTTTCTATTTACTGCGTGAAGGACAGACAGACAGACAGACAACGTAATCGTAATATAGTATAGCAAGAGAAAGACGTGTCGGGGTGTAGTGGAATTACCAAAAGTCCAACGTAATTTGCGAAACAGGAAAGCGTTTACTTGTACTCTAGGGTCGCGAGCGCGCCCTGCTCGCGTCGTAGCTTTCGTGCCCGTGGGTCGTAGCTTCACGTATTTATTTTTTGCCTATTTAGGCTTGACCCCAAGGGTCCATCATGAATAACTTACATGAGGCTTTTGCATAACTCCCCCGCCCCAGCGCCTCCACGCGTTTCCCGCCATGCGCTAGTGCCCACGGGTCACGACATTGCATTGGCGATGGACTGCAATCTGCGGCGAGGTTGGTCCCCTTGAATCCATTAAATGTACCATAGTACGTGCCTGCCAAGCCTTGATGAGTAATCAGATCTGTGAATAGCTAACAATCCCCTATTATATCGAGGTGTTTGCGCCAAGTATCTTGACCCCATCTACGTAATATTAAAAGGTACGGCTTGGAGAACGACCTGCCCCTGGCTAGTACTGTCCGAAGAACAGCCAACCACGCCTCAGAAGCCCTGACCAGGATATGTTATAACACCAAATCGACGACGCATTGGCAAGCAGATGTGGGCAAGTGTTGCTTCAGGTATACAGGGGTGTGTACAAGATACCACGCAGGCACGAACTAGTGTACTTAGGGGATCCCCGGATGCCGATTTGGCAGTTCTTCTCCACGCACTTTTTCCGTACCAATACCGCCCCCAATACTCGGAATCCGGCAGGAGACTCGTACTTCATATTGTTAAACAACCATTTTCATTCCATCGTTGCATTTGCAACTGGGACTCTTAAACAAGCCGCCCTGTGCGCTCATCTGCATCCGTCTCTCCTTTTTAAGGGTATCGTGAAAGTCACCCCTACACAGCGTCCTCGACCAACCCTGCGGACTTCCTAATATACCTTAAAACCCCTAGCTATTAATCATACCATCCAGAAATGACGAATTCACCCACCCAACGCCAGTCCAATCCCTCAACTCGACACCATGCTGTCTTTCCGTTATACTGCCTTTCCTTCATAATGATAACCTGCCAAACGCCACAGTCCAAACCGTCCACTATCCTGGAGATGACGATATCAGGCCGTGTCAAGCGAGTAAAGTGAAGTATCTAACGTGAAGGGCTTGTTAAAATCGATATTCACATCGTCCCATGACGTGAAGTCGGTAAGCACCGAGTCTCCCATGTTTGTTAAGCCGCCTGTCTCAAGCATGTCCATATCCACATCGTTAGCCCCAAAATTGATGTACCGATCCCCTTCAAAAGGCCGCCAAGTATCGAAGCCCATGTCCAGCGAAACATTGAGGGCCACGCCCTCGGAAACATCGCTATTGGGTTCCGATGAGGCACCGTCTTTGCTAGACTCTGGCGTGTCGTTGGGCGTGATGGAGCGGTACACGTTCATATCCGAGATGGCTCCACCACCTCCCGTTTCCATGGCTCCGAGGTTCTGGAACAGATCCTGTGGGTCAATCGTTTCCTTTTCCAGGTTCGCGCTCTCCGCCTTTACGGTGACCGGTGTTGCCGCATTTAAGCCGCTGGAGGAACCCGCAGGCTTGCTGGCCCTAGGTTTAGAGCTGAGGGTGTTGCCATATTTGTTCACCGAGTCATCCCGAGACATGGGTGTCGCTGCCGCCGGGACTTGGCCTTGGCGGGACAGACTGCCTACCATGGCAGGTGCTGCGCTAGACTTCCCATCTACACCTCCCAGCGCAAGCTCAAGGCTTTCCATGACATACTTGTAAGGATCCTTGTACGGCTCGACGTGCTCCTCTTCGTAATGGGTCCGCCTCGCTTCCTCGGTAGCGAAGCCCCAGTTGTTGGCCTGGCAGTCTGGCTCGGGACACTGAAGCCGAGGCTTGGACGGAGTTTTCGGTTCAGCCGTCCCCGGCCGCTTTTGCATTTCGGGCGAGGGTTGCTTGCTGACTTGGGGCGAGGCGCTCGAACCCTGCATCGAAGGCGTTTGCCCGCCTTGGGGTCCAGTCCTGGCCTTCTTCCGCGCGTGGACGGGAAGCTGAAGGTTGTCCTGGGTAACTGTGGGCTTCCCAATGTACGCGGGCTGGCCGTGGGGGGAAGAAGCGCCAAATTGAAAAGGCGGTGCCGAGGTGGTTGGAGCAGCCGGCGGCTGTCCGTGTCCACTCTTGTTGCTCATGGTCCTGTGCATCTTGTTAAGAACCGCCGTATTCTTCTCGAGGTTTGCTGCGCTCAGCGGCGCAGGCTGTGATGCCGGTGTCCCTGCCTGCGCCGACGGACCTTGCTGTACACCCGCATCGGGCCCACTCTGCTGGTTTTGCTTCATCTTCATGGCCACAGCCACGTCCTTCACTATACTATCCGTCATTGCCTTAATTTGATCTAGGTCTGCGGGCCCGATCGATAACGTCTCCTTAGGAAGGGTCGCTTTGTCGCCATCTTTGAATTGCTTCATGAGGCGGAAGCGCAGCTTGAAGAACATCCGAGCCCGTGCGTCATCGTGGGTCATGGTGTACCATCGACCCAGCCCCTTGGCGATTTTGCTCATCTCAGCAGAGCTGTTTTTAATCTTCTGAGCCATGTCGGCGTAGTCCGCCGCACTCATGGGGATGTCTTGTAGCACCTCTGCTAGCGACGAGCGTTGCTCTTCCTGTCCGATCGCTCTTAGTCGGTTTATGTCCTCCGAGTTCTGCTGTTGTGGCTGCTGTTGCTGCTGCTGTTGTTGCTGTGTTTGTATCATTTGGCGATTCTTTAGGAACTGCTCATACTTTGCCCGTTGGTCCGCGGACAAATTTTGAATCTGCGTCGGCGTGAGCTGCGACTGCCGTGACGCAGGGCGCTGCACCGGCGTGCTGGACGGATTTGGAACCTCAACCACGTCGTCCGAGCTTGGCCGCTTGATGCCGCCCTTTGGCCCCATGGCCGGAGATGCACCCTGGGTTGGGCGGTTGGGCGGTTGCGGCTTGTTGTTCCTGGCCGGGGCGACAGATCCCGGCTGGTCAGCGCCAGCGTTGGGCGGCCTTTGGGCACTACCGGGACCAGCTGCGGGCTGGTGTATTGGTGTTGATGTTGGCTGTGGCGGTTGGGAGCTTTGAGAAGGGTGTCCGGCCATCTGAGCGGACCATTTCTTCTGGATTTGCTGCTGTTTCATTTGAACTATATAGTTCCTGATTTGGTCGTCGGGCATGTTCCTCATCTTCTCGTGGCGGGTTCTGGCCGATTGTATCTCCTGCGCCGACACGTTCACGTTTTGCAGGGCGTTGTTAAAAGCAGCTACATTTGCAGACTGCTGCTGCAATTGAGTACCGGGACCTGGTGGGACCTGCGGCTGCACTCCTGTTTGTTGGGCCATTTGGTTCTGACCTGCCTGGGCTTTTGCCCTGATTACACTTGTAAACTGGGCGGTCTGGATCTGGCTGAGCTGATGCTGGAGCTGCTGGGAATAGCTATTTTGTGCCATCCATTGCTTGAGTTGGCTCCACTTCTTGACTTCTGGCGGCACACTACCTTGGAGCTTCTGGAGGACGCTGGGCGGTACCTCCATACTGTCAGCCATGGCCGCGGTAGTTGCCGAGTCGCCTGGCATCGGTGGGCGGCCTTGGTTACCGCGAATGCGAGCGAGATGCTGTTGCACAATCAGGGGGTTCTGCGGGTTCATGTTCATATTGCCCTGCTGTTGCTGTCCGGCATTGTTCCCCGGAGGAAACTGGCTCATCGGATTGGGTGGGGTGAACTGGCCCGGTTGAGGCTGTGGACGTCCGGCCATCTGAGCTCTCTGCATGATGAACTTGTGTAGTTCCTCGGGATTGTTCTGAAACTTTGCCAGCACGTGGGGAGGTACGTTCTGCAGGCCTTGCAGGAATTGAGGCGGCATGTTCTGCAGATTTTGGCGGACCTGAGGAGGCATCTGACCCAACATGTTTTGTATGACTTGCTGGTTAGGGTTTATGTTGCCTCCTCCCATCTGGAGCCGCTGATTCTGATTGAATTGAGGGTTCATATTCTGGCCGAACGGCGCATTGCCTTGGGTCATTTGACCTTGTCGTTCGACCTGATTCATCGCGACAGGAGGGCGAGGCACAGGAGCGTTGAGCGTGTTCATGGCAGGGCTCTGTGATACAGCGCCGGGACCACTGAGACCGCCCGGCTGTCCCTGCATCTTTTGCTGGGCTTGCGCTCGGATCTGCACTTGCGACTTTTGAGCTGCTTGGTCCATGGCCTGTTGCTGCATCATGTGCAACTGCTGCTGCTGCTGCTGCTGTATATGAGGAGGTCGCCCTACTTGGTTCGGTCCCGGTTGGTTGTTACCAGCGTTCGCACCGTGTACACTCCCGACGGGTTGAGGAGTAGCATTCCGGCCTGGTCCGCCACTCGCCGGCACAACCATTTGCCCCGCTTCCTGGGCCATCAAGCCGGCCTTCTGTTGATTCATGATGTCAACGTTGGAAAAGCCAGCCAAGTCGGTCCCGGGAGGAACCGGTTGCTGTCCTGACGGGTTCATCGGTCGTTGTTGCGGTTGCATCTGCATCGCGCCCTGGTTGCCGGCAGCATTCATCGACTTCACATGGTTGCGCAGAAGCTGTTGCGATATCCAAAACAACAGGGGGTCTTGGTTATTATTTTGCAGCTGTTGTATGTGCTGCGGCGGAATCTGAGCCTGCATAGCAATGCGCATTTGATTCTTCTGGGCCTCGGTACTCTGCGTAAGCCTCGCCATTGCAATCTGTTGGATCTTAGCCCGGTCTTGCGGCGAGAGGTTGTTGATCTGAGGACCCTGCGGACGCATCTGCATGGCCTGCTGGTTTGGATGCATAGCGTGCGCGGAAGCATTGGGCATGCCCATGCCTGATTGCTGGGGCTGCTGGGGTAGGGGCGTTGCCTGCATCTGTTGCTGCAGTTGATGAAACCCCTGCGGAGGAGCCTGGCCCATTCCTCGAGACATTTGTGCCTGTAGTGCATTTTGGCTCATCATCATCTGGTGCTGCGCCTGTGCCTGCGCTTGGGCCACCTGATGCTGGGCATTCAGGGTGTTCTGAATGTTCTGTTCGTTCGCCTGGCGTTTTCTGAACAGTTCCTGTATCCTTGCCCCAATCTTCTGATCGTAACTAGGCTAGACGGGGTCAATGTTGTGCGCTTCAAGACAACTCAGGTCAACTCACCTTGTCAGGACAATTCGCGTAGGCTTCCCTCTCAAAGCTGATGCCGTGAGAGATGAGTTGCTGAGACTCCAACTGTGGCATAGCCAAAAATGAATTCGTGATCCTGGTGTAGTATTAGCTTACAGGAGCCAGCCATTGTCTGTGAGAAATAGGTCCAGCTCACAAGTTCATCGCATTCCCCAGTCGCGTCTGAGGGTTGACCTGAGACTGCCATCCGCCGTTGAACTGCATAGGATTCGAGACCATAGTATTAAAGATGACCTGTGACAGCTGTTGTTGCGGTGGACGAGGCCGCATCTGGGCTCCGCCACCCATCTGTGCCATGCTGGCGGCCATGGCTGCGATGAGGTTGGGACGAGCAAGTCCTAATCACAACTCGCCGAAACAATAAATGCCCCAAGTTTGGTAAAGCCAAGGTAATGCGCTGCCTAACACATCCCAGTTATGTCCATCAATGCACCAGGCTCATTTCCCTGCAGAACTTATTGTACCTCTGATTTCGGGATAATAAACACGTTCTGCGCTTCGCGGATCGAAGTGTTAGGTGTTGTAGGAGGATTTGTTGAAGACTTGACAGCAAAAGCGAGGCAGCCAGTCAGTCACCAGACAACCAGTGGTCTAAATCTGCGGTCAAAGCAATGACAACTCGTGCGGCGGGCACTATAGAACCACTCAGAGAAAACAGTTTCTAGAGGGAGCACAAGCAACAAAGTCGGCGAGCAATTGTGGGGCGGCAAAGTGCATCAAGTCTCGTATCGTCGTGTCGTGTTGATCGAGGTTGCCGATGCTGGAGCACTGTTTCGATGTTGCTTGATGTTAGGTTCTAGCAGCAAATCAACTCCCGGTGAAAGTTGCGGCTGGCACGACTATAGAAGGCAACGATGTGTAGACGATGGCGAATGAAGGTGGCTGAAACGAGAAGCGCTGAACAATCTTGAGGAAGAGTGTTAGCGCAATGCCGGGTGCAGCAGACAGATATCGCCGCGATGGAGCAACAGCCGCCGAGGCAGAAGCAGCGATGATGCAAAATACACGAGAAGGATGGGACCGATGAGTTGACGTACGTTTTGGTCTTCGTGGTAAGAAAAGCTGTCGTCGGAATGGTAGCGACGTCGCCGGCAGTGGTAGTGAGTGATGGTGGTTGAGGATGGGAAAAGATGCAGGAAGTGAATAGAACGGCAGGTAGAGCAGGTACGAAGTAGAATGGAAGGGTGCGAGGGTGTGCCCGGCCCCGGCAATGATCACAATAGCGCTGGCGACTGGGTGAATCGAATATTGGCAAAAGTGGGCACCATGGGGATCTTCCACTGCCAGCGTCTGGAGTCTGGCTGGATCAAAACCGACTGTGTGACTGACTGACTGGCTAGAATCCCGTCACCCAGGTGCAAGTCGCATTGAAGTACTTTTTCATCCCAGGAGGGTACTGCAGCCAACAGTGCCCAGTGCCACAAAGAGACCTACTTTGCTGTACTTGTTGGCCTTGTTCTTGGTGTCATCTACTTTCTACACGGTCTATTGCAGACAGACATCAGGTCAATTGCATGGATGCACAAGCCTCGTTGCCCACGAGCTACTTTACCTTTACTTTTGCCTGGTAGCTTTGGTAGGCTGGAAGTTTGTTGGTAGACAGGCTCAGGGCTGCTGCCGAACGACAAGACACACTACTTGCACGGCCTGATGACTTCAAGAAGCTGATGACAGTTGCCCCAGGCGTGCAGCTGGGAATGTTCGTTCGCCTTGTTGCAAAGATTGGCCATTTTGATTTTTCGAATTTCTTCAGGCCGGGATAGAATTGTACAATCCAAGGTCAGGGCCAGGCCCAGAACGGAGGATATTGCGACACCTCATGCTCAATCTCAGTCAGCAGCCGAGTCTCTGAGAGAGAGAGAGAGAGAGATCAGACGCGAACTTCTGACCGCTAGGACGATAAAACGGTAACACGCGACCGTCCCGGAACTCAGAAGCCAAAGCCATGCACAGGCACAGCTCTGAAGGGAGAGGAGAAAACCCAAATGGGGGAGAGCAGAGACAAACAATTGTTTGCTCTTGAGCAGAAACCAACATACTTGCACCCACCAGATGACGGTACCCAGCTTAGAGGAAACACAATTGCTAGTACTCCAAATTCTCGAGTCATTCTTTTTTCCGAAAAGTAATGTTAATTCCTCCAACACTGTTAGAACTCTGAATTGTAATCCGTGGCCCAACTGCGTGTAGCACAGGCCGCTAGACACCGACTAGCTTGACGGAAGACCCAACCTTTGGTTTGCTACATGTCGATTACTATCTAGTATCCTCAACTTGATGTCTTGAATGAAATAGTCTCTTTTGTCTGCATTTGGCACCTATAATGGTTGAAACATCATTTCCAAGATGTTCATGGTCCTTGAACACAAATCGCAGATGCTTCATACTGTGTTTGGATCCTCACGAAGATGGCGGGTACATCCATTTTACATGCATGTGGTATAAGAGACTCTTTTCTTGTCCCGCGACCCATATTCATCTCCTGCCTCGTTGTGCCTGTTTGAACAGCTGCTCAACAGCACATTCCGGGCCACATTCCTGGACACCATCCTGCCAACCCGAAATCCTGGGGTCTGCCTTGGTCCGTAGCCCATCTTGCAGTTTGCAGAATCAACTGACGTTGTTGAGGTCGCACCTCCAAGCAACTGTGCGCCTCATTGGTGTATGGTACTTGGACATGGATCAACGGTACATGAAGGTTCCTGGGTGAGTACCCACTTGGGCGCGGCACCTTCAGGGATTCCATGGCAGAAGCCAAGCTTAGCGCAATGTCAAGGGCGCGCTCATGCCCCCCCTCCCCTGTCTGGATGGATACTTTGGTAAATCAATCGACTTCAAGAGCCTTCAAGCGGAAAACTCGTGTGAATTCCGTCGAAGTCGTTCGTAAAGTCGGCATAGGAGAAACCTGTTGGCTGGGTCTATGTGATGATTGTCCACCATATTCAGCGGAGAGAACCGATCGTGCCAAACTTGGACACGGTCAAGCGAGGTAATCGATCTCTGACAGGGCATAGCACTCGATTCAACGAGGTCGTTTGGCATCTTGGCAGGACTCATCCGGCAGAGAAACGTGATACCCAATCCTGGGATATGAAGCTGCTGCTAGAACCTTGATCTGTCGCGTCAACGATCCCGCACACTCGTACAGGCTTACTGGCAAGTAGACAACTGTACCGAATCAGTGGGCAACCCCATGGCATGCAGGTGGCACATCTATGTCGAGTTGTTGGATGTGCCCAAGTCGCCAGTGTCCGAATAACATGATTATCTCATCTGTACATGATGACAATAATTTCATCGCACGAACAGATCGACTTCCTGTGGCAAAAGTCAAACACCGCCACTACCAGTGTCTTCTCACCGTTCTCATGACTCCGAAGATACCTGCGGTACAAGTTCGTGCGAATGAGCCAAGTCCTAGCCAGCCTCATTGCCATGAGTGTCAGATCCCTGTCAATACTACCCCACCAACTCACTATTCATTATCCCTACCAAGCATGTTGGCAGCTTTTCACTTGACGTCGTACTCCAGACACAGTCTTTCGAATTGACTGCCGCGCTGCCACCAACTTGTAAAATGCATTGTTGATAGGGTTCTATGTGGTATGATAATTGACTCGTCAGGCAATCCAAATATGGTATTCTGCCCCTCGTTGGAGATGCCCAAGATTGAGCGGGCACGAAGCAACCGACTTGAGTTTGTAGGGCCGACTAACTAGGGCAGCTAGATAAGTACCCAGGCCAGCCAGCCCACTTTGGCTGCGATCAAATTGTAGTACACCACCTCGACATTCGATGTTCGGTCTAGTAACTTCTTGTTTCTCGAGACCGCTCATCGCGCATGCTCGTCGAGCCTACGTGAGTACAGCCAAAAAAGATTCACCAGATCCTGAACTTGCTTTGCGGTGCTCAAGTGGACATGGTATACTGTGCAATCCCTCGTCCACAGGGTGCCTCACACTTTCATAATCCACAAAAGGTCTAGTCTCCTGCGTTCGCCAACCGCTTTAAGTTCCACAACGCCACCTTCTCTTTGGCCCAACTGACTACTGAATTAAACGAAACGCAGACGAAAAGGCCTCTGGTCGCCAATCAAGTATCAATTGCCGTAAGAAGTCACAGCTTGTGGAAATGCATTCATAATCGTTTCCGGCCGCGCAACTATACTACGCGTCCAAAATATCACACATATGCTTTCGTGAGGCCATCCAATCTGGGACCGGTTAAGAGCATACAGATTGAGCTAAGGTCGTAGTGTATATTCCCGATTCTGAATTCATGTCAGCATCCAGTAGAACAAAGCTCTGCTCGATGAAATCCCCTCTTGTTTCAGGCAGCGTCAGAGCGAACCAAGAATATCCCCGCTTGCACCACTTTGACGCCGAGATTCCGTACCGAATTCGTCCAATTCACATCATTCAGGATACATGGATGAATATATTCGGTGAGCCTTGTCTTCACACTTCGAGATACTGGGTAATGCAGAATGGCTTACGGTCAACTCTGCGATCCCTTTCATCATTAACGGCGCGACCCACGTGTGGTCGCAGTCAGGCCCGTGTAACACGATGGGAATAGCGCGCGATATGCGCTGGGGAAATACGCGTGGAAATGAAGACAGGCTGCGTTCGCAGGGCCAACATTAATTAGACAGCTTCCACGTCGAGTTTTGCGGCTGTCTCCCGTTCATGGACCTCCATCCAAGAACTATACTTGCCTCGTGTGTTGTTTGCTTAATACGGGGGCCCGTCGGGTACTCCGTCTCAAAGCGGACCTATAAAACGATCAGCAAAGCAGCGCCATTGCCTCGAGTCTGCAAGTCATGGCCGACTGTGCTACGCGTCTAATTTAGCTTGCTTCTTTGTCTTCCCCCAGATTACGTATAGCTTCATGTTGCCGAACAGATTAGACAGCAGAGGCTAGTTTTATCTCAGACCTGTGCCTGAAAACTGGCTCCTCGTTGTGTCTCGCGTATTTACTTAGCTCACGGCAATGCTGCGTTGTCTTATGCATCGAGGCTTCTTGGCCCAAGTTCTTACTCAAATTAAGTAAGTATGTGGATCAATCTAAAACGTAGGCCATCATGATGAATATTCCGATTCCCATAGAATCACAATTTTGTCGGGAATCTCGTTAGAAGACTACTTCGCGACATCTTTACGACAGCTTCAAACCTTGCAGTGACATTTGACGGCTAGTAATTGCATGAAGTTTGCAACCTTCGTCAATGCGCACCAGCGTACCAAAATTGCTTTCTCTACTTGAACAGCCGGTGGTGGGAGCATATTTACAAAGGCTTCCTCATCGCGAGCGATTTGGAATATTGGGCAGTCCAGCCTGTTGATGAGACCTTTGAGGCTGAATACACTTTGGTAGTCGTCTGTGCGATGGACCTCTGACACAATCAGTATTGTCTGGTCGTCGGATCTCTTCGGCAGGAACGAGCCAGATTCCGGGGACGGCTAGCGGTTTCCATTGTTTGAACATCTTCCTCCGGGGTATTTGATGCAACAGAATAGGCACTAAAATAGCAAAATGTATTCCAAGAACACATTTGAAAAGAATTCCGACTTCATGTCAAGACATCAAATCCAGCGAAAGCAAGTATCTTGGCCCAGCTTCATCTTCACTTCGGAATTTGACGAATCTTGCTCATCGCGTGTCGCAACCCCTTGATCCCAGGGACCCTGATCTAGGTTCTGCAAAGAACAGCGATATGATTGGCCTCGCGACCCGGCAAAATGAGCTGCACAAGGGTATGGTACCGAGGACCCAGGGTATGTACATTTGCGTCGGCAAACCCGATGCGGTCTGCTTCGGGGCTCAAGATAGAGAGGAAAGGAAAACGATGCTTCGTATTTGTATATCTCTAATAGCGATTCGAAGAGACAGAGGGATACCTTGTTTCTTCTCATATTGCAGAGCTGTAATAAGCTCGGGGATGCAGGAGTAGTAGTGAGCCCGTTTGACTCCGTCTGTATCGCTTGCGACATCCGAGAAGTATCCACTCATCTAAATTGTTGTACGCGCAGGGCTGATGTCTTAAAGATTGAACAGGCGATGTAGGTACGAGAGCAGGAATGCACCCCTTACAGTGATCCAAAACACGAACTGCTGAACAGCATCCGTTCGCGCTCGCTAACGAGGTCAAGATTCACAGCGTAGAAGTCGAGTGGACGGCTTTCATATCTAACAAAGTTTCGTTCGTCAGTACCAAGTATCCAAGTAGCGCACCGGGCTGTCAGCAGACACATGATCGTCCGTTGCGACGTCCACGTTTATACCTTTCCATCCTTATTTGTCACCGAGTATGGTCTACTGCCAGACCTGCCCAAGTACCATTCTGGCAATGAGAATACCCAGCCTCTTGTCACCCTGTCAGCTCACTGCCCTACATGCACAAAAGTTGCAGTGCCTTGCGCGAGGCACCCGCATCCTGCCGTCAGTCATTGTGGCCAACTTGGTTGGCGCGCACCACCTCGCTCTTTTGCAGACCTTGGTACGAGGTATGTCTCGTCTTTCTTCACAAGCGTTCTCGTGCGTTCGCGAGGGTTGTTGGCTGACACAAGGTGGGAAGTCCATGATCGCAATCGGCCGCCGCAGTTTTCTTGATTTGGGGGTCAGGAACAGTTGGCTCTGGATTATATCACTTGAGTGGTCATACTTTTTGTCTCAGGCGAGTAACTGTGTGAGTGAGTGAGCGCGTGACCTCGAGCGTCTATGAGTTTTGAGTGGATGAAATGAAATTACAGGACAGCCATAAGGAAGAGCAAAGTGGACTAGCTATCAAGAACTCATCGTGATCAACATGAATTTTCGATTATCGCCGATCCAGGCTCGTGAGACTTTACTGCTGCGGCACCTGGCTTTCACCCGTAGCTCTCGGGCGTCGAGCTGGAGACGAGCAGTGCGATTGCCTGGATTAGCTCCGCCCGGACGGAAACCGTTCCTCAAGGGTTTGGACCCCGCGGCCGCCTATCACTTACAGGGTCCATGCCGCCCCGCCCCAAGCTACGATAAAACTAATAAGCAGATAGTGTCTGTCATTATCGAGTAGAGGAGTGGTAGATTAGACAAGTTCCGACACTCAACGACTCATTGGAAACAGTGTCATCTGCTTTTTGGCCTCAAGCACTTCATAAATGAGATACATCAGCCGCCACTTACTCGGCTTCACTTCTAAAATCATTCACACTAGGAACGTCGACTTCTCCCAGTCATTTCATCTCAGCGCTGCGAATTCGAAGATGGCGCCCCCCAAGTCAACCGTCGATTTCCTCGACTTTGTCAATGCCTCGCCCACTCGTAAGCCCATCTCGTCACTTATGCAAACCCTGTATACCTCGAATCATTGTTGACATTGTTTTCAATTCTTCAGCGTTCCATGCCGTTCAGTCCTCAATTCAACGTCTCGAAAAGGCGGGTTTCTCGAAGATCAAGGAGCGTGACAGTTGGTCCTCGACTTTGGCTCCTGGTGGAAAGTACTACATGACACGAAACGGATCGACCATTGTAGCCTTTGCCATCGGGTCGAAATGGAGACCCGGAAACCCGATTGCCATGGTTGGCGCTCACACCGATAGCCCCTGTCTACGACTCAAGCCCGTGAGCAAGAAGACTGCCGCGGGGTTCATGCAGGTCGGCGTCGAGACGTACGGTGGCGGCATTTGGACGAGTTGGTTCGATCGAGATCTGAGCATAGCAGGGCGCGTGTCGGTCAGGGACAGTGAGGGCAACTTTGTCTGGAAGCTTGTCAAAATTGACCGCCCCATAATCCGCATTCCCACGCTCGCCATTCACCTCCATCGCCAGTCCAACTTCGATCCTAACAAGGAGACAGAATTACTCCCCATCACCGGCTTGGTTGCTGCCGAGCTCAATCGGACTGGAAACAAGGCCTCAGAGGGTTCTGGCTCTGCTGCGGCAACTAAAGACGAGGCTTTTCAGCCACTCAAACAAATGACTGAGCGTCATCACCCATATATCCTGGAACTAGTCGCTGAAGAAGCTGGTGTTGATTTTCAAGACATTGTTGACTTCGAGCTTGTGCTTTACGACGTTCAGAAGGCATGTCTAGGAGGACTGAACGAGGAGTTTATCTTTTCGGCTCGGCTCGATAATCTTAACATGACCTATTGCAGTGTTATGGGCCTCATCGAATCTGTTTCGTCCACCAGTCTCGAAGATGAGTCTTGCATCCGTCTAATCACTTGCTTCGACCATGAAGAGATTGGTTCGACCTCCGCCCAGGGTGCCGATTCAGATCTACTACCAGCCGTGGTGCGTCGCTTGTCTGTCGTCGCTGGGGACCGTCATGGTGACTCTGGTAGTTCCAAGTCCTGGGAGCACGTCAGCTCGGATCCAGACATTGATCTTCGTACCGCCTACGAGCAGACTGCCTCGTCTTCCTTCCTCGTCTCGGCAGACATGGCCCATTCGGTCAATCCTAACTACATATCCAAATACGAATCGGACCATACGCCCGAGATGAATAAGGTAGGTTATAGCTTTTGATACTTACCTCGGTACTTCGAAGCTTTTGAAGTTAGTAAGCCGCATTAACTTTCTTCTTAGGGTACGGTCATCAAGGTCAACGCCAGTCAGCGCTACGCCACTAACTCTCCTGGCATTGTCCTGATCCAGGAGATGGCCAAGCGGGCGGGCGTGCCTCTTCAGCTCTTCGTTGTCCGAAACGATTCAACGTGCGGAAGCACCATAGGCCCCATGCTCTCGGCTAAGATGGGAGTCCGCACACTTGATCTTGGCAATCCTCAACTTTCTATGCATTCGATCCGAGAAACTGGAGGAACCTACGACGTTGAGCATGCCATCAAGCTCTTCAACGCGTACTTGTCCCATTACTCCGAGCTTGAACCCAGGATCTTGGTAGACTGAGCGAGTACCATCTGACGAGATGAATGACGCACCAGAGTGCACTGAATACCAGTTTATAGTAGAGTAGGAAGTAAAGAAAATTAGTACAAGGTAATCATTTCACCGGGTTAGTAATAGAGTATTGTGCCATTACATATCATAGCACCCTCGGTGGGCCGGTTGTCTTGTTATTGGCTCATATATGTGCATTCTTCATTCACAAACCGAGCATTTGACAGCGAAGAAACAAACATCAACGCACTAACAATCACGCAGACTGTTGCTTACGATGAAGTCAATGACCGCGAACTCAATTATAGTCTTAGCCAAAACATCCGCATTGGTAGAACTTAACAGCATAAGACAGTGTCTATGTAAAGAATGGGGGACAGTAATCGGAAGCGAACATGGGGTCATAATTTTCATTCACAGCAGTTCCAAAACGTATCCGTCTAGATCCGTCAGGTTTCCATTTGGTGGTATAGGGTCCCCAACTCCAAACATATGTAAATGCCATAAGCCATCCGTAGGATATGCTATCTAAACTTGAGGGATTCTGCCCAGCATCGAGTAAACATTTCGCCACATCTCTATTGCCTGAAAGACCTCTGGAGGTCCTGTAAATACTTTGTCAAGCTTTTTCTATCCGTCGAGGTCGTCAAGTGTCGGAGGAAGTCGTTACCATCGATCCCCAGGCCTGGGAACAGCGACGACTGCAGGTTCTGAATGAAAGTCTCGCCCGTCTTTAAGTATATGGCTTGTTCCAACCCCGCAATCTCGTTAAGGACCTGCTTGGTCTGAGCGTCATTGGAGGGCTTGAACTGCGGGTTGCGCAGCACTTCCCAACCGACTGTGTGGAATCTGTCGATGAGAAACTGGTCGAAACCAGGTATGGCTGGCGAGGGTGGACCGCTAGGTGCAGATGGGTTGGCAGAGATATTCGCAACATCGGGGCCGCCCCAGACGCTTGCCATCTTGCCAAGAAGGCCGAAAGCAAGTCTGCTTGCAGGCAAGTTACCGGAACTGGGGTCGACATCTCTAGCCAGGGATATGATTGACGTGACTAGGGATTCAAAGAAGCCTTGGTTAGCCTCGGAAACAAGTACGCCACCCAGATCGTTGCTAAGTATGATCATGAGGAAGCTAAGATACTCGCGGCGAAGCTCGGCAAGCTGTATTTCATCATCCGTACCGCTGATAGGTTCCGAGAGGCCGCCAAAAACTCTTTGCAGCAAAGGAGTTAGGAGGAGATTCAGTACATCGTAAATCTCCGTCTTGAACCCGTACACCACCTGATCGAGAAGGCGCAGAAACATGGCCATCTCATCCTTGGATGAACTTTGAGACAAAAGACCTTCGATCCATTGCGGTAGTTGAGGCAAGACAGAAACCCCCAGAACTCCTAGGAGGCGTGAGAATGCGAACCTGCATGCGGTACGGATTTCCGAAGAACCATTGAGCTGCCCGAGTGCAATCAAGATGGCTTCAGCTGCACGTCCGAACTCGTCTGACAAGACTTTGTCTGGCGGAGGTCGTTTTGCTACTGATGTGGAGCCTGGCGTCCAGTCAGAGAAGCCGTGTGCCAGAGTGCCCAAAGCCATGATGATATGATGAATTTGCAGGATGGCCTGGACATCCCCGGCCTTCGCCCGCTGCAAGTGCTGTTCTAAGTCCGTGAACAGCGGGTCCATGACCGACCGGGCATACAGTGCTTGCTTGTCAGCAGGTGTGGCAGCTGTTGACGAGATGCAACCGATGGCTTCGAAAAGATACAGCTGGCTAGTAAAAAGAGCATCTGCCGAGTTGTCTACTTCATCCGAGGACATGTCGTCATCCGCGTCGTCGCCAGGCACTTCCGCCTTGATGGGTAGGAGGTCGCCAATAGATTGAATGACCGTCTCGGCAACATTGCCGACCTGAGCTCGTAGATGCTTCACAAAGCGGTGAAACAGGTACCATGAGCGCGTGCGAATTCGCGCGTGCTCGTGGTGGACTAAGCGTACGAAGTTCTCGAGGACCTGTCCAATCAACGGCGAGCGACTTTCCTGTTCGAAGAAGGCGCAGTAGCGGACACAAATCTCCATATACTGCAGCAGGATTGCTGGGTGCTGGAAGTTGGCGATGCCTGGATAAGATGTTAGCAAAGGTCCTGTGGGTGTGGCCAAGTGTAACGGACCAGACCCGATCATCCTCGCCATCAGTGCCGTGAGTCGCTCCGATGCGGCAGTCGTTGGGTTTGTTTTGCTGCCCAGACCTTGACTGGGCATGGCAATCTCTCCAAATAAGTGCATCTCATGCAGGGCAAGATCCAAATCCCTCCAATCTAATTGTGAACCTTGCTCGTCAAGCTGTTGAAAGGTATTGGCAACAAGATTGCTGACTACTTCAATATATAGGTTTTGATCCACAGCAGCGACACTCTTTTGCAAGACTTGTAGCCGCTTCCTCAATTCATGGAATTCGGCCTCGTCCGTCTGCTCATCCTCGTGTCCCCACGACGAGGTCTCATCGTACCGCATCTTAGCAATTATGGCATTGAGAATTGGGGGCAACATCTCAGAGAAAGGCCCCGGCAGCTCTGGTATCTTCCGGAGGTATGTCAGGATGTCTGTTAGAGATGGTATGACTGTAGAGCATATCTCGTCGTACTCGTCGGCAAAGAACCGCAGAAGTAGTGGCAGAAAATCTTGCAGAAGCTGGTTGGCTTTACCTCTTGTGGCGTCGTCAGTCGTGCGGTCTTCCAAGACTCTGACGAGGTCGGCTAGGACAGTGTTGACGAGTTTTGCAACTGCCTCACCCAAGTCCGTGTCGTACTGCGGTGTGCCCTTGAATTCGTTTAGAGGAGGGCTTGCGATGAGTTGAGCTATGATCTCGCCAAGGTTGAGGAACGCAATCATCTCGATCTTGTCAGCTGGGCGCATCTTCTTGCCCACAATTTCATTGAAAGCGTCAACTGCAGCGTCTCGGACACTGTCCTCTCCACCAGACGCATTGGTGCGACCGATCAAGGGGTAAATGAGGCTAAGCATGCCATCGTTGATGATGAGTGCTATGTCAACCCAACTGACCCACTTGCCAATCACCTTTAGGGTCATCTCGACAATGGTATCATTGCGACTCGAGTACTGGGACAAAAGATCCTGCCACGATTGAGCGACTTTGCGAACGTCTCTCTCTCGGACCAGATCCTTCAACTCTGTATGACTCTTTACCTCGTTGCCCTGGCGCATAACCATTACATCGGCGATCTCGTCGTGGATGGAACCCAGGACGCGCAGGTAAAGGATAACACCGGTCGCATTATCTCGGCTAGAACTGTTTGGCAGGACAGTCAAAGCCAGGAACTCGTCGAAAAAAGTTTCCCAGCTCTGCTTGTAAAGCGCAACGAACAGATACGTTAGAGTCTGGGCAAGCTTGTTCTGCATGCTCGGCGACTCCACCTGACCGTGTTGGTTGTTACCATAAGTGTCCCGGGCGTAGCCCATCAGAGCGTCCTTTAGAAAAGATAAGCTCTGGCTGTCGAGGAACTGGGTGTGGACACCGCTGTTGATGATCTCGAGGCAGACATGGCGCACAATTTCTGAGGCACGGGGAGTTCTGGTGAAGACTGTAACACAGGCCTGCCAAGCTTGAGCATCGGATCGTACTTGTTCGAGGAAACCGTAGGCTTGCTGCTTGATGTCTGGGTTTTCAGACGGATTCCACGCAATTTCGATGGCTTTTTCGATCTGACGGAGCCTTGGGTTAGCACGATTACTTCAAGTCGGCAGGTATGAGGGGAGTATGGCAGGACGGGGTAAGTCGGTTGACTGCATACCTCAGCATCCATCTTGACGGAAGCCATGTTGATCTCGGCAAGAGCCCCGCGGCGCCTCTTGTTGGCTTTAGGAGTCGAGGAAATATACTAGCGACGATATGCGAAGCTGCTATAATCCTGGCAGCCCTCAATGGGGTGCATGCAGCATGCTTAAGTGATATGAGAAGAGAAGTGGATGGGGTCGTGGCCCGCTATTATCGTTGCCTTTGAGGGTTGTGGTTGTCTTCTTGGGCAATTTGAGTAGGTACCCGGGTGGAATTCGTTATCGATACCTGATGAGCGATGGACCACCAATGCACCCAGCGGTAAAATGTATCCCAGAAGAAACTGCACAGATTAGAGATAGTCACTGTAGAAACTCACGCCTGTTTGTATGCAGGCAAAGTAGCCCAAGAAACAAATGGTTATGGAGATAGACGTTGGATGAGTGAATCTGGTGTTCAACCACGTCACAACCCAGCCCAATAAGGCTCCCAGCGGAATGTAGAAAATGTTCTTCACCCCACCTTCGCTAAATTGATTCTTGCCAGTGTAGGCGGTGAGTCGGAAGTTAGTTAATGCAAGTCGACTTTTTATGTCAAAAATGCATTTATTGACACTCGTCAGTCTCTTTTGTGCAAACTCGCTTTTTGGAATCGATTTTGTGTGGTGACCCACTCTTGCTTGGGAAGGCAATAAGCACGTGCTCCTATGTGCCTTCAACGATCAGTTGCTAGATGGCCTCGAAGCAGTCTAACGCGACTGTATGAAGCTGCAAGGTTGGAACAAGTGTTGCAGTTTGAATACCTGGAACCACATGCCTCGTAACCACACGGAAGTGATCATGCAACTTTCAGAAGGGCCACGTCCCCATGACGAATCAATTTCCATGGTCGGTTCAGCGGCCAGTTCAGCGGCCAGTTAAACGGGCAGTTAGCTCAAGCATTTGAAGCCGGAGCGTGACCACTGTGGAATTGGATGGCTCTGATCTGGTGTCAAGCGGTGACTACCCTGGGTACCTTAGGGGTTGTATGACCCCAACTTATACCATGCCGCGTCTGGGACGTTGGGAGGCAGTAGGGACGGTCCACAATATGGGAATAGAAGCTGAGATGATATCCACGCTATCCCGCCTCAGGTGTACGGATTTGGTTCGGCTACGAAGTGTTCGAGCCTGAAGGACATCTACACAGCAGGCACAAACGGCGGGATCGACTCTGTGCCCCCCACCATTCGTGTTGTTCCTCCCGCCTAACGGCATTCTGATGTTGGTGCCTAACGTGTTGCTTTTGAAAGTATTGATGGTGTGGTGGGAAATCGCCGTGGCGTCAACATTGCCGACCGATCTAAGACAGCCAATGGACATCGCCATGGTTTCTGACTGCTTACGGCGACTTTCGTTGTTCTAGCGTGGCCGCAGTTGAGTCCTGCGTACTAGAATACTGACCAGTGCTGTGCTCATCGTAGGCGCGAACATGAGGATTGTCGACGTCTCGTTTGGGGACACTTGTGAACATCTGGAAGTAAACATATCCATGGGGATTGACGTTCGTTGGCTAGTCTTCCTAGTCTTCTGCTGGACTCTGATTGCCATGCGTATTGGTTTGCGTGTGCCATGCACTGCGAAGCAAGGAGTCTTCCAACAGAAGTGGACAAGGAGACTGCGTCTGCTAAGAACTGCCGTATGTGCTCGTTGAATAGGCCGAGGAACTTGGAAATACGCGTGTCAGCAGTCGAAGCTGACATGTTCCAACCCGTATGGGTATCTGAGTCCTAGGACAAATAAGAGGACTGAAGACGGGCCGGAAGTGGAAGTATTCCAATCTCGTGGCCATTTGATTGCGAATTCAGAACATCTGGGATGTCAAAATCTCTACCCCTTACGTCTCCTCGTCTCCCGAATTTGTTCTTGTCGAGGCGCACCGCCTATCCACTGGTATGAGCTCCAGGAATAAGGAAAGCAACTATGACGACAATCGATCTGCATAGTAGATTGCGCTCAATTCGCACGTGAGAATCCACGTTTCCGAATTACACCCACTTTACTGAGATCGCCACGCACAGGACTATCACGCAAGGCGAGTGAAGCGCGTTTATATCGGCGCTATTCACTTGTGCATGACTGAGGTTTGATGGCTCATTCGAGAGGATACACCAAGCGCCTCGTGCACGAAAATGGAGGGATCTCATCCAACCAACTGCGTATCGGCAATGCCACAGGAGAGAGGTGAACTGCAAAATGGGGAGAAGTTTATTTCGGCTCAATTGTCCGTTGCAGGCAAAAGAAGCTTCATCCGCACCCGGCCCAACGGCGGGGGCATTGAATTTGGGGAACCACTCTCAACCCACTTGTCGCTGACAGTTACTCCGTAGAGCCAGCAAAAAAGAGATCGTCAGGGACATGAGGCAGTTGAGCCCATGGCCTCATGGTCAATGCAGCCTCCTGCTGGATCCATCGGCCACATCCATCTGCATGGGTCATGCTTTTCGCGAAAGACCATATTCAACGGGGAAAGCGTGCCTACAAATTGAAACAAAATTACAGTGCATTTCTTTGCGAATCATTGAACAATTTCCAGAAATCGAACATCAGTCGACTTTGATAGGATTAGAGGATTTCTGTACCTGCGTCGCTAGTGGCAGCAAGCTTACTTCATCTAGACCGCCCTCTTGTGAGCCGACATATAAGGGCCACTAAAGTAGTAAAAGGAGTATGTTGGGCCCTGTCAAACAAGATACCGATCATTGGTTCAACCTCGTTTGGAGCGCCATTTGGTCCAGTCGTAGTTTAATGATAGCCCCCATCAGTTCATCCCATGCAATCTACTTGGTTTCAAAGTATCGGATCTGGCGGGGAACCTAGCTAGTACGATGAAATTGTTTCCTAGGTGCTTGTGTGCTTTCTCTGCTGCGGCTCGTGGCAATGCAATGCGTCATGTGTTGATGGTGCGCAGACAACGAGGAAAGTAAAGATAGCATCGCGGCTGTTACTAGCATGATCTTCGATCTGCTTTGATTAGTTTGACGTCGCCAACAAAAAACAATGCTCGTTGCTAAGGTTTGACAGGGCAACTCAGACGTGGCGTTCATCGTCACCGTTTTACGTCAATCAACGTTAGCGAAGCAGCACTGAACGCTAACATGTTCTAGTCAGGCTGAGAAACAAAAGCTTCTTAGGGTCCCGGACGTTTCAGTCCAAGGTCTCATATATCTCAACATCGTTTGTCTACTTTCTATAAACAGCGCCTCTATCGATTAATACTGCGACGGACGTCCAGGAGCCAGCGTATGCCCTTCGAATGTTCTGTTGAATCGATTGTGCGATACAGGCGCTGGGAAGTACACACATCTCGGAGGTACTTCTCAGTGGAGTACCCTGAAAGGCAGATGCTCCACCTGTCAATTGTCCAGCGGCCAAGAGATTGACATCCACCCATGTACACGCGAACTTGTCCAGACTAACCCACCAAAATCCGGCATTGGACTTATTCCATAACGCACCTCTGAATATGTGGAACGGGCAGGTGCATTCATTAGCAACAGGCAGTGTCTGCCGCCGAGCACCAAACTGCTTCGTGAGGCGGCTCGCAAAGTCGCAACGAGTTCGCTGTTGGATGAGGGTTACATGAGGCAATACCCAAGCGTCCAGGTGTCAAATTGCATATTTCTTCGATTTCCTGGGTCAGGTTCAGGGTCCTGATTGCCGAGTGTTTCCACGTCTTGGTAGCTGCGGAGTCACTCCCATGTTCATAATTCACGCCAGTGGAGCCGTACCCGGTCCCGTTAGTTGCAGTGTCTGTGGGAGGACTCCAAGCTATTCCAGCGGTAATTTCCCAATAGCTTGCTCCTATTCCTTATCACTCTGTGGCCAAGCAAGCTATTAATACTGGATGCCTTCCACACTTAGATTCTCCTTCTCTCCTCTCTCTCATCAGCCCAACCAGCCAATCCACTGACTCAACTTGACTTCGGTCGTCCATTCTTTAAAAACACCAATCACAGCTGCCAGCTTAATACGCTCCTTCCAGCCAAACCCACCAACTCGCAATAAAATACCCCGTCATTTTCAACGTACCAATACCACCCAATAAACCGTCAAAATGCGTTTCGCTGCTGTCGCCGCCGTGTTCGCCGGAGTTGCCTCCGCCGGTATCACCGTCTACTCTACCGACTACGTGACCATCACCTCTTGCGCCGCCAGCGTCACCAACTGCCCGGCCAGATCCACCGCTACCTACAGCTCGGTGTACGCCACCACGGCCGTGACCTCCCCCGCCGACACCACTGTCGATGTTGTGAGTCTAGCCTTGGCTATGATATATCATGCGGACTGAAAGCTAACTGTCTTGCAGCCCGCCAGCTCCGAGTACCCTGTCAGCTCCAAGTACCCCTCCAGCTCCGTGGTCCCTACCACCTCGCAGGCTCCTACCGTGGTTACCTCGGTCAGCCCTAAGGCTACCACGTACCCAGCTGTTGAGGTATCCAGCTCCCCTTCGGGCTCGGTTCTCACCATCTCGACCACCACCTGTATCCCGACTGTCATCTACTCCACCGTGACCGTCAGCTCTACCAGCACTCCGGCTGCTACCCCCTCGGTTGGCACCTCCATCCCGGGATACAACACGTGAGTTGCTACAACCAACTTGGGGACGAAAGCGCTATATACTAACATGCCATCGCAGCACCACCTCCACCCCCAAGCCTACCACTCCCGTCACTGCTGGTGCCTCCTCCGTGGTCGGCTCCGTCGTTTTCGCCGCTGCTGCCGGCCTCGCTGCCTTCGCTTTCGCTTAAGCGACAGGACGGTCTACCTTGAGACCTTGAACAACCAGCTTGGAAGGCTGCGGCTATACTTGTGATACGGGCTTTGTCATGCAGAAACGATCTGGGACGCATGGCTACATACTGTTTAATCTTCTAATTGTATCTATGGGCGTGGATGCCGTATGACAAACTCCATCATTCATGTCTATGTTGCAATCACGTTTTGACACGGCTTTTGGCACCCATATGTATTTTCGAGTTGAAGCACACAAGTGACATGTGCAGACTCACAATGGATTGACCGTTGCAGAACTGCCTGCAGCTGCAGCTCGCCTTGCAAATGGGATTGTTTGGTAATTCTGGGGAAGGTTGAATCGATCACACCCATCCCCTGAACTGATCTCCCAGGTCAATTTTAAATCCTTGCAGGGTTGTAGATGAAACACTATACACCGAACATGGACCGGGGTTCTGAGGCGCGGCAAAATAACGCGGAACTCATATTTTGTTCGTACTAAGTCGAATCGGGTAAATCGTCAATCAGTATTTCTGTGGTCCCTGGGCATCTTTACCTCGGGAAACTGTTGCGTTGGCGGCGGCACTCGAGTCATTGCGCCAGTTTGATGACGTTACCAGTAAGCAAAGACGTCTTTGAAGCCACTGCGACGAATTCCGATGCATCAAATTGTGTTCTTAAAATCCATTCCTTTCAATCGGCGCCTACTCAAAGGCGTGCTCTGTCCAACTTGCGGTGCACAATTGCCACGAGTCATGACAGCGTCTGTATGTATGTATTATGAACCCAACACAGTCAGTCATGGAAGTTGATATGCTGCTTATGCGGTGGCTGTGGGATAATCTCGTGTCTGAAATGATGTTGAGTCTCAGTATACGCGTGCGCGACGCAGTTCCCAGAGCTAGTTACTCAGCTCTCAATTATACGCTCAGGAGAAAGATCGTGGCTAGCGCTCGCGGTTGTCCAGCTCTACTTGCATTCGGCTGATAGCACTGATGACCACGAATATTCACTCCGGATAAACACCAAGTGAAGAATACAAAAAATGGCATGTATCACAGCTTGATTGCTGGATGAAGCTAGCCCATAGAGGCATCATTTTAATTGGACGATATTTCTGCGCATGGTGGGAAAACAACAAGTCCTATATTGCCTCGAGGTCTCACATGGTTCTCATGTAAAGGCAGCGTTCCCGCCCATTCAATCTTTTGTCCTTTAGAACTCCGAAATCAGGGGCTTGTTTATGATTCATAGCTTTATTCTGTGCCATTTACAGTGTGTAATGCATATCCTGAAGGTGTCCTCGTTCGACCTGTTTATCATATATTCTGGAGGCTTGCAGTCAACCACATTTCTCCGTTCGCGCATTTATTTTCGTTCCACCAGATGCCATGCCAGACTTGCTTCCGTTATCCTCCTTCTAATCGACGAGCCAGCCCATGAGTACTGTTTTAGGGCATATGCACTTGGAAACTCGTGTAGTTGCCCGCGGGTTTCCTGAACAATTCATATGACTTCACTCAAAATGAGACCGACTTACGGCTTCAGGTATACCGAGGTATCCGTATACTCGCTAAAGCATTCATAGACTAATAAAATCGCGGGGAGCACTTCAAATCGACATCTCGCTCTAGGCAATACCGCAAGATCTAGATATCGTAGAATGCGACAGAGCATAGCGTAACTCGACTTCGAAGTGATATATCGGCGTTAAGCGGGATTTTAATGCTTGGCGCCAAGGTTGTTCCCGAAAGTAATTCGTCACCGTCTAAAGCTGAGAGTGGATATGGTTCCGCCTATGTTCCGGTATCTATTGCCCCGACTTTACCTTATGGCCATCTTACGCAACATGGGTGAGGTTTGACTAGTATTCCGAACTGACTTCCAAAACCCGACCTCGTTGTTACTAAAGACATCTCATTTATAGAAAGGCAGTATTTAGACTGAAGACCAAGAGAAACTGGTAAATACCAGCTGTAAGGATTATGTACAGTCTGGAATCTCTTCACGGCGGGCACTGTCACCCATGTCATATACGACCCATTGCCAGAGGGAAGAGAACGGGACTGGGGAACGCCTTGAAATCACGTTCTCTTAAGGGCCTGATGCGGCATCACAGCGCAAAGATGTAACTCAGACACTATTGAAGACTTGTAAGTCTTATACTTGTCAGCTGTACATACTGACCATACCGACCCTGTGAGCACCGTTGTCCTCTCTCCGTCATGAAATCAATGAGCCAGTTTGAAGGCGATTGCGGCTGACGTTGGCTTGGAAAGCGCCGGAAACTGCCAACGCAACTTGAGAACTATCCACTTTTACAGCGCTTGCAATGCGACTTTCAGAGATACGCCGCATATCAGTCCTCGGTGAGTTGCCTCTAGGAACCATCTGTATCGCTATCGCATTCATCTTTTCGTTCGCTTCAAGTCTGGGAATTGGACCGTCGAAGTACGTGGCTGCTCGTATTTTGTGGTTGCGCTTTCTTCACCCAGCTAAGCTCGTGCGAAAGAACTGTTGATTCGTCAAATTCAGCAGAGCAGTGTGTGCGTAATAGTCGGACAAACATTTCATGGTTAGCCCAAGGAATCAGGCAAGGCTGACTGACGAAGGTAAGATTTAGTAGGGAGATGTCCCGATTGATGCATGGTGACGAATCCAAATCACTGGCGCAGGTTAAGAAGACTATATTGCCCTTTTTCGGTGTGGTATATATTTCAATGTTGAATTTGGGGCCACTGCTCTCTCTGTGTTTCAGTCAGTCCTGACATAAAGAAAGCATATTGCATCTTCGTTCCATGTCCTTCCGGCCGCGAATAGCGCGAACCTACTAATATTTCCTGCAAACTCACAAACAATTCAGATCATATCAAACCATTTAGATCCGTTGTTATCCCTAAGAAGCCTACGGTGAACGGAACCCAATGACGGGACATCTTGATATTCACCTCTAAGGATAATAGCACCAACCATGTCAGCTCCAAGGCTTCCTGACGGGCTAATCGCCTTTGGTCCAGGCGAGAACTGCACCTTGGCCTTATGTCCCATAGACTACTCTGTTTTGCGCTCCGCCCTGTGCTCAGCGCCAGCATTGCCTTCATATGTCTGTACTTCGTGGCCATGTGCCTTCACATTGCACTCGGCATTCTCTGGGAGAGTTGGTGGTTTTGGGGCTGCATGATAGCGGGTTGCATCGACGAGATTATTGGCTATGGGGGTCGTACCATGCTTTTCTATAATCCGTTCTCGTTCCCCGGCTTCACAACTCAGATCGGTATGCTCCTTGTTTTCCTTTTCGCAGAATGATTAGTATACTTTCCGATTGGCGGGGCAGTGCTGATATTGTTCATCTACAGTTTGCATCACGACCGCGCCAGTGTTTTATTGTGCGGCTATATATGTCACTATGGCCAAGCTGGTTGAAAATCTGGATCCGTCCATATCCAGGATTAAACCCCGGCTTTACAACTGGATTTTCATTTCTTGCGATGTGAGTCGGATACCATCCGAGCTGAGGACCAGATTACCATGTTGACATAACTTGTCAGATAGTATCCCTCGTCCTACAAGGCGTCGGCGGCGCCATGTCTACGACCAACACTGGTACTAGTCAAGTAGCGGTGGACCTGGCGTTAGCAGGTCTGGGTTTCCAAGTAGCGACACTGATGATCTTCTGCTCACTGCTGGTCGACTATCTGGTCCGTTACTTCCAATCGTCCCAGTCCAGGGCCGTTAGCGCCGTCAGTGGGCGCCTCAAGACATGTCTGGGATTCATGGGCTTGGCGATTTTGCTCATCCTTGCTAGGTGTGCGTATAGGGTCGATGAGCTCAGTGAAGGTTACCTGGGCGCGCTGATCCACAACGAGCCCCTGTTCATCGGGCCCGAGGGCGTTTTGATTATTTGCTCTGTCTATGCGCTTTGCATTGGTCATCCGGGGCTGATATTCAACCGTACGGGAGCAGGTAAGTCATCCAAGGGGTCATTAGCGGAGGAGGTAGGGGTGGCCGGTGCTAGGAAATGAAGTACTTCTGGCTGTGAAGAAACCGACTTGTCTGGTAATAGGCTTCGATATTTGGAATTAAATATCTATTGAAATTACTACGAGCTAAGCAATAAGGCAGATATTGAAGTTAACTTTGGATAGTCGCTACCGGGTTAGCCATGGGGTGTCATGAAATTATGAGCCGTTCATCGTCACTACTACGGTATTGCCTCGGATCTGCAGTCCTCTTAAGAACAAACATCATACAGACCCTGAATACACCCGGTACATTCCTCTTGAAGTCCATCATTATTGGCTAGTGGGATTGTCCAATTCTTGTTTTGGCATTGCATCAAAAGTCCAAGTCTAGGAGATAGGGAGCGACGTTACCCTGCAGCTGATCCCTGCACTCATGGCTCACGACTTAGGTTAAGAACCTACAAAATGAGACGTTGACGATATCGCGAACTTGCCGACAACATCTCGGTCCATCACGCAAAACAGACAGCCACAAAACTCATTCTCGCCGGGAAAACCCCCTCCGCCGTCGCGATGATGTGTCACTTGTTGCTATTAGCGTCGCTCGCTACACTGGCCGTCAGTGTCCGCGGTTGGGAACATGCCTCAGCGGAATATGTCGAGAGCACATTAAAGGAGCACGATGTCGTCGTAGTAGCTTGTGAGTTCAACGCACCTGGCCTCTGGACTTTACATAAATACATGCACTGACATTGTGGCAGTTGTTGCGGTATGATACGAGCCTGTCCAGGGAGTTTGCGATGTGCTAACACCTCGATTGATCGTAGCCCTCCGAGTGAGTTGCCCAACAGGCTACAGCGGCATATCATCACTCACAACTTGCATGTAGGGAAAAGTGCAAGTCCCTAGAGCCGGAATGGGTACTAGCAACCCCCGAGTCCAATGTGTTATTTCTGAGCATCGACTGCACGGAACCATCTCATTCCACGATCTGTAAGCAACACGAGGCTCCTTCGTCCTGGCCACGCATCGAGCTTTTTGAAAAGGGCGAGGCCAAGGCAACTTACCTTGGGCCTCGGAGAGCCGCAGCGTCAGTATACAACCTCATGACCTTGCTCAAAACAGTCGCTGATATTACCGCCGTAGTATCCTCTCATGGGCCGGACGGGTGCAACGCCCAACACTTTCTGAAGTTGACAATGGGAGTTTGAATGTTTTCAAGTCTATCGACGAGACTGTGTTCATCGCGTACTTGAACGATTACGATGAGTCTTCGCGCACCGCCGTTTCGGACATTGCCGCGAAATTCAAGGACGAGTTCACTTTCGGCCTCACCACAGATGTCGAATCCTGGGCTGCCGAACAGATGGAAGCACCGGCGTTGAAAGGCTACAAGGCAGTTGACGGCGATACTAAAGTCTTCCGAGGCCCCTTTGATGTTGCTTCATTGGAGTCTTTTGTGAAGGAAGCGTCGGTACGTGTGTGCAACAACATGAGAATACTCGCTCGTCCGAATGCTGCGCATAAACTTGACTAACCTAATCTTGGTCTTCCCAGCGGCCCGTCATCGGCGAACTATCTATCTACAACCACCAGCGGTACCTAGACGTAAGTCCGCAACGCACTCTGCTTCCAGTCGCAAACCATTGCCGGACCTCATAATTGATTCTTACCACTTATCCCTTCCAGCGTGGCTGGCCCGTAGTATACATATTCGCCTCCACCGAGCGCGAACGCACCGAACTCCGCGCAACCCTCAAAACCATGGCTAGAAGTTACTATGACTCCCTAACCATGGTGACGGCCGACCCTCTCGAGTTCCCCTCGCTACCGGCCAAATTCGGCCTCGAACCAGGAGTCTTCCCCTCCGGCGCCGTTCACCAACTGTCCAACGGAAACATCTATCCTTACCCCCGCGGAAAACCCATCACACCTCGGGCGCTGCAGAGCTGGGGATTGGAGGTATGGCAAGGGCGGGTGAAGCCGTGGTCGCCGCCGGGTGCAACACTGGCTCCGACTGAGATGCAAGGGGATGGGGGAGCGGGGCGGGTGAGGGCTACAAGGAAGGTTTCTGTGGCCAGTTTTCCGGGGATGAAGATCAAGCTTGGTCGGGATGAGCTCTAGGGAGCTTCAGAGGTTGCGATCCAGAATGTTTCAGTGGTAGGAGTACTGAGTAAGAAGATGCAATCAGCCAACGGCTTACACTTTGCCGGAAAACTTCATAGACAATTGGGACGGGTCAGAATGAGTCAGGTCAACATGTAGAAATAGTGAAAATAGATCATCTGTGATAAGTGTTCAAACCGTCTATGCATACCACTCGCCCGAGTGTAAGTATGCTGCCTCTAACGCCATTGTATGCAAACGCTAACCAATCAGTCTACCGTCGCTGATGCAAGTCTATATGGTATCTCAAGCTCATCCAACCTGCCCTCTACACCCATCCAGTTTTGTTAAGCATGTTTTTCAAAACTGATCTTCTCCTGCTCCAGGGTGACGGTATTCCTCGTAGCACCATCCTAGCTGTTGACTTTGCTAGCTTCCGACATAATCCCACCTGTGCTCAAGCTTCCATCTCACTTCTCCGCGTTGTTGTCGTTAGGTGCATTATAAGACCGGTCGTCCTCATCATCTTCCTCATCGTCGGCTCTCGTGCGCATCTTGTGTAGGACGTTCGCGGCTTCGGCGGCGAACTTGCACTTCATCCGGATGGCATGGCCGTACTTGTAGAAGAGGAAGGGGAAGGGGAGGCACAGGAGTGACAAGAAGGCAGGCACAGAAGAGGCCCAGTGGATGCCCAAGTTCTTGTACATAATGGTGGTGAAAAGAGGGAAAGCGGCGCCAAAGAGAGAGCGGAGAACGGAGTTGGCAGCTAGAACACTGGCAGCGTAAATGACATCTGGCATGGGAGTTAGCGTAGTGCAAAACGATGAGTACTCATTGTTAGAGGACTTACAAGTATCGATAAGGTAGTTCAACAAGCTCAAGAAAACGAGGACGAGACCGGCGGCGAAGAAGGCCGACGCAATGATAGGCACGATCCAGTGGACATCAGGACCGTTTGTCCAGGCAAACCAAAACAAGCCGACGGGAAGCAAGACCGAACCAATGATAGCCGGGGGCAAGCGGGCCTCAGCCGGGGCATGGCCGCCATGAGCATCGGATACCCTCAGGTAACGCTTCGAATCGTAGACGCAGAAAGCCACGGAGAACATCATGCCAACGGCAATACCAAGAAAGGCCAAGCCGCCAATGCCAGGAGACCATCCCCTCTGCTGCTGGAAAACGATAGGGAAAGCCGCAAACATGAGGTACAGGGTACCGTAGACGATGGCCATGTACAGGGAGACACAGAAGACGATAGGCTCACGGAAGAGCAGGATCCACGGACGGGACAGGGCGACCTTGAACTCTTGGACCACCGTCTTGCGCGGCTTGCCGGCGTCGAGCTTCGACACGTACGCCTTGCCCGTAAGCTTGGACAGCTTCTCGGCACGGCGGCGGAGGATGATGGGGGCGTACGTCTCGGGAACGTAGAGCGAGACCAGGATCCAGAGAAGACCGGTGAAGGCAGCCATGAGGCCCTCGACCCATCGCCATCCCGCGTACTCGCCCAGGAATCCACCGGCGATGGGGCCGATGGAGGGACCGAGGAAGGGCGCGGTGGCGAAGACGGCCGTGGCCATGCCACGCTGGCGGGCTGAGAACATGTCGGCGATGACGCCGCCGGCGTTAGTCAGTGGGGAGGAACCGAATGTGCCGGCAAAGAACCGAAGTACGATCAGGGCGGGCATATTCGGTGCGGCGGCGGCTCCGGCGTTGAAGGCCGTCAGTGCCGCGTAAGTGATGAAGAAGAGGACTTGTCTTCCGTAAAGTTCTGACAAGGGGGCCCAGAGGAGAGGTCTAGAGGAGGGTAAGCTATATTCAGAGAAAGAGTTGCCGTATATAGTCAAAGCCGTCAAATGCTTACCCCAACGCGAACCCGGTAACGAAGAGGGAAATTCCCAAAATGGCGATGATGGTGCTCACTCGAAACTCCAGGATTATCTCCGTGACACCCCCACTGTATGCTGTCGACACAAAGGCTACGGCGAGGACCGCCACGGCCTGCAAAATCGTGATGGTCCATTTCTTCCAGTCGGGGAACTTCATGGGGTTCTTGGCGTCATTTTCGATAAAGTCGACGATGAAGGGCTCCTCCACTGTTCCTTCTCCCTTGTATTCCCACGCCAAAACCTCTGGAGTTACCCCGGCCTGATCTAATAATAATGCGAAATATCCTGGTTTCGTCCTAGAATTTTGTGACTCGGCATCTCGCTCGGGCTCTGTCGCTGTGATGGAAGAAGACGAGGGGGAGGATAGCGTGGCCGACATCTTGGTGAGTCGTACGATTGTATAGTATAGTAGTATATACTGTACTGCAACGCAAGAACTCACGCATGCACGGCAAAGGAAGGAAGGAAGTTAAAATACTTCGCAGCTCAAGATGAAGGAAAGTGCCCGGCCGAGGCATAGCTGTTATATCTACTGGCCCCCGGCTGTTGGGACGGAGTTTTCTGGTTTATCCAGGACGGGGGATATGTCCTGGGTTGGGCTGGCCCACATGGATGCTCGGATCCAAATCATGTTCCATTGTAAGCGGGTTCGTCCTTTCATAATGCGGCAAGACGAACGATCAGGCTCCTTCCTTGCTGATTAGAGCTCGGGAGCTTTGTGCGTGATTATGTGATAGGCTATGCCCCATTTGTTGATGAAACGGGCTCAGTCCGCTTAAATCCGTGCTGAAGTCCCGATCTTGCCTTTTTCCGTGACCCTTTTTAAATTTTTTGGTGGAGGATTATGCAGTAGCGGCATGATGTTTGCCCAAGATGAACAATCAATTTCGGATTTCGGACCAGTCTGCTAGCGTCGCACAGAATTGTTCAATTATCGTCGAGGCTGATCTAACGGTCACCCATCCCGCTGGAACTGGCCAAGCCTGTCAATTTGGGCAGATCGTAGCCACTGGTTTTCAACATCATCGTGACGTGCGTAAGTCCTGACAGAAGGTAAGTATACGCCCTGCAACAGCTCCATGTTTCTGGGCACAGTGAATTGCCACACCTTCAATCACACAGGCTGCCTAAATCCAGAATCTTGCCACGCGGAAGTGGGACCTGCAGCCCTTGCTGTTGCTCCATTCTCGTGGACAGCACTATATTAATGCGCCTTCTCAAGCCGAGGCACAACAAAACCCTGCGGTTCACAGTTCTTCCAGCGGTCCACTTTGCGTCATACCCATGTCAATCTTAAATTTTGGAAGCAGGATTACTCGTGGACCGCAGATCCTAGGACGGATTTAACCTTTGCCCGTTATTCTGAAGCAGCATCAGTTAGCGGAAGGCACCTCATTGCCAGATCAGATTTCCGCCATCTCGGTCAGTTCATGCATGGGCTGAAAGGGCCGTGGGAACTGGGTCGAGGCTCCGGTTTTAGTTGTGCAAGGCGGGGCTCGTAAGCATCAATAATGGGCATTGCGTTAAGGCTTACTCTGGAATCGGCTTTCGTTGACGCCGAAAACACCGTCGGCGATTACGAGGAATAAAACTACCGGCTACCGGCTTATGCCAGCATTCCTTGATTGAGGCGCAGGCGCTAATACTCGTGTCGATGTGAGGATCCCATAGTTTAGCACCTGCCAAAGTCAGAAGACACATCTCTTGTACCATGACAAATGTCGGAAGTCTCCACTTGTTCTATCTGCGTTGGCGCTGATAAGAGACCGACAACCTATTATGAGACGAACTTGAGATGTGACCAATTCTATATCCGAGTACATCTCACCTTAGCCGGGAATAATTAGGTTTTCGTCCGCATCATCGTAACTAGGATCTCAACTTGGCGAACCCGAAGGAGGCGCTTCCTTAAGACCGGTTGTGAGTTAAGTCCGCAATAACCACCTCACCAGCGAGCGTTTTATGCAGGTCTCGCTCTTCGCGATCGGGGTTAGGAACTTGTTGTGAACGCTATATTTCTCCCATGTACAAATCATAATCAGGTTGCACGTCGAGGAGGGTCTCCTCATCGATGACTAAGAATATAGTTTACGCGATAACGAGGATTCAGTGGCGAGATCACGACACCATAACCGTGGTTGAATCGTGTAATCTCCAGATCCCCGACTTAGACATCTGTCCAGGGCATGCAGGGATTAGTGATCGGTCGAGATCTGGTGCATCGGCTGAACTTGTGCCGCAAGCAGCTTGTCTCATGAGCCGCAATGTTTGGAACTAGGCTATAATATCTCAAGTGAGGCATCGATATTTACATTACTACAGGCTGTCGTGGACAGCGTGGGTTAGAGACAGTCGCATTCATCATTAAAGGTGAGAGATAGATGATAGTGACAAAGAGTATCGAAATGGACGGCGTGGGACTTGATGATACGACCTCAAATTCAACCCCCCTAGGCAGGGCTGGAACCCGACTCCTGCTGACTGGGAAACGACATTTGAATGACTGTCAGTTCGTTTTCTCTTGTATTGCGGTTGCGGCATGTCTCCAACGATGATGGTCAAATGTGCCAGGTCTGCGGGCAAAATAATCGTCAACTAGACTTCATGAAATGCATTAATATGCCTAATCGCCAAACCCACCCCATTCTTCATCATCGACGCTCTCTGAATTACCTGCGCTATCGTCGCTGGCGGAGTCTGAATCTGAATCAGAGTCCATCTCTGCGTCGTCCGCGCCGGTGACAAGAACGTGACCCACGGCCTGACGTGTATGATCAGGAGCCGCCGCCGCCGCCGCCGTGGTGGCATGATCTGGTTTCAACATAGGCATTCCAAACATATCCCTGACGATTCGACCATCTTCATCCCGTACATATGGCTCATCGTCGTCCGCAATAGACTGTTCACCGTCGCGAACAAAGGCGGCAACAAAAAAGCCCATCACACCGCGTCCATCATCCTTATACGAGCGAATGCAGGCCTCCGCGACAATGGCATTGCCGTCAGCAGCATCCACAGACCCTCGCACGGGCCAGTCCTTCATGCCTCGAATTTGGCGATCTCGCGTCAATATGCGCCACCCGCGTTGCTTTGCTATATCGGACTTCAATGCTTTGAGAACAACTTGCTCATTCTCTTGGGCATGAACTGAACATGTCGAGTAGGTGAGCTTCTTGGCTGACGGGAACTTGAAGGCGTGCTCGAGAAGTATAAGCTGGAACGATGATAGGGCATCCAGGCGCGCCGCCAACTCCTGTTCAGAAAGTACCGTCTGTTTTCCATCGTCATCAACCACCACTGGCGGGCTGTCTTCACCCGGTGTGGTTTCGTCTCGCTTGCGTTTACGGCCCTGGCTGTTTCCTGGCTTGTGCGCCGGTTTTTGGCCTGATTTCTGGGCCTTCGCGTCAGGGGCGACTGGGAGATGGACCGTAGGCCTTACGTCCCGACCAACAATACCACTTCCCGAGCAGCTAGGGTCAAGCAGCAGAGCCCCAACGTTCTTGAAGAGTGCTGCTTTGGGGTCCACCTTCAGGAAGTCTTGCCCAATGCTAATGCGCGTGATGTCCTTTGCACCAGCCAGCTGAACCATCTTTTCCAGGGTCTTTGCCCGATGGCGATCTTTTTCAAAGGCATACACCGTGGAATGATTGTCTTCGCCTTCTGGGATGCGCGAGTGGACTATAGCGGCCAGATGAGTTGTTTTGTTACCCGGCGCAGCGCAGGAGTCGATAACATCACCGTCCTCGGAGTAAGGATCAAGCAGATACGCTGGAAAACAGGATGCCTTATCCTGCAATATTATTTTGCCTGTTTTGTAAGCGTCCGTTTTGCTGATCTCGAAGCCTGGTGTTATGGCGATGAGATTGGGAATGTGCTCGTCCAAATACATGGTTTTGCCCAAGCCAGATATGACATCTCCTACCACGTAAACTCTGGTGAATTCTTTGAAGGTCGATTCCAGTTGATCCTCGAGAGTTGTCAGAAGCGTATTTACACGCACCCAGCGGGGATGTGCCCCAGAATTGACAGCATAGTCGGCTTCTATTTGCTGCCGCAAGACATCAACTGATGGCGCCTTCCTTCTTAGTCTTGATCTCGTGAACTCTGAAGTCAGGCGGGCCTTGTGCCGCTCGACAGATGCCCTCAACCCATGTGTAGCCGGGAGAGCAATGCCCTGCTTTGCTAAGAGGAAGTCGTGCACCAGCAAAACAGCGAGGATCGGGTTGAGCTAGTTCGCATCAGTGACATTTCTCAAATTTGGACTGGATACTGATCATACCTTGCGCTCGACCCGAAGGATATCAGCATTTTCAATAACTTCCTTCAAAACGGGACTCCACTTGCATGTTTCCACGGCTAGTGCATAGATTTGTTGTTGAGAAGTCTTCAGATCCTTCTTTCCAAAGATGCGTGTTTTCAGATTGCCGCCGGCTGGGCCTGAAGCCGACAGAACCTCGGCCGTCTCATGATATAGAGACATGTTTCAGCGCACCAATTGCAGTGCATTGTAGTACTGCACTTTCCAGGCTCAACGTCAAGAAAAAACGAAGCTTCTCAAGAAGGTAGCCGCAGCATGAGAGGTTCAGGCCCACGCCGTCATATTCCCGCCAATTGGAGGTTGCGATACGCCAATTCCTTAGCCGAAGATTCCCCGAGCCGCAGAAGCTCCCCTGGGGAAGAATTTCACAGATAAAGGTGCTTCACTTCAGGCGGACATCAAGCATGACTTGTGATACTGCTACTTTGACGCCTGTCATCTATGAATTTTCAATGCTGGAGACGCGACTGGCCGAAAATGGGGTGCTTAGGCAGGCGTTTCGCCTGCACAATTCCTTCACGTGCTCTCACAACGTCAGGGTTGAGAAAAGGAGAGGCGGCCCTGCTACATCAAGTCCGTCGTGCTCAACACAGCGCAGCTCAAATGAACATGAAATTTCATATGCGCGGGAAACCTTAGCTGCTTTTCCTTCATATTACCGCCTCGACACCTACCGATGTCTGTCCCACTGTATCACGCATCTCCGCTTGTGTTTGCGGGCTTGCGCAAGTCAGGGGTCAGTCAGGTCTGCCAGCTTCCTCAGTTCAGCCAACGCAATGTGACGGGCCCTGCCACCTGGGATCATTCCCATTCATTATCCATATACACTCTCATCCCTACACCTTGCTGACCTGGTTTCTATGCTGGATTTCGAAGCCAAACGGGGCCATCGCCATGGCCACAGCGAGCAACGATTGGAGGAGTTGAGGGGTGAGAGGTATTTTTTGGCTCAATGCCATTGGTTACTACTCTGACGCACTCCGCTGATCCCCACCTTCTCATAGCAGAGGAACAGGTTCCCACAAACCTTTGGGTTGTACCTCCAAGCGTCGCTGGCTATTATTTATACTCTCGCCAGATATCTCAGTTCATGAGCTTCATTTTATAACCTTTAACGGCAGTGGGGTCGATTTTGCGCGATTTTTCAGCACAGGACCATCTTGTCTCAGCGTCTTGTTTGCGGGCTACCATATTCTGAGTCTCAGTTAAGACTTGATATATAAATATGCTTTGAGACTCTAACTGGGCGGCCTCCGGGCTCAGGTAGACTGTACCATACTCCCAGGTTGGGTCCAGCAACCACCCACCGATTTCCAATGGTGCACTTCAAAGAGATCCTCGCGATCCCATTTCAGTAATCCGGATGAACGCGTCTTCGAGCATTCAGGCCTCGACTCGTTAAGAGATGGGGGTAAAAATGATTGATCTGTGGCCAAGGAAGGGTTCCCCGTCCGGTCCAGTGTCCTAATTTGATGCAAGCACGGATTATAAAAGGATTTTTCCTCGTCCGGTCCAGTGTCCCAGTTCCATGCAAGCACGGATTATAAAGAGATTTATATGTTCCCAGTGTAACGCGACTTGTTGATCGGCACTGCTCTGTCATCACTCTCTTCCTCTCTCCTGCTGGCTTGCTATTTGCTCGTATCACTCTCGTACTTGCAGCATCTGAACAAAATACAGCTCACCCTTTTCTTGCCCACCATGGCAATGGCTGAAGATGATGCGATCGAGTCGGTTCGACGCACCTCAAGTGGGACAGGGGCTCTCCGTCTGACTTCTCCCAAGTCCAGTATCAACACAGGCCAAAAACAGTCTTCGGCTTTGAGCGAGAAAACACACGATATCGATGATGAGGAGAGAGCACGACGGATCGCTGAGGTCGACTTGGACCAGCATCACAAACAGGTGAAGACCGTTGCCGCCGCCTCCTTGAGTAACGCAAGTCTTCTCTGCTGACATAGGGGTAACTAGGCCTATCGCGGACCTCTACTGTTGTGGCTGTCTTTCCAGAGCATCGGTGTCATCTACGGGGACATTGGAACTTCTCCTCTCTATGTTTACTCATCAACCTTCACCAGTCAACCTAGCTGGGACGATGTAAGCCCAGGCCTCCCTCTAGACGCGTTCCATCCTCTAACAACCCGCCCTTCTCAATAGCTCGTCGGTGCGCTGTCGATTATCATCTGGTCTCTCACTCTCATCGTCACCGTCAAATACTGCTTCATCGTCCTCGCAGCTGACGATGATGGCCAAGGAGGTACCTTCGCCCTGTACAGCTTGCTGTCACGATACACCAACATTGCAAAACAAGATCCTCATGGTCAGGGTGGAATGCGCAAGATGGATCGCTATGAGACAAACGATCTGAAGCCCATCAACAGGGGACTAAGAAGCTTCCTTGAAAACTCCTCCACGGCTCAGTTCGCCTTGAAGGTCATCGGTGTCATTGGTGTGTCACTTGTTCTCGCGGACGGTGTTCTGACGCCGGCCCAGTCGGTGCTTGGTGCTATCCAAGGCATCCGAGTTGCGAATCCCGCACTAGGAACACCGGCTGTCGTTGGCATCTCTTGTGCGATACTGGTGTTCCTGTTTTGCATCCAGCCATTTGGGACCTCCAAACTCGGCACAGCTTTTGCGCCGATTGTCACAATTTGGTTGCTCTTCAACCTCAGCTCGGGGATATACAACCTTGCACTCTACGATCACACAGTGCTGAAGGCCTTCAGTCCATATTTTGCCTTTGCCTACCTCACCAGAAATGGATTCGAAGGCTGGAAGTCACTCGGTGGTCTGCTTTTAGCCTTCACTGGTGTTGAAGCTCTCGTAAGCAACCTATCTTCCGTACGTCCAGAACAGAGCGGACTAATACACAACAGTTCGCAGATTTGGGTGCATTCAGTCGCAAGGCTGTGCAAATGTCTTGGCTTTGTCTGGCATTTCCTTGTAAGTATTGCCCTATTTCCAACACCCACCAGCCGGTCATCATCATTTACTATTTCTAACGCGCCTGAATCTCAGGTCTCATCTTGGCGTATGCGGGTCAAGCAGCCTATATTTCCATGGATGCAACCGAGACAGCATACTCCAACCCCTTCTTCTACACTGTTCCGCCAGGAACCCTCTACTTCAGCTTGGTTCTTGCAGTTCTTGCGGCAATCGTAGCTTCGCAGGCCATGATCACATCCAGCTTCCAGCTCCTTTCGCAAGTCATGCGTCTGTCATATTTTCCCCACGTCAAGACCGTCCACACGAGCAGTCGATTTCACGACCAAATATACATCCCCATGGCCAACTGGTTGCTGATGATCGGTACTATCATTGTGACAGCTGTCTATAACAATGTAAGAGTTGTGACGCGGACCCCAATATCTCCACACTGGACTTACGCAGCAGGTAGACAACTTCTCTCGGCAATGCTTATGGTGTCTGCGTCATTCTCGTCACCTTTATCACCACGTGCATGCTTGCGTTGGTCGCAATTTTGATCTGGAGGACACCATTCTATCTGATCCTGCCAGTATTCCTCATATTTGTTTCTCTCGATGGAGCATTCACGTCATCAGTACTCGTCAAAGTACCTGATGGTGCCTGGGTATGTTTTTTCTCCACCCACTTCAACGATTTTCACAAAACAAAACAAAACAAAACAAAACAAAACAAAATAAAAACTCTTCCCTCTTTATGGTTGATAACTGTGACAATTCCCATCAAACGCTAATTACACGTATCTACAGTTCACAATCTTACTCGCCGCCATCCTCTCCTCGATATTTGTCCTCTGGCGCTACGGTAAGGAATCTCAATGGGCCGCCGAGTCACTCGGCAGACTCGCCCCAAGCAGTCTAATCCGCTCCACCGAATCAACCCCCTATCTCACCGTCGGGTACGGCGGTTCCCGCATCAGCACCGTCGACGGCCTCGGCATCTTCTTTGACAAGACAGGCGACTGGAACGTACTGCCAGTGTCGTTCACGCAATTCCTCATCAAATTCGCCGCCCGGCCCCGCATACTCCTCTTCTTCCACATGCGTCCGCTACCCGTCCCCTCGGTGCCCATGGACGAGCGTTATGTCATCAGGCAGATCGATGGTGTAGGACCGGGCTGCTACGCCGTGGTCCTTCGGCATGGGTATGCCGATGATGTGATTCGGCCCGGGCTCGCGCGGGAACTGGTCGCTCAGGTTGAACTGTTGATCTCGTCTCGTCGGGGCACCGAGGCGCCCGAACTGGAGGCGCTAAGGGTAGCGTGCGATGCGCAGACGGTGTACGTGTTGGGCAAGGAGACGATGCGTATCAAGAATGCGGATGGGATCGGTGCCTTTTTCAGACGGGTGCTACTGGGTACTTTCTTGTGGCTTAGGGAGAACACAAGAACTAAATTGGCGGATCTGGATATTGATGCGGATAAGTTGATTGAGGTTGGGTTTGTCAAGGAGATTTAACGGCTGTAAGCCTGGCCGTTGTCGACCTTGGACTGGATATTGCATCAAGTACTTTTCAATACGGTATTTTGGGATGTGCGGCCACGGCTCATAATACACTGAATACGTTACTATTACGTTTCCATTCCACAACAATCCACTCCAGCACTATAAAATACGTGCTGAGAGTCAGTTTTTTAGGAATTAATGAATTCTGCTCACTATTTATTACTCAGATTACATTCTAGAAGAGAGCGTTATACAATAGATATATAGGTCCATAGGTATAGCCATATCTATAACTAACCTAGTAGCTAGCTCTTATTACATACACCAGACCCTTGTAATTACCTCTCTCATAGACAGAGGTACTTGAGTCCTTAATATTAGGGTGATCTTATTAAAGTAGGTTTAGGTCTTACCTAGCGGAGTTGTTAATATCACTTATCTAACAACTCTTTGCGAGGATATAAAGCCCAAGGCTAAGTGTGCCAAGTTCGCAGAGTTATTAGTTAATGGTAGACGAATCGCTTCCACAAAAGCGGTTCATCCCCCAACATCAGATCTGCAGATAAAAGTTTCTTCAATGCACGACTTCTTGTAATACAGCGACCGTCGTCCGTCAGCTATAGTCACCTAGTCACCTTAGTGGAATTGAATTCCAGGATTTGCTATTCTCCCTCTTACCGTGTGGTGCGTGCTTAACATACGAGAGAAGGTACTAGGTCGATTAAACGGCTTCGGCTTCGGATTTGATTCCAGAACCTAGTCAAGTAGATGTCAAGTGGTCGAGGAGCTGTAAATGCTGCGCTGCTGCTATGATCGACCTGGCGAGGCAGGGACGTAAGTTGAGTTCTGGAGCGGTACCTATACTCCCGAGGGCCAGGGAAACACCGCTACCCGTACCAGTGTAGTATTTGGACGACTTGCCCACGACGACGTCTATCGTCAGGACGATAATCGCTCTCCAACCTACCTTGACTATGCACTAGGGGAATACTATGCGAGGATTAATGCTCTACATGATTTTGGAGATGGTGTCCCGGCTAAGCATATAATAAGCCCATGACGAAACAGGTCAGGCGTGTGAGTCAGTCGTTAGGTTGATGAGCGGAAAACTTGGAGTGAGGTTGACCACGTCCAGGACTATTCGCTCACGTATCGCGACGTAGGACCAGCCTTCGCGATCAATCGGTGGCCGCACGCCTGTTAAATACGCATTTCAAGAGTCTTCACATCAAATATGGGTTGTTTGAATTACACAATTGCTCAACTTTGCCTTGAATTTGTTTCGCCCTATCCAAATGTCTAATACCCTAATGTCTGGGCAAAGCCAGAGAACATTCTCATATCTGAGCTATTCCCGAGGCCGAAGAATCGAATATCTAAAAGATGCAACCTCAAGCAAGACTCCAAGTATTCAAAAAGACCCGCCCCCAACATGGATAGTAGCGTTCGTGTCTTCGTGTCATACGCCAAAGAAACAGAATATACACCAAAGCATGTACCAGCGGCCCCAGCCGGTTTTCTATCCCCTATACCACCGAAAGCTGCGCCACCCCCTAAATAACGTCATGTACAATAAAACGTAAGAACCGGTTTATCGGCGTTCAAAGCGACCGCTCCGACGGTGGCGAGCCATATGATCATGAACATGACGCTTAGCGGCCGCATCTGTCGGCACGGACCACTCCGTTGTAGTCCGCGTCACCGTAATGTAATCCCAAACGGTATAGTCGGCGCCATGACCGCGATCGCTTGGAACGCTCTCGCCAGGGCTCGAAGGCTGTGAAGCTGCACCATCAGCAATGCTATAACCATAGCCAGAAGGCTTGCTAATCAACGTGGTCGGGGTCGGGGTTGGCTTCGGTGAAGTGGTGGGTGCAGAGACAGATGCAGCACTGGGTACTGACGTAGCCGCGGCTTTTTCACCACCAACGACATTGATGGACGTCTTAGTGGCGCTGCTGCTGGGCGTGGGGTCCACGCCGTCTGCGGTTGAGGTGCCGGCGTAGCCGGTAGCAGAAGGTTCGGTGGCAGATGAACCCAAGTCCGAGGCGTTATAACCTCCTGAGGAGTCGGTGTTGTCGGAGTCAGTTCCGCTGGCCATACCACCATAACCCCAGCCAGTGACGTGGTTGTTGCCAGGAAGGGCCTGCAAGACACCGGCGATGCTCAAAGTGTTCACAATGGGAGACGGGATGGTGCAATCCATATCTTCGCTCAAACCTCCTGGGATCTGGGGGCATGTATCCATGCCGAGGGTGCCGGCATCGCAGGTGTCGATAATAGTTTGCAGAGTATCCTTGTCCCAACCTGAGACAAAATCTCCGTGGGAACTGAAGCCAGTAGCATCACCGTTGGATAAGACGAATGGCTGCGTTTGTCCATCTGGTTCCCACAACGTGTCAAATTGCGTAGTCTCCCAGTATACTTCGAAGAAGATATGGGGTACGTGAACCCATCCATCAGGGCAATTTTTCTTCCCACCGGAGGCGGAGCTCGGGTATGCCATGTTATTCTTGTAGTCATCGAGTCCGGCCTCGGGATTGTAGCAAGAGGGAAAGTGAATATCCTGGCGCAAAGGCGAATACAGTTGGTCGCAAGGATAAAGCGGGAAGCCGGCACCAGCACCCTTGTCATTAGGATCTTGAATGCCAGCTGTAGAGCCATCAGACCCAACTGGATACGATGGTGGCTCGTACTGCTTCCGAGGGCAGATCCACTGAATTGGCTGAATGGGACCAGCATCCGGGTCAAGGTTTTGGCCGCCTCCGAAAGCAGGCGGATCCCGCGTCATAGCATCACCACTGACTATCTTCAGCCCTGGGGGGAATGCCTCGATCTTATCGTCCGTAGCCTCGAAGCTGTCATAGACATTAATATATAAATGTATCTGAAATGTGTCTGACAGTGGACTCCTGCTAGGTGGAACTTACAAATAGTAGACATTCATGTACATCATTGGCACCTTGGTGAAGCTGCCGTTGTTGGAATCCTGGAAGAAAACCTCGGGGATCCAGTAGTTGCTCTTGTCATTCTTGATCTTGGCGTTGGTGCACTCGGAATCGAGAAGCTGGTCGCCTTGGATTGTGGTACCAAAGTTGCTTCCTCCCATGATGCCGTGTAGATGGGTCGAAGCCGTGCCAGGGCTAACGATTGGGTCTACCTGACCTTCTGTGAGGAACTTTCCGTTGAATCTGAGAACGGCAAATGTTCCCTCGTCTTTGGCTGTGGCAACGGTAGCCAGGGAAGCCAATATGCTGGCTGTAGAAGCCCTCATATTGATGTCTGTTGGGTCTCTGTGGGAATATGCTGAGAGAGAAGTGAAATCTTTCAGATGATGAGAGAATGTGGTCACGGTGTGTGGGATATGAGCATCTGGGTAAAGAAAGTCCTGCTTGGTCCTTATCTGTTGGACTGGTGATGATATAAAATGACTGTGGTGGACAGTGCCAACGTGGATGTATTGTACTGCCAAGGAATCGAAGGGCAAACAAAGAATGAAGGACTTGTGGAAATGAATGTGGACGGACTCAGCCGGCACAACGGTGAAGGACTGTCGAAAACAAAGACTAAAGCGAACGTAAAACCCAGCGCGGACGGTGAGGACAGAAGAGGAGGTCGAAGAACAGGCTGACAGCAGCGGGGGGATACAGCTTATTTCAACATGGCCCCTCGTTTCCAAGCCTCAGCTGGATTCCTACTAGCCCTGGCCGGCCGCCATCCTTCTTGGGTCCAGCAATACCGGACTGGCGAGGAATACTGATGAGTTCAACCCTTTCCGCCTGCATAGGATGTGCGAGGCACTACCGCAGTACCGGGGTCGAGTGCCCAAAAACCGGTCATAGACACAGCCCACTACTACGCTTGCAGAAGGTTGTCGTGTATGGGTTGTATGAGCAAGTGAGGGGTTCTACGACGAGGAGGAAGCTAAGAAAAGTACATCCCTTGCCCGGATGCTGTACCTGCATATAGCAGGGGGTTCCCATTGGGCTCGGTCTCATCCAGGGGTCGGACGATTCAAGAAGGCTGCCAGTAGACTTTGGCCAAGAAGAGCTCGGCCATTTGTTTCCTGGGCGACAGCAATGGTTGGACGACGGATGAGAAGCCAGACACCCTGGCAGCGCTAACACCTATCGCGTTTTCTTTGCGACGATGACCACAATGCCACGAGTGTGGCGGGACCATGGCGGACCTAGATTCGCGAGAAATGTGACGAAATCTGGGAGATAAGGAATAGAAGCCCACATCCCGTCATCCCATGGCGCCCAGAGTGTGTCTCCGTACACCATCAGATTGGATGATCTTTTCCCACCGAGAGTGATGTCGAGAACCGAGAGACGGTAAGATTAGAACAGCGAAGGAAGACTGAGCTCAAATGAACTGTTGACCCAAGGCGCCGGTGAAAAAGGACGTTGAGCGAGACTTCGGCCGTCGATCATTAGAAACCAAGAAACGGCCGGCCCAACTGCTGTCGTCGCAACTATCAGATGATGGTGTTTGCATCAGCTGAAGACGCAGAGGCGCCAAAAGCTGCACCGTCTATTTTGGCGAATTGCAGGATTCAACGTTGCATTCCTAGCCCCTCCCCCTCCCTCATCGGCAAGGTGCTGTGGTCGAAACAACCTTTTTCGAAGGCTGGAAGGTGATAGAAAAGGTCCGCCGTGCTCTTCGTCCCATCGCTTGCAAGTTCCAATCGGGAGACCCATGATCCATCCCTGGTAAAGCCACAGAATGTTTTCTGTGATTGTCGGCCGGAACTCGCTGGGTGGCCTATCACGATGCCGCTGAACCCCTTTTCCGGGCAGATCATCCAAGCTTATTTTCAGGCTTTGGGTCCATTGAAACACACTAAAATAACCGTCCTCCAGGATTCGGGGGGTCCGCTGATGTACTCAATTGGCGCGGACAATCCCGCCGCTTCTCGTTTTATTCATGTGAGATCTGAAAAAAAAAGGAAGAAAAAAACACCTGGCGCTTCCCTTGTCAGCAACTACAACTGCAACCTCAAGAAGATGCCGTGACGTCGTCGTCCATCAAGACGTTTTCTGTCAGGGAGTCAAGTAGTGTTCCGCTGCATTCTGTACCCTCATCCACTGCATGGAATTTCTCTATTGTTCGTCATGCTGTCTCCGAACCTACAACCCTCCAGGCTCGAGGTTGTTAGCGCGGCGCCATGCATCTTGTTTTTGCAGTCAAGAATAGTGAAGCAATAGCCTCAGAAAATAATTGATACGGTCAACAGTCACGCTACTATAATAAACTGCGCACAGGATACTGATTAATATATCTTGATGCCTGGCGCCACGCTAGCGACCCTCACCCTGGGGGTCGTAGCGGTTGAGCTTGCCGTTTTACACTGAACAAGCGCAAGGACAATACTTAAGTATTGGCCGCACGTGTGTTTTAGTACTACATGCGCGACTGCGTACTGGCGTGTCAGCGGGCTTTCATTATGAGATTACAGCGCCTCAAGTGGTCTCGGCTCTCGGCCGTGTCGGAAACCAGGCACCATGCGCATCAGGGGGACAACGTGACTTGAACGCCCTTGCCAACTCCCAACCCTTCTGTTCCACCTTGCTCAACCTTGCCAAGTCTGGGGTACCAAGTTGGACAATGAAAACACAGAACTAATACCGCCTTGACTTCTCAAGCCCAATGACAGGTTGCACCCGAACTGCGAGCGGCTCGCCCGACCGCCCGGCCGCCTGCGTTGAGCGCGCGGGTGTACAACCCCAACTCTAATGGCTGGCCAATTGAATCCACTACGTTCACAATTTGGCTTGCCAGCAATTGGTAGACCTATATCTGTCACACCAGACCTGTCAAACCCATTCGCTAGGCCCTTCGGCACGTCGCCGGAATTTTCTAGCTGCAGTTCAATGCCTACCTCGCTATTCGTCGTAGCGTGAACGCCATGCGCTACATCGTTCCACCCCAGCCGCAAGTCGATAGTTAATAGAGTGTGGTAGTCGACAGGCAGCCTGATCTTATCTATGCTACGGCTGTGACGTGAAGCTAGCCGTCGACCATTTGCTTTTTCTTATTTACACACAGGCACCAGGAGACAGCTCCGAAGTTGATCGCTGCCCCTTTTTACTATAGGCGACGCGAGGCTACATACATAGTGGCTTGCGGTCTTCGGACGTGGCGGTTTCACATTTCGCAAGGAGCAGGATTCGTTGTTCTCAGCTGCTTTCTGGGCTTTCCAGCTGTTTGTACATCACTTACCGCTCTCCGGTTGCGCCTTGTTTGCCTAGGTGGAGCCCCAGCTGTGTTGGACTCTGGTTGGTTTTTTGGCTTTGCAACCTGCCCTTGTTCAGATTTGTTTGCTGCGAGGCTGCATCACTATGCAGATGTCTCCATGTCATCGTCTGGCCAGCATGTGGCCACCTCGAAATCTCCGTCCTCATTGGTTTCCAATGAGAGCACGACAGACGCACCGTGCTGCAAGGGATTGTTCTCCCACACGACGATGTCCTTGCTACGTTCCAGCCCAAGGATGTTCTCAACATTCCTCGAAACTAAACGAACCGCTTCGTGTTCACTCAGACCAGCATACTTGGCTGCCCAGGCGGCTTCGAGGGCCAGAGAGTGAATCCGACAATCCGCTGTGGGAACTGATGAGTAGAAACATGTCAGTATCGCACGGATGCGGAATCGAAGGTGGGAGCCATACCTGAGCCATCCACAGATATCGCATAGGCTACGCCCTCTTCACTGAGGATGCTTGCCGGGCTTCGCGTCAATGGTGGGCCTGGGAGTGACTCTCTGGTCTCCCAAGAAGCGAAGGCGGGACGTGTTGCCCAGAGTATGACGGGGATCTTGGCCTGGGCTAGTTCTTTGGCTACCAAAGGCGCCCCATGTCCGCCGTTGATGACGATCTTGACGTCTGAAAAATCCTGCTTCACGGCGATGATTTGTTGAGTATCCGGCTATAGTAGAAAGTTTCTGTCAGCAATTGATCGTCTCGGACCGCGCCTCGCACCCCCTTGTAGGTATCTCAACTTACCACACTAGCAACTTGGATGATGAGAGGCATCTTGCCATCGGCAACCAAACCGTACGCACTCTCATTCCCTTTGCCCCTGTTCTCCACCAAGATCGCTCTGAGATTCTTGATGGCCATACTCTTACTCCCGAGAGCCTTGTTGGCATCTCCAATAATCATATGCAAACCGACCTCATCCTGAAAGATGCCGCCATCAAGAAGGCGTTTCGTGCCGCTGGTTCTGATACCAGTCGAGACTCCCTGAACCAGCCCAGCGCCTCCAAGCGAGGGGAGTTCCGGGGGGGTCACGGCTCTGGTGACACCTCCAAGACGTGCCCGTGCGAATGATTTCCCGTCGAAATAAACACCGTACTTGGCGTAGTCGATAGGTTTGGCATCTTTAACATCCGTGACTTGCGCAATGCCGTTCCCGGTCTCCTCGTCCAATATGATTTCCGCCATGCCTAGACTATGTGATACTGCAGTCAAACCCGGAAGTAGATGCCCATTGTCTAGAGATACGTGGACTGCACCGTCGGCCGTAGCCGTGATCGCGGCGCCGCAAGTCTCTAATGACCCGAGACAAGAAATTTTACCATTGTTGATGACCAGTGTAAGGTTGCCTTCCCCTGACGTAGAGACTGCGGCCGAGAGTTGCTGATGGTTGTCTAAGAAACTCTTCCGAATGCCTTGGATCACGAGGCTCTGGCCTTGCATTTTAGCTAGAGCACAAAAATTGGCCGCTTCTTCTTTAGACTTTCTGACACGACTGCGCGGTAGCTCTTCCTTAGTTGGCGGTGCGGAAGATGCCTCCATTGACGAACCCATGGCCCTCTCTACATCTTTAGCGTTGAGAGTCGCGATTCCGTCGATGAACACTTGTTGCGGCGTGGCGCCAATGGAAAGCGGATGAGAATCCCACTGCACGTCATAGGTCAGTTTCTGAGCACTCATTCTTGCGGTCTTCTAAAAGGGCTAGTGGTGGCGCTGGTTTCGCGGGGTGGGCGACCATAAATTGCTTCTTAGGCTAGAATCTCGAACAACTCCAGATATGTCCCTGAGTGAGTACTTACAACAACGAGATCGGCATCGTAGCCTTTGCGTGCGTATCCTATGCGGAACCCCAAATCCAGTGCGTTCGCCGGAATCGAAGTCACTGACTGAAGGGCTTTCTCAGCTGGAAGGTGAAAGGCGTGCGCTACGGCAGCTTGTGATCTGTCTCGCAGTGAGCTTAGTTGGAAATAGTGAGCTAGACTTGCTTGATACTTACACGACGTATTTTGCGTTCATGCTTTCTCCGCTGTGATCCTACGCTCATTCAGTCGAGATCGAACGCAGGGCTGCACCCGCGAGTATGGCCGTCTGTGCTCTCATTATGTGCTTTCTTACCGACTTATATGCTACTGGAATACCGTGAGCATCGAGGATAGCCCCTGCGTAAAGGCTGGGATGGTACGCCTCGTGCTTGTACAGGGCGAATTCGGCAAACGTAGCAATTGTCACGTTCCTTTATGTGAGCCAGATCAGCACGAGCTGTACAGGCCTCAGACTGAACTTACTCTCCGTACTCCTTCAACATTTCAGGGACTTGCCAAGCCTCGATCGCGTGATGGAAAGCGCGGGCTCGAATACCGAATTCTCGAGTGACTCCCAGCATGGTTTCAAGGTCTTCGGGCTCGTAGCAGTGGTTCTGCATGCTAACTCTACCACGAAGTAAACCAATTGTGGATTCGAGTTCACGCTCTTCTGGAAACCCACCCGTCTGTTCGACAAATCGACTTTGCTCGGCTGCGGTGCGCAAACGAGAGGCTGAATCACACCACTCCTCCTGCTTGTCCATCAACTCTTTCGCCCGGGCAAGATGCTTACGGAGAAGCCAAGCCAGCCCCATTCGAGTGTGGCCGTAGACCATCTTGGGGTTCTCTCCGCATGCCATCTTCATGTAACGATGTCGGTCTTCAGGGGGGACGCCGTGTTCTAGAAGCATTTCTTCCACGACATACTCACCTAAGGCGCCGGATTTCATCACATTCTTCACCACAGTCCCTTCCCCGCCCACTGTGGCGGCGCAGTCAGTATTCGTCACCTCTGGCAATCAGCTACGGGCCCTAGTCATGTATCAGAAGCAGAAACTCCCAACAGGCTTTATTGGGAAGGTTTTGCTTCTGAGACAGAGCAGGGAAGATTTTGGAAGGACTCTGTAAATGGCGTACTGGTGTTAGTTGAACCGGGAAGCAGAAGACTCGAGGTAATACCACCGGAAGCTATCAGCTTGGTGGCAGCATCATACGCTTTCAACGACTCGGTGATTCGAAGAAAAGGTGTGAGAGTCCCGAACAGAGCGTGCATCTCTAACTTGGTATTAGCCTGATGTTCCGTGTCGGATGGCTACAATTTACCATTGCTATCCTCGGTTGCTTCCGAAACAGGCCAAGACAGCGTCATATGGTGAGAATGCATATCGACGACGCCGGGTGTCACGTAACGGCCTTGTAGCTGATACTCTTCGCCATCTTCCAATATGGACGCTGCGTTTGACGCAGGAGTCACGGAGACAATCAAGCCTTTGGAAAACACAATGTCGACCAGCGAGGACATGAATGACTCTCCGTCAAATAGCGTGGCATTGCGCAAAGCAATCGTCTCATTCTGGCCGCGTACTGCATTCTACCTAGGGTTGAGTCCCCTCAACGCCGGCTCTGGCTCGGGCGGAAAGCGGTTGCGGTCTGCACATTGCTCAAGCGAACGCTGAAACTTGACGAGAGACGCGGATGACGAAACACCTCTTGTCGAGGAACGCGACCATGTTTCCCTGTCAATAAGCAAGCAGAGATACGAAATCGTCAGCGTGATAACCAATGCAAGGAAGACCGGGAGAGAACAGGCTCTGTGGAGGCGCCTATGGAACCGAGGTCTGCGGTGATGTGCGTAGGCTTCTGCCTCATAAGGTGGAGGTGAAGTCTGCACGATGAGGTCCTCGTGCGGCGACTTCATGGCTAGCGGAAACATAGTGCGCCTTTCAGCAGTGTTGACGAAAGCAATTCAGTTGGACGAATGAAGTACAATCGATAACAAATATGGGCTTGAGGACTTCCTAGCAGCCCTGCCTAGCCTAATCCAACGTGCAATAGTCCATCATGACCGGGCGCAATCACTTAGTAGGAAGGAGATACGAGCTCGCACCAAGCATTGACCAGTCGGATGCGAGGATGCAATAGCGGATACTGCTGCTCCGCCAACTAACTAGGTTAGACGCCTTTGAACTGCATAGTTTTAGCACAAGTAGGCATAAATGGATGTATACAGAGCTTACTGTGCAATAGGAGATACATGTCCAATCCACTCAGATTGGGGTGGCAAGATGCCAACCCCGCAAAGTCTATCTTGCGGAAGAGCTGACATGCCGAGACTTCAATGCCACGAACCAGCGCACCCTTTCACAGTGTGCATGGAAACTCGCTCGAGCATCTTGTGAACGATTGGCTCGGCGCAAGGATGTGATTATCCCGCGCGCCATCAACTGCGTAAAACCTGGCCGTCAAAGTAGACCGCGCTGGAACCTCGAGAACCCCAGGAGAACCCTAGGATGAAGATTTGGTAACCCGTTCTGTACGAGACGTGGTCAAGGAAGGCCTGACCACGCTAGAATCAGCTGCTACTTAGCTGAATCTATGCAATAAGAAGCCGGATTCTGGAGATCCTGGTGCCAATTGCCCTAGCATCAAATGACGCATTACCGCTGTAAGCACTGTGCTCAACTTGCCTCAGAGACGAGAGCTCAGCATGTCTCTTACTAGCTTGAGATTTTGGATCCTCTTCCTCACAAGTTTCCTGATTCTCGTCCTTTTATTTTCGGCCATCTCACCCGGGGATCGAGACTTCATCCACCCCCGACTTCAACTCGACCAGTCTGGAGCATTGACCATTGCCATCTTCGCAGATCTACACTATGGCGAGGAAGAGAACGGATGGGGTATCGATCAAGATATCAAGTCAACGCATGTGATGCGTAATGTATTAGGCATGGAGTCGCCCAGCCTCGCCGTTATCAACGGGGACTTCATCACAGGCGAGAATACATTTCGGGAGAACAGCACTGAATACGTACATCGCATTGTGGCACCACTAGTTGCCCACGACCTCCCATGGGCGAGTACCTACGGAAACCATGACTCGAAATTCAACTTGTCACGTGAAGCTTTATTCCAGACGGAAACATCCTATCCTCAGTCTTTGACCAGACAAATGGACCCGAGCCTACCTGGTATGACGAACTATTACTTGTTGATCTACGGTCCTCCGTCTGGAAATGAAGAGCGGCCGGTCGCTGTCTTGTGGTTCTTCGACAGCCGTGGGGGCGCATCATACCAGCACGAACCCGCAAACGAAGACGACATCCCCAACTGGGTGGCTCCAGAAACCGCACGCTGGTTCTCCACGCAGCACCAGAACCTCAAGGCGGATTATGGTATCCTCCTCAGTCTAGCCTTTGTACATATCCCTCCTCACGCCTTTCTCGACGCCCAAAAGGGAGGCTTGGATCCCTCGCACTTTCCCGGCGTCAACGATGATGTACCTGTCGCCATCCAAGGAAAAGGTAGTGAAGATACTGCTTTCGTGGATGCGCTGCTCGCAACTGAGGGGCTACACAGCATATATGTTGGGCATGATCACGGGAATGCGTGGTGCTCGACATGGCCTGGGAGAGAGAAGGCCCCCTTCTTGTGTTGTTCGAAACATTCTGCCTACGGCGGCTACGGGACTTGGAATCGTGGAGTGCGAATGGTCCGGATATCATTTGGTGATGGCGCGAAAGGGTGTGAGGTAGAAACGTGGGTAAGAATGGAGAATGGAGACATTGTATCGCGAGTCTCTCTGAATGAAACTTATGGGATCGACGTGTACCCAACCGCTGATGGGGAATGAATACGATTCATGACGGGAATGGACAAAGTATTCCCACTTTTATGCGAAGCCTGTGAGAAAGTATTGCAAGGAAGCCGGACTGAGAGTTCAAGAGTTGGACTCGAAGTCGACGTCAATCCGAGTGCTCTTCCCATAAAGCCCTTTGTGTCCATAGCTATACCACAGAAAAGGCCTTCTGAAATCGTCCAGTGACCGTGGCGATAGGTTATATCTAGATTCCTGGTTTGATCTGCTTTGTGTCGTATTGGTCGGCGATGCTCCTTAGATAGTGCACTGTCCATAAGCATAGAAAACATTGCGGTGAAAACGAAGTAGGGCCGACTACCTCATTTTGTACACGACAATGTTCGAGGTTTTAAATGCGATGGACTATCCATGAGTTGTTGCCAACCGATCGTAAATAGAATTAGACCTATCGTCGGCGATACCTGGGTAAAGAAGCTAGCGTCGAGCGCCTGATAGCATAGAAAGACGCTCGATGTAATGATTTCACCTGATGGCCTTCATCTGAAAACACACCGGTACTAGATACCGGAGACATTGTTCGTGGATGATTGGAGTTGAATGCTTCATTGATATAACCACATGTTGCCTAGAGTCAGAAAATAAATTGGTTTCGACCCTGGTGATAGTGATTAGGCAAATCCTGTTTGCGAGTCGTCCTACATCGTTGACCCATGCATAATATTACCAAAGCACGCCTCTGGTCACTCGTATCAAAGTCTCATCCCCAAGCCTGAAGCAACAAAGAAGAGTGTTGAGATGTATGTGCAAATACCCGGCAGTTCGCATGGAACACAGTCCTTGCGTTTACGGGAACTTAATCCCAAAGCTGTCATCAATATCCTTGATCTTCTTAACCGACCTCTGATATCCAGGCTCAGCCTCCATCCTATCGATCCATGCCCACAACTTGGGATACAACTGGTCAAGCGGCTTCCCCCAGTTGCCAAAGCCTTTGAAGCTGTCCTTGGCGTTGATCAGGGCAAAGCTCAAGACAATATCCGCCGTCGTAAGGTGATCTCCGCATAGGTAATCACCCCCCGAAGTCGCAAGCTGGTTCTCGAGGAAGCCCAGGTGGGCCTTCGCGTTCGGGAAGATCATCATGGAAATGATTTGGTTCGAGACCATTGCCGTGATGGGGCGGATGAAAAACGGTACTTTTGGGCCCTTCAGCGCGCCCAGGACCATAGCCATCATCAGTAGGGACACAAGGGATCCCTCATTGTAATGAAGAAAATACTGCCAGCGCAGCCACGCCTCCGTCTCGCCGCCACTCTTGCCTTCCTGACCGGCTTTGTATCGCGTCGGCACGAGGTTGGTACCTTCGGCGAAGTGCTCGCTCATATACTGGGCGATGAACCCCGTCTCGGCCAAGACGATGGGCTTTTCGGATCCAGCTGGGGTCACTGTGACGACGGGGCTTTTGCCAAGGGCGTGGACCTGCTTGAGTTCGGGTGGAGCGAGCATGTTGTCCTTGTTCCGGTGGAAGAGCTCGAGCTCATAGTTCAATTTCAGCTCTTCGAACAGCCAGAGGATAGACTGGGCCCTAGATTTTTCAAGCCTGGGCTTGTTAGCTCATGGAAACATTTGTAGGTTTTGGTTCAAGTCACTCACCAGTATAGCTTGATTTTGGGTTGATCTTCAGTGGCCATGATGCCGGATTTGACTTAATGAAGTAATGGCCTTGATGAGTGAGTCAATGAGTCGGTAGGAATCTAGAAACGCGTGATGAAAAAGATGACAGTGAGATGGAATTTTCGATGATGCTCAATATATTCTAGATTTTTCGTCTGAAAGATGGTGAATAAGCGATACCTCGGCAGCTTCGGTGACTTGAAATAGGTGAGTACTTGATAAGTGTGCGACGCTTGCTGTGCCTCCAGATGTGCCTATGGAAATTATGAGTTCGCAATTCAATCCGTCTGTTAGTATCGATGTGTTTAGAGCAATTGAGCGACTTGGCCATGAAGCCAGCCAATCTCATGTATTGTGACGTCGTTATGGCACTTTGTAACACAATTCTTGTGATGATTTCACCTGCAATAGTTGCCATTGTATACTTCGTAAAGTAGGTAGTTATGCGCTTGGCATGCTGCACCAAGACCAACAAAAACGGACAGCCACCAGCGGCTCCATTAGCCCCACTGTAATTCGACCGAAATTCGCCTAAGATATCAGGCGTTCAATTCGACATGCGACGTCAAGCCTGTTGAGCATTGAACGAACAACGACATTCCAGCAAAGACAACTCCCATCGACCAATTTCCATCAGTGCTCGGAAGCTGCCCACCTCTCCAAGATGGCTGGCCTCAAGCACTACCGTATGTGCTCATCGGACGCAATTGGAGCTTCAACCCAAAGCTAACATGGACAACAGGCATGGCATTCGACCCGGCTATTCAAAGACTGGGAAGTACGTTTATACTCCATGTTCCCAGCTCATGATCGAGGGCGGCGATGATGGCTGTTACGAGAGGACTAACGCGATACACCAGCTATGCAATCGAACCGACACAAGTTCTTCCGCTGGACTCCCCGGACCGCCCGCATCACCTTCATGTACGCCGTTGTCGTACCGGCCATTTTCACTGTCATTGCGTACAATACAGATGTGAGTCGACTCGTCTTTCTGCAGAGAAGCGAGGGGAGCATGGGGTTTTAATACACGTGTCACAGGGAAAGTACGATCTGCGAGCGAAGCGGAAGGGCGACTTGGTTTACGAATATTAAGGGGAGAGGTGAGGAGCTAAGCCGAGGAGATGTACACAAGAGTGGACGTCACGAGACGAAAAGAACACAGCACTGATCAAATGTCAAAATCGAGTTGATCGTACTTTGCGAAGGACGATTCCCATGATGATGCGGTTTCCAGACTGTCTGGCGCATGCCTTTTTTTCAATTCGTCCTGAGCCAGAAACATTGATGAATTGACTCATGTTGACCTCCGATACGACTTAGAGTATTAATTGGCAACTGTCTAGGCGTAGTTCGCCCAACATAAGAACTGCTTGTATGCCTAGGTCGACGCAGACAGATGCACATTTCCATATGTATTACCAGGTCCCTATAATATTTCAGATGACCGTCTCCTGCTCTCAACATACTAGCCCCAGTGATCTCTGGGATAGATAGCCCTTCTTATATGGGCTCAAAATCGGCCTCGCCCCCTGGCTCGTATAGGCGCGTCTGGCAGTCTTTCACCCCTCCTCCATTCTCCCTCCGGGAATCCACGACCCCGCCCAAAGCCATCAATACCTCCTCGCCCTCTACCTCTGCCAGTCCGCATTCCGAACCCAATCTGTGTGTCCATTTCCCTGTCCCTATCCCGGTCTCTGGCGCTCGCAACTATCGGGGAAACACCCACAATGGCCCTTGCTTCTCCCGCACCCACTCCCCTGCCCATTCTTGCGCTCGTTGCCGGAGCCACACTCCCATCGCTAAGGGGCGGCAGTATAGCTACCGACACGAAGTCGCCCACGACAAAGCGCGCATCACTCAGTGTCTTGGCCGCATCGGCACCCTCAAGCTGCTTTTCGGCCGCAACGTCGCTGGGATCCAGCCCAGGCCCGCCATCGCCGAGCACGACACTCCCGAGATCTTTGACGAGGTAGCGCGGGATTTGGGATGCATTACGCGTATCTGGGAAGATGAGCCGGAATGCAAGCCTTGTGCCGATAGCGGGTTCGGGAAGAAGAGGGGGCGATGCGGCGGCGAGGTGGTGCGAGAGCTCGGTGAGGGTGCAGTCGGACCAGGTGTGAATGGTTATGTGAGGTGGTAGGGCGATGTCGGTAAATTCGTCCGGTCTAGGTGCGATATTAGTATATCAATACGCAGAGATGCTAATGTGCAAGTAAGTTAGATGCCTACCGGTGGAATGCACCGGTGCGATAGACTAGGCGCAATGAGAAGGGAGGTGTCGCGTGTCGATCCATTGCGATTTACGTCTCCTATTGACGGAGGAATGGAGCTTAGGAGTTCAACTCATGATCATAGATATCTTCGGCGAAGCTTGCAATTGTACAAGTGCGCACTTTAAGGGATGGATACAAATCCGGACTTCGTACTGGGGATATAAGACTGAGGACGGTGCGAACTTTTTGACGCTCTGAATGATTGTCCGTCACTTTATTGATCGTCGCAGCAACCACCTTTAAGGTGGCTGCCCCGCTAGACAGCTAACGCCACAGCTCCCGTTCATCCTCACATATAGATCTTTATTAACATCCCTCAGTCTTCTACATTAAACAACTTCTTCTCATGACCATCTCTCAACTTATCCCAAAACTCCCACTCAATCTGTATCATCAGTTACGACGCACACGAGAAACCGATTCTACATCACCACCCACACCTCAAAATGGACTTCGCATCCCTGATGTCCAAAGAAATCGCTAAGGCAAAACCCCCCTCGGATGATCCATCCTCAGCCGCCTCCAAAAAGTACATCAAACGTTCCGAAGCCGAGACCCTGCGGCGGGAAGCCTACCTCGCCGAGCAAAAAGCGCTGCAGGAGAAGAAACAAGCCAAATTCGCCGAGAAGCGCAAGCGCGAAGAAGACGCGGCGGAGGAAGCGCGTGTGCGGGACGAGAAGCGGCGCAAACTCGAAGAAGAGACGCGGCGGCGGCGCGAGGAACAGGCTGCCGAGGAGGAACGCCGCAGGAGGAAACGACTGGGACTGCCCGAGCTGGTGAAGGAAGATAGCGCCGACGATGGGGCTGCCGCGGATGGTGAGGAGGACATAGCTGACGCCGAGCTGATGACGCGATTGCGTGAACTTGAACAGCCGGCAACGTTATTCGGCGAAAACCACCGCGCACGACTGAAGCGGTACCGCGTGCTGACGACGACGGTGACGAGCGGACCGATCCCGACGACGCTGCAGCTTGTGGACGAGAAGGATATGCGAGTTTCGGGGACGATACCGACAGATAAGGAAGGACGGAAGCTATTGTTCCGGCAGTTGGCATCGTACTTCACCATGGTGCTGCGAGAGTGGGACAAGGCTCTGTCCAAGGAGGAGAAGCGCGACACGTTCGCAAGCAAGGCCGCCGTCAATGCTATGGTACAGAGCCGCGAGAACATGGTACCGCTGTTTCGCAAGTTTGAAAAGGACGAGCTCGACGATGATATTATCAAGCCCGTTGTGGAGATTGTACAGGCAGCCCAGGAGCGTCGTTATGTGGATGCAAACGATGGGTATCTGCGCCTGAGTATCGGCAAGGCTGCGTGGCCCATTGGTGTTACCATGGTGGGTATTCATGAGCGTAGCGCCAGAGAGAAGCTTCATAATGGCGAAAGGGGCCATGTCATGGGAGACGAGGTCACAAGAAAGTATTTGCAGAGCATCAAACGGTGTCTCACGTTTGCTCAGGTGAGATGGCCGCCCGAAGACGTCAGGCAGTTGATGGGTTAGGCAGCATTACAAGGAGCCGAATCAACAACCAGTCTTCGGATTCATATACCTTTGATTTTCTTTGGGAGATCTCCAATGTAGAATATTGAGGCTGCATGCTTCTATCGTGAGTCAACGACAGAAACATGATCTATCTCTATTTCATTCTGGGTGGATAAGCAAACTACCGAGGCTGTCCAATCTCCCTTATTCTTATAACCTTCCAGACCTTTCACGATCTGGGCTAGTACCTTTGAATCATCAAACCTTGATTTGCCAGTTTCTGGTCCTTACGCCACAAGCCCTGAACTCCTCAAATGCCTCATACCCATTGCATCAACTACAATCCTTGCTCGTCTCTGACGGCCGCCTAAAGGGGAAGCTCGTTCCCTCCACGAGGGCCGGCAGGGTCAGGTGCCCGTGAGTCCTCAGGTTTCTAGCCGGAGGCCGCTTCGCCTTGATTCATCTGTCTTCTCGTCTCGTTGAACCATTGATCACCGCCAAGGCCAGCTCTTGCTCGAGCAGTGCCCTTGACCTCGAGATCAGCCGCTACGATGTTCATACGTCGAATTCGTTCCAACGCCTCTTTCTCATAGTTCTTAGCTGCCTCAAGGGCATTGGCCTGCATTTCAGCTCGTCGGTCGGTGGAGATAGCCATGAGAAGCTGTATTATTGCGTCAGTTACTATCCATCTTGGTTGTAGGATCAAATAGCTTACTTTGTCAACCGTGTCGATACGAGCCTTGAGCGCTCCGCTCTTGATCATGGTGATGAGTTCTGCCTCGAGGGACTCGCCTGGCTTGGCGAACGCCTTGTCCAAACTATCCAAGGTGACACAAGAGAACGGAATGAAGTACTGCACGATGCACTTGCTGCGAATCTGAGAGTAGATTTTTTTTACGTGTCTTGACAGGTGGATATCCAGCAGGTAATCAGCGCGATAGGACTCGAGGGTCGCGAGACAAGCCGAGTAACGTCCGTTCACAAACATCGAGGTGGCCTTGCGAATATGAGGTTCAAGCTCCAAGTAATTTCTAAAGCTAGGGCTGTCCAAAACCCGAGACTGTAGCTCGGATCGATCCATGGAGGCGAGAGCGAGCAGGCCACCATATGTGGCCATGTCATTGGGGCTCATAATGTTGCTGTACTGTTGGCAAACACTGAGCTCGACTTCGAGAAAACACTTCGCCGCGTCGTAGAACTTTTCGCCATGGAGGTTTGCGAGACCCAATACCGTCTTCTGATATGGCTGCTGAACCTTTAGGTCCTCCTCGCCCGTGCTGCCAGAGAGCATTTTGTTGATGTTCGATTGGATGCTGGACCAGTCGCGCTTTTGAAGAGAGATGCCGATGGCGTGCTTGGCCCAATCGAAGAGGTGTGCATGTGTGCTTGCTTCGGGTCGCATCCTGGTGTAATTGTCGTTGGCGGCGGTGAGGTCGCCAATGCTCTCGAGGTGCTCGCCCAGGTCGCGATAGCCAATCTACGTAAAGTCAGCCATTGCTCCTGCCTAATTCACTTGATACCGTACCCTAATGCTTTCCTTGACCAGGTTGTTCTTGTAACCTTTCAGTTCTGTCTCTAGCCGGTGTGTTTCCAATTTGTTTGCCTTCTCTGTCTTGTCCGCCCATGCCTGATCGAATTGAGCCTCGGGCTCGTTTGGGGCTGCTACACGGATGCACTCCCAGGCCTCGCGATAGCGACGGACATCTTTGCCTCGCTTTGCCTCGGTAACAGCAGCTTTGAGGGCGTCGACGCAGAGCACAACGGAGCTTTGGCCAATCGAGAAGAGACGTTCGAAGCGAGTTCGTCCTGGCAGACGTCAGGACTAGGAAACAATGATGCCGGGGGGGGGGGGGGGGTCAATGTTGAACCAGCTCGCCAAAGCAGCCAGGTGGACGAACTGCTTGCTATCCAACTCACCAGTGTAATTTGAGATGTACAGGTCAAGATCGAGCTTCGGCGCATCTGAAGAGAAGTCCATGTCAGTAATAATTTCCACTCCAGACGTTTCAGTACCAACCTTTGATGACCAGTCCTCCTTGGTTGTCCATGGCCGTAAAGAAGGTCAGAAGCTGGCTTGAGTCGGCCATAGTGCTCGATAGAACGCGCTGACGCTCTAGAAGTATTATGTTCGCAAAATCAGAGTGTCGGAAAGACGTGTAGGCTTCCCGTATGCTGTTACGATATGGCAAGCCCAAACGAAATGCGGAAGCACTGTACGTGCAGGATGGGAAAGTGCTAGTGGCGGGGTAGCTTCTTAGGAACGATCAGGCAGCACCCCTGTAGGCAGAAGACGTTAAAGGCACTCGTTTAGTCAACGACCATTAAAGACAGCCTGGTCACTACTATAGTAACTGCCCTTGAGGTCTAAATAAGTTAATTAAGTAAGGTGCCCTTATATTTACTCGGACCATGAAGTTGGAACAGTCAACTACAAATCCCTACTTGCAAGTTGTTGAATATGTGACAAGCATGACAATTGGAGAAGGAATGTATTTATTATTCAAGCCGTATTGTCTAGCTCTTTTGAGCAAGTGGGCTGGATACAGCATGGGGACTTCGCATTTAAGACAACTGATGCTACACGAGGAAACACCGAACCTCCGATTCGTGATCGTGAAAACTGTAATCTGGGACTTGGCTCTAAGGCGCAATGTCTCTCATAGGCCACAGCTACCCGATGATGAGCCTTGAATATTCACAAGTAGCTAAACCTATACCTGTAGAATCTGCTTCTCCTTGTGCGTTCGCTCATTCATTACCTTGAAAGGCAATTGCCAACTTCTCTGCCCACAGTGAGATCCTGAGCTGTCTCCACAGTACGCATTTATCACTTTGGTATATACTCATGAAGTTGGCCATCCCACCGTCGTGTCCCACCTTCTCAATACTTGCCAAGGCGCCAGTGTTTGCTACAGGCGCCAAGCCAAATGACGGACTTTCACCGAGACGGCAAAAGCATGATCAACGATGGAACATTCGGCAACCCGGCAACGGGTTCAGTTCTTCGGACGAGCTTAGCACTCAGCGAAGAAACCGCACACTCGGCCTAACCGTCCAAGGCTTCCGTTCAACATCCCACAGCGGAGAGACGGATCTTGGTAGTGTGGAAGTTTGTGGCTCCGTGTCAGCTAACAGCATCTGCTTAGGCGCAAAACCATCGCGCCTGCTTTCAAGTCTGGTGAAAAGGACGACATACATACACTCACTGCTAGTTTGGGCGCCGGATGGGAGTGATCCAGTGGCTTGAGACGAGAGTTCGGCGGACGATTCCATGACCATGGTCATGTCATACAAGGTATCAACCGCTGGACCGTCTGACTCTACTGCCGCTACGCCCTAGTTTGGAAATCAGTTGCTAAAAAGGTAGCCGTTCGCCGTTCGCCGCTCGCAGCCAACCATGAAGAGCTTTGGAATGACGCCTAATGAGGCCTGGGTGATAATGGAGGCGGGCCTGAACCATCTGCCGTATGCCATCATGGGAACCCCGAAACCAAAACGACACTTTTTGTTCCCCTCCCGACCGATTCGAGGGACACTCAACTTTGATTAATGGGGTAGCCGCTGCTTTTATTCAACTCGTAGCTGAACTAACCGTCATGATTAGAGTATACTGTAGTAACTAGCTTGGAACAGGAGCATCTGTTTTGCGCCATAGAACTAGCTGAATATGCAATCATAGCAAGCAGCATGCTACATAGCAAATGAAGTGCTCTTATTGCATTCTGACCTCGCCAGCATCTTTACAGGCCGCAACGCTACGATACGGTGGCAATATGCAAGTGGTGGAGACGTCGGTATTAGTGAGGGGAGAGACAAGCAGGTGTTACTAAGGACCCCTCATCACTGAAAAAGCCATAATACATTGCGAGTAATAATCCCATTTCGACTTGCTTGGCAACCAATGGTGAATGCAGACAACCTTTTCTCATGCATCTACATAAGCATATGCAATAAGTTAGGTCATCGGTGCAAGGTCTACCATTGTAAATTTTCGACTGTCTCGAGATTCACGAACTGACCTCGCCTCTGCAGTCCCCCCGCTGCTATGATAAGATACTCTCGACCACAATCCCCTTTACTTACTACTCTCAATTCCTCGAGTATCTATCCCCTTGATACTTTTAATCGTATTAACACAGTAAAGGCCATTTGAAGATCTGCGCTGGGTCAGGCTGGGCCTCGTGGATTTATGCACGTCCTGACTCCGATGGTCAGATAACTGCCGCTAGGCAACATTGAGCTTCCCAGCCGATTGGGTCTAGCTTCACCGGGCTTCACTTAGGAAGTACCCAGGTAGTGGTTTCGCCGTTTTGCCGTCGCACACCAAGACCTGGCACTCGGGCTATGGAAGCCACCGTCAAGACCCCAACCTGCTGAACCCTCTTTTCGTACTCGGTCCTTGACTGGCCTGACTGGACTGTATTATGTAGTGCTCTGCACAGCCTTATGAAATACACACCAGCCAAGTCAGCCACAATTAACACATATGTAATAGCACATGTAGCACACACAGTCCCACTGTCGTTCCCGTTCCACCCACCCCTGCGGTCAACTTCCAAGTTCCCTGCCTGCGTCGCAAGAAACCGGACCAATCTTCTCCTTCTTTTCGCCATTTGCTCATTGTGCTTTCTGGTACTTTGTACTTGCGCCATTAGCCAGCATCCTTTGGGACGTTTAACCTTTCCCGTCTACATGTGCCTTAAATCACTCTTCCAAGTGTAACTCAACTTCCACCGATCACTGCTACCCATTCCGCCTGTGGCCCCGTCCTCTCGGAATTGAACTGGCACGCAAGACCAAGACGATTGACTGCCGTGACCACGATGCACGCAACATTCAATGTCGCATACTTGAAGTGAAGAAGATCAGGAAACCCACAGGTGGATGTTAGATCAGGAAAGACATAGGACATGTCGACCCCTACCAGGGCCGGAACATCTTCCCCTCCTCCGCCTCCATTACATCCTTCTGGGATCAAGGGCTCGCCCGTCAAGGACGAAGAGGTTGAGTCAGTACCCGAGTCTGATGGGGAGAACTCCGATACCCAGTCCATCGATGATATTGCGCCCTCAACGTCTGCGAACCAAAAAGGAAAGGCGGCCGACTCATCCATCAAGGCTCAATCGGTGCCACTGCAGAAACGTCGACGAGTAACTCGAGCATGCGATGTATGTTACTTCCCATGCCAACACTGTTCTTCACTGGTCCTTCGTGCATGTACAGGTCGGCCCCACGAGTAGGCAGTCCAAGGGCCGAAACCCGCAGAGACGTCTCAAGCCGGCCCAAGAAGACGTGTCGCTGATATCCATCACCATATAGGAATGTCGCAGGAAGAAAATCAAATGTGATGGCAAGCAGCCTTGCACGCATTGCCAGGTGTATAGCTATGGTATGAGTCCCCCCGGGGTTGGCTAGGTCAAGAATTGTTTCGTTGACCGTTCAGACTGCACCTACGACAAGCCGTCCAACCGGCGCAGGAACCCGGCGCCTCAATATATCGAAGCACTAGAACAGAAGTTACAACGGGCTGAGGCGCTTCTTCGCAAATTCATGCCCGACGTCGACCTCAACGACCCAAATCTGGACCTCTCCGTGCAACAGGAATTTCGCCTGAGAGAACAGGCTCGGGCTCAGACTCTGCTGAGGGATGATGCTTCCGGATCTTCTTCCTCGTCCAAGGATGCGAAGCTATTATCTATGATCTCGGGCGCTGGGCAGCTCGACCTGGACGAAAAGGGCGATTACGATTTTCATGGTCTCTCGTCGGGTGCCGTCTTCTTCCGCCGCATGAAGGAGCACTTTCGTACTTTGCTTGGCCGCGACTACAAGATCCCTAGCCTTCCCCGTGGTTCAGGTCGGACCCCAGGGGCCGGACTCAATTTCGATTCCCCGAAATCCTCGGCGACTGGGGAGATGACGGCCTCGTCGGCAGACTTATATAACCTACCACCGAAAGAGGTTGCACGGACACTATGTTCGTACTCGTTCAACTACGCCACCTGTCTGCTGCGCATTGTTCATATTCCCTCCTTCTATGAGATGCTCGACGAGCTTTACGAAAAGCAACCGGGAAGCTTTGGGGAGGATGACGACAGGCATCTTGCGCTGGTATACTCGGTACTAGCTCTTGGATGCATGTACGATGTTCATGATGACGGGGATTTGGATACACCCCCGTACGAGATGGCCATGGAAGAAGGGTAATGAACATGTCACGTTTTGGATTTTAGTTGACTGCTGTGCTAATTTTATCATCTAGGCTCAAGTATTACACATCGGCCAGACTGCTCTTGCAAGACCTCACTGACTGTCGGGACTTGACGTCACTCCAAGCACTGTTATTCATGATCCTCTTCATGCAGTCGATATCGAATCTTAGCACTTGTTACGGTTTCGTTGGAATCGCGTTGCGGTCTGCCTTGCGAATGGGGCTTCATAGGCATCTGCCACAGATGCAGGTCAACCCAATCGAGTCGGAAACAAGGCGACGAATATTCTATGTCTGTCGACAACTTGACATATATGTCTCTGCACTTCTCGGCTTCCCGCTATTGCTTAACGACGAAGACGTCGATCAACCATTACCTACACCAGTGGATGATCAGTTTATCACAATCAACGGCATCCTGCCTGTGCCCTCTGGCACAATTTGTTTCTTCGAGGCTTTCAACGCGCACGCCCGGTTGATGGATATTCTCAGCAAGGTCATCAAGCACATATATCCTTTGAAAGGCATTGAACACACCGCGGCCGAGGGTGAACAACCAACCGGATCGTACGTCATCAGCTACACTAAAGTCAAAGAGATGGAGAAAAGTTTGCAGCAATGGAATGAGCAATTGCCTGTCGCATGGCGGCCAAATTCGGATGGTTCCGAGGAAGTCGTTCGGTAAGTTTCCTCCCCTCCGTTCGTCTATTGATGTCCACCATGGCATTTCGTCCATAATTGGGGTGCACAGCGTCTGACGACGTGGTGGCCATTCACCCCCTGCGATTTATACACTGGGCAACGTGAAGTATGCGGCTGACTGATTTTACAGAGTGCGTAATCTCTTGAGGTTCGCCTATGCCCACGTGCAGATGGTGCTGTACAGGCCTTTCCTTCATTACGTTTCCCCACGTGTTTGCGTAGGCAAAAATGTGGACGAGCGCTCCTACGCTTGCGGTGCAGCTGGCATAAATATTGCACGCAATATTGTGCACATTGGAGCCGAAATGCGTAAGCAAGTGTCGTTGGTTGGGCCTTACTGGTTCACTTTTTTCACCGAGTTCTTCGCCGTTATCTCGCTAGTCTTTTTTGTTCTGGAGAATCAAGATAAGCCGGGAACGAATGAAATTCTGGCGGATGCTATAGCTGGAAGAGATATGATCACTACGCTTGCGCGTAGAAGCATGATCGCGGACTCTATTGCCAAGAACCTACAAGTAAGCTGTACACAAAGCCTTCAGTGTTTCGTCGCTAACCATCCAGACTCTCTTCGAGCAACTCCCGAAAAATCTTAAGAAGATCAAAGCAACGACGGTACCGACAAGGAAGCGATCAGCACCTGGGTCCAAGTCAGGCTTCATCGCGATGCCTTCGCCCTCTACCTTGAAGGCCAAAATTTCCTCTCATCTCCCAGAGGAATTTGGCCGCTCGAAAAGTGGCTCAAGCAAGCCGGGAAGAAGCTCTAAGGAATCAGTACGCCCCAAGGTCTCCTACGATCCACTCAATCTACAAACCGGTCTAGATTTCGGTGCAAGTAGTTTCTCTACAACGTCGCCGCTCGATCTGTCGGTGGGGACCCCAGAAAGCACATCTTCGGGAAATCTCTATGAACCGAGTCCAAACTTACACCATACTACAGTCGGGTTAAATCCACTCCACAGACTGGACGCGATGATGTTTCCATCTGAGGATCCTCTTGCCTACCCTAATCAACCAGGATTTGATTTTGGGCCTCCTGGACAGTCTTTGAGTCCAGACATGGCTCACCCACCGCAGGATACACAGCAGTTCTACATGCCCAACTATTTTGATGGCATCGAGGGCCAGCTAATGGGCCCGCTCCCGCCGTTTCTGATGCAGAACCCCGGGCAGTCTGGATTCGATTTTCCAGCACAGATCTACTCTGATCCAGTGTTGTCACTGCATATGCAGCAAAGCCAACATCGCCAGCAGCAACGCCATCCTCAAGCTCTTTCTCAATCACAACAACAACATCACCAACCGCAGCATTCTGCGGCACAACAGCAGCACCAGTTCTCCAATGCGCCGTGGAGCGGAATGTTCCCTCATTACGATTAGCCTCGGGCTGTGAAAGTTACTTGCAATTGCATGTATGAATATCATATATGAGCAACGGCTTGTTTGGTCGTTTGCTAGGAACTGGAGTTTGGCATTTGGAGTTATCAATGTGTAACATTGTGGGGCGATGTCGGTCAAGATTTACGGTCAGGTAAACACTCGTGAGCATACGATGCACATGTTTCAGAAAAGTTTTAACGATACCTATGTAGTGGAAAGCGGCTCTATAGACGGAATCGAGCTCTCAGAGGTCGGAGGCGCAGGTCCATGACCTAGGTTGGGTTTGTTACTAAGGGGTATGTAACACATGCAAGAGAGAAAAGCACCGAATTCCAACACCATACTAAAAATAACGTTACTGCATATCCACATTGCAGAAATTTTCTTGCAAAGTTCGGGTAGAATAGTGATGCCAAACGCCAGCAGGACGCGAGGCCAAGTCCAAGTATCGGATATTTCATATACTTGTCAAATACAGCGCTCGGAGCGACCAGACTCGGAGTGACCAGACTCAAAGTTTGGGTAACGTGTCCGGATTGAGAGTAGACCGAGTGGCTCGGTTCCCGAAAACAGTTAGGTGGTTCAAATTGCAACTAGTACTCCTTCGAGGAGTCCCTACGAAGCACAAAAGTCTACAACGATCGAGCTGCCGTTGGGGTCTAGCATGCCTTGTTTCATTCAGAGCGCGGGACGACTGGCTGATATCTGGACTACAATGACAGTGCCATCGAGATCAACAAGATGTCGCTGAGACAGACTTCGAGCAACAGCAAGTTTCCTGGTAAGCCGAGCTATGTCCGTTAGCTTCTTCTCTACATAAATGGCTGGGCCGGGCTACCAAACTGTGGACTACCGTATGGACTTGTCTGTGAATGTCTTGTGGTGGCATGGCCTAAGGAAAGGGACTTTGGGGGTGGAGTATGCTCAGCGTCAGGATCGGTGGCAAACTCGAATAGCCGTATTGGGGTTTTGAAATCGTAATACTGCATAACCTTCGGCTGCTACTCACAATCTGTATCTGGGTCTCTGGGATTACTTGGTCTCCAACCGCTCTAACGCTATGATTAGCAAAGACACATGCTAGAAAAGTGGCCGACGAGCTCGGCGTCGACAATGGCCTCATCTACTTGCCAGGCCAGCTGGAGTCGACGTGGGAGGACTCGGACATGGGACCGTCATTTCGACAACGTAGATAGTGAGTGAAGTCACCTCGACCTCCCAGCAATCACCTGTGCTGCTACAACGTCTTCAACCCTTCCCATCGTCTCTGACATCTATCAGCTTCTACTATCTCACCGGTGCTGACTTTGCTGGATGCGCCGTGACCTACGATATGAAGTCGGACCACTTGACCTTGTGTTCCTAACACGCCCCCAAGTCTCCTGCTGTGGTTCGGCACAACACCAACCCCAGCTAAGTGCCTCGAGAAAGCCGATCTAGACGAGGTCAAGTACGTGAGTGACCTTCCCAAGTACCTGATCTCCAAGCTCGCGACGGTCCAGCAACTCTATGTACTGAGGGAATCGCAAATGCCCAAGCTCGGCTCCCTTGGGGTGCTCACGCCGCAGGTGCGGGTCGACACCACCTCACTCCTACCCGCCATCAGTGAAGCCCGAGTAGTAAAGACGGACTACGAGATCGCCATGATCCGCATAGCCTGCGCCGTGTCTTCTAAGGCGCACCATGACGTGTGTGCCCGTTTCCTCTACTTCAAGAACGAATGCGAGATCGAAGCGACCTTCTCAGCATCCTGCATAGCTTCAAACTCGCACGCGCAGTCGTACCCCGTCATCGCCGGGTCCGGTACTAACGCTGGTACGCTCCACTACGACTCCAATAACGAGCCCCTCGAGGGGCGCCAAGTCGTTGTCCTCGACGCGGGAGCCGAGCGGAACTGTTACGCCTCCGACATCACCAGGACTCTTCCCATCGGCGGTAAGTTCACCCGCGAGGGCAAGGCCTCTACGACCTTGTCACCCGCATGCAGGAGGAGTGCATCGCGCGTATTCGTCCCGGGATCTTCTTCTACAGCCTCCAACTACACGCCCACATGGTGGCCGCTAATGGACTCCTTCACCTCGGTATCCTGCATAACGGCTCTGCAAGGGAGATCTTCGCCAACGGCACCACGGCGGCTTTCTTCCCGCACGTACTGGGACACCATGTTGGGTTGGAGGTCCACGATGTACCGGGCAGGGAGAAACTCATGCTCCAGGCCGATGGCTTACCCTCCGTCGTGCGCCGGAGCAAGCGGACCCCTATTACCCCCGGGATCCTCCAGGCTATGATCAAGGATGCTGCAGGCGTGTACGGTGGCCCGTTCACGGGAAGGAGGGAGCTGGATGCGGGTATGGTTGTCACGATTGAGCCGGGGATCTACTTCTGCCGCGAGTACATTGAGGCGTCTTTCCTGAAGAAGCCTGAGCATGCCAAGTATATCAACCGGGAGGTATTGGAGAAGTATTGGGGCGTGGGAGGCGTCAGGATTGAGGACTGCATTTTGGTTACTGGGGAGGGTCATGAGAATATCTCGTCGGCGGCGCCAAAGGGAGAGAGAATGTTGAATATCATTAACAGGAGATGATTTGAGATGCAGCAAAACGGGTGGGGGGGGGCGAGGGGGGGCTGGGCATAAGACGGCTCTTGCCGACGTGCTTTTCACCATCTAGTCAGGTACTAACATGTCAGCGACGGAATACCCGGCTGCATCTGATGTCTAGTCAAAATTTCAGCAATAGGCAAGATATCAGATCTACGCTGGCCAGAGCTACCCGAGACCTAGCCCCTGATGTCCGAAAGGCATTAGCTAGCTCATGGGCACCAGCAGATCCAATATAGTATCACAAGGGGGACGAGATAGAGGGGACACAGGGAAACTACAGACAAGGTAGAAACCGTCATAGATATCATCAATGCCAAACTCGTTTTATACAAAACCCAAGCCTCCCACGCCCCGAAACTCTGAAATTCAGCCTCCCACTCGTTACCCTTATAAGTACTTCTTGGGCAACGTCTTCTTGCGCTCGTAGTAAATATATCCAGCAACCAAGACCACCTGACTGGCAATAATAACAAAGATGAGTTTTCCGTGCTTGGGTGAGCTTTGAATAGCGACGTGTTCCAACATAGTGCCGTGCGTGTCTCCCATCATGCTCTTGATGGAATTCTCCGAATCCTTGATTTTCTGGCTCAGTTCGCCGCGCAACTTCTTGACCTCGCCGTCCATCGAATTGACCTGCTTCATGATGGTGTCTAGCTTGTCTAACCGGCCCAGGAGGATCTTGATGTCGTTGATGGCCTGGGACGTCTCCTCGTGGCGCTTTTCGCCGATGGAACTTTGGGCCGATACCGAGCGGAAGATGGTCGAGAGATGGTGGTTGACGCTCTGCAGTCGGTTGTGCAGGTCCGTAAACTGCGCGACCGAGCTGGTGATGGAGTCTGCTGGCTGGTCTGGAAGATCAGCGTCCCAGGCATTGTCCTTCACCGGAGGGACGGGCATGTTCTTTTCGTGGTCATAACCGCCACCGCCGAAGAACTGCTGTTGCGAGTCTTGTTGCTGCTTCTGTTGCTGCTGCTGCTGCTGTGGCGGGGCCGCTTCGTGTTGGGCGTTGAGGTCTGCGGTCATGACGACCAGTTTGAAAACCTCAAAAGAGTCTGGGTTTTCGGCGCTGGCGGCTGTGATACCGAAAGTGTAGCCGGGAGGGATGCTGATTTTGTCGCTCTCGAAGCAAAGTCGACCATCGATCTCCACTTTGAAGAGGTTCTTGGTCTGGCGCATCTTGATCTGCGACTGACGACCTAGATTACGGTAACTGTAGTCGCAGTGGCCGAAGGCCAAACTGTCCACGCTGTGATGTGTCTTGTAGTCTGTGGTTCCGTCATTCAAGAAACCTCTAATCATGCCCGCTCCTCCGCCAGATCGGTCAACAACAAGGGCCAGCCCGTCGAACTTCTCGACCGTGTATATTGATGCAGACCCGATGTCCTGCACGCCCCGCCTTGCCAGCCAGATATTCAGGTTACCACCCCCCCTCTCTGGGCCGTTGACCCGGAAGTCGACGTCGGCTATCCATTCCTTGTAATTGTTGGTGTTGTCGGCCCATACTGCACCTCGGGCGTTCCCAGGCGCAGGTTGTGTTAGGATGACCTTGTTGGAAAGCACTTCGGGTACTCCTGGCACGCCTTGGATGGAGAACTGAGGTACAGATTGTTGGCCCTTGTCGTTAATCCTACGAAACGCTGTTAGCAATGCCCAATACTACAGCTAAGGAGGCCGCTGTGCACTTACCTTGGTGTATACCCAAAACTGAGCTTGTCCACAAGGAATTGGGGTGGTTCGGCAGCTTGAGCTATCGCGGCTAGCCAAGCGGCCAGAGCCGAGGCGGATGATAAGCGCATTTTCTGATGTGGCAGCAGCAGTTCAAGTTTGGGGAAGCTCTCGTGAAGCTGAACAGAAGCTGCAGCAAGGTGTATCTGGTGGGTTCTTCTCCTTTGAAGAGGTGGTCCTCGTGCAAGGTGTGTGACCCTGGTATAAGGACACTTTGGCACCTGCAAGTGACCCAGTTTCGTGCACCTGTGAGCTAAAACTTCGAGGCAGATGTGGTTCCAAAAGCTTTTTTTTTGCTTAGGTTTGCTTGTAGTAAGAGGGTGCGAGAGGAATCGCAGTCACTCGCCGCTCACTTGCTCTCCTCAAAGGATTTCATGAAACTGTTCATCTGTTGCAATCATCTATCACAAAAAGCCCAGGGACTGGATGTGAGGGATACCCTGGAAGCAAGCTTGAAACTACCTAACCTAGTACAATTGCAGCTGCAAGGGGTAAATGCCACGTTGTGGCTAGCCGTGTCGACTACTTTAGTAATATCTTCTACAATTGTAGGTTCCTCTGGTCACCTCAAACAAGCAGTGGCATGGATCATGAATGTTACAACTATGTGAGAGGATTGGGTTATCGGGCCATCCCAGACGTTCAAGTTTTCTTTTTACAACAGAAAATGATGTTGTCTTGTACTTAGCTACTATAACACTTGGTGCGTTCATGCAGTCAGGTGCAAGCTCCATGCTGGAGGTCGGTAAAAGTAGATGCCGATGGAGGGGCTGTTGCTCCCCCCAAAAAGTTCCCAGCTCTCAGCTCTCAAGCCTCAATTGACTTCAACAATCCTCAGCTGTCCCAAGCCTCATCTACATTCCTTTGCTTTCCCACCAAACACGACCCCTTTAGTGCCCCGACATGCCAAATCTTGGGCTCTTTCATTGAAAAGTCGGCCATGATCTGATATTCTGCACAATGAGTGAAACATATCCGACCATCACGCAGTGCGCGATTCTTGCGACCGCATTCAAGATCCTGCTCTTCCCAGCATAGTATGTGCTTCGTAGCCAGTTCTTGAGCTCCACCATCAACCGAATTCACCCAGAACCGAACTGACACGTACTGTACAGCAAGTCCACCGATTTTGAGGTTCATCGGAATTGGCTTGCTATTACTCACAGCCTGCCCCTGTGGGAGTGGTACTACGAAAAGACCTCAGAATGGACTCTTGACTACCCACCCTTCTTCGCTTACTTCGAATGGGCTCTCTCCCAAGTCGCTAAGCTGGTCGACCCGGCCATGCTTCGCATATACAATCTCGAATATGACAGCTGGCAGACGCGCTACTTCCAACGCTTCTCGGTTATCACCACCGAGCTTGTGCTGATATATGCACTTCAGACGTGAGTTCGGACTGTCCTGTAAACGAAGCAAGGACGATACTTATTCGTGTCCCAAGGTACGTTGACTCGACTCATGGAGTGGCCAAGAAGGCTGCCCAAGCAGCGGCACTTTCCATCTTTCTGTCACCCGGTCTTCTCATCATCGATCACATACACTTCCAGTATAATGGTTGCATGTACGGACTCTTGATCGCATCCTTGATTTTGGCACGACAGAAGTCCGGCCTTCTAGCCAGCGGGCTCGTATTTGCGGTACTGCTATGTATGAAGCATATATATGCCTATCTTGCGCCGGCATACGTCGTCTTCCTCTTGAGAACCTATTGCCTATCGCCAAAATCCGTCCTTCGCATACAGTTCTTCAACTGTGCGAAGCTTGGTGCCGGTATCTTGGCAATCCTGGGTGCCGCATTCGGCCCCTTCGCGGTCAAGGGTCAGATTCCTCAGATTCTCAGCCGGTTGTTCCCATTCTCTCGAGGTCTATGTCACGCATATTGGGCGCCGAATGTGTGGGCAATGTACTCCTTCATGGATCGGGTCTTGATCTTCGGTAAGGACAATCGCTTAGCCATAATAATTTCTCAAGACTGACAATATCCTAGTGGCTCCACGACTTGGGCTGCCTGTGAAGGAGGAGGCACTAAATAGTGTCACTCGAGGTCTTGTTGGGGACTCCGCCTTCGCCGTCCTCCCGGAGATCACGCCGAGGATATGCTTCGGCCTCACCCTTCTCTTTCAGGTCATCCCTCTAGTGAGATTGTTCTTCAAGCCCAGCTGGGATGCTTTCATCGGAGCAGTGACGCTCTGCGGCTACGCTTCGTTTCTGTTTGGGTGGCATGTTCATGAGAAGGCAATTCTGCTCGTTATCATTCCGTTCAGTCTGGTTGCACTTAAGGATCGCCGCCATCTCAGTGCATTCCGCCCCTTGGCGGTTTCTGGTCACGTCTCATTATTTCCGCTGCTCTTCACCCCCGCCGAGTTTCCCATCAAGACTGTATACACCATTTTCTGGTTGATACTATTCCTCATAGTCTTCGATCGCCTGGCACCAGCGTCGAATCGGCAGCGGCTATTCCTCTTCGACCGCTTCAGCATTATTTATATAGGAGTCAGTATACCGCTAATCCTATACTGCTCGCTTATACACCAGATGGTATTTGGGAAGAGCTATGAATTCCTGCCTCTGATGTTTATAAGTTCCTACTCGGCAATCGGGGTTGTGAGTAGTTGGGTGGGCTACTTGGTGGTCTACTTCTTTCCGTAGTCGCTAACGAGAGACACGCTCTGTACATACGATTATACCCAATGCAATGGAGTCTTACCACTGCATTTACATGTTGTGAGATGATGGAGTGTCCGCATGCCGCTCGGGAGACCAGATCGGGTCTGTTGCGCGCAATATCTCGCAAGCCAGTTAGTGTTAGCTTGCCTTGGCAAGTCCACAGACAAAACTCAGTAGGGTGTGCGGCGCTATAGCACGTATAAGTCGATTGGCCATTGATACGTCCAGTTGGAGATGTCTTGTTTGTATGTTTAAGTACTGGCCGCAAAGAGCATACACGTTTTACCATGTTGGCGGTTCGGTACAATCACTTGTCCTGCATGTCCTCGGTCTGACATTTTTAAGGTTGGGTCAGATCCATGATCTAGAAGCCATGTCACGAAGACAATGGCACCCCGGCTTTTGTTACCAGACTTACACTTGGGTCGAAATACTTGCGGTCCAGTATGCCAGACGATGCTTTTGACTTGAATAATACGTATCTGCAGGGACCCGTAGTGCAAACAATTCCCAGTACGGTAAACGTCCTTGAGTATGTAAACGCTACGCTGTTGACAGTCCAGGCATGGATTATAAGAACCGGTCTACTATACTGCACTGTATCCCCTACATTCCGGTGGCCCTGGGTTCACTCAGATGTGCAAAACAGGTGATTAAGACTGGGCCTAGCATTTTTAAAGCTATTTCCGATGTGCTGGTTGGTCGGAGCGGGCCTACCCACGGTGGCAGGACGAGGAATGGAATGAAGCCAAAGGGGTATACCAACCGAACATGGGGTATAAACTGGCCAAAAAGTGACAAATTGAGTTATTTGAGACTCTCTACCAGATTCTCCAGGACGAGGGGATTCGAACGAGTACATGGTGAAGGTTGGTGGTGCTGATAATGAGATGGTAGGTAAGGAAGTGGAAAGGGCGACGGGAAGGTCAGAGGTCTACCCTAGGGTAATGTCTCCACTCGGCTCCAAACCAACCGGGACCTGAGTTAAATGGATCCGGGGACGGGACTATGAGAAGCTTCCCGCGCACTCTCCTTGTCTCCCTCTCTCTTTCTACTTCCTTATTTCTCCCACTCCGTTGTAGAATTTTTTACATTGGACCACGCGTCCACCAACAACATCTATTTGCATCCACTCCCGCCATCGGAAGCCGCAGCAGGGGCTTTAATGTCGGCGACGCGTCTTTGCAACCGTTCAACGCGTTCCGATCAAATAGTTCTAAAGTTTTGATACTTGTACGTAGCACGCCCACCTGGCGCCTCACCACCTGGGATTGCCTCAACCCACACACCCTACAAGGTCTCCAATTGAAGCCGAACACCACAACCCCAACCTCGATACGCCGCAACAGCACAGACTGGCCTTTCCATAACGATTTACCGTTGATCAGCAGCCTCAGACGAGCATTTAAGTTGACGAGGCTGACTTTCAGCCTTGCAGCTGGATCGGCAACTGATATCAACGGCCCAATCTTCCCTGCCGCCAAAATGGTACGCTTCGCCGCGAACGCAGCATTTGGTGGAGCCATCATTGACGTTCCCAGGTACTCTTTAAACGAAAGCCGGTGCAGTTTGTACAGGCGCCCGTCATAGACGATGAGAACGTAGAGGTATCCTGCGCCACGGCATGCAAAAAGTGGATTTGCTGACGAGAGCTTCTAGGTCTGGCATATTGCCCAAACGGGAGAGTGCTTTACCTCTTACGAAGACTACCTGAATCGGTGAGTTGTGTCGAATGTTGTGCGCATCGTCTAAGTGCTAATCGAGCGCCAGCATGGACTTTTATAATCAGGTGCGAGAGACCCCACGAGACACAACCATGTCGCTTCTGGTTTATACTTACCCAGCTACAGCGACGCTTCATATGTCAAATCAGCGGGCGATCCGGCCTCAGCTTCTTCAAAGCGCTCGAGAGTGAGGTATGCTTCTGCATTTTCCGACTTGTCCACTTGGCATATTCCTAACCCACAGGCCTAAAGGCCGCCGGCGCCCAGGAAGTCGAACAGGCCTTCCCTGAAGCCCTAAAAGGTCCCGTCCTGCGGCGCGTCCAATTCCAGACGATTTCCCGAATCGATACGCTGGTCGACATGATCTACGACGAGTTCAAGGCGGATTATTACCCTGGTGAAGCAGTAACAATACACCTGACAAGTGGAGAAAGATTGACGGGCGTTGTGAGGGACAAAGCACGCCTGGGAAGCAAAGTGCTGCCAGACGGAACCCTGACACCACCGTATTCGCGCTATTTCACGAGCATCGATGGCCGACCTAACGACGAGGCCGTCGTGGACGACGAACACATATACCGCGACCGCAAGGTCTTTACCAAGTCCGTCCTCCGGTCCTTTATCAAGAAGACTGTCACTCGTGAAGCATGGAATGGCGCGCCCTGGCTTGTTAAGCACGATGTTGCAGCGCAATACCACATCGATACCCGCGTACCGCCGCACCTGCGCTACGACAACAAGCTCCTTGAACGAAAGCAGAACCAAGCCAATAAAAGGGCACTACACCCAAATGGTTCGCAAGAGACAAATGGAGTATCCCCTAATTCAGGTTCATTTCATAACTTTGGTCCAGCTCGTCTACCAGAGCTGAAGCCCGCGCCTAAGGGCCACAAGATGGGGAAGCAACATCATGGCCACCCTTCCCCAGAACAGCAGACAGGTCAAACCATCAAGGCGAGACTGGGGGTATTTGTTGGTCAGGAGCCTGGATATATCCCGGGTAACAACCCGTTCGAGTTTCCCGTCTCGTTCCGCAACAACAATGACGGTATGGCACCACCGCCACTTGTAGCCGTCCAGCCAGAACCTCTGCCTCCTCCACCGCCGCCAAAATACCCCATTGAAGATTTGCAGCTGGAACCGCGAGACGACTATGTCCGACCAGCCTTGAAGTTCTTGTGCAGCGACCCCCCCGAGGGTGTGGTAGATAGTGGGGCTCGAAACGACAAGATCTTGATGAGGTCTATTGGACCTCTTCTAGAGACATGGGACACCCTAAATGTCTACTGCGAGATATTCAAGCTCGACTCTTTCACTTTCGATGACTTTGTAGAGGCCATGGAGATCACCAGCCAAGACATCCCCTGTCAGTTGTTCACCGAGATTCACTGCGCCGTTCTCAAGCAACTGGTAACCTCGGAAGCAGACGGAGGTAAACTGCAAGTCAAGCTGCCCGAGCTCGTTGAAGAGGAGGACGAAGAGGCAGAGGAAGGAGTGACGGCCGAACCAACTCCGGAGCCCACACCCGAACCAAAGCCAACAGCGCGCGCAACCCGAAGCAGTCTAGCCAAAGCCGAAGCTGCGAAGTTGCAAGCTGAGGCTGCTGCTGCGGAGAAGGAGAAGACCCCCGAGGCCACCAAAAGGCACCGAGCTGCCGAGGTTTTGGCCGACTACGACTGGATGGAGCACTTGAAGAAGCGCGACTTCAAGGATGGCGGATGGGAACTAATCATGGTGGGCTTGCTGTACCAACTATCCAAGAATCCTAGGCAAAGTGATTCTTGCGAGGAGCTGCTAACTCAGCTCGTCCCTGCCGACGTGGAACCCACCCAAGAGACTGTCCGCCAGCACTACTGTGGTCTTGATCTGAATCTGCGGATACAGGCATTGCAGATAATCTGCATGTTGACGGCAGAAACGAGGGCTGTTCGTGGATATATGGAAGAATGTTCCGAGACCATGACAGGCTACCGAAAGGAGAAGATCGAATGGCAAAGACAGCGAAAACAAGCGTAAGGCGGACTACACGATGGCCAATGTCTATTTGCCGAATGCTAACGATTTCACCAGTATTGAGGAGTTGAAGGCACTGCACGACCAGCGCAAGATACTACTGCCTGACAACATGCCGCCCTCTCCAAAGTCTGAGGATGCTCCCAAGATTAATGGGGATGTGAAGATGACGGATGCCGAAGAAACCGCGGACGAGCCCAGTGAGGAGATTGCTGATAGTGACGATGAGCCTCAGAGCGGGCGACGTAATCTTCGTCGTGCTCATGACAGAGCAGCTGAGCGTCAGAAAAAGCGTGAAAAGGAGGAGGCGCGCAAGAAGGAGGCTGAGCTGGCCGCCAAGGTGCCCAAGCAGTCCAAGCAGTTCCTCAAAGTGTTGAAGGACATTGAGAAGAAAGAGGAGCATATCAAGAAATGTGAAGCTGAGATTGCGGTCATTGATAACGACCTCCGTGAAGCCGATTGCGCGCGAACGCGAGTGCTGGGCAAGGACAGATACTGGAACCGGTATTACTGGTTCGAACGCAACGGTATGCCTTACACTGGGCTGCCTGATAGTTCGACCGCCTCAGCCGGTTACGCCAATGGCTGTATCTGGGTTCAGGGACCTGATCACCTGGAAAGAGAGGGCTACATCGATCTGATGCCCGAGTACCAGAACGAATACAAGGCTAAGTTCGGTGTTACAGTCCCCCAGAGGAAGAAGATGGAGGAAGGCCGAACGAGCGTATTCAACGCGCATCAGTGGGGCTATTACTCAGATCCGAGCGATGTGGAATCTTTGCTGAACTGGCTGGATCCCCGTGGTTTCAACGAGTTGAAGCTGCGAAAGGAGCTTGTTAGCTACAAGGAGAAGATCATTACCAACATGGAGCGCCGAAGGGAATACCTCGCCGAACCAGAGGAAAGGCAAGAGAGGAAGTGCGAACCGAAAGAACCGAAACGGATGAGCACCCGCGCCAAGAACCAACCATCTCCCGAGCCTGCTGCCTTCAGATGTCTCAGCTGGGTCAATACTATGGCGCTTGAGGAGCTGGGACATCTGCATAACGACGAACCTCTCCCGGCGAGGAAAGGAAAGGCCAGTCGCAAATCCAGGGGTTGAAACTTGACTGTATAAATGTTTTGAGTATACTATCAGCCACGTTGATATCGAGGTCAGGCTAGGAATGTCTGCCCTTTGCCGTGACTTAGACCCTCTGGTCTTGCAACTCTCGCGAGTCGCACACACAACCGACTCCTCGACTGGTCATTGTGACCCGTCACCTGTATAAAGTACACAACCCGTCATCATTCTCACGATCAAGATTCCCCGCGCCTTCACTCCCACTTCGTTGTGGTAAGCCCTCGGCCGCTTCCCGCATTAACTGCCAGCCGGCTCTTTTACCCTCTGGCGTCACAAACTCCGTCACGTCAACCAAGCATTCAGCTCAGTATACAGTTAGAACGGCGTTGCCCTCGTACTTCGTCTGTTGGGTTTCGCAGGATCACTTGCTCTTCCGGCCTGGACGAGATATCTTGCAGCAACACGGAAACCCACAGCGGTTGTATCAAATGCTCGCATCCAGCACGACAAGGGTCCACTACGGCGTCAAGATCCTCAGCAGAGGCCCAGCCAGAGGATCGCTGGACAAAGCGGACTCCCCCCTCTTTTCTTTTCAGCCTGCTGATTATGAATGGCGCGTGCCAGTCAACAAGTTCGGGTTTCTGGCGACGACACTCGCGATCAGGATGGTGTTGGGGGCGTCGGTTTCTGATTCTCTGCACATATCGGCACTTGCGCTATCTAGGCGTTGCGTCGCAATTGCGTTTTTGCATGGCTGGAAACAAAAGTTTTTTTTCTCCTATTGAAATTCTCGTGGCTAGCATATTAGTTTATCATCAGATGGCTCCAGGGGGGAAGGGAACATCACATGACGACTGACCGCTGGGCGTAAAACTGGCTGATGCGAGGCCATGCGTTTGAGACGAGGTCACCTTGATGATTTGCAGCTGGGAGAGTTCATCCACTCCAATTATGAGAGTTTTTCTGAAACTCAGCAAATGGGTGGACAGGGGATAGGGGAGCATAGATAGATGAGTGAATGTGAATGGCTCAACTCTTCACCTCCGGAGGCTCTTGAATCTGTTGGCTTGTATGGGATTCGACTGTATCTAATAGACCGTTTCTTCTTATTTGACGGAACATCAGCGAACGAGCTTTGTCCAAAGGACTTTCTAAGTCGGCTTGCTTGCTTTTCAAAACTGTGTCTTGAACACCACATGTAAGAGACGCGAAGGGAAGTTGTGGACGAAAATTTACTTATTATATACCTCACTCGATGTAATGATCCGGCATGGCCTCTCGTCCCACCATAGCTTTTCGTTAAACGTTGTAAACTTCGGGCAGGAGGCAAGCTGTTCTGTCCTGTCCTTGACCACAAGCTCTTGATCTCCAAACCTTGATAAGCAAGAAGTGCCAGGACTTCGTCATCCTGCGTCCTTCTCTTCTCTTTGTGGCATTTTCTTTTTCTTCAGCCTGAATCTCTGGCACATCGCTGGGAAGATAGTCCATTCGTGTGGCATGGTGAATAAAGAGTCTTGTCAACAGAAGACACGATATGAACCCCCTAAGCTCCAGTGCGATACAACCACTGTCAACACATGTGGGTAGCTCTATATAAAGAGGCAGGATAAGTATTTTTCTATCAATAGCAAACGGGCTGACTGCTAGGGTATCACTGGTTGTTATCAACTATATTGTGTTAGGAATCTTCAGGGCCGGCCATCCAAGAACTCAAATCCCACCCAACCGCAACCCAAACGTACTCTCGAGGCTAATCAGTCATGCTCTCCACAGCATCGAACTTCTACCCCCTTCACTTCTTCTTCCTCCCCCTAGGCCCCGGAACCTTGACCCCCGTAGCACTCTCCCACACACTATCCCCAACCTTCTGCGGTAGCTTCCTCCCCCTAAGCCGCTGATCAATGAGCCACATCCCGACGACGAAATCGGCTTTGTCCAAAGCACCATTGTGTTGATGATCAACAAGATCCCACACCTCAGCCAGCTCGTCGACAGGTAGCCGGCTGCGCGCCCATATATCGCGAACCACGACATTGGCTACCAGCTCGCTGGTTCGGGCGTCGTCGGGGGACGAACTGTTCAGGAACAGGCCTCGGTTGGAGGCCCAGACGCCCTCGTAGCGCTTGCGCTCGCGTGCTGTTATTTCCTCGCGCCAGCGCCGCCGGGCGCCCTCGTGGTGGGAGTGTTTCTTGTGGCCGCCGAGGGGCTTCTTGCGGTGTTTGTGCGGGCGGGACGCTTCATCGTCGGATTTAGACGGGAGCTGGCGGAGGGTTTGGCGCATGTGGGGGGTTTGTCTGCGCGAGGGGGGAGGGGGAGGCGTGAGGGCTGTGGAAGAGGGTGTTGCGCGGGATGACGCCAGTATGCCAGCCATAGTGGCATTGGTAAGAGAGTTCAAGGGCAAGTTCGAGATGGGAATCTGGCTGCGCCGTGGTGGGGGCGGTACAGGATTCCGGCGAGAGACCGGTAGGGTTTGAGCGGACGAAGGACGTGGAGGGAGCTGAGGTTCAGGGCTGGCAGGGCCAGGCCTGCCTCGTTCAGGGGAGCTGTTCCCTGGCGATTGGGCGGATGAGGCTGATACAAAGGTATCCTTGGACGAGGTGGAAGAAGACCTGCGCGGTCGAGCGGCAGGGCGTTTAGGGGATTTAGGTTTGCCATTGGAGAGGGTCGGCTGAGGTGCATCTTGTATTGAACGAGCACGTGGCTTTGGCTTAACGGGTGGACGTTTCTTACTAGAGCCTTCGGCCTCTTCCTCACCGATCTTGTCTTCTAGAGGTATTATGTTTCGAGAGGCCGTCCGCCTTGGTTGCGGCGAAAGAATCACGGTTTCGGCCAGACTGACGGGTCGGGGTGGTGTTGCTGCACGAGACTTCCTTTTTGGCAGCGTATTTGAGGGTGCTCGTGCTTGATCGTCCACCACCTCGAATCTGGACACCCTTGCTGGTGGAGGCGTCGGGGGCCGTTTCTTGTCACGACTCGCATCACTCCCGCGGTTTTGCGGCATATGGAGTCCCCTTTGATTCGGGTCTGGCATAGAAACGGGAGAAGGCGACGCTCTCTGCCAAGCTAGACTGCTTGCCATCCTTGACGGTGATACCTCTTGTTTGGTGTCGGGACGCGGCGCTACCGGGGGTGTTGTTGGTCGCAGTTTTGGCTTGGGCTTGGGTTTAGGCTTGGGCTTTTGTGCAGGCGAGACGGCGTCTTTCTTGACAGGATCCGTATTGTTGACTGTTGTTTCGAACATGGAGATGAGGGACTTGGTAGGCGCAACCGACGTCGAATCCGTAAGATCGAGGCTCGTCACCGAACTTGCTACGCTGCCCGCCCTCTTGGCCCTGGTCGTTGGAGTCGCTTGATGGTACTTTTGCCCCGTATGATGCGGGCTGGGGGTGCGGGACCTGCTTGCCGCAAGCATGGCGGCAATGAAAGACGGTGACCGCGGGTCTGCCATCGTGGGCCTGCCCGGCGGTAGCAAGAATGCAGAGCCACCTTGGCCTTGCTGGTCATGTTGTGAGGAATGTGGGTGTTGTCTATATTCGAGGTCGTCGCCTTGTGAGCCATCCTGCATGCTGTTGCCCGTCGTCTGACGGGTTAATCCCCCCTCCTTCGAAAGGCTGTGGTCGCGCGAGGCCGAGGCAGCCGCTACGAGGGCTCCATCATCGACATGTCGCGAGGAAACCGCGGGGCTCGGTGTGGGCGTAGACCTTGGTGTGGGCTTGGGTGTCGACTTCTGAAAGGCCACCGTCGCACCCTTTAATGCCGCTGCTTTATTGAGAGCAGAGCCATCGTGAGCCGCTGACGAGGTCGGACCATGTCGGCTCGGATTCATGGGCGTCCGTCTAAGCAGGCGACAATCGCCCGTCAATGTCGTACGGGTAATACAATCATCTAGTTAGGGTCCGTTTATGGTGACTAGCCGTGGCTTTAATCCCACTGAGTGCTTCGTACGGTTGGAGGAGTTGCACGAAACAAAAGTCCAGCCTTGGTCTACATGCAGCGAGGAGCATTAAAAGTACGAAAGTACCAGGACGCAGGCAGTGAGGCTGAGACGGTTGATCAGCAGGGCCTAGTGAAGCATGAACGCGCTAGGCATCCAATTCGCAGGGAACCCAGCCGAAATCCAGGGGTCGCCTGGACTAGTCTGTTACTTTACGTAGTAGTCGCCGCTGAAGCCGTTGCGATCATCAACCGCACTAAATTGGTCCACATGAAGCACCGCAGCGGGTACATGTCAACTTTGTGTATTTGCATTATTTGAGCCACCTGCGTGGTACAATTCATTTACCATGACTGGTGTCCTTTGATACAATCATCTAGCAGCCGGAATTTGTGCCTTGTGTCCATAAACGCCGACCAACGCCTCCGTTGACTCGAAGTCTCCTACATAGTACCATCCAGTTCCCCTCTCCCTCTTTACCTTTCCAGGTGGTCCAACAAGTCATTCCGTACAATCAAACAAACAGCACCCTTTCAGTAAGACCTCGGGGATTCCTCCTTCGTCTTGCCGATCAGTGGTGAGGATGTCTAGCTCGTCCAAAGAAGCTTTCCCAAATCGAGCCTTACGGCAATAAAGCGTATGCAGTGATGAAAATTACAAGAAAAGAAGAAGAAGAAGGGGGAGTCGTTCAGATGTGCATTCAGTGGAGAGAATGACGACTCAAACATCCAATTCGACCCTTCGACACCGTACTGGGCATCATCCAAATTTTCCTGTCGTGAGCCGTCATAGTGAGAAGCATCATTCATGACACGCAGCACCTCGTGATTCATCTGACAGCATAATCAGTTCATCAGTAAGGGTCTTCGTCCGTCCATTCGCTTCCCGAGATAATTCGGCCTGCATCGTTATCCAGAGAGGCCGCATGTCCAGCATGCGAGGTCGGTGGGGGGATGCCTCTCATTCGTTTCGTTTGGCTTGGTTGAGAATGCGAATAGGGGTCCTCGGGAGTGAACCGTTTTCCTCTTGCCGCTCGGACTTTTGCGTAATAGGCGTCGGAAGCATCCGGCTCGGGTTCTGAGTTGTCGTCATACGTTTCCCAGTTCTCGGAACCAGAAACAGCCGTTGATGTGTTCGAGATCTGTCGTGGGGGCGGGGCTTGAGGGTATCCGGGATGCGCGAATCGCTCATTTGACCTCATCGACGAATGCGAACTCTGGGAGTCGTGATTCCGGTGTGAATGTTCGTAGCCTTGGTGGGACGTCCGATCGTCGTATACGTCTTCGGGCTCGACCTGGCGGACGATGCTAGAGCCCTGTCCATTCGCGCGATACGCATTCGACGGGGTCTCCAGCTCGGGGCCAGGCACAAGTTCTCTCATCTTCGGAGGAGGCGCCCGCATTAGCGGCGGTCCCGGACGTAAAGGTCCTTGTGCCCGAGAGTCCGGTCGCGGTCGCTCAGGGGAATTGTTGCCGTGCTTGAGGTTTGTCAGCGGGGCTCGTGAAGGAATCCTGGAGGGACTAGCCGTGGGGTTCGTCGGTGCCTGTGGCGGGGCTTGGTTCCTCTTGAGGGTACTTCCGAATCCATTCTGGTTGGCCGTCGGTGTCTTGGATCTCGTGGCAGGAGCCGCTCTGCTTGCATTGGCGTTGCTATTAGCACGGCTGGGGGGTGCTGGCTTCTTGGCAGTCGAAGGCGGAGGGCCAGCGGGTGTCTTCGACCTGGGACCAGGAACAGGCTTCGGATCGTCCATTTCTAGGTTATCCAGGTATCTCTCGCCATGGACAAGGAAAGGACGCCCATACTCATCTTCCCACTTCTCAAGCATCTTCCGGAGCTCAGCAGCGATCTTAGGCAGCTCCTTTGAGATTCGCTTTCGCATCTTCTCTTCGCGCAGCAACTTTCCGGGATCACGTCGTTCGCCCTTTTGACCGCGCATCATTAGACGCGATGCATCTTGGCTAGATGCTGCAAGCTCATCCCGCTCATGCACAAGATTTCGGTGTCTCTCGACGAGCGCCAAAGTGGGCGCACGTTGCTCTCTCAACGTCTCCAACCGGGAGATCTCCCGTTCGTGGGCCTCCAGCAGCGCATCACTGTACACATCCGAGAATGCTGGGGTGAATTCCAACATCTCGTCCTCGGAGTAGTACAGTGCATCCCATAACTCTTGCAGCTTGTATCGCGCATCTTCCACAAAGAGGTGCAGATTCTGCCGCTTGAGCTCATTCAGGCGTCCCAACTCGTCCTCAAATTCGTTGATCTGTCGGACACCGCAACCTCGATTGCCGTTCAGGAACACCTTACGCTCTGACTCTTCGACACCCAGCTTCTCCCACAACGCTGCGACGGACATCTTAAGTTCCTTCAGTCGCTTTTCGCGGTTCTTCTTCTCATCAGCTAGCTTGTCTCTCTTGCCTCGGAGCCTCGCGAGATCCTCCTCATGTAATCCGAGCTGCTCCGGGGCATCGCGATAGTACTTGACGATTGCGCCATCAGTCTGTGCTTGGGGAGTGCCCAGCTCGGCCCACAGCTGGATGATGTTTTCTGACAAGGATTTGACAGTCGCGACTCGGCGAGTGTATTCTTCGTAGACGCGCGTGAACTCATCGTCGAGCTTGTCTACGTATGGGGGCGAGAGATCAAAAGTTGGCGGAAGGGACTGATTTGGGCCCGTAGGGGGCAGAGCGATTCTGACGAAGGTCGGTTCAAGATGGGATGAATACGACTCTAGGGCTTGGACAAGTTCTATGCTCAAATTAGTATGGAGTCCCTCACTTGACAGCTTGCTGGCTGACCTACTCTTAACTTGCTCGAATCTCTCGCGGTGGAGTCTGCTTATCTGCTGGTGTTTCTCCTTCAAGGTGGTGAGACATCGCGACAAGGGAACTGTGATCTTGAGGTCGTCATCATCTGGGTGGTAGTTGCGCTGAGATTTGCTGTCATCCAGCGATACTTCCATCTGACGTATAACGGTGATGAGTCGGTTTGCCTCATCGACCATGTCCTTCTTCTCTGTCGTCACTTGCTTTACTTGATTATGCAGCGTCTCGGACAGGGCTACGAAAAGCTGCAGGTAGAAGATTAGCAAGAACGTGCGCGACGATGACGTGCAGCATGACTTACCTCTGCCTCCCGACCTTCGCGATCATGGTTAGATACTCCAATTTCGTCGAAGAGGCCATGTAGCTGGCCGATGATGGTGTTGACTTGCTGAGAAAGGTAGCTAGCGTCCATCGTGGAGGGCCGGTGTCGATTCGCGTTTTACGTTCTGTGGTGGTTTTGTTTACAACGAATGTGTTCCCCTCCGGCTTGTCGCCTCTAGCATTGGAAGGCGCCCTTCAAATTTGATGATGTCTGAAAGTTGACACCTAGCATCAGGACTTGGGTGAGAGAATGTTTTGTCGGAAGGTGAAATAAAGGTAGGTATGGGCAGTTGACTTGTTCAGCCAGAAGCCTGTGTCGGCGCGCAAACTCGCAATCAACCGAATCGAATAATCAAGGCGCTCTGTCAATGCATCACCGGCGAACAAACTTCCTTTTCCAATGACCACGACCCTGAGGAATGTGAAGCGATTGAACAGGTCAAGTGCACCGTGTCCAAGCTAGGCGGAGGTGGAGGTCGAGGTGGAGGTCGAGGTGGAGGTTAATGAGTCGTAGAGCGATCAACAATAACTGGTCCGGGCTGTTGGTTTTCGTGTAGCTTCTGGGCGAAGTAGCAGGTCCATTTAGTTAGGTCTCTCGCAGGAAGGCGTCGCCACAGCAACTGCCAAATTTAGACCAATGTTTGCTTGAAGTTGTTTCAGGATCCTCTACCCCGCGCACGCGACGCTTTTCCCCTCATATTCAATCAAGACATGCTCCTTATCGATAAAGCTCTTAGGCTCTGTCGTTGCTCTGGAGTGGTTCGTAATACTAAAGTTGCACAGGTACTCCTTGTGTCGCAGTTTGGGCTGCCGTTTTGGGCGTTCTGACCCGCCATTTTTGACACCCCCGACAAGTACATTCTAGGGGCTTATGAACTATCTGAAGTCCTCTCATCAAGGACAAAGTCGTATACGGAAGGTCCCAGCTCACGTGCTTTGTGTTACCTTCTGGTGGGAGGCGCCGCAGCACGGAACCCGAGCGTGTCTTGTTCCGAATCATACGATTATTGTGAAGAACTACGGACTAACGTACAACCCCACATTTCTGGCCACATATTGCAATCCAATTGAAGGTATTCGAAACGGTGTATTCAACATACTATTATAGCTATCCAGGTACAACCAGCTCTAATAGAAAGCTGTGCTCTAGGGCTTCCTGAGGTATAGATCTGATGGATTCTGACGCCTTAGCTGGGTCCAGTATTACCTGATTCCGACGTTGTACCTGGTCTCGTTGCCGTTCTACTTCAAGGGCTCGATCCATCGCTTCCTTAATCTGTACAATGTTACCAAATCGTTCATTAGGCCCTAATCGTACCTTCTTACGTGGTTTGGGGCGTAACGAAGTTATCTCGGCTTCTAATGCGTGTACACGTTGGGTCAAAGTAGCGACCTCGACGCTCTGTACATCTAGCCGACGAGTCAGCTTCCGAAACAATAGCCGTTGCGACGATCGCAATGGCGTAATCGCTGCCAGACTCTCCCTAGCTACTAAGCTAGTCACTGGCATCGCTATTATTGTCGGATCAAGCCAATTACCAGCTGTTGGTGGTGTAGTTGGTCGTTCTGATAGGGGGGCTATCGTCGGCTGAGGTCGCGATGGATCTAATGGGTATATTCCAGTTGCAGAGAAGCCTGATTGTATATTACTGATCGTGAAAGACTTCGTATATGCCTCGATGTATAGCGAGAGGAACGTCGACTTTTTAAATGGAATAGAACAGTACTCGATCGAGAGAGAGGTCGCTAACGAGCGATAGTACCGCTTTAATGGAGCAAATACGGCGACGTCGAGAGGTTGGAGCCCGTAAGAACAGTGTGCTGGCAAAAATAGTAACGAGATCTTGTTACAATAGGCTAACCACATAAACTCGACGTTGTCGTGAGCGATATGACCATCTAATATCAAGAGCCGCTGCTCGTCGGGATCAACTGGTTGTGTACGAGGTATAAAGATATCACGAAGCCATCGAACGGCGATATCTGTACTGATCCAACCGTTAGACGAATAAGTATATTGCCAATCAGGTATATCGTCGCAATCGTTAAACCATTTCCCTAGATAGCTTCATCGACGCGATTGACGCGTCAGAATGGCTGAGGTCATCGCCGAGTCGTAATTGGAGGGTAGAGCGTGGAACGCCCCATCGGAGGGAAGCCTGGCGCTGGGATATCCCTTGATTGATATCGTTGAGAGCGCCTTGAATCGAATTTTCTGCATATCGAGGCATTGTATAATAATAGCCAATACCGACGATAATCTGTTGTGCCGAAGGTTGTTGTAGTTGGCAGATTAGGTGTCCGGAAAGGTGGCGTTGTACGTTAGAGGTTCTGCCCCAGATGTCATTCCTGTATTTATAGGCTAGCTGGAGATTTCTCTACCTTGATCTATCCATTTTCACTCGCCATTATGACATAGAACTCCTATTTGTCCTACCATAGGCACCAGCGAGCCATACTCCTATGTTAAGATCAGAAGTCCCTGAAATTACACCTCGTCTTTCCAATACTCCATTCATTCTTGAAAATCCACCATGCACCCTCCCCACTCCTACTACCCCGTGGGTATGAAGATCTCCAACTACGCCCCTAACAAATAGAGCACCCTAGCACTAGTCTCTACATTCGCGGTTGCCTCCATAATCATCCTAACAGCCGCCAAAGCCACCATGACGAATACAAACCTCCGTATTACGATCCCCGAACTCTCCAAGGTTCTCTGGTTTAGCCTATGTACGTCTTCCCTCCCCCTATCTATGCACACCCAGTACTAACAAACGACCAGGCGGCTCCATCCACTTCTTCCTTGAAGGCTACTACGCCTTGAACTTCGCCACCCTTCCGGGCTCCCAACACCTCCTCGCGCAACTCTGGAAAGAATACTCTATGTCTGATTCGCGGTATCTCACTCCGCACGCCTTTGTCATGTCCATGGAGTCCATTACCGCCTGGTGCTGGGGCCCGTTATCCTTCGTCCTTGCGTCTTTCATCGTCACGGATAATCCCTTCCGACACCCACTGCAGATTATCATCTCCACTGGACAGCTTTACGGGGATGTACTGTACTACGGGACGTGTGCGTTTGACTTTCTGGTATATGGGGTTAAGTATTCGAGGCCCGAGGGGTATTACTTTTATGGGTATTTTGTGCTGTTGAATGGGTTTTGGATTATCATTCCGGTTTGTACGTGGTTTTTCCTTTTTAATTTTCATCAGAATTGGTGAGCAAGAACTGGACTAATGGGTATAGTGCTTATTGCTGATAGTGTGAGAGCTTGTGGGAGGGTTTTTGCGGAGGTCAAGAGGACAAGGACGGTCGGGATGAATGGGGATGCAAAGAAAACATCTTGAAGGTTGTTTTATACTCCGGCCGAAGGCAGGTAGGTTATGCTAGGGAGAAATGGCTGAGAATATGGGCCTATCTGAAGTCGGTTGAGGCAAAGTCATTCGAAGGAGGACGTAAAGCACCGGAATAGGTGAATCTTATAATATAGGCCTTCATCGTTAAATTGGCGTACCGTGGTTTAAATCATCCTTGCCGAGCTGCCTTTTATATTGACGGTATGTAGACAGCGATAAGATCGCACTTATAAGTAGTGCATGCAGAGGAAATTCCACGTTGTGGCAACAACCTCGTATATATATTCGGCCTCATTCCGTCGGAAGAATTAGGTATGCTTAGCATCCGGGCACTTGAAATTTGCAATCGGAATCTGCAATTGGAACTATAGAGCCCTATTAAACCACTGCACTTAATAAATTACCATTCTACACAGTAAGTGCATTGTGCCGATGAGATCAAATAACTGCGTCATCAGGCCGTCACAGCAGCTTAACCTTACCACTTGAACCCCATCTCCAAATAAACCCCGACCTCCATGATCGGCCACTTTGCTTCAAAGACATTTACAGGACCAGGAACGTGAAGCAATGGTTGAGGAAGTTGACTCGGGCTTCTGCGTCACTCTCTATCAGTATGGTCAACGATGCTCCGTCCTAGCCCCCTGCCGGAATTGTCGCCGCTCAGCATCTTCAACTGACACCACAGCCACTTAAGAACATGGGATCCTCGCGACAGGCAGAGAGGAAGGGGAAGCCACTTACTACCACGGCCTGTTTGATGATCTGTTCCGATTGAGCCTCCTAATATTCGTCAATGTTCGTACACCCAAGCGAATCTGTGGTATCATTAGGAGATTCTGCCGGAAGAATACCGGATGTATATGGGTTCGGGCAGCCATTCCCATCACACGTTCGTTGTTTCTATGCTGATACCAGGGGCTGCTGCAGAAGTGAAACTATCGCTCGCTACCATCCTCACTAAAGATCCTTTTGCTTCACTCCAGGCGTGACTACACCTTGTGACGATTATTATCATAGTTGCAGGCGTCAGGATCATCATCATAAGGGAAGCTATATAATATGGCCTAGGAGACTGAATAATGCGAGTCCCCGTTTGGCTCCTGGTTATCTACAGCTGATTATCACGACACCGGAGATGGCTACCACATATCGATACTTAGCTCTACCCCATTTCTGGGATACATCTGAGCCTGGAAAAGTACCAGAGTATTGTATAATTGACTCAAACGTGAATGAACGTCGAGAAAAGGGGTTCGCTTTAGAGCATCTACGGCCATAGCCTAACGAGAGCAACATCGCGACGGTCAGCTCGCTTCTCTCTTTACGAGATATAGCATAAATTATACACGCGTAATCCTGCTTCATAATTTGGCTACCAAAGCAGCGCCAGACAGTTCTTGTTAATCTGCTGCTCAGTGCCAACACTAACTAACAAACTCGAGATCGACGTGACTCTCACCTCATTTGAGTCCGAACTACTACCAACCTAAGCATTTGCTCGGACGATATCGGCTTTAGTGACAGTATGTCGCTCCAACTGCAACTCGAGCCTGACACGGGCATTTCGATGTCTTCCGCATTTGCGAAATCGCCTAGAAGGCCATGCGTGGGGAAAAGCTCCGAAAGCAAGTTCGAACCAAAGCCTTAGGCCCTATTTCATTGCAAAGATTTCGTGAGTTGTATCGATTTGAAAACCTGCTTCAAGCTAACCCCAGAGAACCTGTTGCTATCTATGAAACTAATGCAACATCTTTCACATGCAAGCGTCTGTTCCTCGATGTCCGCAAAGTTCAAGTACTGACCTTTGTCAAATGCAACCGTCCCACACTGAACGCCCGACAGAATCTGAATATCCATACAACTGGTATATACCCCCATAGTTGGCCACTGCCAGGCCCAGTAGCGTGTAATTGTTACGGATATTTGTAGGGAGCCTCAAATCATTCTGACTCCATAGATCAGCCCCTTGAGCGTCTTTAGGGATCTTATAGTAGGTTTTCTGTCGTGCCGAAAAGATCAGCGTCATTGATCTGATAACACTTAGTATCGTCAAGAGAACGTGTAGCGAAAAGCACTCCTCTTTGATCCCCTCCAGTTCCAGTTGTGTTCCACACATGGTGGATAGAAACGAGACGATCATCTTTAGAAGGTGATGAACTGCTGTAAATAAATAGAGCAGAGTTTTCAGGTTTGTGTGCTTCTTCTCGAGGAGGGTGACTTGCCCGATTTCCTGATATTGCAGAGCTGTGGAGTCGTCCGGCCACGCCTTCAATGGAGGGTATCCTGCATAAAATTGTCCGACGGTTTGTTGGTCTCGGCAATGAAATCGGAAGGAAGGATCCCCAGGCCGGCATCTCTGCCTGGAGGCGGGACTAGATGTTGTTGCTGTAAGTCACTAAACGCTGGGTCGAAGGCGGGACGTCGTGCAACACCTCTATTGTCATGTCAAGCACTTGCTTTTCAATCCCACTCACAGAAAAACACAATATCCTCCGACGGAGAGCGCCTATATTTGTACTTGAACTACTGTGGGGGTTGAGCCCATATGCTCGGACTTTACCTCCCAGTTCGACTCTCTCGCGTAAGTAGCTGCATTATCGGAAAGCGCAGACAGTGTTTCCAAGACGGTACCAAAGGTGGCGAAACGTGGCTAAGAAATGCTATACACCAAATGATTAGCTGTTGGCTCTGGACCCAGGGACGTCAGTGTGATATACAAAAACGTACATCGTCCATCCGCAGAGTCGTCGTCCATTCCCAGGTCGAGATCTGAAATATGGTTCGTCCTAGTGTGGTCTGGCACCACTGCGTAGTCAAAGCCCTCGACCGATCGATCCTCCAAAGAGTCACGAGCCGGCGGAGTGCGAGGATGTCCATCATCTGGCCTTGAAAGAGGGTCTCGTTCTGTGAGGCTGCCGCCACAACTTGAAGCCAGATTTGACTGTGGCTATTAGCCAAGATAGTTTCGTGCCGGTTGAGGCGCAGCTCGAGGTTCAGATCAAGAGGTAATGTATCTCGGATACGGTCAGTCAGGTAGAAGTATGGGGCGAAGGCCGTGATGACATAGCTTTATCGTAGAGCTTGCATGCCCACCGCAATTCCCCTTTTGCAGCACCTGTTTGCCTAGCATGCAGTTTTAACGCCTCGATACGGTGTTGTCCAGCCATGACTTCGACCAGCGCTGTATCCGGCTGTACGACCAGTCTCGACAGTCGTCGCACTGGGGCGGCATCATAGGAGAGCGTGGTTGCTCTGCGGAGCCATGACCCTAATCTAGACTCATGATCTTGCGTGTCTCGGTTCTACCGCAAAGCACTAAGAGATAATGTTCTGCGGCATTGCGGTTCAGCCCACCTTGCTTAAAATGGTACAGAGCTTGTCAACCTGTTGCTGGTCAATCGGTCTGTTCTCCCCGAGACCCCACTGGCTTGTCAGTGCACGCAGAGGCATTCGTGCCAGCGAGAAGCAGTACTTTTCTGCCTGTTGTCGAGCTGAGGTCCCCCTCCTTGAAGCTTCCTCGGCGCTCTTTACCTGGTCACATCCGACGAGCTGTCCTCCGTTCCAGCAGGTCCTGACCTCGCTTTTGCGACACCTGTTCAGATCGTTGGCTTGCGATTTGTCCTAGCATCGTGATGTCAAGCAGGGTGCGATTGTCGTTAACATCAATCGTGGAGTAGATTATATAAGAGGGGCAACACTGCGATCGACATCTCATGATTAAGTGGTACCGAATTGTAGCACCAACATCACTGGCAAAGACGGGTTTTGCGTCGATGTATCTTTTGGCGACATGTTTCCTGCGTTGTGTTCCAAGACAACGGATACAGCCGAGTAAACGGTGTGGACCGTGAACAAATGTCTGATACCCGCTTGAATGGAGCGAATCTAGCATCACCGCTGGCTGGGATCAGTCCTTCAAGCTGAACTTTCATGTGCAACATTTTCTATCATATGTGGCGCAACATTGTTGACATGGTAGACAAGCCACGGCATAATTACTGCGGGACCATCTGGTGGATGCGAAGCGGAGATCCGCCCCGCCCAGCCCTATGCGATCTGGACCACAAGCCTATCAGCATCGACTGTGCAAGCTCAACATCAATCGTATGCCATCAGTGGCCCCGCATTGGGCTCCTGCTCATAGATTCACTGGCCTCAGGTCTCGCACTGCAACGATTGAGTACTACCAAATCAAAAACTGGGAAAATCATGTGGTCGAAGCGGTAGCAGTGACGAATCCCGCGTCATTTCACCTTGTGCTGGCCAACACAGGTGAGGTAATGATACTAAGTACCACCAATCGTGAACTACCCCTGCCGAGTCAATGCGGTTCTTAGCGTTCCGGTCAATCGGTACCAATGATGCTCGCACAACAAGGATTTCAACACGAATATACGTGATCATTTGCTGCACCAAAGCAACCAACATCCAGGCCTACGATCCCTAGGACAGAGCAGGAAACGTCACGGGCGGGTTCTAGGCTCGCAACACCGTCCATCCGTGGTCAATCACTCGCAATCACACTGCTCATCTCTATACGCTTCCCTTCATTTCCCCTGAACTCTGAGCGCGTACGCACTGTTCGATATGACCAGGTCTGTCATCAGCTGCAACACTTGCGCATGTCTATCCTGAAACGTCAGGCACCGCAACACTATAAGTACCCAGGACTGTCTGCTGGGACCCAGCCAAAGTCTCGACTGCAGCGATGATCTTGTGACTACCAGACGGGTTACTACTCCTGATCCTCGATGAGCTTTCCATGCTCACGGCGCTGCGGTGTTGCCTCGTCTGCAATAAATTCGCACAGATTAGTGGGCGCTGGGCTTTTCGAGGCATTAGAGTAACGTTACACAAGGCTGGACTCGACGGCTTAGCATGGGGAGTTGATGGATACGACCATTGCCTCACCTATGCGATACAGAGCTTCGCTTCGGCATCTTCAAGATACCGCACTGCCTTCGGACGAGTCAAACACCTAACCTACATGTTGTAGACAAGCCCGCTAACGGTATCGAATGACAGTTATGACGACTATTCGAGTCGCAAGTTCGTCCATCGGGATTGAGGATGAGTGTGTGCAGAGCCCCTGGGCGTGATCTGAAACTCGGTGCATTATGTGCCATGTCGCGTCCCGGGAACAATTCAGAAGTGATAGTCGAACACAGGGTAAATAAAAGTTAGCTAAGATAGCAATTCGAATTAGCTCTCAACAAGCCCGAGCTCAATCTAATAGGCGTCCTTATTTGCCGTAGAATCATGAGATAAATAAGCTGTGTCAAAGTTCTAATCATGCTCGGCACGTTTCGCGTGAGTGACCTCTTCGTTTCCCATGTATCCGCCTTTGGCCCGTGATTCGCCATCCAGTGCAAGTTGGCCTTCGCCCGACTCGGACACTGCCATGCTTGCCCTTGAGAATTGTCATTCGTGGCTGCCTCCCAGCCTGCTATGAAATCCTCTCGAACAGCAAGGTCTATACACTCTCGAAGCCGTACAAAGAGACGACGAGTGGCATACAATATAATGATTCGACTCCTCTTCGCATTCCCGGATCACCGGAGCCGAGGGCAGCTGGGGCAAAGTTCCCAGTGAAGGCCTTGTAGCTTCGGTAGAGAATTGAGCGTTATTCGTATCGTCACCACAGTCCTTAAATCGTGATTTTGGATAGCTTTTGTGTGGATTTCTTTTTGGATCGCAACTTATTCTCCAGCAAAATTCCTATGGTTTTGCAATCTGGATCGGGACATGGAACGACCTCAGTACGGCGTCGTTTGAGATGGCGCGCTTCACAGTTCCACCTCTTCCCATCCCGTGTGAAGCGTCTCACACAAGAAAGCACTTGTGCACCTTCACGGCTAATTCCCTTGAGGATGAGGGCGTGCCCTGAACACTCTGTACCCGCATGGCCGGGAGTTCTTCGTCCAGGTCACCGAGGATTTCGGCGAGTTGCCTTTGTTATGGCTGGCTAAAGATGACCTTCTTTAGTGGCTGCTGGGGTTCATGAATACCACCCAGTTGTCTGTCAAGCTGTCGTGTTCCTCTTCTTGTAATGATCTTTTTGAGGAGATCCGCCGCCTTTCTGCGTCGCTATCGTACCACTCTTAGTTTCGACGGGATATCATTCTCCTTCCAGTCGTTCCAGTCGGATGGCCAGCTTTGTCGTATAGTTCTTCTTGTCCCGTAATATGATGAAGTCGTTATATTCGCGCCTGACATTCGCGAGTATAGTAGAAGTTGCAGCACTCCGTCTCGACGTCCTCAGCATCGAGCTTCTCGCACTCTTACTTGCTGACATCCTTGACAAAGCGCTGCTCGTGCGCCGGCGCCATTCCTAGAAGATGACGCATTCTCGCTGCTTGGCACGCCACCACCGATCTGTGAAATAGTAGCTGTGGTGAATTGAGTATCATAGACTGCTGGTATATTCTGAAATCAGGTTTAAGGAGGAAGCTTACGCTCAGCACTTGACCTGGGGCCACCTATCTACACAGGAAAGTCAGCATTGCAGCAACTCAACTGCCCTATAGTGAGGTGCTCCTGATGAAGCTACTCTGGGCCAGCTGCTCCGTTGAATAGCCCAGTCTCTGAATTAGCGTAATAACAGAGTTCGTAATATTCGAGCCAGGATTTTGTCATGAAGTGCCCCTGGGAAGCTGGCGAACAACAATAAGAGTGATGGCTTCCTCAAACGGTACGCCATTGCTCCCATCTATCCTTCCATCTCAACCAGGGTGTGGGGGAGTCCTCGCAAAAATGGGCGAAGCGAAGTTGCTGTCTCGAGCTTCCCTTGCCATTGAACGCGATCGAACGCGATCAACCCAAGGCCGCGTGCTACACAGGTTGCCTACGCTGACATGCGGCATTTTTTCCCATTGGCCAGAGTATGAACCGGAGGGAAATGAAAGGAAGAGGGGATATCAATGCGAGCGCGAGCGGTAAGTCAAAACGAAGTGTTTATCACGAACTGTCGACCTCACTGTTGAGCAGGCCGGTACCTGTGATCTCGGGCCGAAGAACAAAGTTGGTCCCAGAAGCACGGTTCTGATTGAAGTGGGGGCCGGCCATATGGGGCGAATTGGTGCAATCAAAAACGGAGGCCTCGACCGCGACACACGAATTACTCGTCAAGCCTAAAAACGGCGGTTTAGCCCACTGCTAGCGCAGTGGGTCAAGGACGTCTATCATTTTTGAGGGTACTTCCGAATACTAGCATAATCTGCACCAAACTGCTAGTACCTCTCCAATAAATGTGTACACTGTATAGAACCCTAAATGCATCGCTAAAACCCTGTATTTCAGGTTGGAAGTGCAGTCAGTTTGCAAGTGCTATACTGCCGAATTTGCTGTGAATTGGTGAAGTTCGGAAGTATCGGTCAGAAATGACATATAGATGAAAAATGACAGGCAGATATCCTTGACCCGCTGCTAAAGCAGTGGATTAAGCCGCCGTTTTTAGGCTTGACGATTACAGATCTTCCACCAACGCACTCGTGTTTTTAACCATTATTTTGTGCCAGCTACCTCGGATGGCATTAATTTGACAGCAAGACGTTTGCGATAACTTTGAGGCGTCCAATGTGCGAAGCTGTCTCTATCCCACCAAACTTCTGTTTTTCGTTCTACTTGTTCTCAATGGCATGACTCGCCACTAAGCTAACAGTTCCATTTGCGCATATATACCTCTACTTCTACTCTACGAGAAGATGTAGCTTGGTATAATCATCTTTGTTGTGATCTAATACCCTTCTTGTCCAAACACAGCTAACTTGCCTACTGGAGTAAGCGTCGAGAAATATATCTGTGACATGGTATTGCTACTTCAAGTCCATTTCTAACCGTCGTTCGTGTACGAAATGGTGCACTGCTGAGTTTCCCAGAAGTGGCCGTAATGATTACCTCCTGTATGACCAGTTATTCCCCAATAAGTTCATGATGTTCCGGAAGTATATGTCTTGCACCAACGTCTCTTCGGGTACATGAGTCGAAACAGCCACTTGTCATCTGTATCCAACGAATACGGAGGAGGATTCTATCTTACTCCAGTCAGTTGAGGTTTATGCGAAGGAGTATGCCATTATTTGGACATTGACGCTAACGATGTTGAAAACTTCTAGATCAATGCCCAAATAGTGTTATTGTCCAGTAATTGGAGACTTGTAGTTATTTTTGAGTGAAATGTCCTCCTTCCGCACGCACCGTCTGTTTCAGCCACGCAGCTTATTACACGCATCAAACGGAGCCTGGATTATAACCTTAAAAATACCCGTTAGTGTAGGGAAATGCTACACTTAGCAGTTGGGTCATACTTGCGCTCTTCGGGTGGCGAACGGATCTTATCAATGTTACTCTTCTACTGTATTTGTTCGTCTGCCACATCACTGGCAAGTTTCACTAGTTGTACCGGCTTTGTTCGAGACAAGCACCGAGAGCTTCCGCTACATATTAAGCAAACCTCCAGCTAGAGATTACATGTCTAAACAATGTAAAAGTTAAGAGAATGTTGTTTGGGGCTTCCAGGTCACGGGAACCCACAGATCCCTTGGTTAAATGCGCAGTACACGCTGACGAGTCTGGGCCAAGAAAATTCCAGCCCAAACGTGTTCACGAGTAGTAACAATTCGACTTCGTTTGTGCGGTTACAATATGAGACGTTGACAGCGCATGGACAATGCATTGTTGTGGCAACAGATGATTGCGGTACTGCGAGCCACCATTCTTGATCTACCCAGAATATTTCAAGCCGCGCCTACTAACACGGAAGATAGAGATATCGGCATTTGCCTGTAATCATGGAGCACGTGGGATTTGTGTGGAATGTTGCTTGAAACAATGTAAAGCAGGGCTCAAGGGTGTTGATGCGATTAACATAGCCCGTTCGAGCCTCCAGTTTACTGCGTATTTCCCCCTTCCCCTTGTCAGAATGGTTCAAGAGATTACATGAAGCGTTCTGGAAACAAAAGTACAGATTTCGTAGTTGCTTACTCAAGTCTGAGACTCATACCACCCACCGCGAACCCCTTATAAACTAGTTTGCCCCGAATTGCAGGGATTCGATGGCATAATATCCATGACATGCCGAGAGCATCTCTGCCAGGAGCATCTCTGCCGGATCCGACTCGCTATCTCTCTCGTACGAGCTTCAGAGGCGTACTTATGCTGAGCCATATGTCGTTCGAAGGAAGCTCAGTGACAATGACATCGAGATTTTACAACGTAAAGAGAAAAACAAACATCATTGGACAATTCTCTGTGAGACATTGGTCTTCTCGGCGTGGTTGATGGAGAGGATCCTTTTCGTGTGGTGCTCACCTTCAGCTGGAAGCGTCGCCCAGACAAGCCGTTGCACTGTGGATATCAGGGACTGATGACACCAGAACCAAGTCCACTTTTCTTCACGTTCCAGAACTTGGAGTCGTGACTGCGCGCCACGAACGGCCGCAGAGACTCTTTCCCATACCCGTGTTCTGCTATTGGCGTAAAGAGTGGTACTATCTACGTCAACCCTCAGACGTCTTGAGTCAAGTCCTTTTGGCGATGGTGAATCGCAGGAAAGCATTTGGATATCGTGCGCGATCGGCTTGGCGGATTTGAAATGTGATTCATCAATACGAGATTGTTTCCTCATCACTTCTGGGACAATGGGATCATAAGCGTCAACCTCGAATCAGATCAATCAATTTACTATCCTATCTGTTCTTGTGAGATCTCCAACAGGACTCTCTGCAGGTGCAGATATGAGATAGGTTCGTCTGACTGGCTACGATAAGTGGCATTCTCGAAGAAAATTCCCCCAAGTGGAGTATCAAATATGCTGTATCCTGGTTCATGAAGCTTGACAACAGTTTCTATAACTTACTCCACTACCGGGCATTATTTCCAACGTGGGCTGCTGTGGCTTCTGACCCGGTACGTTGATCAAAGACGTGTTAGGACAGGGCTGCTGTTGAATCCCTGCTGGGTAGCCTTCATAGTGGGTTTCTTCAACAAAACTCCACAGTTGTAATATTGGGTGCTGTATGTTTTCAGTGGAGTAGATCGTGCGACGCAAAGTCCCTTAGTAGCGCTTAACTAATACCGGTATAGGTGGGTATCAAAGCGCCAAGGCTAACGCGTAGTGCAAGTTGGTTAGTGGATGGGAATTCGCAAGGCCTGCGGGCTTATGGCAGAGTGGATTTATACACGAGGAACCTCCTATCCAAGGATTATGAAACGGAGTCGCCGCGAGCTTCTCCGAATCTAAGAAGGGACGTGTGAATTCCACACCAGACCATGGACTCCCCGCAACTCCCAATTTTATATCATTAGCGCAGGGCCCAGGAGATGCAGGCGGGAGATTAGCGGCTGCATTTATGTTCTCCCGTTCGACTTCTATACCGACAGTCCTTCGGCAAAAAAAAATTCGAAGAGCAAGCCAGGGACTGGTCGACTAACATCAAACGACAGATGACGCCTTAAAATGTCTAACGACGACAACCAGACGCTGCTCTCGCTAATTGGCGCATACGATAACTTCGATGAGCCGGTGCCAGTATGGAATAATAAAGCCACGATCTTAGGTATCGTGATTACCTTCTTAGTAGTTTCTGTGATATGTATCTTATTCCGACTCTACACTCGGCTGTTCATCGTTAAAAGCCCAGGCTGGGACGATGTTTTTGTGTTCCTATTCATGGTAAGCTCCTTGTTCTCGAATGTCCATTTGCAACTACTGATATTGAACCTCCAGTTGTCAGGAGGAACAGGCTCAGTATTCACATGCCTAAGTGAGTTCTGTTGCTCTGATGTGCTATATACCGGGCTAATCACGCGCGCAGTGACACAATATGGCCTAGGCAAACACTTCATCCTTCTCACCGACTACGAGATAGACCGTTATCTCACGGTGAGAAATTCCCTCCCTCGTCATCGTCACGATAGATGAACAAACTCGTTAGCTCACACTGCTCTCCCAGAGTTTCTACATCGCCAACGCAACCTATTCCATGTCGACGATGCTGATGAAGCTGTCCCTCCTGTTCCAGTACCTTCGAATCTTCAAGCAAGGGACTTTCCTTAGACGTTTCACCATCGTCATGATCGTTGTAATCGCTCTATGGGGAGCCGCCTTCAGCTTCATCTCGTGGGTCCCCTGCTTCCCAATTGCAGGATATTGGGACTTGACGATCTCGGCAAAGTGCTATGGATATGGCTCACCATATGCCAAAGAATTTGCGCAAACGTTTGAAACCCATGCCGGGATGAACATGATCTTCGATATCATTGTGCTCGGCATTCCAATCTCGATATACTTCGAGAAGGGATCGTCAGCGGGTACGCGGATGCGACTTCTAGGGTTGTTTGCAATGGGCACAGTGTAAGGGTTTCTCATTCAATCGACCTGCGTTATATTGGAACGCTAACCACTCCTGTGCAGGGTTAATATCTTCGGCATCTTTCGACTCGTCACCATCGTCGAACACAGAGCGTCATCATTCCCGACTTTCGATCCAACCTGGTATGCTCCCGTCTCCGTCGTGCAGGCATGCCTCGAGGTTGACGCGGCATCGATATGTGCCTCTATGCCCGTATTCTGGCCCATCCTTAGCGCCAGCTACGATAAAATCTTTGTAACGCGGGAAGTCACCATCACACACTCGCACAGGCGGCTCTCCGAGTCGGGCGAGAGCAATGAGTACGGAGATAATGTGGAGCTGCAACCCCGAAACAGCGGGCAGGACAGCGAAGTGACGCGAGGCAGCACCGTGCACAGTCAGAAGTCGGAGAAGAATGCTCATTACATGGATTCGTACATATTGGAGCAAGTCGATCCGTTGCGGGCCGAGCGAAGGGCGGGTGTGGAAGCTAGTATTACCGCAGAGAGACAGCTCAAGAAAAAGAGCTCTCTGTTTCTTGGGCATGTCTCAAGTAGATAATGACATGGGATGTAATTCAGTGCTTTTCGATATGTCACCTTTGTCAGAACAAGATGTGAATGTCCCTTTCTAGGAAAAGGTTACGAATGTAACCCACAGGGGTGGCCCCTGCTTCTATTCGTAATGCTGAGAACATGGGTCGAGAGTGGACGTAAATGTACCACCAGGCTGTAGTCATGTCCTGACGAGTTTGGGTTACGCCAACTCTGGTTGGAGGCGAGATCTTGGTAGGTACGGAATGCGTATGCCCAACATGAGTTGAGGTCGAAGGCGTGAGACGCTGTGGCATGAACAACTTTACGCATATACTGACTGAACAGGAGCCGTGGGTTCCTGTTGACGTTGGTACAATTTGAACGAGCCATGCTGCCAGTGGTTCAAATTAGAGATTACTGTGGTGGTGGCTGTGTCAAAATGAGGTTGAACCTTGAAATAAGACGTTGAAACTAAGAAGTTGTTCCAGTAGATTAGATGATGACCTGTCACTTGTGTAGATGAAGTCTAATTCTGTTCGTCACAGGGGTCTGGCCCCTGGCTAGGTACATGCACGTACTTTGGATTATGTGCTGGCAAATGGATACCGTAGTCACGATAACCTAGCTTCCACCGAGGAAATAGAAGGAATTTATTATTAGCGAAGCTTTTAATGCATCTAACATTTCAACGGAAGCTGTTCTCTTTCCTATTAGCGTAGTAGCGGATACAGTCAGCCAAGTCAAATTGTTGATTATACAGCTACTTTTAGCTAGCGATTGCCTTTGAGATCATTTTATTTAAACGACATTTTTAACATAGAAGAGTGAACACACTCGTTATCTTATCCTCATCCCGTTTTGGAATATACTGCAGGGACATCGATGACTGTCTGATTGATGAAATAGCCAGTCTGAACTTGTGAGATTGACACCCCCGCCATTCCAGTCAAGCGATGAGTGCGGGCACCAGCGGGAGATGCCGTACACCGCCCAATGACGCCGCCCAGTGACGCTGCTCCGTCTGCGGTACACCAGCAATGGGAACGAAGTCTGAAATAACTCAAACAGGCACACACAGGCTCTAGCTATCATCTCGCTCGTTGCCACAGTTTTCATACTCCTCACCTACAAACAACCCCCTGCGACATGCGTGTCCGCAGCTGAACCCCCTATAACCATTGCCCCACACGTCATCGATGCTTCGAAGCACCCGCAGACCGCCATGCCCGACTGGCGCGACGAGTACCTGGTCAATCTTCGCGAAGCAGAGAGGAACAACCCTGTGAACAAGGAGCTTATCGCAGCCTGTGAGACACTCCGCCCTGTGCATGCGTGCATGCGTGCATGCATCCATCATTCGTTGTGCAGCTTCTGATTTGCTTTCCGCATCGCAGGTTCCCAGCTGGCCGATCGCGTCGCTGCCCTCGAAGCCGAGAAGGCAGTCCTCCAAACATCTATGAACCCTGCGAAACTCACAACCGAAAAGGCGGGCAAGGCCCTAGTCGTGGAAACAACACCAAGCTCGGATCCAAATATCGCCCAACTGAAGCTAGACTTGGCCGAAGCCCTGCGAGCGAAGGGGCAGCTACAGCACAAGCTGAAGACCACGGACGCGGAGCTGCAGAAGTTACGGACCAAGACGAAAGTGGAGGATAAGCGGATACATGACTTGACGACCGAACGTAACGCACTTGCTTCAAGGCTGAAGGATCGTAATGAGGAGCTGGTGGGCAAGAACAAGATGCTAAAGGTGCGCACGCTGCTACATAGGGCTTGCCGCCAAGATGATCCTGACTGACTCGGGTGTAGGATATACAAGACGAGAATTTGACACTGAACATCCAACTCAACGTTTCGGACCAAAAGGCGGCCAAAGTGGCGGCCGAGAACAAGGAGCTTGTTGATCGGTGGATGAAGAGAATGGGACAAGAGGCGGAGGCAATGAACCTAAACCTCGAGCACAGGAACGGGAGGTAGTCGGACAATCATAGGAACGGCCAGGTTTGACAGGCGTAACGGGCGTAACAGGCAAATTATTCGCAGTCCAAAACTGGCGGTACCGGCAAAACATGCAGGTCTTTCGCTGCTGCTTGCGCATCTTTGCGGAGTGGTATCCTACGAGTACAAGTCTATATCTAGAACGTAAGTCAATCGCTTTCCTCACTTAATCCCTTTTCGCCAAATGCCCGCGGGACTATGTCATATGCAATGCAAACAGACCGTCGTCTTGGCCCTCTATTTATGACGACTTTGGCTGACCAACCCAGAATCGACCTACTTCTTTGTTGAGACGTAATATTCGCCTTCGGAGGCTGCCCAGCTGACCCAGTCTTCGAGATAGGTGTGGTGTTCGACATCGAGAATACTGGTCGCAATGTCATTAACCGCTCCCTTGTTATCGTAGACGAAAGACTTGAGCGAAATGATCTTGCATCCAGTTTTCAGGTCCAGGAACATGTCCACAAGGGCCTTGTTCAGTGGCTCAGTAAAGGCCTTATTGTTCACCAAGACGACATCAGCCTCTCTCAACACCTCCAGGATCTTTCGGTTCGTTCGGAAATCTCCCCTTTCAAGGAGGACTCGGCCTGGTGCGACACCCCAGAGGAGACAACGGGACTTGAACTCTTTCTCCTGTGCCTCGGCGAAGTTGCATGAAGTCTCCATCATCTCACAGCCATAGCTTCTGCATCCAATCTCGAGGGCCGCCTGCAGGACAACGTTACCCACTCCGGACCCGAGGTCGACAAATACTTGATCCGACTTTAGGTTCCCGTGATCGACCAAAATCTTGTGGACGAAGGGATATCGCAACTCTCCGTAGATATTGTCGCTTCCCGTCTTGTATTTGTTGAGGATGTCCACGTTGGGAGCGACGGTGCGGTCATATACCTGCTCGAGAATGAAAGAGACCAGTTCGAGGGGCAAATGGTGGATCTTATCCAGGTTCTTGGCAATGGAACCCTTCTCAAGTAGACCCTTCAGCGCCGTATTGTAACTGCTGAGCGCCGACTTGAAAGTGGCTAGATCCCCAATTTTCTCGTTCGATGCTCGCTCCATCTGTCTCCGAAAACTGACGTGGTGATCAATGAACGGTCGCGCCTCGGCCTCGGTGAGGTAGTTTTGTGCAACATGCTTTACAACCTCGATTATGTCCTTGACTACATCAATTTTATCTTTCTTCCATACCAGTTCGTATCTGTCTTAAGCATTAGTCAAAATGAACATAGCGCGTAGCTTCTTGGATCCCACCTCTCGGGCTGGCAGCGCGACGGATATTGCAGCTCGACGGCGATCTCATCCTCCTTGGCCCCAAATATGGGCACACACTGCGACGCAAGCGAGGCAACATCCGCGGCATGAATGATGCGCAATTCCCTGATGTCATCACCGAATGCTTTCTTGTGGCGCAACTTGCGGTTGACATCAATCGACCTCGAGTCGCCACGCCGCATGCGCTTCGTTTCTGCGATGAAGGGGTCGGTGTCGTCGTTATCGTCCGAGTCGGAATCGTTGCCAAAGGCGGGCGAGTCTCGAGGGGTGCTGGTGACAGCCTTGCGCTTGCGCTCAGTGCGCTTTTCGTCGGACGAGGACGGGTAGGGCGATGTGCTCTTCATTCGGGCTATCTGGGGGTTTGGGGACAGCCGCGGAGAGGGTCCCTGCTTGCTCGACGATGCATGACGGCCGTTGGGTGCGAGGCTTGAGCGCGGCTTGGGCTTGGGTGGGATTACGACCTTTTCTACTCGGAGTGTCTGTGGCGCGGCCTTGGACTTCGATTTCTGGCTGAAGACCCCCATGGCTGCTCGCGAATGAACAAAAAAGACGGATGGAGTGTAGAAGGTGTTATGTCAATTATGTCAAAGGCATTAGGTGCAAGAATGCGTCGCCTAGCAGATGCTCGTAATAAAAATGTTTAAAGAATGAGGCAATCCCAAGGATGCGACGCGGGTGAGGTGAGCGAACGAGGGTGATGGTGTGGTCCCATTGCCTCGTCCTTGGAAGCAGCAACAGGACGGGGTTTGGAGACCCAGTTTACTCAAGTGCAGGGTCTGGTTCGTCCCGAGCCAGCGGGTCCAACAGGCAGCTCGACAGGGCAAATGCAGCCTCGCAGCTTGCAATGTCATTTGTTTACAGGCATACTTCGTATATGCAATATGTTCAACAGCTGCAAGTCCTCTGCCAGCACAGTGCTCACAGAAGTTCTCAGCCGGGTCTACCGGGTCGAGCAGGACGCAAAAGCAGTCACGAATCGGTAACAAGACCAAAGACTCCTCAACTCTCACTTCAACCTCGTCTGATTGTGGAACCTGGTGGCCATCAAAATCAATTCATGTTGCATGTCATTCTCATTGAACATTCGCCATTCTCACCAGCAATCTTGCTTCCATCTGGGAGCTCAATTCGAGCCAAGTCGACACCGACACAACTATCAGCATGGGAAACCTCAATGATCTTGCTTGGTCTGTCTCATACACATGTAAGACTAGAGCTTAGTCAGAACAATGGGATGCTCTTGGCCGCTGGTCTGTCCGGGAATAGCAACTGAGCCAAGACCCTTTGGGTGGTGTCTTTGACATTTTTCCCAGCCTCCAAGTTGACAATGAGCCGTTATTGTTGGGTTACGAGTACGTACACAGCAGATATTTGTGGCTTGCTACCGGTTAGCTACAGGGTAGGTTATTTAAGTAAGAGTAATAAAGTGTAGTAGGTTGTTATGATATACGGTACTAATGTGTGTAGAGGTGTGTGTGAAAGTGTGTGTGAAAAGGTGTGAGCTCTAAGTCTATTAGAGGGCAATTAGGCCTTTGCTTATAGGCATAATTTCTTTGTTAGCTAGATTTATCTTTTTTTCTTTCTATATATTCCTTTATTTCTTTATCTGTACTAAAGTGACTTCCTCCACTTTGGAGAGGAATCTTTATTATGCTGTATTTATCTACCGAGTAAGTGATACTCCTAACTACCATTTTGGAACCCCCATGTCTTCCCTGCAACGATAATCCCCCACACAAACCAATACAGAACGTTGCTAATCAAAACATGTCAACAAAAAAAATATAGGCTTCCTCGCAACGCTCAGGCTCGCAGCGTAGCTGGCCGATGGATAGTTTGCGTCTGACTGCAATCCCCTGGTCACAGACAACTACTATATCGGCTTCACGAAGGAGACCAAGGTCCCAGATCACTGGATCAAGGTAGATCATGAAGTCGTCAAGTCCGGCCCCAAGAGGGCTAGATTCACTTTTGCCAAGAGATATGATGCGCCCAGTCTGTGGACCGATTTCTCAGGCAACCAACTCGGTTGCAAGTCATGGCCTTCTAAAGACGACGTTCACACGATTCAAACTACCATCTTTGGCCAAGGAAAGTCGTGGGACAAGGCGACGACTTTCGAGCCCTGGGCCTACAACCCAACGGACCCGTCACACAAGTACTCGGTCGAATGGGACTCCGACTACTTCAAGTGGCTGGTAGCTGACAAGGTCATGCGCGAGGTTCAGTCTAAGGATGTACCCGCTGCTCCGTGATGCCCCGCGGGCCCATGAAGCTGCAACTCGGTGTCTGGGACGGCGGTGATTCTGATAACAGCTATTGGACCATCCAATGGACTGGAGGCAAGACGGACCTCAATGGTGTTCCATACACGGCGTCCATAAAAGGCGTCAACATCATGCACAAGGATCCTGCTTGCCAGTTCAGGTACAAGGACAAGTCTGGAAAGCGAGACAGCGTCGAAATCATCAAGACAGGTTGCTCTGACACTGACAAGGTCGGCGCAGCCACAAAACCAATGGTCGAAAAGATGGGCGAGTCCGCGGCGGTTTCTGGACCACCAATAGAAACTGCTCAGGCTACAAGTGTGGCCTACGTGGCGTCTAGATACGAGAGCAGCTATGCATCCGGCCCTACAACATCCAGCGCAGCGTCAAGTTTTGCGGCAACAGATGCGGAATCCAATTCAACGAGCAGCAACAGACGCTGTCCCCGGTTAAAGTAGTTCCGCTTCGATGCCCGAATCAGAATCTGTTACAACATCTAGTCAGCCCACTTTCAGCACAGCATCATGATCTGGCGGCCTCCTGAGCAGTCTCAGCTCGTACATTCTGGAGACGGCTTCGTCCCATACCAGCGCTAGTTCGAGCACCCAAGGAGTTCCCGACAGTTCATTCCGAGTGATTGCTTCTGCATCAATCAGCCATGGTGTCACTCACGAGGTAAAAACGTGTAAAATCTCCACGGTCTATTCCACTAATACTACGCTGTTAATTACTGCACGCCAGAAGTCACGAACTGCCCAGAAAAGGGGCAAGTCACAACTGAGATGATGTCTGTGTACACGACCGTCTGTCCTGTAATGAACAAAGTCCTGGACGACGTCACTTACATCCAAGTCGTTGCCCTTGCAAGTAAGTACTCTGTCGGCTTCGCCCACATTTTCAGGGAGTGCAACTGCTCCAGTGGAGACTTCCAGCAATCGCCGTCAAAACGCCACCATGAGTGTCCCAACTCGAGCACGCCGGCCACCTCTCCCTTGTCCACGTCGACCGGGCCAGTCCCGTTGAGATGGCACCTCCAAAGTGTACTCGACCAACATACACACGATAACCTCTTTCCCACCTGATGTCACGGGTTACCCAGGAAAGGGTCAGGTAACGAGCGAACTGATTGCCATTTCGACATCGTATATCCCGTCAGCAAAATTATAAAGACCACAATGATCGAGAACAATGACACAGAATTCCTGCTTCCTGTCAGAACCGAGAACAATCCCACCGAGTTTGTTATGCCTTCCTCGGGCTACCTGATTAGCAATGTTTCTACTTCAAACCAAGTAGAATGGACGACAACGGCAATCTACACTAGCAGTGTCTACTCAACAGAGGGTAGTGTCACCACTGAAACAGTGCCTCTGTATACAACAGTGTATCCGGTCAAAGAGGTCATGGAGACATCTAAGCCTCTGCCACAGTGCAGCAAGGCTCCCGTTTCTAGCAGTGCCCCTGTGGCATCAGAGACTCGTGTGCCGGCTAGCTCTGGTGTTATGACAAGAGAGACCACAGCACCGGTCGGTCCAGTGCCGCGGCCGTAAACACTACCGCTCCAGTCAGTTCAAGTGTCACGGCAGACCGATCCAGTGCACCAAGCGACGTCCCTTCATATACTACTTAGAACGTCTGTTCAACAAACACCTACATGGTCACATCGTGCGCTCCGGAAGTGGCAGACCGTCCAGTCAAAGTTGGACAAGTGACTACCGGGATGTTAGCCTCGTCGACTACGGTCTGTCCAGTCACTGAGATGAAGGAGAGCGTGTCGCCCGGCTTGGGTGCAGGCGTGCACTCAGCGGAAGCCGTAGTCCTCAGCAATACCATGTCCGGCTCGTTGCAGGCGGTCATAACTACGATTGCCTGCCAGGACACGCCGATGCCTTCATCACACGCACCGTCGTCCGCAACTGCCGCGGCACCCACCGACACCAGCGAACCTGCCACAACCCTAACGTTCGGCACCTACTTCACGACCACCATTCAGTACGCGACCGGTACCCCTGCTGGCCCGGCATCAGATGTCCCAAGCTACCAGTATAACGGCATCAAGAGCACTGCCGCCATGAGGCTACCAGCTCTTCTGCCTAAGGCTACTATTCCCCTCATGTGATGAAACTCTCCTCCTCCTTACTCCTTTACAGTAGCGAAACGATTCTTTCGATTTCGATACCGACGGTTATCCCCGTCAGTAGCACCCGTCCCGTGCAAGCGGCCGCCTCGCAACCCACGGCCAAGAAGTCGGCCGAGCCCGAGGGCACCACACAGCTGGCCAGCACCGTCACAACGTGTAGACGGTCAAAGCTACCGCCGTCGGTGGAACCGTCGCCCAAGAAACTTCAGGATGCATTTGCGGCCCGTGTCTGTAGCCGCAACTGCGACGGCAGCTCCCGTCCCCGTCACATAGACAATGACGGTCGAGCCACCGTTGCCTAGCGTTGCGTACGGCTTGGGCACTATCGGGACCATTGGGGGTACTGGTGCAAGGGCCACATATGCAACGGCAGACGGTCCGATGTCGATGCCTATGGGCGCGGCGTATTGGAGATGGCTCAGGCGTGGACATGATGGCGCGCATGGGCACACGCATGGGCAGAATTTCTGAGGAGGAAATGATAGTTGTCTCATCGTTTGCGCGGGCTTTGTCACGATATTTCTTTTTTTCCCCTTTCTTCTTTGGTTACTGTATCCTTTCATATACTTTCGCCTGTAGATGAGTTCCGACTCAAAGATTCTTTAGCTTTCATTACTTCAGCACGCAACTGTACAGTCGCACAACACACAAAAGCCGAGCGCGTGACTTTGGAATAACTCAAGAGCCTAGAGCAGTGAGTTTTAACCGCAATAGTCGTCAGACCGAGGGAACGGTTTATTACGGCTAACGATCTCATCCCAAGCAAATGAATCTTAAATGTAAGATATGACCAGGCATAAAATACCTTGGCCAACCCCGAGTATAGTTGCACAAAAAGCCCACCCCGGGGTTCTAATTGGTCATCTACCGAAGGTGGACAAAATGGTCCGCCGGTGCAAGCAATTGGCCGGAATACGACGTGGGAACAGGGACCTCTCGACTGGGCTTACTTAAGAGTGAGTAAAGTATCCATTCTGGCCGGAGCCTTACGAAACAACAAAGACAGTTCAAAACACGAAAAACACCGAGACGTCCAATTCTGACTACTGGTTCCTCATATTGTCAACGCGTGGGTGTGGGTGTCCCCCGTGTGCTGTCTCATGCAGCAAACCCATATGCTAGGGAAACGTAAGGCAAAGTCAAGGCAAAGCAAATATGATGGCCGGCGCCGCTCGGCCGGGGTCGCTGTGGTCTTCGCTCGACGAAGGAGAAGCATTAATGCCACCTGCGGCACAGCAGAAACAAATGACTGTTGTTACTGCTGCTGCCCCGCCGAAACCGAATCGTACTCGGGCATTTCACAGGAAAACGAAGGGTAGGTAAACCTTCCAATTCGTTGACTGCAAGGACGTTACAAGGCGCATCATTTCATTTGCGGGGTTTTGTTGCCGAGATAGCTGGCACCAGACTGTCCCCCACCCCCATCAACTCCGATATCTGATATCTGTAGATCTTTGTCACATGGGACGTTTCCTTGCATATCCGCTAACACCTTCCTCTTCTCATAGGAGGCTGCATCACATGCAAGAAACGCCGCATAAAATGCGACGAGCGGCATCCTTCGTGCCAAAAATGCGAGAAGGCCTCTGTTAAGTGTCTCGGGTATAAGCCGTTAGGCCGGACCGGTCGACTGGCGCCCCTGCGGCCCCGAGATGCCACCCCTAGCACAACAACCGTTTCTCCCCCGTCACCCGTGGGGATGGGAACAAAGGCGAAGGCGAGGAAGGCTTGGGGTGCAGATATACTCCCAGAGCCGCGTTCCTCGACTATGTCCTCAGCGGCATCGTCGTCTTCTGCTTCTTCCACGGCAATCCTCACCACCGTCAGCAACGCCCTTCCGCCCTTCTCCCTGCGCGAGTCCGAAGTTCCTTATTTTGACGTGTTCCGCTTTCACATCGCGAGCCAGTTCGTCGGCTTCTCCGACTCACGGCTGTGGGAGCGGGCCGTGATGCAAGAAGTCGTCGCTGACGAAGGGATCCGCCAGTCGGTGCTGGCCGTCAGCGCCATGTACCGCGCCTTCTTCTTGCACCCGGGTCAGCTGAAGGAGATCAACGGTGTTCCCATGGCCGCCGTACGGTTCGATGGGAGGAGCTTGTTTGACGTCCATCATAGGGCGGCCGTAGCACATCATATGAAGGCCATGGCCTTATACAGACGGCGGCTGCAGACGACAAGTGTTCCGCCGACGATGAGGAATGTACTGGTGGCGACCATGCTGTTTATCGCTTTTGAGCATATGCAAGGGAACTTCGGGGGTGTTGATCGGTTGGTTTCGAGTGGGCTGTGCGCGTTGCAGGAGAGTATCGTGATGGTGAAGCGGAAGGGGTACAGGTCGTCGTCGATAACGCTGTCTTTATCATGCTCCCCTGAAGCAGGGGCGGGAGCATCGTTATTCGACACACGTTCCGGCTCCGAGGACCTGGAACAAGTCGAACTCCTACACCAGCGCATGGCGGTACTGAGCCCGTTAACCTCTTTCTTCCACCCCGCAACCGACGCACCGCCAACACACATAAATCCCAGCGGCGCCTTCCCGAAACCCGACGACTCCTTCGACACCCTCTTCTCTCTGTGGAAATTCCAAATTTGCCAAACCATGGCCTTTTTCGGCGAGGCCCACTACTACACCGCCTACCCCGACACCGAAGGCCTCCTTCCAACCGTCGAGAAGAACCGGCGCGAATTCATATCGAGACAAACGGTGTGGCTGGCCTTTCTCAAGACGCATCTGCATGCAAACCAAGACCCCGTCACCCGTGTCGCCCTGAAGCTGATGCACCTGCACTCCAAAGTGAGCATCATCGTCCTCACAGGCATCCTCGACCCCACCGAGTCCGCCTACGGCGCGCTCACGGCCGACTTCCGCATGGTCCTGGATGGCTTCATAGTGCAAAACTACATTGCGCTGGAAATGGGCGTCCCCGTTGCTGCCACTCTGCCCGTTATCTGCTTCATCGCGTGCAAATGCCGGGACCGCCAAGTGCGTATGCGGGCCGTGGATGCGCTGGACGAAGTCCCCAAGGACGGCTTCGGTGCGGACCTGATCGTCCAGTCGGTGCGGGCCCTGGTCGACTTGGAAGAGAAGCAGCGAGATGCGTCGTCGGGGCTTATACCAGTGCAGGCGAGGTATTCGTGGACCGATGGGACTTGGAACTTTCACAAGTGTCAATTGCGGTCGCGTTTTACCAAGCTCGCTGCAGTGGACGACAGGACCAGTGCCAAAGTGCGCACTTTCGATTTCTAGAACTGAACTGGATCGGAATCAAGTCAATAATATCATAGCTATGTAACAACAACTCAACCGTATCAATGTAAAAGCATCTTGTATGAGCTGCTCTCGTCTCGGCAGAAGCCGTCTATACTCCGTGAATACAGCATTACTGCATGGGTCTCGTTATACATATCTAATGTCTGGCCATCATACTCCACAAACCCTGCCCCGATGCCTGGGGCGGTTTCAAACCCTGCTCGGATAACATATTCCGCTAACGAGCCTTCCGCGGTCACCATCTTTACGCTCAATTCCCTGTCCTGTCGGCTAGAAATTGCCCAACGACGATCGTGTTACATTCTTTAGACCTCTTCCCGTGCAACCGCCTCATAACCACCCCTCCCCCTGCCGGCCGAAGTCATCAACGCGGGACTCTCGTACATCTCCGTCCAGCTGATCTTTTGACCACCTAGTATAGCATCGCCGGTCTCTCTACGACCGAAGATGGGTGCAGGGTCACACCAGAAATCTTTGCAGTTCTGAACGTAACCCCTGGAATAGGGGTTCTTCTTCTTTCGCAACTTCTTGCCGGTGGCAGCACCTCTACCCGTCGCAGTCTCGATGAATGTGTCCACACCTAACAGCCGGCTCCACTGTTGCACCCAACCACGGCCATGCTTGTGCCCATGGCCATGGGTCCGGTTGCCTAACGGATCGTCGGCAGCGCTCGGCGGTGCGGCAGCACTGGGGTGGTTCGGGTCGAGGGGCAGGCCAGTGCTTGTAAAGCTATGCCCCAGCATAGCGGCACCGTCATTGATACCGTACATATTCTCATACGTCGTCATGGCCCGAGCCACTTGGACAAATTGCACAAAGAGCAGCATGCCCACCCAAGTCAGTTGCAACGCGACCCAAAGGCCGAGGAGCACCAGGTAGGGATCCGCATTGAGAACTTGGCAGAGAGATTCAGAGAGGACGGTACACTCGGTCGATGCCACTTCACTGATGGCAGACAGATGGCAGTACAGTAGCCAGTCGAAAGAGAGAATGCCAAAGGTAAGAGATATAAGGTAAAGGAAGAAGTGTCGGTGGTTATTGATGCCCACACAGTTGTTGATCCACGGGCAGTGGCTGTGACTCGTTAGTCCATAAACAAGAGCCATTTCTGGAATCATGCAGACTTACTGGTCATGTTTTGCGACACATCGTTGGCAACGTTTGCAATGCTTGCTCCGAAGAGGCGTCCTGATCATGCAGCTGACACAGAAATTGGACTCGTCGAATTTCCATAGCCTCAAGAGCTCGTCGATGACTGCCTTCTGCTCGGCGATGCCGTTGAGCTTGGGGACGAAGCCCGGATCGAATGCCATGCAGATCGCATAGAAATAGGCTGTCAAACTTGTGAAGGTGGCAAAAACGAAGTTGAGCAGTGGGTGGTTGGAAAAGGTGCCTGCGAGATATTAGTGTGTGTCTATCGGATTGTTGTTTCAATGAGCTTACCCGGTAGCACATCCCAAAGCCAACTCACGGCAGTCCAGAACAACGATGCCGCAAAGATACCAGCAAGCCATGGCTATTTATCATTAGCTCATGTTAATTACTGACCATTCAGGTCACACGAAAGCCCTACCGTTTTATGCAGATGGCGCATGTCCGGAGGTCCATACTCAATGACTTGGCTGGTTGTCCATTGGAACCCAAAGCCCACAACAAAGGCCAGTGGCAGCGAGATGAACCACGGCAGGTGCGCCGTGATCATCAGTTCAATCCAAAGCAGAGCAGATGGAAGTAAGAACAAGAACCGATTCATGAATGCACGTTTATCCTGGAGGAAGTAGGAGGAACCAGGCCACCAAGGTGTCACTGGATGTCCGTCCTCGTCATATCCACACTCCTTTAGCGCTCGGTGCCATGAACCAACCGTGTTCAGATCCACAGCTGTGGTGGCAGGTGTCTTGCCTGTTTCCGTCTTGGCAAAGCGATCAGCACCGTACTCGATGATCTTCAGGATGCAGGGAGCAGAGCCCTTGACCAATGCCCAATGCAAAGCAGTAAAGCCTTGTTCATCCGTAGCGTGTACACTTGCGCCCCATCGCAGGAACAGATCCACACACTGCGGAAAGCCTTTGTATGCTGCCCACATCAAGCCCGTATGCCCGTAGTTATCGGCAACATCGACCGGAATGCCTTGGTGCAGCAGGAGCACAATCAACAATATGTTCCCGTTGAAGGTTGAGATGTGCAGGGTGTTATAGCCTTGCGCGTCGGTGATCAGGGGGTCTGCGCCGTGTTGGAGGAGAAGGTTTACGGTATAGTAGTTGGATCGTTGGGCTGCCCATTGCAACGGTGTCGCCACAGAGTCGCCTCCTTTCTTGTTGATGTCGGCGCCTTTCTCAATGAGATATTTGGACATGGCATACTGGTTGTTGATCGCAGCCCACTGTGATAATGGAAGTCAGTCTTTGTTTGACCAAATGGACGAGCTGGCGCATACATGTAATGGCGTAATGCCCTCATCATCTGTGTAGGTAGCATCGTATTCGGTCGATTCGAACATCTTCTCCATGGCGGAAATGTCTCCTATCCTTGCCAGCTGCATGATGTCTGGGGAAGACAGGTCTCCCATCTCGACGTCTCCCGCCCCAGCTGTGATAGGTGCAGCAGCACTGCCTTTGGAGGGTGGCTGCAACGGCGCCCCGGCCGAAGCGCCATTCGGCTGGGTGCTTTGCGACATTGGCTTTGCCCGAAGAGTTGCTGCTGCTGCTGCTGCTGATGATGATGATGATGATGATGATGCGATTTGGGGCTTCAAAGTCGTTGAATGTAGTCAATCGTGGATCACGGCTGAAGCGCGTACTACGCCGCCGAGTTTAGACGTTGCACGCTGGCACAACGGATGACGGTGAATAAATGGGACTAAAGTAATATGCTAATAATGTATATATGGAAAGTGCGACCGGTTTTGAGTGTGCAGCTACGCAATTACTATTGAAAGAACGCAAGAAGACAATGTCTCAAACTGCTTCACTGCTCCATGTTGCGTTGCTTGCTCTCAGCACCGACCGTGGAGCTTGAGATCAAGACTACTTCTTAATAATGAACAGGTCTGCGGGTCCCAGAAGTTCAGCCACAGAAACAACTTACCTCCAACCCGTTTCATTGGTTAAACCTTCCCTGTGGCAGGGGTCTCGGTTTTTACCATCAAGGCTGAGGCTTGGCAACACTAGGAACTGACACCAATTGTGGAAACAACGGCAACTGCAGTCTCCGATAAGGCCACAATCTTTCGATTGCACTTTTCAGGAGTCTACAAAAGCGTCCAACACTGCTCAGCTCGAGGGAACTCAGAAAAGCTGCAGCTTGGAGGACATCTCAAGATGGAGGGCCTCAAGAACACCCTGGAGTACCTGCTTACGCCGTCGGCGCCCATCTTCATCGTTGGCGCCTTGATCGTGCTACTGGTCCCAATCCTAGTGCACTTCTTCGTGGTTCGAACAACACCTTACACCACTCTGCCAACGATCCTTCTAGTCGGACCATCTGGTGCAGGCAAGACCTCCCTCCTCACCCTGGTCGAGCGCGGCGACAAAACAGTACCTACACACACATCGCAAACCCCGCAGCCCGTCGAGTTAACCGTCTCCGCCGGTGGCGCCGTTCAATCGTTCCGCGAAACCGCAAAGGAGGATGCGCCGGGCATGCACAAGAAATTTCTCCTCATGGACACCCCTGGACATGGCAAGCTGCGCAAATTTGCCATGGATCGGGTCAACACGCAGGATAGCCTGAAGGGCATTATGTTTGTGCTCGATGCCGCGGCGCTGGACGAGAACTTGCCCGCGACTGGCAGCTATCTCTACGACGTGTTGCTGGCATTGCAGAAGCGCATGGGCGCGGGCAAGACATCGCGCGGCCCATCGTCAATACACGTGTTGATCGCTGCGAACAAGTCGGACTTGTTCACCGCACTGCCCGTGTCGCTGGTCAAGAGCAACCTGGAGGCGGAGCTCGGTCGGATACGGAAGAGCAAGAGCAAGGGGCTATTGGACTCGGGCGTGGGTGCCGACGATGTTGGGAATGAAGAGAGCGACAATTGGCTGGGCACATACGGGGCTGAGAAGTTCTCTTTTAGCCAGATGAGGGAGTTTGACCTCGAGGTTGACATAGTCGGCGGGAGCGTGCTTGAGGGCAAGGTGGATAAGTGGTGGAAGTGGATCTCTGCACGTGTATAAAGCAACTACCATAAAGTACTTAATGGTGCACTCGAGTAATTATAAACAAACTGTCAGCCACGGACTTCACGTTCAACATAATTCACTGTTGCCCTTTGCACTGACAGGTCAATGAGTCAATGCTCATCGTGTGCACGAAATGTCTGGCATTAGAATAGGATCCCACTTGGCATAACACCTTGAAAGTCCTCCATGTATAATATCACAGAATATCAACATGTAAGACACTGTTCATCAACATAGTAGCATCTTCCATTTATACTGGGAACAGTGGCGTGTCCATGTTCTTGGGAATAGCTTTGCCTTGGCGTGACTTTTGAGTATGTTTCACATATCCCAACCATCATGCCTCGTTACCTTGTTGCAGATTGACATCAACGGTAGTAATATTAGAACCACTCAAGCGGATGACGCACCAAAGAGTGAAATAAGAGGTATTCTGTCAACATAATCCCATTTTACCTCGAATAGTTTGATAGATGCTCAGACCGGCAGGAGCCTGGATTAAGCACGTACTTGCTTGTTTTCGCATTCCGGGGCTCACTTCGACGTTAAATGAAATGCTCGGTAACAGCAGACGGCGCTACTAGTAGAAACACCATTTTACAGCTGTATCAAAACATAAATGAACAAGCAATCCTTGTAGGATGGTCTGCATGTTAAAGAGGCCGTTTCGTGTTCTTCGAACGCCAACTTGTAATCACAACTCTCAACCAGACCAAATCGAAAAAGGGGCATGTTGCAGACCACTGAACCCATTATAAATTGTACTTCACCAACCATTGAACATGAATTGACACGTTACACAACTCCAACCACATTATTTATGTTGATCCGTCCCCTACGTAAATAGGACTAGCAGCCTTCTTATTCAAGACAGGGGCTTTTGGCGTGTACTCGCCGCTATGCCGCTGTGGCGACGCCCCTGAGACGGCAGAGCACGTAATCCTCTTTTGCGGGCTGTTGGAAGGACCGAGGGAACGATTACGGGCCGCCATCGCACCACGGCCACTATACTCTCGCAGAGACCTCGCAACGGCAACAGGAGAACCAGTAGTTAGTGGGACTATTGTAAGGTGGCTGCTAGGGACGGGTCGGACAGCTTCAAGGCCCAGATAGCATCGATCTTCTCAGGGGGGACTTTGTTGGTAGGTTGAGAACCAACGCAGTATGGTAGTGAACGCAACGCAGTCGTCAATAGGGCGAACCGACGACGCAGCGTATGTATTTAGTCCAGCCATTATGGCACGGTTTGACATACGGGAGTACTGGCAGAGGTACCGGGGGCTTCGAGCCTACGGCGTATTTAATAATAATAATAATAAATATTTATGTTGAATATATCTAATTTGCCTCTATGTCCGTGTCTAAATATCTAACCGAGTTGATCCGATTGACACATAATGCATCCTGCCTCCCCTGAACGCCTGGGCTTGACAATCTGTCGGAAAGAAAGCTTAGACTTTGACCTGCTTTACCATCCAGGTCAACAAGTCAACTTTAGTCACGATAGCAAGGGGCTTGCTAAGCGCCTTGTCTTTGCCATCGCTGCGCTCCGTGACAACGGCCGCACTGTTCCACTCGAAGAAGCTACTGAGTTCAGTCAAGGGGGTATCCATCGTGATCTCAACAAACTGGCGGCGTTTCTTGCCCTTGCCTTGACGCGAGTCCGTAACCACCTCGTCCAGACGTCCGAAGTCGAACATGACATCCTTGACTGGGCTCTGGCCACTTGCTCGTCCGCGCGAGATGTAGCTCAGCAGGTTTCCAAGAGTTACGAGTCCAACGAGCTTGCCACCAGGACCATTGAGCACAGGCAGCTGATCGAAACCCTTTTCTCGCATCGTCTCGATGGCTTCCGAGCATAGGCTGCTGGTGAGGACCGATGTCACGGGCTTCAATCTCAGCGAGCTGACGTTGGCACCACCGTAAGGATCCTTGTCGGTCTTAGCCGCCTCTCCATCCTTAACACCTTCCTTGGCGGCCTTGTCAGCCTCTTCCAAAAGGCCGTTTGCTGCCAACCAGTCGTCGTCAGCAAATTTGCTCAGATAGCTCCTGATGCTATCTGGCAGTACCACAACAACCACATCTCCTTTTCCAAGGCCTAAGTCCTTGATCGCCTTGATGGCCGCAGACAGGGCGCTGCCAGAGCTGCCACCAACTAGAAGACCTTCCTCCGAAATAAGCCTCCTTGCGAGTCTGAAGCTTTCCACGTCGTCCGTCTTGTACCATTTGTCGATAAGTTCTCGGTCCAGCACGTCTGGGATGAAGTCATAGCCAATACCCTCGACTTTGTACGACTCGTCGCGGTGCTCGTCATTGAGCGCTTCGGGTATCGCGAGAATACTTCCATGGGGATCGGCAGCCACAATCTTGATGTCCTTGCTGTGTTTCCTCAGCCCCTTTGCCAACCCAGTGATTGTGCCGCCAGTGCCAGCACCGGCAACTATGCAGGTGACCTTTCCTCCAGTCTGCTGCCAGATCTCTTCGGCCGTACCGAACTCGTGCGCAAGCGGATTGTCTGGATTTGAGTACTGGTCGAGGATATGCGCATTCGGAATCTCCTTTACTAAGCGACGTGCAACACCGATGTGCGACTCGGGGGCATCCCACGCGGCCTGTGTGGGCGTGCGGATGATTGTGGCACCCAACGCCTTCAGAACGCTGACCTTCTCGGCAGACATCTTTTCGGGCAGAGTGATGATGGTCTTGTAGCCCTTGATAGCGCCCACCAGCGCCAGACCAATACCGGTGTTGCCACTCGTTGGTTCGATCAGGGTGTCGCCAGGCTTTATGCGTCCTGACTTCTCGGCTTCCTCAATCATGCGCAGTGCGATACGGTCCTTCACCGAACCACCTGCGTTGAAAAGCTCGACTTTGGCGTAGACATCGCATTCGATTCCAAAAGAGGCCGGGATCTTGTTCAGGCGGACTAGGGGCGTGTTACCGATCAGCTCAGTTGCTGACAAGGCGGTTGCTGGAGGAGGAGGGCGATGAGGAAGAACAGGGGCACCATGGGTGCCATTCATAGACGCCATGATGTTTAAAAGTCGTGTGAAATAGCAAAAGTGTTAACGTTGGTTGTATAGAAAAGCAAACAGTGCAAACATTGAGAAAGAATCAGAAGATGTCATAAGGTTTCGCGTTGGAATGGCACTATCTAAAAACTGCCCCTCTTAACCCGCAAAATCCCCCACCCCTCTCTCCACTGCCGCTCCCCCACCACCCAAGCCGATGTTAAACGAATAGCGTTGCCTTCCCGTTTAGGTTAGCCAACCCAACGACTTTTATCTCTTGGATAATTGATAACTAGCCCATTAAGTGCACTTGCATTTAAACTTTGACCTTCCTAACCAGCACGGGATTTCCAGGTATTAGCATTCATCACCTAGAAACGGCACAGACTGTACTATCATCATACTCCACCAAGATGAATTGATGACAATCCTCAGGATTTCACATGGAAATATGACAGTATCTCTGTTATGCTTACTTCATTTGAGCCGCGGCAGACTTGCTCGTTCAGACCAGTACGGCCTCAATCTTGATACTAAGTGTACGTTGTAGGAGGCACATCATGGCAGCAAACAAAGAAAGGTGTATGAGCTTTACAAGGCCGAGCCTAGGTCTGTGGAAAATCCCTTTCAAGAGCTATTGTACTTTCTTTCTTTCTTCCGCTTCTTGCATTTCCTTTGTCTCGGCTGCATTCAAGCACTCCACTCTAATTGTACCATTGGTGACTCCGGCTATTTCCAGCTTATGTTGGCGAAGACTAGAACAAATATCAAACTACCAAATTTAAAACAAGTTTGGCGAATTATGGAAACTGTAACTGTGATTGCAGGGTGTTCTACTATTCAAAGAGTGACTGTAGCATTTTCCGAGCTTCTTATAGCACAACACCTATATAGAAATTAGCGCCTAGAATGGCCGCGGAAGTCATTTATACGCCATTCCCTAGAAACAATCACACTCGTACGCATCTAGAGCTTGCCTTCGAGCCACGCCTTGATCGTAGTTCTGGGATCCTCATTTTGAAGGCCAAGCAGTGCATTCGCGTTGGCCTCCGGCTTCACCGCACTATTCCCTCCATCCCCGTAAATGTACGCCTGCAAGAAGTTCACGAAGGCGCTGTAGTCTCCCTTACTCAGCTTCTCGTTCCCAAGCTTGTTAAGCTTTTCGGAGTCAACGGGCTCCCTTTGCCACGTCGCTCCCGTCTCTTCTTCCAGGATTTTCAACAGCTGGTTCTGGCTGGTGGTAAACGAGGCAATGGCGAGATATTTGTTTGCCGTCTTCTCTGGCTTCTGCAGAATACTAGCTACTGCTTTTCCGATAAAGGGCAGGTTCGACGGCGAGAAGGGCTCGTCACCCGAGTCGACGATTTGGGCTGTCCTGGTGTCTTTGTTGAAGTTCAGGTGGGTAGAAGCAAGGCCCTAATTCTCGTCAACATCGATGCATGGTTCTCCATTCAAACGCTCTGGGGTATCATTCAACTCGAGTAACATCTTCACATACCCAATCGAAAAACAGTCCTGTAGTCAACCCGGTCCAGGTAAAAGACGGATTCGCATTGCCCTTCTCAATAATGTAGTCCAGCGTCTTGACCTTGCCCTGCAACATGGTCTTCAACCCCGGGTTGGTTTCAATTCGCGTGTTCACACCGAATTCGCTGGGGATGAAGCGCTTGACGCCCGTGGCGACGGCCGCGTCCACGATGGGGTGCTGATTGCCTATAGCTGCAGTTGCCGCGGCCGAGACAACGGCATCCTGGCCCTGCAGGGCTGATTTGAGCGAGTCGACAGACTCGTAGTCTACCTTTTGCACGGCCACGCCCGAGGGAAACGTCGAATTCGAGGACGCGCGTGTCAGTGCCGTGACGGTGAAGTCAGCGGCGAGAAGGGCATCGACAATGGCCTTGCCTACGTTGCCCGATGCCTGTTTGTAGTAATCCTCTTAGTTTGGGGGATGACATGGTGCGATACGAACAAGCCCACTTACACCTACGACAGCAACATTCTTGATACTGGACATGGCGAATAGAGATCACGACTGCAAAAAATGGTTGGATTGTTGGATAGGTTCAATTGGCAGAGCAAGTAAGCACCGACGATGACTAGGTGCGGACATATGGAGGTTATATCACCTGCTGCGTAACTTGACGATCTCGGGGTTCCGGGCCTCGGGCGTGAAGTGAGGGGATCACCAAGATCACGTCATGATGGTGCATTCGGCACTAAGCTGTTCACCCCGTACCATTTAGGTATTGCACCAACTTAGATGTCCCGCTGATATTCATTTGTCAGCGGGCATTCAAGGAATGACTATTACGTGCTTGCAATTGCTTGCCTCGAATACTAATCCCAAGGGGGTAGTCGCTACAAGTGGTCCTGCATGGGTTGACAGGGATGGAACGTTTAACCTATTTAGGCAGCTCGGCTGTGCTGTGATTGGTCAGGACTGGCTGGTGGTCGCCGTTGGGAGTATCCCAGCAGGCCCGCAAAGGTAGCGATGACAATCTAGGAAGGTTCTGGAGTATAACTGCATTGTACATCCCAAAATCAAGGCGTTAATAACAAGATGCCGGCTACGTAGTAATGCGAGCCCGGGAGTACTTCACGAGAACTGAGCATTGTTTTCTTTACTATCACTGAAGGCCAAAGTCTTTGACACATCGAGTTTTCAGGCACACTGATTGTTGTCTCTTACGGCCATGGTGTCGAGGAGGGTTGCTGGTAAAATCGTTTAGTTGGGTCGGGACAAAATAGACTTGCTCTGAGTTCATCAGATGTCCGACTAGGTTATCGAAGGTGAATCAGCCCAACCTTCCACCCATAAGGTTGTTGTTCAAGTCTTTTTAGATCCAGTTATATGAATCACATTTTTCATGACATGCTATTGGTTAGTGCGCGTTACTAATTCCTATGTATATCACGGCATCATTGGAAATCATACGCAAGCATCACTGAGGCCGCTCAAAGTCTTCAGCATCCTGCACATGAATGACCCAGGGAAGCACTCCAACTGTCTGGCCTAGTAATCGCAAGAATGCATTACATGTATAGAATTATAACAAACCAAAGTATATACAATAGTCTACCAATGGCTTTCTAACAGAGTGACGCGAGGAGGATAAATCGTTAGTGCCGGTTGGTTGGCCTATTGTGCACTGGGGGCTAGAATGAAGGCATGGGCCGATATGCGCAACCGAGTTGTTTTCAGAGGCGTTTGCATTAACAACGGACCAGTATGTACAACCCTAACAAAGAACAACTGCAACGTTTATCCAGCTCCCCAAAAAATCTAACACTCAACTCGGGAATCAGGTTAACTCAACCTCGGAACCTTCTGTGCTAGGTGAAGTGTGCCAAGAATGACACTGCCACGACTCTGCGCAGTTGACTCCTGTTCACAACTTGTTGACTTCACGCATCCAACACAGAAACATTAAGCGACCCTAGCAATGCAAGCGGCACTGATTCCGCCTTGGTAAGAGTGGGACCTGGCCGGACTTTCGCATGAGGGGACGCCACGTTGAGATTGAACTGGATGGGCTTCCAAAACGAGGTTAGACGAGGTCGATAGCGCGGGCAGCTGAGTGAGTTTAATTCGCACGCTTGTGCCTTACACTGCGTGCGGCTGAAGCGCTATTCAAGCACGTGTGGTACGGTATCGTGGACACTTTGTTTTTCACGAAGGCTGAAGTTGGTCAGGGAGGCCGCTGCGTTGTTGTGGAGGCTGGGCGGGTAATGGTGAGAAGATGAGGGCCTTACAAATACTTCTATGTGCCGCTGCTCTTTCGCGTTGTGCAATTTTCTTCAGATGAATGGTGAATTATTAGGTCTTACAGCAGTGGCCTGTAAACGGGGATATCGAGGCGAGTGTCGTGACCCTTTTCGTCTTCCTAAGATCAGATATCTTTCTGGAAAAGAACACTTGTCAAAATGGAACGACACAAAAAGAGCGGTGCGGAAATCATACGCACTCCGATCTGGGTGCTCGTCGCTCGCATCTTTCAAATCACCCTATCTTTCATCGTAGTCTGCGCGTCAGGATGGTTCATCCACGGCCTGTATCTGAACGAGCTCGGCTTCGCCATCGTCTGTGTGAGTCTCTCGTCCCCAACCATAGCCTTCTAGACGATCAATCCGCTTAAACGAACCAAATAGGGTCTCTTCACATGGATAATATCCCTCTACACTATCCTTACCGAGAAAATCCGCGCCTGCCAACGGGGCTACAACACCTGGGCCGTCCTCTCCCTCGAAGGCCTCATGATTATCTTCTGGCTCGCGACCATGGGCGCCGTCGCCAGCGCACGGGCGGCCTTCAAGTATAACGTCAATGCTACGTGCACGAGTGACGGGTCGGCCGTCAATAGCGGACATTGCACCATCAGCAAGCGAGTCACGGGGGTTGCCTCGCCTGAAGCTTTGGGTGTGGTGAGCGGTGTAGCTGGTCTCTGCGCTATCATTATGTTCGTTATATCTCTCTCCTTTTTCCACCTTAACCTTCATAATCGACTCGAGCGTATCGAATTGAGGTATTGACGCGTTTTAATGTAGGCTTCTCTTCGTAGCATCTTTCGCCTACGTCTGCCACTTCTTCCGCCTTTCTCTCGCATCGCCCACCGCAGACCCTGGGAAGCACATCGGTGGCGCGACGAGTGTGCAGTTTAATCCCACGCCCGGCGCCGCGATGCAGCCCCTGATGAACCAGGATCAGCAACAGTTGTACAACCATGAGCAGCCGAGGTGGGCTGAGAACCAGGTTTATGTTCAGCAGATGATTTATCCCCAGCAGACCCAGGTATATGACCCCTATTCATACCATCCGGAGTATGCCGGAGCGGGAGGGGCTACTCGCCAGATCAGAATGTTCCTCAGCAGCAGTCATAGCAAGCCTTCAGACAACCGCCCCTGAGCAAACTTACCAGCTTCTGGCACACTAATGGTATGTAGGTCATGGCGAATGTGTCAAGACAAGGGCGTAGGGCGTTGGAGTGAGGGGTTTGTTATGCATTATCGAAGGTTAGAGTCCTGGTTGTAACAGTGATTGTGGCAAATGATATATATCCCAATATCCCAATGATTTGAATTCACATCCAACCTCTATCCTACGATATTTGATACTGCTCGTTTTGCATCATGTTCTCTTGAGTCTGATGACGGTTATCCGCCACACATATTCAACTGACCGTCACGCTCTGGCCCCATATTCGCTCTACCACATCGTCAACACCCACCGAATCCGGCTCCAGGGCTTCCTTAGTGACATAGAACCCCAAGCCCGCCACGTTATTTGGTTCTTTTCCGTATCCATCAGTGACCGGACTGCGTCCAGCAGGGACTGAATCCACGCCTTTCTCTCGGGCTCGCTATCGAGCACATTATGCGCCATGCCGACAGGGAACAGGCAGAGACATATCTAGTCGCCTGAAGCTGCACAGCGGTACGGCTTTTGGAGAAGAGATACCAATTGACCGTATAGTATGTCGCGCTGCCCTGAGAAATCATTCAATAAAAGGGAGGGGTCAATGAACTCGTCACCAGAATAGTGACATGTATCTCCAAGCCGGCGGCTCTCTTCCAGGAGGCCTGGAACAACCACAAAAGTATCCAGAAGATACGACTGGTATGATTTCGAGGCAGGGTTGAGAGCCCACGGTATGGTTCGCCAACGATATTCCTCGAGGAACGTACGTCGTTTGGAGAATAAAGAAGCAACCAGCTAGGGTCATTAGCAACAGCTCTAGAACCCCGAAATGAGCGAGCATCAACTACATTCCTAAGCGGCTGTTGTTGAAATTCTCGGGCCCATACACGTTCAGCAGTGCAATTCCTTACAAGTGGAATACTGCCACTGCTCGGTCGGCCTGTATCGACCATACCCAATCAGCCGGCTCGGCTATTACCCAGGATAGACACCGACCCCAGATCACTTACTGAATATATCACCAGTGCCAGAATCGAGACCACAAGGTCTTGTCCGTTCCTCGCCAGTGCTGTTCCGCTGCCCAGCTCGCTAGCAAGTATTTTCAAACACTTGCCATACTGGACCGCACCCTTAAACTCGACATCTCTCGTCTTGTTGACACGGCCAAAGTTGATCTGGAACAAGGCCTTGTTGAGTTCTAGTGAGAGGTTCCCTCGCGTTCCTCGCTTCCCTCAAGCCAGAGTGTACTGTAAGATCGCTAGACGAAGTCCAAAAAGAGCAAGCCGAAGCACAAATCTCCTTGAAAGGCCACAAGACTCAGCTGCTGGGCTGGTGCTGTTGCCGTGACAGCACCACCAATTTCACTGGCGTGAACAACCTTATGGTAAATGGCGCCGTCGACGTGTGCCGTCATTGCACGGTCCTGTTGTAGCCGGAACATTCGAAGCCAGCCTTGATTCACTGCTGGCAGAGGGGTTTTCCTTCATCTAGAAGACGATCTATGGATGACTGTCTTTAAACCCGAGTAATGGGATACAACTGGGACAACTCATGCATATCACATTTGACCCGACGCTTCCTATAGGTGTTGCAGCTTTTTGACCTTCCAGGAGCGCCAACGATGGTGGCGGGTGGTTTCCCGAGGCAGCTCGCGGAATGCCTCTCAATTCGGAAAGGGTTGGACGAGAACAACCGGTTTGCTGGGGTATACCGGAAAATATCATCAACAACAGCTTTGTATCTTGCGATGGACTTATTTGGTCCAATCCAAAAATGTGATGTGAGGGATATGGTATTTCAACTGAACATAGAAATTCACCGAGAGAATGAGAATGGGTTCTGTCCTATGCTGACATAGGAAGCTCTGGTGATCACCTTTGGCGATGCTCAAAAGCATTTCTGTGGCTCCGGGGAGGATGAGGCCGCCTTATTATGAAGAGATCAACGGTTGCAGGAGAAGCCGATACGAACATTTAACCTGCCCTTGTAGATTACCAAAGATACCGGATCTTGCTTCACGGTGAATGACCAATCGGCTCGCTTCATTTTCGTTATATTCCATGATGGATTGGAGTATTGGACACGATAGTGCCTTGCGGCGTGTACCGACGCAAAGCCATGCAGTCAGCATGTGTTTGTCAATATGGTTGGAGTCCGCAGGAACGGCAGTCCCGCCACAACGATGGTTGTACTGCACTTCTGTTTGACTATTTTAGCAGGGCCGTTGGAAAGGTGAGATAAGATAGGGTGGTGTTAGCACTATAATATCTTAGTGCTACGCGTGCTTGATGATAGCCTGTCGTATGACCATTTCGGCCAATGACGCAGGGTGACGAAATGCTGTCGGGCGTATTCTACGACGGCGCGTACCTGGTGACATCACCGGGTTAGATGGCCCTGTAGAATGGTTGGAGTTCCGTTCTCGCAAATAGGAGTACCGTCGTATTTGGCACTTCTTTCCCTTCGATACTCGATACCGTTGTTGCGTCTTCCGAATGACGTCTAGGAACGGGTGCAGACACTTGCGCCTCGGCATATTCACTCTGATCGGCTGGCTTGGTTGTCTTGCGTAACGAAGCTAGTCGAGCGCCAGTATGTTCGCCCTCGGTAGCGTTGTTGCTGACAGCACTAGAGCTGGCTACAAATGCCTAGCTCAGCCCTACGGGATACTGACATGCCTGATAGCAGTGTTTGCAATTCATGTCAAAGGCAGCCAAGCGAAGAAAAGACCACAATATGCCGCCGCAGCGTTGATCTTGCGAATCATCCACTAGCAGGCGCACAAGTAGTCTCTCCACTATTGAGCAGCGAGGCGTATCGCTCCCGATCCATCTTCATAAGTCAATGATGCCTTTTGTCCTGCCGTATAGCTCTGCGCCGACTAATTGTACATGCGTTTCCTGATCCCGACCAACTCCGAGCATATCCAGAACAAGCACCAAGCTCGTAGCTTCTCTTCTGATCCCCCATCCGTAGCCACCCTGGCAGTACACGTATCATTGGCTCATATCCGCAGCTCTGTGCACAAGCTCCTGCAGGAAGCAAAAAAATGACGAAATATGTTCAGTATGGTGTTGATTATTGGTGAAATTATATATTGCTGTGTCGCGCGCGCTTGCGGGCGCTTCCGGTGGCCGGGTGCATCTTGGACTGGTTTTCGCGCTTGAGCTTCTCGTCCAGCACACGGGCTGCAGAGTGTTAGTGACATTTCATTGATGTCGGCAACCTGGAAACACTCACTGAGCACATCGTAACCAAACTGGGGGTGCTCCAAGCAAAGGCTGCGAAACTCTTCCTCGGCCTCAGAACGCAGAGTGTGACTTCGGGTGGCCCAGAAATTGGCGACGGGGGCACGGATTGACGTATCTTCCTTGCTGGTGTAGGCATAGACGTAGCGCGCATACGCAATCTCGCCCTTGGCTGTCGAGTTGACACAGTGAATCTTGCTGCTCGCAAGGCTCTTGAGCTTCTCGACGCCGAACTTATCAGCCAATGTATAGACACGGGCGTGTTTCAGAAGCTGGTCGCCAGACTCGTCAACGCTAGGGATGGAGGGGTCGCTCTCCAGGATTCGTTGGCCGGGCAGCTTCCTGGGGAAGTAGTCGCCAGTATACAGGAATTCGAGGAAGGATCCGACAGCGTCAATTTCTTCGTTGGGCAGGTCGACCTGGCGGGGCTGTCATAAAACTCAGCAGTGTTTCATGCGTGCGCAATGGCAAACCAATTAACGGGCAACTTACGCTTCCATCATCGCTGAATGACGAGCAATACTCGAGAAAGTAGGGGCTCTTGGACAGGAGCGCCTGATGCGCCGTGAGGATAGTCTCAGCCTCGCCAATGCCGACGAGCAAGGTCACGACGGGACTAGTTAGGTAGCTGATGAAGGTAGCTCGCGGTTCGATATCGCCGCCCTCAGCAAATGGAAGCTCGCTAGCGCTGCCGGCCTCTTCTCCTTCGCCTTCGCCCTCGTCCATTTCGACATCAATGCCGGGTGCTGCAGGCTGCTCGCCAAGAACTTCCTCCTGGAATTCCTCGGCCATAACGGAGGATTAAAGTGCGACGAAAGCCGGCGTTGTGCCAATTGGAGCACCTGAGAGAAACGATGGGAAGATATCATTGAACGAGAGGACGGAAATAGCTTGCAATGAATGGAATTGTAATCGCGATACCGTCGAGGAAACGGCTAGCGGTCGCAATTGCAAGTGACGGTATGCTACAACGTGATAAGCGAAAGCTCGGGCTTCATCAACTTCAGGGGAAAAGCTTGGATGGCAGAAGTGTGAGGCCTTGCATAAGTATTTGCTGGGGTCCAATCCGCAAGCTCGTTGCCCCAGCATCCGAAGCATCACAGAAGCTGCCGCATAGGACTTTGGGGATGCCTTGCGCTTCAGGCACAAATCTCATCGCCTTTAACGCGATAGGCCCACGGACCTCTGTAAACCAATCAATCAGTACAGATGGTTCCATAACGACCTGAGGCCCTCAGCCTCCGTACAATTGGAGGTCAACCACCATCAATGCTGAATGGGAAATCTTGAATCAAAAGCTCGCTTTGTGAGAGAATTCCAACGTCGGTTTATTGGTATACGTACGGCAAGGCAGCCAGCTGTGTCAGCTCACGCGTGTTCTGCCTGTCTTTCGCGACTCCTTACAAGACTTTGTCACAATGACATGCTTCGTACGACTTCTTCTGAACCAATTGGATTTACCCATTGTTTAACTCGCAATAAGGCATATAACACCTGTATATTGTCAGCAATAAAATCAGGGATATTCAGTACTTGAATACTTCATCAAGTATCTCAAGATGGGAACCTGAGCTGACTCTTCATCTAGGCTGTTCAATTTCTATTCATCTTGGCATGCCAACTATCACCTGTTCTAACACCTTGAAGTCACTGCGCTGGAAGTAGATTACCCAAACGCATAGGCACATACGCAGTACTTGTACTTTGCGAGTGGACCGTTGTACGAACAGATTGCAAGTATAGTATTTAAGCAGATTGGCTAGCATAGGCGAGACGAGAGCTCATAACTGGCGTCAAAGGGTTGTTGGAGTATACATGCCAGCTATCTGCAACTTCAGCTTCGGTTCCGAGACCGTCTCTTGTTGGTTCCGACTTGTTAAACTGGTGCCCCGCATCTATACCTTTTATCACTACCACTTGCTCTGAAAGTTACCGTCCAAGTATTCATACTTCAACATTGAAATACAATCCCATTCCATACCACATGCCACAAACCACACAACACATCAAACCAAGTTCCCCCCAAAATGGCCCAACCTCTCCCCTCGGTAACAGGCACATCCACCCACCAGATTTCCATCCTCCTCATCAACCCTAACTCCACCTGCTCTATGACGCTTTCCTGTCTGCGCTCCCTCCATCAGACCCTCCCCCCAACCGTTACCGTAACCGGCTTCACCGCACCTCCCACGGCCCCCACCGCTATCGAAGGCCGTCTGGACGCAGTCCTCAGCGCCGCGGAATGCGTGCGAGCCCTCAGGCCCCACGCCTACAATTACGATGCCTTCCTGGTCGCCTGCTTCAGCGCGCATCCCCTCATCCCCGCCCTGCGCGAGGAGTACTCCATGCCCTGTATTGGTATCATGGAAGCCGCGCTTTATGCGAGTCGCATGTGCGGCGACAAGCTGGGCGTGCTGTGCACGAGTGCTAGGAGTAAAGTTCTGCATGAGCAGAGCATTTCCGCTACGTATGGGTTGGGTGCGTTCTCGGCAGGGACTGAGGCGGCGGATGTGGCTGTGCTGGAACTCGAGACCAAGCCGCGGGAGGAAGTGTACGCGAGTCTAGTCGCGGCGGCGCGGAGACTCGTCGAGGAGAAGGGGGCGGATTGTGTGTGTTTGGGGTGTGCGGGCATGACGGGTATGAGGGAGGTATGCCAGGAGGCGGTGGAGATGGACAAGGGGAAGGTTATGGTTGTCGATGGGGTCACTAGTAAGTCAAGCCAGCAATCGTTCTCCCTTTGTTGTGGTCTGTCTGTCTTGACTTGACAGTAGAACTATACTGTCCACCCTGCCGTGTCATTGCACCCCTGACACATGTTTCGCTGGACATAAATCAGCCGGCCCAGGAAACGAGACTTTGTTACTGACATTTTTTTATGTAGTTGGTATACACTTTTTAATAGGTTTGGTCAGGGAAGGTCTGACCACGGCCAAGGCAGGAGCATACAAAAGTTCAAGACTTGGTAGGGAAAATCGAGGGCAGATGGTTATATGATGTTCACGAAGTATTCCATCGGATGCCACAAGGGTGCTTGTACCCATGGGTGAGTAAGTAACAAATCAAACTCTAGTTCTACTTGAGTAGTGTCGATATTGTGCAATTCTACCTACCTAGTCGGCGTGTTGTTGTAGCAATGTCGAACGGGGGGCCGAACGGGGGGCCACGCCATTATTGATAACATGAAGTGTACGGGACTTCTGCAAAAGGCTACCTGATATAGCCTACCCAAGCGTCAAGTCATACTTTTATGCGTAATCCGTGAGCCCACCACTCTCTCCAAGACGTTGATGTGCCGATCCAACTCCCTCTTCCGCCGTATCGAGAAAAAACAGCGCCTGTCAATTCACGTCATCAATCAATTACTTCTGCTTCCCCATCTGGCCAGCGAGGTTCATGTTCATGATTGCATCCCTAGTCCAATCCTCTTCATCATTAACCGGCAGGCCTTTGGGGTTCCACATCTCCGGCTCCCGTCCGTCGACATCAGGGAGACGAATCTGCGGTGTCGCGTGGGATTGCTGCTTGCTAGTCAAGGTCGTCTCATCCCCGAACCGATTGAAATCCGGCAAGTCGAATCCCCTGCTCGACCGACTTCCAGTTGTTTCGGCGCCCGACACTGACTTTCTGTTAATAGCAGACAGGTCAGACGGTGGCAGCTCTGCCATCTTGCCGATCTGGTGGTCAATTTCCTCTTGCTCGAGAATTTGTGGCGCGTGCTCCATATTTCGCAGCGAACTAGTTCCAGGAACGCCGCTGCTTCTCATGCTTCCAACGCTAGCGCGACGAGCATCAACTGGCCCATCGCCCCCTTCGATTGCGTTAGGGTCCACGTCGCGAATGGCGAATTGAGCAATTGTGCGCATTTTGCGTGTAACCCAGCCAGCTAGGATCTTGCCGCGTTGCTTCTCGCCCAAACGACTCCGGGGAAAGTCACCTTTGTTTACGAAGGCAACTATGTCGATGATGATCTGGTGTTCGTTGAGAATGGCATTGACAATGACTGGCACAATGGAAGCCAGGTAACTCTTGCGAGAGACTTCAACGAGAACAACTATAAGTCCTCCAGCTTGGAATACGGCGCTGAACAAGGGATTAGCCAAATACTCAACATCGCTCGGGGGAGATTGAACACTTACCAGCCACTAGGTACGACGTTGCGATGGCAACGCTCTACTGAAGCCTCAATGTCCATCGGGAAATGGCTCAGGCCATTTATCTCAAATGTCTCGCCAATGCTGCCCAGCACGAAGAGGACCTGCATGTCAACCTGAGCGCCGCCTGGTCCAATTGGCCGGCTCACACTGTGCAGAAACCCGAGGTCGCCGGTGCGGACGTAGCTAATGTTGGGGTCACCGTCTATAGTGCGACCATCGAAACGCTCCGCATCAAAAGCATCCCTTGAGCCATAGAATGACTTGACGCAAGCTTCCGAGTCAACCCAAATCTCGCCGTACTCGCCATCGTAGCAAAGAAGACGGCTTTCGGGGTTGACAATGGCAATTTGGGTCGATACCGGCACCATGCCCGAATCTTGGACAAGCAGCGCCTTGGGATCAGTGTCGGGATCAACGGGAATAACGAGACCTCTTCGTAAGGCACGCTGGTCGAGCCACAGTTCGATCGGTTCGATACACATGTAAGATCTCGAAGCGACCATGGGGTTAAGCACGTGTGAGTAGACGGTATTTATGGCCGTCCTGTCCAGGCCCGTAGCCGCGAAATGGAGGCGTACCTTCTGGAACACGTCGACTCGCGGCCTTCCTTCGGCCGAAATCATCATGTTCTTCAACTCGTGCATTGTAAACCCCTTGCCCGGCATGACGCTCATAGCGTGATCCAACATTTGAGGCGTAGCGTATGTGTCCTTGATCTTGTATCTACTAAGGGTCAAGAAGAGAGACAGCGGGTTCTGTGCGAACTCCACTGGTGAGAGCAGATAGGTTGGCGTTCCGATATAAACACCCATAAGGCAGGAGTGGATAAAGCCGAGGCCGGTGGTACTACGGACGCACCCGAGCACTGGTCTAGAGCTCGTCATCTGACATGTTTCTTTCTGCACCTTGCACATACCGAGTATCGTATCATGACCAAGCTGTACAGCGATTCTCCGCTGGTCTGGTGTCCAATACGTCCATATTATCACCGGGTATCCGGGCTGGATCCAGGCTGGATCCATGGTAATACTGAGATCCCTCAGCCCGCTGTTCTGCTTTGGTGGCTTCGACGTATTGTATACACTTGGGATGCCAATTTTGAGGACTTGTGCTGATTGTTTTATATGCTGGGAGATTGGCTTCATCTTGAGCAGGTGATCCACCTCGTGGTTGACCAAAACAGCCTTGACGTTGTAGTCGGCAATTAGGTGCAAGAAGGCCGGCACGTCCTCGTTCAGGCGGCGCTCGTCCATTGGGGCCGCTGGGATCACAATAGCCCCAAGGTTGATGCAGGCGTGTACGGCAAAGACAAACTCCTCTGAATGGGTATACATGAGAACCACGTGGTCGCGGGGTCGTATTTTGACCTTGTTACGAAGATAGACAGCAACAGCGGCGACCTTGGTGTCAAACTTCTTCCACGTGATGCCCTTGCCCTCCTTCCCTCTTCCGTCAATGGTGCAAAGGGCGAGTTCTTCAGGTTGGCGTGCCACTCGCCACTGGATGAGGTCCGTAATGCTAGAGAAGTTGTTGAGCGGGGTCGACGTTCGATCGTCAATGACGACCTCCCGTCGGTCAATGCCCGAGTATTGCTTGTCGGCTGGTCCAAGAATGTCGACCCGCGATTCCGACGCCATATGGGACCAAATGCCACCCATGGGATCGACGCCAATTGGTAGATTCAGAACAGCGTGCTCGACCCCAAACTTGACATGCACACACGGAAGGTTGCCAAGATCGAATTCTCTGCGGCACAACATGTTTCCTATCTCTCGTCTGCCATTCTTCACGACCCGTGGGAGAGAATTAGGGGCGGTGATCATAACGCAATAGACTCTCAAGTGGTGCTCTTGCATCAGCACATCCATACATCTCTCAGAGAGCGAATCCAACAACGCGGTGTCGAGCTGCCTAGGCGGGGCACCATTAGTTGTCGGGGTCGTAGATGCAGCTGTGGACTCCAGCACTACAATGGGAAGATGCTCATCATTGACAAACACGTCAAATGCTGAGCAGTCATAGACTTGCTTCGCCAGGTTTTTCAAGATGCTGACAACGATGTGTTGCACGAAGAAGTAACGATGCTCGGCAATCTCATGGCCATGTTCGACCCATTCCACTTTCTGTCTAATGCGATCTTCGTAAAGACCGAGGACAAAGATTTTGCCCTCGATGATGGCTCCAAGAAGGCCGGTTCTTAAGAACTCGGGCTCTACGGGTGTTGGCGTCGGATTGCCCGGCTCGAACTTGTAGGGCCGGGCATGGAAGATCTGCTCGGTGTGTTTGGGCAACGCCCAGAACCCTCCAGAGAGTGATGGGGAGTCTACCCAAATCTCACCAATAGAATGAGGCGATGTCAGCAATCCAGTCTCGGGGTCTACCACTGTCAAAGTCGCATCGGGGATGGGATAGCCGAATGCGCCAACTCGAACAGTTCCCAACTCTGTTGCGGCCCTCTTTCTTGCGTCATCGCCGATGGCGACAACGACGACTTCGTTGGTCTTCAGCGCCTCTCGGTCTAGAAGGACCTCACTGAGCTCGTTCTTAGCTTCCTGTTCCTGGGTAGTTGTCGCGCCCCCACCAAGCAAGCTGCCGAAGCCGTTGGACGGTGCAATTTTCTCCTTCTCCTTTTCTTTGTCCTTGTCGGCAACCTCTTCCTCGTTGTCGGACTCAGATTCTTCGTCGATTTCCAGTTTCAATGGGCAACCCATGCGTTCCTCGCCGCCGAGCCAGTCTCGAACACTAATAACCATGCCTCCGTGTTCCGGGAGACAGAGCATCGGCGCAACGACCTCCCGCGCGCGAGGGTTCCGCAAGGGTCTCAGCCACCGGTCGGCTAGGACTTCGTGGAACTCGCTGTCGACAGTCAATGTGTCTATCAAGCAGAGCCTCACCGTCTGGAAATTCGGCTCCGTTCCCTTTTTGTAGTTTCGCGTCGTCATCGGGTCTTGTTGGTAATTAAATGCTGCGGCTCTCAAACCGGGGTAGTCGGCCACCATCAGTGTGGCCTTGTACTTTGTAATCAGGTGCGCATATAGACCCGGCACATTGACAGCCTTGTTCTCCAGCCACACAGTTGTGTGACCACTGTAGACATTAAGAAGCACTCCAAGGATCATACCAATGCCTTGGCGAGGATCCAGGTAGGATAGGAGAATCTCGCTACTTGCGCCGCCCCCTATCAACCGGCCATTCTTGTCTCGCAGAGCTCGACTAAAGGTATCCCCAGGGCCGTGGGTCGGTACTGCAGATACTATGGCACTAAGACAAGCCATTTGATGCATTATCGTGCGATGGCTAAGTACTACACCGCGCAAGTCTCCGGTTGGCGCCCTAGAGAACTCGATATACGCGAGATCGGGGACCGACAAAGGTGGAACCTCATCCTTCTTCTTCGGGTGGTAACTGCCGAACTCGTTGGTTTTCCACCACTCAACTCCCTTGGGCCAATTAAGCTTTTGGGTGGTAATATCGCGCTGGAAGGCCTTAAGGTTGTTGTCGGTAGTCAACGCAAGATGCGCTTGTGTTGAGGTCAATATCAAGTTCAACCTCGGATAATCCTGCAAATCATTGATCGGGACTGCGACGACGCCAGCAATGAAGCAACCCAATAAAGCTATCGCAAAATCGATGACTTCTGTATCACGATATATGAGTGCAACTCGATCACCACGATAGAGAGAGCTCTTGTCACGAATGACTTGCGCGACTTTCTCCGCACGAGAAGCCAGCTTGTCCCACGTGATGGATGCTATCTCCTTCCCCTTCGCATCGAGGACCCAGTATGCAGGCATCTTGGCCGTTGTCCTGCCACGGTGCCGTAACACTGCCGCAATGTTGTCAAACGTCGACATAGCCGTATTCTCATCGTGGGGGTCATGAATAGCGAAAGGTACCTCACGCGGTTCCAAAGGCATCAGATACTGCAGGATCTCAGGGGGCGGAAGATCACTAGCTGTGAGCATTGGCGGAGCCATCGCAGCGGTCGGAGAGAAAGCGTCGCTGGACGAGTATCTTTGCACACCACCACCGTACTCGCCCCCGGGTCCCTGATCGTATGGTTGCTGGCCCTGCTCGTATGGTTGCTGACCCTGCTCGTATTGTTGTTGGCCCTGATCGTACGACTGCCGGCGTTGAGCGTATGCCTGTTGGCTTTGATCGTATGCCTGCTGGCCAGCAAAGTCGGAAAAGTAGCCCTGAGAGTCCATCATTGTTCCAGTGCGACTGTCGTATGCATTGTTCGGCGGTTGATTGTATCCGCCTTGATGTTCGGGCCTGAAGGCATAGTCACCGGACACCATGGTTCCAGAGCGGTCAGGCGATTCCGAAGTCATGATCTGGGAATAGTTCTGCGTCGGGTTCAGGAAGAGGGAGTCGCGCTGCTGGATAGCCGGCCGATGCTCGGCCATGGGGCCTCCTGGTCGCAAGAGACCAACTGGATTTTCTGCGCCATGCGCATGGCTTGAGCCCGGCGGGCCTGATGACTGCGGCCGCCAGTCAACGGGAGAAATAATATTAGTCGGAGCATACGGCGCATTGGGTTCCTGAGGATTGGAGCTCAGAGCAGCCATTGCGGCGCCTCTGTGTCCGTCGCTGTTCGCATAGCTGTCGCTGTCGGGCGAGTGTATTCGAAGGCCACCCGTCGCATCTGGTAAGCCGTACAGTGAGAGGAGTTGGGTTCGACGTTTCTGGAATCTATGTTGGAAGTTGGTTAGATATTTTGGACAGCGCAGGATAGGGGAAGCATGGGATCCTCCCAGTATCCCCGAGACTACCCAGTAACCACAATGGCATACCCTTTTTCTGTGATGTCTCCCTCCTATAGCAAATACAGCAAGTCAGCATTGGTTCGTGAGTATGTCCTCGACTTGTCGCAATTGCATCTACCCCGCCAGCACACCCACGGCGACTCCCGAACAACGCGTGAAAGGAAGGACTGGGAGACCGACCTCTAACTCTTGTTGGAGCTCATCGAGCTTCTCTTGAAGATCGGGACTCAGTTGAGACATGGCGTTCAAGCCTTAGGTGGAGAACCCGCGCGAGTGTTGATGGACTTGAGCCCTCATGAAGTCTGAACTTGTGACGTAGTGGGTCGGCAGACAATGGTCGCTTCGGACTGTAAGCGATCGGGACTGGCGATTCGAGTTGCTCTAACGTCTCAAAGGAAAGGCGAGTCTTGCAGCTCAATCAAGCATCAGCGTGGGGGTATCATAGCCGATATAACGAGAAGAAGCAATGCTCATAGGACCAAAGCAATGGACAGCAGCTTGAGAAGCCGACACCGAATAAAATGCAGATACCATTGATGGGTTGAGAGGGTTGCCAGGCGCACTTCTTCTGGGTTAGCGGGACTTTCAACCGCCGCCCATGAACATTGCAGACCAGTGGTTCAATACGAGCCCCGTTACCGGGAAAGATCGCCTTGGCGCATAAAAGCAGCCCCGGTGGCTCTGATTGGGTTGATCAGGACCTGGAGCACCAGATTTTGGCAGGGACTTTCTGTGCCAAGCATGCAGCTTCCTTGCCCGCTAAGCCAAATCTGAATTAATACGCACGGTTCAGTGTCCACTTTTCATTGCACTTTTCTTCGTGATAAGAACTCATGAAGAAACTTTGCAAACATCTTCATCCATCTCAACTCGACACATCCCTCGATCCACTGCCATCGAGGACATTTCTTCACCACACACTAATTATTTTTGTGTCTTGTTGGAGATTGTTGGTTTCGGCATAATATATTGCATCATGATGATGGGCTTTCACCTTGTTTTGTGCTGCAGCCCAGGTGGTTGTCTATCCACTGGTTGATCTATGTCTATGGTCATTGCCTTGGATAACGACATACGAGAGGCTTCAATAGGCAGACCAGCGACATCAAGTCTCTGCTTGTACTCAAGCTGTCATGTCATTACTACTTGCCTTGAAGAGCATATCCATATGGGTACTGTTGCTATACCATACACTAATAATCAAGCACAATCTACTTGTATTACTATCAAAGGTATGTCTGTTCTGACTTTTTCCAACCCTCCTTACATGATGAAACACAACGCAAACTCACAGACCTGTTCTGAATACTTGTGTTGAGAAACTGCTTTATATTCTCTGAATGAAACTTCCTTCTCCCTTCAAATTCATCTGTGTTCCATGAATGCTTGCTAATCAGAAACCTAGGGACTCCCTTCTATTGTGAACGAGTATATACTGTGATTACGTTGATCAAGTATAAAGGCGTATGTTTGTCCTGTAGCCTTTGACTTGTTTGCCTAGACATGCAAATTTTAAGCAGCATTCAACTTGACCCTAATTATGGTCTTTGTCGTGAGACAAAGCTCTAGTAGCAGTTGAACAATGTACTTGTTCTTGCCACTTGGTGCCCTTTGTTGATTGTAATGTCGCTGTCCTGCGCACAGTGAGAACACGGATGAGGCACACTATAGCTTGTTGAACTGTTTATACTTAAGTGGCTACTGCCGTCCAACACCAGAATATAGTGTTTTGGAAGGCTCTTCAACTCGATTGAACAAGCGGCAGGTATCGTAGCGGTGCTATTGCTACCTGTGATCTTATCAAATCATACAAACGTCTTGTTCAACGATACAACACAAGTCAAGATGGAAAACAACGATTGGGAGAGTCTGCCAGCGGCAGAAGACTGGGAGAACTTCAACAATGGTCTGCAGTATGGCGGCGACACGTCGTACCCCTTCGGCGGTGATCTCAGCCAGTTGAATTTCGAAACCGCAAACTACGGAAGTCATGTCCAACCTGAATTTATACAGCCGGTAGAAGCAAACTCGTTGAACGCCGCTAAGGGCCAAGCGTCGCCTCAACCTGTAGTCCAGCAGGGGCGTTCACTCATGATGCATGTGCAAAACGACAAATTCTCACCCCCCACGACGGCAACCGCGTATTACAGTCCCTCGAATACTGGCTTAGCCATGCCTCCGGCCACTCCAGCCACCTACGAAAATCCTTTGGAGACACAGGTTCAGTACACCAACAGCGGCGGTTTAACCTTGCCGCCGCAGCCCCTCAATGCTCACATGAACCCTCAGGCGTCATTGACTCAAAACATGAGCGGTGGCTTAACCTTGCCACAAACAACCCCCAACGCCTATATGAGCCCATTTTATTGCCTTCCCAACGAGGTCCAAGATACTCTTCAACACAACTTCGACGTCGATGCTAATAATCTACAGCACGGAGTCGCACCGCGGCCGCATCCGGCGTACTCCAACTATTCAACTTACGATCTCGGTATGATCAACCCCATGGAGCGCGACAGAATCCGTGGCCTTACCATAATCAACCCTAGAATCGACCACGAAGGCGGGCAGCCGGTCTCCGAAACGCGCCCCTTGGTTGCAGGTAAGATCATCTGGTCGCGCAGCAAGAACAAGAAGCTGAACATTGCGCCGCGACCCGACCCCCTGGACTACTACGGGAAGCGGCCCAAGAAGCCCAGTGCATGGGGTCCCCTTACGCGGTATGCCGACAACCACACGCACCATCCTCGCTATATGTTCGAGTACGACGAGCACGGTCAGCTCGGCAAGGATGTGTTCCTCAACTCGAAGCATATGCGCTGGTATTTCTTCGGCAAGCGTCACTCTTCTCCTGAAAATGAGACCTGGAAGCCGCGCCAGCCGCTGCCCCAGGAAGTCTGCATCCAGGGCAAAGTGCGATCGGGTCTCACGTTGCGCATCGGGTTCCCCGAGGCGCAGGCCAATCACCGTCATCCGACGGATTACTCTCAGCGGTGCCGCTTTGACGGGTGCCGAGGCTTGTTACGACAGGGTGCCCCGCGCGTCATCTTTGACGAGCGCTTTAACGAGGACGGGAGCAAATACGACCCGCTCATCAACGCCGGATGCGTCCATCTTGAATGCGTGGAGAGTAAATTCGACCTCGTTGAGCTGTGGGACAAGCTAGATGTCGTTATCGATAATCGCTCCTTCGCCAAGGAGGACCGCAATCACGGCTCGCTGACTAGAGAATACCCAGGCCTCCAAGCCGTTGTTGAGGAGTGGATGGCGCAGCAATACCCGAAGTACCTGCAACACAAGGCGCTGGACAGCCCGGGCCGTAGAGAAATCCCTGAGTGCGACAAATTATGGCCGCGAATTCAGCAGTATGTTGCAAAGAACCTGAAGCCAGGACATCGCAAGCAAATGGCCAAGCGACACAAGGCCAAGGCGATAAAAGCCGGCAAGCGCCTGGTCGACACGCCCAAGGAGGACTACCAGACAGTGACACGAACCGATTTCCGGAACATCGCCATGTCGCCTGGCGACCAGGTAACAAGAGAATTACGTCGCAGCCGGCAGATGATATCTTGCCAGCCGTCTTGTGGCGTCTCGTCGAGTAGCGTTTCTTCACCTTCGGGTCCTGCCCGGAGAAAGGCCAAGGAGAATAGGCTTAATAGGAGCTTCCTGGATGTCACCCAGTTCGCGAAGCCTAAGAGGCTTTGGGACGAGGAAGGAGCTATCGTTCAGCCGGTGCCAATACCGCTGCCGGTAGCACCTCCTCAGGTGAGTGAGTATTACCCGTTAGAGAGAGTGGGCTTTCACGGCTCCTTGGGCCACTCTCCGCCCGTGTATGGAGAGCCGCAGCCTTATCAGCAGAATCTATATGAGCAGCAAGGCTATGCTGATGCTGATCCTGCTTGCACCTTGGCAGACAGCAATTTCAGCTCATTTTTCAACAACCCGCCCCCTGTGGGCTACCGAAGAATCAAGACCCCCACCGGCTTGAGACGCAGCCCGATCCTACTCCCGTATGCCTCGCCAAACCTCGCTTCTGCGACAGGGAAGAGGAAGTGGGTGCCCGAGGAGATGCCCAAAGAGGTAAAATTCAGGCGGCGCAACTCTTGGCCGCAGGAGAAAAAGAGCAAGCGACTGCAGCGACGCTTCAGTTATGCTGAAGTATGCCCTCTTTGGGACCGCGAGCTGCACCCCTAACTGAACTGCTGATGGTAGTAAGTAAGTAAACAGCAGTAAGTGGTGAGTGTATCTCTCTAGCATTCATCAATCTTGGTGCGTCGTCTATTCTTTCTGGAGAAAAAAAAAGAGAACAGAAAACCAAGACAGAAAAAAAGAAGAAGACAAGAAATGTCTTGACGAGAATAGAAACAGAAGCAGAAACAAAACAAAAAGACAAAAAAGAGAACAAAAGCCTCGATAAGAACAGAGTGGGCAAAGGGGCCCTGATACGAAAAGGTAGGGGGACCCACTGGTTAGGTTAATCCCATTCAATTAGATACTATAACGTTGCGCACTACTGCATTATAGCATCCTTCCCCCTAGGTGCACGCATCAAGTGCCGGGGTCTGGCAAATTGAAATCATTGTCCTCAATGGACTTATCGCTCACAGGTCTTATTGCCAGAGTAGGTCCGTAATCCTCCCCAAGTGGTTTGGTGCTTCCGCCGGGAATTGAACCTGGTACTACCCCTATAGTGGTCTGTTCGTCAAGGCGCGACAGCCATTCGCCGGATGCGGTGCGGACTTGGTGGCCATGAATCCTAAACCCTACCAAATCGACCATGCGACCGTTTGACCAAACAACGGAAGAGACGCTACCATTTGATACGAAAAACCAGTGGGTTCCCCTACCTTTTCGTATCAGGCCCCTAGTATCAATCAGTATTGGTGCGGTTGGTTCATGTGTTTACTCTGGTTTTGTACAGGAAGAAGAAAAAGGAGAAGAAAGTCGAAAAGCCATATAGTTCGTGTTTGCATTTGTTTACTCTGCTTTGGCGAATTTTGGCTTACTTATTACAGTGAGTAGGTGGCGGGAAGAGGAGAGAAGAAATTTAAGCACAACAGCAGCAGCAACTTAATTAATGATACCTCCTGTGTTTGTCCAATGATTGGCAAGTATGCCCCTCGGGATCGGTTACGTCCTTCATTGCATCCTCGTGTAGCTGTTCCCTGTGGTTCCCGGTACGCATTAAGGGCCTTCGTCACGGCTGTAGATGATGGCTGAAGCAATGGCAATGCCAATTACAGTGGTCTTCTGTCTTCAACTCCTTCCCCGAACATTCGTACATAAAACACTATTATAAAATACTACAATTCAAGGCCCTTTCTGCTCTTTCGACGAACAGTAACTACCGATACTTAGCATAATTACAATTTATAATGGCTAGTTAGTGTCGGAATCCAAGTACCAGGGGCTGTATTGATACTATGAAAGTTCACAAGGGATAAATACCAAGTTGGCCCCAACGGGTCCCTAAATACTATAACGCCTGCCTGTCTGCCTCGTGCCTCTCCACACCTGAGGCCACAACTTCCCACAGTTAGGTAGAATTGCCAAGGTTCTCTCCTAAGCTATGGCGCCGCCGTGCTTAGGTGTATATCTTTTACCACCAGATGCGCATGGTCAGACCAAGTATCGTGGCAAATTACATGTAATGAGAACCTGGTTTATTTGGTGTCAACCATTGGCAATTCCAATCAAACCACTTCGCACACTGTGACAAGACAGTGTGGCACCTGTTACTCCTCAAGCTGCGGCGTAACTCGACCGGTCTGCAGCTAGCCACGTAGATTTGACACATGCTGTTCAACATTCGATACTATTTTGTTTGTCTAGGACTGCCTTTTGTGTATTTTCCTTCCTCCAGGCCTGACCCGTGACAAGGTCGATGAGATTCGACGGGCTACCCCTTTGGCTCCGGAGAGCGCGGACTTCAGGGAGCGGAAACTCTTCGCACAATTGCCCAGTCACCGTGTCTGTGGAAAGAAGTTCAGGGGAGAGGGTATCATGCATCCATTTGAAACTTCTCGGCACGTGTGGGCATTTCCAAACCCGTTAGCTTCCCTAATACCGCGTGACCACTGGGTAGCAATACTAATTCGATGACGAGAACTCGGTTCCAGGGAACTGAATCATGGCCACTGAAGGATGATGCCGATCCGCTCGATGGTCGGGAGAGATCGAAGGTCTAGGAGATACCATTCGGCGCTGCGAGCAATGATATTGTGGCAAATTGACCATCTTGCTCAGAAGACTTCTGACCCAATTCCAACAGCGTCTTCGGAGCGTCAAAGTTTCGTGCTAACTCATGAATTTCAACGCCGAGGATCTGCACAAGCACCTCAACGATGTGTTCTTTGATCGCATCGAGGTAAATACACAACCAACGTGTTGATGTGCAACATACATGAGTGCATGGCTTACCTACCCTTAATAGGTGTCCAGCATCTCAGATGCAGGATATCTCGGCGTTCGAGCGCCCATTGCATACCTCGGGGCGGCCCTCCTGAAACAGCCTAATATCAACCCTCACGCGACTTTGATAACATTTTTCATCAATACCGTTTATGAGATAATAAGATGAAGACCTCGATTTCGAAAGGCAAATATCAAACGATTCATGAAGTACTTGCAACTGAGCATTCCAGATCACCGCATGATCCAGATATCACATCAGCGACGTATCAAGAAATCTGGTGCGGGACGTCAACAAATACTTTGACAGGTTCGTTGCGCCTTGAGGATTCTTCATCATTTCCAATGATTGCTGACATACAATAAATATAAAAAGAGCCCAGCTTTCAAGAGGTGGAGTAGTCTGGATTTATCGAGATGAAAGCAAAGCATGCCGTCATTGAACCGTGACCGCTAAAGTTGAAGCTGGGACAACCTGGAAGTAAAGATGAGTTCGATCTGCTCCTAGCTTCCTCTAAATACGTTTGTAAGCGATGTGTTGAATGGAGATGCAGGCAGGGGTGAAGCGTTTCCAAGAGTGTTGAGTGCATATTGAATTTGGACAATTGGTAGTTCAGAGTCACTCAAGGCTTGGTGTATGTCGGCTGCTTTAAATATGATCAAACTCAATCATTATGGCCAGACACAAATGACGATGGAGACCTTAGTGGCTCGTCATGATATGTATTCTCCTTGCTCGCTCCTTGATCGAACTTGCTTCGCAAATACTGAAGAGCGCTCGAAGTCGGTTGACGTGTGGAAGAACTTGTGACGGAAACACGTCTCTGTGAGCTCCACGAAACCCCACACCATAATTGATTGACGGGCGAACACCAGAGTAATCCTTCAGGATTGAGTTAATCATATCTCATCGTAGCTCAATTCGGACGAGCGGTATAGAATAATAGGTTACCTGTTCTTGCGATGTGGGTCGCTGAAGTGAACAATCCCGCCAGTTGCTCTTGGGGCTGGGGAAGGGGGGTGGGGAAGGGGGTGGGGGCGGGAGGGTTGTGGGGGTGACGACACGTTCTTTGTGCGTTCGAGACAATGCAAAGAACTGCAGGTGGGAGATGGGATGAGTTGAGAATTGATCAGAGAGCTCGCTAATGAGAAACGTATGAGATGTGATGCGCTGGTCTAGACAGAACCTGTAATTTACCCCGCAAACGGAGGCACTTTGCAGCCGCCAAATCTGCAAGGCCCGCAGCGGCGTGTCCGAAGAGAAAGCCGCTAGGGGCAACGATGCAGCCTCAGAAGCGCTCAAGTCCAGCTAGACAGCCCAGAAAGCTCAAAGACTTGGGGAGCGAACCACCTAGTGTGTGCAGCAACACCCGGGAACTGCGTCATCGGCACGCACAGGCATTCAAGTGAACCTTAAATGTGACTGTTCCCGCTTCATCTTCGAATTTCGCCCAATATTTTCCTCGCCCAGAGCCTCTGGTATTGGTCCTCATATGCGTCCGACATATGAAGCCTCTTCCGAAATTATTTCGTGAAGGAGCATAAACTCGGACCGGCGGTGGCTCCCTACTTTGGGACAAGAACGTCACGTCACGTGGTTTTACACCGTACCAGGAAATCCAACTCCGGTCAGAAATCGCGGACTATCGCATCAGCACGCGACAACTCCCAATCAACCCACTTGGACCAAGAAAGTAGCCGAAGCGCAGCGTAACCAGCATTGGTTCAGCTCAGCGCAGCAACTACGGGGCAGGCAGCATGACTGGAGAAGCCGAGAAAAATACCGAACCTGCTTTGCAGGTCATCGTCCTGGTAAGTTTGCGACTATTCCTTCAATCATCACTTGATTCGTCGCGACGCGCTTGTCACCGGTCCATACCGCCCAACAAACGTGGTGGTCTCGAGGTGTCCAGATTGCGCCGACATAGGGTGAAGTCGAATCTTGTCACACACATCCAAAATGGTGCAGCCGACCGAAAGGGAGGGGCCTCTGGATTCCCATAGCGCGACAAGCCCAGGGTCCTAGGTGGAGACGAACAGCGGGCAGCCCCGGCCAGCGCCCGCCGAGATGTCAGATCAGATCGCAGGTCAGTGCGCGCCCCGCGGCCGATCTTTTCGCTTCGCAGCGCCGGACAAGGCCGTCATGCCGTCAATCCTCCGAGAAGTGCTGCAGACCAGGAGAACGGTTCTCATGTTTTGGTTCTATAAAGAAATCCTTATCTTGCAGAGCGCAAAATGGACGTTTGATGCTGGACACGCAGTCTGCAGCTAGTGCGCAATCAGGACTTGGCGGCAACCTTGACCGCTCGGGCCGCCGAAACAAACGGGCGAAGGATTGAGAACCACTGCTCCGGGACAGATCACGTGCAGCAAGCTTAAACCAGGTCCTTTATTTATGGCCTAAGGTTACAATGACGTCGAGGATACTGTCTTTCCAAGCTATTCCGATTCAGGGCCGGCCCTTTCCAGACTTGCACTTGCTTTACCTCTGTCTCAATATGTATTGCTGGCATGACTTACTACCCATCTTGACATTGGGAGACCGTTGCTGATATTGTTTTGGCGCATATAGGGGTCAGGCGGAGGGCCTCAGGAGCACAATGTGACGGCACTGCTTGTCCGTTCAACAAGCTCAGGATGGGGCCGAGGCTCTATCGTTGCCCTCGATGCGGGCGTCCATTTATCTGCAATTAGACGAATCCTTGAAGGGACACAGCCAAAAGGTCTAGGAGTTGAAGTCGCCTTGCCTCACAAGCTGGAGACTGGCCCGTTTGCGGGCATGAAAGTGGAGTCGTCTTCTGCGGCAGCCAATGCTGTCCATATTACGAGGTCCCTAATAGACACATACCTAATTACACACCCTCACCTCGATCATATCAGTGGGTTTGTTATTAATACCGCTGGCCTACCTGGATCTCGACCAAAACGTCTTGCGGGCTTGCCGTCGACAATCTCTGCCTTCAAAACGCACATCTTTAACAATGTGATTTGGCCGAATCTATCCGACGAAAACAATGGCGCTGGCCTAGTTACATACATGCGTCTCGTTGAAGGTGGCAGCCCTGCGCTTGGAGAAGGCGAGGGCAAGGGATATATAGAAATCTCGGATGGCCTTGCTACGAAAATATACGGCGTTAGTCACGGTCATTGTATCGAAAATCACAGCCATCGTGGGTCGACCTCCTCGTCGCGTTTCGGGAGTACCGATGTGTCTACCATATCGTCCAGGGGAGTCCCTGGCAGTAATGCGGCTTCAGGACACTCACCCTTTTTCCGAACCTCAAGTATGGCGTACTCGACGGGCAATCAAGATCGTCATGAGGGGATTTGTGTCTACGATTCTAGCGCGTACTTCATCCGAGACACAGCTACAGGACGTGAGGTTCTCATATTCGGAGACGTCGAGCCTGATACTATGTCTTTATCCCCCCGCAATCTGGATATCTGGAAAGAGGCAGCGCCGAAGATCGTGAGCGGCCAACTTGCCGCAATTTTCATCGAGTGTAGTTACAGTGACAGTCAGACCAATGACCGACTATTTGGACACCTAGCCCCTCGCTTCATCATAGAGGAGATGCAGGCACTGGCCCAGCAAGTTGAGATCAGCCGCCGGAATCCCATTAAGCTCACAACGACTAAGAAGCGAAAACGAGAGCTGGAGGAAGCTGCCAGACGAGCAAACAAAGCTGCCACTAGATCCACCGTCGACGACCACCCCGTTTCGCCCAAGTCGTTCAAGATTACAACAAGGGGATCGATTTCCGGCTCCGGTGCGACAAGTGAGGATGATTTGGGACCCGAGACCCCGCACATCGCGACACCTACTGACGAGTTGACGTTGAAGGAACTGAATCCGACCGCATCCGTCACTGTCCCGTCCTCACCTCAAATGAAGAATCCCCTGAGAGAGCTCAAAATCGTCATTATTCATGTCAAGGACAACTTTAGCGACGTCGAACCCGCAGGAGACATGATTCTAACTGAATTGATAGAGTACGAGAAGGAGGCTCAGCTTGGTTGCGAGTTTATCATATCTCACATGGGGCAGAGCTTCATGTTCTAAATCGTGTGTTTTTCAAGCACGGGGTTTCGGAGTTTGGGAGAGTCCATCGTAATAAGAGCCGGTGGATCTCAAAGGGGTTATTTTACTGTTTGTGTCCGAAGGAGTATGCTTGTCTGGCTATAAAGCATATAATTTAGGTACGGAGTTTGGCAATGTTCCAGGGCTGGGGTGACCCCTTGGCTATATTGGCTGGCGTCATATTTGAGATGATTTGAGAAGACAGACCCAGGCTTCACAGCCTTGTCTTAACTAAGAGCAGCGCAGATCTAAAGACTCGGATTCTTGTATAGCTTTATAAATCACTTCAGAACACTCTTGTCTACAGCTCTGTCTATTGCCTGGTGTACAAGCAACGCACGCAGATTTATGCAGCACTATATGACTTGTCTTTCTTCAGTTCTTCATACCCCTCCATCCCACCAACGTCCTTCTCAAACACCGGCCTTGAAATCTCCAGCGCCTCCGTCAACCTGCCATAAGTGATACCCCCGAGCCTGCTCATCGGCCTCAATACCTCAGGCGCCACCAGATTCTTTTGGTCATTGATAGCATCCTCGCGGACCCAGAACCGCGTACCCTCCAGCACAACCAAACACCCCGTCTTCTTCCCCGGCGTGGCTCGACTCTCAAACTCGCGACAACTCTCCAGCTTGCACTCGACGCTAAAAACGGCCTCGCCCACGCGCGCAGCCGCCACGTCCTTACAGTCGTATACGGGCGTCAGGCCGCTGATGTCCCACTCGGAAGCGTCGTAGGGGGCGTCGACGCTTGTCGCGTTGGCGGCTTCGATGAAGCTCTCGCTGATGATGTTGACGACGCACTCTTTGCTCTCGACGAGGTTCTTGAGCGTGTCTTTGGGCTTTTCGAGGGAGGCCGCTACACCGACGACGAACAAAGGCGGGTCGTGGTTCACCATGTTGAAGTAGCTGAACGGCGCGAGATTCGTCTGTTTACCGTCAGCTGAGCGGGTGGAGACGAAGCCTATGGGGCGAGGGACGATGCTGCTAATTAGAAGTTTGTAGTTGAAGGGCGCTGGTCGGCCTGGCTCGTAGGGGTCGATGGTGATGTGTTTCTTCTCGGCTGAAGACCGGTCAAGTGCGTTGGCGCCATCGCCGTATTTCCAGTTCGGGTCGGCGGTTTTCGTGTAGTGGAAGGATGCTCCCGCGTCCCAGTCCGGCCGTGAGGCCTCGACATTCTTGAAGTCGGGGTGCGGGTTGCGCTTGTATGCCGCTTCTTGTTGTGTTGATACGGACATTGTAGTAGCTTGAAGCTTGGAGGCTACGCGATGACGACGGAGGTGTTGCGGGGTATGAGTGACGATGCGGGGTGATGAGACGACGGTTCTTGAAATGATGGAAGAGGAGGGTTTGAATGGCATTTGCAGAACTGCCTTTGATGTGAAGATAATTTGGTTTTAATCTCGCCGTGACAAATCAACAGGCAAGCAGGTTATTTGCCAGGACTTATTCAGCTTCTGAAAGCTAGAGCAAGTGAATCAATCTAGGAGCCGTGTATACCACGTGGAATGGTTACGCCCCACCGAGGGGTCGGATAACATGACCATCGCCCCAATTGATCTACCGACCATACGCATACGCTATAAGGTTCTTCGGGGGTACAATCAGATTGGGGCGATGGACTCCATGACTACTCGGGACACATAAGTGCAGCTTGTTTCTACAATCTCCATCAGCCATGCTTTCTATCAGTTCCATCTCCCTGCTACTGGCCCTTGCGGCCGCAGCAGAAGCTGTGCGTACCAGCATCTCAAACACGTCTTGACCTTGGCCGCCAACTCGGTAGCGGCCAGCCGGACGCCGCCTCTGGCGATATTACCACTGACATCAACTACCTCTCGCGTGTTATCCACGCCAAGGAGACCTTCAGCCGGAGGTTATGACTTCTCAGGCGAATTCACAGCCACAACTAGCCAGTGTATGTAGCCCGCTTCCTGGCTGAACGACCGTGACCAGTTGACCGCCCGAGATTGACATGGCCGAGTGGAAGGGGTTGGGAGACATCTCGATTCGTTCCATTATTTAAAACACCCTCCGTTGTCTTCTCGAATAATTTCACCTCCTACTCGGCCGCGCTCGAGTTTCATTCCATCAAGTGCCAGGGTCGCGACATCAATGAGAAGGACGTCTCAGTCAAGTTCTAAATGGGCGGATCACTCTTCAGAAGCCGCTCTACCTGTAAGCACCTCTAAATCGACTGATCTGACGGGATGACCAGATGGCTGACCAACGTGTTTGGTATCATCAAGCTGCCGATGGAAGAATCGTCTGGCTCACCAGGCCCGACTACATTAGGCGTGACTAGTGGTAAGTTCAACTTGATTGACAAACATGCGGATGGTGTGAACGCTAAACGTGATGCAAGTACTCTTTACCAAGTTCGTAACTTTGAGTTCCTAAGCTTCGATCCCTGGTGCTGGAAAATGAACGGAGCTGCGTCTGTCAAAAGACAGCAGTTATTGGGAAATCCAGGCTGGACTGTTTGACTAGATGTGCCGTTGTCATGTTGTAACCATTATGCCACCCTTATATCGATCAATGGGCTGACAATAAAACATGAATGACGCGCTCAAGTGTGAAATCCTTACTAATGAAGCCAACTACTGTACGAAGTAACCTTTAAGAGAGACAGGGGCCGAGTGTCGAGAAGAATAGACAGTAGAGTCTGTATCCACAATCCCGAATTCTGGAAGAAGTAAATAGTCGATCAGGTTCCTCGAGGTGAAGATCATGATAAAATAAATAAGTGTTTGAAGGGTCAACTGCTATAATAACAATCCCTTGTCTGCAACAATTATGTAAGATCTACCCTTGCACTGGCGAAGCTGTGCTCAAGGACAAGGGGGGCCTTTCACCACACCAGCAAAACACCAGCTGTCCATCAGCTGTCGTGGTGACCGATAAGATAAGGGATAATTTCTTGAGCCTCAGCTAGCAATTCGCAAAAAAGATGCATCAGCCGTCAAGTGTTCGGGTTTGACGTCGGCGTCCAGTCATATCCTAAGCTCACATGTATGCCTTTTCGGCAAGTACTCAATCTTTGCCCATGGTTTTCTAAGGCTTGATGAAGGGGGACCATGTACTTAAGAAGGCGCTGAGCAGGTCTCCATCGGTCATGTCGCACGCCAAAGTCCATCATCACGATTCCTTTCGTAGAGCTCGCACCGATCCTGGTAGTGCATTTGACGACGCCTTTTTTCCTCAAGATTTTCTGCGCAGGCCCAACGGACCGGAAGTTAGCATCATACGCGCCCCGTCATCTTGGTCGAGCAGGAACAAAACTATTCGATTTCTGGCCTTTGAGGTACCACCGGTGAAACCAGCACCACCCGCAGCCGTACTGAGCGCCCGCGCATTCAACCAGAAGATGTTGAATTGGGTTCAATTGGTCACGACCCCTACAGACGACACACCTGGGACGTGCCTGCTACTACACTACGATGACCAGCGGTACATCTTTGGCGGCCTGGCCGAGGGTACGCAGAGAGCCATGGTACAGCGCAAGATCGGGTTGAATAGAGCCGAAGAGATGTTCCTAACTGGCATAGTAAACTGGCGCAACGCTGGTGGCTTGATGGGCATGATCCTCACCCTTGCCGATATCGTCTCTTCGCAAAAGGAAGCAACAAAGACTCTCAACGAAGAGCGCAAGCAAAAGGGCCGCAAGGCCATCCAAGATGTTGCAATCTCCAAGCTGAGCATCCATGGCGGCAAGAATCTGTCACACTTCCTCGCTACTGCCCGGCGCTTCATATTTCGCAAAGGTCTTCCACTTCTGCCTCACGAAGTCAGAGAAGACCCGCGGACAGGGACCAAGGGGAGCAACGAGCCCGATTTCAAGGACCACAACATCAAAGTCTGGTATATGCCCGTCGAATCAGCGGCTGAGAGCACAACCCCTATTCAGCGGAAACGTAGTCACGATGAAATATCGGGCCCGAATGGGCAGAATGACCATGACACAGAGGTAGTTGAGAGAATAGTCACGCAAATGTTCGACTCCAACTGGAACATGGATGCCCTGATAGAGACGACTCTGCATCAGGTGCAGTTGCCGGCGAAAGTTTTTGTGCGCGGCGACAACGGCCACATTCAAGTCTACGAGGGACTGCTGCCAGGAGAGGCCGACGACGTCCCCGATATTCCGGTACTGGTGCGGGAGCCTTGGCCGGCAGCAAAAGTACAATCCCTCCCACGCACCGAGCCTTCTCGGCAGTCTATGTGCTACATTGTCAAAAACCATGACAGGAGAGGCAAGTTCAAACCGGAAGCCGCGCAAGCCCTCAACGTCGCCAAGCGCGACTACAGCAAACTCACAAAAGGCGCAAGCATTACCACGGAGGACGGGAGAACCGTAACGCCCGAGATGGTGTTGGAAGACAACGTCATCGGCAAGGGCTTTGCCATCGTGGATGTACCTGATGACTCTTTCGTCGAGCCCCTCGTCAGTCGCACGGAATGGTCAAACAACGACATCATGGAAGGCATCACTGTCATATTTTGGACCCTTGGTCCTGGTGTTGTCAAGGATAGTCGTATTCAGGACTTCATGAAGACTCACGAGACGCTGCGCCACATTGTGTGCTCCGAAGACACGTCTCCCAACATGATTGCCTTGGAGTCTGTCGCAACCCAAGCGTGGAAGCTGCGAGGTCTTGACCGAGATCGATTTCCTGTACCCTCATATAATAACGCATTGTCCTTGTCGGGCGAGTCAACGACATGCGTATCTGACTTGTACGAAGTCGGCAGGACAGGAAAGATGATTCAGTTCTCTCCTAATTATCTTCACCAGGATGACAAAATTGTCCCCTTTCCCGACCTGCCCAAACTTGCTACTACTGAATCGGATCCTCGTGTGTGGCTCAAGGCTCAGAAGTTGTCCCAACACGCCAGGGATCAAATCGAAGAAGCCGCACAGTGGATTGATGACGTTACGTCGGATATTCCAAATCGAGATGCTGAGATTATCACACTCGGCACGGGATCTGCTCTACCTTCCAAGTATCGCAACGTGTCTGCGACTCTGGTGAAGATCCCAGGCGTCGGAAACTACCTGTTTGACGCTGGCGAAAATACCCTTGGGCAGATGAGGCGGACGCTCAACAATGAGTTTCCAGAAGTGGTGCGAAATCTGAAGGCTATCTGGATCAGCCATCTACACGCCGATCACCATCTAGGAACCGCTGGCGTCATAAAAGCCTGGCACGAGGAGACGAGCAAAACAAATCCGTCGGCTAGATTACATGTTGCATCGCATCAGCATATGATTGACTGGCTGAGGGAGTACGCCGATGTTGAAGACTTTGGGTTCGATCGGCTCGCATACACTTCATTCCGCAACTGGGATCGCTCTGATCGCCTTAAAATCGCCGAACCGAAGATATTCAGCCGGGAAGAGACTGCTAGATGCGGCCTCGAGAGAATTGACGCTTGCTTCGTTCAACACTGCAATGGTGCAATGGCAACCGTGTTCACGTGGCCGTCTGGGCTGAAGATTGCGTACTCTGGTGATTGTCGACCCAGTGACGGGTTTGTCCAGATAGGCCAGGGTGCCACGGTCTTGATACACGAAAGTACGTTTGACGATGAGTTGAAGGGTGATGCAATTGCGAAGAAACACTCGACCATGTCTGAAGCCATTGGCATTGGACGGAGAATGGGGGCGAGGAACATCCTGCTCACGCATTTTTCGCAGCGGTATCAGCAAATTCCGATCATCGAGGAGGACACCGCCGACAAGGAGGAGGCCAAGAAGCAAGCGGTGACCCTTGTGGCGTTCGATTACATGCGTATTAAAATCGGAGAGTTCAGGAAAGCGCGAGCTTTCCTGCCGGCGATCCAGAAGCTGTTTGAGGATTCAAACACCGTGAACTGACTGGGTCCCACAAGGAAACTCGCTTCTTATCTAGACTACCATTACATGAGAATATAGGTCAGTAGATGTAGGCGCGATGCGGTTAGACGGAAGCCATACGCCACTCGGTACACCCAGTCTGATGACCTCAAGATAGCAAGCAATGCAGCTCAATTTTCCATGCACATGAAGCCATCCCTACACGTGCAACTTAACTATCGCAACAAAGCCTAAGCCCAAAGGGGGGCTGTGGTTATATAGAATTCAGCTATCATTACATGCCCTAGGCACGCTAGCTACATACACAATATAGCACTTAGGCCAACTACGTATAGATAGCCCTTCTGTAGAAGTTAGTCCTATTTTTGTTATTATCATTATTGTTACAAATGTAGCTATCTACCTATATTATCAATAACTGAAGAATTCGATCATTCCTGAATACTCTGCCTTCTCGGTGTTAGGAATCGCTACGGGTGTTGCATGCAAGGTTGGTGCTTGCGAGGCCCCAATTAAGCCAAAACTCTGTTGCACAGTATATATTCACGCTTTGGCTGTCGCGCAGCCCTCCATATATTGTTTAATCCTCCGCATTGTGCCGGCGGAGTATCCAACAATAACTGTATTGTTCACTATGAGTACAAGTATGTGTAAGGTGTGCAAATATGTATATAACTAGGGTGTATACGCTTGATTAATGTATAACTTAGTTACACGCAACATCAGCCTCCCCTGGGCCTAATAAGCCAAATGAGAATATCCGGCCAAACCAGCCAGGATACCAACTATTATATGCCTCCTCTATCCGTTTTTCTATCATTAGCCCAATGCCAAAAGTGCAAGCATATCAAATGCTGTTCCCCTATGTGTTGACCAACCCCTATTCGCACGACGAGTCAGCCGAGGTCATGGCCCGTGATATTGGGAAGACGCATTGAAGAAAGAGTGGGTAAATTTAGCCGTCTTCTATATGAAGAACTGACCAGGCACCCGAAGTCGCGAAAATTGGTCATCTCTACCCCTGACCAAAAAGAAAAGTCCGAAACTAACCACCAGCTCCACAACCTGAACGTCGACTCGAAGTCACAATGCGTTTTGAGAAGCAGTGGTTTCCGGAGAGACTTCAGTGTCCGGAGAGCTAGCGGCATCTTGAGAAGCAGTGGACTCTTGAGGACTAATGGCATCCTGAGAACCATCGATGTCGTGAGTACCGTTTGCCTCTGGCGAATTACTGAGATCAAGTGGATTTTCATCCAGATCATCCCCCAATCCGCCGTTCACAGGGGCGCCCTGTAGGATAATCTGATCCAGAGCCGCCTCATCCTCAAGCGTGATCTGCCTCGACGGATGATTCTCGTCCGACGACCAAGCCAAATAATGACTGCTGCCCAGCCTGCGAAACCCCATCTTCCTCAAAAACCGAAAATTGTGCTGTGTCCACATATTCCACAACGGCATTCTCTGCTCGTCCTCAGGCAGATCTCGCCCGTGTATACTCAACTCCCGCTTCAACATAGCCCCGCTGGCAATGGCAAAGAACTCCTTGGGCCCATCGATTTCATCGACCTGCGCCTGCGCCTTGGCGAGCAACTCCCTCATCAAGCTCTCCTTCAGATCTGCCGTGCGCTGGGGGACGCGAGGCAGGTGGTCCAGAATCCGTAGGTGGTCGATGACGAGGATAAACCGATCTCCAAACTTATCCCGCCAGACTGTCGTGGCGCCCATGCAAAACTCGTCCTTGAGGTCACCGTGGCGGTCGAAGAGCTCCAGAGCGACATCTTCGGTGCGTTGGTACGGCATGCGAGCCATGTCGTCCCAGAAGTCGATCCACGGGCTCGTGTTGTTGTACAGGTCACCGGCACCGTGGATCAACGTCGCGGCGCAGCTGCCCAGACGGTTCTGGTCGATGGCTGCTTGCGAGTACCGCTGTCCTGGGTTTTGAAACATGGCGTAGCCGGTTGTGTTCCACCAGGTGAGGGCACAGTCACGGTCTGGGCCGCCTTGGGTTTGGTTGAAGGGCCAGACGCCGACGCGGTACGTGACGTGGGCGTTTCTGGGCATGGTTGTTGGATGCTAGAGAGAGGGAACGGTCGCACAGCTGTAGTATGTATGACGGGTTGGAGGTTGAAGACAAGACAGTCGTGGGTATTTGAGCAAAGTCGTCAGGGATAGATCAGATGCAATAGGCTGGCGTTAGAGAGACTACCTCGAGATAGTCAAGGAATGATTTCCAGTCGGTCATGAGAAAGCATGGCGCACTCCAGCAGTTGTTGCTGGCATTGGTAAAGATTGCAGTCAGGATTGGGAAGCCGCACTGCACATAAATGTCCGGCTGTGGGAAGGTACGGAGACTTCGACCCAAAGGTTGTTGCTCCTTGTTTGGGTGTGCTTCCAGGCGAGCCACAACTTCATTAAGATGCTGAATTGCATACATGCTACATACAGCCCATTACTACAACAGGAGGGAACGATGAAAAAAAAACGCATGACAAAAACTTCGGTTTACATGGACAAATGAAAACTAATTTGTATGTATACCTCGACAACACTACTCATACATTTTGACGAAGCAAACATATTAGTTCTGCCTACCGTTAGTTTCACATCTATTTACTTTACCAAGAGACAATTTGCTATGTATGTATAACTCACCTTCTCGGCTCGACCGCTCCTTACCTCTTCCTTGAATAATGCCGCATAGTGTCGCCTAGCCGCGTAACAGTCTGACTCTCGCGCTTATCATTCACACGCTTAGCCCTGCTATTCCACAAAATATTAGATGCAGAGTCATCAGGACCTAAAGCAGACTCGCCGTCATCCTCCCGGATGCCGAGAGACTCCCTCCACTCCTGCTCCTGCGCTTCGAGAGTCTCCCGACTAAGCGGCATCCCCATCCTCGGCCCACCGGCTTGCGATGTGGTAGGTCCGTTGTCATACTCTTCGGCGCTAAAATTGGGGCCTGGGACAGGGCGAGCGGCGCTCCGTTTGTTCGCGTTGCGGTTCACTGCGTTTTTAACAAACGGGTTATCGGGCGTAACCTCTTTCTTGATGCCGTGCTTATGTGACCTCAGATATTTCTTGTTATTGATTGTTAGTTTGGTCTCCAGGTCCGAATCTTCGAATAGATATGTACGATTCAAGTTTCCCGGTTGGCTCCTTAGGGACGGAGGGGTCTTGTTGATGGTATGCGGAGGCCCGAGGAATTGCTGTGGCTGAGGTTCGCGCGCGGTTTGCGCGAAGAGGTTGTTGTATGTAGGGGATGAGATGGTAGACTGATCCGGGTTGCCGATGGGAGATATTTGGGGTTCGGGAGGGGGAGGAGGATAGCTCGGTACAGTGATGCCAGTGGGTATGGTCTCGCCATCCTCGCCATCGTCCCAGTATTCAGGGTCGGAGCAATCACTTTCATCTGCGGCCCGCTTGGGCTGCTTCTGGCGGTATTTGGCTGGGACCTGTGGCATGGGTGGTGTTTTGGTACTCGAACCAGCTGCGGGGATAGTACCAGCCGTATAAATGTTGCCAACGGCCCACTTGAAGTTGGTGTGCCAAGTAGTGTCTACATGGTCCTCCTCGAATTGCTCCATAACTTGCTGGACAGCACGATCCGACTTAGGCCATGCCGCCCTCGCGCCCATGTCCTGTTCTTCCTGCTTGAGATGCAAGGGCTGGACGGCGGCGGACGGGACCTGGTACAGAGTTGGCACATTGGGGTAGAACGCAGGGTGGATGCCGCCCCGTTGCCCCTGGGACATATTAACTCGCGACTGAGCCAGCGCAACCTGGCCACCCCAGTCGCTGATATCCTGTCGGTGTTGTTCTTCTTCGGGAAACTGCTCCTCCAACCACTGGTCTCCAGCGTAGTTCCTGAAGTAGGGATTATGGTCCTCTTTATTGTGAAAAGATATGTCGTACTCAAACTGGTCGGCCAATCCTTCACAAGGCTTTTGATCGGCAGACAAGCTCGGTTGTCCTCCCGATAAATCAGGGCTATCGTAACGCGATGGGCGCATTGGGCTCGGCACAGGTAACACAGGCGGTACTTGGTCTTCGTATTCCTCGGTGTCGGCAATGACGGTTTCGACTGGATAGATGCTACTCGTGTCGGCATCTTCGAGCAGTGAGGCCATAGCTCGCTGTGTAACGGTGTTATTCACAGACTGGCTCATGTAGGGAATATCGTCGGCATTGTGGCTTCTACGACCACTGGAACCTTTCAATCTCCTCGACCTGGCGTTTCCCTTTCCGTCCTTTTCCTGATCACACGACAGCTTGTGGCTTTTGAAGGGGCCCATCAACTCGCGAATGAGATCTTCACTCCATGAGCGGACCTCAGCAGCATCTCCTGGCTTCAAGTAATCAATCCATCCCTCCACGACACGCAACAACCTTGGCGAGGGCCGTCTCTTGGGTCTGTGACTGTCCTGCATTGGGTGCTCAAGAAAGCTAGTCCAGTAATTGCACACCTTCCGGCCCGCGAGACAAGCACGTAGGTCGGCCAGAGTCCGTCCATTGCCTCCTACCACCGCAAGAATGCAGGCCTCGCAACCGTTTTCCACTCGCACGAGACGGTCATCGCGTGGATTGGCCCCAAACACACCTGAAAAGGCGTCCGGTGGCATCCAGTAGGCATTGACGGAATCAAGCCTCGTGATGAAGGCCGCAAGCGAAGGGCTTTTCCTGGGCCAGGAACGCAAATCATCAGTGCGTAGCGTCACCTCGGCGACAACCAGGGCGAGTATCCTGCGTATCAGGAAGGGGCTAAGCGTCTTGTGGCTCTGACACAATACCGCAGCTGGTGGTTTCGGTATCCCTCTGACATACTTGTCAATGCGCATCGATAGACGCTCCTTCATATCCGGCGCCAAGACAGCCTGGGGCAGACACTCCCGAATCTTCTTCTCCTGCCGCTCAAACCATTTTGCCGATGGGTGAGCGATACCATAATTGGGTCGTCGATTAAGCACGCTCGTCAATTTTTGAATGTCTGAACTTGATAACTTCTCAACAATGTCGGGCCTTCCCTTCACCTTCCTGGCATCCATGGTTGGCTGATTTTTCGTGAATCCTATTTTGAAGTTCCAGTCATCGCAGTAGTTAGTACTCGTCGACCTCAGGATCATCACTTGGACGTAACTGTTCCTGACAATGTTTGGTAGTCAGTTGTATTCGAGTTCAACAGGTTACGTAGGAGTTGGAGATATGCTTGACTAAGACAGCTTGGCGCATACGGGAGGGCCGCAATATGTAGTTCTTGGTGTTCGACTCTTGCCCATGAAGGCATCTGTGAGAGACAAAATGACCTTCATTGACGTCCTGGAACATAACAAAGCCATCCTTGCTTGTCATCATTTGATAGCTCGTTTAAATTAGACATGGGCATTGCCCACGTTGCCGCCAGAACCAGCCAGCCCTTGATTCGTGGTATCTAGTCAAAGACTTATGACGTAGATCGAAACTCCTTCAAACCAGATAGACGAATTTGGATCCAGATCGAAGGAATCGGATCTTTCCGGAAAGGAACCAACGTGCTTCAGGTTAGTATCCGTAGTGTGTGAAGCGCAACATACTGAGACAGCGACGAGCGCGATCACACCATGATATCGGGTCATCCAGTGTTCGATTAGATCGGAGATTCCACCCAATGCAACCCTATATACTCGGACAACGTTGCGAATAATCTCATTTGTCACCGTGGAGAACATGAGAACATTTTCTCTATGTAAGGGTATGCCCTGCCAAAAAGAAAAAAAACGACCCCCCTCCAAAAATGCATAACCACAAGCCCCTATGGTGTGTCCGTCTAACGCCGCCAAGCCCCGTTGCCCCTTCAAGCGGGCGGTAATCATTGGGCCTCGCTAATTAGTTCGAGCATGTGCATCGTAAAACTCGCTGTCCAGTGCAATGTACAGGCTCTCAGTTTGGCATCATGCCTAAAGATAGTAGGTCGATATCTCTCAAAGGCGTCCCCCCTAGGAAGCACCCAAAGGTGGAAGTCGGCCGTTGGTGTAGTCGGGTTCGCTTCTCATACGATCCATTCGTATCTTGGCGGCTTCGGTGCCGTCATCGGGTACAGCAGGCTCTCGGAACCAAGGATGTTCCAAAGCCTGTCGGGCTGTGATCCTTTTTGCTGGGTCGTATACAAATATCTTTTCCAGAAGATCTAGGAAGAGTCTCAAAAATGGACTGGGCGTTGGGATGATTTCCTAGCCACGGGTCAGTAATCGCGCTTCTGGAGTGGAACCAAGATTCTGGACTAACCGGTAAGCGTTTCATGTTCTTGACGAATCGCCTCGAGGCACGGGTAGTGTCTGCGGTAGGGTAATCAAGCTTATACCGCTTGAAGTATCTGGGGGATGATTAGTGAAACGTCTTTCGTACAATATAATTTACTAAGCTTACTTGGAAGCAGGGTTGCCACCAGAGCCACCACCCCTTGTAGCCATCTTGGACACTTGCTGGATCAGATGGTTGTCAATCTTTCGATCACAGGCATTCTCCATCATGGCCAGGTGTTCAAGGTTATCGTGCGTCTGGAAGAGGGCGTCCCCAGTGAAGAATTCGACAAGAATGCAGCCGATGCTCCAAATATCGCATGGGAAAGACCATCCGAGGCCAAGTATGATCTCCGGAGCGCGGTAATGGCGCGTTGAAACAACCGAGGAGTGGTATTCATCTTGGAACGTGGCGGACCCGAAGTCAATGAGACGTATCTCCGTGTCGAGAAGCACCTTCCGCTGCGTGGCTTGCCTGCTAACACCAGCAGACGACGAAGGTATTCGACGGTTGTATGTGAAAGTCTGATAGGAGCTATCGCATAGCAAAATGTTTTCCGGCTTCAAATCTGTGTGAATAAGATTGAGGTCATGCAAAACTATGACGTGTTAATACATGATGTATACAGTAGCGACAGGATTACTTACAGGCAACACTGGTTAAGAGCTGGCGTGCAAAGCTTTGTATCTGACTGTTAGGGAAGGGAACAAAGTTATTGCTTTTAAGAAAGTCAAACACGCTGGAGCCGAGGAGATCCATGACGATGCAGATGTGGCCCCGGTAGTCGAAGCAATCCCGAAGATGGATGCAGCGATTGCGATTCTCCTCATCGTTGGCCTTCAAGGTCTGCAACACCCGTAGTTCGATCCTCGAAGCATCTCGATACTTCTGAACCGATCGGATGATCTTGATAGCAACCAACTTGTTTCGTTTCTTGTCTCGTGCCTGGACCACTTTGCCAAAGGTACCCTGGCCCAGCATTTTGATCATTTGGTCTAGGAAACCGTCAGTCTTTGTTTGCATCACAGGAATAGTGTTGAACCAACATTGGGGCGTGAGGTCAGCATCCGGTACGACAATGTAGTGGCCGTCATCGTCATCGACTTTGTGTGGGTTTTGGTACCGCTGGAGACTAGTTAACGGAAAATAACCCGACGAAGTGGACTTTGGGATTCACTCACGTCATTGACAACTCTGACGGTGACCTCGCCCGACTTTTTGACGGGCTTTTGTGGCGGTCTGTAGCTGATGTAGGCGTCTCCAAGAACCTCGACCTCCCTGCGCTTCGCCTCCTGAGCAAGCTGCTGTCGAGTTCGTTTGCGCTTTTGACCAGTCTGCTGTACCTCGTAATCGTATTGACTATTCGAGGACAACGAAGCAAGAGAGGTGGGAGCAGTGGTGTTGTGTGCCGACGTAGTTCGGTCGGTCGAGGTTGAGCCACTGTTAGGTGTAGCGATGTGTGAGACATTGCTGTTTTGATAACCATCATCCTTTCTTCTCTTCTTTGTGACATGGCCATTCAGTGTGGAGCCATTGATGCTGGTGCCGTTGATGCTGGTACCGTTGATGCTAGTACCGTTCGTACCATTCGTGTAGGTCGTTCTCACTGATTTAGCATCGTCATCGGGCTCGGGGGTATCGTCGATGACAATGATCTCCTTGGGTAGGCCATTCTTGTAGAAGGTGTTCCAGTCGGGCTCCTTTGACCGTCTGCGTTTCCTCGGTTGTACTTCTGTGGGGTTTGATGAAGGCATATTGGCGTGGCTGTTATTGTAATTTGCGTCGGACCGGGGAGTCGAAGCCGAGTTGGTCGTTCTCGTATAGTCTTGGGCCTGTCTTGCTGTGGTCACAGCAGTCGATGCTCCATTTGTCGGGTTAGAATTTCCAGCATATGTTGCTGAAGTAGTAGAGGTGTATGAGGTGGACGCAGGAGCGTGTCGGCCAGAGTTGGGCGCGGCAACGGTTGTCGAAGTCGAGGTGGGGAGAATAGGGTTTGCTGGGGCCGCTCGGTACGAGGCACCGTTGCTCTGAAGATGTGGGTACGGCGGGTAGTGGTGATGGGAATGATGATGACGGTAATGAGGAGGGAGTGTAGCCGTGGCAGTAGTCGGCGTGGACATTGTTGTAGGATCGTATCAATCCGTGGGTCCCAGACTTCTCGCTGGGGGGGAGGGGTGGGATTGATTCAATTACTGTAAAATCTGGGGACGTTTCGACAGCCCGGTCTACCCAGTCTCTTGCCGCTTTCTCCGTGGCAGTTCTGGCAAGTGGCTCAGTAGATTGGGGGAAAGCCAAATACGTCGACAGGTGCTGGCGGTTGGCGCGGTGTTAGTGGACTTTAGGTGCTGCGCGATACCAGGTAGCCCCTACCGACTTAGTGCCAGTGTGCTGGTGTAGGCCCTCAAAGTCCGACACAAACGCTGATGAAGCTTGTGGTAGGGGAGAAAACTCGAACAGTTGCGAGTGTTGAAGTTGTATACCTAGTAGCTTGCCAGACCGCACTTGTCAATACTATTCGGGGTTTATCGTATCGAATTCGTAGTCGAGAGAACGGTGGCGAAATGGTACTTCGGAATTGTGATCCAGACCCAAGCTGAATATCGAACGAACCCTGGAACCAGGTCGGAGGGCAGGCGCTACTCGGGGGGTTTGCTCGACTTCTGGGCCTTGAATTTGGGAAGGACTCCAGGGCAGGTGTAATTTGTTGGATCATGTATTGAACGGGTGTGAAATCAATCCAGCATGAGTGTGCTCGGGGCCTTGGGAAACCGTGGTTTGTGCGATTTGATCGTTCGGCAGCCGATTGATGTGGTTGAATGGAGGGCAAATGTAAATGCCTACAGGAAGAGGCACTTTACAGATGCATTCCGTGCCAATACGTCAGGTCAATTCAAACCGGCGAGGTCTTGGCCGGAGAAGTTCAACAAAAACAAGGAGCAGAACAGCATATGCTACGCGAGAAAAGACTGCTACTCTTCTCACTACTCGTTGTTGGTCTTCAAAAGTGAAATTAGTCAGTCAAGACTGGAAAGTAAGAATCGGAGACACACGCAATCAACACAACGCAGGATGAGGTGGTGCTGTGTCGCAGGGACCTAGCGTGGTCGGCTAAGGTTGGATGTGTGCCTCCACAGTGTGGAAACCACATCTTATTATCCTCTCTTATTTTAGTTCCCTACTCCGTCCAAATTTCCATTACAGGACCTCGCCTCCAGACAATGGGTCAGTCAGGTGTGGGAAAACCCAAACATCAATGGTGACGAACTGTTAGTGAGATACGCACGGTACCCAGATACCCTGTGGACTTCGCCTTAAGGGAGCAGAGAACCCCGCTCTGTGAGTTGGGCCAGCAACAAGCGGCCTTGACAACAGGCAGTGCCTTGTCTCCTCATCCTGCAACAGAGCACAATGTTTGGGGTGCCAGTTCAAAATGGGTGAATGCACGCATGCTGTTACGGGTGCCACGGTGATGTTAGCTAACGACTGAGCACAGATTTCGATTTTGAAGTTCCAATTTCATCCCATTTCGCCAGTGTATGTATAGTGTGTTTGTCCCAAAATGGCATCATACGCACGATAAAAAGTCAATGTTGACTATTGCCAATATTCTCTGGGCATCTTTGGTAGAAGATAATAATCATGGCAACGGATCCGTATCATCCTCTTCCACACCACGATCGTTCTTTGCAGTACTCGCCGCCACTTGATACCTCACCCAACCTTGGGGACAATTAGGTTGCACAGTACTCTGTACAATGCCCGGATCCCTCCTTGAGCCAATTCGATGTTACTTCCGATTTCCAAATGATTTATAGTGACAGGCATTCAAACAATTTTTTGTTATTTTTTTTTTTTTTGAAATTCCCGTTTATTAAATCAGATAATTTCAGCAGGGGCTCTTGCTTATCAAGGGCATTGAGCATTCACATTGAACAGAGCTCGGCGAATTCCCGGAAGCAAAACTGCTCGATGACCCTGGAGATCTCGAGCGACTTGAGCGAGTCCCGAGAGTCTTGTCATTACCGGATCCTCCGAATTCGAATCCAGACGGTTGGTTTTCATCTTCTAACCAACTGCCACCATTTATCGCCCGTGAACATTGGCTGGTTACTCACATGAGTCATATTGCAATGGTCCATTTCCAGAAGCCGCCGCGGCGTTAACTTTCGGTACCCCTGCTACACGTCATTCGTCGCCTCGCACACACTTCACAAAATCGACAAGAAATGCTGTCCCCCCGCTCACTCTTAAAGGGTGACTGACTGATGTCGTGGTTGGTCAGTCAGGAGACCCTACAGTGTCAAATGCCACGGCGGCCATTCAGGGCCTCGAAGTCATCCCATCCCCTCCTCTGTTGAGCGCAAAGCACAGTGGCTATCAACCGCTTATGCATGCTTGCAGTAGCCCTACAGCTCCATGTTCTGGATAGCACGGTGGGAGGCTCCAATCTTTCTCATAATGGTTCACTAGTCGACTCATGATGTTTTTGTCCGACTTTGTCGACTTGGCCTTTCACCAGCATGTACTCTAGTCACAGGAGAGACGACGTCTAGGGAAGCGCGATACCGATAATTTCGCGGGTATGCTTAATCTTGACTCTTGTGAAGTTTTCAGTGGTCCAGATGGCCTGGCACAACTTGCACTTACTCGGGTACTTTATTATATATATGTAGGCTCACCTTCACCCGACAGTCATATTTCCCCTCCCCGGATTATCCATTCGACGTAACCGATCGTACGGGCATTATTCTATTGGTCATGTTGGTTTGACACGTTGTTCTTACTAACAGTACGCTTTCTTCGAAGGTTTCAAGTCGTTTCCGTCAGGTTGAAAAGCGCCAGGATAGCCAGGATATCTCGTCGAAGTTAAAAAGCATGGCGGCCAGCCAGTTGGCCAAGGCCTGCACGGCCTGTCAGCCTTGGGCCCTTACTTCTTAACTTCTTGAGGGACCCTTGGAGATCCCACGCAACCCCATGAGGATCCGATGATCTGACATACACAATTAGACAGCATATCGCGGTCTTCGGGCATCGCACCACTACTGAACCGATGGGCACGTCAAAAGCGTAATTACCGATTTACACTTAATCACATTGCTGTCTGCCTGCCCTGCCTATAAGGCTCGTTCTTTCTGTCTACTCTCATTAAGGCTTCTCATTCCGCCTCCCGCCAATTGATGAAGCGGACGGTGGATTCGAGGGTGGCGAGTCTCACATATTGGTTGTTCTTGGGACTGCACGGGATCAATGGGTCCATCCCGTGTCCCCACTGCCATGATGAAATCATCGGTTAATCTGCTGGCCCTTGGGGTACTCCTATTCGCAGTTATATTGACAACTGCATGCCTTGTTCGCCTTGTTGCACGCCACCTGGCCCCAACGCGGACCCCATACGCGATTCACGTCTGCAAATACACATTACGCATTACTAACGGGGCGTGAGGCAATCTGACTTCATACATAGGCCAGAGATATCCGGCCTCGAGGCAAACTAGCTTAATCGCCGGAGACCCGTTCCTCCACATTCCGAAATATCCAATTGGTGACTACCCTCAGCTGCTCTACAAGGTTTGGTAATCGCACGGGACCAATACCGAACTCTTGGCCTGCCAGCTGCCAGCCCCACAGGTTCTGGATACTAACCGGGGACGTTTCCATTGCCCATCAGACCATCACTACTCAGACTCTCTCTGTGTGTGTGTGTGTGTGTGTGCGTGTCTCTCTCTCTCTCCATCTCTCGGCTCGGGGGCAGATTTGGGTGGGTGCGTGTTATTACAATCGATAAGTCGAACAAGCTATGCCTTTCCAGTCAGCCTCAATCCAACCCACCTAGACCATAGCTTGGAACCCTCCTGCTCGAACTGCCAAATTCGGCTCAGCATGACAGTTTCAGATGCTGGCAATGTTTTTCTGCCCCAACCAGTTCACACAGTACCGTACGTACCTTCGTCATATTCTAACAAACTTTGGGGGGTTGCAATGCTTAACCACGGCGAATGCAATCTAGGCTCGTCTCCGCGAGTCGTATTCTGGGTGGATTCAAGATCAATGACAAACAGGGTCGTCATTTCTGACGTCCATCCTCACGTCCCTCATTCATCTGATGTTTCGTTCTATTTGGCACCACCCAGCTCGTTGGAATAAGACCAATTCGCAGCAAACTACGGTCGAAGCCGCTGCGCTCAAGCGCTGCCTCTTCTAAAATTTGCCCTGTGCATCCCAAAACAGCCGTGAAGCGTCCGTCGTAACGTCTTAAGACAAGATACCCAGAAGAGATAAAATAACGAACAAGTCTTGGCTCCGCAGTCCTGTCAATCTCTCCATTTGGCTACGGGAGGCGATGCTGACATGAACCAAATCGGAAGTACGTCTGGCTGCTTGGAAACGGACAATCTTCCGAATTGCTATTTGGATGATTCATGCTTGTAGGACGCCATAAGATCAAATATCTATTGCACTTTTCTTGCATCTGCACCTCAAACGCCCAGCAAGCCAAGCCATGCACGTTAATCAAGCCGGAAACAAGGCTTCAAACTCGAACCCTGTTCAGCCAGCAAGCAAACCAGCGAGCAATCTTCTAGCCCAACGCCCGGTTATGCATGTGCAAGATGACTGCTCTCTAGATACCGCGATTGAAAACTACCATGCCGTTTTCGCCCCCCTTGTCGTGAAACTCCTCCTCCAGCGTATCGGCGCTAATACGCTGCCTTGTCGGGAACGCCGCCAGCGCAAGCGGCAACGCGATGTAGCTCATGGCGAGAATCAAACCCAAATTGACGGGAGTGGTATACCTTGGGTTGTTTTTGAGCCACTTAGTGCGCTGCAGACGGACGAGAACTAAGGGCGGGACGACCATGATGGGACTGCTGTTCAACACGCGACTGAGGGCCGTCTCGCTGACCGCCAGCGTGGCCGCCTTCTTGCTCTTGCCCAGGCTCGGCACGTCATTTTCGGCTTTGCCCTCGCTCGCCAGCCGGACCTTGTCCTTCTCCGAGAGTACGGGGAAGACGTCGATGCCGGTGCGCATCTCCTCTCCTCGCATGAGGAATACGTTGAGCGCGCCGGCGGACGCGACGGCAGCGAAGGGGACTAGGCGGCCCAGGATGGTTCGGGTAGCGGGGGAAATGCGCTTGAGGCGGGGCACGAGCGAGTTGAGGCCTACGGCGACAGAACATGAGGCGCCCACAGCGAGGAAGTAGGATTGCGCGATCTTGCTGTATGATAAGGGAGTGGACTTGTTGGCGTTCGCGTTGTTGATGGCCACGTTGAGGGATTGATTGGCGACTTGCCAGGCGATGGTACCGGTTGTCTACCAGAAAACCCGACTGTCAGTTTGCGCACATGGAGGAAGAGGTTATCAACGCTCTTAGCGTAGCTTACCTGGAGCCCTGGCGTGAGCATGCCAGCCGTCACTATCAAATTGGACAAGACGAAGCAGGACATCCGGAAGGGCAAGAGGACCGGCTCCCCCGTATCTGCCAGACAGCTTCCATTAGTTTTCCACGGTGATGGGTCTTTCTGCGGCTCCAGGTCGCATACCTGGATGCAGTGTAGAGTCCACAATCTTCTTCGCCCTCCATAGCTCCGGTGTCATCTCGTGAACCTGGCCTTGTTTGTACGCAATCAGTCGACTCTTCGCTTCCTCGAGGCCATGTTTCCCCGTGAAAAGTGTTCTGTAGTCACGCCAATTAGCCCAGCTTCTTCCTTGGTTGCGACGCTCGTGGGAGCATTCTCCACTTCTAATCGACTGCAATCATGTCAACGGGCGCAGTGGCTACTCACCTGGGATCAGTGATGCCCGCCGTTTGCCTCACGCGGCCCCAGTACGTGTTGAGATCATACTGCGACTCAGGCAGCTCGCGATTGCCCGGTAGCGAAGCCGACATGTTGGGATGTTCGTGATGGCCTGTCCCCTTTCGCGGTCGCCTCTCAACCTGCCTCCCAAACGAGAATGGGAGAAGAAAGAATGGAATGCCTCCACGACCAGCTCAAAACGACTCGCAAAGCTCTCATCCACTAGAAACCGTTGCTACAAGTTTGACACACTTCCCCAGTGCCTATTGGTTGTCGACGGTGAAGATGAGTGGATTGCGATGTCGGATCGTTGTTGACCCCACCATCTGCCCGCTGTGCAAGGTACCCATGACGGTATTAACCATCCAGTATCCCAAAACCGCACAACTTCAACGAATCTCTATCAAGCTGATTTTAGATCGTAAATCCGCGGGCACATGACCAGTTCCCCGCCTTCCTTGAGTGTGTGAAAAGATCAACAACCCAATTTAATTATGAAAGAATCAACATGAATTAAATCCTGTGCATGCTCCCCAGGGCTATGGGGCTCAAAAAAAATGACCGACCCAGCAAGGACTCGAACCCTGAATCTTTACAGGCCTAGAACAGAACCGAAATGTAACGCGATGCCATTTCGCCACTAGGTCGTCGAATTCCACTTGAGTAACTCAAGTTGGATGGAGAATTGTTGAGATAATCTATGTTATCTAAGAAACCTCTGCAAGTCGTGGCCCTCCTTACTCATGTCTCTCCTAGCTTCTGCAGAAGCCCAAGGCTGCTCCAAAAAGCACACAGTGGATACCGTTCGCCGTTTCTGACTTCTGATACGACTAGGTACACTGGGGAGAAAGTCTCATTCGGGAGGGCCGATTCCCCAAGCTGCTCACGATGCCTTGCCTGAGTATTTAGAGCCGTCGGCTGGTGTAGTTGGTCACTTCGCTGGTAGATAAGTCCCGATTTGAGCCTCGCCCACTTGGGTCGGTGACGAGTCGCGGGTTCGAATCCCGCAGCTGACACACAAGGGGGTTTAGTCAACCCTTACGGCGCGCTGCCCACCTTGTTGACTTCGCCTACCTAGCGATAATAGGGAGATTGGTGCAGTTTAGGATTACGAGCATCCTAGCCAGTCGACCGTCAAGCACTACGTCGGCGGAATATAACTCGACAGCCGGTCCAGAATTCGAATCGTTAATCCGACCCCTTATCGGACCCCCTCTCGCCGCGATTCTTGCGAGCGTCTAGACCACGTTACGGTCTATCCACTTGAGCGTATGGTTGAGATGTATACGCTCGACGAGAACCCCAATTAGCAGATACTACGACTTGTCGCGACAAAAAATAGTCGAGCATCTTCTGCACATCAGCAGCATCCCACCCCTGAGGACGAATTTAAGTGCCACATTACCACACTTATCGGTAGTTCAGGCAGGGGTTGTAGCACAGACTTAGGGAGGGACAGGAGGTTTAGTAGTCGTTTGGCTACAAGTTTACCTGTATAACCGCCCGACGCGGCTTAAGGGCCCGCTATATCATCTATAGCCCCTTAAGGGAGTACTTGTAGAGGTACCGAGGGTTAACACCTACGGCGTATTTAATATTATTATTTAGAGCCGATATGTACGCCGGCTGTTGGCAGCTTCAAGCATCTGATTCGCGGGCCGGCCATTGCGAGAGGAGCCAGACTTGTTGTAAAACACTGTTGTGCTTCTCTGGATTGTATGTCGTAACGTCGTTAACGAGGGACGGCTGCTTTTCAGTTGCTGCTACAACTACTTGAAATAGTGTCGATAGTGGAAAATTTACACAGTATGACAAGTACGTTCGACATCCGGTTGTGTTTTGTATGTATACCAGAGTAAAAGATCAAGAGCTGTCATTCCGTTGCCCTTGACTCTTACATGAAGGAAGCTGGTGCCAGTGTACGCTGGTCGAAATAGATATGCTGATGAAATGAGGCGTCACATATGAGAGGTGTGAAATTGCAAGTCCACAATAGCTGCCATGTTTTAATTTGAAGCGGACAGCTGTCCCAGGGCTCGTTGCCAACCTCGGCGTATTCCTATAAGTAGCACAGACTCATACTAACCACGCCGACTTCTGAGATCTCCAACTAGCATAAGCGAGGAGGCTAGGCACTACACAGACGTCCCACCAGCTTGGTTTCTTCGTCCTTGGAGTTTGCATTGCTGCAGCAGTAAGATGATACATAGGGCGGGTAACCAGCATTAGGACTAACTGATCGTGCCGAATCCATGGTGATACTCCCTGCCTATAGTAAGAAACAAGTAAACTGCGTTTTAGAAAGCCAGAATTTCGGTTGGAGCACAGCTTCATTGCGCCTAAAGGTATTGTTTGACTTGTACAATACCGAACTGTGTAATTAATTGCGAACGGATGACTCACGACAAATGGACAGTGGGAAATATTTCATGATGGATATTTTTCCCAGTGGACTATTGTTCGTTACTTGGAGCTGACCAAATACGCTTTCCCCCTTTATTTTGCAGTAGTAAAAAGGGTGGGGATACCCTCAACTGCTTTCCAAGAATGACGAAGAAATCAGCTGTAATTCCTTTATATGGTTCAATAAAGCTGAGAGTCAGTAGCTGTACAATAGGATTTACTTTTTTTTGAGCAGATAATTCCCTTAATCCTATCATCCAAAATGTCATATTTATAAGCCGACCCCCGAGGAGTGTTTTCACACCTGTTCTCTCGCTAACAGGTCAAGTTGCAACGACGAGATGTTCTCGGTATGTTGGGTAAATTATGGTTTTCCTACCGCTGCCCCGCCTATTTATCGCAGGCGTACAGTAAAACCATTTGTGCTGAACTAAGAGAATTGTTAAAGTGTGAAAGGCCGCCTAACATGCCGCTTTGTATGAAACGTAGGATTTTCGAATGTTTCTCGCAACAAATACTAATTAGGGATTGTCCATTTTCCTGATAACTCACGTTTTTAGATATTACGAGGCTCAAGGCCTCTTTCTCAATTTGGATACTTTTCAAAAATTGGAAGATTTGACTTTGCTAGAGGCTACCAATCAAATGAGCGCCGACCGCAACCATACCCACGCTATTGTACAAAGAATGAGAAGCAAGATAGACACCACATGGGAGTTGAGAACATACACAGTGTGACCAAACCGGAGCCATCGTTTCATACGAGATTGCTAAAACAGGGTGTCTTGGTAGAGATCGGCCCCAGGTTCTGTTATTGCCACTCAGTCACAGTAGAATGTGCGAGAAGTGCTTAAGCATGCATGCAGTTTATTCTATGCGGACCGAAGCTGTATTACCAGAGCGAAGTCGGTACATACAGTTACCCGAGTTTCAGCGTCTGCGGGTTCACTTCTCTGCATTGTGATTGTGCAGACTTCAAGGAGCATATCAAGCGTCCTCTCGCCGAATACTTGATAGTGTGATCGACCACTTCATACAATGAGTAAGCTAGTAAGCGAATCTCATCCCGAAGTCAGACAAAAGGCAGAGCAGCAAGCAAGTTTGGTTGTGAACCTCTCTATTCACACAAAAGGTGTGTATGAACACAGAATATGTCTATATGTACATTGAAACGGATCTCTCCTCGCTATGCAAGTCTTGCTTGAAAGCAGGTCCAAAAGGTGGTGTATAGAAATTATCTCTCAACTCATCTTTCCACACTCCCATCTACATCAGAAGCAATTGGCTATAATGCGAAAGCGCTTAGAACTTGCGGTTGGCGTTGCGGCGCTTGGAGCATCCCTTGGTAGGGGTGGCAGCAGCAGCAGTAGTGGAAACAACCTCAGCGGGAGAAGAGGCGACAGCAGTGGAGGAAGCCTTGACCGAGGTGGCGAGGGTGGTAGGGGCGGCAATGGTGGTAGGGGCAGCGGTGGTCTCGACAGCGGCAGTCGAGGTACTAGCAGCCGTGGAAGTAACAGCGATGGTGCTAGCCGCGCCACCGGAGGAGCCAGCGGCGTCCCAGACAGCGGGACCGGGAATCTCGTAGCTGGTGAAAGACCCTTTTTCCGAGTTAGTGTTTGACTTCATCTCACAAGATGGTTTATATACGAAAGGGGACATACCGTAGAGGTTGAAGACGACGCCAGGGTCGGCCTCGGTGTAGCCGGTATTGAAGTTGAAGTTCTCATCGGGAGCGGCGGAGCCGGAACCGGTGATGTCGAACTGCAAGCATGAGGGGTAGAACTGGGCACCACGGGCCGAGTTCTCGGCGTAGGAAGCGTCGGCTTCGTGGAGGCCAATGATCTCCTGGCGGATCAGGTACTTGCCGGCGGCAAGAGTGGAGGGGATGGTGAACTCCTTTTGGCCAGCGTTGGCAATCAGGTTGTCGACGGCCCAGCTGCCGGTGGTGCTGTCGTAACCCTCTTCGTCGATCTTCGACCAGATGGCGCTGGCACCATTGTCCTCGGTGTAGGGGGCGATGTAGGTGATGATGGGACCCTTGTGGGAAGAGGCGATGATGTCGTCATTGCGAGAATCGTGGTACCACTCAAAGGCGACCTTGTCACCGGCGGCAGCTGAGACGAAGCTGGAGACAGGGGTGCCTCCGTTCACATTGCACACAAGGTCTGTCGATGTCAAATCCTTCACAGGGTCGTTCGTGGGAGGAGATCTAATGTAGCCGGTCGAATCGCGGCCGTCTCCTTGGTCAACGCCGTTGACCCAGGCGCTGTAGACGCGGGTGTGGGCGGCGACACTGCTGGCAAGAACCAGGGCGGCGGCGGCGGTGTAATGCATCCTGGTAGAGAGAGAAAATGTTGATTGTTGGAGAAGAGCAAGAATAGCTTGTATTGCAAGTGAACGTATGTGAGTCAGAGAATGTCAGAAAAGAACGACTGGCACCGCCAACGTAAACGAGAGTAATGCTTTGGAAAGGAAGGAGTCTGTTCAAGCACAAGTCACAAGGATAGCCAGAAGGGGAGACGGGAGACAGATGGTGCAGCCAACCTGCTTATATGACTACTCACGATAGGGGGATCCTGCAAGTCGTAGCCTTGCCGGTCATTCCAATTACACTCAGGAGAAATGCAGCAGCGCAGGGCCATGAGGCTCAAGCCACCTTGACCACCCATCATCTCCAGATAATATCCAACCTGCAGCAGAAACGACACTGGTCGTTGAGAATAGATAGCGCCAAGACGCCTACCGCCGCTCCAGCGACTGTCCTCCATGGTTCAGACATGCTGGCAGACAAGGAAAACTGCAGAGAGGGAGAACGGACCCAGGATGTCTGCCATGGGGGCCTGTATCGCCTGACGCCGCAGGGCATGAGGTGTTGGTGAGACTGCAGGCATGTTCGGCCACTAATCCTGATGGAATACTGAAAGCCGGGCTGAGGCATTGCGAAGTTGATGGTTGCGAATGGAAAACTCTGGAAAATTCGCGGAAGACAAGCCTCCAGTCTGCTGATTCAATATCTGTGTTGTTCAAGACCTCGATACGTTGATGTCGTGGTACAAATATAAGTCCCTCTGATAGTCGCCTAGCACTTAGGCCTGCAGGCGCCTCACTGGGAAGGAATGCGGCGCAAGTCTCACCTATGCCCATTGGCTCCCCAAAGCTTGTTGTTTGGCCCCCGAGTGGAGCTGCTGTTGCATATCGAGGGAGGAACCCGCCAAGCAGCCCAGCAGCGGGGATCTAGCCGAAATTACCGAGACTATTTCAACGACGCACATTCGGCCAACGGCAGCCTGGGCCTGGCTCTGGCGTGACGTTCTGGCTGCGTGGTCCAGCGTTGGAGACGAGATTTTCACTGACCCTGTCGTCGTCTGCGCATTACTTCGATTTCGGCCACCTTCTCAATCTCAGCCATCATGGCGTGCTGTGTGTTTCATCCACTTTTTGGGCTACAAGCCCCCAAGCTTCCATCACCAATTCTGTCCACACGTCCTGTCTCTCAGGTGCATCAAGCTTACAATTTACCGCTGAAATGGGCTGTTTCAGGTGCCGATGAATCTTCTGCATGTTCAGTGATGTTGACGTGGGAAGGTTCTGGTTAGGAGTCCTGGATGTTGGCTGGAGTGCCCGCTAGAAGAATCCTCGTGTTTCCAACCGACGGGCTGGAATCCACGTCAGCGGGAATTGGGGCGGGTTCGCTAGGAGCCATCATCGTGGGCAGGGAGTCTTCTCTAAACGAGCTAGCCCCGTGTCGCTCCTCACGTCTTCACAAACTGTCCCAAGAGATTTCCTTCTCCTGAGCGGCTCCATGTTTCGGAAGATGCAGACATCGTCTTTGAGTTATCCCAAGGCTATCTAGCTGCCCTGATCCACCATACCACATCATACCATCTCTAGACCCAATGACGTCATGTACTCATCGAAACCAGCTTACGTACTCGCTTGCATTGTATACCCGAGACGTCGAAAGAAGGACATTCTCCATGGCCAGCAACCGCAAGGCGATGCTCCATGGGCTCAAAGTTGGATCAGCATGGGTAAGACGGCGTTGATATGCATACGTGCAGTAAACGGCTAGTTTCTATAGAATCGGCATTGTCTCTGCGCTCGTAGAAGTTGGAGTGCATGGTTCGCCATGTTTGCTTATGGGCTTAGTCCATTTGTCCCCGACGGCGCTATCGTCATGACATTGTCGGCTTCACTTGTTGGAGGCCGATAACTCTCAGGGAGCCAGGAGGTTCAGTCCCCTTGCAATCTGGCTCCTCAACCTCGATGTTGTTCATCTCTCCACAATCTTCCTTGTTGCCGATCTGGAGATCCTAACGCACCTCGTACTGACTATGTTTGGCTATGGTGACGCCGAAACACGTTGTCGATGCATTGCTCCATTTTGAGTTCTGCGAGGCGTCGTTGCTACGCTTCTCGGGTGCACCGTAACCAAGATCTCGCCTTATTTAACACGTGAACATCCCATTGGTCGGACAGCACGAGAAAGATAGCCACATAGAACTACGGATTAGAGCGAGCTGCTCGGAGGGACAAATCTCGCAAGTGCCAGCGACTTACTGCCATCTTGGGTTTCGCTTGCCTACAATTCTCACTCATCAGTTCGCCAATCCCACTGTTGCTCCTTTCTGGATATTGAATGGGCCGCAATGAGAATCATTTTCCCCTGGCAGCTAAAAGGTTTCGAACAGAATTGATATGTACTTTAGCCACGGCAAAGCGTCCCAAACTACGTTATGAGTAAACACAATGACCTGAGCACCCGTACACAGCTGGAGTGTCAGGGGCAGGATGAACCATCATCTTGTTCCTATTTCCAACCCGGTCGTCACTACACCCCATTTGGCACCGGCACCCGGCTTAGACCTCTTAGGCATAGTCCAAACTGGTCGCCGCGAAAACTAGCGGCACCTGCAATTTGCTTCTCAGGTCTGCTGGACTGTATACGATAGTCTTCGACTAACACGTGCGGATCAAAGGCAACACAACGATGCCGTTTCGGCTGTGTCGCATACGGACTGAGGCGGGCTCGTCGCGTTCCAATGGTTTTATCGCCCCCGTGCCCAGTAAATGCGCGAACTACGATCCCACTTCTGCTAGCGCCAGATCCGACTCTGTAGGCTTGGATCGAACGAAAGAGACAGACTGGACCAGGCACAGCGAACATAAACTGTGTAGTAATCCGGGACCAGATTTCTCGAAAGCTTCTCGTTGGGTACGATGGGTGAAAACATTGTCTGTTGACGTCTTTACTTTGTTCAGTCCCATTCACCTGCGAGGAGTGTCAGGGTAGTCAGTCTACTTTGGCTCGTTGTCAAGAGTCGAACGGGGCCAAATAAGAGAAAAAGAAAGAAAGTACGCAATGGCAGTCGTTCGAACACTACGTCTCCTGTAAAATCTACCAGGTACATATCGGAAGGTAGCATCAAAACTCTCTACCGACCTTCGATTTCAGCCCTAAAGCTGATCACAAGTCTATTTCCGGCTTGATGACGTCTAGATGACGCTGTGACTAAGTAGACTTTACACGACATGTGGGGGCTGCCGAAATTAGAAATCCAAAAAGACTTGTCAACGGCTTGAGACTCTACGATGCGACCTGCTCTATGTGCCCTTTGGTTTTTAAAGAATTGTAATTGGTTTGCTCAGGGCTCGATTGGATGTAGACCGGCCTGACTGTCTTGCTGCTTGTTTTGCAGTAGCTTGTTGCCATATACATACAGACATCCCTTTCTCTAATTTGCCTTTTCCTGTACACTCGCCATATTTTTTCCAACAGATAAATTATGTCATACCAGAATGTTGGTGGACATGTGCGCGGTGTGGGCGGTTCTCACACCACCATATACAGAGAGGGTGCATGTATCTTTCTTTTTAACCCCCGATATTCATGTTCGTCATACAATTCGTTCAAGGAACCTCGAAGAAGCGCCCATATCCCGAGCCATCTCAGTACCATAACTAATAAAAAAAGGTGAGTGACCAGACGAACCCCATTCTTCCCCAGTACAACAAAGCAAAATCACTGTTAACAATTTTATATCCCCGTTGGCCTATTCTCTCGAAGATGAATGAAATAATTCCTGCAAGTGATGATGTGACTGAAAGTGACGGACAAGAAAACGCCCGGCTCCTCTCTGTGGTGAAATCAGAGTCCCCAGATAAAAGATCTATAAACCCTCGTCCACTAAAGGTGACGGCCATCAACAAAAAAGAAATTTCGGGCTGCGTGACAGAATATTATCGGAGGGTGATCTATGCGCTGGTAATCCAGCGCGTCATGACCAGACATAGGAAATTGGTGGTTACGCATGGTTTGTATGCAGCGAGGGGAATAAACCTAGCTGAACAGGAGTAGGATGGCTCCTGCTCGTGGTCTTAGCTCGTCGGCGACTCTTAACTGGAGGCTGGACGGGCTGCAAGTTGTCGGGTGAGGCGGTGTCGAGGCTCAACTTGCCTGAGAGGATATCTGCGTGAGACTGAGCCCTGGTATGTCTCTCGCGGCCGTGCTCCCGCTTCGAACTCTCATCTATTTCGGGAAGAGGGCTCATGGTCCCCTTCTCGAATCGATTGAGGTGCTCGGTCTCTTCGACCGTGACCGGCTGGCAGGTCTCTCCATGTACCTGCCAACCCTCGATACCGGCAGAGGTGCTACTGCCAGTCCACCGCGTGATAGCGGTAGATATGGATGTCGTAGATTTGTGTCGGCTTGAAAAGCCTGAGCGCTCGGAAAGTGCCGAGTCCGTCGTCGACGCGCTGGAACGGGCCTGGGATAGCGCAGGCGAGGCATGCGACATATACTCGTCCTCGTCCTCCTCACGGAATTCATCCTTCTCGTCCACAAGCATCTGCTGGTGGAAGTCGTTCGGGATCAACAGCGAAGGAGAGAGACTGAAGCCGTGGGACTCCTTAAAACTGGAAGCTTGCGAGAGATTGCGAGCGTGGCTGCGGAGTAACAATGTTGAACTATCGCGCCGTGGAAGAGAAAAGTTGGAAGTGACGGGAGGGGTCGCTAATATGGTTGGAGTGATGGCCTCGTGCGGACTGGTGTTGGACGTCTGACTTGCGGGGCTCAGGGCTGGAAGGTCAAACTGGCTCGGGGGAGAAAGCATGACGGGAAACTTGACACGCGTGGTCGGGCTTATGCTTCCCTCGTCCATGACTGCGACACCTTCATATTGCTCCTCGCGCATCATGTCGAGCGAGGGTCGCTCCCACGCAAAGTCGCAGTCGGCTTCAGCAGCGTGGTCATAGCAATAGTCAATGTCGTCTTCCCAGCTCTCGCAGCCAAAGTCATCGCACACGCTACCGTCCTCCGCACCGACACGGAGCGCTCGTTGGGCGGCAAACAGATCGAACCTGCCCAGCGTCTCAGACGCATTGCTGGGAGGTCGTTGGCTAGTTGTATGCGTTTGTGGTATTTGACGAAGCAGGGGAACCGAAACGCTCCCCCTCAGGGACGAGCTGTTGCTAGCCACGCTTAGGTGAGATCCTCGAGACAAAACCCGGTTCTCATCCTCTTCTGGAACATCGGGCAGAGGGTTCACAGCATTTACTGGTAAAGGCCATGCGACATCGTCTGGGGTCGTGATGGCGTGGGAAAACCTACAATTACTGCCGGCCACGTCGGGATCAGAGCCGTGGAAGGAGGCAGGCGACTGTGGGATATCAGGTATCGCTGGGACCACGGGGATTACCGACGATTTTGGGGAGATGGGGAGATTCAAAGGCGCCACGTTCGCAGTTGGATCAACTTGACCATCATTCCGCGTGTATATGCGACTTGACATCCTAGGCGGTGGTGGTATCGGCGATGTGAAATCGTGCTCGGTCGGGGATCTCGGTGGACGCGGCGGAGGGGCGCGGATTTGTTCCTGAGATTGGGCGCGCTTGACTAAACGCTTCGGCAATGGCCCGTTTTGCCATGGTTGTCCCCAGCTGAGGTTGCCCCGTGATTGCGGCTCGACATTTCGGTCGGCGTATAGACCGGCGGATGGGTCTTGTTGCATGACGGGAAGGGCCTCGGAAGAGAAATTGGAAAAGTGCAGGTGATCAGCTGGAAAGCCCTGGTAAGAGTTGTTCCTCGGTTTTGGTAGTGGGTGGCTGGGCCTTTCGGAATGAGCCATGTTCTCTTTCGGCGTATGCGTTAGATGCTGGAAGTTGTAAGGGCCCGATATCTGCAATTTCTTTTGCGCCGGGGGCTCCTCCTCCGCCCTGGACGACTTTCGTCGGGCAAACATGGCGCTTTTCAAGGACGGTTCCCGCGCTTCTCCCGGCGCTTCGGCCGCGTACATGGAGGAGCTGGTGGAGGAGCTATGGTCGCTGCTGTCCCTCCGCAATTTGCCTTTGCGGTTGAAGAGTGTCTTGCCAAATATCTGAACGCTTTCAGGCCGTTCACGAGACGGCATGCTGCTTGAGGTAGATCGTTGGGAAGACCTCCGCGATAATGTCAAAGTTTCCAGCCCGTGTTCCCAGGATGGCCTAAAACCATCTGACGCAGCAGAAACTAGTGACGAAGAACCCGAGGACGTAGTTTGCTGACTCTGGTGACGGTCACGCATCAACTGCTTGCTGACCAGTGCTCGTATTCTTTCTGGCGAAGGCGGTCCGTCGACTGCAGGCTCAAGTAAGTCGGTTATGCTCGCCAGTCCACGGTGGCTCGAAGACGTTGTTGAAGACGGCGGGCTGTCTGGAGTTGATGAGGCCACGGCCTTTGCAGCTTTCCGCCGGGCCCCCTTGTGGACCTGGTACACGGGAAGTGGTGACCACATCATTTTGCCGTGTCAAACTTATGAACAGAGACACTGTGTCCAACCGTCTCGTGTTTGGATCAATTGCTCGGACTCCAGAGGCTCCTTTTCCCACTTTTCAAGTTGCTACAATTATCGTGAGATGGTCGTAGAGAGTGCGCCTCGAGATATGAAAACAATGCGATCTCCTAAGAAGAAGGGAATTGTGGGGGGATGTGACGGAGCCACTTCTCATGCGGTGCCAGTGAAGGATTGGTGGAGCATATAAGAGATCAATTTGATTAAATCCTGGGCGTGATGCAAGTGGTGAATAACCCTGCACCACTATGGATCGTTATGCACTACACTGCCCGGGGGTGGAACGGGGCCGTCTGTCTGGCTAGGGTCTGGTATTGGTCTGGTAGGATGAAAGAGGGTGCACATCCACTGGAGCGGACGGGGGACTTTTGCCTTGTCGGAAGATTGGTGCAACACAGTTGGAGCGTCTCCTCGAGCAAATGTACCGTGGTAAGTCCAGCCGGCGATTGATTGGCGTCGCCTGCCGGCTTAATGGATAAATATAGGCAAGAAGCGAGATATGCAATGTTGTCATGCAACGAGAATCTCGCTTCCGTCACTATTCGAGGCGAGCGACCAACAAAGCAAAGTCCGGGGAAAGGAGTCTCCGTCTGTGCTTCCTAAAGCCCGGGGGTTTCCAAAATTGCCAATTGAGCCGTGATGCTCTTCTGGAAATTGTTCAAATGCCACGAGTTGTTGCGTGTTGCGTGACGCTAGCGCGCTTACAAAGCAACGCTGTTGAATCCAACCGTCTTTCGATACAAGGTAGTCCTGCGACTTAAGCCGAGGGCAAGAGGTCGTGGAACGCTGCTTGCTGTTTTCGAAACTGACCAACACGTGCAATGCTTCGTTGTTGTGGCTTACAGGTTGCACATGTCACGACTGCAGTAAAACTCGTCTTCCAAGACCGGACCTTGACCTTGAATGGGAACCGAGCCGCCGAGGCAGGACCGGATGTGACCGCCGAGCCGGAATCTCCGTCGAGACAATGCGGTTGGGTTTGCTACTTTGGTACCTTTGACCCGTACCAATTGGGCTCTTAAAGGTGGGTTGAGGAGGATTGAGACTATGCCGGACCGCAAAGACTGTGGGGAAGTTATAGGCCACTGCCTAGTTTGGCCAGCTGCGATCGAGTCGAGGTATTTGAATCGCTTCGGGTTGCGCCGGTGCTCCACACATATATATATTTTGTGATATCAGTCCTCATGGGAGGTCTCCGGTCGATCTGGCGAGACGCTGGCGAAATCCGGAAAGACGCGAATCGGCCTAGTCACCAGCGGAATTCAGATCAGCAAACTGAGCACTTCGACGAGCTTTGTCATATTGAGATATAATGTCGTGTCATTCATAGCCTTTGGCGCTGACTCTGCTAAGGCCGTGGATATTGACCTAAGTCCAAACCGCCGCCTCATTTGTGGCCAGCTCCTCGCCGAGCAAACAATACCGTTGCCAGTTCAGTGACCCCACAGAGACTTGGTATTAACAACAAGCATTGGAACTTTATGGCTGTCCAGTCCATACCACTGGAAGAGAGGTACTGCCGGTTACACAGCAATTTCCGCTCAACGCGACATTTTGTCCGACTGGACTTATTTCTTGGGTTTGTAGCAGTCGAGAGCTGACCGTGACATAATGAACACTTGTCCAGGAGCAGATGGCATGGCATGGAAAAACCAGTTGGGCTTGCTTGCGTTGCCGCTGGACAGACAGAATTCCGGGACATACCTTGGCTTATTGTTGGATAAACTTGTTTTGAGGTGCAGCCAAGTATTATCGTCGAGCTCCGATGGAATATGTACGAAGCTGCGTTTAGCCTCGTATGCTCAAGAATCCGAGTTCCGATCGGGCTCGCAGCGTATTATGGTCGTGGTTGGCCAATGGCGCCCTCGTGATGTCTCAACAAAAATAAGGCTTTGCCTGTCTGCTTCGCAACTGGTATATGCCGCCGGCGAGTAATCACCAAGCCTTGATTCTTTCTGATGGAGCTTGTTTCTGCCGCACTGTACACGAGATGCAACTGTCGCCGGCTGATTGTGTCGCTGAAATGATGCGACTTGTAACTCGCATTCGGTAGCCTGACGAGGTGGTTCGACGTTAAGAAGGTCTGATGTTGCTGGGCTATTCTTGAACCTTTAAGCTGCGGAGAATTCATGCGGGTATGATCGGAAGGTTGTGCTAACTACGTGAGGGCGAAGATAATTGTCGGTGGGGTGAGCTGAGCAAAACGAAAACAAAACACACCCGAACCCGGCGGCGGAAATTCGAATGATGCAGTAACAAGCTTGGAGTTGAGGGCACGAGTTGGTATCCAAAGAAACCGCCTAGACGAAACCCAAGACTAATAACAACGGTCGAGTGGGATGGTCCGCGAATGGCGTTGAAGCCGTGTGTCGTCTTTCTCTGGGCCGTAGGCCATGTTTGTAGGTAGCGTCTAGTGCCAAACTAGGCGCGAATAGCACTATCGTGAAACTGGGGCAAGCACCCACGTTGTCCACAGGCGGACAGGCTCACGGGACTTTGTTGAAAAATCTCCTGCCTCTTGCCTGTGGACAAACTTGCCCATGCATTAGGCTAGATAATGGGGTAATGGTGATAAATCACATCAATACGGTCCTCACAGTGGAAACCCTTGGGAGGCGTCGGTATTGTCAAGTCGGCAGTTGCGGTGAGCTTTGGTGTATCTCGTACCTACCTAAGTCGATATTAGGGTCTAGTTTCGTATCAATGGCTAGGCTGCGAGGAACCGTCGTGTGAATTGGCGATATCCATGATGTTGTTACAGATGGCAGAGTGAAAAGGCGCCCGTTTGGCCGATATTTGATTGGTGCTTCTGATTTTATTCGAACGACAGGGTAATCGCGCCTGGGGTTCGAATCCGAGATGTGCATGGGATCAGCAGCGCAGAAGGTGCCATCTTGAGTTTTCGTCTCGGAAGCGTTCCTTCCCCTGCCCTCTGATAGAGCTCCCGTACTGCACGGTGCTCGATGCAATGGGATTTTAGTTCTCAGTGATGCAAGCTTGGAGCTGTTGAGCTGCACTGCGGTACTCCGTGCCCGCGTGCACATCGGAAAGGCGAACGCCCGCTTCGATAGTACTGGTCAAAACGAGGGACCACCACAATGCGCTATCAACAAAAAGCCCCGACGACTTCCCCTGCCCTGCTCAGCTGCTAACACCCTGGTTTTGGGCAGCATTCGCAGAATTGTTTGTGAGAAACCATGCATGTTGCAAATAAAGTTTTATCGTTTGACCAGGGCCGTAAGAACTCTCCCATGTGAGCGCTCGGGTACAGTCCCTACGTTCTAGAGAGGGACACATCGACCGGGATACTAGCAGCGACCCAGCACGCCTTGTAAGGTAATATCAGATTTACTGACCAATGGAAATCCCCCCTTTGTACGAATTCCCGAAACCAGCAATTTGCTGGAATGGAGGTCAAATGATTCTACCCGTGGATATACCCTATTGTTTGTGCCGCCAGAAGTTAATGGATCCGAGGGTTCGGAATTGGCATTTCGGGCGGCCCGGTACTTGTTTGGCGGTTTTTGCAACGGCGCATGACGAGCGAAAAAGAAACAAACACCAAAATGTTGCACAGACTCGTCACAATGAGAAATGCCACATGCCGGGTGGATTCAAACCTCACCTTGTACCCCACGCACTTCCCTCAATTTGTTTCAACTCGACCTGTTGTTGCGCACATCCCCATCTCCTCGAGATCTGCGAGCGAGATGCCGTCGCGAGCTGTGACACATGGAGGCACGGTGGCGTGCTTGATATGGAGATTCATATTTGGTAAATGTAGATACCCAAATGTGCCTCATGCAGGCTGAATGCCAGTCTCGCAGCACTTACGTCATGTGCATGTGGGGGAACGGGGATACCATTTCCTATCGGGTATCGAGACGTACGTGTCCGCCTCGTACCTGCTTAAAAGTTGGATCACCACGCCGGGAATCACCTTGCGGCTTGGAAAGTTTTGATGATCTTTTCTTCTCTCTCTCAAACGGGAACATGAGTAAAATATTGTTTCAACCAGCAGGGAGTTGCTGCAGCTAAGCGGCTAGATCATATTAGTACGTGTCAAAACCAGACGTTCGGGTCCTCTTTGCAACGACTTGGTGCCTGGGGCGACATCTAAATTAACCAAGAGGAAGCTGGCGCGTAGTAACACCAGCGAGTCAGCCCCCGACAACCGGCCCGGCACGTGGGGGGACACGAGTTGAGGAATGCATGTCTCAGATTTCATGTGTAAGCCATTACAATTATATAGGGGAAGTATAGCTTAATGGAACGGAGCAATTATAGAAAGTTGAAGAGACCATGCCATATAGCTGTCAGCATCTCGAGCACGCTCCGACGTATCATTGAAAACGCAGTGCAACCTAGAATGGCACGAAGGCACATGTACCGAGCTGCTAGTGAGAATATCCCGGCAGTCGGTGTGCTAAAGGGCGGGCCCCCTGGCTCGACATACAGTGCAACGAATCGACAAAGTTGACCCCGATGTGGCTTGCACTTTCGACACGGCCAGGCGGCACGGCAGTTTGCTATCAATCTGAAGACTGGACGCAGGCCAGATTGCCAGCAAGGTGTGTCGGACAGCCCGACGTCTTGGATCGTGGTCAAAATCTGACATGTTCATCACGTGATGAATATCCGTTATTTTTAGGTGGTTTGACGAAATTGCCATTGGGAAGGGTTCATCGCAATCAACAATGAAATAAGGACTTCCAACATATCAAGCCAGTGCGAATAACTCGCTGAAATTGGGCTAAGGAGCATTGTCTCTGGGTCTTCCATGGATGCCCTCTGGCACAGGGCTGGTCATTGGGCCGCGGGGACTGGCCGCATCCGCAGCCCCTGCATGTCAAATGCAACGATGGGAACTTGGTAGCTGGTGGATCGCGGTGGAGGGGAGGGCTTGGTTTGTTAGTTAGTTTGTTCGTGTCTTTCCGCCGAAAAAGGCATCGGGGGCTGCCGGGGGGGCAGGTGGGTGGTTTGGAGGTCTCCATCCACCTAGCAGTTGTTAGGCAGTTTGGGAAGAGATCTGCAAATTCAAGCCCTTGGAACATGGCAAACTGCAACCTCAAGCTGGGTGTTATCGTGAGCTATTCCCAATTTCCCACAGCTCCCTGCCGGCAAAAGGGTCGACCATTCATTCGTGTTGCTGTCAGTCAGTGCTTCTGGCCGGAAAATCGGGCAACCTCTGAGATGCATCGTGCGTCCAGCAGAACCTGACGACGCGGAAGTGGGAGCCATTCATCCCTCAGACTGGGCACGAGCGATGAGCGACTCAGTGAGTACGAGGAAACCCACCTGCCCTGGACCACTGGAGGGGCGGAGCGACGGCGTACGCACGACGGCGTCACTTCGAGGCGGGATACTGCACGGCGGCCGCTAAACGACAATAGGGTTTGCAAAAGAGAAAGCACCTCCCCTCCCCACCCCTAAAAAAGAAGGCAAAGAAAAGAACCAAGCTGTATTGGCAGCAAACCTGCATTTGCTGGGTCCGGGTGCAGCTTGGAGGAGCAGATGCAGGGGTCGTTCGCTGACTCTGTCGACGCGATAGCAAAGTGTTGCTTGTGATTGCAATCGGCCCCAACAGGTAGCAACAGTGATTGGCTGGGAACCTGCTCGGCAGCAGCTATACTTTGATCTGCACCAATGGAATGAATAGTCGGGCTAGCTGTGGGAGAGCTTCGCGTCCAGGTGTTTACCTAGTTAGGAAGCCCGAATCTGGGATGGACAAGTTTGAGATTGCTACCATAGCGATCAATACTGTCCATCGACGGCGGGCTCAAGGTATGTGTTCCTTCTGTATTGGCGTCAGCGATGAGTTGAGGTGACGAGCGAGGATTTTCTTGATTCCAGCCAATGACTGCAAGTGTCTCATGCCGTTTTGGTGTCGTACAAGCGTCAATTGCGGCTAAATGACATCTCAAATCTCGACACCTTGCAACCTTTATCCACATGGCGCCGACTGCCTCCAAGTTTGTCAACACCGGCGCGAGGGATTTTGAGGTCGAGGCTTACGTCGCGTTGTGGATTGTATTGCCGGATTCCGCAGGCGGGAGGGAGCTGGAAGCGTATTCCGATGTGCCTATCCATCTAGATCGGCGGCACGTACGATATCCAGCTCCTTCCAGGCGCTAGAATCCTTCAGGAGCAGCATCCAGGTACGCGATAGCGTATACAGCACTGCTATTATGTAAACATTGCAAACACATAGTCTATGTCAACAACAGAAACCGAGGTTATAAGGGGCACTGCTCCACCTCGAAGCTATAGTCGCGCCTATTGAGCGGTCCGTACCGTTCTCGCCGATGCGGTCCTGCATAGCCGTTGCGAGTCCATTAACGACCTCGGAAACGGGCATCCTCCTGGCGGAATTGTGGGTTGACATCCCAAAGCCTTTTTGCCTACATGCTCGAAGGAACAGTAAGCAGTTTCCCGGTGCCCCTTTGCCGACCCGCGGCGCAGCCACCCTCGCAACCCGTGACATATATGCATCCGTCCATCTTGGTAGCAGTATTGGTTAGCACTTGTAGGTCCGTACATACCCATGGGCAATTATGTCCCAGAGGAAGGGCGAAAAGCTGGAATGGCTAATAGTAACACCAGACTACAACCTGCCAGGTAGCCACGACTCATGGTAGCATTCTCCAATTTACCCAGCGCCTTGGGAACGGCGCGTCAAGTCCCAGCAACTGACCAGAGCTGAATGACGGGACGGAGCCAGAGTGCCATCGACGACACGGCACCATTGCGTGTATGACGTGATTCCGCCATATTGCTATGTCGGTCTTGCTTTGAGGGCAGCACGTATACCCATATAGCAGCAGCCTTTATGTATCACGGCTCAACCCCTCCCCCCTACTAACCTTCGCTTCGATAAAGTGTCCCGTCAAGTCGGGCCGTCCTTGGCTGCTGGTTGATCCTCCATGGCCTCTCTTCGCCCAAGATGAAGTATGCCACTATCTACAATACTCATATCGTCCCAGACTGGCTTGCAAAGGCAAAAAAGGGCAAAGAGGAAGACGATCGAGAATTTGATGGCCGTCTGTAGCATTGTCTGCTAGAGCCCTAACTTGTCAGCCGTCGCATTGTTTTAATTTCTGTGGCTTGCAGTTTTCTCACCTGCGCCGTTCGCGTTGCTTCTACGCCGCCGCATCCTGCAATCTTCGCCACAACCCTCGCATCCAGGCCCTGGGCTGCAGAGGCGAAATATCCAGCAAGCCACGGCTGCCGACATTTTTTCTCTTGTTCTGATGGGTCACCCCCAAACCGCAAACGCTTGAAGACAACAGGTCATGACTGCCAGCAACACGAGTGGACGAGTGTCTGTTTGTTTGCGTCGGCGTTTTGAATATGACACGTTCCTTCGAGAGACTCAATTGCTCAGATTATTGACGAATCACGGGTACTAACATCAGCCACAATGAGTTTTGATCTGCTGTGGAAGTTTCCACAGACCGTGAGTTCGGAGATTTAAGTCTGTTCGCTCTCAGACCTTCGCCGCGCCGCCGCCTCCAGAACTTTGATCAGTTAGCTTGTTCCACGCCCGCTGATCAGGAATCCATCATATTTCAGTCGCACGGACGGTCGATCTCAGGGCTTCGAGAAGAATTGTGGAAGAATAGACCGGGAAAAGTATGTCTGCGTCCATCGCTTCCACAGCAGAGATAGGTTACAGGGTGCGGTCCAAGGTGAGCTACGCAAGCGGTGTAAATGGGTTTGCTGCAAAGCTATGCTCCATTCGTCCTCAAGCCCGATACTACAGTTTGTTTGGATTTGTCTTCGCCTTTTCTGATATTTGCTTTATTAATGAAGTTGAGGAGAATGTTTTCCGTGCCTCACTTGTGATCTACCCGGCGGTTCCAACCCACCGGGTGGCTTCTGCTCGCGCGAACTTGGAATAACCTTCCTATATAAATTTGCCTAAGCATGCCTAAATGGGTTCCTCTCTCAGTTAGGATCGCCCTTCATAACGGCTAAAACCCAGCCGGAAGAACTGTTGGTCATCTTTTCATATCTCGCTTCCACTGCTCTGGGAAAGTGAAATAGAAGGTAGGCGTGCCTTTCAAGCCCCCTTCCCCCATGTTAGTTGCAGGTGTGCGGTGCAGTGGGCTGCATCAGCAATCTTGATCCTGGTCTTACTACTGCGAGTACACCCGCCATATTGGGACTATCGTGCCTGATAGGTTGTTGTTTACGACGCGAAGCATTTGATCATGTCTAGAGTCCTAGATGACTGCGCATTATTTCGCTAGGGGCGCCGAACTGCTTTTGCTGACCCCTGTATATTCATTTCGGTTGCCTTGAAAGAGATCGCGAGGCGAAATAGCAACGCCGCCTCATACGCTGAAGAAGAATGATGTAAGATATTAACCTGGAGGTAAGAAGAAATTACCGGGACTCGTCACTGGACTGACGATGAAGGAGAGTTCGGCAATAATTGTTCCAGAGAAGCAACTGAGTAGCTGTCTCATTTTCCTTACCAACTAAGGGTGATTGATTATACATGAGATCATCTGTTATGACTTTGAGATCCTTAAAGCGTCCTTACACGACCATGTTAAGCCGATATTAGAACGTTTATTTAGACCTAAACATTCTGACTCTGTCATCCCTTCGCCGTTGACTTTATAGCTCAAGATGTATGGTAGCTTTAAGTGGGTTCTGGACAATTTGGTGAGCTGTCTGCCTTCGCTGCGAGGTTGCAATGCCAGGAGGCTGCTTTATCCGGCAAGTGACCAACTGAAGTACTCAAGATCGGGTTAGTTATATATCATTCCACCAAACGAGAGGCACTTCTTCGATGCTGAAGAGAAATTGTTTCGAGCATCAATCCCTGGAGATGACAAATCGATGCGAAGTGGTTTCAAATGTAAGCAGACGCCTCTTCTTGAATCTTGGCTTGTGTATATAATATTTCGCCGTTGTAGATCAAGCCACAGCGTGATCATGGCATGAAAACACCAAGATCAAGACTCAGGATAAGAATGCTTCGAACACCTAAGTTCCACCTTGTCAACCTCCTGTTTGTCACTCTTGCCACTTTGTCTCATTACACACCAAATCCAACTGAAGTGCATGTCAAATTCAAGTTTTCTGAAGACACAAATGGTATGCGTCATCCCCAACCAGCATACGTCGCGAATCGCATCCAGTTGTTCGAGCAAGTTATACAGAATCGTATGTTTATTAACCAAACAGTATCTATATATACCAGTGCCTACTAAAGTAGTTTATCGAATGCTCGCTTGCTTCAAAAGCTCGCCTCCCACCAAACATGTATGCTATGCTGCTTGCTTGCTCTTTGTAATTCCATCCATCCATCAAACATCCTTGAAGGCTATGTTTATGCTCCGCTACCCGTATGCAACAAACATCAACATTCAGCGCCTGACCTGCCTGTCTCCACTTTCCACAAGCAAAAACACCCACAAAACGATAATAAACTCGCGTTATGCGAAGATAATTGGGCGGTGAGTGTGTAGTAGCCCTTCCAACACTGGGTGGTGGGCCGTTCTTTGTCGTACAATTCAAGGGTGAGTGCTGTGTTGCCTCTCAATATAATCTCCCACAAGGCAGTGACCTCACTCCGGGACACGCCGGAGGCGACTGGGGGGCGTGTGGTACTATCCCGTCTTGATCCTGCCACTCCAGGGCCTCCTGTCCCCGTTCTTCTCCTTCGCCTTGTCCTCCTCGGGTGCTGCTTCGTCATCACCTTCATGAACGCTTGCCGCGTCACTTCGTCCCAGATTGCTCCCTTCGCGTTCCCTCAGCCGGCTTGTGAGCGCGTTAAGCTTTCCTCTGAGAAAGCCGGCCCCGGTGTTGGTACTGCCACCTCCGCCAGTTGATTTTCTGCGGAGACCGTTGCCTTCGAAATCGATCAACGTGCTGCTGCCCCGACTCACAGGCCGCAGTCCACCGCTAGTCTCTGGCCGGTTGTAACTGTCTTCAATGCTGATACCCGTCTGCGGCCGCTCCAGTGCCGGCGTGGGCGGTGTCATCATGAGGAATGTTGGGATGTTGGTTCGCAGCTCAGTCGGGCCTGCGACATTACCCACCGGTCGGTACGAGCGTCTGCTACTCGCTATGCTGCTGCTACGGCTGTCGCTCCTCTGCGGAACGGGAATCGAGCTCCCACTGCCCCTGAGACTCCTCGGTGGGCTTCGTGAATAATCGACTGGGCTGGTCCCAAAGAGACTCGACGAATCATCGCTATTATCGCCGCTGTTGTTTAGGGCCGGTGTCGCCAGCAAAACACTACTTGTGGCCAGTTCCCTTAGCTTGTTCTGCTGAGCCGTGTTGGGCCTGTGCTTGCTGAACTTGTTGCCGATAATGGCACCGGTATGGCTGATGAGCGCCTTGATAACCCGCCCTTTAAGGGCCAAGGCTAAATCCAGATTTGACCATGTCTTATTGCGGTACTCAATCGTCGGCAGGCGGAAGACAAAGTCATGTACGTCCTCGATGTTGCGGTCACCGCGGCCTTTGTACGAAAGACAGAGGACCACAGATGGCATTTTGATGTAGGCAAACGTCATGTAATTGGAAGCGCGCGTCATCATTTTGGTAAGATCGTCTGAGGGCTTTTCCTCCGAAGCACCTTTACCGCTGCGCAATGCGAAGCGGGAGACCTTTTTCGACTCACTTACAGACGAAGCCATAGTAGAACTGCGCCCGATGCTCGGTCGAGGGGTCTGGCTTGAGCGGAGGGATTCGTACGAGGGTTTCTTGGTAGGTGCTTTGTTGCCAAAGAGGCGGAATACGTTACTCTCTGTTGAATGAACGCTGAGCGCTTTGGTCTTTGGGGGCGATGTATCAGGCGACCGAGATTCTGAATGCAAGGTAGGTCGGAGTCGGAGCTCCAGCGACCCAGCTCTAGTGTTGAAGCTTGCATCCTTGTCCGAGCCACCGGATCCAAGGCGGCCAGATCCAGAATTAGATTCGTCTGCCACTTCGTCGTCCGCCTCACTGATGCCCTGGGCTACCATGAAAGGCGAGTCGGTTTTGAGTCTGTTGCTACCGTTGGCAGATTCTCCGTCCATACCAGGAAAGATGTATTCAAACAGTTTCTTGCCCACTTCTCGCTCAAGCTGGATCTTCATGGGGAAAAGATTCACCTCGAAATGGTCCATGACGGGAATGCCGGCAATGGCTTCTAGCATGTGCCAGTACACACGAATCATGTGTTGGTTCGCGAATTCGGCAGCATTGGTTTTGTCACCGTCAAAGTATGGTGCGACCATCTCCGGATACATAGCGTCGGCCAAGAGATTCAGCCCCAGGACCTTGCCCACCTGCATCAGGTTGATATGGGAGCCATCTGAGTTGTCAGTACGGTCGTATTCAACGTCTCTGAGTTGCAGCTCCACAAGCGGCTCATTGTTGTCACGAATTAGGTGCCAGACAATCTCCCTAGCTGATATACTCCATCTCAGCAACGCATTGCTCTGCGATGTGTTTTCGTACTTGCGCTGCGAAGTGGTGATGGCCTTCATCATGAAGAAGAGTTCATCCTCGCATGCGGCAAGATCTCGCTCCAGGAGCAGCCTGTCTTCCCAACCCTTTTGGTCGAGGTACTTGGAGTGGATCTGGAAGTGCGTCTTGATGTCTTCGAGCTGTCTGATTCGTTCCTGGAGTCTGGTAACCATCTGGGGTGCGCCTCGAAGATCGCTGAAGTCGGATGCAAGCAATATCTTCTCCAAGCGCTCGCTTCTTGTCTTCTCCAGAGGCTCGCTGTACATGAGAAGATCAAGCACAATAACGTATATGGCATAATACTGTGACGAATTGCAGAGTGCCCGCGCCTGAGGGAATTCGACCCACAGATTGTCCATTCTGCTCTCTGTGGTGGGTTCGTCGGAAGTGGGATTTGTGCCTTCGCTGTTGACATCGTCGTTGTATTTCAAACGGAGGGTGTTGTACTTGTCATATCTCAACATAGCCGACGTCTTCCGGACTACTCGCTTGAAGCCAAAGGGATCCGACTGGAAATCGAACATGACCTCCATAGGCACCCATGGCGGCCAGGATGAGCCGGCGGGCGCTCCGTATGTGTTGCCAGAGTACATTGACATCAACTGGCCCGAGAACCATTTCTGGTGCGTGACGAAGAACTGCGTGCTATCCATGCCGACGAAAAATCGGCGCTGAACCAGACCGCTGACAAGATCAGATAACCTGGCTTTTTCCATGACTTCTACTACCTTCAACTCCATTCCTTTGGCCGTAATGAGTACAACATGTTTCTTGTTCTTTTCACTCTGAAGCTGAATTTGAGGTGCAATGACGCGAACGTGGTAGCTGCTCTGTGGTGCGAAATCTTCAGCGATGCCTCCAGTAATGTCTTCCATAGATACGTTAGGCACCCCATCGTCAGGACTACTAGTGTCATCGGCATTGACAAACTTGCGGCCGTCTTGCAGGATCTGTTTGATGCGCTTTTCAATATCTGGATTCACGTCCTCGGACCTCGCACCCTTGGTACTTCGTGAGCTCGATTTATCGTCCTTGTCGGGCGACGATGAACCATTTGGCTTATTGTTGCTCTTTGCCTTGGCCTGCTCCTCCACAATATCTAGGATGAATTTGACTGCTGGGCGGGAAAGGTAGTACACGAAACCGCGACGCTGACTGACTTGATGACTGTACCGTAGGATGATGTTACGCAGCAGGTTGTTCCATTTCAATTGCATATTGTGAACGACAAAGCGGTTTTTGAAGTCGCTGGCGAATTCTGCCCCTGTTGGGACTTTGACACTGGTCCCGGCAAAGTCGATCGATTCTTCAGGAGGTGGGTTGTCCTCGGTCGATGCGTTGCTAGCATTGTCCCGGCCATCATTCGGCTTTTTCATGGCCATTTGATGCAACATGTTTTCCAAGAACGTTCGCTTCTCCTTGAGAACGTGTGTGAATTTGTTGAGTTGATCGAACTCGGCTTTCAGATCTGCATCCTTGCCGTTATCTCTGATCACCCGAAGCTCCGCCTCTCCAACCGCCCGCGCGTTGTTTTCGATCTGGATGTGAAGCTGTTCCAGCCTCTCTCGCACAAGCTGCGACTGAACCCGCCTAGGGTCGTCATCTTGGCTCATAATGCAGAGATGGGTAGGTTCGTCCCCAAACGGACTGGTGCGATCCGGATCCCCGGCAATGACTCCTCCAATATCCGTCTGCCTGAAATATGTGATCCGTGGGGCGTAAGCCAGTGGAAGAATCTTCGTATCCGGACTTGGTTCTGACGGTAAAATCCAGTCGAGCTCGACAAAATCGTCCATATCGATCCAGCTGAAGTCATTGTCCGGAATAGTGAAGTGAGATAGATCGGTGCCGTCTTCTTCGCCTTGTGCGATCAAAGTTGCCACAGAGTTCGTCTTGATCGCCTCGGCCGTCGTGCCTTTGATACTAGCAGAAACGGCACGAATGTCCGCCGAGACCAAATCAAGCTGAGCAGCATGTAACTTCATGCCCGTTGTCCTGCTCTTAGTCTTGCGTCCACGATCACGAGTATTGAATTCCTCTCGTCGCTGGTGCATATCAAGCATGAAACTGTCGAACCTGACTTTGATGCCTGTTGCTGATACCGAACTCTCGGCGGTGTCTTCCGCATCCTTGTGCTTGTAAATGTGGCTGAGAAACAGGGGAGCGAGGAGAAGGTTGTATTTGATGGTGCCTAGATGCCTCCCGAATTTCTTGCTGTTCTTCTCCCTTCCGGGCCAGAGCGAACCTTGGCGAATAGGTAACGACATAGGGCCGCTGAACAGTGACCACCAAGCATAGAAATGTGTGAAGAATCTTGGGGTCAAGTGCACCGTGTTGTAACTTCTCGATGACTGCGGCTGGTTTGATGTCCAGTCTCGATCGACCGGGGCCCTGACCGCGATGGACAGGTGGATGTGCTGACTCCTGAAGCCCCTGAAAGCGTCATAAGGTAGCAAACCCTGTGGTTTAGCATGCTGTGGTGCCTTCAGAACAAGATCGTAGTGTGGAATGAAATCGAAGTTCCGTTTGCCATCCTCGATGGCTCGTTCGAAAACCAGTCCTGCCATCCACTGGACGTTTCCGGACAGCTTCATTACAACCTTCTTGAATGCAGAACCCGACCTGTAGCTGTCCTCACTTGACACACTGTCGCTTTCCCCGCGGGGACGTTCACCCTCCCGAACCTGATGGCTGTAATCGGGAATTGCCAGTACATATTCACCACTGTCAACAGTCATAAACCTCTTCGGGTCGTCATCGGTATGTATGTTCCACCGCACGTCGTTTCGCCAGCACATGAGAAAACCAGCCCCGTTGCCAGTGACTTGGTAAGGATCACGACTACCCTTCAGAGCGAAATGAACATCGCCATCGCCTTTCCACGCCACACGCAGGCGTGAATGAAAATTGAGCCTGATCTTATCCCAGAACCCAACACGCTCGGATGGATCAAGCTGTGGTTTCGTGAACGATTCAATTGCCATCATCATATCCTGGATGGCTGGTTGGTATGAAGGGCCCCATGTAATTCTGGTAGGGTATGCAGTATTGATGTCGATATTCATGTCAGAGTATGTCTTGACCGGCCCGGTGGTGCGGCGGACGTCAATGGTAAAGTCGGCGCTAGGATGCCCCGTCTCATCGATAGCCGGTGGTGTGATCTGCACCTTGATCCTCCGTGTCGATTCGTGTCCACGATACTCCTCCGCGATAACGAAGTCTGTTTTGAGCGAAAGCGCGGGTAAACGAGACGATTGGCCCGCTTTGATGGCTGGAACATGTATAAGGGGTAAAGGATAATCCCGAAGAGTAATTCTAGCCTCGCCCAAGCTGATTTGAACATTCATGGGAACGAGCAGTGAATACTTCATATTCTTGGGCATCCCCTTTCCGACCTTGTGTAGATACTCAGGCAGGTGCTGCATGGGGAACGAGGGTTTGTCAATCATGACATGCAGATCTGATATTGCAGCGCCCATTAGTGCCGGCCGTTGCGGGACTTCGAGTATCTTTTCCGTGTGCTCCAGGTCATCTGGTAAGTGATCCGCGCCCCAGAATAGGCTGCGCAAATCTTTCATGCTGTTTCTGGCCATGTCAAAATGTCGGTCGATCCGTTTCTTCCAGCTCTGCGCACTATATTCTTTAAGTCTTTGCTCCGCGTCCTGCGCTGACACGTGCGCACTGCCACTGAACTCAAGTATCTGATCTGGATCATACCGGGGTTTCCTGCCTCGCCTGTGGGAACCAGGGCCATCATCGCTGTGAGACCGTCCATCAATGCCAGTCCGAGGTCGTGCATCCTCACTTCTGCTGCGCGTGTGGGAACTGCTAGTATGAGACGTTCTTCCCCGCGGCATTGCGGAACGATTACGGTAGCGAGTAGTCTCCTTGCGGAGTTCCTGCTCTTTAATCTTCTTCTTTTTGACTTGATAAGCCTCGTCACGAGCAAGGCGCTGAAGCTGTTCGACACGGCCCGCCCGGTAGATGACGCCGAGTTTCCACTCGAAAGCACCATCTTCGAGTTCAAATAATAATGTCCGGCTCCGCAAGGAGATCTTGGGCACGTTCTTGGGCCCTTCAGGGGCTTTATCTAGGATGTACTCGTTGGTGCCCGTCTTGAAGCGGTGGTGTAATTGCTCCGAAGCTTTGATAACATTGACAATGTTGTCGGATATTTTGTTGAAGAGCAGCTCGTGAGGAACGGCTATGCGCATTGCGTCGGTCACGATGTCAAACATTCTATCATCTTGATGGCCTCCAAAGGCCATGATTCGTCGAGACTCCCGATAGTCTAATCGGAAGGTCTTGATACTTGCAAGACGGGCCCAGACTCCTCGCATTCGAGGTGCGCCCGCATACACACGGACAAGCTTTGCAAGGAAGAATGGTGGGGACCATCTGTGTTGACCAGCCTCCATACTATAAACCTGCAACATGATTGGAGGATCAGCGGGCAAATCGGCCTTGATCTGAATCAACGAAGCTTTGAAATCAACTGTCACTAGTTCTCTGGCAGCCCGGAATGGGTGGTCCATATGGTCGGTGGCAGGTGATTCGGGTGACAATATCGGCGGTGCCAAGTGCTCCATTTTGGGACTCATGGGCGGACTCATGGGCGGACTCATTGTCGAGTGATTTCGTGTCATTTTTGAGTCGACGGTGTCCCGTCGCGTACGCATGAAGGATTTGCGCAGCACCATTACAGCGATTCCCACGGAGTAGTGCCTATAGAGCGAATATTGGAGAAGGAGCGACCTCAGATGCGAACGGACATGAAGAATTGGGCCTTGTTTGTCGCTCACAGTGGTTAGCGCTACTTCAAAGCGAGGCAAGTGAACGAATGGCTCAACTTCCCACTTCTCCAGGTTGTCGATGATGTAGGCTTCCAAACCACGTATGTGGACGGCGAGCCGGCGACCGTCGCCTTCATTTTGGTACGGGTCTTTCTTGCGGGCGAAGGATGGCGACGGCATTGATTTCAAGAGCTCTGCGTCAGGCATCAAACTCCGACTTGTTGCCCGTCTTCTAGAGGCAGGTCTTTGACGCGTATTCGGGTGGACACGTTGAGCACGATACTCACTTGACCAAGAATCAACCTGAAGGGCGACCCCACGAGTGTTTTGGGGGAATTCATCGTCAATGCCGGCTACTTCTGCGCTGAAATCATCGATCGAGACAGTGAAGTGGAGAAAGTAATCAGGCAACGTCCTCATGAGATTTTGCGATTGTTGAGACTTCGGTTTGCTAACCTTGTCTGGCTGCACATCAAGCCTCAGCTGCCGGATAATCTGTCGTATGCCGTCCGTTATCTCGGGTCGAATCATGTGAATCGCCAAAGACTGAAGATGCCCATTGGCTATAACGTGGACATCTGGGTTCGCTCCCACCGTCACCTTGACATCGAAATACTCCGTTTCAATGAGGTCAAATCGACTTCCTTGTGTGGTCTGGTAATACAGCTGATGCGTTTGGACCCGCATTTGGGTGACGAGGGAATAATGCATCTCCTCGACCGTAGAGTGAAAAGACTCGAGGTCGAGAGAAATGGAGGAGATGGAAGAGACGATCAGGTCGAAATCGTCGGGATCGTCGGTCTTCTGAACTGGAGGCAAGGCTATTCTTACCACAGGCTCATGCATTGTGAACTTGATAGTGGCCTTTGGCAGCAAGCGCGAGATGAGCTTATGCCTTTGCTGCACCTGTGCCTTGGGGGCTTTTGGTTGAGGCCGCAGCAGTGCCATTAGGATTGGGAGGTGCTTCGGATCTAAGTCGACGGACGGCGAAGTGACAACAGAGTTAGCGAAGAAGAGATTAGCATTTCTCTCTTCAGCACTTCCATCGTCCGCAAGCTCCACAGTCTTGGACGGGAGGGTAGTTTTGACCGTGGTGGTAGCCATAGGGATGTAGACGAGCCTCTCCGGTTTGCCGTGCCCGACGTCCACGCCAACGGAGATGGACAGCGCTGCAGCCAACGCCTCATGGGCCGTGTCCTTTGATGGGAAGTACATGCGATGCGCTGGAGACTTGGGATCAAGACGATGCAGGTCAATTCCAACCTCCTTCATGGAAGCATTGAGCACGAGCGGAGCCCCTGACGTCTTCACCGTGTCGACCTTCTTAGTGAGACCGACTAGGCTCACTGCAAATTGTACCTCCTTGATCCCCCGAAGAATTGAACTAACAAATTCTTTCGAGTCCGAGACGGCTTGCATGATGTCCTGATCGGTACTGCCTGGTTCTTCCAGCTCCTGGAACACCCTATCAACAGAGACCTCCATTGCCTCGACAGTCGCATAGCCCTTTGAGCACATCCGTTTGCGTCTCTGGTAACGTTCAACACACGTTTGGACATCGTCGTAGGGTATGTGAACACGGCCTAGCTTGAGGGCTATGGATGCATCGCGCAGCCCATCAAGTTGTTCGTATAAAAACCCATCGACGTTGAGCACAGCATTATCGATGACCTCGGATGCTTCTCCGCCATTGGCTGTGAACAAGACACTGCGCAGGGTGACGATCCATTCCGCTTGTTGTTTCTGACGGTGCTTCTCGGCTCTGGTCTGGAAGAAATAGCGTGCTCGGTCGACCATCTTTTTGCGCGTATCGACAGCAACGGTAAAGCTGCCGCATTGTATGGTACCCACGTCTACCAGGTTGACGGTAGAGTTTGTTGCCACAACGTCCACCATTCGAAGCCAGTTTATATTCCGGTGTAATCGCTTGAGTCGCTCCTTGGTCCTCATGAGCTGCTTCCATGTCTCGCTGCGAGCGACTCCGAGCGTGGCTCGTCGAGAAAGAGGGTTTTTAGGCAACGGTAGCGTCTTGAAATCCTTCCCCTTTCTAACGGCCTCGTCATCGCTGCTGTCGGCTTGGTCCGGATCAGGTTTATGGCCCTCAAGTGCCCTGGTATCCACTGTGACGACCAATTCACTGACAACAATGCTCAGCCATGTGGGCTGCGAGAATGTTGGACGGTGCACATTGAGGCCGAGGCCACGTATCTCGATCTTAACGCCATCCTTGGGTGTGTAGGCCAGGCGGCGGAGCGAAAAGTAGCCAATGCGCTGTATGGAAATGCCAGTGATGATGCGCAGGACGGCGAAGAGCACGAAGGACGACAGATACAGGAGCACAAGGACCCCAAAGATAAACGTCGGGTTGAGCAGTGCCATGGCGACTGGGATGGCGATGGCGGCAACGACAGCACCTCAGCCGCGGCGCCTCCTCCCGGGCCAACTTGAATATTCTCCCAAGCTGGTCTCCCTTCATCACCTACACTCGCGATTGTCCATATCGATATGCCACGGGGAAGATAACAGATAGGATGCACCAAAAAGGCACGGCGAAAGATTTCCTGGAAGAACCGAGTGTGTGCTGACGGCAGATTGTTGATGGTCGTCTGGGTGACTTAGCGCAGGCGCATCGATAAGTTCGAGGATTGGTTCAACTTCGAGTTCGAGTTCGAGTTCGGCGAGTTCGGCGCGGTTCGTTGCGTGTGTTGCGAGGCAAGATTATCGTAGCGATTGGGTTTCGGCACCAGCAAATAAAGCGATGCTGCTAATGGTCAATTTACTTCGGTATGTAAAAGGAGAAAGCGCCAGGCAAGGTTTGGGAAGGCCGTGGATCGTCTGCGGAAATGCACGTCACTTCGCAGCAGCAAATAGGCAGCGTAACAAATGAGGCGACGGTGGAGCCGCGAAAGATCTATGGGACGGATCATCACATTACGAACAGGAAATCGATAGACAAAGCTGCTATGTCTGCAAAGAGGGAAGTGCGAATCTTAGCATCCTATTTTTCCGAAATTAGCCACTATCCTCGTACTTGTTTCGAATCCATCTGCATATCCTCAAATCCTGATAGACCACAGCTAGACCCGGTTCTGCTTTTGACTTGGGAGTAGTCTGGGAGTTTTCGCAACTTGTTTATTTCCGCGTGTTTGCAGTCGAAGAATCCCACCGAGCTCTTCTATTGGCACATAGCTTGACCCCTGTTTTCGGCTGAAAGATCACCAGCAATGGCACGCTAAGCTTAATCTGGGCAAACGCTTAACTGGGTAATTACATACCTTGAATCAGACTAACTGCATTGACTGTCATTTTGAATGCACCCCCATTTTCAAGAGATCTCAGTGAGCGATGCCACAACTTCATTCTCAGTTGAACAAGCAAAACACGTATAATGAAGCCACTGTCGGAATCCAAGTACTAGGGGCTATATTGGTACTATGAAGGTGCGTAAGGGACCAATCCCAAGTTGGCCCCGAGGCATCCCTAAATACTGCAACGCGCGCGTGCCTGCCTCGTACCCCTCTACACCTGACGCCACAACTTCCACAACTTCTACGTAAACTAGGCGTGGATATAGACTAAGTAGCTATTGATAATGAGAAGACTCTAAGCATTTTTAAGGCTTTATTCACAATATACAAGTTAAGTTTGTCTAGTGACTCGTAATAATAGTATTAGTCTAGGCCTTCTTAGCCGTTATGTATTCCAATTCTAGTATAGTTGAGTTTGCGACTTGCCACATTTAAATGTAAAAATTGAAAAATATATATCGTGGATTAACAACGAGTCGCGCATATCACTAAGTCGCGCAGTTTTTCAACCTTTCCAATCTTTCAACTTCAAAACATATTTCCTTAATAACAACATAATATCCGTTTAACCTAAGAAGCTAAAGTCAACCTCGCTATCGAAGCTATCCGATCGACTAAAAATAAAGCTAACGACGATTAGCAAAGCTATACGCCTCGGGGATAGATGTAAGGAAAGAGCCGTTGTGGCGGGCCGGTCTCAGCTGACAAGCTGAGTCGGGAGGGATTCGCCCAGCTTAAGAGGAGAACTCGAGACGCTCGCACCTAGTTTGGATTCTTCAAGAATCAGTCTTGCAATATACGCACCCATACACTGGCCTACTTCTAGCTACCCTTTGCCCTACCTGACTGTTATATTGTGAGACGTGTGGTATCCTCGTTACAATAGAATTCACGGTCGCACCCTACGTACCGAAACTTAGCCGGATAGCACACTACTCACCGAGACAGAGGAAAGAGATATTATTTAGCATATACTTAACCTAGATTTAACAGGGTTTCCTCCCCAGCTAGAGGGTGTGGAAGATACAGCTAATTCTATTCTCGCGACGCGTCGGTAAGCTCTAGGTGTATCGCTTTATAAAGCGAACCCTAGAGTTAAAGACGCGTTTTTCTCGCTCCTATAACTTCCAGAGGGCCCTCTACGAGTATTCAAAGGTTATTAAGGACTGGTTCCGGCTTATATTGACGACGGGCAGTGAATGCCCGAAGGTTCAAGGTGGGATGATGATAGCAACGGACAACAAGATCCTCAACAAGACTTTACTGTCCGGGAGATGGAAAGAATAACAAGATCGAGGCTTTCTTGCTCCGATCAGAACAACAAGTACCTCAACAGGTCCTAGAGCGTATCACCTTAGCAGGTGAACGATGGGTACAATGCCCTTGACAGGCACAAGTAGATATATAGGGGCAATAAAAGTACCTCAGCAGGTCATCAAAACAACGAGTGTCTCCATAGGCAAAGAGAATTGAATCAAATTGCTATAGAAAAGGCTGCTTGATTGTCTCTTTCTTTTCTCAAGAGAGTGACTACATACACAGGTCCTTAAACCGTAAAGAACATGCTTACATAATTCGTCTGAAAACCGAAAAACAACACCCCAAAAACCTGTCCCTAAGTCAATATCCCACCCGTTAGCTCCCCTCTTCCACATACTAATCCTTAGGTTTCGTAAACGCTAAATATTATTATTATTATTATTAAATACGCCGTAGGCTCGAAGCCCCCGGTACCTCTACTAGTACTCCCGTATGTCAAACCGTGCCCTAATGGCTGGACTAAATACATACGCTGCGTCGTCGGTTCGCCCTGTTGGCGACTGCGTTGCGTTCACTACCATACTACGTTGGTTCTCAACCTACCAACAAAGTCCCCCCTGAGAAGATCGATGCTATCTGGGCCTTGAAGCTGTCCGACCCGTCCCTAGCAGCCACCTTACAATAGTCCCACTAACTACTGGTTCTCCTGTTGCCGTTGCGAGGTCGATTAATGAAATTAATGTGAGTTGTGTCACTCAAGGTAACACTAAATTTGGCAGGATTACCAGGAAGACTTCCGGGGGTTTAGACAGACAGTTTGTCTCGAGGGTTCCGAGATAACTCTGAAGTATAAGCCAGATGATCGACATACCATGATGATCAAGACAAAAACACGCAATGTAATGACAGGAACGTCAATTATATAATTGTACATTTTATAAACTCTGGCTCAAAAAAACAAAAGGGTCGTTTGTGACTATTTTGGTATCCGGACGCCATTAATGCAACTTCCATCTTCGAGGCAACTAATCGTCATCGGCATCCTCCTCGTCGCCGGCGTCAGCCTTTGAGTCTGTCCTCGCTCTCACCCACTCTGCAGCTTTGGCACCAACCTTCTCGCGGCTCTTCTGGTCGCCATTCTTCTCCTCCCAGTCCGCCCATCTCTTGAACCACTTCTTGGCAGCCCGAGGCTTGAGTCCCTTTGCCTTTAGCGCCCTCTCAAACACGTCCCGCACGACTGCCTTGTCTGCTCCAGGTACGTCTTCATGGTCAAGCAGTTGCTTCCACAGATCGAACCGCTTGGGAAACTGTGCAATGAGGCCTTCGAACATGGTCCGTCCGAGTTCCGGGTTCTTGTTCTCCGAGCTGAAGTGCAGCCCCGCAAACTTGGTCATCAACGGAAGGTGGGCTTGGGTCGGGAGCGCCTGGATTGCACGGGGCATGAGAGCCTTGGCGCGATCAGGCTGGTTCTGTACTGCGTGGAGCCAATGGCCATAGTTATACCACACTTCTGGTGAGGTGGAGCCAAACTTTTTCACAAGAGCCTGGAAGAGCTCATCTGCTTTCTGTGGCACTGTTAGCAAACTGCGATATGATCGGTAACACGGCTGTGTCTTACCTCGGGTTTGTCCTCTTGAATGTAGATACTCGCTAGTCGTTGGAACACTTCTTGCTGATCATTGACTTGGCACGCGCGCTTGAAAACCTCCTCCACGGTCTCTTCAGTCCCAAAGCGAACTTCAAGATTGAGATATGCAATCCATGCATTGAGCTTCTCCGTTTCCTCGACGCTGTTAATGGTGGTAATAGCACGTTCAACCACCTTGCGGGCCTCTGCCAGCTCACTAGATTGCAATTGATATGCCATGTACTCAATCCACAGCGTTGACGAGTTCGGTTGACGGTTGAGGAGTTGCTCGTAGTCGGCAGCAGTTCTGGGACCGAATGCATCGAGGTCGCCACTTTTGTCAACTTCAATTTGAGCTTTCCTTCGCTTCTTCTTCTTATCCTGAGAGCCGGGCTTCTCATCTACCACAGAGGCAGGTCCACGCTTCTTGCTGACAGCGTCGGCATCCCAGTCAAAGCCACCAGCATCCAGGCCTTCAACCTCTCCCGCTGCGTCAGTCATCTCCATATCCTCACCCTCTGGTTCTTCTTCTTCGACATTATCGGTCCCTGTGATAATAACAGCGCTGACATTATCATCCATGTCTTCGTCTTCATCATCCGAGATAAGCGGTGCACCAGCGTCATCATCATCACTCTCGTCGCTGCCTTCGCCTTCAAAATACGAGGGCTTCAATCCAAAGTTAATACGCCTCTTCTGCTTATCAAGTTTAAGAATGATGGCTTTGACAGCGTCTCCCTCGCTAAACAACTTCCGCGCATCGTCGACGGACTTCTCGGCCATCTCGCTTCTGTGACAAAGTCCGCTGACGTTATTGGAACCATCAACAAGGATGAATGCTCCAAATTCTTCGACTTTCCGAACTTTTCCAGTGACAATCTGAGCTTCGCGAAGATCTTGGTAGTTGAGCAAGGGGACGTAGTCTTTCTCTACAACCGATGGCTTGAGGTTCATTTGTATTTGTCCCACTGTAGGGTCAACTGAGGTCACTCGTCCTTTGACAATCTGGTCGACTTGGAAAGAATCTTTCCAATCCTTCAAGAACCTGTCGGAAAGATCCGATATCTTGACCATGGTTGTGACGTCTCCACCGAGAGTCACAAAGAGTCCCTTGTCAGAGACGTTTTTAACAAATCCACGCACGATATCACCCACAACAACTTGGGATACATCGGTGAATTCTCTATCCTTGACTTCTGCCGACGAATTCAACACCCTCGAATGTCGGGACGACAAGCGGACCTTCTTGTTGCTTTTGTCAAGGTCAACGATCGAGACTCGGATGACGCTGTTCTTGCTGTAGTTCATAGTGTTGGCATCATCAAAGTCGTCGCTGATGTCTGCCAGGTGGATAGGCCCAGAAACCGTCTCACTCAGCTGAACCATGATTTGTCGCTCGTTGATTTTCGTTATTCGTCCCGGAAGAACCATGTTCTTCTTGACAGTACCCCACGTAAGTGCAGGCGATGAGACAGATGACCGGGCCGAAAGATCGAGACGGCCTTGGGACGGGTCAACCGCGAGGACTCGCACGCGCAGTGCGGAGCCAACTGGGAAATTAGACGACAGATTCTCGAGGAGGGAGACATCATCGGAAATATCCAAAGTGTTGATTCTGCCCCGAACATTTGGGGAGAGATTCACCCAAAGGGTACGGTCCTGGACCTTGTTCACGAACGCCACATAAGTAGATCCGTTTTCGAGCTTCTCGTAGGACAACGACTCAACCGCAGCGCCCTTCACATCGCTTGGTTTGCTGGAGAGTTCGAGGATTGAGCTGGTGGATCGATGGGAGATGGGTAAGAATCGGTGGTTCTTTGCATCGTGCACACCCAATACTCGGACAGGAATGACATCCCCCTGGTGGAATTTGCGCAAAGGTGCTTTGACATCAGTAATCTCGTCCCAAGAGTCAAAGACGGATGACATATCCACACGGCCTTGAATGTTGTCAGCCAGCTTAACATTAAGCTGCGTGCCCTTGACGGATACGATCTTGGCTTTTGTGACACGACCAACAGAAACGTCGTCCGTTGAAGTAATCGCTTCGTCTACTGGATTCTCCACTGCGGCGGACATATGAGACGAACGGCCTGCCGTCTCATTCTTCTCAATCTTCTCACTGTCAGGATGAGCGGCAAAAATTCTCTGGCGCTCTCTGTCCACAGATGAAATCTTGACGAGAAATGACTGATGCTTCTCCATTCCAAAGCTAGCTTCTTTCTGGATAGTTTGTGGTAGCCTTGATTTCGGCACCAAGGCGGTAAGAGGGCCAGCAAACTGGACGTAGACCGCTGTAGCCGTGATATTTTTGACGTAACCTGGATAAAGCTGGCCAACTTTGACATCGTCAAATGAAGTGAGCAGTTTCCCCTCCTGGCTAGCCTTCATCAGAGAGGGCTTCTTGCTCAGCGCAATGAAGCGTCTGCCCTCAATTTTGTCCAATACTACAAGATCAGTGAGTGTCTGTCCCACATAAATCTTTTTCAAGACCGCCTGGTTCTTCTTGGTGGAACCGTCTGCAAGGTGACCTACAGAGATCATAGCTCTCAGTGAGTTGTCGACTAACTCCACGAAGACATGACCCTCTGTCTTTTGTACGACTTTGGCTGATATAATGTCTCCGAGGCTCAGCTTCTTGAGCGCCAGCTGCTTCTCGATGCCAAAAGCCGCGGGATTTTTGCAGGACACATAGAGCTTCTGCTCGACGGCGTCGAAATTAAGAACATGGACATCAACCACTTGGCCGACGCGAAAATATTCCTTAGGATCACGAATATAAGCCTCGCTCATCTCTGCGATAGGCAGAAAACCTCTCATCGAGCCGTAGAATTGAACGACGGCTCCATTTCCAAGGACGTTGATAATGGTAGCTGGAACCTGCAAGCCCACCGCCACTTCATCGAAAGACTTTAGCGGAATTGCCTCGGAGTTGATGAGGGTCTTTTTCAAAGTGAGCCTGATTTGTCGCTTGACGAGGTCTGTTGACAGGACGCGGGACTTGACTTTCATGCCCTCTCTGAACTTCTTCTCCGGGTGTTGCAGCTTGACATCAGCCAGGTGTATTTCGGGAACGAAACCAGTCAAGCCTTCGGCCAACTTGACAAGCAAACCGCTCACACCATCTGGGCCGATGACAAGCTTCTCGATGATACCATGGACAATTTCACCCACGGGAATGTCTTCCAACCTGAGGAATGGTTGTTCGAGAACATGTTGCTCGAAAGAGAGTTGGAACACACCGTCAACAGCATTGTATCCAACGACCCTCCCGCGGTGAACAGATTGTAGCTTGAAAGGGCCCGTGGACTCAGAAACCATATCAACTTTGCCATCTTTAAGTCTGGATATGTGCACAAAGCCAGACACCCCTTCAATTCCAATGTCGACAAAAACACCTATTTCTGGTTCAACACTGGTGACTGTGCACTTTTCGACTATACTGGAGAGCGGTATGACTTCCACTGGCGACTTGTTGCTGGATTCCACCGTCTTTGGTTCAAGAGATACGATGTGGTCGAGCAATGACACGCCTAACTTGGGGTCATCGGCAGTAGGGAACGTGCAGATGACTCGAGCCTTGGTCTTCTTGCCAACTTTGTACTTTTCCCCAAGATCTAGCGCTTGGGGACCAGCACCTGAGTGGATCACATCGGCTGTGACATCTAGCGATCCCATAACCTTGCCAGCCAGACCGCGTCCCGAGATGTCCGTGACTAGCAACTCGACAGCCGAACCTGGAAGAAAGGTGTTGATGGTAGTCGCTTCAGACGCGTGATTTCGGATACTGCCCATCTTCTTTTGCAATGTGCTCAGCTGTGCGACCTGGCCGTTCTTGCCGGTAACAAGACACAAGAAGACAGAACCCGGTTGCATTTGAGATTCGGGAATCGTTTCATCAACCTCCTTCCGTGCCAGAAATGCTCGGAGCTTCGAATCTTCTAGACCAAGCTCCATAACAAATCCGTGGTCTTCGACACTGGCAACCGCTGCCATGACGGTACAGTTTGTCACAACATCTTTGCTTGACAACCCACTGTTAGTTTGATCCGGACGCAGAGACAACTCAATGTGCCTTCGAGGCTTGCCGGAGGAAGCAGTTGTCTCCTCGATTGTCGATACAACGTATGCCCGAATGTATTGGCCGAGTCTGAAAAGCGACTTCAGATCAACACCATCATCTTCCTGCGCCTCCTTGTCGTTCTCATCGTCTTCTGCCGCTTCCGCCGCTTCTGTCGCAATTCTTTCATTCAGGGTCTCTGATATAGAGGTAATCGGTACGTGGCCGACAAGATTGTTCGGTAAAGCCAGAGATATGTCGAGGGCGTTGATTTCGGCAACTTGGCCCAGCACCATCGACCCCTTGACAAGACGCTTGTAGTTGAGACTCTCGATCTTGACAGTGTCTCCTCCCTGTTCAGGCTTGCTCGCTTTGCCATCGTTTGATTGCCCTTTCGGCTTCTTATGGGCTCGCTCTGCCTTTTTCTTAGCTTGTCCAGACTCTTGCTCGAAGAGAACGTCTTGCTTGGCCTGGACATGTATCTGCTTGTGCTCGAGAGGCGATAGAATGCTGCCACCACCTCTGGGAAACAACGGTTCTTCTTCCTTGAGTCGTGATATACTTGGGGCTGCGGCAGGTTTCGATTCGGAGGTCTTGGACGGCTTGGAGCTCGTCTTGGAGTCGAATTTAGCCTTTTCGGATTTGGGTGATTTCGATGGGCGCGAATCGCTGCGTGTTTTGGGTACTTTGGCAGCAGATGTGCCGCCAGGCGCATCCTTCCTCTTTGCGGAGCTCATTGTCACAGGAATCGCGAGAGTATGGGCAGCCTGATTGAACCTACCTCGAAATCTTTTGAGATGGACCCTGTATAAGAAAAAAAGATTCACTGTTGCTATCGATAAGGATGTGGCTTGGTGGGGTCTTTTTGGACCACAGTACGGAGTATCTGGGCACCAATCCCCAGAAACAATGACCATCTGCACCAATATGGGCCTGCCTCGACTGCAGGCGGGACACTATTTCCTCGTAACTTCCCTTAGATTACACAGGACCTCGCGATCGTGATCCGGCAACTTTCATAGCTACAAGGCCAGCAATGCATTTCTATGTTTGTGTCTCTAATTACGATATATTTCCTTTATTCTTGACTTGATTGATTGAAAGACTTCAATCACCTTCAATCAACTCCATCGTCACCCTTCTGGCCTGTCAGACTTGGAGTGGCCCTTGTGGTTGAAGCTTCTATATTACTGGAGCCTTAACCAAGTCGCCGAGCTCCGGCTTTTTCAGTGAAGCCACGGAGCTGTGACGAAACCATAGGCACCGACTTTCAGGAGTTAGTCCAAAGTCAAAGCTGATCACGCATTACTCTTGGGCAAATGTCATTATCAACACTGCGATGAATAAGTTGGCCTCCCCATCATGAGTCGGAGAAAACGTGCATGACCAAAACCTTCCGATGCGTGCAGCACCGCAAATACCTTGAGCACTACCAGCTTGCCAGTGACGTTACCATCCCAGCACAGCGGCAGCACCCACCGAAGCACTAACCTTGCGTCATTCAACCTCTCAGCTGCTGCACCATCAAAATCGGGAATGCCACCACTACAACCACCCACAAAACCTCATGCAGGTAACGGCCCTGAGTCAGCCAGCTCGAATGTAGTTTCTGGAAAACAGGTGGGTTCCTACGACAACTCCAGGCACCAATCAACCTTTCCTTCCATATTAACTTGGTTCCCGACACAGCTGCGCAAGAGCCGTAGCTGGTACGGGTCTTGGCCACGAGCAAAGTCCTTGGCTTCGACGCAGGTGACGAGTGAGACTATCATGGGGGGCTCTTTGAAGGCAGGATCAACCCCGGATTTCAGTCGCTACAGGAAGACGATTGACAATTCTGGCGATTCGTCCGACACCCAATCAGTACAGACACTGCCCCAAATCCCCGAAACCGAGACACGATCAAAGCTCACCAAACCACCGACGGGTGGTCATGGAAACACCCTAGGGACTGCTCCTGGGAAAGGGGCAGAACCGTCCCCACGAGATGCAGCAAAAAAGGATGATGTGATAAAGGTACGACCAAAGACACCATCAAGCCAGCAGCCCACGGCATCGTCAGGCTGGCTGGGGTGGTTTGCTAGATCACCGGCGCCGGAGAAACGCTCCGAAAATAAAGACAGACTTCTTGATCAGCCTCCCGAGGAAACGGAGCCTGCGCGACCAGAGACTCTTATCCCAAGCGAGACCGTACAAGCACCGCCACTGCCCCCAAGCACCCCAACGAGGACCATTAGACATTCGGCTTCATGGTTTGGCCCATGGTTCAGTAACACACCACCAGCCGAGGGCTACGCCGGTGATGCCTCAGAAGAAGCAAGTACAGTTGTATCAACGGCAAAAGACAGTCAAAACACAGTCAGTGAGGACGCGCCTCCCATCAAAGCTGCGGCAGAACCGCAACCGTCTGCTGGCTCCACCTGGGCATTCTGGTCTCGAGATACCGGGTCGAGTTCTATTGGGAGGTCAGCAGCACCTCGGGAGCAGGGCGAATTGGCTGTTATTGGTGATGGATCGGAAGCCAGCCCGAGGAGATCGAACGGTGTCGATGTCAAAGAACATACTACTGTGAAGGAGCCACCGCTGAAGAAGGGGACTAAGGAACCATCCGCGAAAGCGACTACATCCAAAAATAATAAAAGGGTTAGGCCACTGTCAATGGACCTTGACGAACCCTCACCCTTGAGACCAAGTACGCCAACTTCAATCAAAGATACACCCGGAAAGTCGGACACACCAGATTCGACCAAGACGACCACTCCAAACCTCCTTCTTCCATCCTTCAGAAACACCTATCGTATGAAGCAAAACCCGTCCATTATCAAGCAAATCACCCAACTGCTGCTTAGAACGCAGCAACCACCTGCCAATCATGTTTACCTGGTAAAGGATCCTCCTAAAATCAAGAAGGCAATCGCCATTGGGGTCCACGGCCTCTTCCCAGCTACCTACCTGCGCCCCATTATCGGACAACCAACAGGGACTTCAATTCGTTTTGCCAACCATTGTGCCGAGGCAATCCGGAGGTGGGCAAACAGCCACGGCTGTGGTGATTGCGAGATCGAGAAAGTTGCGCTCGAAGGTGAAGGCAAGATTGCGGAGCGAGTTGACAACCTGTGGAAGCTGCTTCTAAATTGGATTGAGCACATACGCAATGCAGATTTGATTGTTGTGGCGTGCCACAGCCAAGGAGTCCCTGTCGGCCTCATGCTTGTGGCTAAGCTGATTGACCTTGGCATCATCACTACCGCCCGAATTGGAATTTGTGCAATGGCAGGTGTTTCTCTTGGGCCATTCCCAGACTACAGAAGTGGAATGGGTATGTTAATGGGGGCGGGCGCGGAGCTTTGGGCCTTCGCCGACCCAGAGAGCGAAATAACAAAGCGATACGAGGATGCTTTACAAGTAGTTCTTTCACACGGTACTCGGGTCACCTACATTGGCAGTATCGACGATCAGCTGGTCCCAATGGAATCTGCGATCTACTCACCGGCATCGCATCCATACATATACAGGGGTGTCTTCATCGATGGCCGTACCCATGCCCCCGATTTCATAGCACACCTAGTGGGATTCGCGCTGAAGTTACGCAATCTTAGTATATCAGACCACGGCCTTATTCGTGAACTATCCGTTGCCCTGGCAGGTAGCCTTTACTCTGGAGAAGGCCATTCCCGCCTCTATGACGATGAACAGGTCTACGAGTGAGTACCCCAAAAATTCGGCCCCTCCAATCTCTTTTCAATCAAGACAGGTCTAACTGACGTTGCCATTAGCCTCGCTATTTCCCACGCGCTAGAGACCACCATAGTAAACAATGTACCCTGTCGTATCCAAAAACGCGAGGGACTCACGAGCACCAACCCTTACGTCTTGCCCTGGATCATGCGTGGCCTACTAGAAGAAGACTTGGTCAAAACAGAGCTATCAACCGAAACAGCGGAATTGCTCAAGCAGTTCGATGAATGGAAACCCGTCACCAAGGCGTTGAAGGACGTCAAATATCGACTAGAGGCTGTGAGGTCGAAGTTGTAGAAAGTGTGAATATATTTACAGACATACATATGCTTACGCATGCGCATGGATTAGAAGAGGCGAGGCATAACACACGCATTCTTGGCGTGGGAAATACCATGTCGGCTTAATAGCGTAGGGTTTGGTTTGGCGGGGGAAATATCATGTCGACTTAATAGCACAGGATTTTGGTTCGGCGTTCAGCCACTTTTTCAAAGCGCAAAGGGATACGAGGAATACCCTGGCACACGGAGTTTATGGAAGATAAGGCCGTAGCTGTATTAATACGTGCAGTATTTAAAGAAGAGCGATATACACGAGAGGCCCAATGTCCTCAGTTGCGCGAACTGAACTAGTTCAGTTTCTAGATCCTACAGCAAGTAGTCTAATCGAAGTGGAATTTCACGGACAGGAACAGCGGCAACGCGCATCGAATGTGTAAACGAGCTAGGGTCATTCCAGTTTGTAAATTTTACGTATGCGTGTGTAGCTCTAACCCTGATACTTGACCCCCTTTATGCCAATACCGGTAAGCCCCTGGATTCAGTTCAGCCTTGTCTGAGTTGCCGCGCCGGCCAACCTATATAAGCGCATGGGAGTAGTATTTCGCATGCGGCTGTCTTCGTTAACATGTGTATTAGTACGTACGTACAGGCGATGGTATATGAGACCCGTACGGCTAAGCTAGTATTCGTATCCGGGCTGTCGCTCCAAATAAAGAAACAGTACCATTATCTTCATTGATTTCCTCAATTTGGCCATGGTGATTCGGCTATACCTGAAACGCACCAAAGAGCCGGTATTGAACTTGACTGACATAGATGTGATAACTTGTGGTACCAACAAGAAGACTGATGGTTCACTAAAATCACAAGTACGAATTACTTCGTTCGGCTCTTCTCCTACAACCTAGATTTCCCTACCTCATGGACCTCAGTATGTATAGAGAACATACGGATGATAAGCTGAGCTCAAATTTTATAACGTAGACTCATGATTAGTCTTGTACTCGACATGGATTAGTAGGCCTGTCGCTTAGTGATCTACCTCAGTATAAGAGAATAAACCACATGAATTTCGACCATTTCAGTGATAGCAACAATTGAATGTCTAACTTGAACCCACGAGGAGCGAGTCACCACATATGTGGAAGGCGATATGCTGAGACTCAAGTAGTCAAATCCCAGCTGAACAGTCTCTCATGTCGTTTATATGACTCACATGAGATTAGCTGTATATCGTGACGTCTGTTTCGGGCCACTGGCGGAGTGAGCAGAGCAAAGATAGTCGGGTGCCGACGATAAGTGACCTTTTTACATAGATACATAAGCAAAAGCAGAATGATCTCGTCTTTTTAATCGAAGATAAGAAAGAGATAGACAAATGTTGGTGACATCGTAACTGGGTTTTATCATACAAAGGTTTTGCTATATGTCTTTGCTGGATTCAACATGCCCTGCCATGATTAAAGAATTGGCATATACATGGAGATAAGCCTTGAATGTAAACGCTTTCGATGTGCGAGCCGGCGAGGACTTCCTTGGTTTCAGGGCAGTCGAGAAATCATTATTCCCTTGCTGAACGCTTCAGCCCATGAAAAGGGAGGGAAACTCACGCGAGACCACTCGAACGGGTTCTATTCTGATACATTCATCACAACAGTCATACAACTACAATAAGTCAAATCAATTAAGGTCAGTAGTCATCTAAAAGGTTTGTTGAATGCAGAGCTAAGTCCCATAATTCCATGTTGACAGATGTTAGCCGATTGGGCTGCATGTATACTGTCGACAGACCTTAACCCCGAGCTTATTGTGGTATGTGGTTCATGACTCCCAGGATAAAGCAATAGTTATCTCAAATTCAATATGAGTTTCCGAGGTTCGTATTACTTTGCCGCACACAGTGAGCACTCTGAAATAAGTACATGCCAATACCCGAGTCCATCAGGACCAACCACACACCATGTCGTAGATTTGTGAACGGTAAGAAACTTAGGACAAGGTTTCCGAACGATGGTGCTCTTGCCGGTAACCGAGTGGCATCAGCATATACCACGGAAAGGGGGGAGCCAGAAGGCGCCAGCGCAAGATATAAGCAAGTGGCATGACCTGCACCTTGATCCTCTTCCGATGGGCGTTAGGTGGTAGAATTAGACTGGTGTGTATTCTGCAACCAGCCCCGGGAAGTCCGGAAACCAGTCCTCTGTATCTTCTTGGAATGCTCTTCTCGGAATGCTCTTCTCCAATTTCTGTTCCTGCAGGCTCGAACTCAAGTTGCCGACTTGCCATACTTCGGTATCGGCATCGCCTTCCCCACAAACCCCATAACTCGAAACCATCATATCTCTCATAGCTGCCGAAGTCCATGTACTTTTCAAACCCCGATCTCTCCGTACTGAAGGTACCAATACATATACGCGCAAAACTTTGGACTTCACGAGGTTGGTTCCCAGGGGTAAGCGGGCACGTTTTATAGAGGATCACTTGATCCTGATCCTGGCCATGAATGTGGCCTTAAAGAAATACTTCAACAGCATCAATATCCCCTATTCCTTGTGCAGCACACGAAAACAGTAAGCAACAATCCAGGGACCGGTGGTGGTTGGCCTGGCATGAAACCCTGAGGGCAGTCGTTAAGAAGACATCAGGTTATTCATCCTGCATGTAAGATGGGGAGAGTCGTGCTCGAAAACTCTATCACAAGGCCCCAATGACTCCAACCTCAGAACATGTAAAGGTGAAGCTCGTCTTATTATGCGCGTTTGAGCCTCAACACAGCTGAATCGAACTCCAAAGCAGCCCTGCACTCGGGTGCTCATGTGCGTTGGTTGAACAGGTCACTCTTGAATCATGGGTCTAACCACACGAGTACGCTTTGGGGCTCACGAAACGCCCCATAGCCGAAACCGCAAAGTCATGGCGACCAGTTCAATCTACGAATGCTGGTGTAAGCCTCGACAAAGCCGATACAAATCAAGAGCTTCATTGTTGCTGTTACTGAAGAATGACCTGACTACAGCGTTGAATTCTTGGATCAAGAAATCCTACCAGCAATGTGTCCCTGACACTCTCTTATACCACCCTTCAGACCTCGTTGAACCCCACAGGACAGGTGGTCGTGGATATGCTACCGAATAATCTAGAAGGGGTCAGCCTCCTGAAGAAAGTTGAGACTGCAGATAGTACCCACTTGACCTAAATTCGTAGTTTCTCTGTGGCTGGGCTGGGAGTATCAAGTGAGATATTATAGCGAATAGTTCCAGAGCGGCAGCGTGGACCCGATTAAGTTTCCAGTTGGTCGAGGCCACCCAGTGTCTTAGCTGCCATTTGTGGATCATATATGAAAGGAAGCAGCCTCCTGTCAGAGGACTGGGCTTCGTGCGCGTCAAGTCATCATTGTCGCATGCAAGGGCGTCCCCATGAGTGGCGTTATAAAGAAGCGGCAGTTGTCATCGTCAACGGAAGAGCTACTACTGACTAGGGTAACGGGATCTATGGAAACTAGACGATAGTCCCCGTGGGATCTTTAGAACAACTTCGATCTTGTTCCTACCTTAGGGGGGCCTACTACCAGCGACTTGCTAAACAAGTGCCCGTCCCGTCATCAACAGTGAGCTATGCAAGGAAGGCTGGTCTCGGCATATCCTCTGTCGGAACCACAAAAAGGAAAACGCGCTTTGCATCGTCGTACTGCGGTGCCAGATACATGCGACATACAGTATCGAGTAATTAGTCTTCAATGTATCAACAAGCACTGTGAAGAATATGGTGGGAGGAGATGAGGGAAGCGACGACGCGATCCGAGACTGAGATTGACTCATCATGGATGCAAGACATGATATCATGTAGAGTATACGCTCGGCAGATATGGATGACCGTCATGTATGCCATTGTTGTTGGTCTCGTCTCCTTGAGAAAGTCTCCGAGCGCTCCATTAGCAATCTCGAGCTTACATGTGGATACATCAATAAAGTTACCTCTGCAATGTCAACATTGCTGCCGTCTTTAAAAACGTTAGCTGCCAGACGCTGTGCGACAGGTTCTTTTTCGTCCGAAAATATCGCGACTGACTCAGGTAAGACACGGAAATATAATAAAAATCATGAATAAAAAAAAACCTTCACTGGAAATGAGTAATTGTTTTCATGACACAAGTCGTTGACGTCAATGGCGTTGACCTGATTCGTCGTCCAGCAAAAGGCCTGCCTCCGCCTTGCCCACAATCGACTTGCAGGATTGCCTGAATCCAAAGGAAGTCTGTGTGTATTGGTACGGTCGCGACGGAGCGATTTTGTTGAGTATCGACGAGTGATCGCCACCGCGAGTCTTGGCGGCCAGTTTTGACAAGGCATATCCAGGGTTGGGTGAACAAAGCAGCGGGGTGATATTCACAGGGATCCTTTGGCAGGGACAAGCCATGCATGTTCGTTGGAATCTGCCCGAATGCGCCGACCGGCAGTACGAAGTAATACGGACAATGTGAGGTCCTCCTCTTTCGCATTTCGCCACCGAGCAGTCAAGGTCCAGGTACATTTTCCTACGTATTTCGTGGATATGATTGTGGAGCTCCCACCCCATATCGAGAGGGCTAGTTGTGAATAGGGATGGCATCAAGTCTTCGAGCTCCCAATTTCGACGGCGCATTGTTGCTCGTCTTGACATATGAAGCACGTTCAATTGTGCGTGCGAAGGCCGAATGACGGTGGCAGATCCCTCCACGGGATCTGAAAATGAACCCAAACTCATCTGAGAGCAGTGAAAGCAGCGCTTCAGTGTCGTATTGGATGACAGATGAGACGCGCTGCAGGGTTGTGGTCCACACGCGCAAGGTTTGTTGCCGATGCGATGAAGCATATGTCAGTTCTAGCCCGAGGTTCGGATGTGTATGCATCATGACTGAGCTGGCTGGCTATTGTTACTGAGGAGGGTTCGTGGATGTTCAATCACCATCCACTATCCCATCACAGCCGGACGTTTTTTTTTGGGCGCATCAGTATGACACGACGCCCAAAGGCATAT